AGAGAGAGAGAGCAGGAGAGAGAGAGAGCAGGAGAGAGAGAGAGCAGGAGAGAGAGAGAGAGAGAGAAAGAGATGGATGACCTTATATGCTATGCTCTCGTTATGGATTTCGTACCGATTGACCATACTCTTCCAACGCCGACTGATCTTTGCGTAAAGATCGCCGCGGTACATCGACACAGCATCTCACCCAAAGAGGGTGCATTTGGGTTTCCGATTCTCAGCTATCATGGTCCATTCTCTCAACTGGTCGAATGGGACTCTGATTGGTCCCGTTTCTTCGCCAGAATGCTATCCCACCTCTTTGACACTGTGACAAAGTTGCACGGGCCATGGGATGACCATTGTCAAGCTGATTTCAGGAGATTGATTGACCATACCGTTCCCCATCTCCTTGGTCCGCTTCAATCGAACGGTCGAACCCTGAAACCGTGTCTGGTCCATGGTAACCTATCGGCCAGCACGATGGGAGTCAATCTGGAAACTGGCGAGCCCATTCTGTTCAGCCCATCTCCCTTCTACGCCCACAATGAGTACGACCTTGGTGGCTGGCGCCGAAAGACAGGAAGCTTGAGCTGGCCCTACTTTCGAGAATACCGGAAATATTTTCCCCCATCAGAACCCTCCGAGGAATGGGACGATCGACTTCAGTTGTATAGCGTTAAGTTCAATCTTATGGACCTCCTTATCACTCCAGAAGCTGTCGATATCAGGAGACAGTAAGTTACTATGCCATTGATAGTATTGCTCTGGCTAATCTTTGACAAGAATTGATGACGACATACGTAGCCTCAATAGCAAGTATCTTCCGCCTTCAGCGGGGATATTGTGATTGCCGTTCGTGGCATGCTGCGTGGCTTATCAAGGATCACCATGGGGAACACAGCGGTGTGGGAACCTGTTAGGAATATCCCATATCTCTGAGAAATTGTGGGAATCACTCGATTACCGACTGATCCCACGTTCTCCAGTGAAGAGAGCCGTCTTGCAGCCAGAAACTATCGACTCTTCCAAGTTTAGATTTCTGCAGTGATGCTCTTCGGAGAAGGCCACAAGCTAACTCTCTGTATCCCCAATCCTTCGAAGCTACCGGCAGATATCTCCATGAATTCCTCTGAGAGTGATTCAAGGTCGACTAGACGATAAGGAAGGCCTGAAGAAAGCAGTCCCCTGTGGATCCACCATCCGCATTTTCTTCATCGGTCCGATCATTCTAAGCAGGAAAGTATGAGTCAGGGAGATCCTGTCTCTCCATTCGTCAGCGAATCATCCAAACGACATCATGACTAGAACGTTTCTGCTGGATACAAGCTCTTCATCCCAATGATGATCGAGCATAAATTTGCACAAGGCATGTTTCTCTCCACTGCATCATATACCGCCCCAGACGACAAAAGGCCTATCAAATGGTATATTATCATTAACCTGATACGGCTGCATGTCCCCATGCCTACCGCGACCTCGTCAACCCCTGCACCTTCATTGTCTCGCAACCAGCAGATCAGCTGGAGTGGGCTTTGTTCCGTCTTCCAAATTTGAGAAGTGGGCCTGCTGCTCCAGCCAAGGGAGCATTCAAAGGCGATGGAAATGATGGATGGAATCTGGAGAGGGGGGCAACTGGCCAAATGTGTGTTGTTGGAGGTGAAGCAGGAGAAATGGGTTGGGAAAGCAACGATTATCTAATACATCAGAGCGTGGACTAGCGAGGGCATACTGTACTGAATGTGTTGTCTTTGCCAAGTGTTCTAATTGGTAATGCATACACAATAATGGACTTCTGCCTTCATTTCTGCCCAGATTATGTTTACAACTCGAAAGTCTTCGTGATGGCCATATTAGCCCGCTCTGCCGATATACAAACATGCTTCAAGAATCGTAGGCGCAGACATTTATAATGCCCGTTACCACACCGGCGGACGACACAGAACATTTCCGTGTCTTATGCACTGTCCTCATGTCTTACGTGGGTTTAGAGGACCAAAATCAAGGACCAAGTCCATGAAAAAGGCCACGTGAGGCGCCGAGGGGGTGTATACCGAGGCTGCATATAATCACATGCGAATCTATCCATCAACACATTGCATATGGATAGTAGTAAGCAGATCGGATATAGATTATGCAGTATGCAGTGTCACTTCAATTATCGCCGATAGCTGACCAAATATTGTAGCCGTTTCTGTATTAATGCTTTATGTGTTCAGGCGTCTTGTCCGTGATTCGGCCGAATTCAGGACGTGAGATCAGGTCTTCCTCTTATACTTCCTATTTCGTCTCTTTCATTATTTCCAACGCTTACATCTTTGAATCGGACGATCAGTCTTATATTTCAATTGTCTGTTGTTTTTCAGAATGGCGAAACTAATTCGAGTAGGCTTTATTGGCCTCAATTCCAGCTCCGCAAAGACCATGTCAGGCCAGTGGGCCACCAATGCTCATCTCCCATATCTGACCAAGTCATCTGAATACACCATCACTGCTCTGTGCAATTCTTCAATGGAATCGGCAAAAAAGGTAATCGAGCGTCATGGACTCGATCCCGCCAAGGTCCATGCTTATGGAGATCCGGAATCGTTGGCCAATGACCCCGATGTCGATCTCGTGGTGTGTTCAGTCAATGTGGCTCAACATTACACGCTCTGCAAACCAGCACTACTCTCTGGAAAAATGGTCTTTTGCGAATGGCCTCTGGCGTCCAACATGGAGCAAATGAAGGAGCTTGCCAATCTAGCCTCGGAGAGGCACGTCAAAACCATGGTGGGTCTGCAAGGCAGAAACGGGCCGTATATCCAGGCCATCAAGAACAAGATAGGTGATGGGCCGGGACAAATTGGACAGATTCTCAGCACATCGGTGACCGTTCAGACACACCTTGGCCTCGCCTTGCCCCAAGACGTTGCCTACTTGGCGAAGAAAGAAGTGGGTGGAAATATTCTCACAATTTCGGCCATTCATTGTCAGTCAGAATCTTATTCTGTACAGAGGAGTCGGGTCCGGGATTCTTGCTAACGAAGGTCAATTCACAGTACTTGATACTCTGACATCCGGGTTGGGAGAGATCAAAGCATTCCATTCCGTCGTGAAGAACAAGCGAACTACCTTCGCCCTCCTCGACAGCAATATGAAGGTTATTGACCCGGCTCATCCCATCACTAGTCCTGATCATGTGTTTGTCCATGGAGAGCTAGAGGGAGACATTCCGTTCGACTTCCAGCTTCGTGGTGGACCGCCGTTCAAAAACACCCCATCATTAGATTGGCGAATATATGCCATGAAGGGGGAGATTCGTATTAGTTCCATGGGAGGGAATCTGTCGACAGAGAAAGGTGTCAAATTCCAGGTGTATCACTTTGATACCGAAGAGGTGGAAGACATTGAGTTGGATAAAGTGTTTGATGAGAACGATCCCGGCTTGGGTTTTCAACCACCGGCTGACAATGTGGCGAGGCTGTACAGTGCCTTTGCCAAAGGCGAGACGGACAAGTACTTGAATTTCCAGCAGTCGCTAAAATGGGCTGAGTTCATTGACAAGCTGTATGAGTAGAGGAGGGCAGTAGGACTATTGACGCTACTGTTCTTGTGTTGCGTCTGGTTGAAACACGTCCCTCCCCGTTCATATATGGTGAATCCAGTAACTTCTGCTTTTCTCTCACCACGGTAACGACAGCAACGAGAGTCGTAAGAAATTTACTGCCTACCTGACTGAAGGATAAGGCTGTGAAATTGTGGGATTCGGTGAGTATAAATGCGCTAAGCGCAATTGAAATGCTTGAGTGGTACCAGCCTGGCAGGTATAATGCGTACGATTGTACAGCGTATACCCTGTGCATGTGGCGGTGCCATTCTCCTTAGTATTTTCGTACACGCCGCTCGTCATGCGTCGATTGTTGGGGGAATGACTAGGTAGGAAGTAGGTTGTAACCATATAAAGTGTACCTTGTCGCTCCTCTTCCTCGCTCAGGTACTCGTAAGCTGTATCGTCGCTACCACTTACGGCGCGTCCCTGAACATAGGCAGTATCTTCGCATTGTTGTGATTCACAATATCCCATGTTTTCTGGCTGAGGTTCCCCTCCGCGTACTCTTCCCGGCCATACAGGACTCCCGTCTTGGGTGCATAGGGCAAGTCCTTGCCGAAGAGGATATGATCAAGGGGTGCCACGCTGAGCAGAGAACTCAAGAAACCCTCATGACAAGAGGGAGAAATGTCGAAGTAAACGTTGCAAATTTCGGATTCAATTTCAGCGTAGCTCTCACGTACCAATCCGGCAAGCATGAGTTCCATGAAGCCGACGGGTCCGATGAGGTTCGGTATGGTACCACCGGCGTGGGACACGATTACTTCGCAGTCCAGATAGTCTCACTTAGTGGTAGTGAAGACTTGTTCTAGAACCATGCGCGTGGTTTCGTGTGGGAACTCTGAAATTCTCGCTAAAAGAGTGTGTGAGAACGGTACACGGTCGGGTGGATGGACCAGCATAGCGGCTTTGGCAAGCGTTAAGTTTGGCTCAACCGGGCCGGAAATGCTCGTGGTGTAGATATGCATTGCCGTCGCCATAGCGAGCGTAGATAGTGACGCCCTAGGCGTGTAGTGTGTCCAGTGTATATCGAATGGTGTCGAATAATGATGGTAGGGTTGCAAAGAAGCCGAATTGGACAGTTCGCGTTCGCGGATGGCCCTACAGTATTTATTCACACGCCAACTCATCTGGCGAGCTGCTTCACCCTCGAGAGATATGGCACCCAGTATAGTGAGGGAGAAGACCGTGGCGATTGTCCTGGTGTTCTCCATCACAGCAAGGAGATTGGGCTTGGAAACGAACAAGGGGATCTCGATCCAATAATTCAAAACATGGTGGGGCCCCTGTCTTTGACCTGCGCGTAGGGCAAGGCTGATCGAGAATACAGCTTTGCTATCCCATTTTTGGAACGATTCATGAGCGCCTTCATTTAGCTGAATCGCAGTCTAGGATATTACCATAGTCGAACATGCGAACAACAGCATGCCTCATGTACGATTACGATCAACCTCAGGACGCTGGGTGTCCGCTGAGTGTTTAAAGCCTGGTTCCATCCCTATTCGCTTTATGTGGTTGTCCTGAAGATTCAAATGATGACTTCAACACATTCCTCTCTGGAGTGGTCCCTTTTCCGAAATGAAGTCTATCTCCTTGTTCTAGATCGTACACAACAATTCTATGTGATGGCAACGTAGCACGGTCTGGTTTGGGACCCAAGTTAGATTTGTGCCATCTCCGTTTGACACTCAACCTCACCTGGTCATGCACACGATGCCCACACTATTGGGGCGATTTAGCATGTATTCTTCCCCCTCCCCTTCAATCCCATCACCGGCAAGGAGATTGTGGGAACAAAGACCCGTATCAAATTTCCAGGCTTGACCTCCTCGTATATTCTCTAGTGGCTCGTGACGAATTCACTCGTGAGGCATTGGTCACCAAATCTAGGCCTTGATAACCCTTGCTCTCCTGCGCATTGCGACAGTCATGTCATACAAGACATCTTTGAAAGCGAACAAGAAAGCAGCGGTCAAAACACTTTGGCTAACTTTGGGACCGATTCCTAGAACCCAATCTTTAGTGAGTTGAACAATCAAGGGAGTTAAGATCGTCACCCACCCTTGTAAAGTCCACTCCAACCCTCTTCCTTCACAATCTTATTCAAGCTCTTCCACATTCCTTCCACTGGAGCATCTTTGGTAGCGACATGTGCTCGCGACTTGACCGTGATATATGGGTATGTGATGGTTGTGGCGAGCAATTTTCCAATGGCCCCCAAATAGAATGCATCGCGGGGGCCAACCTTTCTTCTCTTCTCCAAAATGTTCTTCAATTGTTCATAGATGGTGTATTGCAAGATTGGGTTGACAACCAACACCAGAGCCGGTAGGACTCCGGCGAAAAGGGATGCAGGACCTTCGTCTTTGAGAAGCCTCAAGAATGTTCCAATGGTGCCAGGCTTCTTAACTCGCTTTTTCTCACCACCCGGCAATTCGCCCTCGCCGTCCTCATTCTTGCGCGCGGTCATTCTTGTGTTGACCACCCAGATTGGATTCGTGAGCAAAACTGTGGCTGAACCCGCGATTGCGCCGGCTATCATACTCTCAACAGTTGTGAGCTTTTTGCTGGCACGTCCAGCTTGCATGGCTGCCTTTTCAAAGAATGCTCTGGTCCATTCGTACCAATAGTAATATATGAAGTTGGTAATGGAGATGCCGAAGAGCGCGCTGTCGAGACCAGCGTAGAGCCCACCTAAACCTTCACGGTTGATGATGTGCCTCACGGCAGCGAGAGTGGATGTGTCAGCTCGTTTGGACTCGACTTGGGCGCGTGTGGAGAGGGTGATCAGAGGATATGTGAGGGTCATGGCAAGGAGACCCCCGCCTGCTCCAGCCAACGCATGGGCGATATTGTCGCTTTGTTGAGCGGCGGAGGTTGCGGGTGTGGGAGTGGAGGATTCGGAGGATTGTTTATCCCAGTCATCCTCGGTAGGGGAGGGAGCGATATCTTTGGTTTGCGACATGATAGAGAATAGAATGCGTAGATGGAAGGCTTCGAGCGCAGGGCGGGGGAGGTAGATGTGGGAGAAAAGAACAAGGAAGAACAAATAGATTAATAGGTGCCCGCTCCTATATGTCGCAAGGATTGACACATGCGTCAGAAGGTAGAATGAAGATGGAGAATAGAAGGAGAATTTCCAAGAACGAGGAGATGAACGGGTATGAATCTACATACACTATCTGGTGTGAAGCCCGCGAAAATCGAAGTCAAACTTGGACCTCGGCAATTCGCGCTTGGCGCGGCCGAGGCAAGCGTTCTGTCTGATACATCAGGGACTCCGAAATATTTTCTTGACCAAATGTCGATTCTGGGATTACTATTGCCCTCAATGGAATTTATGCCCTATTCGTATTTCCCGCCGACTCTCACCCAAAGCCATTCGCAATATGCCGAAATCGCTCTTCCTTTGCCTTCCCGTTTTCATTTGACGAGTGTACTGACACTGTCTGGAACCTGGATCTCCATGCATTTTCCTTTCTTGTTCACGATTTCTACCCGAAAAGACTTGTTTCTTCATACTCTTTGTTTGGTCTTTCCAGATGCCGCTTTTGAAATGGGTGCTGGTCGCTTACCCTGACGCTCTTGGTACAGAACGTACTCGAGGTAGACGGCGCACAGGGTTCCGAGGATGAAGATGTTTCCTGTTATAAGTCTGTCAGGATCAAAATAATTTCTACGGACAGTTGAACAACGTAACCAATGATGAATCCAAGCACTCCTTCGACCAAGTTGAATACGTTCTTCAGGAGACCAATGACCTTGTTGAGAGCACCTTCAAAGACATTGAAGGTACTGGTGAAGATTCCTTTAATGACCTCCACGATCGAGGCAAATAGGTGGCTTGCGCCTTTAGCGATATCCTACATATTGACCGATGTTTGGATCGATAGAGACTGATGTAGTGAAATATTGCAATCTGGATTCTATGAGAACCGAAGTCGCCGTATCAATTGGTATTTCAAGTGAGAATTTGACAAAACTGACATAAATCTTTTCTTGCCCTTGCTCTTACAGGCAAACAGAGTCACAGTTACATGAGCCATGACGCTCCGTGGCAAATGAACACGATCCTGGACTCCCGACCAATGAAGCAGGCTGCTCGGCTGTTTCTTTCTGACGTCACATCTTAAGAGTAGACAGCCGTTCATCAGGAAAATCTCAGCCCTGTCAATGAATGGACTCTTGCGCAACAGTAGATTCTGTAAGGTGAAGCATCTATTTCCAAGCCGTAGTTTTTTTACGTCCCATATTTTTTCCTCTCTAGACCAGAAAAATTTCGACTTGAGACGGGAACATCTGTTCCTTTCACGAACAACATGACTGAAATCCTGACTTTGATGCCATTGTAGCTATCATTCGACGAAAACAATGGCCTTCTCAGTCATCCGACCGTTTCAATATGTCGCCATTCAACTGCCTTCCGACAACATCAAAGTCGAACAAATATTGCCCAATACGTAGGTTACAACACGAATCTGTGAGATAACAGATATCAGCCAACGGCGTTGTGAGCTGTCGCTGACTCTGTCACAAGTGTGATCAACCTGGGAAAATATGGATCCTTCCGCACCAACCAAATCATCGGTCGTCCATACCACTTGACTTTTGAAATCCTTGATCGATCCGATGTGCAAGATGGCAAGGAGCTGAGAATTGTCTCTGCTGCTGAACTACATGCAGCCGCTCTAGTCGAGCAAGCTGACAGCGAGGAGGCCTCTACACCCCGGGCGGATGGTGATGATTCGGGAGCCTCGCCCACGCCCAAATCCAACGTCAACACCCATGATGATCCCACGATTCAGAAGCTCACCATGCTCGAGATTGAAGCGTTAAAACAAGATGACATGGGCAGCGGTAGAGAACTCATCCAGAAGATCATGCAGTCCCACACTGCTCTCGACCAAAAGACGGCCTTCTCCCTCGCCAAATACACACTACGCAAGCAGAAAAAGCACATGAAACGATTTACGGTCCTGCCTTTCGACGTGCCAGCGTTGACGGATTGGATCCTAGCCGATCGAGATTTGGCAAAGACCCTGGAATTGCGGAATGAGATAATAGCTCTGGTCGGCTGTTGGGCCAATGTCCACGCTGCCGGGCAGGACTCTCCTCTACTGTCCGAAATGGGCCCATCATCACGCTATCTGGTTGTGGATGACACTGGTGGACTGATAGTCTCGGCGATGGCGGAAAGAATGGGCATTCTCCATCAAACAAATCTTGAAGGAGATTCAGCGGAACATGAAGATGAAGAGGTCGACGGAGAAGCGGATCAACCTCAAGCCGTATTCCCTCACAAACCAAAGCGCCAACAGTATCGTCTTTCGGCCATGAGCGCCAAGTCAAATTCCATCACCTTAATACATGCCAACCAACAGCCGAACCTGGCCCTACTCCGATATTTCAATTTCGACGCCAACAACCCGACGCCCTCACATCCGCTATACACGAATCTGAAGACCCTGTCCTGGCTCCAACTTGTGGACCCGGCATCTGACACCACCTATCGGGAACCGGCCGTGATCCCGGCCGAAGAGCTGGCCAAAATAAAATCCAATAAGCGGAGCGCCTACTATCGGAAGAGACGGCGGTGGGAACGCATCAAATCGATCGTGGATGAGACGAGGGCTGGCGGCTTCAATGGGCTAGTTGTGGCAAGCTTTTCGGACCCGATCTCAATATTGCGACATCTCGTCCCCTTACTGGCTGGTGGGAGTCAGGTGGTGGTTTACTCGCCGAACATCGAGCCGCTTGTCCAGCTGGCCGACTATTACTTTCCGGCTCGAAGAACGGCATTTATCAATACTCCGGAGGACCGGAGGTGTGTTCCTTCGGAAGACTTCCCCGTCGATCCGACTCTGCTTCTCCCGCCCATCGTGCAAACGGCACGAGTGAGGAAGTGGCAAGTCCTCCCCGGTCGGACTCATCCCTTGATGACTGGGAAAGGTGGCGCCGAAGGGTACATTTTTGTGGGAACGAGAGTATTGCCTGCAGAAGGGAAGGTTGAGGGTAGAGGGAGGCCGCCTCGGGGCAAGAAGACAAAGACTGAAGAAAAGGAGAGTTTGGTGGGGCCTGACCATGGTGACCATGCGCCAGAATCACCGCTCAAAAAGCAGAAGATCGCGACACAATCAACTCTGGATGACAACCCCGAGGTTGAAATCGGAAAAGAAAATTGAAGGCCTCGTTCAGAGGCCAAATAGAAATCCATCAAAGCCGGAATCAAGTCGTCCAATCCGCATTTGATTTCTTGCCGTCTGATACACTTATTGTGTTTGTTCACGAATCATTCGTCTCGCTCTCTCCTCATGATCTGATCTATAAGCTCTTGCCCATGAATTTTCTCTTCGTAAAGCTCAACCACCATTTACTCGGCCCAACACCCCCTTCATACAGCCTGGCGTGGAGCCTCATTGCCAACTCCTGACGTACCTGACTGAGATAACTTCTCAGTACCTCGGCCTCGTTTCTGTCCCGGGGTGCCTCAAAGGCCTGGTTGAGTGGAAACCCGGGTTCTCCGGGAATGCTAAATTGCTCGAGGGCACCGTTGATGAGAGCCTTTTCGGCCGCGCGAGAGTCCATGTTCGGTTTCACTTTGGTTAGACACTCGGAGACGAAGAGGATGCCATAGATTAGCATGCGATCGGCGGGGCCTTTGATCTCGAAGTTCCTGAAAAAGGTGTTTGCGCGGAATAGGGAAAGGATCTCGTCCAGGCAGTCGTACGACTCGGAGTCGGGGTCTACGTCGTGGGCAGGCACACCGGGTGGTAGCGGAGGGAGTGTGTACGCTGGGCCGCGGGTTTTCGTGCGCAGCGGGAGGAGAGGGAAGTTCCCTTAATTTTGGTCAGTGGTGCCGGTGAGGTCCGGTGTTTCTGGTATTACGTACCGATTGTCTGGACGCCCTGATCGCCCAGGAAGATGGAATGGTATGCCTGTGGAGAGAGTCAACTTGTTCGAAAGGCGTGAGAGTGATCTTGAAGGATGCTGCTTGCTTACTGGCATCTTGAGTTGTCGGCTCTCTTGACAGAAGATCAGATAGATTGGATCATACGGAAAATTCAAACTTCACCTTCCCATCCCGTGGTCAGTTCCGTTGTCGTCGGCATGCCTAGGGGGAGGGTCCACAAGTTAGCTTGGCAGCTCAAGGGCCGCGGTCATGCCGCTTTAATTTGCGTTGAGTTCTTATCGATGCAGATGCGAATGCAGCCCTGATAAGAAACTCCAGAAATCCTGCAGAAGAAAAAGGTAGGTACTTAGGAAATCCGCAAGCGAGTCTCCATTGTTTGATATAGGTCCTTTGTCCTTGAATGCCAGTGATGTCTTCTCTCACGACCAATATCACCATCACCGCCCTCAGGGAAAAGCCCCGGACGAAGCCAGGTCCCATGTGACTAACCAATGGCCCCATCTACCTTCGACGTGATGGATGAATGCCTTCTCCCTTCCCCATTCGACGTGACTGCCGACTCCCTTGTTGTCAATGACCGTCCTACACGCCGTCGCTTTGCGACAGACGGTCGCGTCCGATCTGGATGTTTGACGTGTAAAGCTCGCAAGAAGAAGTGCGATGAGCAGTACTCGGACTCCGACGGACGTTGTAAGACATGCGAGCGGCTGGGATTGGTCTGCGAGCGCCAGCCGCTGCGAACCGTGATAGCGAAGCCGAAAGAGAAGAAGGGCAATAGGGATCGCAAGGCCAAAGAAAAAGAGGAAAAAGATCTCAACGATACGGACATGTGGACGCGCTCGTCCTCATCATCAGGCTCGTCTCCCAAGTCCAAGCCGGTAGCGGAGTCCCTCGACGATCGTGAGCGACTGAGCCTTGTCCCAGTATCGTCAACGGAACGCAGCAGTGGCTTCATGACGCTCTTCTCGCTTGAGAATGCCTCTCCAGAACGAATCTTGTTAAAGTACTATGTCGAGCGCCTGGCGCCTCTTTGTTCAATTCTCCAGGAAGGCAACAACGACTTTCGCAACGTGCTCTTACCGATGGCCATCGACGACTCTTCACTCCTCTACGCTCTCTTTGCCTATGCATCAACCCAGTTGCCTTTATCTGACCCTGTCCCATGCATCACTCCTCTGACACGATTGAAGTTTGAGAGTGAAGTAGCGCGTGGTCTCTCTGAATCAATCCGTCGGAACACCGTCTCAGAAAGTACGGTGGCATCTGCGCTTATATGTAGCACCGCTGAGGTGGTCAGTGGAGATACAAAGCGTTGGTACATCCATCTCCAGGGTGCCGGACATCTCATTGACCATCTGGGAGGACCTCAACGGCTTCGCCGAACAAGCGACGGGTGTTTCCTCCTGCGAAATTTTGCTTATCATGATATTATGGCTGCCCTGAGCACCAGCAGCCGGCCTCGCTATCGCGGAATGTACTGGCTCAACGATGGTCACATCCCCGTGGACTCACTGATGGGCGTCGCACATGAAATCCTCGGCCACATCAGCCATATTTGCTGCTTCATCGCCGATGTTAATGAATTGCCGAGCGCATCGTCGGATTGTCCATCCAGTGTTGTTCAACAGGGCGAGAACCTTGCCCAGCTCTTGCGCTCACAGCCTTTGGGTCTCTGCACGACAGTCGGGGGCAATGACTTGGATCTTCTGATCCACCACGCTGAAGCGCTGAGATTTGCGGCACTAATCCACCTATATCGTTTTCTTGATCGCTTTGCAAGGGAAGCCTACGTGACCCAGATGCGTAAATGTGTCCAAAATATCATGGATCATAGTTTTCAAATCCCATCAAACCTGTACTGCGAGATTGGATTACTTTTTCCTCTCTTCATGACCGGTGTCGTCGCAGGAGATGACAAGGGCAATGCCGACTATATTCGAAATCGTCTTGATAATATTGAGAGCTGGACCAAGTTTAAACATGTTACCAGGGTTCGTGAACTCTTGGATTCTCTTTGGCTTACCAACCGGACAGATTGGGAAACCTTATTACAGGAGTGGGACTGGCACATATCTCTGGCATGACTGGAGAAGATTCCGGATTTGGTGATGTTCGATCTTTAAGGGGCTTGAGAAGCGCGCCTAGCAACGCCCTCAAAGAGGCTTGGATCAGGAACCGACTGCTTTCAGCCTTCAAAGCTCGTCTTTCTTCCAGGACTTCTTCATTCCACCTCCGAAACTTTTCCTCTCGATATATCCATCAACAGAATACAATGGGTTCCCCACCATCAACCCGAATAATTCGTACGCAAGATCTGCAGCGGCCCATGCTGTTGACTCGCCCGAATCGTCGTACGGCGGTGCAACTTCGACGACGTCGGCGCCAACAATGTTCAAGGAAGTAAGGCTCCTCAATATTGCCTTGAGCTCTCTTGTTGTCCAACCTCCAGGTTCGGGACATCCGGTCCCTGGTGCAAGACCGGGCTCTGATGGCAAATTAGTCAAACCAGAACGCCCGAAATCCTCTATCACATACCGAGCACATCGATGTCAATGCTAAGATATACAAGTCTGTCGCCAACGACCTCTTTGATGCGTTCGACGACGCCTTCCACCCCGACGACATCAAGATCTACGGAGATGGCCTGGAGTTAGATATCCCTTGAAGTTCAAGTTGCCAGAACGCACCCTCGGTTTCGATATACTGGAAATTTTGCTTAGCGTCTTCCTCATAGTCGCCATAGCCATTCCCAAAAATCCGCGTACGCAGGCCTGCATGGATGTTTCCCTCCTCAGCAATGAGTCCTTCGTTATGGGCAATCCAAAACTGTTCGTTTTCTGCTCAGCAAAACGACCTCCACTATTTTGAAGAGTGCTCACCATTGAACCATGATTGTAATCCGACTGTTCCGAGGCCCACGCTCCAGCCAAAGATGCCGGATTCCATCTGCCATCTCATTAGATTCCATTCACAGCAGAATCAATCCCAGTGAAGTGGAACCCACGTGTCAAGGTGGCTATCGAAGTGCAGGACGCTAACAGGTCCGTAGATCTCCTGAAGAGCTCTCAGTGCCGGCAATGCCACCGAATGGTCACCACCCAGAGTAAGGAGGCGTGGATGATAGATGCCGTCCTTTCCCAATGCTTTTGGAGTGGTGGTTCGGGGTTGGGTTTTTGCTGGCCGACGAAGAAGATCACGGTACGCCTCCGTCATCTGCTTGAATGCGACTGCATTATCGCTGTTGAGCGGTGAAGAATAAGAATCGTGACCCCGGTTGAAACGAACACTACTTACAAAGGTGTCACTGGGATGTCGCCGCAATCGAGGACGGTGGCCCAGTTGAGATACGGATTCAGGCCTTGAGCATGGTTGAACCCTCTTGCAGGTATTTGCCGCTGGCTTGCGCTACGGATCGCCTTTGGGCCGAATCTTGCACCTATATATTCAATAATCAGAACTCTTGGTACATCTTCGAGCAGACCGACCACAAAGCCTCAAATGGCAAGAGGTTACCTGGACGATAGGCCACCGAAGTATCAAAGGGAACACCAATGACAGCAAGGTCAAAAAGCTTGTCCTGTTCGACAAGGCATTCGATATGAGGCAGATGGGCAAAGGTCTGGATTCCGGTGAAGCTATATCCTGACTTCCAACGAGAAACAGTATCACCGACTTTGGGTTGAACAGTGTTGTAGCCTAGAGCTATCGCCCATAGGGCAGCGGAAATAGATAGTGATACGAGCATGACGATAACCCGACCGCAGGTTTTTGCTCGTATTGTTTCTTTGGCAGATTTCCCACCTGGATACCAGGACGGTGAGTTCAACCACTTTACCCGCAGAAGGGCTCAATTGTAGTTCAACTTCAGACACACATTGGCAAGATACGGGAGAGTTTCAATGAGTTCATACATATCTAGAGCTGGACCTCGCATTTTTGTGTGTGATGAACAAAGAACCTGTGGGGGAATGCCATCATTGAGCCTGCTGCAAGAGACGCCTCCTATCTTCTCAGCGTATCCGGCGGGAATTGAAAGTTTCCTAGGATGGCCCTCTTTTGTCGATCATTGGAGGACCATCTCAACGGAGAAGAGCACTCCAAATGGAGTGGCGCCCGATACGCCTAGTGTGGGGCTGAGAATCCAAGAAGGCTGGCTAACACAGGGGCCGGCATGAACGGAAGTCGTCACTTCAGTTTAGGAACGAGATGCTTCTACCGCGGGACTGAAAGAAAATGGGACAACGTACTCCCTCTGAACAAAATGAATCTATGAGACTGCTCTGAGGTTAAGGGTAGGACACGTGCGACGAAAACCATAATGGCGACGGGGAAACCGACAATTCTATACATAGGACAGCCGATCTTGTTTGCCCACGAGGCATGGGCTCGATTCAAGGAAAACTTCAATATTGTCTTCTACGACCTGCACAGCAAAGAAGAAGCCATCGCGGCGTTTTCGGAGATGGGCAAATACTCCCGGATTGATGGTATTGTTCGACCAAACCTTGCGCCGAACATGCTCGCATCGCTGGATAAAGAATTGGTCAACCATTTGCCGGCTTCCTGCAAGATCGTGTCTTACTGCAACCACGGCTATGATGGGGAAGACACTGAAGCACTCGAACAGAGAGGTATCTGGTACTGCAACGGGGCGGGAGGCGCAACAGATGCCACTGCAGATACAGCTCTCTTCTTGATTCTGGCGACATTCCGGTACACAACATTCTGCGAATTGACGCTGAGAGAAAAGAAGTCCGCCGACTGGTTCTTCGTTGAGGAGATGTGTAGTCAATCACACGACCCTCGCGGCAAGGTACTTGGAGTGGTTGGCTTGGGCGAGATCGGCGCAGCAGCTGCCATGCGAGCGAGAGCCCTAGGGATGATGATTCACTATTTCAACCGCAGAAAAAGGCCCGCAGTTGAAGAGTCTCTCGGTGGTGCTCTTTATCACGACAATATCGAGTCGTTGCTCAAGGTGTCGGACTGTGTATTGCTTGCATGTCCACATACTCCTCAAACGCATCGTCTCCTTAACAAGCAAGCCCTCCAATTGATGAAAAGAGGAAGTCGCATTGTGAACATTGGGAGAGGAAAGTGTGTTGATGAAGAAGCCCTGGCACAAGCCTTGGAGGAAGGTCACATATCGAGCGCCGGACTGGATGTGTTCCATGACGAGTAGGTTCAGAATCTGTGATCTTAAATCTACCAGGTCTTCCTAATCCTCTTCAGGCCTGTTGTTCATCCGAAGCTCCTTGAGAGCTGGAAAGTCACCTTGCTCCCTCACATAGGTGGCGGAACACTAGAAACAAGCAAGGTATTCCCTTTTTCGTCTCGACGTTGAATACAGTGGCCAGCATATTCACTAACCAATATCCCAGAAATTTGAGGAAATCGCAATGCAAAATATTGAAGCATATTTCTTGGGAGACGGAAAACCTTTGACACCGATCAACGATGTGTCTTCCGAACGAATCGACACTACTAGGGTGTAGGAATATAGATACAAGACGTTGTCGGGCTCTATTTTTGTTTCCAAAGCAGAAAATTTTCATGCATCCCCACAGAGTATCCGACGAGTGGAGTGGATTTGCACAGAGCTGCTCGGCGTGGAGCCACAACGGGTGGTAGATTTGGAAGTAAAACGCATTAACTGCGAGACCGCTTCTCTTCGAATGTATACATCGAGCAGATTTCCAGTCTCCTGTTCCATGCATCCGCTGAGATCTGTTAGTCTGCCGAGTCCGAAGAATCAAAGCTAAATAGACCCTAGCACTTCGTCTGAACATACGGTCTACAATGACTAAGGTCTACAATACCGCGGTTTGGACCCTCCAGGACATGTGTCAATAGATGCCAACCACACTAAAGCAGACTATATTGAAGCAAATGTATCTTCTGTTACTCTGTTCTCTTAGGATCTTCTTCTTCATCTGTTAGGGTGCTGTAATTGAAGGTCACATTTCATCAATCGCCATGGGTTTCTGGAACGGGAATCTACGCAATAATTATGTGGACATTGCCATCGATTAGTTTGTCCACCTGGTTAGTTGATTCTAAGGCACCCTCCAGTGTCCTCTCCGCCGCCATCGTTGCCGCGTACACTCTCCTAATCAACCTCATTCTTAGCAGTGGCCCCACTAAAGGAATATTACATTCATCCTCTTCTTTAACACAATTCAGAGCAGCATCCAATATTGTCCCACGCTCTTTTGATGGTAAGTTGCGCGTATCCGACAGATTATGGACCAGTTTTGTTCCTTTTCTGCGATAGATGTTTGAGAGGATCTGCGGCCTTGGGTGCTCTTCTGGGCCATTTGAAACTGATTTTGCGGTAGGCGTGTTCGACAGCACCGTATGACTAGCTTCTGGAAGAAAAGGCTTATTTGTTGCAGCATAATCCTGTTTGCCACCCATCCCGGTGTCGGCGCGGCTTCACGATTCTCACGCCGAATTTACATCCCTACCAAGCGTTTGTCCTTCCAAAATCTTCGGCCTGACATATAGGGAAACGATATCATAATCGGCTTCACCTTGATCTTCAATATTTGGGGTCGGCTCCACATTCGTCATCTTACAGGTTTTCCTGCAATTATTTTGGGACGAGGCGAATGGCAGGGGTGCTGGTCTCACTTAGTCTCCTTTCGCTCAACCTTCAAGCTCCAGCATTAATGGCCATCGCGGTCAGATCCATCTTGAGGCTGGGCCTTCCGACATGGAAAATCAAACATGCGCCATTGTCGTGGTGGTTTCAATGGGGACAACTACCCTTCCATTACATGAACTACTGGATCGGACATACAATTCTGCTTGCCTACCTGCGTTTTCGCCTGCTGTTGAGCGGAAATAGTCGATATGGCGAGCAAGGCAACTTCTGGATAGAGTAGTATAGCGCAGAGAAGTTGTTGCCAAACACGTTTCACAGGCAGCAATCTGTATGGGATTTCCGAGTCACAAGTTTCTGCTTGCAAAGTGCGACCATGCATGGTAACTTTCAAAGATATCCGACACTCGGCTTTCCATATCGCCGGCTCGAGACCGTAGGCTCAGCGAAATGGATTTCTGCGTTCTCTTGGGCCCACATCATGCATCACATGCTACTGCTTGAGATGGACCCAGCCTTTCTGTTCATGCGATCTGAGTTCACAGCGGTGATATCCGAGGAGATTGGTGGGAGATAAAGCCAAATAATTAAAGAATCCAGAAATGAGCAGCCTCCCCAGCTTTTCTCGGTCAGAGATATCGATGCTGCGTCGACCCCGCTTCCACGGACCCTATCTTGGGATGGATACCCGCCCGAACCGCTGGTCGCTTCTCGAGATTAACTTGTGGCTGATAGAGACGATACAGATTGTGGATCTGGGCCCGATATGAAGGTACCAAATACATAGGTTCCTCAAGCCGCACAAGATGGATAAGTCGAACTGATGTATAAAGGTTCCGTGGGGTGTTCTGATTCTACCTTCTTTCCTTCTTTCTTGCTTACTTTCTAATTTTATAACTTTCAAGGTTCCTGGTCTCACCATTTCTCATTTACTATAGTCCAGTGGTTATCACTTAGTTGGGAAATCATGGCCCCCAGTGCGGTGGCAGTGGAAACCGTCACAACTGACTCGCCTACCTATACACCTGCAGGTGAATACCGGGGCCCATCCAAAGTCCAATTCGACCCCAAGATTCATCTCAACTACATTCCTCCCAAGAGATCATATACATACTCAGATCTGGGCATACCCGCCAAGGGAACAAGCGACCTCGCCACCACCGAACCATTTCAGCTGGCCACAGACGCCGCTGTTCTTGAACTCCGCCGTGAGCTTCTACAGCCCAACACTCTTAAACGGCGCATTCACTGGTGGCCACGCTCACCGGCATGTCTACGTGGCTTCACCAAGGAAGAAGCACCATTTACACATGCCTTCTGGACGTCTCCCGAAGTCATCAAGATCATGAGCGATCTGGCCACGATCGACCTCGAAGTCTCCCTACCATATGAGATCGGCCATACGAACGTGCAATTGGGTTATGGTGGTCGCGGGGCGCTCAAGGACCTCAGCCTCGAACCCGTTCCGGTTCCCGCTGGCTGGGAGGAAAAGGAAGGCGAATACGACAACGTCCCTGTCGACAACTGGCACACCGACTCGTTCCCCTACAGCTGCGTCATGATGCTCAGCAACACATCCAAGATGATCGGAGGCGAGACCGCTCTTCAGTTACCGGACGGCACGGTCAAAAAACTACGCGGCACAACGCTAGGCTCCGCAATCCTCATCCAAGGCCGACATATACGCCATGCCGCCCTGCGTGCCACCGGGACCGGCGAGCGTATCACGCAGGTCTGCCCCTACCGTGCAGCGCATCCGATGCTGCGTGACGAGACAGAAATCACCAATTCGCTACAACTCAGCTACTTGAATGAGCTGTATGGACAATTTGCATTGGAGAGATTTCGCGTCCTGAAGAGGAAGAGCGAATACATGATTGAGACGCTTGAGAAAGCTAAGAAAGAGGCGTTGGAAAGGGAACCGGAGAATTATAATGCGGTGTTCATGGATAGAGACGAGACGAAGAAAATGATGAAGGAGATGATTTGGTATCTTCAGGTGGGCATCGGGCAGTTGGGCTTCGATAAGGAGAATGGTGAGAAAATTGGGGAGTAGGCAGAGTCTCGCCATGGACCTCTGTGGGATACCACGTCTGAGCACTGAGTTCACATATTGGATTTGCTTCATGACTGTGCACCGCCTCGTCCGCCAACCTTTTTTTTTTTTTTTTTAATTTTGATTCATTCTAGTGTTCTGTTCAGTATGGAGCTCTGACCAAACCATCCACAACTTTGTCTGCGCTTTTCGGATCCGTCACCCAATTCGAAGCTCTTCCAATCTAACAGTCGGAAAGAAATGCACCGATTCGTCAACTTGAACTTCACTTTCCTCTCGATTTCTGCTCTATGCGAGCTTCCGATCCCATGCCGCAACCAAGATCGTGCTTTGCACCCTGCTGGAGCGTTTTAAGTTCCACGCTACCCTCTTTTCACTTCTCCATCGCTGCTTTCAATATTTCTGGATCCGAGTGCCTGGCCAGTTCCGTCCGGATCTCCCCTGGATCCACGGATACGCTTAAGATATCGTGTTTCTTGTATATACGCGACGCCAGACCAATGCCGAACAAGACGGCTGCTGTCTTAGATTAACCCGTATGCTACCGTGGGTACGTAACATTTCTCTTCGAGGTCCGTCCAGTTGTGGTTTGCCTTGAAGGCCTTGAAGGCCAGCCGCTCATGTTTAGGTACCTTTTGACCATGACTTCCGCTTCGGGACTTCGCCCTTGCCGCTTTATGCACGCCAAATCAGGCCTGGCTCAGCCTTGATCAAGGCGCACCGCCACAGCTCACTGAGCAGCTCAGTCGGCACCCATCTTCTACCGTTTGACCATCTATGTACCTTGGCTCTTCCTGAGTACACTGAAATGGGTCATCTCCAACGTCCTCCTAATTTCGGTCAACATTACACGAGTGGCACGTCTTCGAGGATAAGGGTCTATGTTGTGAATAGATCGAATAGAATTGTGGCAGTTGGGAGTCCACAGCGAGTTGCCTCCGTGGTCCCCGCGCGGGAATCATATGGGTCTAGGAGATAATCAATCACCAATCAAGCATGCAGCTTCCCAATGGCTTCCCCCTCCCCCTTTTTCACAATCCTCCTGGCGACGCATTTTTATGTCCTTCTCCATGTCCTCATTCAAAGAGTTGCGTCTCACTTTGGTACTTTCTTTCTCACCCACCGGCTCCGCTGAGTTCGTGAAGAGGGCTCCAATGTCTTCTAGTGACATCATCTTGGTCTGTGATTTTGAGAATATCAGCCTCTTGCGACATGCAGTCCATTAAGTGAAAAGCTGGAAAATCTCACCTCGGGGAACTTCCACCAGATCACAAAGATGACAGCCGACGTAGCAACAATGCACACCAGGTAATATTTCCATCCAATATTCGCAAAGCCCGTGGGAGCACCCTGCAGCAATGCTAAAGCCGAAAGGAACAATCCAGATATGGATAGTGACAGTCCCTTGGCTCTGACTGGCGTCGGAAATATTTCGGAAGCATAGATGTACGAGGTAGCATCGATGGTACTGGCGTAGAGTGCTACATGTAAGAATAGAAAGAAGACTGCGGCGCTGGCAGCGCCTCGCCCGCCGTGCTCTTAGAATTGAGAGAGCGTAATGACTTCGCCGACGAGAGCCAGTACACATCCCGACATACCAATTACTAACGACGGTTAGAGATATTCAAAACAGCGAGGCGACCAAGCTTGACGTACTTAGCATTTTCACGCGGCCAACTCTGTCCATAGTCAGAGCATTGAGCCAATTGCCAAAAGGAGAGACGGAAATCCAGCCAGCTTGGATGATAAGCTGCCGAACCGTGTCGAAGCCGAGATTTGCATACAATAAAGGACCATAGTCTAGCCTCACATCAGCCCCACCAAAAGAAAATAACATCTCAAGACGTTGCACATCGGACTCACTGTTGATAATCTGCGTTCCAGTGGTCTGGGCTCCTACCATCATTATGAAACCGATGCCCAGCCGTTGGCGATATTCTGGCAACCTGAACAAATCCCAGGTTGATAGCCGTTGTTGCTTCTCATGCAAAATATGGGAGTGCAGCACAGCAAAATCGGCACGGATGGCGTCTTCGTCATTTAAGAAGCTATCCGAGGTCTCAGCTCGTACCCTTTTGAAGGACAAGTATGCTTCATCGAAGCAGTCGCGATCAAGCACTGCTCAAGTCAATAAACGAAATTTTCTCCCAACCACAAAGAGGAAAATAATACATACGCCATCGTGGTGACTCTGGTAGGAACATGACTCCCATAGCAAGTAAAGTAGGCCAAATCGCCTGGATCGCGAGAGGAAGACGCCATTGAGCCCCGCCGGCCTGGACAAAGTAGAAGCCAACACCCACCCAGCTTGCGGAAGTGTAACCGACGCAGATCATCACTCCATGTATGCCAACCAGCAAGCTACGAATTTTCGGCGGTGCTACCTCACTTTGATAGAGAGGTACTAGAGTGACGAGAGCCCCTAGCCAGGGTAAGGATTCCTGAAAAGAAATAAAAAGTCTCGTGCTGGGAACAACAACACGTATCACACTTACCGATACCTATTCCTGTTATCAAGCGGGCAACGATGTACATGCCAATATGCACGCTGCCTGCCTGCAGTGCTCCCCCGATCGTAGTGACAATGCTCGCTGCAAACAGCGCTTTTCGGCAACCCAGCCAGTCGGCCGATTTCATACAAGATAACGTCCCAAGGAGACCGCCAACCTGAAAGAGTCCATTGGTGGCTCCAATCAAATCGCTGGCATTCGATCGTCTGTCTAGTTCAAAGTAGGTTATGAAGGATGGCTGTCCAAGGGTGGTCGCTATGATGCTGGCACAGTAGCCATAAGTTACGCTGCCTAGGGCAACAAAGATCACAATCCGAAATGTAGCTTTAGTGTCTGAAACCGAAAAGCTCGGCGATTGCTCACCAGCAGTCGAAGTATTGAAGCAGAGAGCATCATCACTGCAGTAGTATTTAGTAAATTCTTGATTGAACTTGATGTTGCTCGGTTGGGAGAGGAGAATCAACAATATATTACACAGAGCTCACCATATTCAAAACGAGTATCCCTTTTACTAGTATTTAGTGCCAATGAAACCCCACCATGATCATTCGGTGTGCCGTCATTTGATGAAACTGCATAGGTCTCTCGACGGGGAGAGAATTGATCCTTGAAACGGCATAGCACGCATAATGTAACTTTAATTGTTTTACCAGTATGGACGAATAATCTTCGGCTCTGCAGAGTTGTACACAGGGTCTGAGCAGCGTAAGGCCATGCCGGCAAACATTACACACTGTCGCTCCCTAGAGTTCGTTAAATGAGATCCGGGGTTGCGGATGCGGGGATTCTTTTATGGATTTTCCTCTGGCCTTGACAAAGGCCGCCTGCGAATGGTCTCTGCATTTGGGTCAAGGTTTGCTTGAGGCCATCCTTCTAACCTGGTGAGGGAATTCGTGGGGGATTACTTCGAAACGCCATTTCCAGTTGCTGGGGAGACATTCTTACCGGCCAGATTCGAAGAGAACAAGAAGCAGATAGTGCTAATTTCGAACTGCATCAGATTAAAAAAAAAAGGAGAAGAAAAATCCCCCGCAGGCAGATTAGCCGTTCCATGTGGACGCAGATTCATTTCCTTTCTGCCGGCAACGTCATTATGACTTGGGGCGAAAAGAAAAGGCTTCGCGATACACAAAATGTGTCCTCTGTTCGGAAGCAGCAATACCGAACGCAAGTACTATGATTTGACCATGCAAAGGCGACTGAATGCGGATTTCCCCTCCGGACATAACCAAATTAAAATGAAATGTCTCTGTTCAACAAACCGGTCCCACATCCACCTCGGAATTCGGTAACCGGCGTTGCATTTACTAGTTGCTGATTCCCCAACCTCAGCCTCAGCCCGAATGCCAGGTCCGTGATAGCTCAACCATTTTGCCATAGAGGTTTCAGTGCGTGGAGAAATTTTGGTTTCGGAGGTTGTGCAAGAGCACCCGAGTTGGCAAAGTCCAAGAATTCCTGTGCATTTATATGCTTCTCGAATGTTCCTCTTCCCGTATAGCGTTCGAAGACGTGGAAGTGATTCGGATTTTCATCGTCGCGGGCTATGGCATATTCCAACGTTCCTGGTTCTGACTCTGTCAAGCGAACCAGAATTCGGAGATATCTCTCAAGGTCATCCGCACGACCATCTTTGGCATAAAGCTGTTTCTATGTTAATAGTGAAGTTAAGCTGCAAGGAAAGAGACCTACGTCTGCATATAGCTCGAATTGGCCTTCGGGAATGGGAAACTCCATGGATGACATGTTGATCCTCGAACTTGATGCACTTCCAAATTTGTCACCGGTTGTAACCTTTATGTGCGAACATCATGCCTCGCTGGTGGGAGAAATTGGACCGGCCCTGAAGCACGGTGGAGTGGCAGGATCTTTTCTTCCGCTCGTGTGGAGTCTGGGATGAAGTCTAGTCCATACTGTACGTTATATACGCAAGCGAGGGCTGAATCCCCCACAATCTTTGCGGAGTTTCTCAATACCACAACAGTAGCTTCTCGATTCTGATTCACGTTCTATGGCACTTTTGCCCCCATGCTCCAAAAATGGCTCCGTCGAGTATGGCGCTTAGTAGGAAATGGTTTCTTTTTATCTTCTTTCCCTATTTTATGAAGTTTCCAGGCTTCTCTTGGTAGCATTTGCTGTTACGGCAACAAACGTGGCCATTTCATCGTCGGTGTCATGTCGACTTTCGGTGTCTCGACACTGGCGCAACGTGCAAAAGCCAATTGGGTAATAACAACCGTTGCTGGACTTGGAATACTTATCCTTGCGCTCTTTCTAGCGAACCCTACCGTATTTCTCGACCGTTATGGTGGCCGTGTACAAAGCAAGGATAGCAAAAGCCGGTATCTGAGTCACGGAGGCCTCAACAATGGGTATTGCTGGACAGATCCTGGTGAGCATGAGCTCGACAATACTAGCGTTTTCGTCATTGTCTAATGCTACTAATTGGGGCGCTGACAAACTGCGAAGCAGGCCAAACCTGTGAAGACGTCAAAATTCATCACGAGACCAACACCGCATTTCTTGGTGAGTTGGCATCCTTTGAGCCACTAACTGCTGACTTCTTTTGACTACAGCTTGCGGAGATCCGGTAGGACGATCTCAATTCTATCCACCGATTAACAATCATTGGTCATCGAAACGAAAGGATTTTCGTGAGTACTTTTTGAAGTACGACATTAAGGTAAGGCAGGCTTTGCGGCTTACGGGCTGACAGCGTGAGGCAACTGCTCATCACATTGTCAAACCAGGGTAACAAGACCACGAGACTGGAAGTAAAAGGTTGGCATGGAGATTTAGTTCTCCACGGGATCGATATTTGGAGGTTCCCAGATGACCCATCCAAGGTACAAAGTATGGCGTTACCACACCAATGGATCTCTAACAACTCCTCTCCCAGATACACTTGTTTGCTATGAACCACGGCCGCAAAGGTGAATCGATTACCATCTTCTCACACAAGCTCGGGACAAACAATCTGGAGTTTGTTAAGGATATTAGTCACCCCCAGCTGAAAACACCAAATGCGGTGACTCCATCTGGTCCTCTGTGAGTTACTCGAATCCAGAAAATGCTGCGTCTGAACACTTGGCGTCTAGTTCATTTTTCAGTACCAATGACCATTATTACTACAACGGCATGTTACGGACACTTGAAGATCAATACGCGCCTTTCCGATGGGCGTCTTACGCGGTTCATTGCGACGGATCTAGCTCAAAGACAACTTGCTGGAAAGTCTCGGATGACCTTCAGTATGGGAATGGCATCCTTTTGACGGAAGAGGGCAAGACCCTTCTCGTCAATGACTTATACGAGGGTACGACAATCATCTACAGTATTGATCCGGCAACAAATGATCTGGTGCTCGAGAGGAAAGTTGTACGTAAAAAAAAAAATAGGGCGGTCTGAACAATTGAGGCATTCCTTGTCACTGACATGACGTAAACAGAGACTTGGAGCAACTCCAGATAATTTGGCCGAAATTCCCACCAATGGGGACATTGTAGTGCCAGGTAAGTCAATGACGAGACCTGAAATTTCCGACCATCGTGAATTACCCAGCTTAAGGCGCCTTTGTGAAATGATTAATGTGCAAGTCATCTTGCTGATGCTTGGCTCAATAGTTTTCCCCAACTTGGTTACCCTTTTCAAACGCGGCTTTGGGCCCGGTGGTCTTGACTACGGTACCCTTTGCGAATCTGCAGTGGTTCGACTGGACAAGGCCAAAGGTTATGCACCAGAATTGCTATTCTGGGATGACGGCTCGCAGTTGAGTATCCTGACCGGGGCCGCGGTAGACCCTTACAACAAGAGACTCATCGCAAGGGGAATGTTTTCCAAGGCGTTTCTTGTCTGTGATATCAGCAACGACAAAACAGGTCTGGTCTTTGGTTGAATACTAGTACCCAGGGGACAGGCAGGGACATAGGATAGATTGTGATGGTTTTATTTGAGAAACGCACTTGCGTGAGTCATGATCTAGGAACGGTATCAATTTCATATAATATAAGTGCTGTCTCGGTTCTCCATCCTCATAGCGGTTGAGCCTTTTTCATCGTGTTGTAAATACGAAAAGATTGTCTGCACGAGATATGAACTTGATGAGCTTCTTGCCACCAATTCTGTAGCTTTGGTGTTGTATTCCTACCCAATCAGCCCCTTCCACAGACCTGCCCCATGACTTTCAATGCTCAAAGGATCTGATGTCGTCTTTTATTCTGGGAAGCCATCCAACGACGAGGAAACCGCTGCTCTACTCAGTATCGAGAAGTTTGCATGTAGGTAGACATCGATACGTACCTATCCACAGGAATATTCTGTTCCAGTCACGTAGCTAGCCATGGGGGAGGACAAAAAAACGATGACATCGGCGATCTGTGAATGTCGGTTCTGCATGGGTCTTCTCCCGAAGTTCTTGCTCGGGAAGTCTTTCTTTTCTTTTTTCTTTTCATTTTCGTTTTCCCACTTTACCTCTCGTGCTTCTCCTATGCGGCCCATCGGACAGACTCGGAGATAGTCGTCCATCCCTCCAGCTGAGCCTGCGCCTGGCATTCGGATCATAAGCGTGTCCGTATATCCCGGCCAGACTGCGTTGACTCGGATGCCCCTTTTGGCGTAATTGGCCCCATCCTTGGAAAATTTCCATGTCAGCTGAATAATTCTTTACGATTAGTTTCCAGACAAGAATCGAAAAGTAGTCCTCATACACTTTTTGTTATGCCGAGGACAGCATGTTTAGCAGCGCAGTAAGATGTAATTTTTTCTCGCAGGTGTGGCCGTAGATAGATGAGAGATTGACAATCGAACCTTTGGAGCCTCTGACATCAACGACTATCCGTTAGTTTCAATGTGTCTCACGTCTCTCGCGTTTCGTCCCAGCACATAAACGCATCAAGAGGGATGGAGAAGACCTTTCATCAGGCTGCTGAGACTCCATCGGCTTCAATTTCTGACGCTGACACATCCAGACGCCGAATAAATTGACATCGATTCCGATCTTGAATTCGGTGACACTCGAATCTGAACTCGGCACCATGGAGCCGGGTGTCCCCGCGTCGTCGACGGCATAGTCGATACGCCCAAAACGCTCGACCGATTCCTGCAACGGAATACTCCATTTAGCCTTGGAGATGTTGCGGCAGTCGACTTGGGAATGGGCTTTTCATCATACCAGAAGCTGCTCCCGTTATGAAAGCGGTGCCGCCGCTGAGCAATGTACTCATAGCCTTGTCGTTAAAATGAGGCCGCCTTCAGGGTTTTCGGTGATCAAAATAGTGCCAGAGGCTTCCTCTTCCTTGTGATCGGTGAGTCTGTATTATTGTTGAATGATCTCCAATATATCTCGACCGAGGCATTATGCGGGGAATTCTTCCTGGCACAGGTGGGGATTGTCGTATGCCCATTATGAGACCACGCTGGAGGAATGGATCATTCATGCCTCGCATAATGGTGCCGAGTCTGTTCGGGCAGCTAGACGCTGTTCAGTGGTCGGCTCTTGCGTTCCAAAGGTACGCAGTTCGAGACATATTAATTAGAAGATCAAGATCTATGAAAGTAATTGGAAGCTTGTGGCTGTTTTACCTGAGTGCTGCTACGAAGAATATTTGTGCTTCTGGCTGCGTTACCATTCCACTGACTCATCATCATTTCTTCGAACCGGCGATTTCTTGAAACTAGCGACAAGGAGGTCACTTTCCATGCTTTCCATGCTTTGAAAGAAGCGCGCTGCTCAATATCCTCAATCTGAGATCCCAAGTTGTCTCCTTCCTCCTCTAGAGCTCCCTTTCTATCAAAGTTTTCCATGTTGATGCTGCGACCGAGTCTTTCATCTAGTTTGTACCTCTCTTGTTCGCTGAGCTGTGAGCGGTCCAGGGCAACTCGATCGCCGAACAGAGCACCGATCTCCTCGAGGCTGAGGCCCTTCGTTTCAGGGAATTTCCAAATGATCAAGGGAAGCATGGCTGATGTGATAACCTTATTCACACCGCGTCAGCAACCCGCACCAAAAAAGAGGCCCGCGGCTGGGATGCAGACGGTGACACACTTACTATGAACACAATATAGTATCGATATCCAATGTTGTTGAACGCCGTCCCCGCTGCAGAAGTATATACTGCGGTCCATCTGTTAGCAGAACCCGTCCTAAGATATTATGCGAAGGGAAGTACCACTTACTGGTGGTCATCACGAACAGGCCTGCGATAGAAAAGCCAACGTCCTTTGCCCTCACACATGTTGGGAATATCTCGCAACAGTAGACGTAGCTAGAGACATCCAAACCGCAGCCGTAGAAAGTCGCAAACAAGAAAATGAGTAGTAAGGCAAAGCCAGAACCAACTTTATTGGTGTTTTCAGGACCTCCGTAATGTGCAATCAAGGCGTTCTCCACTGCCAGGACGAAAACACATCCGATCTTTAGGAAATGTCAGTTACGGTTGCCAACAGGAAAAGATCGACCGTGGTTTACAAGACAAGAAATTATTATTTACTTCCGGCCAAAGCGATCAATGATCATCGAGTTGACCCAATTCAGGGATGCAGCCCATGTGTTGTAGATCGCTAGCAGCATGAGCGAGTCTGCAGGACTCATTCCCAGGTTGCCGAGAATATCTTGAATTTGCTGTCTCCCAAATTCTTCTTCGGTATTCAGGCAATCCTGCCATGTAGTTGAGTGCCTCCTTCGGTTTTCCTGGGATGTTTCCACCGAAATACCAACTATCCCCTTCAACTAACAAGCTCTTTCCACTAACATCATTCACATGTTCCCGCCATTGAATTTCTGCCTCTTTTGTTGGCTCAATCGACCTTAAATTTTCTCTCCGGAGGAATTCCAGACATTCCACGATCCAAGGACCTTGGGTTTCAGTACATGCGGGGCCTGTCGCGAAATCTGTCGGCGCTTGCGGGTCATAGACAAAGAAGAAGTTGGAAATCCGTGGGTGGTCATTCCAAGATATGTGTAGACACCATTGGCCCATTTCTCGCGGATAGATCCGTCCTTGCCACGAATATTGATTTTGGTCATCGACCCGGTGATTGCATCGAACCCGGTGGCGAAAATGACCACATCAAACTTGTGCTCCACACCATCTTTTGTTCGAAAGCCTTCGGCCGTGAACTCCGAGATAGGGTTTCGAGTATTGCTCGCATCAATAGGGTAACATTATCACGGTTGAAACATTCGAAATATCCTTGTTCGAGGCTGACACGTTTGGACCCGAAAGGATGAGGCGGAATTTCTGGTGCCAATATCTTAGCAGTTTCGGGGTTAGTGATTCTCGCGAGCGCCTTCTTCCGCCAGAAGCGATAGGCTGCGGCGTTGACATCCGGGTCTTCCAGAAGATCCAGATAATTTCCAAGCCAGAAGTGTAGGCCACCACGATAAAAGAGTTGTTCCCATGTTTCATTTCGCTCTTCCTCATTGGCGTCTCTCCCCATTGACGGCACAAAGTCGTAGAGGAACCCAGCATAAGTTGAGTCAATTTTTTGCTTCGCGTCTTGAAAGTTCTCCTTCACCCGCTGGTTGTCGGCATTGTTCATATCACTCTGGCCCATCGGAAGAGCCATGTTCGGCGTTCTCTGGAAGACAGTGAGGTTGGAGGCGACTTTGCTGATTGCTTGAACAAGTTGTACTCCGCTGGCGCCCGTTCCAATGACAGCAACACGTTTCCCTTGGAGATCAAGACTACCGTCCATTGGCTACCTTGCTGAATGGGTCTGGACCCCTTGAAAAGTCTCGAGGTTTTAATAAGAGGGGATATATGCTTTGGCCGCAAATCCCGTACCCATGATAATATGTTGTGCACGGTATATTTCTCCAGAATCGCCAATCTCAACGAGCCATGACTTGTCTGAGGGGTCCCAGACCATTGATGTGACGTACGAATTGAAGGATACATCGCCATCCAGATCCCATACTCGACTGATATGGTGGAAATACCGCTGGATCTCATCCCGTCCAGAGTGTCGTTGCGTCCAGTTCCAATCATCCATTGTTGCCTTCTCGGTGAACTGATAAACAGGAATTTCGGTATCCACTCGCGCGCCTGGATAGCAGTTCCAATACCAGGTTCCACCGTAGTCCGAGCCTGTTTCAAATACGCGGACTGAAAATCCTGCCCTCCTCAGATGGTAGAGGTGCCACATTCCGCTGAAGCCGGCACCCACGACGACGACATCGTACGATTTTGCAGGGTGAATGGATCCCATTATGGCAGTTGAGTAGTCATCTAGGGATTAGAGAGGGACATCCTAAACGACCGGTATAACATGTAAATACATAATGCACAGGATGGTTGGCATGGAAGGACGGTGTCAATCTGCACATTAAACTTTATGAAGGTGGTTTTGTCGTCGGCACAAGTTGTCAGAGTCTTGAAGAGTTAGGATTGGTTCGAATTTGAAACCCCACGGGGACCAACATCATCTGGGTAACGCCCCCGCAGTTCTCAAGAAGAAAGGGGAGTTCAGCCTTGCGCTAGCGGGGTTTATCTTGTGCCAGGCCGGCGGAAATTCTCGGCATACTTTCGAGCGGGGAAATTGGAGGAACGAAGGTACGGAGAGATTGCCAAATACTTGGTGAAGGTGATTCTGAAGACTTGTGATGGCTTTGTCAATGCTGCTTCGGTCGGGCGGAGACTTTGCTTTAGGGAGTTATGTAACCTACAAGGTACAGGCCAGGTTGCCTCGCTCAAATCCTGGAAGGATGGAAATGAGTTCCACAGAAAATAGAGTCCTGAAGTACAGACGGAACTAGAGAATTGAAAGCGGATTTGACATCGTGACCAACCTCTCATATCCTTGCCTCATTGCCTTCGGCATGCCATCCTTCGCGGGTTTTCCCAGTTGCCCATCGGTTTGCATGACGAAGACGTGTGTCGAGCCTCCCACTGCTTTGACATGTTCATCACCTTTTCTGAAAATCCCCACTTCGTACATGACACTGGATTTGCCCAACCTCACGATTCGCAGTCCGCATTCGAGCACATCAGGGTAGCTCACTGATCCAAAATAGTCAAAGTAGGTGTTTGCGATGATTCCGGCTTGTGGGTGTTGGTTCACAGTGTATCCGCATTCTTCGATCATGTATTCGTTGATAATGCTATCGGCCAGTACTCCGTAAACGGGGTTGTTCACATGGCTGAAAATATCATTGTCATTCCTATTATCGATGAGCCAGGAAGGAGTCATATGGTACAGATTAACGCATACCCTTACCAACGCAGTCGATAGTCCAGATAGTAGCCGTAGTCGCTACGTTTCCGCAGGCGCTTTGACACCAAGTCGACTCCGAGGGCCATGTCTTTGACTCTGAAGTACGAGTTGAGACAGTAGGACTTTTGGACGGCATTGTGGAAATTCATGGACATCCAAGCTTCGGTCCATCCTACCAAAGCTGTCGACGAATCACTCCGAATCGATCAATTTCCATCTTTCTTTGAGGATGCTCGCCTCAATTATGCGGAAAATTTACTGGCAGGGGCGGTCTCAGCTGTGGCGATAAAACACCTCAGTGAAGAGAACTTATTCTCACCTCGTGAGGTGACCTGGAAAGAGCTGAATGAAAGTGTTCGGAATCTATCAGATGCCATGAGAGCATCAAATGTCGCAGCGGGGGACGTCGTTTGCATTATTGGGGGTAGCTCGCCTCGATCGCTCGCAATCTTCTTGGCTGCAGCATCTGTTGGAGCAATTGTCTCTGCATTCGCCACGGATGCCGGAGAAAGAGTGTTACTGGATAGAATGGGCCAGGTATGCCCCAAAATTGTCTTTGCAGAATCATCATACCAGTACAACGGCAAACGATACAGCATTTCCGGGCGGATCACCAAGGTATTTTCGTCGATTGAGAAAGCACCAGGTGCGGAGGTCATCTGCACCTCTGCGACCGTGCCAAACGGATGGGTGTCCCTGGAAAACTTTCGACAACGGGAGATGGGAAGACGGCTTCACTTCCGGCAGGTTCCCTTCAACCATCCCCTTCTAATCGCCTTCTCTTCAGGCACCACCGGCACCCCGAAAGGCGTAGTCCATTCCCACGGGGGGATGGTCATTAATGGAAAGAAGGAGAGCCTCCTTCACAAAAATTTTGGTCCCGATGACGTCCACTACCATTATGCGGGCATTGGGTGGGTATTGTGGAACATCATGATATCGGCCATGTTTTGCGGCACTACTGTTGTTCTCTATGATGGTTCTCCATTCTATCCCACTCCGGAGACGCAACTAGCAGCAGTGTTTGCTGCTGGAGTGACAGCCTGGGGTGCCGGCCCTCGGTATTTCTCTGAACTTCAAAAAGCCGGAGTCAATCCCAAACCCTACATCAAAAACCTGAAGTGCATCCTGTCTGCTGGGGCAATCCTCACGGAATCTCAATCCAAGTGGCTGAAGGAAGCGTTTGGCCCGGTGTGCCAAATGTCATTTTCCGGTGGTACTGAGCTCTGTGGCAACTTCCTAGCAGGCCATATCGGCATGCCCACGTACGCAGGCGAAATGACGGTCAAAGAGCTTGGGACGGATATCGACGTGCTCACGTTAGATGGCAAGCCTGCCAAACCAGGTGAATGCGGAGAACTCGTGTGCAAAAAGCCATTCCCCAATATGCCCATCACTTTTTGGAATGACCCCGGTAGGAAGAGATATACCGCGTCATACATTTCAACCTTCCCAGGGGTCTGGAGGCATGGGGACTTTATCAGGACGAACCCAGAAACCAACGGATGGGTGATACTAGGTCGCAGCGACGGCGTGCTCAATCCGTCCGGTGTCCGCTTCGGCAGCGGAGAGATATATTCCATCATCGAGCAGAAGTTCGGTGACAGGGTTGCGGATTCAATCTGCGTAGGTCAGCAGAGAGCTCGAGACGAAAGTGAACGTGTGTTTTTGTTCATCAAAACGGCGACCGAATTGAATATTGCATCCTTGGAGAGAGAAATCCGAGCACAAATTGCGAGGGATCTGAGTCGTCGCCATGTACCTCAGTTTGTGTTTTCGGTGCAGGAGATACCCTATAATGCCAACAACAAGAAGCTCGAGATACCATTGAAGAAGATTCTCTCTGAAGGGAGCACGGGGATGGCAAAGTTGACGTGCCCTGTCGAAGAAAAATCGGTGTTGATGCAATATCTACCATTTTACGAGGTCGAAAAGTTGGTGACGAAGAAGACGTCCTCATTGAGCGCTAGGCTTTAGAATATAATATCACATTTCAATCGCCACGGACTTGGGCAGATAGTAATGGTCTTCCTTGGTGGTCAGGCTGAAAGTCCCAATCGGCAGGGAGCGCCCGGTCAAGTTGTGGGTAAGTAGCATAAGAGAGCTTCAATTCCTTGAACTCCCTGGTACCGCTTCATGCGTCGAAACGTGTTTCAGTCTTGACTATTCACATCGAAAATATTCCATTATGCTTCGGCACCGAACTGTGATTCTGTGATCTCCGGGCGGGGAAATCAAAGCTTCGGAAGGGCGCAACAAACTGATGGCGGTTGAGGTATAACCCCACCCACGAAGGCCAGAATCCCGGACATCCCTGATTTCCGTCTCTCCTCGATCTGCAAGGTCTTTAAAAGCTTGACAATCCCGACGAGAACAACCGAGCATTGACTGAGACTCGAGTAGTAACAACCACAATGGATTTTCTCGAGCATTCGAATCTCCGCCTCCACCGTGTAAGGGCTGCGACACAGCCTTTCCAGAACCGCATATTATGCTCGCAACAATCAACCGTCCCCATCAGCTTAATTCAATCCCGTACGCCCTTCATTGGCAAATGGACGCTTTGTTCAAGTGGTTTGATAACGAACCGTCATTACGTGTCGCCATTGTCACGGGCGCTGGAAACCGAGCCTTTTGCGTTGGCTCGGATTTGATCGAGATGCAGCGCGCCAAGAAGTCTGGCGACGACTCGTGGAAAGCTGAGCCATATAAGTACAGTCACCCAAGCTCTGGATTCGCGGGGCTCAGCAGAAGAGAAGGGGAAAAGCCGATTATGGCTGCGGTCAATGGCTACGCATTAGGTGGAGGATGGGAAATGAATTGGTGTGTGTATTTCCACGGCCCACGCCAAACCAAGAATAGGATATCCCTAATACGTGAGTAGTGATGTAGTTATTGCCACTCCAAGCGCGCAGTTTGGTCTCCCAGAGGCCAAGGTCGGACTTTATGCCTATGACGGGGGTCTTCCTCGCCTGATTCGCACTGCAGGGCTTCACGTCGCCAGTGAGATCGCCCTCAGCGGACGATCTATCACTGCAAAAGAAGCGTTGCAGTATAAACTAATCAATCGCATTTCAAACAGACCAGAGACTCTTATCGACGAGGCGATCAATATCGCCCGAGACATTGCCGCGATATCACCAGACGCTATGATCATCACCAGGTCGGCCCTGAGAGAAGCCTGGGAAACGTCAAAGCGTTGAAAGAGCATTTCAAAACACCCATGAGAGGTTCTACGAGAAGCTCATGGCAGGCGAAAACTCTAGCGAAGGATTGGCTGCGTTCAAAGAGAAGAGACCACCAAAGTGGATGGACTCAAAACTATAGTCTCACAACGTTACACGCTTCATGATACTAGTATCTATGCTGAATTGAAAGTGCCCTCTGCTAACACATTGTCGGGAACGTATTTTACCTCCCGTCGAGACAATCCCTTTTGATTTCCCCCGCTGATCTCATAAAACCCCCGCAACGAATATTTGAAGAAAACTGCACGTCAATATCCTGATCGCTGGTCGTTGCTCCAAATTATTGCGATCAATGAAGTTTACCGCACAGGTACGATCACAGCCGATAGTAGGGGTTAATAAGGCAAGCCATGTCGTTCTCAGTCCTTGGAAAGAATGCTATTGTGACAGGTGCAAGCTCTGGTATATGAAATGCGCCTTCAAGTCCCCTGATATCCAATTGTTCTGATTACTAATGGAATGGGGTAGGCATCAACCTGGCTTTTGCGAAACTACTCGCTGATAAAGGGGCACATGTTTTTGTCGCCGATGTCCAGGAGACTCCCGCCTTCCAGAACTTCCAACAGGAGACCAAATCGACCAGCGTCTTATTTCAGAAGACAGACGTGTCAAATTGGAAGGACTTGGAGAAACTATTTACTTTCACAAAGTCCGAGTTGGGAACGATTGACCTGCTCTGTAATGGGGCAGGTGTTTTTGAACCGGTTCGATATTGTCAACCTTCCAAGTGAAAAAAAAAAAAAAAATCCTAATGTCTGTTGGCACAGGACTGGTCAAACTTTTGGAACGACACAGAAACCGAGAGTTACAAATCGTTCGATATCAATGTGCAAGGTCTCGTCAAAGGAACGAGGATGGCCATTCGGGATCAGATCACCAGATCCAGAGGCAGAACGTCCAGTGAGACCGTGGGGGTCATTCTCAACATCTCCTCGCTGGCCGCTCAATATGCTCTTTTTAACCAGCCACTATATTGTACTTCAAAGGCGGCCGTGTCCGCGTTCACCAGATCAATGGCACCTCTCCACCCAGAGTTCGGAATCAAGGTCGTTGCAGTCGCGCCAGGGATGGTCTCGACGCCTTTGTGGTTCGACCACCCAGACAAAATGAAAGCTATTTCCGAGGCAGATGTTCTTGCAACGCCGGAAGAGGTTGCGGAGGCCATGCTCATGGTCGTGGAGAACGCTGAGTATGAAGGAGGTACAGTCTTGGAGAAGCTCAAGAACACGACCAGGAGGGTGTTGGTCGATAGTCCGCTGCCGTCGGGGCCTGGTTCCACAATGAGTAAGATGGATCTGATCTACGAGGACACCATTGCTCTATTGGAGGCTGAGAGGAAGGGATCTGCTGCCAAATAGATGTATAATTGCCAAGAAGCGCCGATACCTAAGATCAGAATCCAGGAATCGATACTGATGAATGCTATGTGGATCAAATTTCACTTGACAAGGTAAAAAGGTGCTTGTGACGGTAATATATTACTATGACTGAAACATATTGGCATCGTGCTGTTGGGTGGCCTCCTGTTCCTCGCGTTGCAAGAGGCGGACGAAGATTTCCGATACATTAGATGCCATTTTCCATACTTTAAGCCTTTGAGTCATATCCACGCTAAGGTGAAGAACTCGGCTGGGCGCTTCAGGATCCTGGACATCACCCACACCTTCTGGGAAAGTCTTGCCGCCGTTCTTAATCCAGTTTTCGACAGCCTGCCTGGCACGTTGAGAACTACAGAAGGATGGCTCGTCCAGTTGAATCGAAGGTCCAACGCGCATGGATGCTTGATGAGGACAAAAGTATTTGCAGCACGCCCAGAGCACGATTCCCGCAAGAATATCGAGAGGGGTTCGAGGGTGACGCCGTTGAAGGTAACACACTTGCGAGGCATGCCACATGATCTTCCTGATGGTTTCAGGCTCTTCACCGAACGCGGCTATTGTCGCGGCTTCGTCCACGGATGCGGCTTTATCGGTAGAACTCGACACGAACCCTGTGCTATTGGACATTCTCGGCAAGTCGAATGCGGAAGCCCGTTTGCGTGCGACGCGAGTGACCAGGTCAGCGGTTTTTCCCGCCACAAATAATGCCCGGCGATACCAATGCGAAGGGCGTGGCGCAGGGTATATCGACGTGGATGATCAGCCCAGCTGAATTCATACACCGACATAATGGCTTTCGAAAGTTGGGACCGAACGGCCCGATTAACTTCCCACCCTTTGCTGTCCCGCCAGAGGATATGATATACGCCCGAGTCCATCTGTTCTTGGCAAGCATGCAGTTGCTGGCCAAGGCAGCGGATCAACAATCGTTTTCCGACGTTATCAAGTTGACTGATGATTGATGGAGTAGCTTTCTCTAGGAAATCACCGATTGTTTGCATGGTCGGAGGTCCCCGCGGAGCAGTCTGAAACGGGCAAGCCGCCCAAGAAAATGCCGTTGGTGCATCCCAGTGTAATTGTTCGCAGGGAAACTCCAGCGGCAATTCTTCAAGCTTGGTGCACGGGTATTGTTTTGAGAAGGCCGAATACAGACAGTCGAATTCCTGTAGTTGGGAGTTTGGTCAGCGCTGTCCGAGAGAATGACTAGGTCAAGACAGCAATCAACTTGGTTTTTACTGAGTAGACTCACAAATAAAAAAACCACACCAGTCTTTTCACTTGCTCTTGCCTCACCTACTCCAGCCAGCTTTGAAATGTGTCTCGATTCGATGAATCTGCATCGGTACGTGAAGCACGTAGCCCCGCGCAGTTCATTTGCCGCCCTATACTGATGAGGCGCGAACGAGAGGCGTCGGTCATCTCAAAAAGGCGTCTCGAGCCGGACCCCATGGCATGTAGGTGTTGTAGGAGGAGTGATACTCCATAGGATGGGGACCGCAAGAATCACGGATCATGCTCGCCCTAAATCACGTTGAGCTAGTCATCGCTGCAGAGCGTGCGGCAGAAGAGAGCTGACCATCCAAGCAGACGTCCGCCTGCATAGCTCGGCGAGTGTGTCGGCAAACTCAATAGACCGGTCGAGGCCAGAATAGCATGCCCCGATCTACGGACATTTATCAGACTTGATATCCTCAAATCTCAACAACAGACACTGGAGAAGAGAGAAACCCACACAGGCCATTGTCAGCACCAGAATCGTGGGTGCGTCGGAGACTTTGAATGTCGGCCTGTGGATTATGGGCCAGAGCTATCAGAAATGTATCAGCAAGGGAAGAGAGGGCATTTATATGGGCTGCTTTTCAACCCACTTCATGAAAATGGAGAAAGTATAAATCCGTGAAGTGGTGAAGAATGTCGGGACCGGGGAGTGAACGGAGCAAGTCGGCGTCTTCGTGCCATGGTACCCGTACAAGTGGTAGACTTAGAAGCTGAATAATGCTCGAACGTTTTTCATCATCCAGTATGCCAAACGTACCGAGGGGTTGGAAATTCTTCCGTGGAGAACTCGTGCCACTCGGGCCGTGGTAAGTTTTGGCGTTTCTGAGATCCTCTGGGTTCAGAACGGGAAAAGCGATTCTTCCTTCTTCCCTTCCGGCTTGATATTCGTATGGCCAAGTATTGGTGTTTGTTTCCAGCGAGACAGAATCTAGAGCTTCCTCTGAAGGAGAGCCTGTGCTGGGATCCTGTGACGCGGGTGGAGTGGGCAATGTCGAAGTGTCAACATTCGGAAATGATGTTACTGAATCCCCTTTGTCCAGTGAAAGCTCGGCTTCCGTCATCGTCTCTTCTACGCCATGGTTCATGGCCTTAGAATTGTCTGGTGGGGTCTGCTGGATCCTGGTCGCCTTGAGCGGATCTTCTAGGCCTTGCATTGGAAATCTAGGAATATTTAGGTCTGGCGGCATGCTGTAGGCAATCGCTGAATTTTTCGAGTTCATCCAACCGAGAAGCGAGATATTACCGTCCAAGTCTACCTTCCATGTAAGCTGATGGCTGGAGGCAGGACGAAAGAGAGGATCATCGACTGGTTTCCTTACCGTTAAAAGGGTATGAACTATTGTCAAATAAAGGCGGGATTCCCGCATACGTATTCAGCAGGTCCGAATCCGAATGAAAAGTATGGGAAAAGTTCAGCCGACTATTGCTGCGGTCAGAGGTTGGAGCTAAGCCGACAGCATTGTGCAGTTCAGATGTTGTTGCGTTCAAAAGCATTTCCCATTGCGTATCAAGAGCATCGCCGGTGGATTGGGAAGGTAATTCAGAGTCGGCTTCGGCAATAATTTGATTGCGCTCTGATGCAATTCTGTCTTCATGGGAGTCGTTGCTTGGCTGAGCTGCGGAATCAGCAGACCTTCCAGAGTCAGCTATTGGGAGATGTAGAAGCAGTGTAGTGGATACGGCTTATTGGCCGCTTGTTTTGAAGTCTTCGTTGGTCGGCCCTTCGGTCGTGGCTCGCAACGAATTCCATGCAGAACGCGGTAATGCCGTACAAGCACATCCCTTGGGGTGTCAGTTTTAACAAAAAATAACCGCCGCAACTTTGACAAACCTCCTGGAAAATTTCCTACCACATTCGGTGCACGCAGAGTCGAAGATACCACGTTCCGAATGAGCGGTTAGGCGATGCCGTTCGAGGTGATCTTGTCGAGATAGGACCTGGCCGCATTCTTCACAAGTATAGGAGGACTTGCTCTTCAAATTCCTTGAAGGGGTGGGCGTGTTGACACAAGATTAGGGTAATGTCACTTTTCGTTCTTTGTGGAATTTCGAGCCATGTCGTTATGAATGCAGGGGGAGGCCAGCGGGGTTTTATGGGGGGGATTTAAAAGGTCCCGTGGGGAGGCTTCTCTTGGCTTCTCCAGATTTTCTTTCTTTACGCGGGAGCCCCGCACGCGTTCGTTACCATTGTGCATCACGAGCACCCGTTAGCCAACTAATAGGGACAAGATGAACCTCTGGCATGTCATTCGAGAAGCTTGCCGCTCACGGCGTCACGACAGGATTAGATAGAGCGGTCATCCCATTTGCTTTGCTCTCTCAGTACCGTGGTAAATCAGGTCTCCTAGATATCAAGAGCATCAGCCTCCCCCCGACCTCCAAAGGCAGCACACACGGCCACATGTCAGGGATGGATGCCTAACAGATTGAGGACCCAGATGAGGCGATAAAATGGGTTGACGATCGCGTTGCCGAGGGGTCAGACTACATCAGGAGCGTAGCGGATGGGCCCCATCCATCGCAGGCAATGCTCAACTTGCACGTTGCGGCGTCGCGTGTAAAAGGGAAACTCGTTGTCGCACATGCGGCGCGATCACACAGGCTCCGCGCAATACTCCACTTATTATGCGAGTAAACGACCAGAATTTTGTTCCGACGTTTCTCATCTGTGAGGCACTGCCCAAGGCGGTTGGCCGAGGCCTGGATTTTGGATATGTGAAGGAATCTATGGCAGTTATGTACACTGCAGGGATTTCGATGCTAGCTGGGACCAACTCAAGATGTCAATCCAATGTGTCCGATTCCACATCGTAACAGCCTTCATCACCAACTGGGGTTGTTGGTAGATGAGGCAGGACTTGTCACATCTCGACGTATTGCGGGTGGCGACCGTGGGTGCCCACCCGATATTTTGGTCCGAATGACCGCGGGCCCATTGAAGAGGGCTTGAGAGAACCCGCATCGAGTTAGGGCCAGAGAATGTTGGCAGTCACATCTGGAGAAACTAATATATGAAGCACAATCACTTTGGTGATCTACGGTGATGGCAGAACAATGCTAGATTTTCTGTAGACGTCATCAAAAGTAATGAGACGAGGGACATTTCTGATGCAAATGCTCCGCCGTACGCCAGGAATTCAACTAAGGCCGCGGCGCGTCGTGAGGATGCACGCCTCGGGTCTGCTAGTTCTCTTAATTTCTCCGAACTGGATTATGGCCTTGAGCGTTAATGATCTCAATAGCGACGCAAATTTGACCATTGACAATGTCAGACTATGAAGATGAGATGGACTTGGATGGACCCTCGTCCAAAGACAAGTCAATCCTATTCAGTCCAGACAACACAGCTGGAAAGCAGAAGCGAATAGCGGCAGACTTGCCAGTGGAGGCAGGGGACAACCTACCATGGTAAGATACTCCCGGTTTGTTCCTCGGAGAGTGCTGATGTCCTCAGGGTTGAGAAATACCGGCCAAACACACTTGAAGACGTTTCCGGTCATCAAGATATCCTCGCAACTATTAACAGATTCGTGGAACATAACAGACTTCCCAATCTTCTCCTGTACGGACCTCCGGGCACAGGTAAAACGTCGACGATTCTTGCATTGGCGCGGCAAATATATGGAGTAAAGAATATGCAACAGATGGTGTTGGAACTTAACGCGTCAGATGATCGTGGGATTGACGTTGTGAGAGAACAAATCAAGACTTTTGCCTCTACAAGACAAATTTTCAGTGTTTCGACGCAGCAAACCACCTCAGCGGCCAAATTCGGCCTCGGAGCCTTCAAACTGATTATTCTTGATGAGGCCGACGCGATGACATCCGCGGCCCAGATGGCCCTTCGAAGAATCATGGAAAAGTACATCGCCAACACCCGGTTCTGCATCATCGCAAACTACACACATAAACTGTCTCCGGCGTTGTTGTCACGATGTACGAGATTTCGCTTTTCTCCTCTGAAAGAGGCCGATATCCGTCGACTGGTGGACCGTGTAGTAGCAGAGGAACATGTCAACATTACCCCCGAAGCAATCGATTCTCTGGTTAAACTGTCCAAGGGAGACATGCGTCGCGCTTTGAATGTTCTTCAAGCTTGTTATGCAGGTTCCAGGCCACTTCCCATGCGAGGCGAGGCACCAATTAAAGAATCCGACATCAAGCACGAGTTGATCACAAACGACACAATCTACCACTGTGTTGCCGAGCCCCACTCCGAAGATATTCGATTGATCATGACGACCATGTTGAGTACGCCAGATGTAACGAGCTGTCTCAATACGATCAATTCTTTGAAGAGCACTCGTGGTCTTGCACTGGCAGATATACTGACAGCGTTGGCTGAAGAGCTGCAGACTCTCGAAGTCAGTCCCGCTACGAGGGTGACATGGCTGCAAGGTCTGGCCGAAATTGAATATCGACTGGCTGGAGGGGGTAGTGAAGGTGTACAAACAGGCGGGATGGTCGGTGTGGTAAGGACTGGATGTGAGTTGATGGGAGAGAAAGGAATTGGAGAGAAGATGAGCGTTGATGGATGAACGAAAGTGGTATAATCTATCACAATGATGAACACACGACCAGGGCGCAGTTCAGAAGAAAGGCCGCAACGCTCTAACGAAGCTGACCATTATGAAGGCTAAGATGAAGAAAAAGCATGGGCCAAGCAAGACCAGCATGCGACAATGGAAAATGATATGGAATACGTGCTCCGAGCTCGAACCGGGTTATCCTCAACCTCGGCGTCGATTTACCACGTGTAGGAATGGACAAAAGGTCGAGAAGACTTTTGGCATGCAGAACCGGGGGGGAAAATCGTGGTAACAAGAAGAGAGAGGCTAGCTCCGATACCTCCATATCAAGCCTGACAGAGTTGATATCTCAGAGTTGCGTTTTGATATCAAACTACGTCTCGACATCATCTGCTTTTCTGTAATGAGGCTGCCAAGACTGCATTTTCTGGGCATGGAGATGAATTTTCCGGTTTCCCTTCTTGTGGCCTCGGGACCAACCTAGTTTTTCCCAACCTCCATTCACGTACAGCAGACACACAGCTCTTTGGACTTTCCTTCCCTCGCTGACAAGTGATCGCTGTAAAATTATCGAAAGTTTTGTCTTTGTTTTGTTCGAAACGATGGTGGCAGGAAGTTGAGGTGCCTGGCCTTGACGCATCAATCTAAGCCGTCAGCAGGACATCTCCGACCACAACCTCCAAAGACATCGCGCCCGTCTCGTCCTGGACATCCTCGACTGTCAGCCATACACTGGAATTTGTAGTCTCGCCGTCGGTTGCATTTCCCGAGTCTCAACAATTGAAGAACCTCATCTGCTACCGGATTCCTTCAGCCGGCGTGCAAACCCTCGTCGGATCACTTACCCATCACATCTCCGGGCGTTCCTTGACCGATCATCCACATATGACCATCACCATGCCAGTACTCTTATCACACGATACAGGATTCCAGCGGGGGAAAGAGTGAGCTTTGGGTGACATCTAACAGACAGACACCTTGACCATCGACCTATCTATCACGGGTGAACAGTGCGCCGACGCTGAAGGTTGAATTGAGCGTTGGAGCCTGATCATGGATTGGTTAACCTACTAATCTGTTTCATCTCTTACTCAATTGCTGACTGACCTTCCAGTCTGGCATTTCTACTCTACGTTGCCATATGGACAGACATCACCAATTTTGTATGGCAAAGTCTGATTCATACCGGCATACAAAGTTGCAGTGATACAGTGGGAAAGCGTTCACGTTGTGGACCAAGGGACAGCCATGGCCCAGTTAGTCCTCGACTACGATAGGCCACGGCATGGAATCGATGGCCAGGAGGATGGCGATGGATTGCACGTAGATAGCTTGTCGTGTCTAACTCTCTGCGACACTTGGGACCAGTGACTGCTTCACGGCGGTGGGCCACCGAGAGCAGGCATTTTCCACTGACTGTTGAGGGACCATCTGACAGCAGAAGGCTCACAACAACCCAACCGCCACGACTTGTAGTACTAGATCTTCTTTCACCCATCAACAACCGCCGGAATGAATCCGGAGTTGATGGCGAGAAAAGAACAGGCACAAGCGAGAGCAGAGATGGGGGGCGACAGGACAGAGACTCGGACTGGGGTTGGGACTGGGGACTTGAAGGTGAGTCGCAAATCAGTGGAAGGCGCCAAGGCGCTCAGGGCCCCATGCAAAACTCAAGCCCGGGCTTGCCCACTGAACTTGGACTTTGCAGACTGCGCTGGATTCGCCCAAGACCAAGCACGATCACCATCATCGTCCTCCCACCACCTTCTCATTCCCTCCCGACGGCGTCGCAAATGCCTCCCCGGGTTACATGGCGAGGTCTCGACAGAGTCCATCAATGAAGCATCGTCGGCGAGCTGAAGAGGATCCGCGCGAGAGACATCCACCCCGGCCCTGGGAGAGAAACCGGGAGCGTCCTGCACCACGGCCTCATTCACCTCCCCCTGCACCTCACGGAGAGTCTTTTGGTGCTTACCGAGAGCGAGATCAGGTTGAACGGAGTCGGCGCCACCCGCATAAGAAGTGGCATCAGTCTCGCGACTTCAAGAGGCTGCATGGTAGAAAGTCTTCCCTTTCGCCTTCTCGGCCCTCTAAACCAAAGCACCCACACACATCACGTCCACGACCATTTGATAACCGACCTGGCCGACATCGAAACTATTCACCCGACCGTTTACCCAAGCGGAGACGTACTCAGAGTCCTTCTCCCGTGGGCAGTGACCGATTTGGCCCCGAGGGTCAAGGACCAGGTCGCCGCGGAGATTGGTTTGATATCAGTGATAGACCGCCACCTAACCCTCGACCTCGTTCACCCGCCCGAGAATTTGCTTCTGGATCTGTTCCCCGGTCCCGAGCCTCAGATATTGAGGTTGACCCACCTGCTGGTTACGAGGAGCCTATTCTTCACAGACGCGATAGACGCTCCGCATCCCCACCTCGCCGTGCCGAATCCAAACATTCATCAGTTGATACTCGAGAATCGTCGGTGAATTCAATTCGACCGCCTGAACGTCCTTCTCGGGGTCGGGGTCAGCGTTTTGCCAAGAAAGGTCACCCTATCTCAAGAACCCCATCCGTGGTCGATGAGACAGACAATCGCTCCATGGATGGTCAATATCCTACGCGCGGGAATTATGGAATGCATAGAGGGCAACAGAGATCGTTCGTTGATACGAGACAACCATTTGGAGGCTCGTCTCCTTACTCAACCACACCGAATAGCTCATATCATGGTTCGCCGCAAGCAAACTCACCTTATCACAATCAGAGGGGTGGTTGGGGAGGATCTCAGCATCCACACAGGTATGTTTGGGACAACGATCATCGGATTCCATCTCTAATCAATTTCCAGTTCAATGCCAAACTCCTCTCCACCGTATCGCCCAAACGGTTATTCCGGCCCTTCTGGGATGAACAATCCTAATCCATATTACCCGAATCAGCAACAGTATCATGGAGGCAATCAACAAGGATATCAGCAGTCCTCATATCGAGGCGGCCGCGGCTCACATCGGGGTGGACATTATTCTCAACAAGGACAACCAGATCAGAGATTCAACCATCCGCGGCCTCGAGGGAGAGGGGGGCATTTCAATAACCTACAATGGACCGCGCCTGGTTCGAAACGAGGTGGATCACAAAACCCAAACTTTGAAAGCGGTCATGTCAACCAACCACAGACATCTCCGGCTCCTTCACAAACGGCCTCACAAGAGGGTCGAGAAGGTCCAACCGAAGAAGAACATCCTTTCAGACCAACCAAAGAGGCCCCAGTGGAGGATCAGCGAGAGAATAAATTCAACAGAGGTCCAAATTCACAGGGTAATGATCAACCGGGAACAGCTGCTTCGAAATTCAGCTTTGCCTTCAAATCCAAAGCTCCAGCTAAACCTCCTCCAGATTTTTCAACCAAGTCGAAAGGACCATTCCATCCTCCAGAAAATCGACCTCCGTATCCGAAGAACAAACATTTTGATCGACGAGATGAGAGACCAGGGCCTCGACCTCCTCATGAACGAAAGTTTCCACCACACTATGATCGAAAACATCCGAATGACCGCCACCAATTTCCAAATGAACGCCGACCTGACCGATCCCGTTCTCCACCGTCAAAGAAAGTCAAAAAGGAAGTCAAATCTCGGCCTACATTGCCTCCCGAATTTGCAGAATCCGAATCAATATATTACCGCAAACCGGGTAACGAGTCGGTTGTGGGGGCAGGCACCTATGGAAAAGTATTCAAAGCCATTCATATCTACACCAGAGACAAAGTGGCACTAAAGAAGATTCGCATGGAAGGTGAACGAGATGGATTCCCCATAACAGCGGTCCGTGAGATCCGATTATTGCAACATCTCCGACATAAACATGTGGTGGCATTACAGGAAGTCATGGTGGAAAAGAACGAATGTTTCATGGTCTTTGAGTATCTATCACACGATTTGACAGGGCTCATTAATCATCCAACATTCAAGCTCACGCCTGCGCACAAAAAGGATCTGGCGAAACAAATGTTTGAGGGGTTAGATTACCTCCATCGACGCGGCGTTCTCCATCGAGACATCAAGGCGGCAAACATCTTGATCTCCAACACGGGTCAATTGAAGTACGCCGATTTCGGTCTCGCACGATTCTACACCAAGTCTCGTCAACTCGACTACACTAATCGGGTCATTACAATCTGGTATCGTCCCCCCGAACTGCTCCTAGGCGAAACTCAATATGGTCCCGAGGTGGACGTCTGGTCTGCAGCCTGTGTCTTTGTGGAAATGTTTACAAAAAAGGCCGTCTTTCCTGGTGAAGGTGGCGAACTTAGTCAACTCGAAAAGGTCTACAACGTTCTGGGAACGCCGACGCGAGCAGAATGGCCCGGAATTGTGGATCTACCTTGGTTTGAACTCATGCAACCCGTTGACCGACGGAAACGAGTCTTTGAGGCCATGTTCAAAGACGTCTTCACTCCCGCCGGACTGGAACTTGTCCAGTGGATGTTCAAGTACGATCCGAAGAAACGGCCAACCGCGGAAGAGGTGTTGAAACACGGGTACTTTACCGGAGAAGAACCTCTCCCTCGCCAAGCGGTGGAACTGGCAAATATTGAGGGTGATTGGCATGAATTCGAAAGCAAAGCGCACCGACGAGAGAATGACAAGCGCGAAAAGGAAAGGAAGAAAGAGGAGTACATGCGGGAGAAGGAAAAGAGGAAAGCCCGCGAGGCCGGCCTACCCGAATCTGAAGGCACGGACAAGAAAACCAAGCTCGATGAAGAACTGTCTCCCAAAACAGGGGTGCCGCCACTGCCCTCGAACAACGACGGTGCTCGTTCCGGGGATCATGTGGCCGAACCGTCGGCGGATGAGATAAAAGATGATGACAATAAGGAGGAGTCAGAGGGTGAGGGCAGTGCTCGCATGAGCATGTCGTAACAAAAAGCATACCAAGCCCTCAACGGGTCATTCATGAGCGGCTTGATGTTGGGGTCTATTTTGAGATATTTGAATCATTGCATTATATCATAGCAGCAGCAGCAGCAACGTAAAGTTGCTTGTTGCATTGAGCTCGGCTCAATCTCTCTTCCACTTCTGATTCTGATACAAAAGCGTCCAGGAAGATAAAACCTCGACGGGCTCTTTTTTTTGGGCGGCGGATGTGAAAATACCAGCGACTGGGCGGGGAGCTGCATGTGTGATAACATACAATGAATCTTTATCTAATGGATTTTATTCTCTCCCGATCACTATTGACTGTTTCGACTCAATTTTGTTCCCATACGGCATGCTCGACGTCTACAAGGGCGTCTATCGTACCCTGATCGCTACGGTGCTTGCATCGGCCGGTAGTGCGAGCAGGTCATCAGTCATCGCTAATAGAGCGACCGCCCCAGACGTCGCAGAGGACTAGTGTGCATATGTGATTCACGTCCCAGGCGAGAGCGTTAAGCCCGGTGGATTTGGGAAAGGATTTGAGGAAAGGGATTTGATCGGATAGCCCGACGTAAGGCTAGGATGCGTAGTGCGGTTCTTCTATAGAATCTCGGCCGATGCTTATTCTCCTTCACACGTCATATTATGGCGTCCTACACATTTTTGAGATTTAACTCCTGTACCACTGGATGAAGTTGGAGCTAACAGGGTGAAATGCTCGAGAAACACCTAGGGAAAAAGAATGTTCCAAGAACTCTCAAATGGTGAGGCCGCTGGCCCCAAACGATGAAGCAGGATCTACACCTTCGCTTGTTATGTCCACCGGCACTGGAGGAACTGTAGCTCCCACTCGAGATCGTCCTCGCTTTGAAGATTGACTTTGCGGTTGCTCTGCTCTTCGTTTGTTTTGGTAGCTTCTTGCCTGTTGTTGAGCCAGGAGTTGCTCCCTCTCCGACACTTTCTGAAATGTGTTCTTCAAAATACCATAGAGTTCGCTTTTTGCGTAGTCGAGTAAGACGCCTTTAACAAGTTGACAAGCTTGGTCTCTGGTGTATTCGGTCAGAGATGTTATATCGTCGAAATAGAAACGCAGGGAGTTGTCGCTCTCCGGCGCGGCGCGATGCACGCGTAATTTGATCTCCCTTGCATTAAGATCGATGGAGAAGACCCGAACATTTTCCCAAAAGATGTCGTTCAAGTCGACCAAGGACATCCACTGAAAGATATTGTAGAGAGCTTGGCTGGCGCTATGAAGATTTGCTCGGAAAGCTGATTCGAGATTGTCAGCGCTGCGCTTGACCTCCATGAAAAGAAAAGGAAAGCATCTTTCCGGTCCGCCATCCGGGCGCAAGGACCCGGCCATCTCTTTAGGGTACGGAGCCCAGATATTGGGTCCGGTAAGGGCCTCCAGTTTGAAGAAGACAGCCAGGTCGGGTTTTGGCAGGGTAACATGTTCCATCCTTCCCGTGACAGGCAAGCGATACCTTTGGTCTAACCTCCATTGCCCTTCACAGTTAAATGAGAACAAGTCGTGAATATAACATCGGTCAATGATGGAAAGCATGATGGTCCGTTGCAGGACTGCTTCGTTCGCCGACATACTGTATCTGATGTCCATTCCGAATTCTCGATTGGTCATCAAAGCAAGACGATGGTCCGATTGCCATTCATGGAATTTGTCTTTGAATTTTTCGATGACAGCGGAAGAGTCCTTATTCGGACGCGACTTCTCGCACTCTCCGAGGATTTCCTTCAGAAAACCCACGAATTCCGGAATCTCTCGGAATGGCAATTTGCTTGGTCCGGGCACGAGTTTCGATTTTAGGTCCTTCGACTTCTCGTCTTCGGTGGCAGTTTTAAAGATGCGCCTGAGTCGAAGCTTCTCCCAACTCAGCGCCCTGTCTCTTTTGTCAAAGTCTCTCACCGTACTGGAATCATCAGCGGTAGTCGTGGAAACTCTAGAAAGAGAGCTTGACGATTCCATGCTTTCTCCGCGTGGATCGGAATGACCGATGAGAGGAAGGTCGTATCTGAAGGATGCTTGTGCTTGGTCAAGCGGCGCAGGATTCAGGTGACCTAGCCACTCCGAGACCGCTGAATCCTGGCCAGTGTTAGTGTGGTCATTGCGAGGGACTCTTGGTACCCTGCGCACTCACCGTTTTCCCTCGAATACCGCGACGACCCTGTTCTGCACGTCTGCTGTTAGCCGTCCCCAGTTGCTCTCGCACTCCTATACTCGCTCCTTTCCTGTCGCAAAGATGTCCTGGGCCACCAGCAGAATGTAGTTATGCTGTTTGGTGAACCACTTCTGAAACTCCCGCCTAGGCTGACCCGCTGCTCCGTCGTGGAGTGAGTGGCTTACTTTGGGCGCGTGTACTGGGTGTACACAGTGTCTCTCCGGGTTCTTTTTGTAACTTCTCTTTTCGGACAAAAGCTCGAGTACGTGGTCTCTTCGGGGAAGCTGGTGGTCCGTCTGTATTCTATGTTTGAAACTGGTCATGAGAATCGGAACGGAAGCTTGGGCCATCTCAAAGAGTGATGCTCTCTCTCACCTGTTTGGACTGCTGCTTTCTAGCTCGGGCTGGCGACATTAGACCAGGCAACTCGCACAGGAGAGGAGGTTGTTGGGGTTACATATCCGTCCGGAGGCATTCCTATCGGGGGGATGTCAATCGAAGTGGGCTGTATGGAGGAACGATAAAAGGTTGAAGCGCCGCGGGACGGGCCTTGACTGCCGGCCGGAACATAGCCACGAACAGCCCGAGGGGCGACTCCGGTTTCTGGTGGCGTTTAGCTAGTGCGGGGGGGTAGTCAATCGAAAGCGATGTGTAACGATTCACAAAGCCGCCTAGCGGCTCCATATGAGCACCCATTGGTCGACCAGTAATCCTCTCAGCAGTCCTCCTGCGTCTACACCATTTCATCACTCCACGAACATGATAAACGCCGCCTTTTCGCTAATCTTCAACTAAATAGGAAGCTAGGTTGGTTACACAGCTTGTTGTGCATCTTTTGATGGCCATACGAGCCGTGCTTTGTTTGGGGGAAACAGCTCCCAAGATTTGACCAAAAGCACATGATTTCCTGAAATTCGTGACCTCTTTCGTGGACCTGACTGAGTTCAGGGTGCGTGGATGCAATTCCGCATCGGGGGGCCCTGTGAAAGTAGCATCGACGTCCAACGGTTGCGAAACTCTCTGCTTACTCATTTCCTTTGAAAATCAAGGTCTGTCTGAGATTCGGGGTATTGACTGGCAATTTCGCGTTTCCGCGGGCGTCTCAAGGGTTCTCCCCCTTGTAAGTCCATTATGAAGGTCGCTGTATTATCTGCAAGCTTTTCATCAATCTAATTGAGGCTGAATCAGCATTGGGCCCGGACAGTCAGTCGTGGTTTGGCTTGCACGGAGCGGCAACAGCGACAGTCCGAAGCGATGTTGTGGGCGGTTCGTCTTGGTCAAATTATACTATAGACGAAGGAATTCTGATAGGGTGACCTTGATCTTGTTGACGTTGACGTTACCCGTAAACTTTCCGTTCATTCGGTCTTTCCCCACTCAGCGGTGCTGGATTCGTCAGCCTTGACATTCTTCTACCTATATCATTATGAAGACAAGGCACATCTTCGTTTCTTAATCTCTGTCTCGCAGCTGGGTGGACAGGTTTGCGGAGAAAAACGTCGAGCTTAAGATTGACTAAGGCTACATGATCTTTGGACCCGTGGGAGCGGTACGGCTGATTCGTGGCGAGGTCCCACCCTACCCAGCTAATCCACCTTATCTCGGTAGTACCATCGCATCCACTAATTAGCGCTCGATGAAACGCGGAGAACCAAAAATAATAGGGTCCAGCCTTGTGACACTGGCTCGCATAAGCAAAGGAATAACTGGGGTTGTGAAACGTGGAAGAGCGAGCAAGGTAGGTAGCAAGGCTAACCTGATCGAGGAAGCGGGTATCCCGGCGCCAGCAGAAGACCGATTCAGGTCAATAGAGGAGCCGAGGCACTCGGGTAACACAGTATTCAGATAATTGGCTTCCCACCGAATCTACATTTACCCCATCGCCAGAATTTGATCCAACGTACAGCAGTACATATGGACGCATTAATGATAGCTCTACAGACTCACATTTGGAGGAACCATGTGTACAGAGGTGGAGGTCTCAAAAATGCCTCAATCTCATCACAACTCTCATCGGGATCGAACCCAATCGCATGCTCCATGTCCAATCATTCTCCTATTTTCCATCAGCACGCATCCCGAAGGGCGATGATGTCATATCCGGAACGGGAGATGGAAGCAAAGGAAGAAGGGAATAGGATAATGGTAAAAGGTTGATTAGTCGTTGGTTTTGTCTACTTGTATCTTGTTCATCAGAAGGTTGTGTGGAGTAGCAGGGGTGGAAGCAGTTGACGATGCTCAGTGGGTTTGTGGATTTCTTCCGAGGGCTCTACTGTAACTTACACTAGGCTACATTCGTTTAAGGAACATATATAAGTAAAGTGGCCATCCCCCGTAGCTAGCTCATACATTCTCTTCCCGCCGCTACTACAACACCTAGTATGTATCACGTGGCCGGGGGAGGACGCGATCCTTGAAGTCTCTTGTCCCAGTGAACAGGATCTTACCCGGAGATCTGGAAGGATATATAAAGCTTCGTGAATGTTTGTCTACTGGTATACTTTTCAACCCCCCATTTGAGGATTTTCCTCAGATTTCGAGGCCTTCTTTCACGAGGACTAGGTTCATTGATATTTCCACCAAACACCGATACCAGAGAGGAGAAAAATGTCTAGTCGACCAGTCGTCGTCTTCGTGCCAGGCGCATGGCACCCACCATCCTGTTTCAACATGGTGATGGAACGTCTCGAGGCAGCTGGATACGAGACCAAAGGCGTGACTCTCGCCTCTGTTGGCGCCGCCGAACCACTTACAGACTTCCAACCTGACGTCCAAGCCATTCAGTCTGTCATGACACCGATCATCGACCAAGGCAAAGATATTTTGCTGGTTGTCCATTCTTACGGTGGTGTCGTTGGGAACGAAGCTGTCCGCGGCCTCGATAAAGCTAGTCGCGAAAAGGAGGGAAAGAAAGGTGGCGTTTCGCATATCTACTTCTGCTGCGCCTTTGCCTTGCCTGAAGACGTATCTTTGATGGACGCACTCCAGGGGGAGCCGCTGCCTTGGTTCCAGATTTCTCAAAATGGGACGATTGTCAATCCCGCCACGCCTATCAAGACATTCTACGAGGACGTCAAGAGTCCGGAAAAACACGTCGGGACTTTGAAGCCGCACAGCTACAGGACTTTCTTCAGCAAGGTCACATATCCAGCTTGGAAATATGTGCCGAGCACCTATTTATTGTGTGAGAAAGACCTGGCGATTCCCATTCATGCGCAGAAGGAAATGGTAGAGGGTGCTGATGGGAGGTTTAGAACGGAGATGGTGGATGCCAGCCATAGCCCTTTCTTAAGTATGCCGGATGAGATGGCCAAGTCAATTCGAAGGGCTGCTGGGGAGTCTGTGTAGGGGAAACAAAAGTACTCTGTGGAAGGAGATCGATGAACGAGGCTTTGGGGCCAGAACTGTTGGCTTGGTGGATTGGCTGGAGGATAGTTCTTGATTTCTCCCTTTTCACCAATGGCAACAAAATGAGGTAGAACCCCATTCTCGCACTACCATATACTAATCAGACATGAGAAAACCTGTTGTGGTCTCAAACACCATTCGTTCCAGCGCTACTCAAGAGCAAGACAACCATAGACGGGGTAGCATTTGCTCAACAATTGACGAGGCAGTGAATCCGACAGATCAGTATCTCTCGATTCAAACGGTGTCGAAACCCTCAATCGTAGCCTCCCAATCCGATAAACGATGTCTTCTTCTTATTCTATGAGCAGGCTATCAAAGCAGAACTGTCATTGCTAGTGTGTCCAATTCGGAGGACATCTGAATCTAGGAGTAGTAAGCAAAGTGCACAGTCACACTGAATGTGCGTCTGCACATATATGAATGTATCTTCATTATGGGACAAGAGTCTACATATAGACGTAAACGCTATAATGATCTTGTTACATCCTTTCACCTATAATTCTGCAATGGTCAGCTTCGTGAAGATGTAAACGCAAGACCATTTCCTCGACGAACAGAAGTCTATCGAGGGATGCTGATCTCGAATGCACACTCCGAATGACTGTGAGATCCCGGCAGATGCCTTGGAGTGTGCTGACCCGGAATTTCGAACCGTGTTACGGTGGCCGAAAGAGATATCAGGCTCAATCCTTTCCAGAACGGATGCTGAGTAAAACATTACCCAGTCCCACGGATGATCGAACACAAAGTCTCTCATGATGAGGGATCTCACGCATTGGACACGTATCAGAAAGCTGGAGTGAATTGATTAAGGCTGAAGGAGCACTTATTCTGGGCCCTCTGGGTTTTGTGACTGGCACTTGTTCTCGCATGAATCAGATCGTTGTACAGGAGTCGACTTGTCGTGGGAATATTGTTCCTTCGACAACCGTCTGTTGGTGCTTGATGACGAGAGTTAGAAAAGTTATGGATTCGAGTTCTCTTCTGCGACTGTGGTGTTCGTCGACAATGCGGCCTTTTCCACGTTGTTTGATTCTTCAGAGGCCTTGCTCCTCATATCTATGACAGGGGTGTCTGCAGATTTGGAGGGTGTTCGTTGCTCAGACTTGGGTGAGACGGCGATGGACGACTGCCGGCTATAGATGCGTGCGATCCCTGGCGATGGCAACTGCGAACGATCATTGAGACACCTGCTGGAATAGACGCCATTCTCGAACTGCTCACGCTTCGTCAGCCGGCGATCGTGATCCGTGATATATTGTGAGTTTCGGAACGTGTGAAGCATCCACTCCAGCTTTGCATCGGGGACGTTGTGCTCGTCAAGTCTATTCCGATGCCGGATGAAGAAGCTGACATATCGAACAATTCCGACGATAACCAATAGAATGAGCAGGACGAAGATAACAAGACAGGCAAGCGACATCTCAACCGCTTCTACCAATACACTTATAGTCCTGTTCGTCGCAAGGTCGTCGTCTGTGGCGGCTGTAATCATGTATGTCTGGTAGAAGCGAAATAGCTCTTCGGGTGAAAGAGGCGAGACGGTTTGGTGATTATCAGACATGTCTGCGACCCCCTCGCGATAGTAATCGGCATAGGCATTGACAATGGAAGAGGTGTCATTGGTCCACGGCCACGCGATTGTGTTTTCATTCGCGACTTGGGTGTGTCGAGTGAGCTCACAGTCGATCCGAGTATAGCTGGATGCTTGTGCATCGCCTTCCACGCGCCAAGTGTCCGATTCGTCCACTAATCTGTCTTCTACCAACAAGGTGGCATTGCTGAAATGTAGTGATGATAATGTTAGGTGGAGGGGTGCCCGGTTTTGGTGCATCTGGTCGTCTATCGCTGGATTTGTAGAAAGCAGCACATAGAAGACTACATCATCGATAACAGGCGTCGGATAATCGCCCCAGTTTATCCACCCACAGAAGTCTACTTCATATCGAAACTCTTCATCGTTCAGCAAACCGGGTGGGAAGGTGGACCCGTACGCTGGAAAGGCCCTGATGGGATCGGCAATGGTATAGTTAGGATTGGCAGTTATGTCGAGGAACTTCTGGGGAGTTCTCTGGCATCGAGCGTGCCACGTTGAATTCCACTCCTCCGAAACATACGTCCATGAAGACGTGCTCGGCGGGAGCCAGTCCAACAACTGATCATATGGAAAGTTGGCAGTATTCAGGCTGTACATAGTCTCGTTCCAGGGCACGTTGGCCGAGCTGATTTGCAAGTTGCTGCCCGTACTCTCGACTTTCGCGGAAAGCCCAAGCAAACTTCTTTGGCGCAGGACTGTGCCAGACCGAAGTGAGAACCTGGCGATGGGACCAGCAAGGATGGTGACGGTAGTCACGAAGAAAACTGCAATCATCTGGAACAACAGCGGTAGATATCGCAGCGAGAACAGCCTCTTGCCGAGCAGCAACAACAGGTCCCAGGCATCTCCTGGGCCGGTGAACGTGAAGAGAGTGGCCAGGTCCACATCACGGCGTTCGAGGATCTTGGTGCTGCTTCTTTGGTACCAGTATCGAGAGAAAGTCCAGATACCAATGGCACCCCATAAACTGATCAATACGTTGAGAATGGCCTGCACGTCTGCAAAGTCCCATTTGGTAGATAACACCACCCACCCGGCTGACATGATGACCGATCGGTAAAGACAGGAGCGAGACTATTGTGATTCGGAAACGCAGTATGTGGCATGTTGCTGAACGAGAAGGCCTCTGCAGCACGACTTGATCCTGCCTCGAGACTTTATCAACGATGAGAACCGACACGCAGCCCATTCGAGTTTGCATGGACTATGTAACATATCAACGTCGCTAATCCTAGGAGAGACTATGGTTGAGAAACCGGTATTTCTGAGCCATAAGGTGATCCGCCAGAAGCGAAGCGGGATCTATTCTCCTCAAAGCTAGTCTGGAATGCATCTCATATGCATCTAATGCAGTCCCTCAGCAAAATGCAAAGCATCCATAGAATTCGGGCAACAACACCAGGCCAATGTGATTCATTCCACCTTATCTGTCTGCGGGTCGCCTCACCATTGTATTGCAGCAGACCGAATCTACCAGTGCTGATCGGACACATGGACAGCTCTCTCCCCGCAATAGCTGTAGACTGGAAGGCTGAATTCGCTAGGCAAATTCATTTCTCAGTAGCAACCCATGCTAAGCGAGCCCAGGCAGACTCAGGATAGATAAGCAAGCATTCCCTCAGGCTGACTCGATTTCTCGGCTCTTTCAGTAGGTTTTCTCATCCAAATCATCTTCCTACGTCAACGCGGCGCCCAACATGTGTCTCTCTTCCCTAGAGAAAGATAAATCATGTGATAAAAGTGTGGCGATCCCTTACGGAAATGAGCAGACAAGTGGCAACTGCATGTTAGTTCTTGGCCGGGACCCGAATGAAGGGGGAAGTGGCAGGTTTACACCGATTTTGTGCAGAGACGAGAACGAAAAGGGTAGTGGCCGGTTCACTCCATGGGACATGGCTGGAGAAAACTTCCCGGTCCCCTTCAAGTTGACCAGTCTGATTCCTGGTGTCGTGGAGGGCATCGGACCTCGAAATCAGGCGGAACAAGACGAGATCATCGAGAAAGTAATTGCCGCGTTGCGCGAGCACACGGCGTAGGGAAGAGTGCTGGGAAAATTACCCTCATCGGTAATGCATTGCACCGTTTCCCATCGTGTTCAATGCTGACAGCTCAGCGGTGGTCGGATCAGCTCGAACTACAAGCGAACTCTGATATTTGAAGTCGCAGACAGAGTGGGGGGTAACTGGATCTGTTGACATTCGTTGATTGCTCAGACTTGCATTTCTTTTATTTGAATGAGCGCAAGTTGAAGGCAGCTGTGCCACAGACTCAGAAATTGGGAAGACATTCGTTAAGCAGTAGTGTTATACCATCCCTTGGGAGAGCGCTTTTCATCAGGAGTTTCGACTTAATTGAGTGTATCTTCCGCTTTGGATAAAGGCGGGCTGAAGCCAGCACTGCACCAACCATGACCTGTTAACCAGACCCACAACAAAATCACATACGAGGGATCACCAGTACCTCGCAGGCTTCGATTAGGCGGAGTATGCGGGTTAGCATAAGGGTATTGGGGGCGACGATGAGGCTGACGTTGAGGCCGACGATTAAAGGGGCTAGGAACTAGGCGCCCTCAGAGACAGGGTCCCCTCCGCGGGGCGCATGATTTCTATCTGGAAAGTATCAGTCTAACCCCTAGATGTATTTTCGTATGATTCTATCACGATTCACCCTGTACAAAGAGAATTCAAGCGCGTATGAAAAGAAAATCACCAAGTCGTTTGCGCTCGTTGTTTCCTTCCACACCGGCTCAATTGCGAAGAAATGAAAGCACTCGTCAAGTTTGAAGGGGGAAAACGGCGTCTGTCTTCACGGCGGAGATGTGCAACGGCTCCTGGAGGAAAGTGGATTGGTTGCCGCGTAACAGCGCTACGCCCACCGAGGAGATTCTCTTCACCAGGTTCTCTGAACGGGTTTCTTCCCATGTCACTGCGTATCGAGCATGGATGCGTACTCTCGGGTTAGAAATTCATCAGTCATCTGCTCATGACATTGCAACAATAGGGTGAAACTCGAGATTTCCCACGGTTGTGAGGGAGAGAAACAGTAGATGAAAAACACGACATAAGTATCGCCTTTGGTCCCCGTCCATCCCATTGCACAAAGCCCAGATCTGGGATCAACAGTCGGAGCAACCTGGAGTTCCTGATAGCAGATACCCTCTCTAGAAAAGAGAATCTCGAGAATTTTCCCCTTTCCCAAAAAAGGGGAAAGGGAAAAGGAAAAGAACATGGGCGACGCCAGCAGTCCCCCACCCATCAGCACAGCGTCCAAACCATCTGGCCTTCCATCGCCAAACCCAACAAAATCATTCTGGCAAACCTCGCACCCCAATTCAATCGCACATCACCGTTCGACATCGTCTCTGCCGTCAAAGGCCGCGATCGTCGTTATCGGTACTGGGGTCAGCGGAACGTTCGCGACCCGTGAGCTTCTGACAAAATCTGATGAGCTGGACTTGGACATCCTCGTCCTGGAAGCCAGAACAGTCTGTTCCGCCGCCACGGGTCGCAATGGCGGGCACTTGCAACCACTAATCCTCTCGGAACGGAGTGGTATCATTGGATTTGAGCTCGCCAACTTCCACTATGTCGAGGGTCTCGTTGCCGCGAACGACATCGAGTGCGATTTCCGGAAGGTGCCAGGATGTCTAGGTTTCTGGAATAAGACGTTCTTCGAAGAGGCCAAGGCTGCATTAGGGCAGGACGCCGACACAGGCATGGACTTCAACCACACAGACCTTGTCCGCGTTGTCGAAGACGCCGAAGAGCTCAAAGAACTGCGCCTGGTGGACGCGGTGGGTGCTTTCGTCCAGAACATTGCCGCCAGCTTATCGCCGTACAAGCTCGTCGTGTGGACGTGGAAGGACATGTTGTCGCGGTTCCCTCCGTCACGATTGAATCTTCAGGCCGAAACCGCCGTCACAGAACTCTCTCGCTCTGGCGATGAATGGCTCCTGTACACATCCCGGGGCACAGTGCACGCGAAGCACGTCGTCCTCACTACGAACGCATACACATCACATCTACTACCACAGTTTGCCAGCCTGATATCGCCTGTCCAGGCACAGATGTCTGCTTTGGTTCTGCCGAAGACCTCGCCGTTCGCGAAGCGACTGATCCCAAAGAGTTATGGCTTCATGGGCGTCGGGAGCCAGGATCGCGTGATGAGTGACTATTTGGTGCAGAACCCGATCTTGCCAGACAGTGATGGAAAACGAAGCGGCGGACACCTCATGTTCGGCGGTGGGAGGCACCACGTCCCCGGTCACGGCGTCGGAGTCAGTGACGACGACTTCGTCGATCCCCATGCCGAACTGTATCTGAGGAGCTTATCTGAGCGGTTGGACCTTATTTCCCCCATGACAGAATCGGCACCGGAGCCCCAATCGCAGAAGAAGCCGCTTCTGGAAATCGTAGCCTCGTGGACCGGTATTATCGGATCTTCTGCTGACGGCCACCCCTGGGTCGGCGCTGTGCCGGATATGCCGGGCCTGTTCCTCTGCGGTGGCTACACAGGACACGGTATGACAAATGCACCACTTTGTAGCAGACATATTGCGAGGTTGGTGCTAGAGAGTGTCCGAGGCAGAAGTAAACTGGAGTACAAGGCCAGTGAGGACTGTGCTGGGGGGATCGGTGTGCCGAGGGAGTATGTGCTCACTCGAGAAAGAATGGAGAGATTATTGGCGATGAAAGCACAGTGAGATTCCCAAAGTGGCTCGTGGGGGAGAGGTGGAGGGATACAGAGGTGCTAGATAGTTATAACGAGCATCTGCTCCTTGAGCCCACACAAGCCCTTCAATGAATGGTCGAATGTGCTTCTCTGCCTACCACTGTACGACAAAATTTGCTAGATGGTTGTCTCGTTCTTGCATCTCCTTGAGGATGGACGAATGAATGAGCATCAATGCCAAATTAAAATAGATCGAGGAACCTAAGCGTTCATCTTCACCGCAACGTTTCACGGCATCGACATATATCCCTCTTGCGCAGTCCGAGCATGCACTAAACACATCAGATTCCACCTCCAGAATCTCAGAGTCAAGATCGTCCATGGTATCGATGACGCAAGGAAGACCCAGAGATACCTTGATACGACCCGCTGAACAGCGCCGGAATCGTCGCGAATAGAGAAGAAACCCATGCCGATAAACCCCTGATGTTCGTCATGTCCGCCGCTGAGTGTCTATCCGGTATCTGACGAAGAATAAGGAACCTTTAGACTCATCACAATGAAGTTCGATGGAAGATGGAACCAGTGTCACTAGGGTAATAACACACATAGCCGCGCTATCTTGAGCGGTGGACCTGCTCAACTCGAATACGGGGTTTGTCATCTCTTTAGATGTGTGCTGGCCCTTGACACCGATTGTGTCCGATACCTAAAGCTCATCCGATCAAGAAGTCAATCCGCAAAGTGAATGTTTGAAGTGTAGGTAAGGAGATATATTGTTATGGACCGGGCCCCTTGACATTAAGACAAACATGCTAAGCCAAATGCCAAAGACGCTTTCCTTGATCAAACGAATTTTTGGACTGGCTCGAGATACTCATTCATGCGACATTCCATACCATTTTGGAAGACATGATCCGCGATACGTGATCCCTCGTGCTTCGGCTCATTTTGATCGGGCAAGCAAAATACGTATGGAGCACTCCCCCCGGCTTAGGCTGACTCCCCTCTTTACGGACAACTTTCAAGAAACGAATCCACCAAGGCCACCATCACCCCAAAGTGGAGCCTGTACATACTCGGCCGCACGCTCAGCCATGTTGCCAAAATTCCAATCACTCGACGACCCCGTGCTGTCGGGTGTAATGGGACCCATGCCGACGCCGATGACGCCGGACGTGGCGAGGGCCGGGGAATATGGCTCTGGTTTCATATTCGTAAGGGAAGAATATTGAGACCGAGAAGACGGTTGGCCTTGAGTCGGGCTCGAGCTGGTGGGTATATTCAGGTACAGGTTCCCGGAATTCGCCTGGGCATTCGCGTTGGGCAGGTATGCGCCTTGATATTTCGCATTGGGGTTGGGGGTTGCAAGAGCCGCGTTCAACTTGCCCAAAGCATTGAGGGACTTTGTCATACTCCTAGCCCAATGCGGTGACTCGGCGAGCGGTGGCTGAGATATTGACAGCTGCCGTTGCGCCGGACTTCCATCCTGCGGTAAATCAAAGTTGGGATCTTCCATCGTCCGTTGAGCAATGACTTGTTCCAGATCACGAAGCAGTGAGAGTCTTTGTGGATCGCTGCTGGTTTCGGGGAGGGTGCCCAGGAGGAAAGCCGCCGATATGGAGCGTTGAATACCAATCCACGACCGGGCTGCAAACTTGCTCACCGAATGTAGTTCGACATATGCCGCCACTGTTCCCTCTAAGTTCTGGATACACTCACGTCGGAACTGAGCTCGAGTTGCGGCATCCAACACCGGAGATTTTGGCGATTGGGCAGACGTGCTGGATGTCTTTCTCCGACCCCCTGAAGGTGATTGAGCAGGTGTTAAATCGGTTGAATCCGATGAAGACGGAGGCGGGTCTTTCAATGCTGGCCGACACAATTCACTGGTGACATAAGAACTGTGAAGTTTCAACGCAAGCCGTTCGAGATGTTGAGTCATCCGATGACACTGACTTCGTTCGCGGAGGTGGACCGCCCCTTGTGAAACAATAGCGGCAATTTCCTCGGTATATCTCCGTATTCTATCCCACGTCATGTAGGACCGAGGATGGAGGAGACGTTCGCGGACGATTTCTTGTGTTAATCGAATTATCGCAAACATACTTTCCGCATAACTTCGATCTCCCGGTGAGCTGAACTTCCCGTACGGAATATCTGGAATGCAAAGGACGCTCGAAGTCGGTCGATCATAACTGACGGCGAAATGGGAATCTTGCCAGGCGAGTGCCCACCAAATCCTGCGGCGGGTCCATTTCTCCGCATCTGTGAACTGCTGTGAATTAATTTGTAGTCCGATCGAAAACGCCATACGGAGGGTCATGCCCAGAAAGATATAGGCAACGCCGGGGTTCATGTTATAGGAGAGGACATTTCCGATAATCAGAGAAGCTTCGATGGTTTCCAGACAGGGATGGGTCAGAAAGTTGGACATGCGGAGAGCCTGATAAGAACAGCATACTGTATCGCGTCAGTGTGACAATCTCCCCATGCTGTACGTGCACCTACTGTAAACCTGAGACGTCAGTTCTCTTTCTTTTGCCGGTCTATCCGACGATTGAGAGCCCGATGCAAAGACGGCAAATACCAAAGCCAGCCAGGGGAACGACACCCCATAGGGCTTGTTCGGATCGATTTCGAGGTTGTCGCGGACGGACCGGGCACGATTTGACAGCATAAACGTCAAAGTGTCCTCGAAATTTCCCGTATCGGGCACTACGGGATAGATTGTGCAGGCGACATCTCGGTAAGCGACAAAGAATCTATGCAGGTTCAGTAAGCAGTCAAGCCCATGGTGGACATACACTGACTCTTTGCATAACTCATCATCTGGAATTGCTTTGCAAAGTCCGTTGACATCTTGCATGCTGGAATCGGTGCTCCATAAATCAACAAACGGATAAGTGGCACTCTCGTTGTCCAACCCCAGTTTCGGCAGGATGTTCTCCTCGAGTAGTGATCGTGCGGTATCTTGAGCGGTTTTGGTCCGGCCTAGCCCCATCATATACGCCAGAACAGATCTGGAACCCAAATGCATGGTCCCCATCTGGTTACTGGGGGCATGAATCCCTTCTCTTTCGGCCTCATCCGAACGACTGGGGGCACCCCCCAGATTGATATCGTCAGATTCTGTTTGTATGGCGCTAGGAGATGAGAATCTATCAGCTTTGACAGCACCACGCAACTGTTGTAACTCCCTGCTCATCTGCTCCCATAGCTGCCGTGGCACCGTGACCCTGGCACCGCTTGATGTCATCGAGTCGTGGCCATCAGAAACGCCGCCGTCAGGCTGATTCGCAGCACCAGCCAGGGCAATACGACGTTTCTTGGTAGGTCGTTCATAGGAACATAGCTCCGGGTGGTCGCGCTTGACACACGAATCGCAGGGCAGTTTGCGATCACATTTGACCTTGCGGCGGTGACAAGCATAGCAGGCTTTTGGGTCTCGAACTTTTCTTTTGTTCCTAATGATAGCGTCTATCTCATCCTGGGCCATTTCAATCCTGCCGTCAGAAGTAGTTTCGATGTTGGGATCGTCGGGGTAATCAGCAGCGACATTGTCGGCGGCGGAAGCGCGTTGCGGGTCCATAATGACCCTGCAAGTCGAAATGAAGAGGGGGGGAGCTAGAGGGAGACTATGAGGGCATTTTGGGCGGATCCGAGGGAGAAAATATATAAATATTGGTGCAGGGATTCAGAGCAGTGACGGGAACAAAAGCGAAAAGATGCGGGACAGCGTAGACATTGAGAGCGCAGGGCCGCCGCGAATATCCCCGCCAGGTCCTTAATGTGTTGACCAGCCCCAAGCCCGCACTGGGCCGAATATCCCTCTCGATTGAAGGACTAGTCCTGTACCGGAATAGTGCAATAAGGTTCTTGGCCTCAGCCTCGTCTTCCACTGCGAACTTTTTGACCACCAGCTGATTTCCCCTCTAGCGAGGCTCCGCGTGCTTTTTACGTAGCTGCAGACCTGGCAACAATGATTGACCCTCAAAAAGGGCGTCCAAAGATTTCGGACAGAGCGCATTCAGTCCTCAATCTACCAAACTTCCTTCCCCAACCAAACATTCACTACCCCTCGTGTCTCCTACACTCCAAAGTTACACTGTATCCAAGTCGGTGATATCAATTTTGATCTCGCCAATCGATCGATGAATGAGCATCAAGTAGGAGGCAGAGCGTGTCATGTCAATTACCGGAAGCTGGTATAGTTTTTTTCAGGCTGTCAGCCACACTTGCCTCTGTGCTTGCAGCTTGGACTTTGGCACACGAATGTTGGCGATATCAACAGCCTCTTTCGTTGATGCAACTGCCTGGTCCGGCAAGTTCAGAGCAGATTCCGCGGTTCAACAGAGGTAAATGATCTCTGATTCTTTATCGGAGCAAAAAATAGGCCCCAGTCGCGCTGATTGGTTCACTCGTGCTCGCTTCAGCTACACCCACCATCAACATTCCTAGAACTTGCACAACAGCCACAATGTACCAAAGCATCCCCCTACCTGAGGATTAATTAGAGCAAGGTTGAAGATTCCCTTGTCTCGTGCGCGACTCAAATTGAAGTCATTCCATTATGACTACATGCAATCATCTCTCGTTGGGTACGCCATTTTTTTTTTTTCTTTTTTTCTCCCACCACATGCATCGCACAAACGTTATGCCTAGACTGCCCCAGCCAGTATGCACGTCTTCGTGATCGGTGGCCACCATACCCGACCTAGGGTTTTGAGGAGAAACGAATTCATTGGATTTTGGGTTTTACAAAAAGTTGGGAAATCTGATTTTCCTTCACGTCCATCCATGTTTCCTCTAAAGCCACTTGGTTATCATTCCAAAAATGCCCATTAATTTTCAAAGGTTGCTGAGGGAAGAGTCACCTGTCGAAGATCAAGCATCTGAAATTCTCCATCGGTTGAACCATCGAAGGTATGCGTATTGCCGGTTGCCTCCCTGCATACCGAAAACGATGGGGCTGAACAAAACAAACAATCCAATAACAATGGCGTACAAAATGAAGTAGAAGCCCCATCGCACAGTCGTATTGAGTCTTCGGGTGGTCCAATCCAGGCAGAATCCGGAAACTAATATCGCGAAGTATAGGGCTGGGTAATAGTGGTGTACATAGGTGACTCGGCCCATGATGACAAAGGGCAGGTAATGGAAGAACCATCCAATCACCGGGTAGATCCCTGAATAGTGGATATGGTCGATATCGGCTTGAGTCAGCTCGTCGTAGCCCCTCTGCCAACGGATAAGATACCACAGAACGAGGAGGCCTGCCACGCCCAATGATGCAGTCGAGCCCCAATAAACACTCGGGTTGCCTAATAGGAAGTACTTGGTGATATGGTCTTCCCATGAGCACATTCGAAGTCCCACGTGGAGGATGGGCCATTGCCAGAATTGCGACGCCAAATCATCTTGCTTGTCTGGATCAGGCACCAGGGCATTGTTCGAAGTCATCATGGCCACGTTGAGATGAATGAAATCCTTTAAGAAAGGTGATCGATAGTTCTTGGCCTCACCAGGAGGTACTGCAAGACAAGTTAGCCGTAAACTGACCGAAGCACGAGACGCTTCAACTTACGTCGATCATTGACGTGGGATTCAACATTCCAATGGGTATAGACATCCCGAGGACTGGAATTTTTGACACAAGTCGTCTCGATTTGTTTGAAACCCCATTGAGGAAGGTTGACAGTTCCGGCACGGAGGTAGCAGCCAAGTTCAACATGACGCAATCTAAATGCCGTGGTCAAAGTTCGGATGCGGGACCGGTCAGACGAGGCAGCGTCGCTGATGACTTCGATTTGCCAATGATCCTTCTCATCACCGACGGTGGTATTGCCGTAGCAAGACACCTCCCAGTCAGCCTTCGTCAGAGGAGCCGCCACGGCATGTGAGTGGAGGTTTCGACCAGTTTGAGCATGGATCAGTCGGATAACTTGTTTGTCGGCAATGAAACTCAATGGTGTTGCCGGGTCATACTCAGGTTGGCTGCGGTTGGGATAGAGAAACCAGTCGTTGTTGGCGTCTTTGTGGTGATAGCAGGTAACTTGCTGCTGACCACTACCGTCAGGATAGGTTTGGATATGAGAGTGTAGAAGGCCCCCGCCGTATCCCATATTCTTGATGGTAACTCTGGAGCCGATCGCAACTTCCAGCGGTGAATCCTTGCCCACGTCAGTGCCACGGAGATTCGCTTGAAACAGGGAGGACATCTGGGCATCACCGGGGCCCGAATTCTCCAGAACCAGGAAATGGATGTAGAAAGAGAACATGTAGACCATCGCCGGGATGACAATGAGACCAAACACTCGTGCGCCCAAATGGGCGGCCAATTCAATCTTGGGCATCTTGAGATCACCAAACTTGTTCCATAGATCTTCTGCGGTGTAGAGACCGACTAGGGCAGTGGCAAAAAGTCCGACCCATTTCACACTGCAGACGCATCCAATGCTCAGTCCAGTCAAGAACAGCCAGATAAACCATTCGATGGAGAAACTCTTGTGTCGCAGTCGATGGAATCTTGCCCAGCAAAGGACCGTGGTGAAGGTGAAGCAGAGCAGCATGGAATCGAGGAGGATGAATCTCGAGATTGTTGCATAGGAGTTCTCGCATAAGACCATGAGAGTAACCAGCCAGATAGCAGGGCGCTTGAAGTTGAGTTCTCGGGCGGTATAGTAAGCGAGAGGGATCGTGACGGCGCCAAACAGGGCATTGAAGACTCGCATGAAAGTATAGTTGACCTCTTCAGGATATCTCTCGCCAGACTTGAATTCAAACGATCCATTGTATCCAGCTAAGTAGCCCGACAAGCCAACCAACATCTTTCCCAGGGGAGGATGGACATCGAAGTAGAACTCTCGCTTGAGGTAATGAGATCCGAATTTGCCAAAACTATTAGAAATGTCAGCTTCGGCGTAGTGGAGATGGACTCATCATACTGGGCTTCATCCCATGTCACAATTGGAGACAGTCCTATCCTCCACAGCCTCGTAAAAAGGGCAAAGGCTGTGAAGATAAAGGGGGCAATCAAAAATTCCCACTCGTCGAGGAAATGCAGTATACCGGTCTGGGGCTGCAGAAGCTGTCAGATCTCGAACTTTCCAATGACCACCATGGGATCCCAACCTTTTGAAGCTTCTTTGTATCCTCAGCCTCCACTTTGTACACATGCTGCCCATTGGCATACTCGTAGCTGCTGATATTTCTTCGACGCAGCTCAGCCTCGTCCCTACCTACGCCGGTGGTGTAAACACCGTTCGTCGTGGCCATCTGAAGGAAGTGTAGGTGGGAGAAAGAGATTCGTGCGAAAAGATAAGGAAAAAGGTGAAAGTGGTTTTCTAAGGCTCGAAAAGCAGAGTAACCGGAAATCTGAAGGCTAAATTTGGGGGCGGAGAAAGATCAAGGGATCATACGACGCGTGTCGAGGATTCAGAAGGCAAAGTAAAAAGATGAAGAGGGTGTCATAGAGGACAATGAGAGAAGAGAAGAAAAGAGAATCCCCGGACCAAGAGGTCTCCGAGGAGAAATTATTTGACTTGGGAGAAGGAGGATGGATTGGAAGTACAAAAGATGGGATGAATTGCGCAACCTGACGAAGGAGCAAGGAGCCACCTTGGCGCCAGCTGGGATTTGAAAGGAGCCCCCTTCCCAGGGACAAATAAAGGATGAGGCACGTGAGAGGAGTCAAACAGCAACAGCTTCCCCCCGAGTCTCTTCCCTCCAAATCTATCAAACATTGACTTATCCAGGAACACTCATATTTAGCATACCCATTCCATGCTGCATGGTCATGCCAGACTGACGCGTCCTCCCATCCTGTCCTCATCTTCGCTGAACAGTTGTCCTGCCTCTCTACAATATCTGACCTCCCCAGTTCCCGTACTACCCACTTCGCTGCCCCAGCAGACCACGACAGCATCGACAATGCATACCAGAACACCTTCCATGGCTCCAAGAATACCCCAGCCAATGGCTCCGGCTATCAAACCAACGACGTAGGCGTAAAGACTTCCCCGCACCCCACTTCCCTCGAGTCGTAAAGATCGTGCTGTTGTAACCCAACCACCAAAACCCAAGGCCAGTGACATGATGAAGCGTGTGGCATGAAGGAGAAGTTTCGCTAATCGATAGGACAAAAGTGGTGCGGTATCGCGAGACCACCCGTCGCTTCTCTGACGTCGGTTGAAAGTTTGTGGATGCAATGAGGTGGCAGCATTATTCGGGGTGAGAAAGTGCATCTGCGAAAGTCCTCTTGCGCTGACACTCAAAGGCTGCGAATGGATGGCGGCATACGTGAGTGTAAGAGGATTGATCAAAACAGCGATGGGGCTCGGGATGAATGAATACATTGCGACTCCAAGGAGCATGGTTAATCGTCGAGGCAAGATGAGGAGAGGGAGTCGAGCCAACAGGCAGAGCCCGGTAAAGAGGGCTATGGTGCCGAAGAGGGTCGTTGAAGAGTGATACAACGCGGCTTTCACGATGGCTTGAGACGTGGGTGCGGGCACTGCCAGGCGATGAAAATACCACTGCGAAACTGTTGCCGAGGTGATCGTCCGTTGCATTCCGAAAGCAATCGCAATGGTCCAGAGGTAAACCAGTATAAAATAAACACCCAACCACCACGTGGACGTGTCGATGACGAATTTGCTGATGGTCGAGCGCGTCGAGGGATGTCCACCCAGAAAGACCCGTGTGAACATGGACAGCCATATCCACGTAAAGCCGATAATGAATCCCAGGACAGCAAATCCCACCAATACCAATGTCGGATTGGCAGCCAGTATTCTAGTGGCAAATTCCAGTATCGAAATGGCCCTCTGCATGACTAATCGACCCCGGATGACCGCCAGGATCCACAGGGTCGCCATGACCGCCGGCACAATTGAACTCCATCTCATGACGGTATCTTGAATACTCGAGCCGTGCCACGATCCTTTGTAACTGGAGATCAAAGGATACAGCGAGAAGGAGTAGAGGATGACTGGAACCGCAACCAGGATGCCGTAGACGAGGTATCGAACGTATGATCGGAGCGCTGCAAGCCAAAACAATGAAACGAAGGTCGCTACAAGGGTATAAGTCGCCAAAAGATAAAAGGACCCGTGAAGAGTCGTGTAGACGGTATCACCAAGGGGCTGTTTCTTGCTCGGTGACTGGGTGTGTAGAAAGACCAAGAACCACGTCGTGCACATCGCTGCAAGAGCAAGCATGTAGAGTTGGCCCCAGAAAGCGTCATGTCTAGGTTGCTGACTTTGTTGGATATCATCGGGAGCAGACTCTTCTCCCGAGTAGTTTCTCGACTGTCCAAGCAGTCGTCTCTGCGCATTTTCCAGATCTGATTCATCTGAGTCATCGTCATCTTTCGGGCTGGGGCCTGGTTTTCGTAGCTGTTGAATGGACGGTGGATTCTCCATCAAATCCTCCGGGGGATCATCACCAGAGTCACTCCTCGAGGTGTCCCCTAACCCAATGTCGACCATCCGATGTCGTGAAGCGCTTGGACTGAGGCTACCAGGTTGTTCTTCGGTGGATTCGGCCAGATCGGCCAATTCGGCTCCCCTTCGTCGTGTTTTTGGGGCACCGCCATGCCATGAACTTCTAATACCACCTCCTCTTCCAAGATTTCGATCCTGGATGTCATCATGATGACGGTCGGCTCCGTTCAGGCTGGCGTCACTTCCATCATCATCCGTGTTTGAAGAGGCCTTCAGATCACTGGCTCCGAGTTGGCGTCTTGAGCGTTGCAGAGCATAATAGTCCGCAATTTCTCGTTCGTGCTCCTCCTCGTCGTTTTCTTCTCGGAACTCATCGGTGGCGCTATAGAAGAGAGGGGCTTGTTGCGGGTTCAGGCGAGACGCAAAGGGGAAGGCGGACAGCTGGGACGACGTCGGTTGATAGGGATTGGGGGCACGAGGATTTAAAGTCCTGGACGCTGTCGACGACCTCCAGTTCTGGTTCTGTCGTCGGGGACGGTCATCTCCAGACCGACGTTCCTCAGCGGGAGCGAAGTTGATGCGCGACTGAGACTGCGCGAGAAACCGAGATGCGTCTATCAATCTATCAATATATTTTACTCAAGGGATTGTACAACGTCACCGCATACATTCGGAGAACATGCTGCCCGTAGGCAGTGACCACGCGAGCTATCAGTCGGTGTAGATTGGAGTCGTGATAAGTGACGCCGAAGAGTTAAGAAGGCAAGACAGGGAGGAGTAGACTTCAGCGAGTGCTCTAGCTGAAAACACCAAGGCCTAAAGATGTCAAGGCAGATCTCTGTTTCGCGTGCTGGAGTGACAAGAAGGAGTGAAAGAGTCAGTGGATGAAGATAGCCCAGTTGAGTTGGTCCGGTCACTGGACACTGGTCGGAAGCGGATAAGCCAAGGCTGCAGGCGGTGCATCAGGCTTCTTCGGCCCTGGGGTTCAGGTACGTTCGGGAAGATACAACAAGCACGCGTGCCCCTGCTCGCCGCAACCACCAGCCCGTCGCAGTCAAGTCATCGCCTCCAACGACTTTTCCGAGCCCTTCAAATTGTCACAAGGCTCTCCTCATCTCCCACGAGTTTTTGATCATATGCTTCCGCCATCCATAATCGTCGACTCGGAATTTTGACCCGACATCCGATCCTCCTCCAGGACTTCGCTCATGCCATGCCCAATATAACCCCGACCCCGACGCTTCCCTGGAACTACATTGCGAAGCTGGTATGCATCGGTGACTCTGGTAAGTCAACAGTGTTCACGGTGCTAGTGCAGCTCTGACAAGTGACAAGGTACAGGAAAATCGAGTCTGACAATCCGACTATGTGAGGGCAGATTCTCGGCTTCTCACGATGTCACCATCGGCGTCGAGTTCGGTTCGCGGATAGTTCCTGTTGGTCCACCGGCCAACGCATCTTTGGGAGTAGGGACACCCAACGGTCAAGCCAGTCATGCCGAACCCGAAGAACAGAAGAAAATGAAGCTGTCACTATGGGATACTGCAGGGCAAGAAACATACAAAAGCATCACGCGAAGCTATTTTCGCGGAGCTTCGGGGGCCTTACTAGTATTTGACATCACACGACGGAGCAGCTTTGAATCTGTCACCGCATGGCTCAACGATCTCCGACAGATTGCTGAGGAAGGGATCGTGGTCATTCTTGTGGGTAACAAATCAGATTTGGCGGCCCAAAGTAGTGACCTGGAAGGTGGTAGTAAGCGTGCAGTGACCAAAGAGGAGGCTGAAGACTGGTGCAGAAGAGAAAACGTCGTCAAATATGTCGAGACAAGTGCCAAAAGTGGCGAAGGAGTTGAAAAGGCATTCCTGGAGGTGGCAGAAAGAATATATCAAAATATTGAAGCGGGAAAATATGATCTCAACGATCGAAGAAGCGGAGTCAAAGGATATGGAACAGGAACCGGACGAGAAGAAGGAAAGGCTCCAAAGACAGTCAACCTTACCATGAATGATGCCGTCATGCGCGGACAGGCCAACAGTTGTTGCTGATGACGGATGCGCGGTTTGCATGGTGACTGAAATCGGCCGAACGGAGACCTTTTTGATCGACGAGCTTCAAAGAAGAATGCCAGGCACTGGGATATTTCGAGATGTTTTCTGCATGTGCTTGCCTGGGAAAGCGGCGCTGGAAGATAGCAATTCGATTGAGATCATGGTATACCGGGGCCATCACAGCACGATGCAGCGAGCGTTGCGACAACTTATCGCTTCGGATGTTTTAATTTCCCGAAACGTACATCCGCCCTCGGCTTCTACCATCCTAACGCGGGAAAAAACGGACGTCATCGTATGGTGGAGAAGGGCAACGCGCTCTACGGTCCTCCCCACCCCACCGCATGGCGATTCGGATTGGAGTCCGTTCTCGCTCAAGTGCTTTTGAAAGAGACGGTTCTCTGCTTTCTATATCCTTTCAGAAAGCTGTTGTCTCAGATACATGAAAAATTCAGCCGTCAATACAATCATCCCCTCTCGAGTATGTGATTCGACCACCATCACATATCTTCTACACAGGACAGCGTATCGGCATCAGAATACCAATCTCTCCGTACCAACGATATCATTGCCGACTGTACACGTGTTCAGTGACTAAAATGGCCAAACTAGACCTGACGATACCAAATCTCAAACTGCCTGATGGCAATCAAATACCAATGGTAGGCCACAACGCATTGTATTTAGTCAGTGGAAGAAGGCACCTGACAGATTTCTCTCACCAGATTGGATATGGATTGGGCACAGCGTGGTACAAGAACGATGCCAATTCTCCCAAAGACCAGGCAACGATCGATGCAACCAAGACGGCCATCGGGGTTGGCTATACCCATCTGGATGGAGCAGAAGTATACAACACCGAAGAGGAATTGGGTGACGCCATTAAACAAAGCAAAGTTCCTCGCGACAAACTGTTCATCACCACGAAGGTTCTGCCCCATATCGACGACATTCCCGGCGCCATTGACGCAAGTTTGAAGAAGTTGGGGTTAGACTATGTCGACCTCTATCTCATCCATGCACCCTTCTTTGCTAAGGGGGACCCTAAAGTTCTTCAGCAGAAATGGGCGGACATGGAGCAGTTGGCGGCAGCAGGGAAGACGAAAAGTATCGGTGTCAGCAATTTCTTGAAACCCGACTTGGATGCCATCCTTGAGACTTGCAAAGTGCAACCTGCAATGAATCAGATTGAATTCCACCCGTACCTCCAGCATGGTGACCTCCTGGCATATCACCAGAACAAAGACATCAAGGTGGCGGCCTATGGTCCTTTGACGCCCATCACTCGAGCTAAGGGCGGTCCTCTGGATGGATATCTGGATTCTTTGGCCAAAAAATATGCAGTCAACCCGGGAGAAGTTCTTTTGAGATGGTGCATGGATCAGAACGTGGTCCCTATCACCACAAGTTCCCAAAAACAGCGCTTGAGCGATATGTTACGAGTTTTCACGTTCGAACTCACGCCCAAGGAAGTTGAAGAGATATCTGAACTGGGCAAGACCCACCACTTCCGAGCATTCTGGAGTCGCTTCTTTGATGCCAACGACAAGTCGTGAAGCCTAGACGGGAGAGAACGTTCGCCCCAATATTACCATTAGAGCATCCTGGTCTTGGGTGTTATTTCCCTCGCCTCGGTCGATGAGTGTGTACTCACTAATCGGTTCATGGCAAGGTGCTATGACTACACTGGCTGACCTCAACCTCCACATCGGGGAGTAGCTTCCATACCCACGCAATCGTCTGGAGATCTTGAAGCTGGCCGTCATAGTTCTGCGACCGATCATAACATATATGCGAAACAGCCAAGGTATTTCAACTAGCTATATCTATTCCGAGTGCATTTATTCGTCCCATGGCAATTTTATGGATGGTTTATGATGGTGTGAGCGTTGATATCTCTCTCGCGCGCGCCGCGTATGCTTCAGCCATGCATCTATTGACTTGTTATGTTAGTGTTTAAAGATGTATTGAAGGTGAGATTTCCACTCGTTAGACTGGCCGAGCTACACTCCACTGCGCTGCCCAATTGGTCGGTGCTCCAGCCAAAGAACCCTTGTACTCTTCTTCGTCATCATCTCGTGCCCCCTCAATTCCATCGCACCTTCCATCCATGCCGCCGAAACTGACGTCCACATGTCCATTCGATCTGGCTACGTTCACACTGGTAAGGTGGATGCAACTAATGCCTGAGTGCCTGCAGACCTCGGAGCCCTGTCCCACCTTCCTACATAATTCTGACATTGGAAAAAGGACCAGCTACTCAGGAACGGGTCCAACGAAGAGGTGGGATCATCGTGAAGAGCTTCTTGCTGAACCTCCATATAGATTTCCGCTCGCTCCCCGATCTGATCTGAACTTCCTCCCTTGCTTCATACCACACAGTTCTCTCTCAGATAGAAGCAAACATCACTCACACAGACTTGAGCCCCCCTCCCCTCCTCTCAATAGCCACCTCTCCAACATTCACAATGCATACCCTAACAATCCTCACCACGGCTCTTCTCTCAATTCTCTCACTCGCCACGGCGTCCCCTGTTCTCGAGGCCAGACAAACCACAGCACCCCCCGACCGGTACAACCTCCGCACCAAACTCGTCAACGGCGACCACATAGACTGCGGCTCCAACAAGACTGATCTGTGGGTGTATTCCTACCACACCGGCGCTGGCCTAGGAGATGCCGGCTTGTCTTCCAACAAATCTGTCGCTTGGGAAGGGTACCTGAACGGCACACAACAATACTTTACTTACGAAGGCAACGAGCTGGGTCCCTGGCCCATGTATATCGGATACGGCGCCTACCAACGTAAGTCAACCAGCCAGCCAGTCAACGACAACGGTTTTGTTGCTAACAGATGATGTATATTTGGGATGATAGAATGGAACCCAGCCACCATCAGCATCTCTGGAATCCGCCAACCGTATCAGGGCTTCTTCTTCAACTCGACCGGCCTGCAATATAACAACAGTCTTCACGGCTGGTTGGGTAAGTGCGCATCTTCATATCCATACCATGGCTCTCGTCGACACCGACATTGGCATTGATCTTTGCTCACTAATGCCCAGCTTGTGACTGGTGGCACGGCGTGCCTCAACTTTTCAACTTGGACGGTGGTACCTATGGACCTATCCCCAAGACTTGTTCCAAGGTCCAGCTGTTGCCTGTGGCTGTTTGAAAAGCGACCATTGTTGGTTTCCTTTGCATTTGCCTAATTCAGGAAGAAAGTGGTCCGATTGCATCAACTGGGGCCGACCAAAAAGATTTCGACAACGTGTGAGTGACTGCATCGCATCTCATTCTGCATAGTTTAATTCAGAGCATCGCATTGCATTGTGTCCCTGGTGATGGTAGTTTTTACGATAATGAAAGAAAACGATCGCATGGAGAGTCCAGAGGATACTAATAGGCTACTTGACTGTACCAACAGGCGACTACTCGGTCTTTTGGGCTACAACACTTAACTTGGGCAGCTTTTGTTGTTGTCTCGTCTTTTCCCTATCACGGCACAGTGTTGATCGCATATTTGTGAATGACGAAATACGACTACTTCATCAATCAATTTCCTAGCCAAGCTATCATCTTCCATAGTCGAAGTACACTAAATGTGGTTCAATCCAGCGACGCCCAAGCTTCCATCTCCAACTGCCAAATGATGAGGAAAGAAATCTAGTGCAACGGTATGCCGGTTCCTCGAATATCCATTTCGGTAGATCAACGGCGCCACAGCCGCCGGTGGCGACGTCACGGTGCTTGTCGACCCCAATTTTCCACCGCTAACTCTCGCCTACGCCTTTTGCTTCGGATGAATCAGATATATCCTCAACGATCTCGTAGTTATTCGCAATTGTCGGCACGCAGTTTGTTAGCTGCATAAGTCAAAGGTTCCCATACGTGGTTTAATCGCTCCGCCGTAATTTACAAGGGAAATCCGCCGCCGCTTTTGGAGTTCTTCTTCCCTAGATGCCACATCCGCTTTCACCTATTGCCCCCTATTGAAGCGTTCATTGTTGGCCAGAATAGGCAATGCTGGCTTGACGTGTCACCGCGGCTGGCTTGGCATTATCACCCTGTAGTGACACTTGCACCCTCAACCCTTTCCACCTACTTATGTTGACATTCATCAGAGTGTGCTTTGAGATAGATCAATCAATCAGTCAATCAATCCTCTCTCCCCGTACAGATCATCACTCATAATCTCTCCTACCTTAGTGCACCCACCTCTCGCCTCAGTACACACCTGATTCATCAACAACTTTCCCTGTCTGATTCTTCTACCTGCTTTTTCTACTCCAATATTGCGCCTTCCGGCCTTCGAACCTCAACATGAATACAATTTGCGGACCCAGCGATGGGGCACTTACATATACACCCATGTCAAGGTCATCCTCAAGCTCAACTACATCAAAAGAAGCTACGGCAGTGGAGAGTTCACCACCGAAGATATCGCCCTTAGAGGGATTAGAAGACGCTCGTATCTATTCGTACAAAGGGATCCGAGATCTAAAAGAACGTGTCAAATCGCAGTCTGCTGCGTTGATGGACGGTCACACGAATCAGCAGTACCTTGTTTTCAGGGGTGTCACAAAAGGCCACCTTGAAAAGATTGACCATCAGCGCGCCAACATAGGGAAGCATACTCGGATGAGCCATTACGCGGATAACAATCTATTAGTTATCAAGCTGATGCCCTCAGGGGCACATGAAGGTGCGCACCTCACACTATCCCAGAGACTTCGTGACGAACTTATCATCACAATGGGCCTCCCACGAGAGTGCTTATATCCTGTTGGCGGGACAACGTACAAACTCCCTAATTCCTCTAAAGAGGGTGATACGGGATTCCGCCCCTTCCCGACCCGAAAAAGGGAATTTGACTGGCCAACAATTGTTTTTGAGTCTGGACTCTCTGAAACGCTTACTCGTCTGAGACATGACGCAGCTTGGTGGATTGTCAACTCTGGAGGAGATGTCAAGATTGCCATCATCATCTCAATAAAGCGAGCACACAAGACGCTAGTGGTCGAAAAGTGGTGCTGTTCTCTGCCTCCTACACATAGACCAGCTACCAGAGGCCACCCAAATCCCAACGCTCCAATTCCGACAAAAGTCCAAGAGCTTACTATCACCCAAAATCCCACTCCACAACGAGGTCCTACTGCTCAGTCGAATACCATCGGTCAGCCAATTGTCACCGTTCAGCCAGGCACTGTCTCAGCCTACGACGTTGCTGGAGCGCCTCTGATTCTCGAATTTGACAAAATCTTCCTCCGAGCCGCTGTACCGCCAGAAGGCGACGTCGTCTTTAATGTCCCGAATCTTGCCGCCTGGGCGGATTTCTTCTGGGAGGGCGTTAGCTAGGGAAATCAGAAGGGTTATGTCAGGGTGGGGACGTACGAGGGAACGAGAATGGAGATCCGACAATGATATTACTATCCAATGCACTATGAAGTACATGACGAGAGACAAAGAGCGTGAAAGCAATGCAAACCCATCCCAGATACTTATAGCCAGCGGTACAGTCATGCTGCAAGGCTACCACACAGGCACACAAGGCTATGAGCAGGCACACGAGGCTATTCGACAGCCACAGTGGGCCTGCCAAGACCGTTCGAGGGGATTCCAGGTTGCGCCATGACAAGAGCACTCCTTCACCTCAAGTTGCACACAAAGTTTGACAAGGCTTATTCAGGACAACAGAAGCGCCATAGATTTCGAATTGAATGCTCTGCTCTTTAGCAACTGGTCCTGCCAGGTTGCTGATTGAAGCGTAGCTTCTTTTAGACTCCGACCCCCGAGCCGCGACCCTAAGAATCAATTGTGTTCACGTGACTTAAGCTGTCTCTGATTGGTCAAGAAATTCCGGAGGGGGAGAACGGCAGCAGCAACGTTGTCAAACCGTTTCACACCATTGTCGAGTTCTGCACCGTCGCCAGCAAAGCGGAGCGCTTGATCACCATCACGATGCGAGTCACCGTCAGCGCCTCTAGTCCCTTGACCATACCGAACTATCGCCTCACGTCTGGATACATACCCATCCACCTGGACTCATAAGGATCTCCCCACAGAGCTGTTAGCATCTTGCGGCTTTTGCTACACCCAGGACTCGGGAGAGGATGCGTGCATTTGTCACGTATGTGACGAAGTATACAGCCTGCGAGAATTAGCAGCAGAAAATAAATACATTGGCAAGAAGAAAGAACAAAGAGGTGGCCAGTAGACTTTTCCAAGACCACCAAGCGAAGGTAAATGCCCCAGAAAAGTGTAAGACCCAGGACTAGGAAGTTGCTGCACCATTGAAGGACCAGTAACACTCGGGAAGGCGCTCTTGATGACCTAGTTGATGGCTCGAAAGGGGCAACAGTCTTGCAGTGTCGACGGATCTAAATGCTGAAGCATAGAATGAACCGGTGGACAATAGAAGTAGCGCGTTGTAATTAGCTAGTCCCCTATGGGCTCAGCCCACACAGGGTGTATGAAATCAACTCAACTCAGCCCTCCTGGATGGGCCATGGACTGGATCCGATAGAGTTAGCCAACTAGAGCACGTGATTATGTGTCGGATTATAGATTTTCCGGGATATGGCGGCACTCCACCCATTCCTGGGCGGGCCGTGGATTGGATCCGATGGGGTGAAGATTACTTAATATTCGGATTATAGATTTTCCGGATCCGAAGGGGTTGGCCAATCACGTGAATCGTGGTAGGGCCGCATGTATGCGCCGCCAAGAATTGCCAAGACTAATGCGGCCGGCTCAATCACGTGATGTCTCGAGCGCAGCGAGGACTGGGGGTTTGGGGCCTCGCCCCCAAAATACAGACCAATAACGTTAGCCAATGGCTTGGCGCTGAAACGCACTTAGCGCTCCGCTAGGTGGACTTAGGGTGGTTTTACACCCTACAGCACAATAGTCGCAAGGGTAAGTAATCTTAATATTTTACACGTTTTTGTTGACCCCTAAATCCTACATAGGAGTGGTAACCGTTATTCCCGGTAAAGGGGCTCTTGCTTGTTGGGCCGAGAGAAGATTGATTGAATCTATCTGAGCGAGGCGCATGCTACAAAAAGGCCACGAAGGCTGCGTTGCACGTGACTAGGCTAGTCCTAATGTGGACTGCTAACATTGCTACTGTCTAATCGTTCAATAGTTTCTCAAGGGTCTGGAGGGCTGCGGAAGGGCGGACTGGAAGGAGGCCTGAGAATTCAGGGCGCCGGCCGATCATGTGAAGCAGGGCAGAAATGCCAGGGGTCCCAGGATGAAGAGAGATGGAGAGGTCGATGTCGAGGAGGATGGGAGAGCGGTTCTTATAGCGACGTCAAAAGCGGCAGGAACGTGCAGGCCGCTACCGAGGCAATTTTGACGGAGTCCGGATGTTTTTATAATCAATCTGGTCCCATGCGAATCCTCTATTTGTTGGAGCCTCTCTTTGAATGTTAATCGCTGTTCTGGATCCTTACTTTGTCTTTCCAATCTTCTGCTACTCTCGCCATCGTAGGAGAATAGCGGCACAAAGACCAATCATGGCTCCAACATACAAGTCAATTGTCCTCGCCAAACGGCCCAAAGACAATATCATCCCCGGAGAAACTTTCTCACTTATTACCGACAATCCGACTCCTTCCGCCAGTGATCTCAAAGATGGCGAGGTCCTCTTCGAATCGAATTATCTGAGCATAGACCCGGCCATGCGTGGCTGGCTCAACGATACTAGATCGTATATTCCGCCCGTCAAGATTGGAGAGGTGATGCGGGGCCAAGCTATTGGGACCGTCAAAGCAAGCAAAGACCCAACATTTCCGGTGGGAGGCTACGTCACAGGTATGGTCGGATGGACCGAGTTGAAGGTCTGCAAAGCAAAGGAGTTGGAAAGAATCGAAGTCCCTCGAGGCGCCAGGCTGACTGATGCATTGAGTGTGCTGGGTATGTAGTCACGTCTAGAATTTCCAATGAAGTTTGGCTGATGCCACTTTTCTAGGAATAACTGGCCTGACCGCATATTTCGGCATCATTGATGTTGGCAAGGTTCAAGCCGGAGATTTTGTTGTTGTCTCTGGTGCTGCTGGTGCAACCGGAAGTGTGGCTGGACAGATCGCCAAACTCAAGGGCGCCACTGTTCTGGGAATTGCAGGCAGCGATGACAAGTGTCGATGGTTAAAGCAAGAGTTAGGGTTTGATGATGCCCTCAACTACAAGGATCAGGATTTCTTCAAAAAGTTCAGGGTGGCAACCAAGGTGAGTTCCACGACGTATAAAGCCTACACATGAGGGACACAATCGCTGACTCCGTGCCGAATCTGATTGACGTGTTCTTCGACAATGGTAAATGATGTTCTTGTCCATCTCTTGACATGTACTTATAATTCCAGTGGGTGGTGAAATTCTCGATATGGCATTGGGAAGAGCTAAACCTCATGCTCGATTTGTCATGTGCGGTGGTATGTGACATTCCATGTACGATGAGGATTTCTGGATTCTGACGTCCAGCCAGGTATCAGCCAGTACAATTCTTCTCGACCGGAGGGCCCAAAGGTGTGTTCCACAAATCTCAACGCATTCATAACTAAACATCTTTCTAGAACTATCTGATGATCATCACGATGCGCATACGGCAAGTCTCCCGCATCAAGCGTCGAACCCAAACTAACACCATCTAGGATGGAAGGATTCATCGTGTTCGACTATCAAAAAGAATATCCACGAGCGCTCAAAGACCTAGCTCAATGGTTATCAGAAGGCAAGATCAAGAGAAAAGAAACAATCGCTAAGGGAGGTTTGGAGCAGGCTCAGAATGCATTGAGAGATTTGTATCATGGTGTTAATACAGGTGAGACACACATACTTGGTCAAACATGAGTGTCGTGAAATAGGCTGACAAAGGACAAGGCAAATTGTTGGTGGAGGTCAAACCTGTTGATGAAAGACTCAAAGCATCTCTTTAAGAGAAATCAAGAGACAAGATGAAATTCCTCAAAGCTCGTCACCACCTTTTTTTTTTTTTTTTCCCCTTTTGCCGCGTGAGCATCACTAAAATCGGAATTACAAGGCTGAGGTTCTGCATGATGAGGTCAGTCCGTCAACAAGGATCTTTCTAACTCCGCATCCCAATTTTCCAGCAACATGATCTGCAACATAGGTATGCAATGTCACCTCAATGCGGCACCAATCCATTGCCGTTCCATAACCTCCCCAATTCTCCTCGTCGGTTGAAGCCGTGACCGACTTTCAATTTCCTGTTGTCTTCCTGCTCTTCCAGTTTCCTTTCTATGTATTGTTTTACGCAATGGCGTCCAAGACAACGATCTTCCTGAGTATCCTCATATACTCTTCCCTCTGTCGGGGACAGACTGCCACCTCCAGCACTAATCCAGCGACATATACCAATCCAATTCTGGATGGCGTTGGAGCAGATCCGTCAGTTGATCCCTCATTTCACAATGGTCAAGTTGAAGGCTCATGGTCGTTGACAGCTGGGTCATCCGCCATGACGACTATTACTACATGACCTACACTACCAACGACAACATCACCATTCTTCGAAGCAGTGTCCTAACGTAAGTCGGCTACGATTGACACCTTCCATCCTCATCCCTATCATTCAAACACCACTCCCCCATCCCCTCTTCTGATTCACTAATTCACCCCACGCTTTAGTGACTGGAACAACGCCGACATCAAACTGGCCTTCGCCCCACCCGAGAACACGTCCTACCGCTACGACCTCTGGGCCCCGGAGCTCCACTTCATAAATGGTCTCTGGTACATCATCTTCACCGCCGATGTGGACGCCGACTCACCCTCTCCCGAGCAAGACATGCTCTGCGACTTCACCTGTCCCGCGGTCAACCACCGCATGTTCGTGTTAGAATCCTCGTCCTCCCATCCGTGGACCAGCACCTACACGTTCAAGTCCGAACTGGATACCTACGACCAGTTCGCGATCGACGGCACATACTTCGTCCACTCCACCGGCATCTACCACGTGTATTCGTGCTGGGAAGCCCAATACACCTCGTGGCCCAGCATGCTGTGTATGTCGCGCATGACAGATCCGTGGACCGTGTCGTCATCTCTCGCTGAGCGCGTCGTGATATCTTACCCCGACCAGCCCTGGGAGAAAACGCCGTATAACCGCACGGTTAACGTAAGGTTGTCGTCGAACGAAGGCCCGGAACAGCTCGTCAACCCGGCCACGGGGCAGCAATTCATCATCTACTCTGCTGCACGCAGCGATAATCGGAATTACTGCCTTGGTCAACTGGAATTGGTGGGTGAAGATCCGATGAACCCGGCGTCTTGGTCCAAGTCTACGGCCGGGTGCATATTTTACGAAAACTCGGCCGACTCAGTGTATGGTGTAGGGCATGCGAGTTTTACGACGTCTCCGGATGGAACAGAGGATTGGATCGTGTATCATGGCATGCGAGACTATGAAAACGGATGGAGTGCGAGGACGATTCGGACGCAGAGGTTTGACTGGAATGAAGACGGGAGTCCGAGGTTTCCGAGGCCAGGAATCGGGCCGTATGCGGTGCCAAGCGGGCAAGAAGAGGGAGGAAATGGTGGTACTCCAGGCGCAACATCCTCGATGACAACGGAATTAGAAGAAGTGTCGACGGGGGCTTCGAGCACCGTCTCAAGTTTGACTTCGTACGTGTCAAAGCACATGACGACGTATGGCGGTGGTGGGGACACCGGGCTATCTGCGTCGGGCAGCTGGCAGACGACATGGACCTGATGTGCGATCTCCCGAAAATGAATTGTGTCCTCGGTTTCATCAAGACGTTTGCTTGCAGTATCTGGGGTCAAACAAACAAATACGTCGGGTGCAGGAGGCCTAGAGCAGGGACCTTGGCTAAGATACCCAGCAATCTAATGAAACTCTCCCGTTCAACGGAATAACAGGTTCTGTCTTTTGCACGATTGTCCAACCACAAACCGACACACACCACTGGTGTCGTCCTTCGTGAAAAGGCACGTGATCACCTCAATACAGCCCCTCGACTAATCCTCTCACCGTCTTCAAGACCTCTTCATCCTGTGCACTCTTTTCCTTGCCCGGCATCAATCCACCCGTGGCCCGTGCGCAAATGATATCGATCTGATCCTTCCCCACACCCCGTTCTGTGAGTGTTGTCTTGAGCCCCAAATCCTGCACCAGCCCCAAGATCTTGTCGCCGACTAAGTCGCTGTCTTTCAAATCATCCCCCAATCGCTTCTCGCCCATGTATGGGAGGATGGCGGCGATTTTTTCTGCGTTCTCTGCACTTTGACGGGCCTTGATTTTCACGACATGACCCAGTGTCAGACATGAGGTGATGCCGTGGGGAATTCCGTATGGCGAGCCCAATGCGTAGCCCAGCGAGTGCGAAAGGCCCAGGCCGCCCTTGGTGTTCAATCCGAGGAAGCCCAGACTGGCGTAGGCAGCGAGGAAGAGACCAGTGATGATGTCTTCGTTCTTTGAGTCGGCGTGGTACTTTGGCAGGAGCCGGAATAGTTCGCCGATCGCGTTCAGCGCCACAAGCCGCGTCGGCACCCAGGTCGCGCTCGGGTGGTATTGTAACTCGATGGCATGGTCGAGGGCACGGAAGCCGGTCGAGAGGATGAGGCTGGGTGGCGTGTAGAGGCCGAATTTGGGGTCGTAAAAGACGTAGGATGGGTAGACACTCGGGTGAGAGATGCCTGTCTTGACGCCGTCTGCTTGTGTATAGCCCGCCACGGCAGTGCATTCTGCCGCGGACAAGGTGGTCGGGATGGCAATATGCATGAGCCATTTGTTCGACATCTCATGGACTCGGTACACGATGGCTTTGGCGCTGTCGATGGGCGACCCACCGCCTACACTGATAATCGTGTCAATGGTGCCGTCATTCGTGACTTGTACCGTTGCCTCGTCGAGTTGTGCCACCGGTGCGTGTTCTTTGATGTGACTGAATGTGCCGGCGTGGTGGTGTTTCGATGAGAGAAGATCTTCGAGAGACTGGATTAAGGGCGTCTTGGTCGCGAGTGAGGTGCCCGTGACGATGAATGCCTTCGACGACTCGCTGGGGAGGACGGACAAGATTTGTTTCTTCACCACGTCAGGTCCATAGTACAGTCCTTTCAGCGCGTTGGGTTTGTAGAGGCCAGCGAGAGGGTGCGTTGATGCATCCATTTTTCCCGGTCTAGTTGATGTCGATGCCTGTTTTCTGAAGGTGGAAGCACCAGTGAAGATGGGTGAGAGGTGGGCCTGTGTCTGTCGAGCCCGGAGCATTGAGGAGCCTGTCGCCCGCTTTGTGATGAGGTATTGATGAGCGACACGGCACACGGGATTCTCTCCGCCAGAAAGAACGTTGGTCGGGGTTTAGATCATTATCGATGAATAGCCCTATGTGGTAATGATCCCCGATTAGAAAAGGAATTTTATAATCGATGTCAGCATTCAGAGAGGAAGCAAGTTGTAGTCTTGCCGTCATTGGCCTCTTGCAGTTGTAAAATCGTTGCCGGAAAATCCGCCTCCGGTTTAGGTGGCCCTGCCCTTTCGGGTATGGTCGCAGGCTGGGCGCGCCGCCGCTTTATAAGAACACTCTTGTCCTTCCCCTTCCTCTCTTTCTCTTTTCTAACCCTGTTTCCTTTCTTTCGCCTCCGTCGCGCTGATCCACCCGTCGTACGCCGCCTAGCACCGCCTAAATTCCACCGGCTCCTTTCAAAATCTGCACCCCGATCACTCTGCACCCTCCATGCAACCCGTTTCAGCCCCCTTTCATGTCTCCCGTTCCTTCATGGCATATTTGGTTTTACCGGCCGCGCACCGTGCAGGCTCAGCTAACCCCTCCATCATCTACGCCTCGACCAGAGTCCTGAGGGCGTCGGCGTCGATGCGTCTCCTGTTGGCCTCCTTGCGAAGATGAATTCGCGTGATGGGCTCCTCTGGCGATTGTTCTAGACTTTCGAAAAGCCCGGAGAGATAGCCGTCAAAATCGAACATCGTCAGTCGCTCGTGGTTGACACTCAGCTCTCCGTGCCGCACCGTCGATGCTGGGATTCTGCGCCTTGAACCTGGTGGACAACGACGTGGAAGACGGCGCACCACAGCTGGCACAGCCGGCTGAGTGCCGTACCTGTTTGCGTCTCATCGCGAAAATACCGCACGAGTTGATCGGCAGCGAATCTGCATTGCTACCGGCGTTCCGCCTCGAATTTGCAACGTTGAGGCGGGGCTGCGTTCTCCATTTTGACCCCCAGCGGCTCGGGGCAAGGGGCTGTCATCCGGCGATAGGGGGCCACGTCGGCATATTCCAAGTGGATTCTCAGCTGCTGTCTCCTCTTTTTGAGCTAAATGCAGTATGGTGGTCCTCGAAACAGGACTTGAGAACGATGGTGCGAAAGGGGAAGGGTGGAAATTGCGATTCACAAGACACACTTTCACTCAGCCGGCCCAAGGAGCAAGGTCTTTTTCGACCTGTATGGCCTGTCGTGACAAGCGGAGAAAGAGAAGCGCTCGACAGCAGGACCTTCGAACGCAGTGAGGCCTGGGGGTATGGGGGCTAGCCCCCATAAAAGACATAGTGATCAATATCGTCTACATATGGTTCATGGACTGGATCCGATGGAGGATATCGTACGGCACAAGACACCGTGATCAACATCGTCTATATATGATCCATGGACCGGATCCGATCAAGGGGGTCTGGCAAGACAAAGGGAGCATTCTACCCATTCCTGGGTGGGCCAAAGGCTTGGCAATCTCGAGCGCAGTGAGGCCGGGGGGTTTGGGGGCTAGCCCCCAAAATACAGAAGCTACGCTTTTACCCCCTGTGGAATATCCTGTCCGCGACCCCTAGTGGCCGCCTCGTCGCTTTCTGTCCTGTAGAGGCTGGGGTGGACCAAGGGGTTGCCGGTTGAGTGCTACCTAGCGGCAGAGAGCGCCTATCTATCCGCAGGGTGGGCTGTCACGTGGATTCACGTGATGGAATCACGTGCCGTAGCTGCTACGCGGGGCCTATTCTTGGCTTGGCGTGTGACTCTCGTGTCACACCTACGGCGTTGACTTCACGTGTCACCGCCGTGTAAACACCTGCGATGTCACTTGAGGCAACTTGCGCCCCTAACCTTTCTACTCATTCGTGCTCTGGGATAGATGAACAGAACCAGTCAATCATTCAATGGATTGAACCATCTTCTCATCGATGATCCATCACCTCTGCTGCCGCTGTTGCTTGCCGCTCCTACTCCCCGCTTTCTCTCCTCCCTGCCTCTCTTCTCGTCACGTCCGGCTATGCTAGATAGCATGACGATGAGCACCCCTCCAGCGCCGAACATGGGGCATACCTGGCCAGGCTCTCAAGCCGCGCAGGTAAAGCCCGTTATACCAGAGAAGAATCCAATAGTTTTGAATACAAGGGAGACGAACAGGCTGCACAAGTGCCTGGAGAGAAATTACCCGAAACAGTGGGAAGAGGAGTTACAAGATATGAGTGCAGACGAGTTGTGCAGGTGGCTGGAGGAAACCGATCCGGAAGAGTACAAAAAGCTGCAGCTCCCGAGTCGGGCGAAGGAGGCCACCACCAATTTCGCCTCCCACGTACTGACCTCCCCTCAGAAAAAAGCTATCTTCCATGCTTTGCAAAAAGATTGGAACAGTGTCTATTTTCCGCACTCCCTAATTGCGCTACGGGACCTCATTCGGCGGTACCAGCTACTCGATGTGAGCAAGTATTACGCAAAGACCTTGGTATTCGTTCAGAGCAGCGGTACGGGCAAATCAAGATTAGCGGATGCTTTCGGCCAACTCTGTCCCATGATCAACTTCATTCTCCGTGAGCCTGGAACTTCCGGCTTTCCACCTCCTGATAAAGAGATACTGTCATTTCTGCGCGAGAAGCGGCCAGACAACATCCCCGAGCCCACCAGCCTGCAGGGGACATCTAGTGATTTTCTGGAGAGGAGAGCGATCGTAGCGTGGAATCACACTCTCGCTGCAGCATTGCTCCAAGCCAGTTTCGAGATATGTAAGTTGCTAATGGATTTTTCACCAAACTCTCGCTAATTCGATCCTGTCAGTGAATATCTGGGTGGAGAGCAAGCCCTTTAGCGAGATGACTCTAGAAAAGCTTGCAGGTGACAGGCACGCAGAGATGGCACCGCTTGCACCAGCTACCGATGCTAACGACACTCAGAACCAACGCTCCAAGATGCGCATCGAGTTCGGCGAATCGGTAGCTAAGAGAGCTCGGGCTATCGCCAACGATTTGATTTTCAGTCCGGCCTGGGTCGAGAAGTTCGACGATGACCGCTCCTCAAGCATTCGTCGTCAATTCGAAATGGCGTGGACAGAACCCCTCGATCCCTTAACCGGCCTCCTCAATGCTGCCGAAAACCTGATCAAAAATATTCAGCAGTGCCGGAACGTAAGTGACACTAACTCACTCTTGGTCATCGTGTTCGACGAGGCGTCAAGTTTGATAGAAAAGGGGTTCTCTGGTGAACCACGCACCGGACTCTATGTGGCGCTTAATCGAGTCATCAGTTGCCTGAAGAAGTTTCGTATGTGGTCCTTCTTCCTCTCAACAGAATCTCTCATCGGACACCTTGTACCGCCGAACAATATCATCCGAACTGGCGATTACTCTCGCGACCGTTCCGCTCGCGTCAGTTTTACACAGCCCGCCGAACTGATGCGCTTTCCCCCATTTGTGAGTCTCCAGCTCGACATCGAGGACCGACGAAGGATGCAGAATCCAATACTGAGGAGAGAGGAGCTCGTCAAGTCGTTAAAGAAGTTTGCGGACCTCAAGCACATGGCCTTATTCGGTAGGCCTCTCTGGTATGCATATATATGTCAGCAAGAGAATATGATCGATGTGGCCAAATTGAAGCTTCTGGGCGGCCAGCAACAATCAGAGTACAATCCACTCGACCCGAACCACGTCTTTGCGGCGCTGTCCTTTCGTCTCTCTTTGGATGTCTGCCGGCAGAACCCCGCCACTCTCTCCCTCACAAGGGAGGCGGTGAATTCCTTTATGAGAGTGGTCATATCTATGGACCACGAGACGGGAATGATGGACACAACGACGCCATCTGAGCCAGTGTTAGCAAAGGCAGCAATGGAGCATCTCTGCATCGAAGGCCGCTGGTCGTTGAGCATTTCCACGCTCTGTATGGTGCTTCTTGAGAAAGGATTGATCGAAAAGGGGCGCAAAGGAGAACTCTATGCTCGATTAGTGTTGATCCTTGCACACGACTGGGTTCGGTGGGCTCGTGAACCAGTATTTCCGCCAACCTTTACGGTGTGCGACTTTCTCATGGCATTATATGCTAACGATCATCACGATTCAATTCGAAAGATACCTGAGCAGACACTGGGAGCTAGAATGAACTTCACTCATTTTCTATCGACTGATACACAACTTACCCCCGAGGACATTCCTGCATTATGTCGGGACCTGTTGCGCCGGAGTGCTGCGATGCAGCTATGTTGGAACCAGGAAACATACGATCTACTGATTCCGGTGTACTATGGCACGGAGGATGAGACGTTCGACCCTTCGAATTGCGGAGTCATCGTAGTACAGGTGAAGAACAAAGAGAATGCCACAACACCTCGAGAGATCTTCGAGGAGGAGTTTATCAATGTCAGCCCGAACAAGTCGGATTCGGGCAAATCGAAGGCGATGAGTTCTGATCGCAAGCCGACGAAATTTGTGTTCACTCAGATGGCGAACCCGATCCTGTTCCTACTCTTCGATCTAGGGGTGGTCAGAAGCAGTGCGGCTTACGCTCCACTTGTTCAAGTGATGCGCAGCGCAAATGAAAAGCAACCTGATTTGTGGGCTATCCATTCGCGAGGACACGGCCATACCATCTTTGGCTGCCTAGAGCACTTCAAGGCTACCGATTCGAGCGAGCGGTTCTTTGCTGCGATACAAACGGGCAACACTCTGGCCGATCGACTCTCTCAGAGAAATAGAATGTTCTCCGAAATTAACGAAAACTTCAGATATGAGCAAGAGAGTGAGGCCAGAATGCAGGAAGTGGAAGCAAGACTGACCGGATCGAAGGGAAAGGAAGTAGAAAGTCCCGAGGACGAGCAGTTCGGCAAAAGAGCGCGCCTGGCATGAGCACGAATATCAGCATAAGTAGTAGGCTGTGTAGCAGTTTGAGCAGAAACAGAAGCGCGAACTTCGCCTCAACATCTCCCCGGCTTTAGTCTGTAGCTGAGAGAGGTCTGGTCAATTGATTGATTGACGCAGTTTGAGTCGATTTTGCGAAGGTCGAACAAAGCCCTCTCTGTGTGAGGAAATCCAGAGGGATCGTCCCTCCAGGTCCTCGAGGCGTCATGGTTATGCCATGAGGATTAAAAATCGAGGTGAACCTGATAAGGAGGAGTGCGCCAGGAAGATCAACGACGACGACAACAGCATCAACAGGAGCCTCAAAGGCTTCTACCGATGCCACTCGACGACCTGGACGACCAATCACAAGGCGCGCACGATCCGGTCATCGACAACGCTGATTTGTCGAAATAACATTCCTGGCACGTCAGTTTGATTGCTTGAATCGAGGCCCTCGTTAAGCAACTTTCAGTTGGGGAAAAGGGGGTACAAAGTAGCGCAAGGATAGAGTGTCCGAGAAAGCCGATCTGGCGTCAAACATTCTGAGCCTATTTCCCATAGAAAACCCTCCAACTCGTTCCCGGCGTGCCCTGTAGAGTGCTCTGCGTCATCAATCAAGTTGTGTATCCATCCGACGTCGTCATCGGTGTCGGCGTCGTCGTTTGGTTTGGTGTTGACCAGTGTTCCGAACTAGCAAATACCGACCTCGTCGCCGATATCGTTGTCGGCTTTCCTAATTGATTATACCGTCGTCTACTCATGGGCCATGGATTGGATCCGATGGAGGATATCGTACGGCACAGGGCACCATGATCAACATCGTCTACATATGGTCCATGGACTGGATCCGATGGAGGATATCGTACGGCACAGGACACCGTGATCAACATCGTCTATATATGATCCATGGACTGGCAGACAAAGGCGGCATTCTACCCATTCCTGGGTGTGCGGTGGACCGGATCCGATGGTGTTAGCCAATCAGAGCAAAGAATTAGGTCATTTTCGGATTATAGGTTTTCCGGGCTACGGCGGCACCCTACCCACTCCTGGATAGGCCGTGGACTGGATCCGATGGGGTCAGCCAATCAGAGCAAAGGATTTGGTAGTTTTCGGATTATAGATTTTCCGGATTAAGGGTGGTTTGCAATCACGTGACAAGCTATGGGCAAGAACAATTGGAGGCCTTTTATTGGTCAGATTAGAGTTTTAGTGGATCCCGGGCAAAATACAGTAAAACGTGTCGAATTGGGTAAGGCATATTTAGCGTCTTGGCAAATGGGCGAAATACCCGTTACCCGGCACTGGTCGCCTAAATTCGGCGGGAAATTTCCCTGCAACCTACGTTAAACTATAACAGCCAGGGCAAGTGATGGCTTCACGTGTTGCCACGTGACGGCCAACCCTGCGCATAGATAGGCGATCTCCACCGCTACGTAGCGCCTAGCCAGCTCCTACAGTCTCGACACGATGGAATCGACAAAAATCTCGTCACTATACCTCGGCCTGTGTCCACAAACCTCTTGTGCTAGTCAGAGCAGCCAGATATCACTACGATCTCTATGTCGGGTTACGCATCACTCTTCAGATGACTCTGCAGTACGCTAGCCTCATCCTATTTTTCACTGCTGCTATCGCTAAAGATAATTTGCTCATAATCCGTCCCCTCCTTTGGGAAGTCGATCGTGTAATTTCCGAAGCAGGCGGAAGGAAAGAGCATGCTCATAAGCATGATCATGCTCGAGCCTTTTTGTATCCGGTACAACGTGACCAGTTCCTTGTCCGATGGGATCTCTGGGAATGAGAGTGACGACAAGGTACACAAGGCAGGTGTGACAAGCCCAAAGGAACATAAGGAACTGCCAGCCGATAAAAAAAGGCTGAGTAGGCGTCTTCTCGATCACGTGTGGCCGGGGCCCATTTGACCGATTTGGTAAAGCTTGAAGTTTTTGCTTGAAGCTTAACCAAAGACAACCATAATTGCAGCCCATATTTTCTCATTTCAAGTACCTCTCTAGGAACAACCTTCCACAATGGTGCCACTTTGGTCAGTCTTGGTCGACAATTTCTTTCTCCAAGGCTTGCAGGAGACTCCGTCGCCTCATGCAGAATATTCAACATTTGTCGGTTCGAGATCGGACTGCAGAGGCAAGAAACCTATCCTGAAGCCGACGTACAATGTTCCATCGAAGGATTTCTGTCCTCATCTGAGGTCTTTACACATCTCCGAATATCGATCGCCCGATCCTCCGGCATTTCTTCAATGCTGCTTAATGCTGTTTCATAATTTGTTCTTTGCTTTTTGTTCTCTTCTTGGCCTTCTAGCTGCTCTGACATTGGCTGGCGGCTCAGACTCGTGACGTATACGATCTCCTGTAGTCCGATTCACTCAATAATCCAGATATGCATGATTTTGGGCCTTGTGTTCACATTCAGGGATCACCTTTATCCACCCAAGTCCGTGATATTATCAGACCTATAGGTTCTCCAATGTTGTATCCACAATGTTTTCCAAGGCCCTGTTATGCGCATGGGGCCAAATCGTTCGCCCAACCCGTTCGTCCATTCGTTCCTTAACACTGCCAAAGATTGAATTGCCTTTTTGGCTTTGATGCAAACCCCATGAGAGAATTTGGGCACGTCTGGATGTCTCTCACTTCAACTGGGACTATTGGGAGACACGAGGTGGCGTCGTCTCGTCTGCTTTTCATTCAACTGCACGCATAACTGCAGTCGCAAAGATAATCCAGTTTGTCATTTGTGAAGAATCTATTGTACCGTGATGTTGGCGGAAGCCGATCATGGAGGATCTGTCCTCGACTAGGAGGTTCCCGAATTGACCAATATGAGTCGATGTATGTAGACGGACCCCATCTAGCCGGTCCATATATACATACACGAATTCATAATATAAATCAATTATTCAGAGTTCATGTCCTTTGACAAAGATTTTGCCCTTGATCTTTCCCAGAGAATTCATGGAAAACTTACCTCAGAGATGTCGCTTTAAACTCACCCCCTATCTGTTGCTCTCGCGCCAAGAGGCGGACTCTGCTTTCCCCAACCAGCTCGTAGCAGACGTATAAACAGTTCGACAATATCCTCGTATTTGATGATGTGATATACGGGATGCTGTAAGACCTGAAAAGGAATCTTTCTGTCCCTCCAATCTTTTGGTCTTCCAATCTGGGAGTGCCAAGGCATCCTCATGGCTCACCCTCCACCACTTGTTAGGGTGTTAATGTATCCTTCCACTTCGGTGAGCCCTCCTGGTTTCATTGGGATCTGCGATCCGCCCAAAACTAAGCATCTAAGCACTCTGGAAACTATATCAAGGTCCAAAGACTGGCACTCAGCCCAATCCCATCCAAACTTTCCTTTGTGTGATGACTTTCTGGACCTCACTTTCTGGACATCCTCCTCAAAGACCAGAAGCCCAGCCGAAAATTCAAGGGCCGATTTCCACCTGTGGTAATTGTGTTTGAATGCCGATGTGGAGTATGCTATGGGTGCAATGACCAGGCCATGTCTCTCCAGGTGTCGGGGAATCGGATAGTTGTCCTGAGGATAATCCTCCAAGAGGATTTCCCATCATTCGCCCGGGTCTTATCGCTTCATGATCCTGTTCATCAAAGTCATCAAAATGAGGAAGCCAAAGATCGGTACAATGTATGTCTTCGAACACCAGCTCTTTATGGACCGCGAAAACTCAATCTCAATCCCGAACGCGAATGGTACGAGTCCTGCATCGTTATGATGCTTCATAGGACTATCACGAGGCTTCTCGGAAGGATTGAATAAGTTGATGGTATTTGCATTCCTAGGGCTTTGGTGTGAAGCGTCTTTTGGCGAAACCTTCGAGGGCCTCGGGCTTGGTTGGTCCAAGCGCGGATTTGATCAAACCGATATTGTGAGGCCTCAAATTGTAGCGCCTGTTGTGGATGGCTCGGAAAGAAGCCATGATGATACAGGAGATGAACAAGTATCACTTACAGAGGTTCCGATAAACATCTCCTCAGGAGAAGGCTCTCTTTGATCGCAGCCTGTCCAGAAACAGATTCCCACCCATGTCATCCGCACCCTTCATCCCTCCAAGACAATAACAAATCATTGTTCTCCATCAATGGCCCCGGAAAAAGAACAATCTTCGAGAAGCATCGTAAATTGACGACCGGTTGCCCGGATGACGGTAAGGGATCGCGTTGACGAGCAGGTGATTTGGCGATTGAAGAAGAAGCGGCGTACTTATGCATGACATTCATATTTAGAATCGGGCCACTGGAGTCCTCGACCAAGTTGTCGGGCAGCATGCTGAACCGATCCACGAATAGAGATTCGGTTTGGTGGCACAACGGGTGATGTGATGGTGGATCGTGCGACGTTGTACCAGGCACTCACCAGGGTGATGTTGTTGGTTCGGAAAAAAGTTCTTCACGATCTCGCTGCTGTTCCTCCGCAAATAATCGACCACCACGAAGCTCAAATCATCCAAACTAGTTAACTCAGTAACTCTCCTACACCCTTCCTCCCAACACCAATGCATGCTCCTCTTCTCCTCCTCTGACATCTCTCCACCAATATCTCGCCTTTTGCCCTCATCGTCATGCAGGCCGCCTGGCATCTTTGGCGGCCCTCCTCTCTCGCGCCACGCCGACCTGCGCTCGGGTTGCATGTTCCGTGTTAAACGCCAGTCAGCGCAAACCCAGGGCATTCCCAAGGTTTCCAAGGTTGCTTCTGACTGTAGGGCAAATCTGCATTCGCTTTCTTACCCGATGATGCGTTGTTTATCTTAAATCATGGATGCTCGAGCAGACACGTTGTCGGGCCGCTTTGGGGGGCAATGGGCCTTTCTCTCCACGCCGCCTCAACATGGGCAGGCAAGATCCCTTCCTCCGTCGTCGAGTTACCTACGAAGCGACCGTAGCAACGTCTCTCCCTTACCAACCGCCCTTCACTTCCATCAGCTCAATGCCTCCCGTTCCAGCTTACCCAGGAACGTTCAAAACCCCTCTATTGGTGGTAACAGTTCGACCAGCATCCCTTCTCAACCTGTTCTCCTTCGAGTCCACTCTGACGATGCCGCTATACAAATCCGCCCTACAACTCGCTTACCCCGGCCACGAGCCAACATAAGTCACGTAAAGATGAACAACGAGCTCCCACCCATCCAAGAGTATAGCATTCAAGGCATCCTGGCCGCCATTGAGGAGGATATTGAGGAAGATGTCAATGCCATATCCGAAATCTTGGGAAGAAGCAGGCTTGTATTGGCAGATCAACATGACAGTCACCTCCCTCCTCAGGGCGAGATCAGAGCTACGAGTAGCCCTCTACAAGCCGTGGCAGAAGCGAGCTCGAGCAATGAAAGACTGGCCGCGGCCGACAATGTTCTCATATTAAGAGAAGACGCCAGTCTGATTGACGGAAGTCATACCGGGTCCGCGGCTTACGGCCTCTTGGAAAGATTGCAAGCCCTTCCACGGAACAGACGTGTCAGGAGCGACTTCTCGGGGCCTCCTGGCTCCAGACCTGGTACCAGCTCCGTCCGCAATTTCTCATCACCCCCTGAACGGGCAGATATGCCCGCCGTAGTTGAGGATCCTGATCGTATTGCGGTCCCTGGCCTTTCTCCATCGTCACGACGACTCCTTCGAGATCACGTCAAGGAGAATGAAACCGGCGCAGCTCCATCCAGAGCTACAAATGCCATGGTATCTGAGACATATCTGTCTGCGGGCGCCAATGCGACAACGATATCAGACCCTCCGGTAGTCTCTGAAGGTGGTCGACATTATCCACTCTACAGCTATGATTACAGCGAGCTGTTTGAGGGACCGATGCCTTCAGCTCCCCCCCCTCGAATGACATTTCGCGATTGGTTACAATCACTCATTCCCACCAGAGAGTGGCAAAGTTTGGCATCTTGGGTTCACGGACAAGGAAGTCATGTGGTCAGTGCGGAGTCCCAACTCCGGGAGATACTTGACCGACAGCGACGCATGAGCGGACCACGAAACAACTTGGGATCTGGTCACGAAGATACCGACATGTACGGATCATGAATGATGTCAGCGACGAATCTATCTGTCAATGAATTTTGATCAACACCGTCTTAGTCTCCAAGAAGTTGTTCAGACTCCACCCAAAGCCTTCTCGGCCGATTCCGCTGCTTTTAAAGCCACCAAAAGGCATGTCTCGGGCGACGGTGGGACTGGTGCAGTTCACTCCAACGGTTCCTGCTTCCAGCGCTTTGGCGAACCGCATCGCTCTGTTGATATCCCTGGTATACACCGCGGCGTACAATCCAAACTCGCTGTCATTTGCTTTCGCAATGACCTCCTCTTCCGTTTTGAACGTGTTGATGTTCACCACAGGCCCGAAAATCTCTTCTTTCATCACGACCGCATCTTCGGGCGTCCTCAGAAAGACCGTGGGAGTCACGAAATATCCCTTCGATGCGGTGTCCGTAAGGCCAGCCACGTGCGCGGATCCGCCCAGAACAAGTTCGCCGCTCTTGGCCCCCGCGGCAATATACTTGTGGACGGTTTCAAACTGAGCGGAATCTGCTTGTGGACCATGATTGGTAGCAGCATCCAAAGGGTCGCCGGCAGAGACTGCAGCGAATTTCGCTTTGAAAGCTTGCACAAATCGGTCGGCAATGGTGTCTTGGACATAGATTCGGCTGTTAGCCATACACACTTGTCCACTGTTCCATTGAATACTGTTTTGGGTTTCATTCACGGCATTATCGATGTCGCCATCTTCAAACACAATTGCTGGCGATTTGCCGCCCAACTCCAGGATCACATTCTTGAGATTGGATTTTGCTGCGGCAGCTTGGATGAGACGCCCGGTTCGGCAAGATCCTGTGAAGCTGAGTGCTCGAACATCCATGTGCGAAGACAAGATCGCCCCCGATTTCTGACCGTGGCCGGATATGACATTGACGACGCCGGGGGGAAAGCCTACCTGCTCGATCAAAGTGGCTACCTTGGCAGACTGCGCTGGAAATCAGCAACCAATCACATATTGACGGTAGATCGAGATGGAGCCATTAGAAAAATCAAAGACCACTCACCGTCAGAGGGGCCTTCTCACTACTTTTCAAGACAACAGTATTTCCGGCTGCCAAGGCCGGAGCCGCCTTGTTCGCAAAGAACACCAGGGGCACATTCCATGGAATGATGGCAGCCACTACTCCGTATGGCTGCTTGAACGTCATATTGACAAAGCCGGGAGTGTTGAGACTGCTGACACCTTGAACCTCGTACCCCACTTCGGCGTAATGCTCGAATGTACTTGCTGCAGCATGATTGTCGAAATAAGTCGAGATAGGTCGGCCCATAGATATGGCTTCGAGATACGAAAGCTCCTTTCCACTTTGGTGTAGTAAGGCAGCCAGCTTTTTCATATAGCCGCCTCTTTCGGCCGGCGACAACGCAGACCATGCTGGGAATGCTACCTTTGCAGCGGCAACGGCAGCATCGGTATCCTGCTCACTTGCTTCATGGACTGGGAGATAACTATCAGGTCTCGCGTCCAATGAATGAGATGAGTGAATGTGGAAGTTTTTTGAGGGGGGGGAAGCTGCCTCGATATACCTTCAGCAATCACTTCTCTTGTGGTAGGCGACCGTAACGGAAACGTGTTTCCGTCCGAAGACTCGACAAACTATTCCATCTGAGCCTCGATTTAAGATTGAAATTTCGATTCGGCAGAGCCCACCTTGCCATTGATGAATAGTCTCGTTTCGATCTTCTCGACTGAAATTGAAGCCATATTGACAGCTCTCACGCAAAATGTTCGAAACTTCCTCGCCAATGTTCTGAGATCTGATATTGCACACCTACAATGCCATTGAAAGGCAAGGGATAGATGTCCAAATTGTTCGAGGCCAATATACAAGTGAAGGCTTCGTTATCGGAAGCCACGCCGTTCGACGAGGTGATCTTGGACACCACAAAAATTATGTGCGGGGTGTGGGGGAGATATGGGGCCCGTTTTACAGGGCTGGGGCCTTTCCATGCTCTACCAATTGCTCGCCAATGATGAGGGGTCGGGTATCAAGTACTCTAAAAATGGGTGGAGCAGGCATTGTATATGCTCATTTCGCCATCTCGTCCAACCCCACTGCAAATACATGCAAGACTTGGGCCACGCAAAGGAAAATTTTCGATCGATGATCTTTCCATTTGGTATCTGATATTGAGGTTACACGTTCAATACCGTAAATGACGGCGTCTTTCAAGTGTTGCTGATGTCCATATATCAATGATTTCTGTTTATTCCATTGGAAACGGTCTCGCTTGGATTATGAAGTCCATTCTGTGACGAATCCATCTCTCTTTGCCGTATCTGCCAGGGCAAAAGCCCCTTTGCTGGCTGAGCAGGCCCTATATCGCCCGACTCTGACCGTCTCTTCTGCCACTCCATGATATCCCTCTGGTCCACAAAATTCCCATGCAAGCCCAACTTCAACTTGAACGGCAGATGAATTACAGCCAGCGGTCCCTTGGCCAGGTTCAACGCATCCAATATCACGATATCGTTCCGTAGCACATCCAGATGATTCAGCAGTGCAATAATATAGCCCTCACCTTCTCCCCCTCCATCTTTGGGGATGAAGGTCGGCTCCTGAAACGTCGCGGTCGGACCGGCGAAGAAGACATCTTCCGTCATGTCGTCCCAACTGTAATGGCCCAGACAATTGAACAAGCCACCGGCAGGAGAGCCACATTTGGCGAAATCGTACGGCTTGGTCGGATCAACTTTAGCCTGCCAGAAGTGTGAGTATTTCTTAGTCACGAAACGGTCGTCGATGCGAGAGAATTCGCCATTCGTCATCCACGTTTCTGCGGGCGTCACTCGTGTTCCAGACGGGCCTTTTGGATCAAATACCCAGCGGCACGTTGGACTTCGGAGCTGGTTTCGCTTGGCGAGCGGTGCTTCTTTCTCATCCAGGGGTGGGAAGAAGAAGAAGACATTTCCATCGGCGACGGTGAGGTCGTAGACGATGTGGCCCACTTCATTCTCGTAGCACCCTGCTATATGGCCGTGGAAACCTATATGTCCTCTTAGTACCCAATATCTTGCCAATCCACAAGAAGCGGAGAAATCTGGCTTAGCTCACCATTATCCGCTCGAAACCAAACGATATCCTCAGGCTTTCCACCTCTTCGAGGAACAACACCATACCATTGATCTTCATTCGGATCCCAGGCCCAATGATTTTCGCCTTTCTTCAATCTTTCTATTGACGTCCACTTGACCGGCGTCAAGGGCAAGACAAGGTAGTTCTTACTGATACCACAATCGTGAATCATCCCACAAAACGGCGCTTTGTACCAGGTTTCTTCTGTCTTCCTGCCGTCCTTATCGATCGTCCAGACTACAATATCGTTTGACCCGTCATGGCCGTTCCCGCCGGCTTCATATGCGAAACACAGCATCTCTCCCGTATCTGGGTCAAATTTCGGATGCGCTGTGAATGTGGGGGTGAGAATCTGTCCGTCAAAGTCGTAGCGTCCGATCGTCTCCAATGTGACGGGGTCCATGATGAATGGTGGCCCATCTTCTTTCGATGCCAATAGTACACCTCGCCAGAACGTGATATTGGTATTGGCCGCAGTACGAATCACACCTTTCACCGTTTCGTTGTCTGTGTAAGGGTTCCTATACCGTCCAAACAGGGCCCTCCGCGCCTTGGTCTCGGCTCTATACCGATCCGTTCGCACATACCGCTGCTTGAAATCAGCGTGTCCGTCCTGGATTCTGATTGCAGTCACGCTGCCGTCTCCGTTGAAATGGATATCATCCTCGAAGATGGGCGGGAACCTATGGTCCGGCTGGATACGGTAAAACGTTCCATTAATCTCGGGCGGGATGACGCCGTCGAACTCAAGATCGAAGATATCGCCTTCGAGTCGAGAGGGTTTGTTGAAGCCTTGAAATACACCCGTCGATGGGTATTGGACTTGGTCGGAGGTTTTACGCCCGTTCGTGTAGGGAGATACCACTTGGGGCGCGAGGTCGTAGATGTGCGCCATATCAATCAGACACTCTTGCTATGCTACAATCATTTGATATCTTGTCGGCTTTTCACTCCAGCATATTGAAATCTGTCCATCGCTGATGTGAGACGTATTTTGAGAAGCAGCGGCGTTCAACATGTCACCTCAACAGGCAGGCTTTCCACAACTTTGGGCAAAGAGCATGCTCGGCAACTGCCATGCTCTCAACTGCCGAGGAGGATTTCAACAAAGCCAGAAAAACAGGAGTCCATTTTCAGATTCTGGAATCGATGGCCAGGAACCGTTTTCTCCAACTCGCTAACTTTCAAACTTCAATTCTGGGGCACTCGGATCGCCGCTTCCGATGGGGCTGCGCACAGTTTCTTCCCCCCAAGTGCAAGTCATCCACCATGGATGTTTCCTCAATGAGAATGCTTGGGACCTTGATGGCCTATTGAGGTAAATTCGTAGTATAGACTCAAGGCCAGATACTCGGCGAGTGATACTACAAGTAGACAAGTTAGTGTATCAAGATTCAAGAAAAGATGCCCGGAGTCATCGCCATCGAAGAAGCAACCATCGACCCAGGCTCGGTGCCTACCATCGAAGAAACAATTCGCTACCTCCTGCCTGGCTCTCACGTGGACATCAAAGCCGCCGTAGCGGGGCACGCAAAGAAACTCCTCGATATCCACGATGAGAGGTTGCGGACCATGGACGAAGAGGGCGTCGAATTCATGCTCTTCTCGCACACCTCGCCCGGCCCCCAAGGCCAGATTGACCCGAAAATCGCGGAGGGCATGGCAACCCGCTCGAATGACTGGTTGAGCGGCGAAGTGAGGAAGAACCCCAAGCGTTTCGGCGCCCTCGCTGCACTGAGTATGCATGACCCTGTCCAAGCAGCGAAGGAACTGACTAGGGCCGTGAAGGAACTGGGCATGTTCGGGGGGTTGGTCAATGATTACCAGTCCTTTGGCTCGGAGGGCGACGGCCGATTGTATTATGACACGAAAGAATATGATACGTTCTGGAAGACGGTTGAGGAATTAGATGTGCCGATTTATTTTCATCCGAGGTACCCGTCGCCAGCGGAGATGAGGCCAGAAGGGAAGTATGCACATAGAGGTTGGCTGCTGGGAGCGGGCGTTCAGTTTCATTTGGACCTCAGCTGGCACATTTATGCAGTGTGCTCCTCTGGTAGGTGACAACTTCACTCTGAATTTCGCGAAGCTGGAAGGATCTTTTAAGCTTTGATGGGCGTCTCTCTGGGTCCTCGGGATATGAACAAATGCAGCACTGACAAGCTTCTTTCCCTAGGAGTCTTCGACCGCTTCCCTAAAGTACAAATAATAGCTGGACACCTTGGCGAAAAGTGAGACAAACTCTCTTCTCTTTCCCTGTTTCTTCTTTGTCTGACACGTTCCACAGCATACCCTTCAATCTACACCGGGCAGATCACTGGCTAAACCAGCCGTCCAAACGTGCTTCTCGTCCCTGCATCCACGATTATACCTACTACTTCCGTCACAATGTACACATCACGACGTCTGGGAACTTCTGGACGCCCGGTTTGAAGCTGTGCGTTAATGTTTTGGGGCCAGAGAGGTGCTTGTTTGCGATCGATACGCCGTATGAGCGGACTGAGGAGGGGATGGAGTGGTGGAGAAGTGTGAGCTTTGATAATGATGACGAGAGAAGCCCAGGGGAGAAGATTAAGGAAATGATTGGGAGAGGGAATGCGATCAAGTTATTTCGGTTACCATTAGACCCCTGATGGCAGACTCATACAGTCCATCAATCGTGTCCAATTGTCTTGTCTCATCTCGAGCTCAATGTGCGATTTCAAGCCGGAGTCCGACCAGCAATCTTGCCATTCTCCGTGGCCTTTGCTGCAACACCCTCAGGTTTCTCCTTTTCCTTCCATCTGATCCCGCGGCAACGCCAACGACAGCGGCGGCAGTGCCGTGCTCGGATCCTCTCCATACTTCGGTGCGCGGAGATCGTCATCCTTTACCTTTTCGCCTGTCACAGGGTGCGAATAGTGGAATGGCACCACACGCGTATCCGGCCACAGCATTCGCTGCTCAATCAACTCGTCTGGCCCGATGGGATCATCAGGATACGTTTTGTTCGGCCAGGGCACGTAGTTCTTCTTCGTATGCGACCAGCCGCGCTCAAAGTCTGCGTGCCAGAATGGGAAGTATCGGTATCGGAATGGCTTCCACACTCCGTCCTCCTTGATGTACTCGTTCTCGTATAGCCCGCCTTCCCACCACTGCGCGTGTCCACGTGGGTGTTCTTCTTGGATGCTCTGATGTGTTCCTGCCGACATGAGGGCGCGGATGCGTGCCCAGGCACGTGTGCCCGACGGGTCGACGTCCACGATGTCCTGCATCATCGGGTGGTCGAGGAGGAAGCCATAGACTGGCCCATTGCGGCCTTTCACAAATGTATTTTGGAACCGGCCGATATAAAGACGGCGAATACCTTCTTTGCGGCGGTATCGTGAGCCAAGAAATTCGACGTATGCGTCTGGATGGTTGGAGAACATGTCCACTACCTGTGAGAAAAGATTAGCTTTACAGATGAAGGCCTGTCGGGGTGGCTTTTTGCTGACTTCATTGTAGAGACATTTGTCGAGGTAATAGCCATATTTGAAATGGACTTTTCTAATTTCTGCCTCATCTGATCTTCTGTAAGAATCCAGCTGGCCAGGACGACTTGTCCCTTCTTACCTTCCACCTTTTGCAACTTTGCATGGAGTCTCTTGACTTCAGCTTTTAGCTCAGATAGTTCAGCTTCCATATCGTGATAATATTCAAGAAGATATTCTTCCGAGGCCACAAGAGGGAATAGTGAGAAATAAATCGTTCCCTCCTACAGCTAAAAGTACATTGTATTGTTCAGCTCCAAGAGCTCTCTCCACAGTAGGGGTCCAGCACACTCCGAAAGGAGAGAATGCCCCATATTTAGAGCCCCCCCCTCCCCATCTCAAAGATGTACAAGGGTCTTTCCATCCAGAATTTTCAAGGATCTGGAAGCGCGGCACACGAGTCTCTCGCGCAGTGCGGGCCGAACGGAGAAACATGGGGTTTACTCAAGGACTGACGGGGTGTTTGGAGCCTGCAGCTCTCTTCCACGTGAGATGGCCGTAGAATGTAGAGGCAAGTTTACCGAAATGAAGTTGAGTGCCCCTTTATCCACACAGCCTTATCTGCTTCGCCTCCAGAAGAACAAGGTCAGTGCTGCCATTTCCTATTGAAATATTGTATAGCATATATATTCTTCGAAACTGGAGCGATATAGACTGACCAGGTGCGCCTCATTATTGACTGACTTGCATGGGTCAACTGCCGAAGAGGACTCTCAAAGCCTCTGCTGATAATCCCCGCAAGTCTAGTTCAGAGTGGGGTTCTCGGTTCGAGGACAAAGAAGACATGAAACTGTGACATACAGGAATTTGTGGATGATTCGGTTCCAACCATTTCGGGTGCCTGCAATAAATTTCTGTAGTTATCTGGAGCATCCACGTCTAGCCCGTGCAGCAAGAGAATTCTTAACATTTCCTCCCGCTTATTGCATATAGCGGCCTGAAGAGCGTTACCATATCTAGTCCCCGAAGTGTTGACATCTCCTCGATTGTCGACCAGCACTATGACGAGATATGTATGCCCGTGGTATGAGAAGACGTGAATAAGCCTAGCGTTGTTGCCGCAGGAGTCATTACTGAAGTCGCAATGGCCAAAGAAGTTATGTAAGTATAGCACTCTTTCATATACATCATGCTACTCCCTTCAACATCCGCACGAACTCATCCTGGTCACCACCTGGCTGCGCACACTCAGCATGACTGGAAAAATGGCGTGACGCATATTTTAAGAAGGGATATTCTGATAGTAGCGTATGGGGGGTTCATACCTTTGAATGTGCGCACACCATCCATCATTTTTAAGTCTTTTGCCTTCCTCGGGATATGCGCAAGCCGGATGGTCATCTTACACCGGCACCACGCGACAACGGCTACGATTTTGGCTCAGTGGAAGACATCCCGGTTGCAGACCCGCTCACCGATAAATTTCTCCGGCATTGCTCTGCAAAATATGCTCGCATTTCAGAATGTTTTCGCATCCAGGCCTGACGACACCGCGCAGACATGGCTGCAATATCAGGCTTTGTTCGGGAAACGATTCATGGGCCAGGCCGTGAAGGATAGCTTTCCAGCTGGAAAGGAAGGTGTAAAGACTGTCAAGGAGAAGCTCACCAAGCTCAGGGGGTACGCTGGTCGAAATGCCGTTGGACTTCCTTGCCAAAACGGATATCCAGATTGAGGATCCAGGGTACAATATCATTACGAGGCAGGGGTATGTGTGATTGGATATTTCCGTGCGAAGGGGTTGGATGGAAGGTGAGATGGACCACTTTGGGTACGTCGGAAAATCCACGGAAGGGTCAGGGGCTCCTACCCCTGAAGTGCTGAGCCTTGTGCTTCTCGTGAAATTTACCCCTCGCGGAGAATCTCGCTTGAAGCCAAAAGATAGATGGTGTCCAGCCATTTATCCAGCCCGATATTTATTGATTGAGGCGATGTTTGAACCGCATAAAAAGAACAAAAGGCATGCATGCCTTCTGGCCCCCATGAGCCACCCCTTCATCACCTCGCTATGCATCTGGTGGCAACCATCAAGCGTTGCAGTATCCACGGTCGTTCACATTTATCTTCAAGAGGAATTCATCGTTCAGTCGTACCGTGGACCTTCTGATCCACTCTCGTCGCGAAATCTGAGAAGATGGGGCTTAAACCGCATTCCCTGTATCGCTCGACCAGTTCAGTAGGCTTGTGGGAAGCTGATCCGTTGGACGAAGTCTCATTACCGTTGACGGCATTTTGGGCTTGATTAACGCCTTCGACCATGGCGCCAAAACCTGTGTCGATGGGCACAGAACCCAAGAAAGGTACATTCGCTTCTCTAGCCATAATTTCCCCACCACCTTTGCTGAAAATATTGCTGATTTCACCACAACAAGGACACATGTATCCAGCCATATTTTCAATAACTCCCAGTACGGGTATCTGTGTTTTCACGCAGAAATTGAGCTCTTTCCGAACATCGGCCGTGGATATGGCTTGTGGAGTGGTGACAACAACTGCTCCAGAAAGTTTGGGTCGAGTGTCAGCCTCCAATGGTGGTCCATTACCATTGGCCGCCGTCGGGGGCCGGACATTGGCAGCGAGTTTATGTAGTTCCTCCACGATTGCGATGTGTTCGTCGCTTGTGCCAGGTGGCGTATCAATGAGGAGGTAGTCTGTGTTAGGAGGCCACAGGACATCCGACACAAATTGTCTTATCATTGCGGTCTTCTTGGGACCACGCCATATCACCGCGGAGGAGCGGGAAGGAAGGAGGAAGGCAAGTGATAGGGCGTGAAGAGAGCCCCGTTTGAGGGATGAGGTAGATTGCGGCGTCGGTTGGCCATTTGTCCTGTCACTCAGTTCACCTTCTCTTGCATCATGAACTTTGACGGGGAGCCAACCCCCGGGGGCCTGTGTTACTTTCTTATCTTCAAGATTGAGGAGACGAGGAATACTGGGACCTGTGAGATCGATGTCAAGAATTCCGACATGGTGACCGTGTTGAGTGAGGGAGAGGGCGAGTTGGAGGGTGATACTTGATTTCCCAACACCACCCTTGCCGGAAAGAATAAGGAGGACGTGTTTGATATTCTCAAGACCCATGGTGGCGGATGTGATGACGGCGAAAGGGAAGGGCCATCGAACAGGAAAGAGATTAAAACAGTGAATTTAGTCGTAAGTGAAAGATTCGCCAGAGGAACTGCAATTGCTAAGCAACTTCAACGGCGAAAGCCGACTCGGGTGAGCGCCGGGGGGCCTCAGCCACTCACCAGCCTTGATGCGGGGGTGGCTCACTGATGCAGCCTTGTGAGCATCTAACTCTACGCAGGAGGGACTCTTTGCCATCTGCTTCTTGTGTTGTTATTCGGTGTTCAACAGACCTTTTGGCCAGACGCCTTCAAAATACGAGTGGCCCATACGTGGCCATCGTCGTGACATAAATCCATGCTGCCTCGTAGTCTCGTACATGTGTTCGTGGAATGCAATGCCCTGAGTCTTTATGGCCGAAGTATTGCCTACTAGATCAGGGGACGCCCGATGCTGATAACTTTGCTGGGTCAGTAGTTTCACAACTCGCTTCTATCTACACCGCCCCTATGATATCAAGTGTCGGACTTTTTTTTACTTCTACATCCAAGGCTCGAAGAGCCAGAAAGGGGAGCCCAGCTTTTCGAGGAAGAGGGATTGACAGGCGCACCCTGCGGCATTATTATTGAAACTTATGGTCTGGGAAAGGAGGAAGGCTTATAGCAATGGAAGAAACCAGAAACATCCCTCAAGACAAGTTTGTTTTGATAGTGATGAAGAGAGCCATGCCGACATGTTGTAAAGGTTTCAGTCGATACCTCGACTGTGGGTGACACAGCTAGCCACAAAAGCAACAAAGTAGCGTGTACTCCCGCCACGGCTAGCCTGATTGTGCAGGCCTATGAACCTGCTGACCTGAGCAAGGCAGTGCCTAATCCATGCCCAAACCAGCCAGGACACTTTTCGTCATCGGGGTGAATCGGCTTCATACCCTTGACAGACTGCTGGCCCCTTAGGACGTTGTTTGCTTGTGATTTTCCAAGCCCCGCGCCCATTCCTCCACACAGGCACGCGCACAAAAGAGAAATAGCCACTCAAAACTCTGACCTCCGTGGCACGGCACGCCTTCTCGCTCGCACAAAACTTGGTCTTTGATCTCGCGACTGCAACTGCGCAGTTTCTTCTTGTGCAACACCATTTCAAAATTCGCCGCTTTCTCTCTACTACCACTACAGTCCTCTTTCACATTCCTGGATCTTCCAATTCAAAGCTTTTCTGCAATCAACCCCAGCTCACTGACCTCGTCCGAGACCACGCACCCACAGCATCCCAAGCGGTGTGAGATTTTCCACCAGAGGCATTTTCATCTCACTCACAAACCTCCTCCCAGCGTCGCAGATCTGGCCAACTTCACCAATCCCGCGACTTGTCTCATTCTCGGGCTGTGACAGCCGCTTTTGTTTTCCAGCAGTTCCTAACAGAATCTCTATGAGCCGCAAAGATCTGCTACGCTTCCTGTCCAAACCAGCAAAGTAGGTTTCTCCTTCACCATAGTCAGCCAAACAAGTTACTGACCTCGCAACAGGCCTCGGTAACGCCAGCTACTGGCGGATCCTAATATTTCCTTTTTTGTTTTGACCCTCAAATCGATTGTTTCCATCAAGAACAAACCTCTGACAAACACAAACCTCCCGGTCGGAACGGGGACAAGTATCGAAATTTGATCCCAAGCGAAGCCGCAAATACTGCCCACGATTCCGTTCGTGCAGGAAATCTTCTTCCTTCTCTCCTCCACCCGGCCTCCTTAACGACCCTTGAAAGGGGAATTCCAATCACTTCAAAATATTGCTGCTGGCAAAAGCCAGCCTCCAATACTCCCACAGAGAGTGGGCCTTCTCTTCTCAGGCGGACACCGCATTGTTCGTCTGGGCGGCAGATAGTGCTTCACTGAATCGTCAGATCAGTGTATTTTCACCTTCCTGCTCCCACACATTTCAACAGCTCGACAGGACTTGGTCCACCCCTTCGATAAGGATATGGTACATATTGGGATCCCCAAGAATTATACTGCTTCACCATCGAGCGTTAGTCATACTCCGTCTTTGACTATCAATCGTGAAGTTGCGCTAGATCTTGATTCTAGCAATGCATTCGAAGGTAAGTTGGTGTGAAATCACATCAATCAAAACAATCGCTAACGGTGCCAAGGTCCCGAAAAACTGTTAGAGGTATGGTTCAGTCCATCCCCGGACGCCCTTCAGGGTTGCTCCGAACCAGCCGGCCTCAAAGCCGTGTCCGCCGAGATATGGAAGTCAATGCTTGACTTGGTCAACTGCAAAGTATTGTCCATCGTCGAATCTGAAGATGTCGACGCCTATCTTCTCTCTGAGTCGAGCATGTTCGTCTTCCCTCACAAACTCATCTTGAAGACATGTGGAACTACCACCTTGCTCTGTGGCCTCCCACGAATTCTCGAAATTGCGACTCTGTTCGGTGGCTTCGAACGCTCTACAGCCCCACCATCCCGCGGCATTGCTGTTGCTGCCGCTCCATATCGTGTTTTTTACAGCCGCAAGAATTACTTGTTCCCTGACCGTCAACGCGGACCACACCGCAGCTGGCGTGATGAGGTTCATACTCTCGACAAACTCTTTGTTGGGGGAAGTGCATACATGATTGGCAAGATGAATGGCGAGCATTGGTACCTCTATCTGACTGAACCATACACCACGTTGACACCACCAGCCAGTCCACAGAGCATGGATAGTCCAACAACAACCGAGACCAGAGCGCTGGACCTACCATCCTCCCTGGTGGTTGATCGTGGTTCGAAGGTGTGCGAAGGTGAAGATGAAACTCTTGAGATTCTCATGACGGATCTGGACGAGGAGAATGCTAAACAATTCTACCTCGACCATGCGAGTGCGGTCGCAGAAGATCAGTGGGAAGGATCTCAGAGAGGACATGATGATCACGTGGATGTTTTCAGCAACGCCTCATCCGATGGCGGTGACATCTCTTTGAAGGAAGAACCTTTCCCGGTTGAACTCACCACTGAAGGTCACGCTTTGGGCGCGGTCGTTTCTCGATCCTGCGGCCTTTCTGATGTTTACCCTGTCGAAAAATATCCTGATGCTCGGGTGGACGCCTATCTTTTCACACCCTGTGGATTTTCTGCCAACGGCGTCGTTCCAGCGCCCCCTGGGGAAAAGGGAACTCACTATTTCACGGTCCATGTCACCCCTGAACCCATCTGCTCTTATGCCTCATTCGAAACCAACGTTCCCGTTGGCCCGAAGGGTCGTGAGACCGCTGAAATCGTTCAACACGTTGTGGACATTTTTCAACCGGGTCGATTCAGTGTCACTCTCTTCGAAGCCAAGTCCCATTTCGAAGAGAGTGCTTGTGCCGATCACGACGAGTTGGCTCAAATTAGGATGTTGGAACGACAAGTGGCTCGTCGTAACACGAAGATGGACACAATTCACGGATATCGTCGCATTGATCGCATTGTTCATGACCTCGATGGCTATGATTTGGTCTTTCGTTACTATGAACGAAATGACTGGAAAGGCGGTGCACCTCGGATCGGTGAGAGAGGCTTCTGAACGGAGCGATGGAAATGTCATCATGATATGAAATCAGCCGACATGTTACAGGGAAGAGGATGAACATCAACATTGATGGCCCAGAGCGACTTTCCTTTACTTCAAGTTCTGCTGATGCTTTTCGCAATACTTCCACTCCTTTGTGAACTCCCTGATATGATAGTTGATAATAGAAGTGTTTCCTCGCCCAATTCGCTCCTCTCGTAGGCTGTTCACAGGTCAGATCGCATTTACAACATATTGTCGGGGTACTTCATTGGCATTGAGAAATCTATCTGGCCATCATGAGTACGAGGCATCCATCTGCACGGCCGGCAATGGCTGGGTACTGGTTCCCGAATGCCTGACCTCTGTCTGCTTGTTACCTTCTCCTAGTCGACCTCCCTCTTCCTGACTCTGGTCCAACAGCCCCGTCGCCTCGCCCTTGTCACCCCAGTACATGACATCGGAAAGTTCATCCGCCACGTCCAACATGGTCTGTAAATGTCCGTATGTTGCGGGCAGCGGTCCCTTGGGTCGAGTGAAACTAATAACACCGACAAAGGCCAAAAACACGAGCCACAGCGCCATTAGGTATGTGACGTGCGGGACTCGCATGAGCACGCCCTTGGCGTAGTCCACACCCAGCGCGGATCCAAACATCCAATGCACGACGGGCTTGAAAACTAGGAGTGCCACACTAGGAATTGTGCGCAAAGGCTTGGTGACGGAGTTGTAGAGGCTCGGTGCCTCGGTGCCAGTGGGGCCCATGAGTGTGCGCCAGACATTCTCATCGCGGAGGAGGATGACCTGTAGCTCCGCGCAGTGCAGGCCAATGGTCAGAAACGACTGGATGGCGACGCAGAAGATCAAGATCGCTAGCATGTTAATCTCCGGCACATAGATGGGAGCATAGCCAGGATTGAAGCTAGCAAAGAATTTCAGGAATACCGTTTGCGTGGTAGCGGCTTGGAATTCGACGTTGTTGGTCATGGTGTCCACCGCAGCGGTAGGGAAGAAGTTCCAGGATGCGTCAGGCATATTGTGTTGCCCGACGTGGATGATGATACCCGTCCAGATCACAAGGGCAAAGAAGACTATCGTCACGACCAGGAGGACGTGGATGATTCTCGGACTTGCGGCGTAGGGAGATCGTTGGCGTGCTTGGGGTCTCATGGCCGTTGGGAGTAAGGATCTGTCGTGCACCGACATCATGCATCGACCCTTCTGGTAGATAAGCCCTCTGCTGTTGCTGGCTGCTTGGAGGGTCGTGAGAGGGTCGGAGCTCCAGGTGGGTATCCTCGAGGCGTGCAAGCACCAGATGGACAAGGCACATTGAATGAGGATGGCGATCCCTAGCGCAATCGGGGTGACTTTGCTAATACTGACGAGGTGGCTGATCTCGTCCCAATCGCCGCCACCGTTCAAGTAGAATTCGTAGGTATTCCGGACCAGGATCATGGCCGACGCACCGTAACAGACGGCGATGCTAATGAAAAAGATCGCATTGGCAATGATGCCATTAGCGAAATTGTGTTTGCTGAACGTCAAAAGGCGCAGATTCGTGTTGAATTCAAGTTTTCCTTCATAGAACAGTGCCCATCGCAGGGAGGTCGCGTGTATGTAGCCCTGAGACTCGGTCACGACCAGGACCACCACGTTGATTGCGAGGGGGACCAGTTCGAGAGTCACCGAATTGAGGTGGAAGGTCACCGAGCGACCTTGTGCGAGGATGCCGAGGACGACAAAGCCGATTCCTACCAGGATGCTGAATGCTAGGCCGGCGATGCAGGTTTTCTTCGTCCCTGAGGCGCCGTTGTATACGTGGTTGGACACATCGGTTTGTCGCTCTTGTTTTTCGAGAGATTCATAGACGACCGAAGAGCGCATGGTGCACTGAAGTGGATCAAGTCAAATGTGATCGAAACACAGGAGCCATGGCAGTGGAGAAGGGTTATTATGCATTTGTCCCATCTTCGATATACTTTCGGCCCCTTCAAACTGAAACGCTCTTCCCTGTATCGGTGAAATTGGCAAGGATGATTTGCGTGGCGGAGCGCGGGACGCCTTTAGGTTCCTCTTCAGAGTGACAATGCTGAGGGCTAAGCAATGAGGCTGATGACTAGTCTCGTGGCTTGACCCCTTCAAGCCTTCTTCCTCCCTGTGTGCCTGCGATTCTTTGTACACCATTCATTTGGAGATCTAACATTGTCATCTCCATTCACTTTCGAATCTTCCGTGTATCTGTGTTTCACTTGACTAACTTGAGATCGACAGTCTCTTCCACTTCCATTTGTTTCACACATGATACGATTTGTGACGCGTTTTTGTCGATAATCCTCACATCTCCCCTTCCATCCACGTTCAATTCCACCATCATGGCCAGTTCCCCTCCAGCGCCCTTTGCCGCCAGCCTCCCCAACCCGAAAAAGAGACCGTCCGTGGGCTCCCAAGCATCGGCCCAAGGCGTGCCTAAGCGACCAAAATTACACCCGCTCCGACAAACGTCATTCCCCGCTCAAGATGCAAGTGGGCATTACGGATCCGCTGTTACCGGTGCTCGCTCCGAAACTGGCAGCGTAGCCAACAGTTTCGTATCAGGTGTGAGCAGCAAAGTCGCCGGTAGAGGACGTGGGAGACCTAAGAAGTCTACTCAACTCAACGATGAAGATGTTCGCTCCACTCATCAACTCCCAGCAGACTCAAGTAGTCAGGGTGACGGTGGAAGAACATCGGGCCGTGGGACGAAATCCGTAGTCAGTGCGAGGTCTGGCGCTGCTGAAGCGGAAGAAGATGACGAAGGTGACATTGATGGCATGCTGGAAAATATGGACGAGCAGGAACGACAACAGGCGGAAGAGGAGGAGACCAGACAAGAACAACGTCGAGAACGCTTGGCCGATACCCTCGATCCGGATCAATACTCTCGGTACAACCAGTGGCGAGCCTTGTCACTTAATAATACTACGGTAAAACGACTCGTCAATTCCATCGTATCGCAGTCGGTCACCTCAGCTCCATTGCAAGCAATCAGAATCTACGGGAAATGGTTTGTGGGAGAAATTGTGGAAAGAGCTCGTGGAGTACAAGTTGAATGGGCCAAAGCCTACGAAGACACCAGAAAGGAGGAAAGACAGCGGCGAGAAAAAGAACTCGAGTCTTTGGAAGAGAAGCAGAAACAACCCAACCTCAACAACCAGCAATCTCAATCCATCAATAAAGACATTGAACGATTGAAGAGAGAGGTCAAAGAATACATTCCCAATCCACATCAAGGAGGATTATTGCCAGATCACCTACGAGAAGCTTTGCGAAGATACAAAGCCGATGGTGAAGGTGGTGGAGTAGGTTTTCAGGGGATGAGCCATGGGTTATTAGGTGTTCCAGGTCCAGCAGCCTGGCGTGTTGGTGATGGCGCTTCAGGAAAACGACTTTTCAGATGATTTTTCGACGCCTCCATAAATTTTATCCGAGTTATGCATGTATTACATCAAAAAAAACCCCCCTGGAAGCTGGATGCCACAACAACACAGGCCTTTTTTCGCTTGTGTAACCGGGGAAATGTTTCCTCTATTAATCATCATCTCCCAAATATGCGAACCATGAGATCAGCCGCACATGCTGGCACCAATCTATCCCCCCCGATGCGAAGGATCAGGCTACCCGCCAAGCGTGCAGGGGTCCGCTTTTTTTTTTTTGGCTTTCGAGGCTTGTTCTGACTATCCACAACATTTTATTCCCTTGAAAGACAGCCACAGAATGCGACTGGGACCACGTTCGATATATCTGATTAATTCTTTAATTCATTGGACCCTTTCCGGCTCCGCGGCACTTCATGAACAAGTCTGTGGTCTGCAAAGCATGGACGGCCTTGACCGCGATTTTCGAGCGACTATTACTAGAACGGGAGGCCTTGCAAATGCCAAAAGCACCGACCTATCGAGTCCAATACACATCAACCTGCATTAAACCAAGAGCCGAGTGTCGTAATGATCTTCAATGTCTTTGGGCTTTACTTTTCCTTTTTCTCGCTTCTCTCTACAAACTTGTTTTTTGCATCACTTTCACAAGCTATGATGGCAGATGTCGTCTTTCCACACTACTTCCTCTGCAGCAGCAAACCCAAATCGCAGCAGTTTCTACCTATCCGAATCCTTTGCCTTCCTCGATGACTACACTCGAGATGTCGTGCAGCCCGACGTGCCAGCGTCAGAATTCGACCACCGCTTTCAACGCCGTAAAACAACCTTAGAGACCATCCAACGAAGGTCCAGACGAAAGCAACGACCATGGAACCCCCTCGTGGATTACCTATCCCCTCGTATGAACGTCGTCGGAGCTCTACTGCCCATCACTTCGTCATTTCTAGAAACGGTCCTGCTGCTTTACTTGTTCACGACATATTATAGTTTTCCCCCTGACCCAGAGACGGGGGCCCACCCACCTCGCATTGCTGAACTCTACAGCACATTCCCGTTCATAAGCTGCGTGGGCTCGAAGCGTCTCCCCATCTACCAGGGCCTCACGATGTGCGTGGTCCTGCTGAACATCACCTCCACCAGCGTCACCTTCTATCGCTGCCGCGATGAGCATATCGGTTGGCAAACGCGGCGCACCGGATACTTAGCCAGCGTCGTCGCCGCCGGTCTGAGTATTTGGGTCGTTTTTGCCGCTGCCAATCCGGATCGGCATCTTCATCTGCTGGTCACGGCCGTCAAAGGTTTGGCTGTCTTCTGCATCAAAGCCACGAGCTGCTTCATGGACCACTTGCAGCGTCGCCACTATCCTGCTCTCCGGAAGACGGGGGTGTTCAATTTTTTACTTTGGTGGAAGGGTGTTACTATATTTCTTGCTTTCCGTACGGCCCCAATTTCCATGCCAATTTGGATGTATATCTATTCTAATGATGCTACACAGCTTTGGCCATCATGACCGACGTCGCCATCTTCGGCTGCAACGACGCAAGTAAATCTGAAATCCAGACTCCAGGCACGAAGTGCTATCAAATCCTCGCTCTAGGCGCGCCGGCAGAATGGTTCTACGCCCTCATGACGGTTTCGTGGAGCCTGACGATTGCTTTTGACATATACACGACGCCGATTGTCAACAAGGTGAAAGCACAGCAAGATCAAGCAGAGATGAAGCTTTTGTCGCTTACAAGAAGGAGTTCGGAGAGTCCGCAGAGCCTGGAGTTTAAGGATCCACACGCCCGCAAGAGCGAAGCGGAGGATGGTGATGAGGATTCTGATGAAAGGGTAAAGACGTGGAAGGAGATTGGATTGATGAAGAAGCGCAACGGTGGGTATGAACATCTGGATTCGGATAGTTGGGATGCGAATTCGACGGCGTTGGCGGCTCGTGGTGAGCGCGAGGACAAGGATACCGACGAAGAATTGGATCTGGGCCTCGCTATAAGGGTGAGGGGTGTTGTCTAAGGTTTGCATGAGTCCTAACGGACCTCCTTTCGATGAGGTTTTGCGGTGATGAATGAAATGAAGACTTTGAGTTCCGTCTACGGCCCTGCACAGTTAAGGTGGAACCGCTCTATTCTATTCCATTTCGTTCTCCTGCATCAATTTTCGCCCAGCCAGACTAGGCTGATATCGAGTTTTTCGACCTTGGGCCAAAACCAGCGCCAGTGTTGTACGAGACAATTCCGGCATTCTCGGAAACGATTACCCGGTTCCAACCTCCCCTCGGATCTGTTCACCACAGCACCTTCTGCTCAGAAACGAACTAGGCCCGCTCTGAATACTGTGTGTCTGAATTTCCTGCGCTCCCTGGGTCCCCTTAGAACTCGTCCTAGCAATCTCCTTATTCACGCCTTCCACCATCGTGCGTTGGATCTGCGGCGGAAGCCCTTTGTCGTCTTCCATGACGAGATAAAATGTCGGTACGACGAGATGTCCCGTGAAGGGCACGGTAGAGTAGCTTACGGCCCAGACGCGCGGAACGAGCATGGAAGCATACTTTCAGCTTCTACGAGTGGCATGTCGTGGTAGAACATAGGCACGGGACCCAGTGTATCCATGAGGTTGACGACTTCGATTTCGGTACCGTCGACAAAGGATCTAGTCTTCGAGAGTCATGGTCGGAGATGTGACGCTGCCACCCCAGGCGAAAGGAGTGGTGCCGGCGGGGATCTGGAGGCCGGAGATCACGAGGAAGAACACAATGCCGTTCGAATGGCTCGCGTTTAGGCGAGAGTGTTTGTCTAGTGATTTGATAGCTGGGGAGCCAGGGACGGAGGGGTATGAGTGTGTGAGCAGGGCCACGTTGACGGTTGGGCCTGCATTGAGCTCGGCAATGACAACTTTGCGGATTGCCTCAATGTCGTCGCCCAATCCTGTCGGTGGAGGCTGATTGAGGGACTCGTAATGCATGCTGGGCAAGGCGACCGAGATGGTCTTGTAACCTTGTCACAGCAGAGCAGAAGCCAATGATTCGAAGGATGATTGTTGGTGGACACGGCTCCTTCCGCGATCTCACTCGTTTGTTGTGTCCGTTGATCTCATGATGTGAACGAATAAGATCTAGATGATCTAGTGCAGACAACTCCCAACGAAATTCATGCAGTTCTGTTAAGCAGACATCACATCGACAGCCTCGAGGACGGTTAGACGACCAGTTTCACTCACCAATCTACGTTATCCGCATTTCAAAGAAAATGAAGATGCTGGTTGAGAAAGCGTTTTCGGTATTACATTACAGACTTCATCCTGTATACATTGGGAAAGGTACATATGTAGGTAGGGTGCCTGAAAGTTCTCCATCGTCGCCTATTTCCCTTTGGAGGCCTGATCTATAGGAATGACCGTGTGCAAAGGCAAACTTGATGCTGAAACGATGCCATTAATTGGTTGATGGGCCCGTATCGCGCGTTCGAGGGGACGGTACTGCATCCTACGTCCCGCTAGGAAATGGCCTGTCGGGTACATGCATCCCAAGGACTGCATGAATTAAGGCTGAAGAATCAATGCGTCAGCTGCGAGGAAATCAACCTAAATTTTTCTCTGGAAATGGATGTCGGATGGAATTTCTGGGAGCATGCTTCGCAGCATCATTCGGAGACATATGAACGAAGAGGTCGGAAGCATACCGAGAAGATTAGAAGCGAGAGTAGAATAAAGGAAGTTTTCTTGGGAATTGCATGACAGGATTCATAGACAAGCTTTGTGCCTTTGTGCTGAATGGATCAAGGGCTGCTCATCAGACTCAAATTTCCGTTTTGCATTCTTGTATCTCATTCATTGGTGTAGAACATCGAAAACTCGGTGACGTCAAATCCTCAGAATCTAGACGATTCAGTTTACACTCCGCGCAGGAGAGGATGCCCCCTCCGGCCAAACCGTCTTTCGCTTTTCCGTTTTGATCTTCTTTCTACTGGCCCTTCGGCGCACTCTTAATGTTGTTGAGGTCAATCGTCGGCTTGATCCCATGCTTCATGATCGGGCTGCTGGAGAAATTGGCATGGTCATGGAAAGCATTCGTCTGCAACCGTGACACTTCGACCTCTTGCTTTCCTCGAGTGATGACATCCTCGTCGTACTCAGCAACAGCATCTGCAAGTGTGCTCTCACCGGATTTCACCTTCAGCATGGCGTTAACAAATCTCTCGCTGTCTCGAATGGCGTTGTTGGCTCCTTGGCCACGGTCTGGAGACGTCAGTTAGATTGTTCGAAGATACCAGGTTGACGTACGGAATGTCATGCTGTGAGCGGCATCTCCGGACAATGTCACCCTTCCACCGTGATTGTCCCAGTTGGAGGAAGGGGCCCAGATCTTGAACGGCACGGCCTTTGCTTTGACATCTTTCGGCGCCCATTCGACAGCTGACTTATATGGATCAGTCCACCCATCCATTCGTCGTCGCAATTCATCCACCATATTTTCGTCTCCAGATACATCGCCAATTTGTTCTTGCTTGGGCCATGTCGCAAGGATATAGTAGATCCAAGATTCGGGCTTGTCAAGCACTGGTTTGTCGAGAAGAAAAATACCAATATACATCGACTTCGGGTGGATGCCGACTTCAACAATGGGATGGATCATTTTGTCCATTTTCAAGGCTTGTTCGGCCGTATACTGCATGGGAAAGTTGATGAATGTGTACGGCAAGACTCTGGCCGTCGCCGCGTCTCCCAGGAGCCAACGTCGAACCCATGAGCCCCCTCCATCGGCACCCACCAGGACCGTTCCGGACTCTGAGGTTCCGTCGTGGAAGCGGGCCACTACCCCGTCATCCGTCACTTCAATATCGGTGAGAGCTTTTCCAAACTAGAGCAAAATTAATCCATACCAACCACCAAGGCCCGGCTTTGGGGAACACACCTGGACGTCCAGGCCTTCGGACCATATCGTCCTTGTCTTTTGGATGTTCAATCTTCGGACCCCCGGAAAAGGAGGTTCAACTATGGTAGCTGCAGTCTGACCATCTCGAATCATGACACTCTCACAACCTGCTTCCTTGGAGTCCAGCGTGGGATCTGGTTGACATTCTCGTAGTCTTTGGAAAATGTCCTCAGGAAGCAGCTTGGCAAGAAAGGGATGGCTCCAAGCAATTGTCACCCCCCAATTACGGTCGCGTGGGGCACTCTCCTTTTCAACAATGACATGGTCGATCCCATTCTGTTCTGCCTTAGTATACCCATCATGCAAAGAATACCTGGTCACCAACTCGTTTCAATCCATGCGCGATGGCTAAGCCTGATAGCCCTTTTCACCGCCATAGTCAGCAATTTGGATTTCTGTCATATTGGCTGACATACCTGCCCCAACGATAATGACTTTCAGTGGTTGACTCATTTGAATAATTTGCCCTTGGACTCAATTTCGGGAACCGAATCCCTTTCCGTGAACGGGAATTGCAAGCACGATTAAGTGACAGAAAACGTGGAGAAATGGGGATCTGGAATGCAGCATCCACACCAATCTCTCAAATGAGATTTTTTGGTAATGAAGAGAAATATGGTGCATCGATCCGGCCTCAGTATCAAACCGTCATCCGGTCAGGCGTTCACATGCACGAACTTTAAGCCAATAAAGGCGACTATAATACGCCGAAGCTATACGAGGACATCTGCGGACTAGTAAGACCGCGCTGAGCCCCACGGAGCCACTCACTAAACAAACTCTCTGACCTAGAGTCGGCTATACTTACTAGCTCACGAAAGCATAGTTTCAGCTGAGCCCCGAAAAGGCCCCCTACGCTGAAAGAGCCCTGGACATCTTCACGGAATTGCTGGAAGAAAAAAAAGTATCCATCGTAGCTTAGCGCCCTCGGCATCCAGACAGGATTAGAGGCTATGATTTTATAACTGAAGTTCCAGGGCAGTGACCTCGCGGATACAGCCGACATTCATCGGGACAACAGAAAAATGGCAATCATCGAGTTGGCGAAGATCAACCTCAAGGGCGGCATTACCGCATCGGACCCTCTTCTGATGATGAACACGAAAGAAGTCAAGAGGGTGATTGAAGAGTACAGCAAATTGCAAACTCTATTCTACACACAAATTGACGACCCAACCGTCATGTTCGTCATTGGAGCATGGGAGAGCAAAGACCAACATCAACACGGATTTGAAGGATCACCTCAACAAGATGAGATTTACGGTCTGATCAAGGGCCAAATGGAGATCGAATGGATGCACTACATGGATATAGAACAAAGTCGAATTCCCATCAACGCCCCAGTCCTGGCGATGATCAAGGAGACTCTTCCCTCGGATATCCAGAAGACGGCATTCGACCATGAGTTCGTGACACGGACACAGCGCTTGGGCGGAGCCCATTATGGCGCCGTGTCCGCGTGGAACCTCCTGAAGGATGACACGGAAGCGACGGTACGAGTGAATTTTTCGGGCTGGGAATCCATCAAAGACGCGACCGAGGGAATCGTCAATACCGTGGAAGATGTCAAGAAGTTCCGAACGCGACCGAGTGAATTGAACTTCTTCTTTGTGGAGCGGACGAGGCTGGATTGTTAGACTCAAGGCTGAATATTTGACGAGTTTGTACGACGAGATGATATGGGGATTGTTGACTTCGTATCAAGAATGACCACAGAATGCAGGAGAGGACGACCCCGATGAGCTCACCGGGGAGCGGGGATCTCGGCTATGGCCTGGATAGGATGATATACCATGTTCGGATCGTGGGTGATTTTGCGATATGATGTCCCTGATAATTCCAATAAACACCAACCATTGATCCCTATCCTTGTACCTGGAGCTGTCCCTAGAGCTATCGCTGTAGCGGCCCCTCCTCCCCCGCCTTTCCGGTTCTCCAGCCTGATGCCTTCCAGTCTTTTCGTCCCCTCGTCTCCAGTCCAGGACGCCACTCTGATTGCTCGTTTCTCATTGCTTGGTGCTCCACGGATCCAACATTCTGACACGCGAGGCTGCTCATCCCTCCCGATATCGCTTCGTACAACTGTGTCTCACGACTTGTATCGGTGCTAAGTAATCCCGAACCTCTCTTCACGATATACGAGGCGAAGGAGAACTCTATCATGGTGTAAAATATAGGACTGGCGTACTTTTCACTGCCGCAGCGAACCGGAACCAGAACTGAAACGGAAACAACGACAAATCCAGGAGAATTGGACTTTTTCATTCATCCTTTACAGTACCCGACCATACTCCCTACCCTGTTGGAATCCAAGAGACCTAATCCTCGTTCTCTCATCCATCCCCCAATGGCGTCTACCACCGCAGACGAAAAACTAACCACCGCTCTCCGTGACCTGATCTCGGCCAACCACATTCTGCACCACCACTCCGTCGTCGACGCCTACGGGCACGTCTCGATCCGCCACCCGACGGACCCCTCCATCTACATCATGTGCGGCTACATGGCACCTGCAATGGTGTCGGGACCGGCGGACCTCATCCAGTACCGAGTCTCGGATTCGGGCCCCGCCGACCCGAACGCGCCCAAGGGGTACTCGGAGCGCTTCATCCACGGCGAACTCTTCAAGCGCTTCCCCGCCGTCAACTGCGTCATCCACAGCCACGCCGAGGAAGTGCTGCCCTACGTGGTGACCGGCGTCAAGCTACGCGCCGTTTACCATATGTCGGGCTTTTTGGGGTCCGACGGCGTCAAGGTTTTTGATATAGATCCGCTGTACGAAACGGGCGATCAGCGCGATATGCTCGTGAACAATCCCCGCTTTGGAGCTGCGCTGGCGGAGAAATTCGCATCAGGCCCCAACAGCAAGGAGGGACCTGATGAATCGGTCGTCCTCATGCGGAGGCATGGGTTCACTTGCGTCGCGGACAATATTGTCACGGCAGTCTATCGAGCGATTTACACGAGGATCAATGCCGAGGCGCAGACAAAGGCCATGGCCATTGCGAAGCATGTTCCGCTAAAGCGTGATGGTGCTGAGGCCGAAGATGTGGAGTTCGCGTTCCAGGCCCTCACTAAGGAGCAGCACAAGGGGTGTAGTATCATGTGTGAAACGTTTCAGGAAAAGCCGTGGAGGTTGTGGGTGAGGGAAGTCGAAAGGTTGCCATTGTACGAGAATGAGTTGAGTCAAAAGAAGAGCTTCGCTTGAGACCAAGGTACTTAGGACTCAAAATGAATGGACGAAGCAGATTGCAAAACGTAGGTGAGTGTAGGATTGGGAGAGATATGAAGACAAGGAGATCGAAAATGATAGTTTGTCCTTGCGACGGAAGAGAGATGATTTACGAGATTCATGTGATATCCTACCACTCCACTCCACAAGCAGGCAATTTTCCATTCTTCCGGCTCCAGCCTCGTCCTTCCAGCAATACTCCGTGGGCACAATTATTCTGAAGATCAATTCCATGCATAACCGAAACACGGTCTCCATCACACTTCAACACCAGTAATATTCGCAATACCCGCCTGGACAATGTGCTCCACAACATCCACTTCCGCCATCGTCCTAGGAGCGTAGACCATAGTCCAGCCTTTATCCACAAAGACGAGAGGGAATCGCATGCCCCATCCCTTCTCAACCACAATCTTTGCATCTGCCTGGCCAAGCCAGACGTGTAAGCTGCCCTCGGCCGGGTGAGCGTGTGCGATCTCCGTGGTCAAGATCTTGTCGTTCTTCGCCTTTGCATTGAGAGTCGGGAGAGATGGCTTCGCGTAGATGGCATCGGTGCTACCTCCTTCAGTCTTGCTGGGTCGAAGGTCCAGGAGGTCCGGATATTGGGCTGCAAAGGTGGCCATCATGGCCTTCACTCTGGCTTCGACGCCCGCATCGACGGTTCCCTTCTTGTACGGAACTTGACGCTGGGGCATGGTGCGGGCCATGATGGATGGTCGGGGGCCTTGTCGGGCAGGAATAGTTTCGGCCTCGAGATATTTCGGCCCCGAGCTCGATAGTGGCGACGGGTCGGTCAGATCGTCTTTCCCAAATAGGAGCATTCGATTGATGCGGATCTTGGTCATGCGCCAATAGCCTGCCCAGGTGGGAGGAGTGCCGCCAGTGCCAAAGGATTTCCAGGCATAGAAGTCACTGAGGAACCAGGCAAGGGAGAACGTGAGGGCCACGGCCGTGGACGTGATGGCTGTGTTGGCTGGGCGGGAGGTGAAGGCGGAAGGGATGATGGCCATTATTGCGGAGGTATTCAGGAGAGTATTGGAGTATTGATGGGGAAAACGTTCAAGATAATGGATTGGAGATATTGTCCCTCTCAGAAAGCCTGAGCGTTGGTGATATTAGAGAGTTTGGAAGAGAAACCTGGAGTTGAGTCCTGGAAACGGTTCTGTAGATGGTCGTGCTGAACCCATATTGGACTGATTAACCTCTAGTGCTATTCAGGCCTAGGCTCCCGTTGTACGAGGGACTGATCACAAGTGGCCCGGGGGTGTGCCGCTAGTGCCTAGAGACTCCGGAGAAGCGGGATGACTATACTGCATGCAAAGAGTGCTGCTTTAACGCTGGGGGCGGCTCTGGTATTCTGAGGATGACCTGATACCAAACAGGCTGTGTTATCTTTCGTTGGTGCCATCTCCTCCGAACATGCAGATGTGGCAAACAAATCAGGCTATTTCCTACGGCAGGGCTGGTCCCTTGACCTGAGAGGCCGGGTCTGGAGATAAAGCAGCAAGAGTGGAGGAGAACAAACAGCCTATTTGGGTAACTAACGCAAAAAACTGTTAATCTGGCCCCGAAATTCGGCCTTTGTGCATTTGTTTCTCTACTTGAAACCTGCCCTTCCTTCGCGACAACTTCTTACCGTATCAGAGACCTCTGCATTTGGCATTGCTTCATCTCATCATCATGTCCGGCTCCGCCTCCAAAAACTTGGTCCGCGTTCTGGGTCAGGCGAAGAGACCTTCACGACTTCAATTCCGACCACGTCCACCAATACGATCCGGCTACGAGCCCATCCAACGTTTCTCTACCACCTCTTGTCGGCGAGCCGAAACGGGCGAAAAAAGCCCCGATGTAAAATACACCACCGACATGTATCCTTCTCTCAAACGAGATCCTAAATATGCGGAAGTCACGCCCGAACACATACGATTCTTCACATCGACTCTAGGCGACGATGCCGCGGTCATTGACGGAGTGACGAAAGATGCTTCGGATGATATCGCCGCATTCAACAGCGACTGGATGCGGAAATATCGAGGTCACACCAAGCTTGTCCTGAAACCTAAGAGCACGGAAGACGTGAGCCAGATCTTGAAGTATTGCAACGAGAACAACCTTGCCGTGGTCCCGCAAGGAGGCAACTCGGGCCTGGTCGGAGGAAGTGTGCCCGTATTCGACGAAATTGTCATTTCACTCTCCCGAATGAACAAGATCAGAAGTTTCGACGATATTAGCGGAATCTTGGTGGTGGATGGCGGTGTCATTCTCGAGGTGGCGGACAACTTCCTCGCCGAACACGGTCACCTTTTCCCCCTAGATCTGGGAGCTAAAGGATCGTGTCAAATTGGTGGAAACGTGGCTACCAATGCTGGGGGTCTGAGATTATTACGTTACGGATCCCTTCATGGCAATGTCCTCGGACTCGAAGCCGTGTTACCGGACGGTACTATTGTTGACGACCTGTCCAAGCTGCGCAAGAATAATACCGGCTACGATCTGAAACAACTCTTCATTGGCGGAGAAGGCACCATTGGGATCATTACCGGCGTGTCCATCTTCTGCCCGCAACGGGCAAAGGCAGTCAACGTCGCTTATTTGGGCCTTCCCTCCTTCGAACACGTGCAAAAGGCATTCAAAGAGGCCAAAGTTCAATTGGGTGAAATCTTATCGGCTTTCGAACTCATGGACGCACAAAGCCAAGGCTTTGTACACCACGTCACCGGTAACAAGCGACCGCTTGAGGGTGACCATCCATTTTATTGCTTAATTGAAACAAGCGGCTCCGACGCAGAACACGACAACGAGAAGCTGGAAAAGTTTTTGGAACATGTCATGGGCGAAGAAATCGTCTCAGACGGTGTTCTCGCCCAAGATGAGACCCAAGTCAAGTCGTTATGGGCTTGGCGAGAGGGCATTACCGAAGCGATTGGACATTTTGGCGGCACCTATAAATACGACGTGTCCATTCCTATTCAGGATTTGTACCGACTGGTGGAAGAAACCCGAGAAAGATTGAGTACAAAAGGCTTGGTAGGTGATGATGATTCCTATCCCGCCATGGGCGTGGTTGGATACGGACATATGGGAGATTCGAATTTACATCTCAATGTTCCCGTTCGAAGGTATACGAAAGATGTTGAGGAGGCGATAGAACCTTGGGTTTACGAATGGATTCAGAAACGAAACGGCAGTATCAGCGCAGAACATGGTCTCGGTATTGCCAAGAAGAAATACATCGGGTACAGTCGAAGTGATACCATGATCAAGCTGATGAAACAGATTAAGGCGTTATACGACCCCAACGGCATTATGAATCCGTACAAATATATATGAGCATGTGATTGTCTCGGCGGTGAACTCCCGAAAACTACTGCGTCTGCTTATCTGTTCTTCCAACCACAGCATCCCTTTACAGCAGCTGAATACGATGATGCTTCCCGGGGTGAGTATGACACGGTGGTGCGGGGAAGCCCAGCTTCATCCCATTCATGAATGGATTTTCCGAGGCAACCATATACTTCTCCAATTCGAAGAGTCCGAGGGGACGTGTTACGATTGACTGAATCTCAATGTCGCCACCTGCCATCACCAAGCATCGGCCCGATAGGATTATTCTCTCTTTCGCCCTCTATCTCGATTTCTCAATCGCTGCTCTTTCCCCAATCTTGAATGGTCAACACCCTACCATCATGGGTTCGATAGGCCCATTGAACGAGATATGTGTGCCCATGCTCGATCAATATGCGTATAAGAAACGAAAACTACGAGTTTGTACCATCGGAGCCGGCTTCTCGGGACTGATTTTTGCACATAAAATCCAACACGAGCAGCCTGAACTGCAAGAATTTATCGAGAATGTCATATTCGAAGCAAACGACGATATTGGTGGAACGTGGAAGGTCAATACATATCCTGGCGTACAATGTGATGTGCCCGCACATATATACGTAAGACTCACATCCCTTCTGTGCTCGGTCAAGAGATTGTAAACCGGGGTGGGGACTTATCAATGGATTTTTCCAGGCATTTCCATTCGATCCTAATCCCAACTGGTCTAAATTCTATGCAGATGGCAGTGAGATCCTCGAATATTTGCAAAAGGTAGCCGAAAAATGGAATCTCAAACGGGATATTCAATTCCACACTCGAGTGATTGGTCTCGATTGGATAGAAGACCAGGGACAATGGAAAGTCAGAGTTCGCCAAAACGGGCACGAGGAAAGAGAAGAACTTTTTGATGTTATCGTCTCCGCGCAAGGATTTTTGAGGTAGGGGTTGACCGTGCATCTCTTTCATTCATTCATGCATTATTCCTCCCGCGTGGTATTTTGACGTGACTGACATCCATCATGTAGCCAGTGGAAATGGCCTGACATTCCTGGCATTCACGACTTCACAGGCCACAAAGTCCACTCCGCCGCGTGGGACCACTCCTACGACTACTCGCACAAAAGAATCGGTATCATCGGCAATGGCTCGTCGGGAATCCAAATCTTGCCTCAAATGGCCAAATTGCCTGGTGCTCAAGTGACGAGTTTCCAACGCGGCGCGACATGGATCACACAGAGCCTAGGTGAAGCCCTGGGTGTCGGCCAAGGCGAGCCTGATCCTCCTGAGGACCAAGAAATGGCCAACGGTGATGCAGGCGTTGATATGGCTGATGTTGACCCCTCGCACGAGGATGCCGGAAGGAATTTCAATCCCCGGTATACGAGAAATGAACAACGACGATTTAGGGATCCGCAGAAACACATGCAGTATAGGAAGATGCTGCAGCATGGAATGAATAAAGGGTTCCGACTTGTACGTACTCCATTCCTCGCAGCCCTTTTGGCGTTCCCTGTCAATTTACACTTCAGGAATATACCCATATTAACATCACTCCAGTTCCGCAAAGGCTCCGTGCAAAACGCCAAATCGACCGAAGTCACAACGGCACGCATGCGAGCCGCGCTGAAGAACAACGAAGCTCTCTGCGAACAACTCATCCCGAACTGGACGCTAGGCTGCCGTCGCCTCACGCCTGGCGAAGGATACCTTGAATCCTTCCTCCTACCGAACGTGACATTGACCAAATCGCCCATCACCTCGATCACCGCAACGGGCATTCAGACAGAATCCCGACACCACGATCTGGACGTCATTGTCTGCGCCACGGGCTTCGACGTCTCCCACATCCCACACTACCCCGTCACCGGCCGCGGCGGGATGACGCTGGCGAAGAAATGGGCGGACGAACCCGAATCCTACCTCAGCGTCGCCTGCCCCCAGTTCCCGAACTACTTCATCTTCACGGGCCCCAACGCCACCGTCGGCCACGGCACGCTGATCACCTCGATGACATGGACGGCGAGCTACATCGTCAGGTGGCTGAACAAGATTGCCGGCGAAGACATTCACAGCGTCGCGCCCCGGCAGGACGCCACGGACCAATTTGTCCGCTATGGGGACCAGATCCACAAGACCCTCACGTGGACGGGCGGATGCAAGTCGTGGTACAAGAACCATAGGGTTGATGGACGGGTGACCGCGACGTGGCCGGGTAGTGCGTTGCTGTATCGAGAGATCATTACCGGTGAATTGCGTGGTGAGGATTGGGATATTAGATACCGGAGTCCGAATCGGTGGAGAGGGGTGATGGGGAATGGCTTCACGAGGCTGGAGACCGAGGCGGAGGAGAAGGAGAAAAGTGGTGGGGAGCCTGTCGATTTGGCATTTTATATCACGACTTGAACAAGCTGAACTTGACGTGAGCAAGGGGAGGCTAACTATGCCTGTGTGGCACACAGAGAAACTTAGGCGGAGGAATATTGATTGTGAGGGTTTGGGACGTATGGTCATATCAGGTCAATCACCGAGACCGGCGAAATGCTCCTATCTCACCACCGCCTGTCTTTGCCCTTGCCCTTGCCTTTGTCTCTGTCGCGCTTCCTCTCTGACTTTAGCTCCTTCTCCCGCTCTCTTGGATCAATGACCACGAGTTCCTCTTCGTTCTTCTTCTTCCACGTCAAGTCTTTGCCGAGTCGATCCTTGGCGAACGACAACGAGTGGTTCATCCACTCTTTATCGTTGTCGGACTCCGCGTCGGCGTTGGCGCCCTGTTCGTTCCACCTGGAACAGGACTGGCAGTTTGCAATGAAATGTAGGTCACAGAGCGGCGCTTCGTCGTCGTCAGCAACAGTGCTGGAATCTGGAGGGCGGTTTTGGGAGTCCGGTATCGTGCTGTGAGCGGGTGATGTGTGTTTCTGGCCGTTGGGTTTCGAGGGTGCTTTGTTCGTGTCCGCCGATTCGAGTCGGGCTTTGAACGCGTTCAGCATTTTCAGCGCGTGGGCATCGTCGTGCGCGTTCGATTCGCCTGGCCGAGGTCGTTTGCGGCCTCGTGTGCTTGTCGCCGGAATCAAAGATTCCAAGGCGGATTTCTTGTGTTTGGAGTCCTTGGTCTTGGTGGACACGTTTCGCCTCATGGATGCTTTGAGGGCGGCTATTTCTGCCTCTAAGCTGGATGTTTTGGACACGACAGGTCCTTCTGTCGGTGTAGGTGAACGAGAGGGCGATTCGGGGTCGCGGAGGGGTAGTTGTGTATTTGGGTCGTGGAATGATGGCTTACGGCGCTGTATCCGGGATGGTGACGTGTCGAGAGGAGGTGGACTTGCTTTACGCTTGTGGGGAATTATAGGTCGCGGTGAGGGTGATCTTTGTTTTCGGTTCTCAGGAGCACCATTTCTTTTTGGTTCTGGGTCAGGGACATCTCCCCCATCAATCAGGGCCGGGTTGAATTTTGCTTTCTTCGGTCGAGCTGCAACGTCGCCGGAATCCTCTTCGCCATCTTCGCCGCCGAAGCTAAGTAAAGCCTTGCCTCCTTTCTTTTGGGAAGCCTTCTTCTTGGTGGGAGCCTCCACAACGCGCTCGGCCACTTTGTTCCTCGCCCGCATCTTCTGCCATGCCTCACCCTTGGGCATCTCGAGGATTTCAATTTTGAGAATCTTCTCGGGATATATGGGTCTTTCAGTTCCTTCAACCAATTCGCCCTCGGCAATTTTGACCACGTTGTAGATGCCTTCTCCTTCGACACGACCAAACATGGTACATTTGCCATCCAGCTCTGCCCTGCAATCTCCCAGGGTGATGAAGAACTGGGTACCATAACCCGCTCCATTACCAGTGCCTTTGGCCATGCCTACCAGTCCTCTCCGATTGAACCTCAGTCTGGAATGCACCTCATCTCCAAAGTGGATTTTCTCATCCTTCTCCCGCCCCATAACTCTGGCCCAATCCTCATCATATCTTTCAAATTCTCGGTCCTCATATATATTCTGTCCACCTTCACCAGTTCCCGTGGGATCGCCTGTCTGAATGACGAAGCCAGGGGAGACGCGGTGGAAGATATTATTCGTATAGTCTTCGTCGAGAACATGTTGGAGGAAGTTTCTGCAGGTCAACGGCGTTTGGTTCGCAAACAATGAAACGGTAAGAGGGCCCGCAGTCGTAAAGATTAGGACGGATGCAGTCGGAGGAGGTTCCGTGGTGTAATGAGAAGACATGGTCGACTGAGACCGAGAAACTGGTTCTTCTAGATATACATGTCATATTTCACAATGGAATCGCCATTCCGAGGACATTGGCGCTCTAGAGTGCCTGTTGCCATTTGGAACATATGCAGTCAATTTCTTTGAGGGTCAAATTATACACGTGATATGAAAAATTCACTCACGTGATGCATCATTTTCGGCTTGAAGCTGCAAATAACGGTCCTTGCAGAAACATCACGCAAAGTTATCTTCGGCATTCGACTCCGTCACGAACAATAATCAACCATGAAGAAGATAAGCTATTCAGACCGTGACTCTAGGAGCTCCTTACCAAAGGCCCGCGGAGAGGTCGAAACAATGGGAATATCGAAGAATTACACAAAGAGCATAGACCGATCATTCGGAGGAACCCAGACGAGTTCTCAATTGAAGATTCAAAGCTCTTCGAACTCATTCTTTGCCTCTGGCCACCGAGACAAATAGAACAGGAATGGCAGAGTTCCACACGGATAAAACCCGCCGAGAAGCTCTGACTCGATATTTCTCAAAACGACCTGTACTTCTATTGGACCCTGTTCTAGTCGAGAAGATGGAAAAATTGTCGACTGGGGCTGAAGCCCGTTCAACGGATAGTCGAATTTTGCATGCTATGGTTACCTTTGCCGCCTTGACCTTGGACATCATTACCCACTATTGCTTCAATCAAAGCTTTGAATGCTTGTTAAAGCCAGATTTCTCTCCGGAATGGAAACGAAAAATGACAGACTTATTTGGAAACGTTCCGTTATTGAGGAATTTTGGATTTACTGCCGGTCGCCTTCTTCCAGCACCATCAAGCTTTACTCTCAGAAACACCGCTCCGACCATTGGGCCACTTTCGGTCATGAAGCAAGGACCGTCGAGAAAAGACCCAGGATCTCATCAATGAATACAATTCAACACGATTGATTCTCTGAAATGTGATCACGAGAAGGCCTAGATAGTCAAGCCCTTCCACCAGAGGAGAAAAGGCTTGAACGCCTTGTCTGATGAAGCCTTCAGGATGATCGTAGAGGACGGTAATATTGTTGGCAGAGCGTTGGCGAATCTCTTCTCCTTCCTCCACATCAATCCTGAGTGGTTGGCTCAAGTCCGTCCAGAAATCGACCGGTAATGCAGTCACGTGAAAACCTGACAATGTTGTCGGATCTGGAGACCCCTTCAGTCCTTACAGGAGCAATCAAAGAGACGCTGAGGATAAGCGGCTTAATCCCAGAACGATCGACGCTTGTTGAACCAAAGAAGGCCCTCGTTTACAACGAAGGGACAACCCCAAATCAGTCTAGGCCAAGGAAACTGGACAGAATCTCGACTTTAATAGCCTTCTCAAAGGGAAGCTAAGGATACCTCAGTATGGAGAAAGTATTTCTGCCAATCGAGAAAATGCCCAGGACGTCAAGCCGACTCTACAAACAGTCTTGCCTATGTCGAGATCTGTCTTGCTGCAGCCGCAATATTGAGAAGACTTGAGCTTGAACTGGATGATGTCGTCAAGGAGAGGGATGTCGATGTTGTCAGAGATTGTTTCGCGGGTTTAGCGAGCACTAACCCGGAGGGGCATTTGTCCCAGTGTCCCGCACAAGCGGATGTGATCCATACCAACGAAGGTACTAGAATCACAAACCACATGACTCAACATCGGTGGAAATCAAAGCCCAAGAGATGCCCTATATCGTGTTCCTGGCTTTTCGCGACTTGAACCACTTCCAACTACAGTGTCACAAAGAGAGCCGAATCCCCGAACGTATTTCCGGACGTCTACCGAACCTTTTCTATGAAGCCAATGGAGTATGATCTGTACTTTCAGATCCGGTATCCGAAGTCTACGACCCATTTCTCTCGCCAGATGGAAACACACATAAATGAGGATGCCGGACGGATATCGGGCTCTCATGGTCGTGGCGCTACGCGAACCCCTAAGTTCGTCTTATTTATCAACGCAGTTAGGGAGGACCCTAGAGTGTGAAATAATGGCCCGAGTTTCCCAAAGTCCCGGGGGGGGCCACTTTTAGTGGCAAGTGGCGCTGTATAGACCTGATTAGGGAAATCTGGAATTTCTTCCTATAGGCGGCCCCTGAATTAATGTTAGCGAGTGACGTTGCAATTACGTATCTCGGTGTCTACAACCGTCATATGTACCTTTTCGACAACATGGTCGCCTCATCACTCCAGCCCTGAATTCATTTTCAATTCAAGGCGAAGAAAATCTATTATCGTACTTCTACCTCGTGTGAATGACAAGACCAGCTCTTGAAGATGCGTTCTGCCATTATTAGGTCTCGACAGATAATTCCATCTCCGGGCGGCCGTCCATCCCAACCCAATCTAGCCTCGCGCCTCTACGCCACAACATCCACGAACTCCGAAGGCACATCAGGGTGCTATGACAAACGCCTTGCGCAAGAATCCCGTGACCGGATTGACCGACAATCCGACGAGACGGCCAAATCCGGCACCGACGACGTCGTCGCCAACCAGACCACCATCTCCTTCGATCCCAGCCAGTCCCTTGACCCTGAACAAGCGCGGGAAGCGGCTAAAAATGCCAACATATGGAGCAATCCTCTTGACACCAGTCCAGCGAATCGCAAAATCAGCGAGGGAACAGCAGAGATCGAAAGCGGCGTGAGAAAGAAGGAAACCATTCATGACAGTGAACGGGGGACGTATCGTAGCGAGACAACGGCGAAGAAAGGCGAGGCTGGATTTGAAAAGAGAGCGTTTGCGGGCTCCTCGAAATCCGTCAAGCAGAAGGAGAGACCGCCGATGATTAGGCCTGGGGCACGTTAAGGGAAGAGGGAATACTATGCAATGGTGCCATAGTAAGACTAGACATGAGGCAAGCATCCGGACGTCGTCGAGGAATTCCCTGCACGGTTGACAGAGCTTAGTCTCCTCGATTAAAGTCGTCTCCATCAAACCAAAAGGGGGACGTTGAAAACTCTTCTGCGACTTAAACTCTCCCCGAAAAGGTATGCGGACAGTAGTATCCTTGCCGGTACAAGGACAGTTCTCTTTCGGTGCGGGCTTTCAATCACGCAATGTTCCGCTCAGTGCCTGGTCGAGGGATACGGTTCCATATGTCAACGGTTCACGCAATATAAACCACTTGCATCCCGGGGACACGTATCGATGATCTCTTTGTGGGGGAAAAGCTTCAAGGCCGCAGACATGAAAACATGTCCGGCCCATGTCGACTCACCCGTGACTAATCAAGAATCATCTAACGAGGCAAGACCATTAAAGGGTCTGACCTGACGACGACAAGGTTGCTCTGCGTCAGTTGAAAAGCGACGAGACAGCCTCCGTTTCATCGAAGGAGGCCATGGCGTCAATTTCAAGGTCGTACAGTGGACGCTTCTCACTCCCAATTAAATCTCACCTAGCTACTCTTCAGGATTTCCGAAGATGAGTTATGCATTGACCGGCGACATACTCATCTGGCCACGGAGGGAAGCGCTGGAATGTCAAAGGGAAATGGACTCAAGACATGGAAAAGAAAGACACCTGAAGACGCCGAGCCTGTTTCCATGTGTTAAGGACCAAACTCCAACTGCAATCAGCAATCAGCCGGAAACCAGGAAACCAGGCAGGAAGGAATATTCGAAGCATTTGGTTCTCGCTACCGCCAAGCCAATCCTCTTGATCGCAATTTTGCGGCTCAAAGCAATTGTCCTCTTTTTTCTCCCAGGACTTGGCCTCGTCAGCGCCAGTCCCTTCCTAAAACCGATGGGCGAAGCTGAAGTGTTCGATAACCCATTAATGAACAGATCTGTTTATTGCCCAGGATAATGCGGTGGTGGATCGGTCAGGAGTCTGGTGATTGTGGTAGATAGCCTTGTAATAATACTTGTCCTATTTCGAAGGGCTCTATTGTCCCAGAATGTGAACGGGTGTGCTTCAGAGAAGTCAAGAATCGCTGCTCAACCATAGTGAGAAGACATTCCTTGAAAATGGATCGAGTGTTTAGTGATTCCTTCTCGAGTTCTTTGAGTCTTTCCTACCTATTTAGCAAGTTCAGACCAGCCCTTCTCGCCCGGAGGTGTTTTGGTGTTGTGTTGTTATCTCTGGGCAGCCATCAATGCTCTCCATATCGCCCCCTTTACAATGGTGCTCACTATCGGATGCGATTGGGAAAGAGCGAGAACCAGGACAATGACTGAGCGACGACATGGAGACCTAGTGTGAGTTGAGGAAGAGGACGCGTCGACGCAATGTGCTGGCATGAGTGCGCCTAAGGTTGATGTTGCCTGTTGAGGTGGTCGTTGCATCCTGAGGAGCGTACACGATGGACAGCGCCACGGAAAGATGCGAGTCAGTCTGTCAGGCTGCCTGTCGCATTTAGCATCCAGAAGTTGACAGCATTCCCGTCACAGAGATCCTGTAGACGATGACTGCACAAAAGGATAGAGTGATAAATAGTGTTTCAGGGCAGCATGAGGCTGCAGTAACAGCAACATCTTTTGATTCAGCCACGCAGGGTAGGGAAATGTTGACGACTCTAGAGATCACGTGTGGCAATGTACTAGTGCCTATTACAGCGACAAGATGCATTACGCCACGTGGCGGTGGCTGATGCTCAAACTGTGCTTCCTACCCTTACCTTGTCATTTACATGCCGTCGTCCTCGGGTTGGTCCTCGGCTGTTTGCCGATCGGCGTCCAAGTAGCTGACAGGGGTGCCCGACGGCACGATACAGCAGCACAGGCCGAGGGCAGCATGAGTTAGTGGTTTAATAATTGGCTCGACGATACAGATGGGTCACTATTTGACATCCATCATGTCAAAATAGAAGAGCGAGTATTGATGTCTCCCAGTGGGTGAAGCGGTTTTCCCTCTTTCTTGCCAGACGTTCAGGTCACCACACAGGGCGTTTCACCATGCCGGGATGTCGATTATCTCGAAGATACTTTCGCTCGAAGTGTGATGTTGGGAGTGTTCGTCAGATGACTGCCCTCCTTTATCTGGGCCGCAATTCGGGCTCCCTCGTAAGGTAGCGTCTTTGTTGCAAAGAGCTAAGAGGCTTGTTCTGGTCTCCCCTACCAAATAGGCTCCAGATTCCGGCTCTAGAGCCGATTTAGGCACCCTAATCAAGATGCGTCCACATGCTTAGATTCCTCTGCTCACGTGTCTCAACCTATATTTAGAATACCACGTGCCTCTATACCCACTGTACCTCAATGAAGGGTCTTGGTGCGTGCCCAGGGACGCTTCCACGGGTAGACTTCCCCGCTACCTGGGTCTATGGATCACGTGCATCGAGTACACTCCGCCCGAGCACGCGAAGTGCAGGGTTACGCTCAGCAGAGCCTGTAGAACGACGAATTCACACCTTCCCGTGGTGTCCGGTGTCAGTAGCTATTTGGCAAAACCGCGAAGTGAAAATGAGTACAGAGACGTGTTGTGATGCGTGGCGACGTACATCCATGTGCTGCAACACTCCGGGACGCGCCTCAACATATAGTGAGTCATGCTTCTGGGAGAAAAAGGTGCGGAGGAGACATGTCCTCAAGACACCGTTTTCGCACATCACTGTACAGCGAGGGAGTCCGTGTCGAGCAACACTGGAGAGAGGAGAAGTCCCTGTAGTGAGCGTGATTTGGGCGCATCACTGTACCATCTGCAAATCACTGTACTGAACCGAACGCGCCGGGAAGATAAACAGACCCGACGCGGGTGACGCGCCTTAGCGTCGGCAGCTCCCGATTGGGCCATGCCAACCTCAAGCCGAGGGCGTAGGGCCCCAGACGCAGCAACAGACCCCCTCGAAGAGGGCGAGAAAACCAAGTGCGAGGCTCCTCTGTTGAGTGCAGAGACAATCTCGGTGTCAGCAGACCAGCACCATGATCCCACGCAGGATGACGGCGGACCGGACCTTCTGGGCCTTGCACAACTCATCACCGACCTGAAAGAGGTTATCCTCCAACAAAGCAGTATCATCGCAGACCAAAACGGCGGCATCGAGAAGGTCCAAACCGAGCTAGCTGAAGTCAAAGCAGAGCAGCGGGCCCTACAAAGTCAGAACCTGGAACTTCAAGAGGAGGTGCGCTCCCTGCGGTCACAAATCGATGCATACTCCCACATCGGCCCCTTCCTATGCAGATGTGGCACGAACCCCGCCGAACAGCGCGCCCGCCAATGTACACTCCATATCGTCTATGGGGACTACCCCCTCAACCATGACCGACACCCTATACTGTACAGTCGACACTTCTAGGGTGGTGGGCGAGGACGCCGAGAAGGTTTCCGTGGGAGCGATCAGGACGAATGTGGAAAAGGATATGCGAAACACAAGCGAACAGACCAATTGGCGCTGCCGGGCAGTGACCAAGGACCAAAAGAACCCACGCCGAGTTAGGATCGCCTGTAGAAATGAAGCCGAGCACAAAGAAGTCAAACGGGTGATGGAAGCGAACCTGGTAACAGGAATGCGTGTCCTCCGGGACGATCTCTCCCATCAGAGTGGACGGTGTCAACCGCACGGCAGTCCTTGACGAGACGGGTAACGTCCGAACCGGCTAATTTACGAGAGTTGGCGACGACCTTCGATTCTGGGTCGTCGTAAACATACACTGAGTGGTCTTCAACAAGGGCCGGGATTGCTTGGATTACCCATTCTGCACTACACCCATAACCACTTTATCGTCTCTGATACCCACCTCCATCGGCATAAGTGCTATTCAAGACCTTCTGCGTCGCTCTGATCTGCCTCCGGGGTTTTCCATCTTCAATTGAGGCCCGTGAACGTGGATTGGATTGCATATAGTACTGATAGGGACGTACCGCTGTTCGTGAATGTGGTTGACGGAGTATCAGCAAGTGCGCATCGAGCCACCCGATTGGCATGATCAATGAAATCATCTTGATTGGTTTTGGCCCGGTCACGATTATTGCGGTACACAGCCGCCCCTCTCACAAATATCTCCTTGTCGCTGGTCATGGCATATGCCTTCAGCTGAGTCATATGACACTTGGGAGGTCCTCCAGGGGCTTTGGATGCTGTTAGATGGTGAGCATAGAGTTGCAACGTTGCCGTCCCCTGGTGGTAAGTGGCTGGGTAAGTGTTGGCGTTGCCATCGTTATGGGTTCTGCCGCTTGGTAGTTCTGTAGATAGTGCATCACCCGGGCGGCAAGCGCCCCGTCGTGACAGGCTTACTACTTTGCGACGTCAGCATACAAATCAGGTCGGGGTTCATGGAAGTCAGATACCTCGATGTCTGGAGGATATGGCAAAGCGATACCCAGCTGTGTCCTCATCCAGGAGGCATAGATTGTGCATTGCATTAATCTATTCTTCGATGTTGCCGGAATTTTCCCTAATCAACTGAAGGGCCTGTGATGCCGAAATGCGATTCGACGGTAAGAGCTTTGTCAACCCTTGGATCACCGGAAGAAAAGCCTTCAATTCCGGCTCATGGACATGTTTATCAAACTGCCTTTCCAGTCGCCAGTCCGGAAGTTGTTTCCATTTTCCAGCCCCGGGATCCCCTCTAGCTACAGCATCGGACCTCATCTGTTCCCACTTTGACTCCCACTCCGGCGGTAGCTCCCCAAAAACGTCGATCATCGCTTCAACCAAAGGGTTGATTCCCCACCAGCTGTACGGCAAAGCTCCGAAGATGAGATAATAGATCTGGCAGCACATTTTATATTAACCAAGCTCAAGTATAAGTAGCGGAACTCTCACCACTAAGCCTGCACGCCATAAGTCTTGTTTGTAATCAATCTTGCCGGTAAAAATCGATTCGGGCGCTTGCAAGCCTCCAGGCTGTGCAAGGTTTTTAGGTACGGCAGTCTGATTAAATGCCTCTCCTAGATCAATAATGCGAACATTTTCATCGTCTTCGTCGTCATCAAGTGGCCAACCAGTCCACAGTGCTGATTCTACCAGCTGGGTAGGGATGCCTTGTCCGAGGGGTTTGCCATCTAATCGAGTTAACTCTTCTGGATTCGGAGTCCCAAGTGCTTCAAAGAGTTCTTCTTCGGATAGACGAGATAAGCGATCGTTATAGAAGGCGAGGTTTTTTATGCTAAGATCTACAAACGTTAGATCAAGCGTAAGAGTACTGCGAATGCAAGGTAACCAGACCACAGGCGGCCATACCTCCGTGTGCATAGCCAGCCTCGTGCATAAAGGCAACAGCTTCTAGCATTTGGGTCGATACTCTTATAATAATATCTGTACCGAGACGCTCCCCAAAGTGATGCGCGTCATTCACCATTATGTTGACAAGTAGGGCCGAGAAGTTCGAACACGAGACACTGATGACATCCGTTGGGGCCTTCATGGAGGAAATCGTCGAGTAGTTGAACAATATGTTCAGAACCTGGATTCACATTTGAGTATTGCGCCAATGCTCGTAGAACTTGAAGCTCTCGAGACCGATTTGTCCTCTCCGCGTTAGCGATTTTGACGGACACCCATTGCTCGAGCCTACGCACCGTCAGCACAAGCGAAGTGAATGGTGGGCAAGTCAGCGACATGCCTGTAGTCTCTACGGCAACCTAAACTGTTGAGAAGCCACCGTAGCCCAGTTTGTGGTGTATTTTGTACCGGCCATCTTTCAAAGTATCTCCGAGAGCAACAGGATGAAATCCGCCTGGCCGGTAGTCAAGGAAGTTCTCCTCCTCGAATAAGACATTCGATGGGTTGTCGTAGAGCTCATGTAGCTTTGTGAATCCGTCCATGATGAGCATTAACCTAGCTAGAGAATTGCGTCAGAGCAGCGTCAAAATTTGACGAGGTGTTGGCCAAGGTATGGCCAGCCGATGATCGTAGATCCCTACGTAAAACAATGCAAGGGCTTCTTGGAGGCCGGCGGCTACCGTATCGCGCGGCCAAATGTGCTCTGGCCAAGTGGGGCTGCATCTCTCCCAATTACCAGGGCATCAGATTGAAAGTTCCTTCCAACTGGCGTTGCCCAAGTCGTTGTTCCGGACCATTGTGTTGAAGAAACCTGACAGGGAAATGTCAGTACTGCGATATGCATTAAGTGTGTTTGCAACTCAAAGTGTCCTGATCAAGCTTTCGTTGCCAGATAAACAGGGCATTCAATTCATATTCTCTTGGCATACTCAGTTTGACAATTATGTAGCAGAAGGGGAACATGGAGTAGATTTGCTCGCTGGACCCTCTATATCCTGAATAGGAATGATAACCCCTTTCCAACAAGGGCACTGGCTACTGGTCAACAGTATCTGCCTAGTTTCGGTGAGATTTTCGCCCAGTCCTGCGATAAATGCCCACTTCTCCATCCATTTGTCTGTCCGATTTCATGCATGAGATCGGTCATCGATCATGGTGTACGCCATAACCGTTAGGATGAAGATTTTCATCAACGGTCACTGGTCCGAGCAGATTTTAACGAATATCAAATCTTGAATAGGCTAAATTCCCCAGCATTTCAACCTTTGATGACTCATTGCCATCTTTCGAAGGTTTCTTTCAATTCTGGCCCAAAGGACTTTCTGTATCCTTTCTTGATATTCTTAGCTCGTCCTTCCTCTTCCCTCCTCGGCTTCCTTCTGGACTCACAATGGCCTCCGCGCAGACCATGACAATTACTCGCACCGAGTCCCGAACTCGGTCAGAGTCCCAGTCCCAGCCCCAGTCCCACGGCCACGACCATTCAAAACCTGAGGTATTTGAACTTAGCTTCAAGACTCCCGGGCGAACCCTTCGCGAATTATCTCGACGAGTCGTCGGAAGCTCAATACGACGAGAATCATCTGATGAAGAAGGCAATGGTGTTGGAAACGATGTGCCTCCACCCGCCACCGCACAACCGGTCGTGCAGCGCTGGAATAAACCTCGCGGAAATATCGGACGGCTTGCTTTTGCGAGCTTTTCGTTTATTATTGCTGGTCTCAACGATGGTGCTGTTGGCGTATGTCCTACCCTATCCTATCCTTTCTGTACATGGAGACAAATTGGCTAACTGACGGACTGACGGACTGACCGGTTGTTCTTGATTTCGTCAGGCTCTAATTCCCTACGTACGTATATATCATCTCTCTCCGGCAAACGGATTATTCTAATATATGTTCCAGCTAGAATCGTACTACTCGCTCAACTACACCATCATCTCGCTGATCTTCTTGACGCCGTTTGCCGGCTACTCGACCGCGGCCTTCACCAATGCCACGATCCACAGCAAATTGGGCCAGCGCGGCATCGCCGTCATGGCTCCCATCTGTCACATCATCACGTATGCCGTGCTCTCTGCACATCCGCCCTTTCCGGTTCTTGTGGTCATCAATGCGGTCTCAGGTTTCGGGAACGGGCTTACCGATGCGTGTTTCTGCGCTTGGGTCGGAGTCATGGATAACGCCAACGCGGTCCAGGGGGTGATGCATTCGTGTTACTCGATTGGGGCGCTGTTTGCGCCGCTGATTGCGACGAGCATGGTGGTCAGGGCGAGTTTGCCGTGGTATGCGTTTTATTATTTCATGGTAAGCATGAGCGGACACCGACACCGACTCCCCCCCTTCAAATTCCGATTTCCTTTCGCAGCAGTCCGCACGGATGGTTCTAAATGGATGATGACGATGCCTTAATAGACTGGAGCCGCAGCACTTGAATTCCTCGGCCTCACCGCCACGTTCTGGCGTAAGACAGGCGAGGTTTATCGGATTGAACACCCACGAGAGAATGAGGCGACAGGCGGGAGGACGAAGGAAGCTCTCAAGTCGAAAATCACTTGGTTGTGCGCAGCGTTCTTTTTTACATATATGGGTATCGAAGGTATCTTATTTCTTCCGGCCCCATCCCTGGCTCCACACCAAAGAAGAAGCGATACTGATATCTGTTTGGTGCCGAAGTCGGTCTCGGCGGCTGGATCGTCACCTTCATGCTGCGAGTCCGCGACGCCTCCCCTTCAGCCTCAGGCTACTCTGGCTCCGGCTTCTGGGCAGGCCAGGCCCTCGGCCGTGCCACACTGGGCTTTGTCACCGAACGCTTTGGCGAACGCCTCTGCATCTCGATCTATCTCGCCGCCTGCCTGGTCTTGCAACTGATTTTCTGGCTCGTACCGCAATTCATCGTGTCCGCCGTCGCCGTGGCGTTTCTCGGATTCTTTTTGGGCCCCATGTTCCCTGGATGCGTGATGATGGCGGCGAAATTACTACCGAAACACATTCATGTGAGCAGTATTGGGTTTGCAATGGCGATGGGGGGGACGGGCGGAACGGTGTCTCCGTTTGCGATCGGTGCGATTGCCGCGAGTAAAGGTGTAGAGGTTCTGCAGCCGATTATACTGGCATTGATTGCGGTGGTCGCGGCGCTGTGGTTGAGTTTTCCCAAAGTGAAAAAGAGGGATTAGATAGAGAACGAACGTGGGATATACGTAGAGGAGACTCGGACCACAGAGGGTATAATTGAATAGCTCGGGGCAGGGGGGAATTGCCCGTCGTGAAAGGGGGAGTCAAAAATGCCAACATTGTGTAGAGATTCGGTTAAAAGCTTGGGGTTTTATGGTGATTTTCGACGTTACATGGGATTTTTATCCTGAGCTGAACGAGAGACTACAGTTCCCCTTGGAACAACAACAGATGCCTCAAATAAGCCTGAGCTTGAGTCTACGGCGAATCTCCCGGGGCGGAAGGGGAGGAACAAGAAAACGTCAACATGTCTTTCTGCCACGTACAGCACGCAAGACACCAGCTAGCTCAACCGTGCAGACTTCGCTGGTGTCCGAGGGGGCCTCCTAGGGTATACAGCATTGGATATCTGCCGGGCCCGGACAGAATCCGGAGACCGATTGCGCATTGGCTTCTGAGCAGGCGGATGTTGACATGCATGTGCCAGAGACGCCGTCGTTTGTTTGGCAACTGTCACCGCTTCCATCCGAAAAGTAGCAGCATTGAATGTCGATTCCGCCAGGACAATGACCGGCCTCGGAGATGCCACCTTGGTTGGAGCAGGAGCTGGTGGAAATACATGTCCCGAGCAGTCCATTGTCAGCAGTGCAACTTGTAACGGGTGCAGAGGAGGTGGTGGATGCCGATGAGCTTGGTTTTGCCGAAGAAGGCTCGGTGCTGTTGCTGCTGCTGTTGTTTGATGGCAGAGAACTGCCGCTGTCGCTGTCGTCGTCAGGGTTGAAGCCCAGGCAAATTCCTCCAAGAGGAAATGAAGTGGTTGCAATTGTGACATCGACCGGAGTCTTGTCTCCGTCCGTCGTTCCCGCTTCAAACTTGATTTCGGCACCAATGGATGGTTCAATCTCGACTCCAAGGGTCTTGTTCGGATCGTCGCATACTCCGCCTCCTGCATCAGCCGTTGCTTCTACTTTGAAATCGACAAAAGGTAATTTCAGCTCGATTCCTGCCTCGACACCTTGTCCAAGGGCCTCTGCTTTCAATCTCACCGCCGGCATGAAGAACATTTGGACGGTGGCAGCCACTTGGGCTTCGACCGATGGAGGCGTGAAGTCGATGTTGGGATCCCATCCGCTAAAGTCATTATCGAGGGGATTCAACAGGTTGGCACGGAGGATTGCCGAGTCCGACAGACTTGAAGTGACTCCGGCGCTGACGGTGATGGAGCCTTCAAGACCCGTAAGCTCGACTCCAGCATCGATATCCAAGAATGGTCCGATGTTCAAGATATCGGGAGGAATAGTGATGCCATTCAACGGGAAAGACAGGACAGTTTCTTTGAAAGTCTCCTTCTTTGTCTGGAAATTGCTCCCGACTTTCAACTTGAGATTTGCCACCGCCGACACACTCTGAGGACTCATCCGGAATTCCACTCCATCAGGGATGCCGATAACATTTTGAGTGATGCGCAACTCAAAATTGATCTGGCCTGTTGTCCGACAATTCTCACATTCCAGTTCACCCACCAAAGGTCCCTGTTCCACTTTGGCCGTGAAGGGAAGCTCCATGGCGAGTGGTAGCGTGGCGCCTTGCGTGATGTCGCGCCGTCCCAGTCGAGTCTCGTTCGGGGTGGAAATGCTCCCAATTTGCAACTGATACGATTTGGCCATGTCGTGCCAGGACCCAGTGGTGGCGTTCAGGATGGCCACATTTTGGTCTTCCTGGTAAGAAATGGCAGACACGAGATATGGTATTCGGTGTTTATTGCTCCCACAATCCCCACTCCCCGCTATCATCAAAAAAGTGTGATTATCGGCCCCATTGACCCAGTCCCAGACATGTTGTGCATATGCGAATGTTGAATCATCCTCGAATTGCAGCGTCATTCCATTTGGGGTACAGTTTTGGGATATCAGCATGCCATCGAATGTCTCCATTGAGAGAACGTTCTCGTTGCTCCCCGGAGTATAAACGGTGAAGTTGGCCAACACTGTGTCGGAGGTGCCTTGAAAACTAACGTTAGCTCTCGAGATCGGCCATGACGAGGGCATTCCATGTATTTTACCGTTTGTTCCCCATAAAAAACTCGCGGCACTTCGAAAGTCGAGAGAGGAAACATCTCGGGCCCCTAAGTGCGATCTTTTGTCCCCTTCAGGTCGAATCTCGATGAGATCAAAGCCGCAACATAGGCCAAAGAACGACGGGAAAATTGTCCAGAGAAGAAATGAGCGTGATGGAGCCATAACGAGTGTCAAGGATCGAATTGCCACAGATTATCCACGAGAGTTGTGATGGCAGCGGCTTTGGGTGCCCAACTTGGGACCTTCCTGAGGAGGACAAGCCATAGATATTCTTTCTCTCCTGGCATCTATACCTGTGTATCCCAAGAATCAAATTCGAATAAGCCCCCAAATATTGAGACATGAGCAACATGCAGATATCATGCTATTGTTCACAGGAGAGTACTCAACGGGCAGAATAGCCTCAGATCTGGAAGCCGGGGTAGCATGGCAAGGCTGTCTCGTAAGTGTTTCGAACCGATCGTGCGTGCGGTTAGCCGGGCGGATTGCTGGCAAGGCATTGGCTAGGGGCTTTCTGCCAGGCTATTTCGGGCTGACTTGTCAAGCCACGATCTTGGCTCAACGAAATCTGGGTCGTTCATTAGAGCCGCCATTGCATTGAATGTGATTGCAAAGGACAACCATTTCGAAACATCCTGCTCGACGTATTCGGATCCTTTGCGAAGAAGAGAATATAACTTTATTGATGCCAAGCCGGAGCTCCCCTCTTTCCGGCGACTCGTTATTCCGACCCGTTCCTGGCCATCTCTCCTTTCCCTAAAATTTTTTCCCTCTCCTTTTCCCTCTTCCTACATCTTTTTGATGTATGACAACGGAAGTCCTTTATCCCCGGCAAGCTCGTTCACGCGTCGAACGTCCCGATCTCGAATTACGAGGCTCTCTTTCAATTCTCCTTCTCTTTTCGAAAACTCTGGAAATGGTCCAAGGGTGGCTGTACAATCTTCTCAGACACGAACTCCAGGAACAATAGATCACATAAACTCGGGTTTCCTCCGTCCAACGGATGATCGAGACATCGCCGAACGATGTCGCCATATAGTAGCCCACTTTCAATGATGACGGCAGACAAGAGGTTTAATGCTATTTTCCGATTTGCGTGAAGATCTTCTTCGGTCTCCCCAACATTGAATCCAAGATCGGCCATGGACATTACCGTTGAAAGCTGAACAAGGCTCAGTCCAAGGACGAAGAGTGTTCCGCTGTGAATCCGAAGATTGAACATCGCCGGAAGTGTACATGGGCTTAACCTAGTCGTGGTAATATCTGGACTGATATTAAGGGGCAAGGAAACGCTGTCGTGGCGGATTGTCGTTCCGAACATGTCAGTATCTGATGACGATTCTTTTCGATGTGAAGGTTGGATTCCATCCAACAACACATTCACCGCCAAATGGGCAGCATCTGCTAGTCGCGCCCTTCTGGAAAAGGGGACCCCAAGCAGAGATGTTCCCTGGTCGTTCAGCACCAACAGATTCTCCAATCTCAACAAATTAGGCCTTGTTTCTTGTGTATTCTTGAGCGTACGACATTCGGCACTCCTGTCGATATGTATCCAATTCAGGTTCCCTCCCGCATTTGTCGAATATTCATGTGTCTGACGTAGGTGGCTTGATAGGAACTAAGTTTTGCAGATTTAGTCGTGGAACGCTCACAGGAGCGTTACCTTTGTGTTTCCGTATCAAACCTGACTGGACGAACTGGAGATAGACGACTATTGCCTTTAGATATGACCGCCGCTGGACTGTCGTCATTCTCCTTCAATTCAACGTCGATGACATGAATTCTGGTTCCTCAAAATATGACATTGTGTCGATGCCTTCCGCTCGAAGCCAGCGGCTTTGAGCCATGTATGAAATGGCATTGGCATGGCCAGCTACCGGGATCGCAAATTGCCGCGTGCAAACTTTTCAGTTGTTGTCTGCCTCTAATGACCTGGTCCAACACGGCTCGGATCCATCCGGCTTCTTCCGTCGTCTCTCTTCGAGAAGCATGTTCTGTTTTGTGGCCTCCCACAGAATACCACTCTACGTTCTTGTCCTGCCGGTGATTGCTTAGGATTCATTCTTGTTGAACGCCAGCTTCAGGCGTCTAATGTCAAGGATCTGACTAGGCCCTTTTTGGCCTGGAGATCTCTGCGTCAAATGTAACCATGAGTTTCTCTCGGGATCTCTTGCAGGCTTGGGGAAAGATTTTGGGATGCTTCAAGAAATAGTTCGACGGATCGGCCCCGTCTTTCAACTAACCTTTGGTCATAGTGAGGCTGCCACCATATGGGGCCACCCGGATTCTGAAGCAATTCAGAGAGCTCGCCGTCTATTTCTGCGATACTGTCCAGGAGCTCTGTCATGGCATCTTGAGATAATGTCTTCTCGGTCTCCAATCTTCTTGTATATCTACCAGCCTTTCGATCGGGCTCGCAGTCTCGGCGGTTTCATTCGAAGCCTGAACCATTAGAGAGAAAACAACGAGGACAAGACCGATAGACTTCATTAAGTCGCTTGTGTTCGATCTTATGCGTTCATCTAAGTGGCCTTCACTATTATCCTGCAGAGCCGCTTATATTGAATTCCAGGCGATCTCCTTTAGTATATCAGAGATCTATGCCCGTTCTCGGAAACATCTTCGCTAGAATTTCGCTTGGGTTTCGATGGTGAAATACTTCGCACATAAGGTTGCAAGTCTACCGAATACTAGATGTTCTGTACGCAACTCTGAGTGAGATTCCGGAGTTGTACAGAAAGATGGCATCTTGACAAGATCATCTATCGCTTGTAAGAACGGGAAGGGCATCACAAGAACGATGCTATGGATAATGACGAGGTCTTGTATGCTGACATGAAGGACGCTGTTGATGACCTCTATCGGATGCCGTTATTGTTGAGAAAGTCCTTGAAATCGTCGTCTATCGGAATTTTGATATTGAACATGTGAAGAACGGATTTCCTAGGTTGTCAACGTCGCTGTCCGTGCGACGAGAGAAGCCGTCACACTCCACCCATGGCAATCTGCACTATTGGGAAAGGCATCATAATCAAATGGCAGCAGGACTTGAAGATGATACTCGATTTGACTGTGCCCTCTCTGAAACTGCGGCTACCACTTGTCGAGCAAGGTATGGGCTTCTATGGAACCATGGATGCAGCCATGTCTCCAGCAAGCATACCTCAAACATCATATGCGCCATCAGCGCTTGAAGGAAATGATCTTTTGACTACCACGACGTCCCACAAGAAGGTAGCAAAGGCGACGCCTTCGAATGCCCTCTCGGTTCTTTTTGTGACCGCGACGCCCATCCAGCTAGCACAGGTCAGGCACGTTTTTGTCGACCTCCAACCGTACGTCTATTTGTTCATGGGCTGTCAAAGGCTCGAACACAAATGTTTACCTCGCAGAATGAATGGTTTGTTCATGAAGTACGGGATTATGAGGATGAATGCATCAAGTTCTCAGCAGGTGGCACCGAGGACCTGGAAATAACAATTTGGGGACACCGATGTCCCATGTGCGAAAAGCTGAAACTGGCCAAGATGAGATCAAAAAGCACTGTACACGCCATCTGATAAAACTATGCGTATTTGCAATTCCAATCAGCTCACGAAGCCGGTTCCGCGGACCGTGAGGATGGAGATGAGGAGCTTGACAGAAATCAGTAGCTGGGCCAGTACCAGGGACTCCTACAGCGGGGCTCTCCCCATAAATCCTCAACGCCAATTTCATTTACTGTACAACCCCAAATGTGGCCAGAGATCGTCAAAACAACCTAGACTGCAGATGAGCTTGTGGATCCACATATGCATCCTGCTGAACGGGGGAACAGCTCGAACAGCAACTGCGTGAGCGTCACAACGGCCAAAGTCTCCACATTATTTTACAGCCAATGACTCGGACTATGAATCTCATCTCGAGACTTGCCAGTGCCGGATGTTCGAAGAATGTGGAAGTTTCCCTGAATGTATATACGGGCATGGTAACAGCAAGTTCATTTGTACTATATGATCGAAACGGGCAAATTGTTGGTGTATGCTCTGCAGTGTATCCCATTGGGTAACGATTACAAGGACCAGCGGCAAGTTAGGCCTATGAGCGTCTTATTCAACTCCTCATACACCTATACTTTCAAAGATGTTATCCTTATCCTAAAGCGGCACTCTCCCAGTACTAGTAAGGTGGAGGGGATAAATCCAGGGTCCAGATACGCTACTACTTGCAGCATCTAATCGCTAAACCTTAGAAAATGAGCCTGAGCAAACTGTTTGCTCATTCGGGGATGGCTATAAGGTAACACTTCGAAGGCGGTTTGGATTGATCGCATTCTGACCCCGAACAAAAGTGACCATAAAAGGAACACACAGTCCATTGCCTAAGAGCTTGATTTCATGCATACCTACTATGCGTCTGTGTAACGGCAACGGTTTCGGTCCATCGCATTTCATGGCAGTGCAGTTTTTATTGTCTTCATATGCCTCCTCCCGGGCCCACTTCTATAGCCCTGTCAAAGTGTCGAAGCGAAAGGAGGAACAAAAATCCAAGGTAAATTGAAGTCAAGGTCATGGGAAGAAGGCAAGGGTATTTGCTAAAGAAGCTCAATCGATCAATCAGTCAATCAGTTATTTTGTCCATGACTCTGGTATCGTAGACTCATTTATTTCCAGTATACACAACAAAAAGTCCAACTGTATGACGTATGTTTTCCTTTTCGTCCCCCTCCTTTTGCTTGTTCGTGCTGCGTTCTGCGTTCTGCGTTCTGTGTTTCTTCTTTGCCAACTGAATTAAAATCAACTCGATCTGCTTCCCTGTCCAACTCTGGGAGAGAGAGTGATGGAATTAGAAAACAGCCCCCCCCCCAATCCCTTAACGTAACGGGCAACCCCGAAATTAGGCGCGCTGTCTTTTCCTTCCTCCACCTTCCTTCTCGATTGAACTCATTTTTCTTCCCTTGCTCCGTGTCGCGGGTCCATCACCTGGCTTTGCATCGTCTGCAGACTTGGGTGTCGTAACTTCGCTGCTTGGAACACTCTCAACTCGTCCTCCGCCATCGTGTTCAAAATCATTTGCGCCTTCGAACTTCATGTTGCCATAATCGCCGGAGCCTGCACCACCAGAAGTGCCATCGAATCCGAAATCGTATTTGGAGGAAGAGTTCTGGTTGAGATTGCCAAACAGCTCGTCATCGTCCTTGTAATCGACAAAGTTGAGGTCGTCCGTCGTGCTGGTTTGATTGCCGGGGCCAAGGCCCGTGTTTCCGAAATCGTAGTTTCCATTTCCATCACTGGGAAAATCGGCAAAGTACTCATTGTGATTAAGGAAGTCGTCGATATCGAGTGGTGGAGGAGGAAGGGACTGGCCGTCGCCGATACCCGGGATGGAGCCAGTCGGACTCAGAGGTTGGAGGAGATTTGTTAGATTCTGCACACTCTTGTCTTGCTCCGCTTGAAGCTTGGCTAGTTGGTCGAGGTCGGCTTGGGTGCTGGCGAGACGGCGGTGGAAGTTTGCAGGGCCTGGTGGTGGAGTTGAATTGATGAGAGCATTGTCGTTTCCGGCAGGTTGGTTAGTGGAGTTGTTGATCATTCTTAACACATCGGCACGCTGGGATGTAGTGAGAGGGCCTGTTCCACCGGAGGCTTCGAGGCTGTTGAGAACGTTGGAGAAGTCTTGGGCCGGTGTCGTGGGTGCACCGGTGGTAGGAGCATTTGCATTGTGCGCGTTTGCATTTTGGATCACCGACATCATGTCTCGTTGAGGCAGGTCGTGAGTTTGGGCCGTAGTTTGACTGGGAGCGGGATTGTTCGGACTGGTGACTCCGGGGTCGAAGACGTCATCCGCGCCCGGCGACAATGTAGACTGCTGGTCGTTGCGGACATTCTGCGCGCGTGGTGGGTAAGGGCTGTTATCAGCGCGAGGAGAGATGGTGCTTGCCCGACCCTGTTGTCGACTGCCGTTTGTGAGGAGCAGAGGTTGTTTCTTAAACGGTTTTGCCAGTCCTGGATTTGCACCGTCAAGATTGATGTCGTTGAATGTGTAATCCCCGACGTCCACGACGTTTCCTTGACTCGATCCGTCGACAGGAATGGAGTTGGAAAAGAGGTTGGCGATTCCTTGCACTCCGTCATGACCTTGGAGGCTGCGATTGTAGACGGTCGCGAGGAACGTCAGGATGGCATTGATTGAATTCTCGTGTCGCGTGTGTTGATCTTGGAACGTCGCGGCTTGGCCGTACAGCTGTTCGTGTTCGCGTTTGAGAGCTTGCATCATGCGGGAAATCTGGGTTTGTTGATGTCTAATCGCCGCCAATTCTCTTTGCACGCTCTTGAATTGTTCTTGCGTGAGTGCTGCTTCACCGTGGCCGAGGGTGAGTTGACCAGGACGAACGCGTACACGGTTGTCACCTGTGTTGGCGACATCGTCTGCATAGTCGTCCACATCTTCGTCATTTGGCTCATTATCGGTTTTTCCCTTTCGCTTTGACGCTGGACCACTGACGTTCTTGGGCTTTTGGATCAACCACAGAAGGTCAGGATGGCCTCGGCGAAAGTACGGGTTCGAGTATTCACTCGGACTTTTATTCTTTCTCTCACTGGCCCTCATAGAGTTGTCGGAAAGGCCCACCTTTTTATGGAAACCATACATGTTGAGCTGACGGACAAATGAGGCGTAGTTGTTGTGTTTGAACAATTCCGGGATGAGGGTTTTGGCAAACTCATCTTCATCAAGGACAATGAATGAATTGCCATCGTCCGACCAGCGAATGAGTTCGGTATTTCTACCGTCTTCGAGAAAACTGCCCCCCAAAAAAGGGTTTTAGCGTTGGCGTTTTCGCTTGACAATTTTATGGACTCACTCACCTATTGAGTTTCTGAACAAAAGGTGGGATCTGCTTTCTCTTCGCTTGAGCCTCTCTCTTTGCAATTTGGGCCTTAGCTTCAAGTTCGGCTATATCATCTCCCCAGTCTTGATCAGTGGTATGTGTTCCTCCATTGGAATTGTCAATCCAAGGAGTGCCATCATCGTTCAATCGAGCGCGAGTGGTAAGTTGGGTCACGGGTCTTCGAGCAAGTTGATTTGAGGGTTGCGGATTGCTTGAAGGATACGAATTCGCACTCAGGGCATAGCTGTTGTCATTATACGATGGGGCAGGCTGGCCAGTTTGACCCCACTGAAGGAAGTCGTCGTTTGAAAGTTGCTGCCCGAGGCCATCATTAAAGACAGGCATGGGATTCTGCGCCTGAGGTGGATAAGGTACAGGATCTGCTCCGGGAGCAGGGCGTTTCCTGGAAAAGCTTTGGGAGGTCATGATGAAGGAAGTGAAAATGAGGAAAGTGTGATGGTAAGTTTACAAAGTTTGCCGGAGTGATGAAGAGATGTGAGAATGAATTTCAGCACGTTTGGTTGCCGAGCACCAGCTGAGGATGAAAAGAGGTCTCAACACTCTGAGGAACAGCACAGCGCCCGCGCAGGAGATGATTCGATCGATGACTAGAGCTCATGTGTCGGGCGTGCGCGGCGAGGCGGGAGGAGTGCCGTGTGCCAGGCCGTGTGACAATGATTAAAGTCCTGGTCGGGTTTGCTATTGAGGCTGGAGAACAGTTTGGGAGAGAGAGAGAGATGAAGGACGGTGTTTCCAGACGGTCCGTCAAGAAGCGGTCAAAGAATTTTGTCGCTGGGTACCATGGACAGGAGGGAGTGATTTTGGACAAGTTGCAGATTCGCAGGCTGGATGATGGATGGAACTGGTGTTTTGCGGGATTGGCTATGACATCGGTCTGCCTGCCACTCGTCTGCCTCTGCTCCACCGTGGTCAAATCTCATGCCACCAAACTATTTTTTGCCAGCCTTGCGGATAAACCGGATTGATCTTCTCTGCATTGATTGTGGCTGCAAAGAAGTCCTCTGTCAATGGACGGGAGAAATACTCCAAAGAAGCCGATGGTAATACACCCACCGAATTGATGAAGGCTACGGGTTGATTGGACCATGGGGACTCGGTTCAAATTGTACTTCTCCATATTGATCTTCCATCTAGTTACCTGAGTGTTGAGTTTCTCGCTCTATGCGTTATCGTACTGATCACCAGGCTGTACTGGTCTAGTGCCTGTTTGTCCACATCAATTTATTCTGTCCAACCTCTTTACGGTTGTGGCTGTCCAATGAGCTTTCTGAATTTCGCCATCGCGCTCTTCCAGTGTTCTGGGTAGGACTCTGCAAACTCTTTGGCCTTTGGTACAGCCTTCCAGTCCTCCTGCATGTGCTCAAGGCTCTTTGTGCCGTTCAGGATGGTCACATTACCCAGCCCGAGCACTAGACAGTATAAGGCTGACTCTGGGCTAATGTCAAGCTGACTTGCTAAGGCCCCGACCTCGCTGGACCGAGTGAGTTGTGGATTGGCGGACAAAGTCCAGAAACTCTGATAGATGATATTTTTCTCTTGACAGAATTTGCGTACCCCTATGTCGAACTTGGTGCTGGGATAGAATCGATTTTGTACCACACTGGGCTTGATTGTCGAACGCTCATAGACATCCATCAAGGTGAACAAATTACAGTTTGAGATGCCCAGGTTCCTGATTTTATTTGGAACATACTGCTCCAGGGCGTGCCACACGTCCATTGTCTCGTTTATCGACTGCAGGGCTGAATGAAGAACTAATGTGTCAATATATGGCTCTGCCGAATCATCGTCCTTGACCACATTTGCAAAGTTGAAGTGGCGAAGCGACGACGTGACGGAAGCAGCCACCTGCTCTACAAGCGGACTGTTCTCGTCATACGGCATATTTTCCGGATCTTGACCTGCAACACTGGTGAATTTGGTTTGTAAGTAAATCTCTGATCGCTTGATTTTGCCATCCTTGATCGCCCTCGACACTCCAGCAGCAACAAGGTCTTCTCTATAATGCTTGGGTTGGGCGGCAGTGTCGATGGCAGTAAATCCATTATTCAGGGCTTGATAGAGAAGATCGGTGGTGGACTCCTTCTTCCATGCTGTCCCATAAATGAAGGCTGGCAAGAATTGTTTGCCAGACCAATGAGGCGCGTGTAGCACCAGCTTCTCGAAGATGGCCGATGTTGCCATCTGTCGTCCTGAATTGACTTGAATTTTGGGGCCTCCAATGTTAAGATCTTGAGGTTCTGGGTGAGAAAGGGCCACCGTGGCTCAGTGTGGGCCGAGACAGATCTACGCGATTTCTGTCGTCAACCTACTTCTGATTCAGGAGAATGATTTTTCGGGAAACAAGAAGAGGTCATTTATTCTTTGTGCCAGAGAGGATAGCTGACGTAGATCTTGTCGGATTGTCGAATAGAAGAGCAGACTTCGCAATCCACGAGATCATTGGCAGGGCATCCAACCCTTAGCTCGCCGACATCAGCGCCAAATGGTCGAACCCTGGACGCTCTCCATCAGGAGGACAAACTCTCAGTGCGTGGAAGCCGGCAGAATGGGGCATGGGAATTCCCCCCAAAAGCCATTCCTTTTAATCACCTGTCTATCAATTGTTGAAGCAGCCCTGCAAAAAGACGGAGAAGACGACTTACAATGCATCGCAATCACGCCCGCACCTTTTCGCGATTGGGTGTGGCGCAACAGTGCCGAGTGTGAGACATCCACTTCAAAATTCCATGGGCATTTATTGCCACGAGCCACGGGCCACCCATATTTATGTCCCTCAGTCTCGTCTCACCATTGGAGGGTAACCAACTGGTCGAGTGGCCCATTTCGCCAAGTGACAGCCTGCATGCTGGAAAAAGGGCATGACCTTGCAGCAAATCCTAGGCGGTTGGCTGGTTGGCGCACTCTTGAGGGTTGCCATTATGGAGTCCCATCTCAGGTATTTTTTCCACAAATTCATGCATATAGTTTAGATGGCCGGGCACCTGTCCTCGTGCTGTGACGCCGCTTGCCACAACCACATCCGCTCTCCATCTTGATTTGACCGCATTCGGGTTTTCTTAGCTGGCTCATATCGAACTCTGGTAAAATATCAACGCGACGTGACAGCTTACAACGGTGGACTCTTCATGGTTCGTGGCCCGGACGATCCACCAGACCGTCTCCCCGTGGTAAGAGAAAGGTGGCGGCTCACAAGATGAGGCAAGAAGAATGGGTCTAGTGCCGGCTACGCGAACGGGACCCAGACAATTGTTGACGATGCTAGCAGCTTTATGGTATGGGTGAAATTCAAAATAAGGGGGAACATCGAGAGGAGTCAGGAGTAGGAAGCCAACGTAAGGCTCCGGCGGCTTGGATTTGGCAGAAAACGTTCAGGGAAGTCTATGGAGCGATATGAAACCGAAATTTCATAAGTGGCAAGCACCGTCGAAAATCGTCGGCGTGGAAGGTGGATTTGCAGGTGAATTTGTGTGGGAGCATGTCAGGATGTTTGCCAGGGGGTGGGAGGGAAGATGGGAGGAGTTTGATTGCGTTCGGGTGTGAGGGAGGGTCGTGTCGTGATAATGGTCGTGTTTGGATGATCGTCACGGTGGTTGATACGGATGACGAACGCTGGTGGGCGCTCAAGTTCACGGCTTGTTTTGTTTGTTTCAGTTCGCTATGCATTATTGCCTGAGTCCAGCGAGATGAAATAGAATACTTTGAGGCATGAGAATAATGGATACACTGCTCTAGGCAGAGGGTGCAATTTTTGGGGGGGGGAAGGGATTCGGTGCAGAGAGCAGGGATAGCGTAGGTAGCTGGGCTAAGTCGGTTGGTGTATTGCCAGAATCCGCGGACCTGGGTACCAGGGAACATCCCCAAAGCTGTTCGATTGCTGGTCCGGCTGTGACCTCTCTCTGTATTTTACTTTGTATCAAATACCCGCGGTTTGCGCAAGCCGGGTGCAGGTTCAGGCTCTGGTTCGCTTTTGATGGTAGCCCTTTAGCTCCTTTCTAGCCTTCTCTCTCCTTCTTAGTCCCTCCAGTAGCCACTTTCTCCTAATTTCTTTGTTCCCAAACACCCTGCAGCCAAAACTTCAACATCTCATCCTTCTCTCTGCTTTCTCTCTCCATCTCAGCGTAACTTAATTGTTGCATGTCTCATCGCTCACCACTAGTACCTTTTCTGCTCCTGTCTTGATTCAGCCCACCCGCCTTTGTCTATCTTTAATATCATGTCTCGATCTCAAAGTTAGGTGCTGCAGTCAAACCTTTTTCCACCCGAAGTTCACCTGCAGAAGTCTCGACTCGGTCCACCTGAGTGCAAATTCACCAGCTACCAGCTACGACCTGCCAACTTCCTATACTACCTTCTTTCCACCCCTCTCCTCTCCTCCAACGATATTGTCTCGATTCCTCAAGCGTCAATCACGTCCAGTCCTCACGACTTCCCAAATACTTGTTACGTCTTGTTTGCGACGAATTACCCCCGGTTAATTTTGGTGAATAACAATCCTCAATTCACGTACCTTCGGCCTTGAATTCTCTGAGACTTCAACTCAAATTGCACCCTGAGTTTGCGCCAGTCCCGAAAAGAGACCAGCCGCTGCACGACATTGCATCGTACCATTTTACCCTTTGATAGGAGTCGAGTGACTTTGTCGGGAGGTAATACATTTGAAAAAGAGAGAAATATTTCTTCAAGAATAATATCTGAAGATGGCAACCTTCTCAAATACCGCTGAGTCATTCTATGACGATGTATCAAACACCTCACCGAGAGCATTCCGAAATGCACAATTGAATCGCCAGGCCGGAAGGACCGATTATGGTGGCATGAATGCCCCCATGTTTGGTGCCGAGGGCTCTTTGCCTACCATGCGTTTTGATAATATGAGGGATGGATTTGGTACTCCGATGCAGGCCCCTGGTGCTGGAAATGTCCATTTTCCCTATGATGCAGGTGCTGCCCAAACCTGGGGTTCAAGTGGCGGATCTCTTCAATCATTTGGGAATGGAATGGGTGCGATGGCTCAAAACCCCAACTATGGCCCATCGCGAAGTGTCAAACCAAGTCGAGGCAGGGTGGGAATCTCAAATGTAAGTCCTCGGATCTCTCTTCGGTTGGCATACTAATTTTTTTCCTTCCCCTTGTTGCAGCTGTGGTTTGACCAACCTGCTCAGTTACAACAGCAACAATCACAGGCACCGACCGTTATCGGCCATCGAACCGGACCCCAAACCCGTAACGATCAACAAGAAGAGGACGACGAGTTGATTCCGACTGCAATTGTGATCAAGAATATACCCTTTGCCGTGAAAAAGGAGCAGCTCGTTCAACTAATGGTCGACATGAATTTGCCCCTTCCCTATGCTTTCAACTATCACTTTGACAACGGGGTATTCCGTGGTCTTGCTTTCGCCAACTTTACTTCGCCTCAGGAGACCGAGCAAGTTATTCAAGCGCTCAACCACATGGATCTCAGCGGTCGCAAGTTGCGAGTCGAATATAAGAAAATGCTTCCCCTCGCAGAACGAGAGCGTATCGAGAGGGAAAAGCGTGAACGTCGTGGTCAATTAGAGGAACAGCATCGACCCATGCCGCAATCACAACTTCACAATCAGATCTCTGTCTCATCCATGTCGAGGAACACTCCATCACCTCTCTCCCATCGTGGTCCCAAGCCTGGTCAGTTGTGTTTTTGTAGATTAACCTCATCAATTGCTGACCAATGATATAGAAGTCGACATGAATGATCCGAAAACCCTCGAATTCTATACCGAAATGACACTGTTCCGACGAGATCTCTCTCGCGAAGTTCTCATCTTTCCGCCAACCCTGGAGCCACATCATCGCCGAATTGTCCATACTCTTGCCCACCATATGGGATTGATGCACACCTCTCGTGGAAGTGGGGATCAGCGACAAGTTCATATCCACCGGCCTGCGCCCGGGACCAACGTCAGTCCACCAGCCTTACCGGGAGCCTTTGGATCCAACGACGGTCTGCGTCAAACTCTTGCCAGATCTTCTACAGCCGACTTTAGCGAAGGGAACAGACAATATGACTCTCCCGCTTTCAACACGCTACGAGGCCAATCATCGGTCGGTCTCCTCGATGTCATGGACTCCAATGCCTTTGGTCGATCGGCTGATAGTAACCTCCGCAATGCCAAATCCTTTGCAGATTTGCGATCATGGAGTCCCTCACCAGTACCTTCATCGGCAAGCTTCCCGGCGGCTTTGCAAACTAACGGAGCACGTCTTCAAGCACTCAACGATACAGCCGGGTCCAACACCCCAACATTGACGCCCACCGCCTCCAACTCTGCACCGGGTGTTAGCCGAGAGGAACCATTCCTCATTTCTACACTTTCCAACCTTTCGATCGGCAGTAACAGCGGGAGTCAAACAAGCCCTCGGCGCCAACGAAGCTTCTTTGGAAATGGAGCGGAATGGAACGACACTCAGTCGTATCATGCCACAGCCCCTATCGGTAGCAAGAGAACTGTCAGCATGGGACCGGAGAGTAACACCCAGAATACCAACCCAATGCGCCAGTCCCGAGGACCTAGTTCCAATAATGCTATTGGATTTCGCCGACAAAATGGACGTGGCAGCGATGAATTGCGAACGGCGGCATCAGCAATCGCCGAATGAAAAAGACTTACCATATACCCCCCCTCCCTTCTTTGATGACGCTCTTGCAGAGCAATGACGAGTCAATGATCCACGATGACACGACCATCTCCGACCTGGAACCTCCCAAAAAATTGTTAGATGCATAGGGCAGCTACATGACTGCATGATTGGACTACAGAAAAAGACTGTTTTAACGAATTGATAGGACTCATGGTGCGGCATACAGCATTTATTACGAAGTCCCGAGAAGAATGATTGATATTCTGGTTTTGTACACTTTGAAGTTTGAATTTGTGTGAGAGCGGTGCATTATGGGGCGTTCATGCCACCGAACTCGATCGAGAGGCATGACAGGGTATGCCAGTATTTGTTGTGGTCTCTGATTGCATTTGACTGTCGATGCTGGAGCGAGCCTCCCATCTTGAATTTTGTCGGGGAGAATGGAAATGGGGATTCTACGTATGAGATACACTCGTTTTAATAGTTGGCAGTGACCTCACGGGACTGCGCGTAATATCAAAAATGTTGTTTGTTCGGGAATAAAAGTATTTGGGTATATGGTCATACTCTGTATCCCTCTATACTGATGAGAAGTACATGTACTTTAAAGGATAGGGCGATTACATAAGACGCCAAGGCATCCGACATCTCGCGATCTGCCTCTTCACTCACTTCACTTCTTGATCCCCCTTTTTCTGAGAGACAGCAAAGATCATTCCACGACGATATCGGCCATCTTGTGGTCCTCGTTGTCTCTTTCACGTCCATTTCCACGTCTACAGACACCAATATTCCCGACATGGGCATGGGAATGCCTGGCATGGGCGGCCGCCCATCTCTAACTGCCGTCCCGCCAGTTGGCATCTGGAGGGCTGCTGTTTCACGCAGAATTGCCCTCCTCTGACAAAGTACGGTAGGTGAATAACCAGCTCATTCGAATCTAGTCCTCCCTCCTCACCTCGTCGGCCGCACGCAGCAGCAGCCCTCCAGTGCGGGTGAGGCCTTCCTGTTTATCGACCCTCCAAATACGCCAAGCCGACTACGGCCCAAAACGGCCTAGCGCGGTATTGCCGTTGTTTTCCTTTCACTCGGGCACGATCTGCGCTTCTTTTCCCTGCCACCCACTTGATTCTTTGAACCTGCACCCTTTCATCCCTCAAAGCTACCACCCACTTATCAACATCCCGACGCGTCTGCGAGTATTCCATCCATCGCAACACACTACTCCCTCGTCGCATTACCACCGGAAAGATTTTATTCATCGGCATCTCTTACTATGGCCGGAGGCAAGGGCAAGAGCATTGGAGGCAAGGCCACTGGTGCCAAAGACTCGACGAGTAAAACTCAGAAATCGCACAGTGCGAAGGCTGGTTTGCAGGTGAGCTCACCACCTTTCTTGAATCGTTTTGATGTTCATGTACCCATCTTCAATTTGATGATGCGTTCGCGTGGTCATCATGGCGCAAATTTGAGCAAGTATCATCCACCATGCGATGCGCTTTGTCTTCGTGAGTTGTGTTAGCAAAACCTTTTGCGCGCCGTTCATTGCTAGAAACCACTCCTTTGAACCGTTCCAAAGCATACTAACCCGTTGTTTATCAAGTTCCCTTGCGGCCGAGTCAAGCGTTTCTTGAAGAACAACACCCAGAACAAGATGCGAGTTGGTGCCAAAGGTATGACTCCTGCCTGCTCCTTTCAAAAATGGTGGCGAATACTGACCTGATTCGTCAAATAGCCGCCGTCTATGTTACGGCCGTCCTCGAATACTTGACAGCTGAAGTTCTTGAACTCGCAGGCAACGCCGCTAAGGATCTCAAGGTCAAACGTATCACTCCGCGACACCTTCAACTCGCTATCCGAGGTGATGAAGAATTGGATACCTTGATTCGAGCTACAATCGCGTTTGGAGGTGTTCTCCCTCATATCAACCGCGCGCTTCTCCTGAAGGTTGAGCAAAAGAAGAAGAGCAAGGCAGATGCATAGAGGATTCGAGATTAGGCAACAATCGGCCAAATTTCGTTCCATACCCCTGATTCGGCGTCCATGGGCATACTGTGACGGAATGAGTTGTGGCGTTGGAGGGGGGGGGGGGAGGGGGTCATCGAGATGAGTGTACGATGAGGACATTGCAACTACAGTAACAACAAGAATGCGGATCATAGGAGGTTATTATCATTGCAGCACTTCTTGTGGTCAATCTGACCTTTTCAGATTGAAGGATATCCAGCTCTTACTCCATTCCGAGTTGGATTACTCCAACAAATACCCTCATTTTTCTGTTTCTCTGCGCAAATGATGCATTTTTCTTCACTCTCGATTCTTCCATTCTTCAATTTTCTGATTCATTATAGGACTTTTTTGCTCCGTTCTAGATGCCCGTCAACGTTCTAGGCATCATTATTTGCCACTACCATACGGCACACCGCTCCTTTTTGATCTTTTTCATCGGATTCCTGCATCGTTTGTTCCGCTTGGTGTCACCAAATTCCTCCCTGGAGGCCATCCGAGTAATCATAACTCACGGTTAAAATAGGTCCTACAATCCAGACAATTGGGCCTCATGTTGTCAGATGTTCGGACCTATGTGAGTTATAAGTACAGTGCTTCTTCTCCCTTTGCCCTACGGGTGGATTCAGGCACCCTTTGCAAATTTTCTCTTGTCCTTTCTCGGGTTGTTGATGATTGGAAGCATCCGTCTGTACTACGTGACCAGCGCAGACCCAAGCTGTATTATGCGGTTTGACGCAAGTGTCTGCCTTCCCTCCTTACCCAGCTGTCGAATTGACTCGACAAGTGTGACAGGCACTGGCAGCCTGGCCTCAGAGTCTTCTGATCGGCTTCTCCGTTCCGCAGCAGCACCGATACTTACCTTAACACATCGGACGGACGCTATATCCTTCATGGCTCATGGCACGTGGATATTCACGAGGATATTCCATCGCCCCTTCATTGTTGAACATGCCATGCGATGTCGGCTGGCTTATCCTTGTCTATTTGCTCAGCACTGACAAGGAACATAGACCTGACTTCCCATGTACAGTACGTTGGCCAGTTTGGATCCCTCAGTCAGCATATGATATGTCATACAGCACGAAGAAACGAACGATATCGGCTGATTGATCCAAATGAGGTGATGCTGTGTTCACTCTCTATATGGTTATACAGGGCCCCCTCCCGACTCTTTGGCAAGGCCTCTGAGTACGGAGGCATGTGCTGGAAGAGGTTCAATTTACTAGTAGGTTACATTTGCAATCCCGTTTTCTGGTGATTTTCAAACCTATCGTCTTGGGATGGACGACTGGTGCTGACTCGGTCTGCCTGGACAGCCTTTATCTTGCATTCTAAAGTCCTGACCTGGGATATGGACACGTCGACATGGTCAACGTCAACCTGGACACCTTGATCGGCCGCGATGGAGACGACTATGAATCGGTGTACCCTCGGCGAGGAGGATAGTTATCAAGGTAATAGTGCCATGACCAAGACCCCCAATTCCACAGGTCACACAGGGAAGGTTTTCAGACCCAACTAGAGGCCGGAGTAGCACCTCTAGCAGTAGTCGGAGTTGAGGAAGGCATGGAAGGTATGTTCAATTCGTCTCTTTCTCTCGTCCTATTTATTTATCCGAAAGATGTGGAGCAAGGTAAAGAAGATTAGAGAACTTTGAAACTGACAAGAGCGCAAATCCCTGCACAATCAGACACGGTCACAGACATAGGCACAGACATGGCCATCGCCACCGTGACGACGAAGCCCGTGTTCTCGACGCCATTTTCTCAAGCATGGTCCCCCGTGGTCGAGCTGCTGACTCTGTATGCATGAACCTTGAAAGACGCCGTGACTCGGAGGGTGGGTATAGCTATTGGGACCTAGCCCTGGTGGAAAGTGCGTTGATATTTGTCGACGCGGCGAAGTGCCGCAGATTTGTACATATGGCGCAAGACACGGGTGTCGGAGCGGGGCCAGAATGTGTGGAATTGAGGATTTCAACTGGGACCGAGATTGGGACAGACAAGGGAGAAGTCGGGACTATACTGGGATGCTTTGGCTTTAATGATCAACGTCGAAAGTCTCAACCCAGATCAAAATCCAGGGAGAGAAGGGGATGGAGCACGACAGACGAATTGGTTGTGGAGAGAGTACGAGTGTTGACTTCGTTCGTCCAGAAAAAAGGTCAACGAAAGTCAAGTGAACCAACTGGGTCGTGCATAGCAGTTTGACCACTGGAGGTAATTGGGAAAAGGAAACAAATAGGGAAGAGGGAGAATGCGTTCGGATAAGAAAGGCTGGAAGGTACAAGGAAAAAAGCGAGGAGAAGAAACTGGAGGATACCAAGGGACGGAAGACATGAAGACAAGGCTGGAAAATCCACGAGAAGGAAAGAACAGGAAAGACAGAGGGTTCAATCTCTTGTTTCCTCGTTCATGTTATATTCAATCAAGGCCTACCTTCTCTGATCGATGTCAGATTCTTCGCAGGCCATCTGGTGACCTGACCTAGCACTTGATACATCTCTGGAGATACAAGGGACCAGACCGAGCGCTCATAAGAACGGCTTGCCATTTCATCTCTCCTGCCCAATATCAAGGATAAGGACTTCGCTTTGCTTCGAAGCATGAAGTATGAAAGATTGAAAATTCTCCGGCGAGGCTCGAGGAATTTTATGCGTTGTGACGAGTCTTCAAATCGTCTTTCGTGATTTCTTTTGATTCTTGTAATTCCCATCTTCTCTCCTCCGTTTTCGACCTTGGGCTCCGCCTCCACCGCCACCACCCGATGGCCCTTTAGGTCCAAGCCCCGCCATATTGCGATGTTTCCTCTCAATCTCCCTACGGACTTTTCGCATCTCTTCGTCCGAGTCGACGTCTCTGGAGGAATTCTGCTTTCGTTTCTGCGAGGGCGTTTTCCTTCCAACATCGCTGTCCGGGGAATTGGATGTATCTGAATCTGATTCGGAATCAGAGTCAGGATCTCCTGGTCCCGAGCTCAAATCGTCTTGATCCTGTTGACGATTATTTGTCCCTGTCGAAGTTCTTGATTTCCGCTTCTTGAATGAACCGTACATCTGACGACCACGGGGCTGATTCGTCCATATATCTTCTTCGTCCTGACCTGCTTCGTCCTTATCGCCAGCATTGTTTTCACCAACGCGTGATCTGGGCGTGGACTCGTTGATGCCATTGACCTGTGACTGCGAATGACCGTCTGTCTGTGCGCCAATACAACTGGGGAATGTCATTTGCAAATCGAGAATCCATTCTGTATCTGCCCCTTCCTCACGAGTAAATGTACTTGTCCCGCCTCTCGCGAGAGTCAGACCGGTACTCTGCGCATCCACGGCCGGGGTGTTGATTTCATTTGAGGGTGTTCCAGGGGTAGAGTCAGCAGGAGAAGACATTCCGCTCTCCATACGTCGGCGCTTTGCGAGTGGTTCGGTGGAGAGTGTCTGCGTCGCCGAAGATGCGGGTGTAGAAGCCGCCGCTCTTTGCATGAACTAAAGATATCAGTCAACATTCGATTCTTGGACAAACGGGATTCTTGCCCGGGTGGAATAACACCCTCACCTTCATATTCAGCAACCGCGAAGACATTTGCTTAGTGGCCTGCTGAGGCCGCGCATTGGCGGTGCTGAAGCCCGCCATCTTGCCGGCTTTTCGTAAACCTGTCCAAGAGAGGATATAGCTGTCGAGAAAATTTTTGGACCTGGAAGGGATTTCACTGCGTCGTCGTTCAGGTTAGTCCACGAAACAAGGCCGCCGAAAGTCACGTCAAAGATCTGTTTCCAGGATCGGTCCGCAGGGGAAGCGAATGCAGCGACAACATCAACTGCGGGTATCACTACTCGCTTGACGACCGCTGTCGCGATCTCTGAACCCGATTCGACTAGGGGATCAGTTACCCACAACACCGATAAACATGGAAAAAGGAAAAATGTTGATGCGCAGAAAAATGCGTGACGTTGCAAACAGCAGATGCTGGGGATATCCGTGGTGTGAATTGCGGCCTGGAAAAATGATTTACCGGAAAACTTCGCCTTTCCCATCAGGCTGCATGGTGCAGGGATCCCAGGATCACTCGCGCGTCTAAGATGACTGGAGGATGGCGATCATTAATTGTCCGGAGAAAACTTGAGCGAAAATAAAATCAGGAGAAGGCTGATATGATTTCGTGCAGGCTTATTCGCGAAGAAATGCGATAGCGACAAGGCCGTTGACACGAATGTCCTGGTAAGAGTAAGTATATAGGTGAGGTTTTTGGCTCTTGCACCTTCTTCATTTTGATCTGGTTTCAGCCTTCTGTCACACAAGTAGAGATGGATACACCTCAGTCCATTCCCGAGAAAGATGGCACCATGTCTCCAGATGCCGAATTTCCACGGCCGACTCTACCTTGGTCTACAAGGCTAGTCTCACGATTCACGTCCGATGTCGATCCAAGATGGGCAGATATTATTCTTATCGGATGTTTCTTCGTTGCTGGGATTGTGGACGGTGTCGCTTTCAACACATACACGTGCTTCGTCAGCATGCAGACAGGTATGTTCATTGGAGGAAGCGTCGACAGCTAGTCTAATCTTTGCAGGAAACACGATTTTCGCTGGTCTTGGAGTCAGCGATTTACCTTCCGACACCCCAAAGCATACGTGGGTCAAGTCCCTGGTCGCCATCTTGTCATTTTGCCAGGGAGCATTCTTCTTCTCTCGATTCCACCGCTACCTCGGCCCTCTTAAGCGATGGGTCATCACGGCGTCATTTCTCATTCAAACGACCCTCATGATCATCACTGCTTTGTTGATTTCCACGGGCGTGGCGGCAAAGACCGAACCAGAACTTGCGAGTACGCCAGATGGGCGCGGGACTTTCGCTTGGGTCGAACTGTGCCCTATCGCATTACTGGCATTTCAGAGCGCCGGTCAGATTGTGGCAAGTCGGGTCCTGAAATACAACTCGATGCCGACCGTGGTCTTGACAAGCCTATATTGCGACCTGATGAGCGATCCGAATCTGCTCACGGCAGGGTTATTCGAGGATCCGGATCGAAATAGAAGGGCTGTCAGTGCAGTCATCCTTTTTGTTGGTGCCACTATAGGAGGTGCTTTGACGAAAACTTCGGTGAGCTACAGCGGAGCTTTGTGGATTGCGACGGGAATAAAAGGGTCAATGGTGCTCGCCTGGACACTCTGGAGACCAAAGACCCCGCAAAGGCAATGAAAAAGAAAGCAATACAATTGGAAGATTTTTGATTTGGAGGAGGAAATAAAATCATCTTTTCTCCCCTTGAATGGTGGCCACCACTTTTCTCGAATGTCTCGACGCTCGAAATTCCAGGTACCAGATTCCTTGCCACGTGCCAGTATTCAAGGTGCCATCTGTAATAGGAATCGTGACGCTGGCTCCAATCAAAGCTGATTTGATATGTGCCTGTAATGATCAGTAACTCCAGTCTTGACACCTCTGGCACGGTTTTGACCTACAGGCATGTCATCCAGCCCCTCTGCGGAGTGTCTGTACAGCGTTCCCTTCCGATCTTCCGGAGCGATTCGATCCAATGCATCACTCATATCCTCTCTCACATCGCTGTCCCAATTCTCGTTCAAAGAAAGCCCGCATGAGGTATGTTGAATGAAAAGGTTGAGAATGCCCACTTTGTATTCTTTCAATTCTGGTAATGAGGAGACAACGTGGTCAGTGATAAGGTAGGAGCCCCGGGACTTGGCTGGAAGGGTAAATGTCTTCTGGAACCACGACGTAGACATATTAGAAGCGGTAAAGCAAGGAAGACTAGGGAGGGTGTCGTAGGAAATGCAACCGGCGGGACAGGCAAAGACGGAAGGTGCACGATCGGGTTTTGATTGCTGTATGAGGCGAAATGGAAGGCAGAGGAGAAATTGTGGTAGACCTGGGAAAAGAGCGAGGACGAGAACGAGGACGGAAATGACGGTGAAGTACTTAGATTGTGTGATGTTCGTCGGAGGCATATCAATAAAAAAAAAAAAAAAACAATGCTAGATTATATGTGCCTTCGTCTCGCGAAACCCGCAACAGACGTCATTTCTAAAGCCCCCACGGTCTTGGCAAGGTAATACTACTTTGGAACAAAAGTAAGAACGGGCAATAGAGGATAACTTGGGAGTATTTTCCGGTTTGCAATATTCCTACCACACCTCTTGCGAGAGAATACGCTGTAAAGGTCCTGGAAAGACAAACTCCTGTTCTGTGGCAATACCGTGGTCATGAATTGACAATATGTACAGGTTTTCTTGTATTTTTGTTCAACCCATCATCGTTGCTGGAGCGGCTGATGGTCCACACTTTCAGCTTCATGCTCACCCTTCAAGATTGGATAATGACCCTGGATCTCTCCTTTTTGGCTGGGTGTCGCTGGCATTTCGACCTGAGCTGGATCACCCGTTGGTGCGAGAGGATATGATGTTGATGGCAGCGATTCGAGATACTTTTTATGCTCCTTCTTGGCCTGCAACATTCAGCTATATTCGGAATTAAGTTATTCAGAAAGTCTCACGTATGGTAATCCACAATATGTGCACCAACAAATCTGGGGTTTGTCCACATTGATGAAGATCTTGGGATGACCCAGCGGCCCACCGCCGCCGTCGCATGCCACGCTCTTCGAATCTACCCATCGTATGGGTTGTTTGTGGATAAGTTCAATCGCAGCAAAAGGCCGCGGCTAGAATCTTTCGTCTCAGCATCCATTTTTGCCGACACAACAGATGATTTTCAAACCTGAGTTTCAATAATTGTCTGCTCAAATCGTGGGCCTGTCATCGCAAGCTCTCTGGGCATTTGATTTCCCGACCAAGGCTTTTCTCTATTCGGGGCTTGCATTCGTCTCTGATGTTCTCCCACCGAAACCAGCTCTTGTAGAGGGGCGTCTCGATTACCCATCGCGTCAGTCGGTATCTCATCCGTCTTAGAGACATTCGGAGTCAGCTTTCGTCCGGAAGGATCGTTGGCTTGCTCGAAGTTTTCACCGGTTCCTGGTCCCTGTCGCACGGAGCGAAGCGATGTCGAGAACGGTCTGGAAGATGATCTGGCAACATAGTGGGCAAATTGGGGAGCCCTCGCCCGCATGGAGGGTACGATGGATGCCATGGCGGCGGCGAGAAATATCAACTGATCACTGCTTGATAGTTGCAGGATTGTTGATGTTAGATTGAAAGCAGCGGCAGCTCAGGCCAATCGGGAGCGGAGATATTATGGCGGAGCATTTACATTATCACGCCGTATCAAATCACCTCCCCTGCAACCTAAGGACTTCCAATCGACAGACAATGCATGTTACAAACCATCGCCAGCCGGGGCTCAGAGGCAAAATGTAACAACATGTAAGTGCTACAGCATCGGGCACCCTCTCAAATTCAGCGAGATGAGGTGGATACCTCGGCAATGCTCCACTCAGGGGTGCCACCCCTTCGGATCACCGACTCTAGAGTGAGCTCGAAATACCCAAGAACGAGGAGTACGGCATGGAATAAGTTTATCGGACCGATACACCTGGTCTCTGTGAGAAGGACATTTATGGTGATCGAACGCAGACGTCAGACATTCAATCTCGAAGATCGCTGTTGGCCACACGATCTTCCCGTCCGGCTCAAGCAAGGCTTCAAGGACACTAGAGCTCTGGAAGAGACCAGTTTGTTTCTACGTGCCATGCCAGGAGAACTGATGGCGACGATCCCTCATGGAAAAGGGAGAGAGGGAGACGGAGTTCTCCCTCTTTGATAAGATGACGCCCTCTAGAAATTGAAGACGAAGAGCGCGAGACATGGCTCTCCTATTACAGCCATTTTCGGGCTAGAGTATATCTCGTGACTTTGACGGATTCCCATTCTTTCACAAAGCTCTTCATTATCTTCAGGTGGTTTGCCTTTTTCCGCCACTCTTTGATCCCCGCTAAAGCATGTCCATTCGAACACGAGGCCCTCTCCATACACGATGCCGTAGGAGGTATAACGTTACATTAGATCCAACCAGAACTTCTTCCTTGAGATAATAATTGGTATACCCGGACCTTCTACTTCCCAAGGTGCAGATCCACCGACAACAGGAAAATTTTCTCCATCATTAACCAAGAGACTTCCATCGAGAACAGCTAGTCCCAATGGACCGAAGCCCCTGCTTCGGATTGCTTCAGCATTGCGTATGAAGCACCTACCGATCTCGTGTGCGAAGGAAAGTATTGCTCGACAAGGCAGACTCGGTGCGAAATAGTCGAAGCGATTTATATCAATCCAATCCAGGCCTCTTCAAGTCCACTACCCGGTTGAGCAAGACGTTCCATGGCCTCTCCATGCATGATATCTCGAACATAGCATTCACCGATCAAGGAATAGGAGTTCCCCAGTCGTCGAACGACAAATGGGACATCGGTTCCGCAGAGTACGCAGAGGGCATCGTTTAACGCCATAGCCTCTGGCCCAATACCGATCATTCCCGAACTGGTGGTAAATCGCGCCCGACGCAGATAGGTGGTCCTCGCTGCATCATGAAAACGATACTCCAAAGTAACCGGTTCCGAGGCAACATTTTGGCCCCGACGTGGGACAATGCTCTCGGTGAAGCGAACTCCTTCGTCTGGAAAGGAATCCGAGATGTCTCCATCGTCATCATACCGTTGCCCGAATGCTGAGGATTCAAGCGCCCAGACAAGACGTTTCGAGAGGATATATTGGGCAAAGTCCGCCAGGTGACGGGACATGTCCTTGATGGGAAGCCCATATCAATCCTTCCCACCCGTCAGAGTCCCAGTGATTTTTTCAATGCCATCTTTCGTCAAAACTTTTCCGCTTAAGGTGGAGTTCAAGTTCTCAATGTCGTTGATTTCCTCGGGGAATATCGTCTGCTCACAGAAGTCCCAGGAAGATGGCCAATTCACTGCTGAGACTCGATCCAAAAGTACGCCGCGGATGACTAGTTTAGAAACATCATTGCTCTCTTTGATTTGTGCCGGTGTTTGCGCTGAAGCTCTGAAAGTCTCGCGTGGTTCTAGCGGAAGCAAAGTCCGCAAGAAGGCAAAGTCCCATTGAGGAACCCATGATGGTATCCGCATCAATTCCGTCTGTTCACTAGTTGCAGACGCACTCGAGAAGAGCCGGCGACAAAAGTGGCGTGTACGATCTGGAAAGCGACATCCCGACATACTTCAGTGGTAGACTTGGAATAGTCGGGAATGATTTTGCTCGGCACGCTGTCTGTTGTCGGGAGGCCGGGCAACCACATATCCTATCACGATTGTCTGAACATTCAAATTGCCGGGTGAGACTGAGCAACTGAAAGAACGAGAAGCGAAGAGGTACAAAGTACTGCTGAGATTGGGCATTGAGCACGCCAGTCGGAATGATCCTGCCCCCCGCATCCCCATCGATTCTGGGGTTCCATTGACGCGTCAACGTTCGTCCGGAGGATTGGCAGCAGCAAGATAGGCCACAACAGCCGATCGAGCGACCGCCGCCTCCTGAATGACCCAGACACGGTGAAACCTATCACAATTGTATATTGAAAGAACACCCTCGGAGCTAGACGCGACTCCCCGGTTCCGATATTTTCCGTCGTTTTGTTGTCGTAGAAGCTAAATGAGACGAATGCTCTGACAAAGGCACCCTGTCGGTGAGTCTCGCGATTTTCCTTCAGTTGTCTACAAGCTGCAAACACTTGTAAAGGCATTGTACGCACGTCCCGAAGTCACTGGCGACATTTCGTCTGCGCAATCTCCGCCGAGCCAGATGAAAACTCGATGCGCAAGCGCAAAAATGGAGCTGCTGATTTCTTTCTGCCACATCATTTTGGTTGACATATCAAAGTGAGGTCGACGAGAGAACTGAACAAATGTCGGAGATTTACCGACAGGCTTCTCGGAGAGAAGAGTCCGCAAATCGGTAAACCCTTAGCGCATTCAGCCAAGCTCTACTCGCTTACTCAGTATCAGGATTTCCCAGGCTGGCACCAATGGTTGTGGCTGTTGTTTCTTCACAGGACAGAGTACATGCGCTGTTACTACGCTTCTCATATAAATTACTCATAAAGTGTAGTTGTGAACCATAAACCGCGCCAACCGTTATGGCTGAGGTCCTCGAGCCATACATCGCGGCTGCCCTGCAATCAAAGACTCAACAGTATTTCTTTCCTCTTGAGTACAAAACGGACACCTCAACTTCTCTCCATCCTCTTCCATTCTACCTTTCCATCACTTTCACCTGCCCAAAGCAACGATGTCTTCCACTACGACGCTCCATGATCATATCTCTCAGATGACTCCGATTAAGCACCGACGTAGAAAGAGGCCATCATTCAGCCCGGCTCCACGAGCGCATTCCGAATCACCCAAAAAGGCCCTCAAACCAGTATTCCAGCCAGATTCTGACGTCGCAACCGCGTCGCTTGACTTTGAAGAGTTCAGTTTATGGGATCATGAGCTTCACGATCAGCATCTCTCGGCCAAGCATCGCGCCGCTCTTAGCCGCCATCTGTCGGAGAACTTCGAAGTGGTTGAGCTCCTCATCACCCTACCATTCCTCATCCTTCGATGTAATGGTGCGCCTCCCCCGCCAGACAAGCGACCTTTCTCTGTTGCGGGCTGTATCGCTGTATGGATCGGGTTTGACGAACCGGTGCCATGTTTCCTGCCCGGAAACACGTCGACGAATGATGAGTTAGAATATGAGATCAAGCTAGAAGACAGGCTGGCAGCAGATCTGATGCCCTATGGTATGCCTAAAGCTGACACCTTATTCGACATCGTGACCCGCTACTTCCACGGAGCAATAGCGGTTTCCCTCATCTGCAGCACTCTTGTCGTGGAGTTCCCTGAGATCGACCTTGAGTCGTGGAAGAACAAGATAGCTGAGTTGCCACACGGCTTCCAAAACTCCTCTGTTGCATTGAACTATTCAAACGGGCCACTCACCAATACGGAGTTTGGGCGCCTCAAAAAGCCTGATCCAACATATTTGGCTAGTCTTCAAGAAGACGATTCCGATTACGTCCAGTCCCAGGGATGTTTCTGCCCAGGGACTATGCTATCGGCAGACTCTGGCAACCAGATTAGTGCTGGGATTCTGGTCGAGAAGGATGGAGAGATCCGATTGACAGTAGCTTTTCACTGTTGGGCCGATGAATATGCTGCGACGCCTGACGCGCTTGGAGACCCAGATCACTTTTCAGTCAAGCAGGGCAATACCAGGGTCGGTTATGTGGCAGAGAGAGTTGGTGAGACGGACATTGGCCTTGCGAAATTGGACGACGGAATTGTTTTCTCCAATCGATTTCTGGACATCGACAGTTCAGCCAAGACTCTGCTGCTTCTGGAGGATATATCCCAGGGAGATACGGTTCTTATCGATAGTTTCGTCACTGGACGACAGGCACTTCGATGCGTTGGAATACGTATTGTCACTGCAAAAGGGTCTGCGTCCTTTCTGAAAGGGGAGGCGAAAGATCTCCCTGGAGAAGGCAATTACATACACCTGAGTCAAGGCATCTGGGCCACAAATGCTCCAGATATATGTGGGGCTACAAAAATTCGGGCTGGTGTATGTGGGAGTGCCGCTGTGAGAAATAAAGCCGAAGGAGCAACGAAGAGCTTAGACCGTGGTGAGATTTGTGGGTTCATGCATTGGTCGGATTTGCAGATGAAATACGCCCAAAATGGCGAGTTGTTCTGCTTCGCAGATGCGCTGGATGAATTGGTCCAACCGTGGCTGGAAGTGTGTCCCCCTTCAGGAGAAGCGCCCAGTGACACCATGAGGGATCGAGAGGATGCTACGAAACTCGATCAAGTTGCCACAGGCAAGGATGGCGGAGTTTTGACCAAAATCATTCTCAACTCTGGGATTAGACTATGTATTGTTAAACAGGAGAGCCAGGAAGGTTGCCTTCGAGCTAGAGCTATCGGAGGACTTGAGAATTGATCCGGTCTCTGCGAGGAAGCAGGCCTATGTCCTATGAAGGTCCGAGCAGGCAGGTCGTTTAGTTCGCTTGTTTTGCACCACCGCATTGCCTTTGTGGCCAGCAGTAGGTCGAATTGTAATACCATAGTCGGGTGGTAATTCGAGTTATCTAACTTCACTGCGTCGTACTACAAGTTTTCGATCGGCCGATGTATCCCTGATTCAGCATCAGAGCTCGGCAGGGTGGACAGATATTGCACAGATAAAAACAAACAGCTCGGAGATCTCCGAAGCGATCTCATCGCATGCATTGTGGTGCCAGGAATCGGGGGTTGCTATGAAGGATCGACAGGCGGCAGGGCTTAGCTGAAATGAATGAAGGGGGAATGCTGGCAAGCGTGGCCGAGTCCTAAAGGAGCTCCAGAGCTCGAACTGACTTCTGTGGATTGGAATCAAGACAGTGCTACTTGTGGGCTCGCCCAGTGCTCTGGCGCACTCTTCTTGGCTCTGCTGGCTCTGCCGTGGCTCTCTCGATGCTCTCTCGATGCTCCATCACATGCCAGATTAAAGCAGCCCCGCTCTCTTTGCTGAACGAAAATAGAAGGTAATTAGTTCGGGGCATGTACAATACATAATCTTACCTTATAAGCACGGACCATGAGTTTTCCGGCTCCGAGATAAGATCAAACCCTCTGAAAACTGAGGCACGTCATGGAAAGAATACCTGTCATGCGGACTGTTATGCGGACTATCATCCTGATTAAGATCAAAAGTAACCACTGGGGTTGGATCAACAAACACCCTCGAAACAGGCAGAAATAAAGACATACCCGGTCGAGGTAGTGAAATGAGCTGCTCAGGCGGGCGTTGTCGAGGTGATCCAGAGAGATATGACATTTCAGGGAGATTCTGAGCCTCTGAAATAATTTTTGGTCCTCAAAGCCCCTGAACGGGACGAAAGGCCAACACAGTAATTCAGCTTGATTGGTCTTGAACTCCCTTTCGCCGATAGAAAGAGAGGCCTTGAGTTGGGGCGCAATTGAAGGCGTGAATCCTGACCTCCAGGATATGGAAGAGAATCGGGAACCCAACAAGTTGGAGGTCATAGATAAATGAAAGACCCTGATGGCCGGGACATGCAGCGTTTTTCCTCACATTTTATCTGCGAACCCCGTGCAAGGTTCTGCTACTTACCTAGCGTCAAGAATTGAGTTCAGCCTCGTCAACTACTTGCGAGTTCACTGTCATAGGATCCCTAGGGCAACCGAGAACTCGCATGGTAATTGAGCATTCAGCAAGCTTTTCTTTGAGCTGGACGTCGGACGATGTGCCACTAGATTTGGTGAGAACTGTCTCCGGTTGATATTTTGTGAAAGGCTGGGAGGGCAGGTTGGCGTCGGTGAAAATTAAATGATGCGTCAATGGCTCAATCGGCTCGCCATAGGCTCCACTCGGTGGATCATTGATTGCATAGACGAAAGCTTGGCGCCCTCAAGGCAACGGAGGTGCACGCGGCTGATGCGCGTAACGAGCCTGTCTTTTCATAAACTTCCAGACATACGACAACGACTCTGCATTTACAAATTTTCTGTTTCAACTGGACTTACATAACCGTACTTTCTTCTGAAAATATGGCTTCAGGTTACGATCGCGCGCTTTCCGGTAAGTTCAATTCCCATTAGCTTTCCAATTTGGCTAACCTTTGCAGTCTTCAGGTACTTCACCCAGTCCTCCTTGATCTCAAACTCGCTAACAATACTAGTCCTGATGGCCATGTGTTTCAGGTCGAATATGCCCTCGAAGCTGTCAAACGGGGAACATGCGCCGTCGGCGTCAAAGGCCAAAACATCGTGGTGCTTGGGTGTGAAAAGAGGTCGGCCATGAAACTTCAAGATACAAGAATTACACCTTCGAAGATCGGACTCATCGATACCCATGTCTGCCTTGCTTTTGCTGGTCTCAATGCCGATGCCCGAATATTGATCGACAAAGCCAGATTAGAGGCGCAATCACACCGACTGACGGTGGAAGATCCCGTCACAATTGAATACATCACCAAATATGTAGCTGGCGTACAGCAAAGATACACTCAAAGTGGTGGCGTCAGACCTTTTGGTATCAGTACTCTGATCATTGGCTTCGACAAGGGCGACAAAGATCCAAAGTTGTACCAAACCGAACCTTCAGGAATCTATTCTGCCTGGTAGGAAGGTCATTCCTTTGGCGCGGAGATCGAGTGCTAATGGTGAACAGGAAAGCCAATGCCATCGGACGATCGAGCAAGACGGTACGCGAGTTTTTGGAACGAAATCACAAAGATGATATGGACCGAGAAGCCACCATTTCGCTGACAGTGAAGTCACTTCTCGAAGTCGTGCAAACAGGAGCAAAGAATATTGAAATCGCCATCATGGCCCCCGGAAAGACCATTGAGATGCTCCCTTCAGAACAAATCGAACAATATGTCAAGACAATCGAGGCTGAAAAGCAAGAAGAACAAGCAAAGAAGAAACCAGGAAGACCAGGTGCCTCAGGTACTGCATCTCTTCCAACACGGCCATTAGCAGAGGGCGAAGGTGGAAGGGATATCTGATCATTAGACACCTTTGATGAGTCCTTTGCATAAGCGACCGGAGTTTCTGTATGAATAATCGATTCGGTGTCTTCATTTTTATTCCTTCCTGATGGGACACTGCAATCCAGGCCTTGCAGCCTGAACTTCCAGTCGAGCCTATTCGGTGGCTAGACTCTACCCTGTCGGGCCGCTTTTGATTCGTAGTCTTCTGCCAACAACAAGGAGCCAAATCATCATATCGTTTTTAGTTCCCTGGACGTTAGCCTAATCGGCCGTCTACGTCTTTGATGTTGAATATCGTCTGCTGCTCCGGCTGTCTGAGTCGTCCATCTTTGAGCATTCTGCCTCACGTAAGCATGGTCCTTTTGAAAGGTCCAGCCAAAGTACCTAGCATCCATCCGCGTATCCTCGCTCTCGACCTTGAGGGCGGCCTTTGGCGTTACTGCGTCGATTACAAAGTGGTTGTCACAATTCGGACAATATTCGTCACTGCACAATTAACCCGGGTGCCCAATACAGAATCAAGTAAAAGGGCCTCACCTCTCATCCCATTCCTTCGTGTTCTTTCGGAACGCTTTTCGGCATTTTTTGCAGATGAACGTCTGCCGCCAATCAACCATGTGCCCATATGGTATTGAAGAGAACGTACCATGTCAAAGCTTTGAAGAAGCGGGTGATTTTCTTGTTCTGCGTGGCAATCTGCACAATCGAACCATTTCCGACCTGATATTGGGTGAGCATGCCCACAGTGCTTGTCAGGATCTCAAGCAGACTTACAGCAAGGTGATCGGATAGATACTTGGGCGTTCAAGATGTGTTTACTATGAGGAATTAGTTCTCGTACAGAGTCATTCCGTCCCGCGAATATAGATAGTCCTCACCACATGATGGGCGATCGACCGAGAAATCGGGTGTAGTGAAATGATCACCCTCACTCAAATATCGGTACGAGGCTCAACCAGAGAGACTGGGATTCCTTTCCTTTCGGAAAGTATTGCTCCTTGCGGGCCTAGGATGCTGTCGTCTTTCACGCGAGGATGTTGATATGAAAGTCGAAATCACATCGCAATCCTTCAACGAGGTGAATTGTTCGAGTCATGTTCTATATCACGTGATTTATAACTGACTCGCGAAGTCACCTCGAGACCCGTTTCCTCAAACATGTTTTGTTCCTTCGCAGCCTGTGGACAAATTCAAACCGCCCCAATCTCAGAGCGTGAACCACCATTACCAATGGTAAGCCGGTTAATCCGGGACCACAAAAACTACGGAATGTGAACCCATGTCAACAAACACCCTTCGGTCACGACCGCGTCAGCCTTGCTTACCGTTGTAATCACTTGCCCTTTTCGGCACAGGAGGTGCTAGCCTCCATCCACCCTCAGGGGCTGCAGTCAAAACAAGTGCTCGAATCTGACGAGAAGATCATCGTATAGATCCAAGAGGCTCATCGCATGTTTGGGTTACTGTTCTAATGTCAGACTCTGTCACCCGATCTCTAGACCATCCCGAACCTGCAGAGATGCAGAGCACAAAACCGAGCATAAGTTCGGCGTCCATTTTTTTTGGTGTGACGAGGGACAAAGGTGGTATTTGACACCATTGTGTCAGACGAAGATGCAAGTTGTGGTATTGCACCGTCGAATCTCACTCTGGCTTTCCTATAAAAAGTCATCCAGTCAGACCTTAGAGTCCATAATCTTCATTCTTCTGCTAACCCTCAGGCACCAATACAATATCTTTCTCGAGCTCATGGCTTCTCCCGTCTGGATCACCGATCTCCAATCCTTTTTGAAAGGAGACGAAATCTCCGAGCCAGGAACCCAAGTATACGCTGACGAAACCAAAACATGGGCGGCACAAAGAAACTTGAATCCCAAGGTTCTTGTTCTTCCTCGCTCTGTGAATCAGGTCTCCCGTGTATTGGCATATCTGAATACATCAAATCTAGACTTCGGTGTGAGATCAGGAGGCGTCGGTTCAAGCTCCGCCAAAGACATTTTGATCAGTCTCGCGGCATTCAATGAATTCTCATTCGATTCGGCTTCAGAGACTATTACGATTGGGACGGGCCAGACTTGGGGGGAAGTCGATCGAAAGGTCGAGGAACAGGCACCAGGATATGCATGTGAGTCATCACAATCACCTCCACCAAAGACTCTGGGTGGTCATTGTTGACTTCAATTGATAAGCTCTGAGCGCTCGATGCAGTTTTGTGGGCGTGGGGGGTTGTATCATTTCAGGAGGAATCTCTTGGATGTCATCCGAGTTTGGTCTCGCTTCAGATCCATCAAACATGCTTGACGCGCAAGTGGTCCTTGTGGACGGAAGATCTCTTTGGGCATCTGAAGAACCCGATCTGCTTTGGGCATTGAGAGGTGGCGGTGGCGGCTTTGGCCGTGAGTCTTTCCCGATAAAAATGAAAAATTAAGTACAAATCTCTTAACGTGAATACGCAAACAGTCGTGGTGGCAGTTAAGCTACGAGTCCACAAATACACCAATGCAATCTACTCGGGTAATATCGCGTTCCCGAACGAAGCACTTCCTGAACTCGCCAAAGCGATTTCAGATTTCACGCATCGGACACAAGACCCGAAATTGGCGATGCATTTATTCTGCCTCGACCTCGCTCACGCCGCCCTGACAGGCCAATCACCTGTTCCAGGAATTATGATCGTTGTATACGACGCGAACGGGGAGACCCATGGACGCAGCACCGAAGGATTCGGCTGGGCCCTGCAAATCGAGGGCGCAGTCGATAATACTCGCGCCATGACTTGGAGAGAGGCAAATAAGCAGCAAGGTAAAGCCAGGCCCGAAGACTCTATCTGTCCTCGAGGATTGACGATAACGATTGACACATCTGTGCAGACAATCTCCGCGCAGCAATGGGCATGACGAACAGCTGGATGTCCGGAGCGACGCTTCCAGACCTCGACGAGGCCCTCATCTTCCGCACGTGGGACTGGTTCAACAAATTGCTTGCGAAAGACCCGAGACTCAGCGCTGGAGCGTTCGCACTTATTGAAATTATGCAGCCTGTACGGCCTTCCCTTCCGGTTAAACGTTCTTGTGCCAAAGCGTTACTGACTTCTACATTGAATAGCCCGCTTTCTCCACCCTCACATCCCCTACATCGGCAGCGTGGCCGCATACGAAGAACAGACATATCCTACAGCTTGGCACAGGCGCGTTCCCTGGCTCCGCGGAATCAGACGCTCTCGCGATCAAGGCACTCGCCGAGGCGCCGTGGGAAATCAGCCTCACGCACACCGAAGCCGACTATATTCCCAATTTCATCGACTCGTTCAACGACGTGCAGAAGGTAAGTTGAATCATCGCCTCCACATACCTCAAATGCAGGGTTCATCTGGAAGTTGTAAGTGGTAAGCATTCCTGGTTGACTAATTATCGTTCTCGTCGGATAGATATACGGCGGCAACTACGCCAAGTTGAAGGAGATCAAGAAGAAGTACGATCCCAAGGGACGACTTGGTGGCCATTTTGCATGAGTGCACGCTGTCAGAATATCATTTCCAAACTTTTCCGGTCGGGAATGCTGCTTCGGCAAGCCACGCTCTTTGTTTACTTGGGAAGGAGGTGCCTTGTGGGAGTAAAGAACTTATATCTACGCGAATAGTCAAGAAGATCTAGTTTGAATGGACAGACGAGGAAGCGCGTGACAGAAAGATGTTCAAGAAGCCTTGTTTCATTTGAGGATGGACACCGTGTATGCTCGCTCTCTTTCATCTTGATCCATGCCAGTCCACAGTGTTATCTTGCTATGTTCTCTTCCACCACTCACCACTTTCATCTTGAACGAGGCATCCGAATTCGATATTCTGAACCCGAGTCGCTACGGAGTGGTCGATGCCAGATGAATTCAAAGCTGAGGTTGGACCGAAGCCATCGTTAGGAAACTTACCAAGTCGAGGAGAAGTCCGGGAAGAAAATCCTGGTGCGGGGGTTAGATCCATCCTTCTCTCCTGCACATTTGTCTCGAGGGAAAACAAAATGACAGGGCTTGTTTGTCCCCTCGTCCAGCAGGCCAATACGCCCGCGAAGAAAGACCGACAAGTGAGGGGTCCACAATGGTGAACGGGCATGGTTGAGCCTCTCGTTCCGCGCGAACGACGGTCAAGCCAACCCAGCTCTGTTCAGCCTTCTGCTCATGGGTCAAAAAATGGGACTCGAGTGTTTCCGTCACTCTCCAGGAAGATTCTCGATTCCTATGCCACAGCCGGCAGCGTGGAATCAAGTTAGCTTCAGAAAACGGGTGTTGATACAGGCATACAAAAATGACACTGTGCTGAGAAAGCGGCAAACACCAATCGCAGAAGAGACGAAGATCAACGAGTCTCCTTTCCTCTGCGTGGTCGCATCTCAGGAGGACTTCCTTAGCCATCGATTGGAAGAACGTTTTCGGAAATATGAGCAAAGAGGTATTTGCTTGCAGCATTGACAAGGGGAGACCGCGGGCTTGGATTGCTACATCATCTCACAAATACAATAATATACCTGCTATTGATCTTGTTGCCCCTCTCCATTTCCCGGCTTAAAACAAATCTCCGTGACCTACTGATCGATCAGGGTGCAACCACAGCATCGGGTCCTTGAGGTCGATCCACCCACAAAATGGTCTAGATAGCCCATACCCGACGAGCTCCTGCATTCTTTCTGGCAACTTTCGGATTTTGTCGAGATCGTGAATGAGGTACTGGTTCTCTTCTTGCCGAAGGTAACCTTTGGTCATGAATGTGCTGTAGACCAGTCTCTCTTCTAACTTGACCTCTCCATCAGCATTAGGCTGGTCCGTCATATTCGCGCTTCCGCCATGGAAACAGCCACTCAACATCATAAGGCCATCACCGGGCTCAAGCTCGGCGTAGAATGCTTGGGACTCCTGTGGCGGGCCCGCGGCATAGTCCCAGAGGTGCGAGCCGGGGATGAAGCGTGTGGCACCGTTACGTTTCGTGGTTCTCTTGCCAGCAACGAAGAAACCGATGCCCGCATCACGCCCAATTGTGTGGCTTGCAGCAGCCGGGTGGTAGACATGGTGGATTGCGTCGTCTCGGTGCAAGGCCTGTGCATGGGCTCCGGGGCCAATGCTGAAAACAATGGTATTGTTGAGTTGTGGACCGGACTTTGATACTTCATTTTTCTCTCCGATCTGGCAATTATCAGAACCTTTCACAAACATGGGACTGATCAAATGAAAATCTCACCCAATTATGCACCAATGTGCTGCTCAACAAGGCCTCTGTCACACCAATCCAGAGCGGATGGCCGACGATGCGGTCGGCAAACGTTCTAGACTTGGTCACCATTCCAAAAGCTCTTCGTGTCTCCTTAGGAAAGAAACCTCCTAGAAGCGAATTGTGATTAGCATCGGTTGTCGGCAACTATTTCCGGCAATTAAGCAAAGAAGGCCACCTTGCAAGACAGAAACTGTCAAATTCTTCCCAGGCGTTCAGATCAAATATACATCATTCCGGGTCTCCAGCTGGATATCAAGGGCGGACTTGGCTTACCATCGTCCCAAGCAGTATCTTTTTCCAGCCAGGGGCGAGTATCCTTTTCAAGACTTGCAATTTCCTCTTCGTTCAATATTCCACGAACTATCAAACCGCCAGAAACGCGGAGGGCGGAGACCAATTCATCAACTTTGCAAGTTGCGGCCTCAAACACCTTGACTTCTGGTAGTGGGGAGTCGGGTGACTTCAAATCCTCATTCGCCTGTACATCTTTCGTTGTTTCGAGAGATTTGGGAATAGGAACGGGGAACTCCACAGCTGCAGGAGCCATCATTGAAGGAGATAAGCTTGGAGTAACGTCGAGCTATGAAAGCAATTGCAGAAACCGAAAGAGTCGGGACGAAAGGGACACTGTCAGTATCCAAGACGGACGAAGACTGATGTGACTTTAAGACTTTGAGAGGGATTCATATATAAAAATGTGAAGTCCTTCCGCTTTCATGAAAACAGCGATACAGAAGCATGATCTGAGAGCCATAGAGCCAATGTTTGATGAAACCTTGGGTACGGCCAGAATCCTCTCCTACCCGTTTCGTCTCATGGATCCCGTCAAATCGGGTAGACGGGCAGCGATGGAACAGGGCAGCGCGTCTAGAAGGCCGTCGTCCATAAACGTGAATGAAACAGGAGAGCAGATCGATGGAGCCGTTCAGGAGAGAGATTGTTATCAATACTCCAGACCGCGTGAGGGAGAGTTCAGTTGATTGGGAAAAGAATCAACGTGGAATCTTGATTGGCCCGCAGTCGCCCGAAAAGGAAAGAGAGTTCGACGCAGCCCGACAGCATGGGGGCCAATTCAAACGTTTTGACGGCTATTGATGATGCTGACGTGGTCACAGAGTTCAATTCGTCTCTTCTGTGCGAGGGGACATTGCTTCCTCGAGATGTCTGAAGTCTATTCAGGGTCTATGTATGGGTGGCCGCATGTATTGCATCCTCGAATTTATCATACCGTTTCTCATCACCTCTCGATGTTGTGACATACTCTACCCGGCAATGGTCGTCTCGCTCACGGCTCTCGGGCCCTTTGAGTCGATTGCCACGCCCTTCTCAGCCAGCAGCTCCTTCTGGTGCTCCCTTTCAATCTGCTCGTCTCCAACCAAACCTTCAATTCTCGCTCTCTCTTCCCATTTGTGAGGAACGATGACGTTTTCCTCCAAAAAGTAGTTGGTTGGAATCACATATCGCCAGATGATCAGGAAAAGGAAGACCAGACCAACGACGTAGAGTGTAAACTGAACGATGAGCTGGTCGATGTAAGATACGTTCTGGGCGTCCAATACGAAGGAAATGCACATGCCCAAAGACGTAGTTCCTTTGAAGAGCCCGGCGTATCTAGCACAGAGTTTTGGATCATTGCTGAGAGCTCCGAGCGTCCATTGGACGACAATTTGGTAGCAGGCGTAGATAACTCCTGTTTTCTGCGTCAGTCGAGGGCGTCGGGGGGGTAAGTGGACGAAACACATTATCTTACCCGATAACAGATACAGAATGAAACCGGCTCCAAATTTACTGTCAGTCCAGTCCACGCCGGGGGGGGTATTCCGCTGTCTGTTAACGTCATTATAAACAATCCAAGCCGCCAGACCAGCATTTGTGGCAAGAGTGATCGAGCCCATGAGACTTGCGCCAGCAATGCCCCGAAGTCGGCGAGATTTGATGGGGGTTTTGTCCATAACATAGGCCAATATGAGAGGACAAGGAATCATGATGAATTGAAACAGAACATTGTTGAGAGAGCGTGTCCGCAAGTTGAAATAGTATGCGTTGATACTGGAGAGGAGCGCCTGCGGGGGGAGGAAAATCAGTCAACGTAGCGAGCATCGGGCAGAGAATGAACTCACCAGGTCCATCTCGGCGACGAATATTGCAGGGATGAGAGCAATGACCTTCCAGTCCATGAAAAGCCTGACAAGACCTTTGATCTCGTCCCCCACGTCGGCTTTGTGGAAAAGAGCCAGGTGAGTGCCGTCGTCTCTCACAACTTTCTTGGGACTGATGATGAAGCAGAAAGCTATCACAATAGCCATGCACATGATGACGATGCTTGAAAACTCGTTAGAAGAGGGTGTCCAAAAAAGCAACTTTGTGATACGTACAAGACAGTATAGACAGCATTCGAGACACCAGTCGACTCAGTCTGTTTGAAATTTACCCCAAAGGCGATCAAACTGCCCACTGTGCCTCCGAAAGATGTGAGAACCCATTGCCAAGTTATAAACTGCCCCCTGGTTAGCCTCGATATTTGAGAATGTAGTGCACGTGTAGGAGAACCTGTCGAACTCACCAGAGCCTTTTCATCCTCCTGGGCGTAGGCGAATTGGATGAAGCCGGCCGCAGTCCATAAACATCCGGCTGTGACACCAAGGATTGCACCGCCAAAATACGGGAACCAGGCGTTTCCAACTCGATCAAAATACCACAGACCCCCCACGTAAAGCGGATAGCCCACGGCACCAAACATAATTGTCTATTGTTCTCTCAAAAGCTGCATCAGCAATCTTGGTCGTGTTATGATTCCAAGGAGATCGGAATACAAAAGGATTCAGGTCGGGCGGATTAAGGTATTTCCTGGGAAATCACCCTGGGACCTCATACTTCATAGACGTATACGTGTACACAGCTTCACAAGAAATAACAGAATCGACAACTCAGGAAGGGAGAGAAATACCAATTTGGGCCCTGCAACGTTCAAGATTGCGCCACCTATCCATCCAAACAACGTGAACAATCCATAGAGAACGGCATTGGTCGTGGATGCAACGGTTTGAGACGACGGCCGTCCTCCACCGGCACCGAGACCAGTGAGTGCCAAATAGATCCCAGGTAAGCAGAACAGGATAGCACCGACCACGAAGTTTTGGTTGATTGGTCGAGTCAAACGAAAGAATCCATTGCCAAAGGTGGGCTCTTGAAGCTTCATGGCTGCTGAGAGGAGGTCTTGCAGATCAGAGCAGACCAGAGACTTGATATTGGGGGCGAATTGTAAGTCAAGTACAATCGAGAAGAGACGGAGTGAGTTGTATTGGAGAGGTGAGGCAATCTTACATTTTATACTGACCTCGCCTGTCCTCTGTCTGAGATACACACATCCCGGCCCAGCTCATTGCCGTGAGGCTATGAAGATGAGGCCATTGGGATAGAGGATCTCCGCCTGGACCAATCACGATACGCGAAAATCGTTATCGAGGCTCTTCGGCCCCGGCCCCAAAGGCTATCAATGGCCCGCCACAGACATAACGGTGATATGCGCATCGAGTTCCGAGTTCCGCATACTGTCGATGACACGTTCACGGTGAAGAATGGAGCATACATACGGCTTCCAGTGCCAGGAACACGCTTCGGTTGCGAGTTTGTTTTGATATACCACGGAGCCCGTTGTCCAATCAGGGGAGTGCAGCAATCTCATCGATGAACCAACCCTGGCGATCTCGAGGCAATCTCTCTTTCCTAACATGGCCATCCGCTCGACCACGTTCGTGATCGACACTCTGCCACTCCTCAAAAAGGCGGCGATCCTTTATCTCAACCCTTAACCATCGTCAATTGGTAGAGCGATAAGAGCGGGCTTTCCGGTCGCTATACTCCGCTCATGTCTATCTTGCCTTCCATAAAGATTGGAAAGTGCTATCTCAGCATATGCTGCCGCTTGAGCCAGATATCCACTTATGGTATGAATGAGGAGATAATGCCCAGCGTACAGGCGAGGCACCGGTGCCATCAACATTGAACCGCTCTCTCTGGAAAACATAAAGTTTCAAGGTAGGTAACACCGGGACACATGCCGGGACTGGTGAATGAAAGCCTCAACCTCCTCCAAATATCTATCCCCCGTTGAATCTGCGTCAGCTATCACCATGACTCTGAAGCCGTGGGAGGAGAAGGCCAAAAGCGCGCGGGACTACCGTGACGTGACCCTGAGCAAAGTTGACCCTCCGTTTGAGAATCTCCCACAGACTTTGCCATTATCTTCGCAAGATTTGCCAAAGCAATTCCTTACACCGCGGGAATATGAACTCACGCAGAATTACGATGCCATCGGGCTCCTCGAGATGCTGCGGTCGAAGAGGATCACTTCGGAGGAATTGACCAAGGCTTTCTTACGGAGAGCTGCGCTGGCGCAATATGCGGTATGTCTCCATCGACTGTCCGAATGGTGTCGAGATGCTGAATGGTAATGCCCCGTCTAGGTCAACTGCGTGACTGAACTCATGTGGGACGAGGCAATTGAGAGAGCAAAATACCTTGACTCCCTCCCGGAGCCCTGCGGCCCCCTCCATGGCCTCCCAATCTCGGTAAGCGACGAGGACTCCCTCGGCTGGCATTGACGGTCTCACTCGCATGCATAGGTCAAAGAACATCACGGGATGGATGGGAAAACCAACCATGCATCATATGTGGCATGGATCGGACAGCCTTCCGACCCAAACCCGTTAAATGATGCGCTGTACAAGGCCGGATGCGTCTTCTACGTGCGAACCACCGGCCCACAGACGCTCATGCACCTAGAGTGCAACAACAATGTCTATGGCAGAACCGTTAATCCATGGAACCGAAATCTCACGTGTGGCGGAAGCAGCGGTGGCGAAGGGGCTCTTGTGGCGTTTAGGGGCAGTGTCTGGGTGAGTCTCACCGCTCCTGGTCCATACTGGAGGAGCAATGCTCATACGCGCTTCAGGGACTGGGAGGGGACATTGGAGGCAGCGTACGGGCACCAGCCAGTAACAATGGCATCTACGGCTTCAAACCAACCGCCAAACGAATCCCGTTGAAAGGCATGAAGCACGTCATGAATGGGAAAGACTCGGTTCTTGCCACTTTCGGGCCCCTCACCCAAAGCCGAGAAACCTGCAATTTGTTCATGAAGGTCATCTTGGATACTGAGCCCTGGCGTTTCGATCCGTCTCTGACAGTCAAACCATGGACCCCGGAGAAATTCACTCAGCCCCTGAAAGTCGCCATCGAATGGTCCGATGGTGTGGTCAAGCCTCACCCACCCATGATCCGGGCATTGCAGATGGTCGCCGACGCTTGCAAATCAGCTGGTATGGAGGTCGTGGACTGGGAGCCTTATAAACACGACAAGGCTTGGGAAATCGTATCGGGACTCTATTTCCCGGACGGCGGCGAAGCGTGCATGGCCCCGCTGAAAGAAATCGACGAGCCAGTCCTTCCTCTCACGAAGTTCATTATCGAGGAGCAGCCAAACGTCAAGAACCGAAACATGCATGAATATTGGGATCTCTGTGTCGAAAGAGATTCGTACCGCGAAGAGTATGCGGCACACTGGAGTAAGACTGCCGACTCAGGCAAGGAGGTCGACGTTATTATCTGCCCAGCGACCCCGGGGGCCGCGCCGCTGCATGACACGGCCAGATATTGGCCTTACACCAGTCAATGGAATCTCTTGGACTACCCCGCGGCCATTTTCCCGGTAACTTTTGTGGATGTGGAGAAGGACAAGAAGGAGGAAGGGTACGTCCCAATGAATGCGCAGGACAAGTACAATTATGATCTGTATGAGCCTGAGAAATGGGTGGGAGCGCCGGTCAGTTGCTGCGTTGTCGGTAGGAGGCAGATGGACGAAAAGGTCATGGCCGCATTGGAGGCGATCGAGAAGGCTATGGGGAGGAAATGATCTCCTGAGATCGACAAGGTTTTCACATGGCGGCTGCTGATTCCAAGAAGGTGATGGAACATGTCAGGGCATATCGTGCCGCTTAACATGCGCACATGTTCGAAATATGGTAACCACCGTTCTTAGCAAGTTAGTAGATTGCACAAAATACGCTGGAGTGACTGGAGGCGGTGGGAATCATCGACACCTTGACTGTGTTCAAGCAATGGTTTCCATGAGACACTCGTCGAGTGTCTTAACCAGCATCAAACGATTTCGTCGCTGCAAGGCTTTGTGGGGGCAGACACCTTGCAAAACGCGTCGCTCCTGATTGGCTGTGCTACGGGCTGTCAAGGTCTGAGGCGACGAATCACGTGGGGATGCCATATCAAATATAGCACGTGACCGAGATAGCAGTGAGGGGGTGGCTGGCGCCTTATCAAACTGTAAACTTCCCATCTTCCTCTCTATCTCATCCTCCAGCCTTGAATTTCAGGAATGCTTTCGAGTCATCAAGGATGTCGGTCACAACATGTACAACGACCGCCACACGGCGAAAACACATATCTGGCAAAAGAACCAATTCGCTAGGATGGGCCAAGTCAGATTGCCACACCTGCTCCTCACTCCGCCGCCATTGTGATCGACGGAGACCTCGGTGTAGTGCTTGTCTTGCTGATGGAGTGATATGCTCCGGTTATGTCCAACAATTGAATTGGGAACGGGGATCACTGCGGTTGGGCAAGTCGAAATCGAAGACACCCTCAACGTGGAAAGAATCAGAAAACACAAAACCCGAAGATGCTTCCCCTCAACTCCCCCAGCCGTCCGCATTCATTTTCGTGGGTCAGAACGAATTAGCGGATCGATCAAAGAAGAAGCAAAGGAACAATTCAAAATCAAGCGGGCCGACGACTCAACACCCCAGCCCGAGGAATTCCAGATCGGCGTCGACGAGTTTGGATCCAATTTCACCCTCTTCGCCGTCGTCCACATGGTCGCTAGCAAGGACCAACACGCCTCCATCGATATATGTCGCTTCAAATTCAGCTCTCGGCCTCTCTCCTCAGGTAGGGCGACACCCCGGCGAGGTCGAAGATGCCTTGGCATTCTACCATTCGTGCTTCTCTTACATTACGCTCACTTTTGACGTCCACGTCAATCCATGGCAAGCTGTCCTTCCCCAAGTGCACGACGATATTCCCTGCGTGCGTTATGCTGCAATTGCGCTCGCCCAACGGCAGCAAGCGCATCTCCGCAACAAATCCGAAGGCCTTTCCGTTTTGAACTTAAAAACTCACGCTCTTTCCATCTTCGCCACCCACCTGAACGAACTCTCCTTCGAATCCGGTATCAGTACTTCCCTCCTTCTAATCGCCCTTGATTACGCAGACACCGGCTTCTCGAATTGGACCATTCATTTACGGGGTGCTTTCCGCATCCTCGAGTCCAACGGCGGGATTCGTCTTGCAGAGTCACGTCCCAATCTAAGAAGTCAGATCGCCATGCTCATCTGGTACGACGTCACTGCTGCATTGATCTCGCGTTGCGGACCTACTTTTCCGAGGCGTTATCTTGAAGCGCTCATGATGTGGCAATCTGAGAACGAATGGAGCATCCTGGCCCTGAATGGCCTCCCTGATGGAATGTTCCTGGACATGTATGATATGGCGATGGCGGCTGCAGATCGCGAATCAGTTTCCCCCGATACTGTGGCAGTCCTTGAGGCGAAGATTTTGAACGCCGAGATCGACGGTCAGGGTAACCAACATCTAGTCCAGATGTCTCAGGTCTGGAAATTAGGGCTTCTTCTGTATTGTTCGCGCGTTTTTTCCAGGTTTCAAACATTCTCTTCGCCGGAGGACTGTCCCATTTTCCAAGAAATGACAGATAGTTCCTTGGACGCTGATCTCTCTCCCTCATCAAGACTCGACCCTCACGCTTTGTCTCTCCGGATCCTCAGCATAGTTGCCGACCTACCATCACACAGCAATTTCCAGAAACAGTGCCTCCTGCCCATTATTCTCGCCGCCTGCGAGATGTCAGCCGCTGAATGGGAGTACAGGAAGATTGCGGTGGAATATTCAGAACGGTGGAAACAAAAGACTGGTATCTGGATCTTTGACTCCGGTCTCGAATTTATGAGAGGTGTATGGGCCAAGAATGATGCTGTCGGGGACGCTCAGGAAGAGGGAGCTAATGAAGAAGCACGAGAGGGTATAACCGTGCCTTGGACAGAGATCTACCCGTCTGGTATTGAATATGGCTTTCTTTTTGGATAAAGTTCAAGTACTAATTTAAAGATGATGAATGGGAATGAATTGGACTGGGTCAGATCCGGCGGAGGATGGCGCCAATTCGGGAGGTAGGCAGTGAACAAGCCCCGAGCAAACATGAACCCCCCCCCACCACCCCTCCAACGGAGTATATAGGGAAACATTATAGATCCCTTTGTTCAATCGAAGACCGTTGTGCCTTTCCTATATCTTTCAGAGTCTAACCGGAGGCTAACAGCTCATCCCATCACCGAGCATCCAAACTACGTTACCACGAAGCATTTCTCCAGACTCATCCCCCCACTCCTTCAGTGAAGCCACATACTTCGATTCCTACCGAGATTTAGTCAAACACGCCTGACGTGCTGGCGAATTGAGCGAGCCTGTGTCAAATTTCCTCAAACGATTTCGACGACAGGCTCTTGACATTGAATATCCCTACCGTCTGATGAAGGGAGGATAAACGGGCGTCGACTATGAAGGTGTATGAATGATTTCAAACGCAGCTGAGAAACATGGAACTCGAAGCGCAGGCAAGGATGAGCAAATGTGTGCTTGTTGCTCACCATCACCATCACTGAGTGACATGGAAGAGTGTGAACGCGAATATGGCCTCTTTTCCTCACTGGCCTGGCTCCCACCAATGGGTATAAGGCCCTTTACGCATTCTACCTCTTGTCAACCCTGATCATCCTCCTCTCTCAACACGGTCATTCCCCCTTCTCCGGGCCTGGATAACCCCGACAGGAAAGACGCGATGCTCAGCGATACGACCAAGGTCTCGGGAATCGGTTTTCCAGTTCCGCGACCCGAGCAAGGGGAATGGCGAAGCACATTGCTATTTAAACATCAGATAAAATCAGAACAATCAATCCATGGTATGTCAATTTCTCACCGATCATGTCGTGCTACGGTACACTAACCTCCCTCCAGAATACTTCAAGAAGTTTTGTTGCCCATGGGCTTCTGTCATTTGAAAACCTTGAGTATCTCGCTGTGGATGAGCCATAGGTCCTCCTCCAGACACAGAGCGAACTGTGAACAACTAGCTTGCGATCTTGGAGGAAGTCATCCCCGGTGCTCGCTGTGGCCTTCGGTAATGTCGTACGAAGGTGGCGCCACTTTCCCTAATCGTTGCTGTCCGGGCCAATGTTCGTGAGCTCGTTCGACCCTACGCTTGCGAAGACTTCATCGGGGTTATCACCCACTTCAAAATATTGTGTGCCAGGACTCCACGAGCGGATTTTGCACCTTCCAGATGGTTCGACAGAATCAGGAAACCACATCCGGGGCTGCTTTCGTCTGCTAGACAACAACCTGGCGAGTCTACAAAAAAGTTTTCTGAGAAAACCACGACTGACGGTGCTCAAGAGAGAGGATGACAAGCCTTCCAATAATACGGCCCGAGCTTCTGCACCCCCAACCGATTCAACCATCCAAAAATACACCAACTTCCATTCAGAAATTTGCTCGTAATGCACCTAATGACCAGTGTGATGCAAAGAAGCCTTCTGATGAGGTCGCTGCAATATAGACACCAAGTGTTGTGATGCCCATCGCCCGGAAGCCTGTCGGAAAGGTGCCCGCGTCTCAGAAATCCAATGTCAACCAGAATCCTCCGGGAATGTGTCTACACGGCAGGCAGCTCATTCAAAAACTACCCATGCCGCACCAACCCATCATTAGCAGAAGCGGAAGAAGCCCCGCCAGCATGCAAGAGGAAATGGTGCTGAAACTTTCCTGCTGTTCTCTCTTGGCATGAGAAGTGACACGAATTGTCTTGGAACAAAACACATAAAAAAGCAGTCGATGTGAGAGCGGGCACGGTGAAAGTTCTCAATCGGCTATCCTCCAGGGCCGCTAAGAATCATTGAGCGCGAGGAAATACTGAACAACATCCCGGATTTGTTTAGGTAGGGCAAAGGTTGATTGGAGCGTTTTTTAGCTGAAGGTTGGATATTGGAAGGTGCAAGATCCATATTCGTTAGTTCTCAGAATATTGCGAACTCCAACATGATATGATGAGCGCCCACAATATGCAATCCTCTTCCCTGGGCCTGGAATTGTGAATCAGAACTGGAATGGTGGTGAGTCAAACATTGTCTCAGGCGTTCGTATCCCTCGACTCAGAGTATGTCCATGTCTTTGTGGGGACTCCGTCTGAGTGCCTTCCACCAAAGACGGTCCTCTTCGACTGATTCGACAGCGCGGAGACCCTTGACAGTCATTGTCATGTAACAAGGGTGAAGCTGATGTGTGAATAATATTCCACGAGGAAGATGGAGACAGAATAAGCCTTCGGCCTAATCAGGAGCGCGTACGGACGAGTGGGATATCAAGAGGGTACGGTTCGGAATCTGCGGCATGAGTGCCGTCCGAGGAAGTGTTCCTCTAGGTCCCCGTGTACTCGTTTAGACAAATGTCTGAGCTTTCCTTCTATTTCTCTCTCCTGTTTGGTGCAGACTTTCGGGATAGGCTTGGTTAAGCGCACATGCCATGCCACGGTGGGATGGCTAAGATGACATTGGCCACTATTCATGCTCACATTCTCCTGGTACGCAATAAGGGTGGAACAGATGACTTGGCCAACAGATATACACTCGACCTTGAATGTTTAAGCAAGCGGGTCGACAGAGTCGTGTTCCAATGTGGTCAGTCTTGTCGGTGGATACGTCGCATGCTGCATGTTAAAAGTGGAGCACTCTCCCTCCATCCATCCAAACACGCAATCGTAAAGGTACTCTTCATTCAGACATCGATTGCGCTAGGATCCTCTCCCCATGGCGGGAAGCTTCCAAGCACAAAGCCTGCCTCCTTCGAAGCGAGAGGTCACTAAATGACTACAAAAATAGCCACGGCGATGGTATAGGGAAGAACATATGGTGTCGAGTCGAGCCAGGAATCCCGAGATAAACAAGTCAGGGCCGCGGGATATGTTATCATACTTGTGATGAATCAGGGAAAACGCCCGATTGATTTCTTGGGTTGGGAGAGAATGCTGCGTGGCGAATGTATAGGCATTTCTCCGTATGCCCCCCAAGGTTTCGATCTAGGAGCTCCAAAGTGATGCCAAACGGTTTTTGGAGTATTGTTTCCACAGTCTTTTTCAGGCATTTTGGAGTTTTAATTGTTGTCAGGTGACAGGATTTCGACTCCGTGGGTGCGTGCACCAGGACCGGGACCAGGGCCGGGATCAGGCTGTCCCCAGTGCTTTCGGTGTTGTCCTTGCTTTGATGAAAATAATGCTGCAGTTTCCGAGTCGTGGATATTTTTGTATGACCCAGGCCCACGTCCACTACTTTTCTGGACTCTGGCCGCTGGGATCTTGCATCTTGGGTGTTTTCCTCCACGGAGACCCAACAAGGCCAGCTGCCCGTCAAATTAGATCAGGGAAATCCACGCCCTGTCACAACAACCGTCAGGGCGCAGTGTCTGTGTCAGACAAGAAAAAAAAAAAAAAAAAAATTCATGCGAGCTTCTGTCGACGTAAGGAATGCAGAAAGCTCATAGCCAAACAAAGTCTGAATGTGGCGGTATCCGGAAAGTGAGACATGCATATATCCAAGCGTGGGAGCTATTTTTTACTTTGTGTCTTTGAAAATCTTGATCCATTCCAGCCTTTGGTCATGTGTCAATACGTTGCAAGCCGAGGGTTGGAATCTGCCGTCTCGTCTAGCCTCGATGATGAATCGAGAGGACCGATTGCCTGAATCTGGCCGCTGAAATGATAATCATTACCTACTTATTCCCATCCCGGCAGCAGCCCATGCTTGGACGCCAATCATTCCACATGAAGGCCCATATAACGAAAGTTGACAATGTGGGTTGAAGGGAGAGAGCAATGTACCAATTGTCTCACGTGAACCGCGGATGGCATTTCTGTGCCCTCAAGCCCTACGAGGGAGAAGCTAATAAATATTCATAAATTCGATGCACACATTAGACTAACTCGGGACCAAATCAACAATCTGAAGCTAGGAATAACAATTGTTCGAGGCTTATAAATGGGCCGTCAGATAAAAAGAAATAGTTTCCCAAGACCATTCAACTCATCCCTGGTTGATATGCAACGCCTGTGAAGTTTCAATAACAGTCTGAAAAAGATGCTCAAGTGTGAGCAGAACCGTGAGGTCCCCCAACGCTTCTGAAAATGCCCAGCGAAACTGTGGCCAAAACACGCTCCCATAACCCAGTATGTACTTATTTAACAAGTGGACGAAAAATTCATCCGGAGTGCCGAAGTCTATATCCATTCGAAATCCCACCCGTTTCTATCAGGTATCTTTCTTTGCGTCACAAGTTGTAGTTCGTCTTGATGCTCATCTACAAGATGGCCTCTCGAATGTATTGACCAACGCCCTTAGCCTGTGAATTCAATTAGTATGTAAAATGACTTCCAGGGCATGTTGGAAGATAACTTACCACCGGAGGCTTCATCATGGTGAAGTGGTTACCGACCACGGTAACCATCTTGCAGGCGTCAGCACCCAAAAGTTTGTCCCAACCGTTAGGACCGAAATCGGTTCTGTTTTCCAAGAGCCACTTCATGCTCTTGGGATCATCAGCCTGTGGCGGCGGCCGTGGGTCGCCAGGCTTGCCGCACACGCCATCAGTTGCCCAGATGAGCAGTGTAGGGGGTGCCTTGAAGTCGTGTGTGCTCTTCAGCTCTGGTCGATAGGCCGTCAGAGCCTTGATGCTGTATTCGAAGTGTGGCAAGAGCCAGTTGGGGGTTTTGCCCGTGCCGGTTCCCAAGAGGCCGATTTCATCAAAGAAGTGGTGCAGGCGAGCTGGCAGAGGCTCAAGTCTGATGGGGCATGGAGAATCAATGAGGATCAGTTTCTCAACGTAGTAGTTCTTGTCGGGATGGAGTTTAGCGAGGTCGCTGAGCTGTCTGGTGACTTCATAGGCCACAACACCGCCAGCGGACCAACCACCCAGGATGTAGGGACCAACCGGTTGTCGGCGCATCACTTCCTCAAGATAGAGTTTGGAGACACCTTCAATGCCGCAGGTGTAGCTGGTAGGATCCTTCATGAACGGGCAGTTGAGGCCGTAGACTGCCAAGTTCTTGCTATCGATGGCTGGGATGGACACGTAGGAGGTCGCAGATCCGGAGCCATCAGGGAACAGGAAGAGGTTCTTGTTGGCAGTCTTGGGGTTGCCTTGGAGCAAGACCGAGGTCGCAGGAGGCATCTGGACAACAACCTCAACTGGAGGTGCAACGGGAGTGGTAACGACATTGGTTCTGACCTCGTGTTTCTGAGCCGGCGCCGACGTGGGCGCCGGCGGTGGTGCTGGCTGCTTCTTCTCAAGGCCAAGAGCCTTTCGGAGATGTCCCAGGGATGGGTTGTCGGCCAGGATCGTAGGGTCGAGATCAATGTCGTGCTCCTCGCGAAGTTTACCAAGAACAGTCAACGCCATCAGAGAGTCCATTCCCAAGTTGCTCAGGTCAGTGGTCTCGGTGATTTCAGCCAATTCCATCTCCATTTCTTGAGCAATGACAACGCGGATGGTTTCAATCATATCACCACCCTCAGCGGAAGGTGCCTGAGCAACTGCTTCCACAGCGGTAGCCTTGGCTTGTTCCTGGGGCTTAGCGGGGAAGTCTTCCGTGTCGGGGGTGGTGATGCCAGACTCGACCGTTTCTTCGTCACTTTCGGATCCAGAGTCGGAGGACTCAACAGAGCTTGCGTCACCACTGGTGGTCGTTTCAGGAGCAGACATGCCACCAAGATGCTTACGAAGGGCACCAACGGAGGCATAGTCAGTGAAGAGGGTGCTTTCCACCTCGAGATCAAGATCCTCACGGAACTTGCCGGAGATCGTCAAGGACATCAAGCTGTCCACACCCATATCGGCCCATTGGATGTCATCGTTGAGTTCGGATTGATCAACGTCGATTTCTTTGGCGATGATGTCGAATGCTCGGCCAACAAGGCTGCCGGATGAGGCCTTGGGAGGTACGGGGGCCTTGACCTTGGGTGCCTTGACTTGCTTCTTTGCCTTCACCTTGGGGGCCGGCAGCTCGATGTGAGTAGGTGCAGCAGCCTTGGGAGAAGGAGCTTTGGGAGCAGGGGCAGCCTTGGGAGCAGCAGGAGCTGGGGAAGCGGCTTTGGTACCGGCCTTGGGCCTGGGCACCAAGACGTCCATCAGCTTGCGAGGAACGCATTGGAAGCGAACACCACCAGCAAGACCGACAATTTCCTTGTTGGAGTTGAAGACATAGACGTCACCAGCTCTCATCTTGCTTCCTGGTACAGGTTGCATCTTAACATAGGCAAAATATTGCTTGTCCTGTTCGAGAGGGGCAACGAATCGAAGACTAGACCAACCATGAGAGATGTAGCACTCCTCCTGAGGGTTCACCGTAGCGTTGACAGTGAAACCAGAGAGATGACAGGCGCTATCGATGAAGTATGGGTTGAAGTAGAAGTCACCGTCGTTGGGACCAGCTCGGAACTTGATGTTGCTGGCAGCTTCGAATTCTGGGCCGTCGAAGACGACACTCTGCATGCCTTGGTAAATATCGGAGTAGTCTACCAAAGCTTGAAACAGCTTGTAGGCCATAGCGCGGCTGACTTTGTCTGCCTCCCCATTCTCCACCTTGTGTTTCAAGAGGTCAATTCTGGATTGGACGAGGTAAGATGTCTTGTTCCATTCCTCCTTCCAGGCGCCAGCGTCTTCGAAGCGAATTACACACTTGGCATGAACCACATCCTTCTTTCCATTGTTGGTTGTAATAGTGAAATCGGCCTTTCGGGCGTCGAGGTCAATCTTCATGGTCATGCGGATAGTCTGGCTCTCGGGCTCGTTGATGTTTTTAAGCAGAAGAGGTGCTGGGTTGTCCATGGCACCGATATTGATATCAACTTTCTCGCCAGGCTTCAGGAGATTGACACCATAGTTGATCAAGGTATAAGCCATGTCGGCATACAAGGTCGATGGGCAGAAGCCGCTGCCATTGATAAGGTGGCCAGCGATGACCGGGAACAACTTAGGGTGAGCAAAGTCAGATTCAGCGACGATGGTTGCTGTCTTTCCCTTAACCTCCTCAAACACGATTCCCTGGACGGAAGTGGAAAGATATTTTCTGGCTGTGGCCGGTCCCGCCGGGGCCGCGGTAACTGGCGCTGGAGCGATGGCCTTGGGGTAGTCACCCTTGTACAGGAGCCAGTCGCCGGTGTATTGAAGCCAGTAGTTCTTCTCATCGAATCCGTAGAATGGCACATCGTTCAAGACACGGAGAGATTCATTCTCCTTATGGAAGGCATCCCAGTTAAGAGCCTTGCCAGCGGTGTACAGTCCGGCCATGGAAGTCGAGATGATCTTCCATGGATCCTCATCACGGCGCATGGTTGGCAAAGTCGGAGCGGACAGGCACGACTTGATCATGCTGGCGCAAAGGGGATGGCCGCCCACCTCGAGCCAGAGGGAAGTGTCGCTGATGGTGGCAGTCGACATGCCCGCGGAGAGACCACCAACGAAGTCAACGGTCTTTCGGCAATGTCTGCTGAGATAGAAGGCGTCGAAAACACCGCCAACATTAACAATGTCACTCAAGAGAGGAGAGATGACTGGGACACGTGGTGGGTGGTATTTGACCGAAGACGCCAACTTCTCGAAGTCGGCCAGAATTGGGTCGACCTGGGATGAGTGGAAGGCGAATGGCAACTTCAACTTGGTGCATTTCTGTCCTGCGTCAGCCAATTTTTGGGCCACGGCATCAATGTCACCCATGGTGCCAGAGAGAACGGTATCCGAGACACCGTTAATGCAAGCAATTTCAATCTTGCCCTGGCTATTGGCAACCACATCTTGAAGACCAGCAACCGGTGATCTCACAGCGAGCATTGCATGAGTACCGGCGGTGCATTTTTGTTCGAGGAGTTGAGCTCGCATACCGACCAGATAGATGGTGTCGGCAACAGAAAGAACACCTGCAGCTTGGAGAGCGGCATATTCACCCAATGAGTGACCGATGACAACACTGGGAGTGACTCCCCAGGTGGCCCAAAGGCGAGTGAGAGCCATTTGGATACAGCACATTCCCAGCTGCACCACCGTAGGAGGCAGGTGTTGCACTTCCACAGATCCATCGATCAATGGCATGATGGAGGGAAGGCCCTGGCGAAGTGCGATCTCATTGAATTCTTCAATGTCGCCTCGGAATTGTGTCGAGGTTTCGAAGAGCTTCTGGCCCATACCGGTGTATTGAGAGCCTTGCCCGGTGAAGGCCATGGCGATTTGAGGCGCGGCAAGGGGAATGGGATTGTGGGCTTGATCCTGGATGGCCTTCAACGACGACTGCAGTTGTGGGATCGACTGGACGGGGAATGCCGCTCGATAGTTGTAGTGTGCTCGTCGGGCAGTCAAAGTGTAGGCAAGATCCGTCAAGCCGACGTTGGGGTTGGCGGCCAAGTAAGCCTCGTATCTTGTTATGGTCTTCTTGAAAGCAGCCAAAGATTTGGCCGACACGGTCACCACATGGGTTGATCGTGGATCAGGTGTAGGCTCTTTGGAAACTTCAGGGCCGTCTTGCAACAGCATCGCTGTGTTACCACCAGCAGCACTGAAGTTGTTGATGAACACAATTCGCTTGCCTCCAGCGGGTCGGGGGAATGGAGTGGTCTGGAATGCAATGTTGACGTTGCGCTCCTTCAAATCCGGGGCGAAGTTCTTGTTGATTTGCTTCTTGATACCCGTGTGAGGCGGGATCTTGCTCTTCTGCAACATGAGGAGAACCTTGATGAGAGCGCAAACTCCAGAGACGGCTTCACCGTGACCGATGTTGGACTTGACGGCTCCAACATACAGAGGCTGATCAGGGCGTCGACGATTCTGTCGGGGTGCAAAGACTGAGGAAACAGACTCCATTTCGATCCCGTCACCAGCTTGTGTACCTGTTCCATGCATTTCGACGTAATTCACATCATTGCAGGGGACGTTGCACTCCTTGAGCACCTTGTCGAACAAAAATGCTTGGTTTTCAGCGCAAGGATGGGTGATGGAGACGGCCTCAGCGGAGTGGTTGGTACCAATTCCTCGGACAACACCCAGAATTGGATCACGATCAGCGAGAGCATCTTCCATGCGCTTCATGATGACCGTGCATACACCATCACCTCGGCAATAGCCATCCGCGTCGTTATCCCAGGTCTTACAGGATCCTGTTTTGGAGAGGAAATGACCTCTGCTCAGACCGGAGAAAATGTCGGAGTTGGTGAGCACGTTAGCACCACCGGTGAAGGCAGTGTCGCATTCACCGGCTCTGAGAGAGGTGATTGCAACGTTGATGGCGGCAAAGCTCGAAGAGCACGCGGTATCAACCGAGAAACTGGGGCCCGAGAATTTAAAAAAGTAGTTGATGCGGCCTGGACCAAATGCACGCACGCCTCCGGAGATGAAGTAGGTATCAATGTCCTGGGCGGCATTGACTTCTCTCCAGTCATCGGAGGTTTGACCATAGAATGTTCCAATTCGGTCGTGTTTGGTAGATGGAGTTCTGCCCGGAACGATACCGGCCATCTCCATGGCCTCATAACCGGTAGCCAGCATCAATCGCTGCATGGGATCCGTTTGAGCGGCTTCTCTGGGTGACATGTTGAAGAATCGAGCGTCAAAAAGCCCAGGTTTCTCAATGAAGTTGCCGAATGGTGTGTGCGACGTGTTCTTCTTCTTGGAGGTTGGATCCGTGTGGGAATCGACGGGGAATCGGTCCGGGGGGACCGGTCGGTGAACGTCGAGACCCTTCTCCAGCAATTGCCAGAAAAGCTCATTGTCGGCGGCATCAGGGAAACGGCCCGAATAGCCCACGATGGCGATATCTGCTTCTTTCTTCGAATGCCGAGTTCCAGCTGGGGCAACGGTTGACCAGTGAGATTGATCCTCGAGACCGACTTTGGGTGTCGATGCCTTCAGGGCTGAGACGACACTGCTTGCAAGATTCGTGGGGCCAATGGCGAAGACCTTGGCTTCTGAAGCCTTGCCAGATGCACAGTATTTCAGAACCTTGTCCCATCTTAGTGGCTCAATTACAATTTCCTTCAAAGCGCCCAGAAGGAGCTCGTATCCGTTTTGAGCGACGATTGGCTTGCCAGCGACGCTGGAGCAGACTGGAAATCGGACGGGAGCATTGCCGAAGATTGCCTTTGTCTGAGGTCGGAGAATTTTTTCCAGATCGGATTGTGAATGCAGGTGTGAAGCGTGGTAAGGAGCGTAGATGGACACGGGGGCGTTTTTGTGTGTTCGGAAGAATTCAGAATCCTCGAAAAGGCTGGCTTTCATGGAAGGAGGTCCGCTGACCGTGACAGAAGTTGCCGAAGAGGCACTGATCCAGAGTCTGTTGGTTGGAGAAGTGCCCTTCTCTTTGTGGAAGGCGTCCAGAGCCGCCTGCGCCGACTTCTCGTCTGCAGCGACAATGGTAGACCATGACTGAGGCTTTGTATCACACTCAATTTGATCTGCCACTCTTCCAACGTGGGCCCCGGCTCTGAAGGCAATTCGGACGGATTCGACGGCCAAAGGAAGGAGAGCCGTTAACGAATCTGCGGAGGCGACGGCAGAGGCAGCAAGTAAACCCGTGCAAAGACCGACCAATCGTGCATCTGTATTAGGTTGAACATAAGAGGGTGTTCTCTCTTCGAAAGCACTGTCGTGAAAAGTTAGTGAATTGAGAGAATTCAAGGGTCATGTTGAGGCCATACCCAATGAAATGAGTGAACTGTGATATACAAACGAGGGCGCTCTCAATTGCGGCGTCCTTTGCATCTCCTCTATAGTAACGATCGACTAACTCTTGAATAGTGTTAAAATTAGGGACTGCTTTGGAAGGATGGGATCGATTCTTGTTTTCGACTCTGACGGCTTCACCAGCTCTCTCCAGGAAACTCTGTAGAAGTACATCGTCCCTCCGGGAGAAGACCTTGGTGAAGAACGCCCGGCAGTCTGCCGTTTGATCGCCGAAGACGTAGACCTCCTCCATGTTGCGGGTGACAAGTCGACGAACTTCAACGAGCGTTGCTTAACGAGGAAGGAATTGGAAAATGGGGTGGTCAGCTATCATATAGGAGTCGGGGGCTCAAAGTACGCCAGTTGAAAATAGATCGATGGGCCAGTGAACGACAACCCCCTCCTCTCCCCTGGTGGGTCGAGGGTATGCACGAGATCTGCGACTGGAAATCAAAAGCATGGCGAGCACCCAAATCTGGAGAGGCTGTTCTCTTCGTACCCGTAGGCCTCGAATCTTGCGGTCATGAAAAGCGACTCCACTGCCGCCGGCAATGTCTCGTCAGCACTTTTTTCGGCGCCCGAATCTGGCAATCGAGTGGCTGATCCAGAGATGAGACATATCCTGGTCTTGAGCTTGGTGGTAATCTTACACAGCCGTACAGCCTCTCCTGCTGTAAATGAGATCGCCTGCTCCAAGCGGCATCGTTTACGCATTCAGGTTTGGCGTGAATATTCAGCCGCAACACGGTTGTTGGCCACGGTTGCTGGGGGCTGGGACCTTTCCCGAGCCGTGGTTGCCCAGGCAAGTCCTTGCGCTGCGGACGATGGCACTGGCGTTTTGCCTAATTTGACCAACTCCTGCGGTATTCAAGCTCTGGCATTGGCTTGCCAGCAAATGTACAACAGATACGACCTTTTTGTCCTCCTCTAAACCATTCCCCTCTTTGCCTGTGTTGGCAAACAATATCCTCAGTCCCGCACGAGGTTCCTGTGGCCCCTCCGGGAACGTCCCAATACGACCCTCACACACTCATCGCGACATTGAGCCAGTCGGGCATGTAATCTTTGTGTACGCAGTGCTACAGCTGCTTCAAGGCAACGACATGCGGCCTTGGTTTCAAAAACCCCTCTAGTACGGGCAATACAGAATGTAAAGACAAATCTGTCAGAACGTGAAAACTCGTCAAGGCCTAGTTTATGCCCCCCCCCCTTGGTCCGTCGGTTGAGGCTGAGAGAGTTTGTCTGGTGGCGGCAAGGAGATTGGAGGAGAGCTTCATAGACAAATCCGGGGTCCACACTCGGCCAAATGATGACTGCATGACATTGAGTTTTGGGTTCATTCTCTTTACTGCGACGACCCTACGGTGGGCTCTGCTCTGTCGTGGAGATACACCACGGAGAGTCCTAGCGAAAAATATTTCAGAGCAGGACGTCCGCGCCCAAAATCCCCTCTGTCTGAACAAAATAGAAGGAAGCAGACACCGTGTACGCAGTTACCACGCACTCACACTAAAGACTGACCAAAGGGAGGTTCTGATTTGTCTGGCTCCCTGATTGGAAATGGATCCTGAAAACATCCCTGGCAATTTCACCGGCGGCGTGGGTGCAGGCGGAGTTTGGGACAAATGAGCGGCGGACAAACGTTCTCCTGAGATGTGGGTGAAAGGGGGGAGTGGCAAGGGTATGGGCCCAAGACGACCGGGATGCATCAAAACACGCTTCAAGTTCGTCCCATCTAACTTCCGTCTTAGCGTCTTGTTACTCCTTTTACAGACTAGCTAAAACAGGATGGGGAATTCTATATTTGGGCTCACAGCCCTGAAACCATCCCCTTTCTGGGTCAGTGGCCATCAGGCCAGCGACGTATCGACACTCCGCCAATCCGCAACAAAGTAACACCAACTGTTTGACGAGAAGTTCCCATACCGCCTTCGATCAGCCTTTCATCGATTGATTCTGGTCAATCCCTCTGTGGCTCAAGCTTTCAATCCCGAGTCAATCCATTCCGCCACAAGGCATTGCTAGACCGGAGATGGTATCAAAAAGTTACTTGCGGCAACAGGGCGAAACTTGAAGAAAACCGCATTCATGCAGGACACTTGGCCGCATTTAGTCCAATTTCATGGCAAAGATAACCGCAATGCCGCACAAGATAGGGGGTTTACATTGCGTGGGTTTGGCCACCGATTCGCCTTGCAGGAATTTCGTTTGCGATCCAAGATTAAAGCAGGTCAAAGACCCTTCAAACAATCCCCCCTAGAAGTCGATAGCAACCATGTGTTGACTTTCGGTTGTGTCTAGCCATCAGTCAGGGCGAATATGTTTCTTTCACGTCGCGGACCTCCTAAGTTGGGCTTCGGCTTACCAGTGCCGGTCAAATGGTGACCACACGACATGCATTCGCGTTAGCTTCAGGAGGACTCCAAGTCTTGTCTTCCCGGTGGAACCAAGGCTCTCCTCAGCCTTGATGAGCGATGTGACAAAGGCCCAGTGGGTCATCCCCCATCACCACGAGTGCTGCCATATTCCGAGCCGTCCAACGCCTCACCCGACAGTAGTCCTGGACATTATCTTTTGCTAATCGATAACAGGTGTGGACAATAGCCCTAAGGGGAGTTTTTGATGGTTTAGATCCTCCTTTTTTTAAGCGATGATTCCCCTGCAAGCGAGATGGGTACGTGACTCGAATGCGAGGCCATCGCCGCCATTCCAGCAATCTTCGCTGGTTCAACCGCCCTTTGTTGGAGCTTCTTCACAATCTTGGTTCCAGAAATGGATAGCCGACTTCCAATTTGCTGACGCCTTTCGGACTTCAACAGGCTTTCGATGTTACTCCGAAAAACCCGCCAATGATACATTGTTTGGTGGGTTTTGTCTTTGGGGTTTGACGACATCCTCGCTTCTACAATGATTGATCCGGGAGGTCGCTGATGCGCATCTTTGTCCGCCATTGCAGCAAGCTATTCAGGTGAGGTCTCCCGCATCCCGAGCTTTCCCATTCAGGGTCAGCACTAGCGGAAATGGCTGGAGATCAATACAATCCTATCAAACATCCTTGCCAAACACGTCACGCAACTGTTTCCCCGTCGGCCCATTAGTCAAATCAATATCAGTCCTTCAGACTCGGCCGGAAAATCACAATACATTGCAAGCTGGTGAGTCTCAGGTCGGACCTAGCCTAAGGCCTAGTGGGCTAATAGTAAATGGAAGGCGAAAGGTATTGCTGTGATAACAAGACCCAACCGTACGACCCATCGCCCTCGTTAGAGACGTACCCGAGGCGAATGCCGCGAAGGGTAGCGAGCTTTCATGATATCTGGTATCAACCCTAACTTCATCGTCTTATTGATACTTTCCGGGGGAGGACTGCAGGAGTGCGAGATGAATATCCCGCCATCATTTTGTTGGTACCAGCCGATCAAGCTGGGTAGAAACTGGTTTCTTTCTTCAAATGTCATCCCCTAGGTCTTTGACCACGGTGGCAACCTTTTTTTGCCATAGCTGACGACGTCGTCTCTCGCAGAATGGTCTGTTTCCTCATCAGGCCTCGAATCAGACCATGCCTGTCCAAGTCCACTTTATGGAGTCCGTCAGAGCATGAATGCCTGATGGAACCAATACTAGATACGTCTCAATATTGATGATGTTCTGTCCTGGCCTGGGACATTACCATTCCTGTCGCTGAAATGCATGATTTCCAAGGTCGGACACGGACAGAGATGCGGGTTCAAGTGTGACTCGATGTAGCACATCTGTGAGAACCAAGACGAATTGCTCTGCACACTGACTGGTCTCTCAACATGGTGGGCTTTTTCTTGTCAAGCGGTTTCGGGACCGTGCAGGGTTCCTATTTGGTGGGTTGCCCGATGATTGGTTATTCTGTCTTCCATGGAACGGGCAAGTTCACAGGAAGACATGTTGCACAAATCGTCTGAATACACGAACATGCCCACAGACTGAGAAGTGGCAGATATCCATCATCGTCCTTTGGTCACCATCTTGACGGACCCCATTCAATGGCAACCTATGAGCCAACATCAGCAGCCCTTATAATCCTACCATGCAGGCGACACCAGGGAAAAGGAACCATCGGCGGTATTGTGGATTAGATTGGACTAGCCCTCTGAGCGACAAGGAATCCAACATCTTGCTGTGCGGTCACACGACGATGACGTCGATGGCATAAGCAGGCAATTGGGGCCACGATCAACCAACCGATTTCTATTTGATATGTTATTTTTGTATATCGATGGCCAGGATCTGCAGCTGCGAATCTACAACATCAGGAGTGGAAGAAGAAGCGGAGAAATCAGGCCTGGGAAGCCTGTTCCTGCGCCTTTGTGCCACCTACTGCCGACAGACGTGGTGATCGAGGATATAGACGTGGGTTGCACTCTTGTGCGATGAACGTCACGAATTCCTGCCATGGGACCTTTCGTTTCCTTGGCATAGCCTGGTGACGAAGGGCCAACCATCAAAGTTCGAAAACGCTCCCCGTACCTGAAGCGGACTTGGATGTGAGAATTAGCACTGCATCGATCGATATCAGTCCTAGGAGCCTACAGCGGGGGAGATCGAGATTCTTGTCAACGCGATTTACCGGTTGGTTAGCTTTCAAGCCTCGGAACACTTCTGTAATCTTGGGTCTTTGACATAAGTTATCCCAACATCCATCCAATAGCCCATTCGACTTGGGTGTGACGGACCAAAAGACGATCCGGACAAGCTGGTCCGAACAAATCGGGGTCCACCCGAGATTGCTTTTTATGTTTCGTATTCGATGATTGTTTTCATAAGCAACGCCGCTTCTGGTGAGGCTAGCAATTCTGGTCTGTTCGTAAAGGGATCCGAGGGACAAGGAGGACTCCGAAGCCGGCCAATGGTCGCGGACCCCTGCCATCGTGTGGTTCAAAGGAATGCACGAGGAGGAAAATGAGCAAGAAAAGAGTGTTTCGAGGCTTTGTTTCGTGCCGTGCTTAAGATAGCATCGGACAAGCCACATGGTGAAACTAAAAGTTGAACGGGGAATTGATGGATTGGGGATTAACCAGAGTAAGTTAGGGAGAGTCGTGAAAGTTGCCCCTGGCAAGGAGGCGCAGGCGATGGCGGAGGGGATGGAGGATAGAGTTGTGGAGGGTCCGGGATGAAGGGACGCCCAAGGTGGCTTTGCTTTTATGAGAAACCTGCACGCGGCATGTAGTGAATACCTCTGTGGTGGTGATCGTCGCCCGCCAAATCCATGTACTCTATACGGACTCCTGTGGTGCCGCACATTGCAGAGAGCTAAACCAAGCTTTCTTACAAGAGTCGTGCGTAGCAATGCCTCCAAATGCCACCAAGTTTTAATTGGCATGCTATGCTCTTCAACTCTGCGATTCGTCGGCTTTGTGGTCTCAGGTTGGCACATGGGCGTAGAGGCATCGGGTAGCTGGTTTTAGAAGCCGAGTCTGAAGGACACCGACACGGCATTGGTTAGGAGACGATGGCTTGCTCGTTAGGTGCCATCCTATGCCCTGGAGCAAACCCTGACCGCCTGGCAGTAACGCGCAGGTACTAATGGTAGGTGCATGTCTTCTGCACTTTCTTCCTCTTTTTTCCCCCTTCCGCTAAGGTTCTCTTGCTTTCGGTCTCCTGCGCCTGGTTTTTTTTCCTTTCTGTTGTTGACGTTTTGTCCGCTACTTGAACCAACTGCCCCCAGCACCAACACAGATTCACATTCGTTCGCTCGATACAATAGCAACCTCCTCTCTTTCTCAAGGTTTCCCTTTCCGGTTCCTCTCTTTTTGTCTCTCGCTTGAACTGTGACCACCGCCCATCTTTTGTCCAACACTTTCCCAGCCTGCTGCCCATCTCTACCACCATGACCAAATTGCAAAAGCAACCTCCAGCCTACCCAGGCAAACGCAACTCGGCAGAACCACTTCAGACTGCAGTGCCATACGAGGATCTGCCACGGACTACTCAACAGCCCGTGCCTGTCACCACCGTCTCGCAAAACGACCTGCCTTCTACAAATCCCTTCTCTCCGAACTTCAACCCCCAGCCAGTCCCGTTCACGACGCAGTCTTTTCCTTTCTCACCCATATCTCCTCTCGAACCCACGCCTCCTGAACGACTGTCGCAGCCACAAATCCATGCACCACAGCCTCGGAGACCGGATGCGGCTCAGAGACGATCCATGGATTTGCGAAGGCTCGATGGAAAGCCATATCCCTCTTCCAACTCTGCGGAGAAGCCCACAAAGCAAGTCAAGGTAGCAAAGGATATGCACGATGGCGCCCTGCCACCGGTGTACAAACGTCAAGCGTCGGATCCAATCAACCCCGCTGAGGCTGCTCAAGCCCTCTCCAATACTCGTGAATGCTTAAAGTGCGGCAACAAGCGTGATGGCGAAGGTCCAGGGCACAATGGCCACGGTCAAGGCTGTAACCTGTGTGGAAAGCGCAAGGCTCCCACTCCAGGACCCGCTCCGGCAGCTACTCCTCCGCCTTCGGCTCCCCATGCGCGTACTGTGCCGGAGGGAACGACATCTCACCAGTCTCAACCCTCGGATAGCACTGCTGGGCCTTCAAGTTCGCCGACCTCAACGCCGGGTGCCAACTGCTGTGCTAAATGTGGCAAAAAGAAGCGACCAAGCTCAATTCCCAAGCAGCAACTGCCAACCCATGTGGGACGACCGCATGGAAATGGGCCTGCATCCGCACCCATGCCGATGGCTCATCGTCCTGCAATGAAGATGCATTCGGCTAGGCTCTCCATTCATCCCAACGTGGCTGGAACTCACAATCCTGTGTATCCCCAAATTGATGTGATTCCGCCGTCAGCATCATCATATAAGCATGTGAGCTCGCCATTTACGAGTTATGGAGAAGATGACTCTCCCCTTGTGGCCAAAGCCACCAAGCAGGAATTTAAAGTTTTCCGCAATTCGTCTCTAGCTCGCTCGTTGTCTCGTCACCTGAGCAAAAAGGACAAGGGGGTGGTAGCACCTCTTCCCAGCCAACAGCTTGCCGCAGATGAGAATCAGTCTGGCGAGCAAAGTGCTGGCAGATTGATCAATATGATCAGCAGTGCCATGCAAGGACCACTGAGTGATCGTGACGCACAATATTCACGACTTGAAGTCGGAGATCAGTCAGATCGTCCACAGACTCCATTCTCATTTGTCGGTGGAAAAGATGATCAAGATATGTTTGAGATGGTGGATCTTCGTGAGAGAGAATCCGAAGACGATAGCCTAAAAGAAGTGGTTGGCAGGGAGGTGTCCGCCACTCGATCTGACGGCGACTATTCTGCAATCCCACAAGACACGATTGATGTCATTCCGAGACCCAAGTCGACCGAGCCCCGCGGTCAGTTTTTGTCCGTGCAGGATGCAGAGCAGCGACCTCCCATTACCAGATTTAAGAGTTTGAGGAATGGCGTTTCGAGAATGAACAGTATCAGCAGAAGCACCAGTTTGAAGCGATTGGGAAGTTTGAAGACGGTTCATCATAATTGGTATAGAGACGATATGGCTATTGAAGGCGCCACAGGGGATAACGTCGTTCCTGTCTATTGAGCTGGAATTCTTTAATATTGCGCACGAAGGATTATGATTTGTTGAATGATACCATTTGGATGATTGATATTCGGGTTGATCTATTTACGAGAGTCCAATATAATATTCGTTATCCTGAGACCTAAGGTCGGTGATATGCAAGCAAGCTTCGTGCTGGTGCCCTGAATGAACGATTCAGCCTTGGCTTAGCTTGGAAGAGTGATGTCAGTGCAGATCCGAGTTCATGGCTTGGGCGTCCCTGGTTTCATCGCGACCACCGCCACTTCCCACGCCTATTCGAAGCTTTCATATATCAATTGTCACCCTCCAATCTCGCCTCAACACCAACCTGGCAGCCTTCGCGCTACAACACGCGCTTCGTCGTCTTGAGGAAGAGCGGCAAGCACGATCAGGAAACATGGGGGATTTACAGTTCGCAAAACAGTTTCTGACGGCCTTAGACAGCAAACCGACGAAATACCAAGCCGACCATGTCTTCGACCCCCAAACTTTCCAGATGCGAATACCGGTGTGTAACTTGCGTGCGACACTGCTCAGCTTGAGAGATGAAACCAGTGTAAAATATATAAATACAGGCACTTGCTGACAGCAACAGTACACACTCCCTAAGCTTTCGAACCCACCGCATCCTCCACCTCCAAAGACCACGCCTGCGTCAGCGCCGGCGCCAGGTTCGGAATCAGCCAACCCGACCGTGACAATCACAATGAAATCTGCCCGTAACCCCAATATGACCCTCACTCTGACATCAATAGACCCCACGAGCACGACGATTCAAGCGTTGAAAGAGCAGATACAATCCTACCTGGGCGGGCCGACGGTCGTACACCTTGAGAAGATCAAGGTGCTCCTGAATAAGAAACCGGTTCCGCCGTCGAAGAAGACCGTCACGGATGCGCTCGATGAGAAGAGTCCACGTGGCACCGTCGAATTTGGAGTCATGGTGATGGGTGGTGCTCCCGATCCGCCTCCGCAGAAGCAGACACAGACTCGGACACGGGCGCCAGTCCCGGTGGAAACGGAGATGGCGGCCGCGCCCGCGTCAGAAAAGGCGGCTGTCGAAGCCGAGGAGAAGTCAACGGTATCTTCAGCAATGGAAGGTGTGGAAACGACGACAACATCAGCAGAAGCCACTAGGGAGAGTGTGCTCGAGACGGCCGAGTTCTGGACCGACCTGCAAGGGTTTCTCGAGCAGAGGATACGAGATCAAGCTGAAGCAGTCAGGCTGAGAGGCGTATTTGAACAGGCATGGAGAAGTTCGAATGCAAAGCCTTAGCAACGCAAAGAAGGTCTGGTATCGGATTGGATTAACGGGCTTTGTGCGAATGCGGAGTGTCTCGGCGAACAAGGAGGTTTATGCCGAAGAATTTTTGAGGGCTATGGGCTTTCGATTTCCCAGCACTATTTCCTCGCACTTACGGCATCTTCTTGCATTATACGGTCCAAACACCATTTCACAATCAACGAGCTTGGGGAAACACAGCCGATTTCGCAACGAGAAGGGGATATGGAGGCACTTTTCTATTGAGGCGATCCTAGAATCTATCCCAACCTCACGCGTTGCTAGACATTGCGGGAGAAGGAGGACAAACTTCAACATCCCAAGGATGAGTCTGTCGAGTCCAAGCAAGCGATTTGCTTCCCATTCTTATCCTTTCGTTATCTGCATCATGCATCACGTGTGTTTGCTTGTGGGCACGGCCTGGAAGACGTGACCTTGACAGACTATGTCAAATTCAAGATCTCATTCATTCTTGTTTGTCCGCCTGAACCAACTTTCTTTCGGGGCCTCTTCGATAGATGGTCGTAGTACTCTTGTTCTTTTGGAGTAGATGAACAAACAGAACAGCGATGCTTGGAGGCTGGAATTGAATCTACAATCGCCTTCTCTTGTACTCCGCAAATCAATTTCGGTGCTCTTTTCACCTCCCCCGGGGAGAGGGAGAAAGAAATGGGGGAGAGAAGTAACAGTTATCCAGTTTACGCTGCAAGATTGCACCAGATAGACAACATGGCAATGCATGGGTGCCCGAACGGAATGAAATCAGCGGTCAATTGTCCTTGTACGTCAATCGAGATCTTCTTGGAAGTGAGGTCATCCATTTCTTCGTGGAGTCTGATGCCAAATATGCTAGCGGAAATGTGAAAGACATCAGAGCAGGACTCAGTCGTCCTCTCCATGCTCCGGGAGGGCATCATAAACCACCTACGGCCCCTTGTTTCCTTCTCTGTGGCCTCGCACTGGCCCCCACTCCTTGTTGGCAATCCACTACTTGAAGGTTATCTGGTTAGGGTAGGAGGCACTTACGTGGTTTTGGGTTTCCACGTTTGCAATCTTCGCAGATGTTCGTATCCTTTGTGGTCTGTCAACGACTCCACATACTTCTCTTGATTATGATCTTCTCTACTGAGGAGTTCAATAAATGGCAGATATACTGCTGTATCTCCTAGTTCATTGATGTCTGAGATACCGACGATTGAAATCGTGAAATAGTTAGGTGGTTCTGAGAGGAGGAGATAATAGGCCTGATGTAGTAGCCATGGCACGTGATACCACGTGATACCACGTGACGAAAACCCCGTGCAGAGATAGACGTTCTTCTACCGCTACTTAGCACTTAGCAGCAACCCCTTCCCTGGGTCTCAAAATATAACTTTCCTCGTACAAACCCTGATCCCTGAGGTACGTTGAAGCAATGATGTCTCCTATCTCCAATCTTCTGTGTCTGACAGGTCCATTGGGCGAGATTTACTCAAACTGTGGCCCCGAAATCAGAAAAGGGGAAAGAAATCTCCTCAAGTTGATCTGGTTCTGGTTTGGTCTCTCAATTCTGAACTGGTCTCTGATCTCCGGTTTTTGGATGTACATGCCTTAATTTCTTCCCTCGAGCTATCCCTATTCCATTCCTTCGGATGTCCCTTCGAATGCAATGCAGAAAAGTCAAAATTTTAAAAGAGTTGCCGTTAAATCGTGCCGTAGACGGTCATTTTTGGAGAGGACATGCGCCTCGTAAATCCATGTGAGCGAATTGAAGAACCCTTGCTGAATGCTAATCAGAAAAAGGCTGTTGCACAACCATAACCGAATCCCTGGACATGTACATCACAAGTTAGATATCTCTGTACCGTCACTACCTTCCCATTTCCTTCTTCCGAATCCCAATACTTGTCTGGTGACATGTTGACTGTAGAAATGGTCAAGTTCGCTGTGGCGCAATTGGTTCGACATGGGTGATTCAATGGAGAGCATCACCAAAAGGCTTGGCCATACGTCTCACATGTCCGTGTGCGTGACGCTTGACTTTGCCGATGGCGGACATCGAGATACCGTCGCTCACGCCGGGGGTGCACACCATGCCGTTGGTCATCCCCAGAGGAACCGACCATGTGCCTGACGCACAGCGCTGGAAAGATTTGCCATCGGCCGCGCAAGACCAGGCCCCTTCATCAGTGCAAGGTCCGGATTGAGTTCCAGTGGTATTGGTGCCAGAGCTGGATATGCCGGTCGGGACGGGGCCGGTGGAAGAAGCGGTTTCGATAGGGATGACTTGGGGTTCGCTGGTAGCGGATGAAGCAGCACTCGCTGCAAAAACAGCAGGGGAGCCTGTAGCTTGAGGTTGACCGTATCCACTGCCGCCAGCGAAGGTCGGTCCAGATGTCCCAGCATCAGCGCCACCAGTTGGTTGACTAGCAGAGGTTGCAACCGTATAACCACCAGCAGCCGAGCTAGCTGCAGCGCTGGTAGCGGAAGCACCAGATTCACCACTAGCCGTAGGTTGCTGAGGAGCGTTATTGCCGCCAGCCGCACCACACGAGAGTTGAGTGTAAGGACCAGTTCCCGCGGATTGAACATCTTCCCCTGGATTAGGATAGATGTAGTCGAAACTTTCAGGTGTCGTGCAGTCATTGATCGATGCCAAGTTGGCAACGAACATGTCGGGAAATGAAGTCTCGCGCTTTGAAACTTTCGGAGCTGGTGCGTATCGCTTCTTCTTCGCCGCAGTAACAGTTGCAGGGCCGCAGTTCATATAGAATTCTCTATTTCCGACCTTGTTGAGCCATGACCATGCGATGGTGTATTCTCCAGGAGCAACGCCTTCAGGGATAGTGTACTGGAAAGTGCTAGCACCGTTACCGTTCGGATCGGCGGGAAGGTTTCCAGCAACACTAGCCGGGCAGCCACCTTCAATAGACTTGATGACCATCCATTTGGAGTCTTTTGTCGGTTGTAGATCGGTCGTGAGACTGACTTGGCAAGATCCACCACCATGGACAGCGCTGCCAATAAAGCTCAAGGTTTGTGGTTCACCGATCGCCATGACATTCTCGGCACCTTCGGGATCATAGACACCGGAACGCTGCTTGCAAGGAAAGTCGGAGCCATCGGCAAGGAGGGGAGAGTTGTCAAGAGTGGATTGCCCGTACGGAACAGGAGATTTCATCTTCATATGAGCATCGACCAGAAAAGCAAGGTAGGCAACTACGGCCGCAGCCATTGGTTTGGAGAAGTACACCATGTTGGAGAGACTTTGAGATAGATTTGTGCCGGCACGGAGAGGTTGTGGTTGTTGTTGAAAGAGTGTGTTGGGCAGGGCAATAGCCAGATTGCGCTGTTACACTCATTAGTTTGTGGTTTTGTTTGAGGCTGGGTAAGTAGAGAATTCTTCGCACAGATGGACCAGTCTGGGGTCCGATGTTCTGATTGGTTGTCTTCGGGATGGACTCAATAGATAGACCAGACAGGGTCATGATGGTACTATAATAGGAAGAACGGAGGGAGGGAGAGGTACGGGGCAATGAGCAGTGGACAATACCGCCCTTGTTTATTTGGACGGAGGGTGGAGGCAGCGGACAATGCAGTGAAAAAGGAGCGCACAAGCAGCGCTGGTGACAAGGAAAACACGCACCGTTTGGTCACTGGTGAAAGGAGTGATCGTTGATTCGTGAATCGTGATACAAGGAATGTGAATATATTTGTCTGCGACTGGCAAGACAATGACAATGCCAACCAAAGGAATGTATAGGACTAGCCTGCCTCAGTTGGATAGAGGTTCAACGAAATGAAATGAGAGAACTCTTGGAGAAAGAAAGACAAGATGGACTGAAGCAACTTGGCAGGCTTCTATATAGGTCAGTGTAGAGTAGTAGATTCGATGGTGGCAAGCTCGATGTGGATATATCCCTGACCATATTCAGGATAAAAGCCGGGGTGGGGATACGATATGTCAGGGGTATATGAAACATGGCATTCTATTGGTAGTTATACGATCTTCGTTCGCGCGTGGCAGTGTGGTTCATAGAGACGATTGTTCCAGACTGCTGGTGGAGGATAGAGCCCGGAGCCAGTCAGAAGCTGTGGTTACCGCGTTGAAGGCCGCCCCCTTGTGACGTGTCGAAAAGCTTTTCCACCGAGAGCTTCTGGTGATTCGAGGAGTGGGCAAGAGCCGGATCTGAAAGCACAGGTCTTGGAAGATACAGGGGCAGAGCGAGCAAATGTGAGCTGTAGAGCAGGGGATTGGCTGGGGGGAGCATAGACTTGCGCAGGTACGGACAAAGCTTGAAGACACCAAGATGGTCCATTCTAGATGGAAGCCCCTGGAACGCTGGGGGGAGGCTGACGCAGTCCATCGCGGAGGTGGAGGGATGGACTGGGTAGGGTATGACGGAAGAATCTGAAAGGGGTGATAGGGAGAAAAAAGGAAGCGCAGAATCCAGGGGAAGAGGTGCGGGTTAGCTGCAACCAATCAGCGAGCACCAACTAGTCTGTAAGCGGCTAGGCCCACTCTTGCTTCCGATCAGCCTTGGACTTATCTCTGTCAATGGCCAGCGCTTTCGTCCATCATGAAACACTTTCCCCAGTTCCCCTGCTGGAAATTGCTGAGAACCATCAATTGCCACTGCAAAACGCCCTCTCGGAACGTCGCCGAGGTGGTCTGTGTCAGTCCGCAACTCACGATACTTTGTACGGATCACCCGGCAGATGTCGGATGGTTAGGAGAGCCGGTGCAGGGAAGCCCACCCGTCGACGATAGTACTCAGACATGTCGCAATAAACAAAAGAAAGGCAACATTCCTTTGGGTGACAGTGATTTAACATGACTCTAGAGCATCCCCAGCCTCAAACGTGATCGACTTCATGATGGCCGAAACATGCGTTCTTGAACTGCTGCCAGAATATCTTCTCACGTAAAAGTCATGAATCTCAAGGTTCAGCCGTCACTCGACCTCGAACTCCATTCCATTTCTCAAGGTTCTAGCCCACCAGCCCCTTCACTGCGAGACCCGCAGCCCATGGGTCCTAGACATTCCGTCCTCCACCTACGCTAAGTCGCTGCAACGTTTTCATCACACGTTATTCACCAAGTTCAAGGATTGCAAATGAACACGCAACGGCTTTGGTGGGTTCGAAGAAATGGAATAAGATTTAGGACCAACTTACGAAGTGCTGACTTTGAGGTGTCACACTCGTGAATGAGGTGATACGGATGGAAAGAAAGTCGGCAGAGCGGTTCAGCCTGGGCAGCCGTCGTGGCCACCACTCCTCTCCCTGTTCGTATCCCCACGAGAAAATCCAATGTCTTTGACACGTGATCGGCTGGTGTACCTCGAAGCTGGAGCTTGCTGCACATCTTCGCTCACCGGAGTCGACTGGTGGGCTTTTCGCGTAGCCTAGTCTGTTTCAGAAATATTTTCTGTGTCCACTCTCACGGCAAATGCACTGATGACAGAATCATTTATATTCAAAAAATATGAAAATGAGAGTAAACACCCTTGAGATGTGTGTCGTCAATCATGATTCGTAGAAAATCTCGATGATGCCGAACACAATCGGAGCCGCGGGGGGATCCTGAGGCTGAGGTTCAATAATAATATTATTCATCGCACGTTCCAAGGGTCTTCCCCGTATATAAGTCGAGGGTATTCGTTGGCACTTGGCCTTCCCTGCCTTACATGGGTATAGAGGTTAAATTCATCCGCTGAGGAAGGAGCTGCCGAGGTACCTCTCAACTCTCAATTGCGCAGCGAATACGACGACTTTCGCAATCCTCCATGTAATTAGAACTTGCGCTCATCCAAGGTAATCATTTCCCTCTCGGCTTACAGATAGCAATTCATCATAGATTTGTGTCCGTTATCAGCTTCGGTCGAACTCGACCAGCATTGTGGCAGCTAGTCGTTCATGATGCCATATGGAAAGCACTGCGACTCCCATTTTTGTTCCCTGTCTTCTCAAGAGCAGCACAATTCTCGTTCCTTTTTCACGATGATGCCTTCTGCGACAATGCCGTCGATGTCTTTCCTCGCCTCCTGGCGCACCGTCGCCCTTGTCTTTGCCCTGATCAACCTCAAAGCCCTTCCTTTAGCGTGGCACTTCCGACTCTTCTACCACATGTTCACCAACTGGTACACACAAGCCAGAGTCCCGAGCACAATCAAAGCCAACGCCGAGTCCAATAAGATGCACGCTCTCTTTGGCTCGGTATCGATATTCTCCCACTCCCCTTTCCTCGAGATAGACTACAACCTCCACAAGAGCAACAGTACATACTTCACGGACCTCGACGAAAGCCGTACGGCACTGATGACCAAAGTCCTGATTCCAAGCCTGAAGCAGGGCGCCAAAAATTTGGAGAAAGAAGGCCATAAAGGACGGCTAGGTGTGGTCCTCGGCAGCGTCCACACATCGTTTCACCGCGAGATCAAACCTTACGAACGCTACGAGGTCCGTTCACGCGTGCTTGGCTGGGACAAGAAATGGATAGTGATTGGGAGCTGGTTCATACGGCCTGCTCAAAGTGAAAGGGGGAAAGAGGTCGTGCTCGCGTCCGCGCTGAGCAAGTACGTCGTGAAAAAGGGCCGCTTCACCGTGTCCCCTGAGCGCTGCTTCATGACCGCAGGTTGGCTACCGCCCAAGCCGGAAAATTGCAACTCAGGAGCCGGCCAGACACGAGAGAGTTCCGAAGATTCAGAAACACAGCTCCAACTCCCGCCCCATTCAGGCTCAGGCGTCTCATCTGAACCATCTCCGATTCCGACGCCCGAAGGCCTCCCCGCTCCTGTCCGAGAACAAGCGTCCCAGACAATGCCGCTTGAGCCTCTACTGCCGCTGGCCGTGCGCGACAAGGTTGCCGAATGGGACTGGCATCGCATCGAGATGGAGCGCATCCGCGGCCTGCGCATTGCAGACAATTGGCTCGCGCTGGACAAGGAGTTGCTGGACGAATATGCACGTGGCGAGCGACCACCCGAATTTGGCTGCGATAGCATTCGCTGTGGCGATTTGTGACACGATACCCAAGGTGGCGTGACTTTTCAGAAAACTTCCTAGGGATCCGAAGGCGGGCGTATGATAGAACGCGACACGGGACACGAGACATCGGTGTCTGCAGGCCGAAACGAGCCGAAGCGAGGCGTTCGGGGATCAGATCCAGATCTGTGTGGCGACAATTCACAATCAATCAGACTACCTATACAGCGTTGAGAACTACTGATTCGCCTGCCTTTTTCGGATGCGCCGAGTTCCTAGAAGCAATTACAACGAAGAAGAGCGAGGGTTTTACGTGCTCGAGCGAAATGTGCTAGCACGTCCGCTCCCACGAGATCTGTAGAAGAAAATGAGAAATGAGAAGCCTCTCTGAGTGTATCTGTTATACTGAAGAACAGGTCGTGTATTTACATTCCAGCTTGGTATATTGTGATATAATTTTACTATACACATCTCCTATGTTCTTGTCTTCCGCTCTGTCTATCCATCAGTCATAAACTGAATCCATTTGGCCTTTTCCTGCGCCATTTTATTCCATTTTTCAGAAAACACATTCCAAATACTAAGCCCCACCATCGTTGTCGTGACGCCATAAACACCGTACCATGCCATCGATTAGGCCGTTGATGACTTTGAAACTCAGAGTTTGGTGCCGAAAAGGGAGGAAGACAGGAATGAGATGATGGATATCATTTTAGGGGGAGTATCGAGGTCGATGTGTCGGTTGATGTTGTACAATTTTTCTAGATCGTGAACGTGGGCGCAGGCGTGCTCGTCTCGCCTGAAGGTCGCCAGGGATTCGAATGTAGCGGGTTTCTATTGGTGAAGGAGGTTTGAAGAGGCGTGAGGTAGAATTAGGACAAGATGGCTGCCGCCGCGATCGGTAGTTCTCGCATTTTATCATGGTCGGTCCAGACAGGAATCGAGTTGAGTCGAGGGAATTCGTAGATGATAACTCTTCCACTTTGCTGCGTATATATCGGGACCGATTGTTTTACTATTCTTCCTCTTCCTTCTTCTCCGCTTTCTTCTTGCCATTCCCGTTATGCTTCTTATGTCTGGCCTCGCGCTCCTTGATACGCTGTTCCTCCGCCGCGACCATTTCCTTCCACAAATCATCGCCACCACCGCCGGTTCCCTGACTAGCGACAACCTTCTCAACTGACTTCTCGAGCATACGTTTATGTTCTGGGTCCGTGGGATCGATGTATCGGACCTTCTCCCAGCGGCCCGTTTGGTTCCGTGAGTCGGCGATTTCAAATGCAGCTGTCGCAACCAGCACACCAACGGTCAGGAATTGAGCGTACACTCTGGCCTGAACGATTTTTTGAGGTCCGGTCAGATATTTGTTCCGGTTGACCATTGCGAAAGCGGCGGCCATACTCGCGACCCAACTTCCTGCGACAATCTTATATCGTTCTTTGCGGCCAAAATCCATCGCACGTTCTGTCCATGTCTTGCCAGCTTTTTCTGCCTCAAGTTTCTCTGCCTCTCGTTGGCGGTATTGCATTTCTAGTGGGTTTGACTCGGCTTCATATTTGCGGGAGTAGTGGTCCGCGTTGACAATGCCAAAGAAGGTACCGGAGCTGGTCACGAGGAAGGCTTTCAGTGGGAGAGTGAGGTTTCTGAAGAACTGATATCGACGATGAGCGGCAACGACGCCCAATGTGCCAACTGCAAGACCGCCGATTGTACCAATAACGCCACCCTTGAGAGTGGCATTGTAGTGTTCACGTTCTTGTTCCTTGGTGAGAACCTTCATGTCGAGGTAGGGCGGTAATGATGTGGGAAACTTGGGGGTATTTCGATTTCAGAGCGAGAGTGTGTCGTGTATTGGAGATGGGCGTATTGTTCGGTGGGAAGGATGCTTGAGAGTGAAGTTTTCGTGTCAAGAAAATGTGGCGGAGGCGACAGTCGGGGATCGAATGGTTGCTGGTCTGCTTGTGTGAATAAGCTCTGCGTATATAAACAGCTCCAAGTGGAGGACGAGAAACTCGGTCTCAGTTTGGAAGCAATGGGTGAGCGAGTACCCGCTTACTGGTTTGGGAAAGTTGATATTAGAAGTGCTCGAGTGGAGGGAATGAAATCAGTTTATTATCTAAAACGTGGAACGGCAAAAAAAGCTGTGAATTTGTTCACCATGACATCAGCCTGCGACTCGTGCCCGTGGTATCTCCGCTGGCCCATGACAACAACAAAAAGAGGAACCGTAACTCGCTGTACGAATCAACGCCGCTTTCATGGGTATCATTTTCCCTCTCAATGTGGCCAAGGAGCTTCTCCGCGAATTGTGCCTGAATAATCACGCAGAAGTCAAGGAGAGCAAGCGGACTCGTTTAACCAGCAGCGGGTACAGCCCATCTCTTTGTGGCAATCATACTAATAATTCAGCCTTCTTTTACCGATTGTTGGGGCCTAACGGTTCAGGGTCGTAGTCAATGTCCCTGTCCGGAATGCACCGAACAAGCTTGACTGGGTAGTCAGGGCCACAGGATGGCATGGGAACTGGAAGCACGGAAGAGATGACCGAGAAAACGTTCTCCCGCGGTGCCCGCTATCAGAAACGACGAAAAAGAAGAGGATGATGATGAGCTGATTTACTGTAGCATCTCCACGGAAAAGAAACCCTCCGGCCAAGCCCTAGGCTCCTTCTATTTCCTATGGGGGAAAAAATACAGCGAAGGTTAGTTAGTTTTCAGTGGACGATGGCGTGACCCTTGAAGTACTTCTGGTCGCCGATCAACTCAACACCGAAGGAACTCTTAGTCCCCTAAAGACTCAAGTTCGACCGCAGTTTGAGGTCGCAAACCGCCCCTCTTCGCAAAAGTCTTCGCGATGGCAATACCTTCGGCGATCGCCGGATGAGCGCCACCGTCTAGAGTCGACGAATATGTGCCTGTCCCGGTGGAAATACCCTTGATACAGGCTCACCTAGAAGCCCATTTTCGAGCAAGTATTCGATGGGGTAGGCGTCCATTTGGTAAAGAAGAACAAAGATCAGGGCATTGGGAACAAAGAAAAGCGTATTCGCGCTCATAGTATTGTTATCTGCACCCTTTGTTGCGATTCTCTCGTATCTTGACAAGGCACCGATAATTCCTCCTAACCCCATTCCCCCAAGAGCTCATCACACGTGAATGTGGTAGCTCCTTTTACCAATGCCACCATCTCCAATTTCCCTTCCTCGTTGTCAAGGTGGTAAACCCAGTCGGCTGGGCAGGATCGCACTTCCATGATAGTGTTTGCAGGTTGAAGCAATCTCTCTTGTCCATTTCCGTCCTCGGGGATGAGATTGTACACGACTTCGTCTGCTCCTGTAGCTTCTGTTTGACTATCCACTCCTTTCGGCCGGAGGACAATGAAGATGCTGTGTGAGTCGAATTGGTTCGGATTGAGTATATTTCCGACAGAACTGGAGCTTGACCGAGACAACAGTGTCATGTTCACTATGATGGGATTTGTAGTATTGGAGCAAAGGATGCTCTTGCCCCCCGCATCGAGAATGAAGACTTCCTGGCCAATTTTGATTCTTTCGGCAGAGGATGCAGGTGTTGGTGAACTATGCAATTGGAGCAACATTGACGGAGTCAATTTGGCAAAAGGAGCTGAAGACGACGGCACAGCTGAAGCCGAAGCATCTACCGTACCCTGTATCCTCCCAAGACTCTTTTCTTGTTGACTGTGACGGCATGGACTGGAGGGGCACGGTCGTACACAACACGGGTGTTGGCGGTTTTGGGCTCTGAACTGCTGGCTGGAACATGGAAACTCTCGTCAACTCATTCATGAGCGCGTCTTTTGGTATGTTCGGGATAGCATATCGATTGATCTCATGATTTTGCTCACTGGTGTGATTGGTGGTCGCATGTTGTTTGATGCCATGACTTTGTCTTCCTGCATCGATGACCGCTCTATCGGCTCTAACTTCTCTTTCGAAAGCTGCGACTCGCTTTTGCCTAGTGGAGTGTGGCGGGGGGAGGAGAGAGAGTAGGACCGCTCTGTGTCTGCGATGACGTTTACACGAAGGTCTTGAAGGCTTGCCGCGGTACTGTTGATTGACTCACTTCGCTGAAGAAATCCCTAGATTCACAACAACTTGATCTCGCAACAGACAGCAAATCAGTGGACGAACCAAAAGAGGCAGGTTATCAAGGAGACTAGTTGTGTACGAATGTAAGGTTGCGATGCCTGAGCCAGCGCCAGTGACATGAGAAAGCGTGCAAAAGGACATGATATCAAAGAGATATTTAGAAAATTTATTGTTCTGTGCGTTGTGCATCAATCACTCCCGTGAGGCGGGAAACTTGGATATGCGGCTGGTGTCGTCTCTCAATCTGATCATCCGGTCCCTCCCTTCTCATTCAACTTACTCAATTGATGAACGCTGAAAGGATACCTTTTCTTTGGTTCGATCGGCTCCCTCCCGTTCTATTGATACAATTTATGTCAAAGGGTAAGATGTCGTCCTAGCGTCTGACGATTGCTGAAACCTCGGGCACAATGGTATAACTTGTGGCCCCCGGTAGCAATCTCGCTCGGTTGCTTTGTTTTTGACCCGGTGCAACATTAGGTCTTGCCTTTGGTACCACGGCTGCCTGCAAAGTGTCATCTCGTCTCTTGGTTGGATCATATGTTGCTCTGGCCCAAGTCTTCTTGGTGTAGTCGTCACTTCTCTGCAGGATTGGTCTCGACCATTCTTCCATGAGTTTGGTGGCTTGCCGTTTGATCGACGGTTCAGGTCTCTTAGACTTCCGATAGAACAAAATGACTTTGCCAATACCGGACGAGATCAAGGTCTCCTTGTTCATGGGTAGCTTTGCGAGTGCCGCGAAGAGTTCTCGTTGAATGTTGTACGCAGGAAGACTACCGTCGGTCAGGGGCTCCAAGAAGAATCGAACTGCTTCCAGTAGATTTGTTTCGGGATCGAGTATAGATTGAACATAAGTGTTGCGGTTGAGCAGGCTCACAACTTCGGGGAGCATTTTCAGTTTTTGGGATGCCGGAAGACCTTGTCGAACCAATTCTCCATCAGTCTCGGCTGCTGCAATCATTCGATTTCGCATCTCTTCGATTTCTTGGTCTGCAGCTTGTTCCAGATCCTGAATGCATCAGAAAACATCGCTTGTCCTCGAATGTCAGCAACTTACAATCTCGCCTTTCCTGATCCTCTTGGCAGAGGACTTCTTGACCGCAGCGTCCATCGCTCGATCCAGCGCTCTCCTCCGGCGCTCTTCTGGTGTCAAATCTTCGTCGTTGACCTCTATCCGCACGGGTCTTGCTCTCTTTTCACCATCTGCACCTTTTGGTCTCCGACCTCTCTTGCCATCTATCTCCTCGCCTCCAGAAAAGCCGTCATCACTGTCACGTCTTCGCTGATTCTTCTTGGCCTTTTCTCTTGTTCTCTCTTTCTTCTTCTTAGGCACCGATTCTTCACCATCAGTTCTCTTTCGCTTCTTGACTCTGATGGCCTTGTTGAGTGTGTCAAAGTCGGGTGCTACTTGCACGGCTGTAGGATCGAAATCCGCAAACTGCGCTTCATCGACTTCGGAGAGAAGCGATTCATCATCCGAGTCGTCCGCATCGGCTCGAGTTTCTCTTGAAGGATCATCAAATTCGTCGTCCAAATCATCGAGCCTGTCTTCATTATCAGATGGTCGATCTAGACCCTCTGCTTCGACTGGGGGTTGTTCGTCGCCGTGGTCGATCATCGTGAATTTATCCAGTAATGAAGAGGATGGGAGGGAGAAAACTGAGAGGATAGAAGGCCAGAAGAATGAACGAAAAGCACTGCAATAATAAAGCAAAAATGGGCGGTGGGCAAAGAAGGTGAAGAGGAGTGAAGTTTGACCGGGAGTTGATGCCAAGAATGAAGGAACGAGTCAGTGGCTCACGTGATATCAAAACTCATGATTCGGAGCACGATTTGCGGAGAGCGCAAGTCACAATAAACAGTGTCTCTGGATCAGATCAATGGCGAATCATCAATATATACCGCTCGTCCGATAAAATAATTGTAATCTGGGCCTTTCCGTCCATAAAGTTCAAAACATTTCCAACGCATGCGACGATCTCCTCCAACATTCACTGAACCAACTTCGCACTGATGCAAGTGTTACATTGATATCCTGTCGACGTGCCATTTTTCAACCAACAATTGGCATTGTCAGATGTATTGCTCTGCGCCATCTGGTAATTCCAAGTGACGCCCTTGCAGCTTTGCATGTTTCCACCCTCGGTATCTTGGCCCCAGCGCTCCACAAAATAGATCGCATTCGAGCAAGCATACAGACAATCTGTGATGCTGTAGGCGAATAAAGCCGTGAAGTCCGCGACCACTAGCGAAGTGTCCGTATCATCTTGCAAACTGCTTGACATGTCGACACCGCAGAATAGGTCGAACGAGGTGTCGTATTGGACCTCAATCCTTGAGTTGTCATCCGTACATCCAGGGTTCTCTAGTGTGCCTACATAATAGGGTTCTGGAGCGACATAGTTTTGTAATGAGGAAGGGAGGGGAAGGGCAGAGGTAGAAGTATCCGATGACGACGAGTTGGACGTCGTTCCAGTGGCAGAACTGCCATCCGCTGTGATCGTTACGGTTGCGACAGGCGCACTCAAGAGGTCAGCCTTGTGTAGGAATGATTCATGTCTCGTCTTACCTTGACGAATCCGAATCATTATTGGACATTGCACCAGCAACACCACCACCCACTGCTCCGCCAACTATAATTGCCGTTACTGTTGCAACGAGAAGTCCGAATGCAAGTGGTGACAGACCCCAAGGATTTGGTTTAGGTGATTTGGACACAGGTCCATCTCCTGGCGGCGGTACATATCCATTCTGATATTGATATGGGTGCTGGGTAGAGCCAGAATTTGGTTGCTGGTATGTCTCCAGTGGTGGTTGTGTCATCTCTGGTGCCACTTCAGGATACGATTGATTCGAGTCAGCGACAGGAAATTTGTCCGACATTCCGCTTGAAGGTTGAGTAGGTAGAAGTAGTTGATCTGAGGCCCCTTTTGATGAAGTGGCACTGGGTCGCGACATTTTCAGCACGGCGTTCTCTCAACCTGATCGTAATTGGTGTTTATTATCGTTTCCGCTAAGATCGTCACCAAAAAGATCTCGTAGTCATACGATGGTCATGGACGCGGAATGCCGACTTTGTGGGACCGGCTATGAACAAAATAAACAAGATGGTAGAAATCGGTGACAGATTGAAAGAGGCACGATTTACCTTCTTGTGGCTTGTGTCTCTTGCACCACTCGTTCCAGTTCCAAAATGGAGGGAATCTCTCGGGGCCGGGGACAAGGTTTGGGCCGATTTCTGACCAAAATCTCAAGAGCACGGGGGCCATGTTGAATGTCATGGAGTGCCCAGACGGTAAGAGTGAATACTCAAGCTTTAAGGCAACCTATTCAGGTTACATCAGCAAGGCGCTTCCGTGCCAAATGGTTTGATTGTTTCCGTTTCAAATGGGTATAGATTTTTGAGTTTGGGGCCATTTTGTGCTGGTTAAGACTTGTAACGTCTCGGAAAATATCGCATAGCCTGTTGGCCAGCTTGGCAACTTGCGCCCTTCCCTCTTTTCGTCTTGCTCTCTCTTAGATAGAAGAACAACAACACATTCCTTCTCTAGACTCCACAGTCTATCATAGCCATGCTGAATTTCCAATGTCATATCGACTGCTCCGGGTGGCGACGTTCCGATGTTCAAGCAAAGGGGCCCCAATTCGCGACGGATAGGGGAATGGTGAAAACTCGTGCAACACTCTACACGAGCGTATAATTTCAAGGGTCGTGCTTGTCGAGATTTGGGGCACCCCATATGTGGAGATTTCCCAACAATCCTTGCCATCTACCATGGACCAAATAATGTTTTCAATCGTAAAAGTACACTGTCGAACAAACTCGAATTTGCCTATGAGTAGCGGTGGAATAATATTCATACCAACAACGGCGCCCGTTGACATTGAAAAGGGAAAATCTTGACCAATTCAATATTTCGAGCTGATTGGTTGGCGTTGGCAAGAAGCCATGGCCTCCTTTTCTCGGTTGGAGGAGGATCGAGTCCAGCCCCCGCGAAATTACTTTGAATTGTCACCCCGACCCCCAGCTGAAAATGCTCTATTGGAGAAAACTCGTTGTGACTTGTTTTCAAGCAATCACATCCCAATAGTGATGGTTTGAAATGAATCATCGTCACCGACGAGGAGCAATTCTGTAATCCTGAGGTTTGCTCTCGGATAATCCCAGTTAACGAGAAGACAAAAGAAAGAGGCCGCTCAGGAGACTGGGTGAAAACGCCGAGTCATAAGTCTTTGGTGTCGAACGATGTTATGACAAAGCAGCTGGCCTTTTGTCTTTGGGCGAAAGCATCTATTCTCATTTGTCTCGCGGCCCGAGACGCCATCAGTTTCAGCACCCCAGTCATATTTTTGGTTCGTACGGGTGGGATGATCCATATGTTGGGAGCTAGCAAAATCGCTCCTAGCCCACACACCACGTTTGTAGACAGGGCGATGACGAATTGAGGAGCCCATTTCCCAGGGTAATACAGAGATGAGGTGGCGATCTGTAAGGCACTTTGTTTAGCCTAATCTTCTTGTTGACCGATACCTTTATCTCCAAGCGAAGGAACGTATATGACGTACCTGAGCCGCGTTCCCAGATGCATTGACATTGGCAACGGCACATGCGCGCTTGACTCGAGGCCGAATCATTGTTTTCTGCGTCCAAGTAAGGACGACGGCATTGGTGCTATGCCCACCCAGCAATCATGAGAATCATGGCGAAATATCGAGCCCCAGGATGCCCGCGTTCAGGCAGCAAGAATGAATCCAACAATTGCTGGTGCAGATGGCTAGATGATGTGAAAAGAGGAAGTTTCTCGTCCGATCAGCCGACTAGTTGTTGCTCGTGGCGGCCACAATTGCCGCCGCATAAGGAGGGACGGTATGGAACAAGGACTTGATTAGAGAGTTTCCCGGCGTCTCTTACACAGCAGGCAAAAAGTTGTGCAAAGAGACGACTGATAGTGCAAAGAAGGTGAACGCAAAGACATAGACACGCCAGTCCCGAATGGCCATCCTCAAGTCATGTTTTCAATTGCTGTTATCCTCGTCAACCCGACCAGCATCAACGATCAATCGCCACTCGGTAACTGCACGCTCATTGGGGAAGAGCTAGCGAGTGTTTGAAGGGAAGTCGGACAGGAAGAGAGGAGAGGAAAGTCGACGCCACCATCGTAACTGTGTCGAGGTTATGAACATCCATCTCTAGTCTTTGAGGCCCACCGCTCCAGCGAGACCGGTGGTGACGCCGGCAGCTATGAGACCGGCGACAGCATTGCCCACCAAAGAGGCCGATAACAACACAGCACTTTGGAGACCTAGCTCAGATCTAGTGTACCAAGATGAGATCAGGAACAGTGCACCAACGCAAAAAGGGGGCCTCCAGAAACCCAAGAAGGAATCGTGTCACGCAAAGCGCCCTGGCGCCTGATTCACAGCATCAGTGAAAGCAGATACGGTATTCCACGCCATTATTGCAGACCGAAAGGTTCATTGCAGGCCGTCTTTTGACCTAAATTATGTTGGATAGCACTTCGCATCAAAACATATCCGACGTGAAAAATTCAACACAGCAATGGAATAGTGCGATGAGTCCAAGCCCAATGCTCCACTGGCCGTGGCTGTGATTGTAAAACTTCGAGGCTGAGGAATTTCAAGGTTAGGGAAGAGAATTTCGAGGCATCCGAAGATGCTTAGTGGCAGACTGAGATGGTAGACAGACTCATACACAGGGTGACAGTTCTCCCTTTGGACAACCGAATGGCCCGAACCGAGACAGTATACATACAAAGGGGACATTCACAGAAAGCTCCCAAAAAAATTTTACTGCAGGAGATTTTCATAACATAGAGCGCAGCCCTGGACTGATCAGTATTTGGCCGAAAATCCCCTTTGGGCAAATGATTAGCTTTGGTACACCAGATGATGTTGCCAATGTATGATTCTTCGTCCAGGCGATGGACATTGTTGGGATTAGACTTTCAAAAAAAGTGTTGAGAAGAGGCCGTGTGCTCCATACACACGTCCAGAACTCAAGGATCAAGGTATTAGCGGTCGTGAAAACCTTCCAAAGTAGAATGGATCCTGGTATGTTCTCCGGAAATAAAATTTCCGTGCTTGAATTTGTGCGATCTGACTCGAAAGGGTGCCGTGAGAGTCTGAGGCATGAGTGTCCACTGCTGGGAGTAAATGCTATCACGTGTATTTGATCCGCCGCTCGATCTGCATCTGAGTCGTCAACGGAGAAAACTCTCGAAGATTGATTTTCGATCGTCCATATGGCGACATTGTAGGATCATTTCAGCTCTGCTCAACTCTCAGCCCACTCGAGTTTGTTCCAAAGATTCTGCCGGAAAATTGCGAATTTTGTCGCTTTCAGTCTTTTGCGTTTCATACTTGGAAAAGAATACAGGTGCCTGGACAAACCAAGCGCCATGTTTGGGGGCCGTACGTCGTCCTCAAAAGCTTAGACATCCGATCCACGTCCATATCTAACGTCACCCTCACAGCACAGGAACACCTTTCCGAGAAAGAGATCCGCGAGGGGGAGGCCAAAGCGGCAGTAGATGTTCAGGTCTTCACGGTTGCATGCATAGCGTTATGGTTCTGTATGTCTACTTTCCACACATCCCCCGGCATGCTAGCAAATAACACCTGAGTAACAATCACTGCGCATCAGCACCCCATGTGGTCGAATGGGCACGGAAACTTTTCTAGATTTCCCAACCTCCCAGCGAACGGATCATCACCGCGCAAAACACCCCTCCTCCGTCGTCATTGAAGGAACTAGGATCATTTGATGAAGCTATCAAACCACAGGCTACAAGAATGAAGAGAAAAGCCATCTTTTGTTGTACACTATCTTGTACAGTGCTAGCGGAAATATTGTATGAAACAGCTGTTGCCGAACGTTCCGCATTGCAATGACAGAATATCAAAGATTCTCAATTCATCAACAATTCCCAAGTCGCTATGCCAGATTGCGTGCTGCCCCTCTAACAAACGACGTTCGCGAGACAAGCCCTGAGATAGACTTTTCTGGCTCATCTACGGCGAGGAATGTCATTATCCCTATCCTTGGATATCTTCTCCCAATCCTCAAACTCTTGTTGCACAAGGTCCAATTCCTTCTTTAAATGCCGTAATTGCGTGTCGTATGCCTCTAACGTCTTGGGAAATGTCAGCCTTCAATCTCCTTTTCACCTGCGATGATATTTACCTTTTTTGCCCCCTTGACAGTCTCTTCATCCAGTGTTGAATCTTCCTCAGCGGCAGCCGGTGCGATCTTTTCCATCTCCATCTTTAGTCTCATCGTACGTTCTCTGATACCTAGCATTCGGGCCCACACTTCTTGCTCCCTGGCATTCAGACTAGGATCAAAGATTTCTCGCTGAAGCTTCTCCAATTTCGACTTCAACTCCTCCTCCGCATTGTCCATCACATAGCCCCGGTTTCGCAAGATCTGGACTTTTACTGCCAGCGCCAGTGTTCTTTGAGCTGTCGCCGCCTGCCTTCTCTTGCACTCTTCAAGTCGAGTGGCCACATTTTGACGATGCTTATCCAGTTGTACATCAAGCGACGTGTTTATCTCCTGAAGCATCATGTTACATCTCTGAATTGCTTCCATCTGTATTTGAGCCTTCCTCCCTAGCTGAAAGAATCCTTGAACAAGAAGAGGCACCCACTCCGGGCCGGGTCGTTTGGAAACAGCCTCTTCCCACTTATCTTCGTCTTCTCCGGGCCCAGGTCTGTATTTCAAGGCGTCGGTCTCGTTCTCGACGTGCTGGTACAGATACGTCCGCAGAGGAGAGGTTAAACTTTGTGGATCCCATTTATTTTTGACAATGTTCATCTGTGCAGGGATTGATCTGAACACATTCAGGCCTCGACCTTCCTCCCACATAGGCTGAGATGCATTTTGCGCTTGCTGTGACTGGCCAAACCTCAGTGTTTGGTCAAGAGGACGTTGCGGTTGTTGCTGCGCTGGCTGCTGCGATTGGCCGAATCCAAATGTGCTTTGTTGAGGTGGCTGTGCCTGTGAGGAAGTCCCAAACAACCCTCCTGTTTGTTGCTGCGGCTGCGATGCACCGAAAAGTCCTCCCGATTGTTGCTGCTGGGACTGTGCAGTACCAAAGAGACCTCCAGGCGGTTGCGTTTGAGTAGAGGCACCAAAGAGTCCCCCGGTTTGCTGAGGCCGCGACTGCGAGGTGCCGAAGCTGAAAGTAGGAGCATTGCCTGGTTGTGTCCGCGACTGGCCAAACAATGACGGCTGAGCGGTGGACTGACTTGAAGAAGGGTTATTGAAGGTGAACAGGCTAGGCTTCGCAGGTTGCGGTTGATTCTGATTCGCAGTTGACGATCCAAAGAGGCTCATTGTGTTGGACGGAAGGTCGGTGACCTTGTCGTAAGGCCGTGGAGGAGAGCAAAAGACTTTTAGATCAAATCAACTCATGATGAAGTCTGTAGAAATGAAAGACAGGCCAACAAAATCGATCTTTGCTGGTGGGAAAAAATCTGGCTTGCAAAACGCGCTGCAACGACGACGCGAAGGGCCACAGAGGTCCTGCTTAATGGTGGTCTTCAGTCTTGGCATGTGAACCAAAGCCTTGCCGCTTTAGAAGAACGCCGCCTCGCGGTCAAGCCACTCCTGGAGTTACGAGCGAGTGTGCCAATGCCTTTTGCTTTACCGGGTAGTAAATTTATTGGTATGTTTATATGTCAAGGTGAATCGAGACCTTGATATTTACATTGTGCTCCGTTATTAAAACTAAATGCCTACAGCACCTCCCTGAGGGAACGTGCAATAAAGTCGAAAGGCCTGACGAATAGGGACTGTATGGGGGATAGGCCATGTGAAATCCAAAGCCGTCCGTGGCATTGAGGGCTTCTCAATCGGAAGGTCAGGATTATTGCAGGGTGCAAGGTGGTTCTGTAACTGGAATCGTTCACCAGGGGATCGCAGACCCTGACACCCGGTAGGCTGGCATCCTCATCGTCCCTTCCACCTTGCACCATGCACAGTACTTTCCAAGGTTTGATCAAAATCTTGAAAAGCAAACTGTGAAAAAGCTATTGATTTGATCGTCCACTGGCTACGTTCAGGACCGACATTGTTGTCGGGCGCAGTCAGTATTGCCCGGCTGCAGAGACACTTGGACTCGGTTTTGTGGTCTTAAAGGAATCGGCGTGGCTAGGAGACACGATTCCTCCGGTTTTTGGACACATAGAATGCCATGAAACAAATTTTGAATGTGACCATAGCAAAAATAAAAGATGTTCTGAAGGGAAGCCTCCGAGAACCGGAATTGAGGGCATGCAACATTCCCTCGGCAACCGAGGAGAAAGGCTGAAATGTAGCGATGACGGATAAGTGCAGGGGGGGATCTCCAATGTCATCTTTTGAGTCATGACCATGAAAATTTCCGCGGCCAGAATTGTAGATGAAATTGTTTCTGTGGCTCGTCAGCTTTCCCCAATCAAGATCCGAGGAATTGTTTTAGGGTCCTTAAGTATTCTCAGATCCTCCAATGAAACAAACCGGATTAGTATGCGGCTCGAAGTCTTGGGTGTGAATGAGTATAAATAATGTTTTTTAATGTCATGCAGGGCCTTACCAGCCTTGACAGGGTTCAATGAGTTCCGACGTCGGCAGGCGAATTTAGTTGCCGAGCTAGAATAGAAAAGGAAAGAGTCTGCCATTAAGGAGCTGTAATATTCTAAGAGGAGAAAAAAAAAAAAAAAAATTCTCATAACAATGTATAGTGGCATTCTTGTCAGACTCGAGACTTTTCTGTTCACGGGTTCGCTGCTTCAGTGTACTATGCTACTCCGCTCCTAGTTTGTCGGTTCACAGAAAACGGCAAAATATTTTCCTGCACTGGCGATGACCAATGTCATTGGACGAGGTATGACTGGCTGGGCCTCCTTGAAGCGGTCGCTGACCATCTTTATCCACCAGCGCCGCAAATCGCACATAGTACTGGTTCGGTTGAGGCGAGGGCCCTTGATGCAACGTGATCCTGTGCGAGTAGTTTAGAGCCATCTGGCCATGCATAAATTCATCTGGAGGCGTGGGGTGCAGCCAGTTAGCAGCTCCTCATTGCGAGGCGAACCAAAAGAAGGGGTGTATCCCATCTTCTGATATTCATGACAGGAAATCAGGCTCGTGGAGGTTTCGGGGTCATGTTATTGAGTCCAGGTGTGATTTCTATGTGAAGTGTTCATTTCTGGCAAAGAGATCCTGCTTGTTCGCTTTGGAGTCAGCCAGTGGCCATGCTGTTTTCCTGAAAGAAGCAAATACGAAAAAAAATTTTCTTTCTTGCCCAAGCTACTGTAGGCGACAACCGGGCAACACCGGAACCGGCTTGAACAACAGAGGGACAAGTCAGGTGCTCATCCGTCAAGTTTCGCGGTCAAGGCCGAGGTTTGCGGCCCGCAGTTCACTCCAGATAACCTGGACTAGGATAGTAGGGGATGAATGAGCTGGTGCGAATTGTAAGCGCACAGAAAGGATCTGAGCGCCTAGACTTACAGGTGGAGAGCTCCAGCAGCTATGACACACAGTTTGTCCTCTGGTCCCCCCCTGTGCAGGTACAGGGAGAAGAGAGTAAGTGGGTGGACATGTTTGGCTTAACAAGCTCTGTGCATAGCTGGGTAAAAATGATCGATGGCGACAAAGTAGTCGATGGAAAAGTGCCCCGGTAGCGGCCATCAGGCAATTTTTTCTTGCTTGCTGAGATTCGAAAAGGTAATCTGGTGCAAAAGGCGAGGTGCTGATTGGCGGGAGGGTTCTTATCAGCACATGCATGATGATGGAGCTTCCGGTTACTCAAGACATGAAGAATGGAGGCGAGTGACACGAATGGAGACGCGAAGAGCTGCCCACGGATGACTTTTTGCTTTCCCCCACCTCACATCCTTGCCCTGCCAGCCCTCGTTAACGCATTGTTGCACGTCCTGGCATAGGGAATTTGACGAGGCCGTAGCAGCGTCGAAATAATGCTGTCAATGAATGCTTGTACGCCCTCTGCTGTGGTATGTTGGCCGGATCTCTGTGCCTCTGACCTGGCTTTTGACTCACTAGCCACTTTCCAGTTGCCGGTATCTGCAAGACTCGAGAGGCTCATCGTCACTCTGCTCAGTCTAAATCTCAACCCCACACTTAAAATCTTCTTTTTTTTTTTCCCTCTTCCCGTCCCGATCTCTCCTCTTTTGTTTACCACTTGTCCAGCTTCAGCCCGTCTATCTGCATGTTCATTTTCCTCTCCTAAGCACTTGCTGGAGCTCACCCAACAGAGAGACGGCCTCCTTGCTGTTCGACAACCCCCCTTCTCACACCTGCGCTTGAGCAGTTGTTCCTTTCGTCCTCTCGGCCCGACCAGACTGCTGTCCACCAAGTCAGATTGCATTTGCCACCTACCTTTCGCCTGATTGTCCTTGAGAACCTCCGTCGCCTGTCGACCCTAGGATGGGCCCTGTAGTGGAGGAAACATATAAGCAAGAGATCGAAACATCTGAGGTTCAGGAAGAGTACACTCCGTTCAAGCTTGAAAAGGGCTATGGCTGGGGTGAGGCTCTGCCCGAGAAGCAAGGCCTATACGACCCTAGCCTTGAAAAAGATGCATGCGGTGTAGGATTTGCCGCGTATGAACGTCCTCAGACCCATTTATTTTGCCTTCTGTTTACTGACAAGTCATACAGCCATATTAAGGGCAAGGCAAGTCATAAAATCATTAGCGATGGTGAGTTCCCAATCTCCAAGAAATTGGTATCATATATCACTAACACATATCAGCGCGGAATCTCCTGTGTAATATGACCCATCGTGGTGCGGTAGGCTCAGATGCTCGAGATGGTGACGGTGCCGGTGTTATGACGTCGATCCCGCACAAATTCTTCGTCAAGAACTTCGCCCGCGAGGTGGGCATAGAGCTACCACCTCTCGGTCAATACGCAGTCGGCAACCTTTTCTTCAAGCCAGATACTGAGATGCTGAAACATGCCACCCTCAGCTTCGAGGAAACCGCCCAGGAATTGGGCCTGCGCACCCTAGGCTGGCGAGAAGTTCCTAGAGATTCGACTCTGCTTGGCCCAGCGGCCCTCTCACGCGAACCCATCATTCTCCAACCGTTCGTCGTCCTCACTTCCGCATACGGCAATGGCAATAAACCAGAAATCACCGATCCCGAGCAATTCGACGAGATTGAGTTCGAACGGAGGCTGTACATCCTTAGAAAGACCGTCTCACACGATCAACGGTGGAAGCCATGGTTCTACGTCTGCTCCTTGAGCAACAAAAACATTGTATACAAAGGACAATTGGCGCCAGTGCAGGTATATCAGTACTACCATGACCTGGTCTCTGTTGACTATGAAGGTCATTTCGCCCTGGTTCACTCTCGGTTCTCCACCAACACATTTCCTTCATGGGATCGATCACAGCCTCTGCGGTGGCTAGCCCACAATGGTGAGATCAACACACTTAGAGGCAACAAAAATTGGATGAGGGCTCGTGAAGGAGTCTTGAAATCTGATCTTTTTGGTGAAGAGCTTGAGAAACTCTTTCCTATTGTCGAAGATGGAGGCTCAGATTCGGCTGCGTTTGACAATGTCTTGGAGCTCCTGGTCATGAATCGGGTGCTTTCCTTGCCCGAAGCCGTCATGATGATGGTTCCTGAAGCGTGGCAAGGCAACACAGCCATGGATCCGGGCAAAGCCGCTTTCTACGAGTATGCGGCATGTCTGATGGAGCCCTGGGATGGCCCTGCGCTGTTTACTTTCTCCGATGGTCGATACTGTGGTGCTAACTTGGACCGAAATGGTCTGAGACCGTGCCGCTACTACGTAACGGACGACGACAGAATTGTCTGTGCCTCAGAGGTTGGAACTATCGCCATTGAACCAGAACGGGTAGTTATCAAAGGGCGATTGCAGCCAGGAAAAATGCTCTTGGTTGATACACAAGCTGGCCGTATCATTGACGACGCCGAGCTCAAAAGTACTGTAGCAAATCGACAGCCCTTTCAACAATGGCTTGACAAGAGCCTGATGAAGATGCCTCAGGTTTACAAAACACTCGCGGCAGAACTCGATCTGGGCTATAAGCTTACCGAGTCCACCATCCAGGAGGACGTCAGGCTTCGCGCTTTCGGTTACTCCTTCGAGCAGGTCAGTTTACTGCTCGGGCCCATGTGTGCTGATTCCAAGGAAGCACTCGGCTCGATGGGTAATGATGCACCTCTTGCATGTCTTGCTCAGCAACCACGTTTGCTTTTCGAGTATTTCAGACAGTTGTTCGCCCAGGTCACCAATCCTCCCATTGATCCCATTCGAGAAGCAATCGTCATGTCCCTCGAATGCTATGTTGGCCCTCAAGGTAACTTGTTGGAAATGGACGCCTCTCAATGCAGCAGACTTCTGCTACCCTCACCAATTCTTGAGACAGAAACCTTCAATGCGATCAAGAACATGAACCACTACAACAAAGAGTGGACCGTCAGAACAATTGACATCACCTTCGATAAGTGGACTGGCATCGACGGGTACATGAAGGCCCTCGACGACATTTGTGATGCCGCCACAACCGCAATCGAAGAAGATGACAAGATCATCATTCTGTCTGATCGGGCAACATCAGAAGATAGAGTCCCGGTGTCGTCACTCCTCGCTACCGGGTTGGTGCACCACCATTTGGTTCGAAACAAATGGCGATCCCGAGCGGCACTCATTGTGGAAACAGCTGAGGCCCGAGAAGTTCACCATATGTGTGTTCTGGTGGGCTACGGTGCTGATGGTATCAATCCATATCTCGCGATGGAATGTATCTTGAAACTCAACCGTGAAGGTCTCATCAAGAAGAAACTCACAGATCAGCAGGTCATTGCCAATTACAAGGCCTCTTGTGACGGTGGTATCTTGAAAGTCATGAGTAAAATGGGTATTTCTACTCTGCAATCTTACAAGGGGGCCCAGATCTTTGAAGCTCTCGGTATCGATGATTTAGTGGTTGACCGCTGTTTCGCTGGTACGGCCACTCGTGTCCGCGGCATGACCTTTGAGCTTATTGCCGAAGACGCTTTTGCTTTCCATGAGAAGGGCTATCCATCTCGACACATCCGCGAAATCCCTGGCTTGGCAGAGTCGGGTGAGTATCATTGGCGCGATGGCGGCGAGGCTCACATCAACGATCCCGTTAGCATCGCCAATGTTCAGGATGCTGTTCGCACCAAGAACGACAAGTCTTACGAGGCTTACTCCCTCTCGGAATACGAACAAATCAAGAACTGTACCCTCCGCGGCATGCTTGACTTTGATTTCGAGCAACGAACACCGGTACCGATTGACCAAGTCGAACCTTGGACCGAGATTGTCCGGCGATTCGTCACAGGTGCAATGTCTTATGGCTCGATTTCGATGGAGGCACATTCTACTCTCGCTGTTGCCATGAACCGTCTGGGGGGGAAATCCAACACTGGTGAAGGCGGTGAGGATCCAGAAAGAAGCTTGAAAATGGAAAACGGTGACTCGATGCGCTCTGCAATCAAGCAAATCGCTTCTGGTCGCTTTGGAGTGACGGCGAACTACCTAGCTGACTCCGATGAGCTTCAAATCAAAATGGCTCAGGGTGCAAAGCCCGGTGAGGGCGGTGAACTTCCAGGTCACAAGGTCTCTGAGCCAATTGCTCGTACTCGACACTCTACTCCTGGTGTCGGTCTTATTTCTCCACCTCCTCACCACGACATTTACTCCATTGAAGATCTGAAACAATTGATCTATGATCTGAAGTGTTCGAACCCTCGAGCCAGAGTATCTGTCAAGTTGGTATCTGAAGTCGGGGTTGGCATTGTCGCAGCAGGCGTGGCCAAGGCGAAATCAGACCACATTCTGATTTCTGGCCATGATGGCGGTACCGGCGCTTCGAGGTGGACCGGTATCAAATATGCCGGTCTTCCTTGGGAGCTGGGTCTTGCCGAGACCCATCAAACTCTCGTTCTCAATGATCTTCGTGGTCGTGTCATTGTTCAGACTGATGGCCAGGTCCGGACCGGTCGTGATGTTGCTGTTGCTTGCCTGTTGGGTGCCGAGGAATGGGGATTTGCCACCACACCTCTTATTGCGATGGGCTGTATCATGATGCGCAAGGTAACGTGTTGAATACTCAGTCGACAACAGTTATATCCATCTACTAACATTTAAACTCCCAGTGTCATTTGAATACATGCCCTGTCGGCATCGCTACTCAGGACCCCGCTCTTCGAAGAAAATTCCTAGGGACCCCGGAGCATGTCATCAACTTCTTCTATTACATTGCCAATGAACTCCGAGCAATCATGGCCCAGCTTGGATTGAGAACGGTCAATGAAATGGTTGGGCGAGCCGAACTTTTGAAAGTGCGAGATGATCTCCGCACGTCCAAGACTGAGAACATTGATCTGTCGCTTATCTTGACACCCGCACACTCGATTCGCCCCGGTGTCGCAACATACAACGTTCGCAAGCAGGATCACAAGTTGCACACCCGTCTCGATAACAAGCTCATCTCCGAATCTGAACTCGCTCTGGAGAAGGGTCTTCCGTGCCGAATTGAAACCGACATCGTCAATACCGACCGAACCTTGGGCGCCACTCTTTCTTACCATATCAGCAAGCGCTACGGCGAGGCTGGCCTGCCCCAAGATACGATCCACGTCAATATCAGGGGCTCCGCCGGTCAATCCTTCGGAGCTTACCTTGCTCCTGGTGTCACACTCGAACTCGAGGGCGATGCCAATGATTATGTCGGCAAAGGTCTTTCTGGTGGTCGCCTGATCATCTATCCTCCTCGCAGCGCCGTCTTCAAGGCTGAAGAGAATATTTTGATCGGAAACGTTTGTCTCTACGGGGCCACCAGCGGCATGTGCTATTTCAGAGGTGTTGCTGCCGAACGCTTCGCCGTCCGAAACTCCGGAGCCAACGCGGTTGTCGAAGGTGTCGGGGACCACGGCTGCGAGTACATGACGGGAGGTCGTGTTGTCGTGCTCGGTAGCACTGGCCGCAACTTTGCTGCGGGGATGTCTGGTGGTATTGCATATGTTCTTGATATGAACCAAGACTTCCATTCCAAGATCAACATGGAAATGGTTGAAGTCTCCGGGATCGAGGAACCATCTGAAATTGCTTTCCTTCGGGGCATGATTGAGGACCATCACCATTACACCGGTTCGGAGCTTGCAGCCCGCATTCTACTCGAGTTTAATCGTGCTCTTCCTCGGTTTGTCAAAGTTCTGCCCACCGATTACAAGAGAGTGTTGGCGGAACAAGCCAGGAAGGCCGAAGAGGCCAAGAAGGCCGAGTATCCCTTGCCATTACTCCCAGGAAACCCTGTTCGAAATCTCCATCAGGAGCAGCGTGATATTGCCCATGACAAGGAAGCCAAACCGAAGAAGGCCGATATGCTTGATATTGAGGAAGGCGTCAATGGGGACGCGGACAAAGTCAAACAGAAGGCAGCACTGGTGCTCGACAAGACTCGTGGTTTCATGAAGTATTCTCGTCGCAGCGAGAAGTACCGGAACGCAAAGACTCGGACCAAGGACTGGGCCGAGCTCTCTTCCCGTCTCAACGAAGATGAGCTAAAATATCAATCGGCCAGATGCATGGACTGTGGTGTCCCGTTCTGCCAATCAGACACGGGGTGCCCCATCTCCAACATCATTCCGAAATGGAATGAACTGGTCTTCCAGAATCAGTGGAAAGACGCTCTCAACCGTCTCCTAATGACCAATAACTTTCCTGAATTCACTGGGCGTGTCTGTCCTGCTCCTTGCGAAGGTGCTTGCGTTTTGGGCATCAACGAAGACCCTGTTGGTATCAAGAGCATCGAGTGCGCTATCATTGATAAGGGGTTCGAGATGGGATGGATGGTTCCCACGCCACCAACTGAACGCACAGGCAAAAAGGTCGCCATTATTGGATCGGGTCCGGCGGGCCTCTCTGCCGCCGACCAGCTCAACCGTGCCGGACACCTTGTTACGGTTTATGAGAAGTCGGATCGGGTTGGCGGGTTATTGATGTACGGCATTCCCAACATGAAACTTGACAAGCGTATTGTTCAGAGACGAGTAGATCTCATGGCTGCCGAAGGTGTCAGGTTCGAGACTGGCGTCATGGTGGGCCCCGATGAGAAAGTCAGTCTTCAGTCGCTTCGGGACAGCAATAATGCCGTTGTGGTTTCCACTGGAGCCCAGGTCCCCCGTGACTTGAAGATCAAGAACAGAGAAGTCGAAGGAATACACTTTGCCATGGAGTTTTTGCATGCCAACACCAAGTCTTTGTTGGATTCTGAGTTGGGTGACGGTAAATACATCAGTGCCAATGACAAGCACGTCATCGTCATAGGTGGTGGTGATACCGGTAACGACTGCATCGGCACTTCTCTCCGTCACGGCGCTAAGTCCATCACCAACTTTGAGCTGTTGCCCCAACCTCCACCAGAGCGTGCTCGCGATAATCCATGGCCTCAGTGGCCCCGAATTTACCGTGTCGACTACGGTCACGCTGAAGTCAAACAGCATTACGGCAAGGATCCTCGCGAGTACTGTGTCATGACCAAAGACTTTGTGGCTGAAGACGGCCGCGTAGTCGGCATCAACACGACTCGTGTGGAATGGACCAAGAGTTCGACCGGTGCTTGGGAAATGAAACCTAAGGAAGACAGTGAAGAATATTTCCCTGCAGATCTCGTCCTTCTCTCCATGGGCTTCCTGGGACCTGATGATCGTCTCTTCAACTCCGAAATCGAATTGGACCCACGCAAAAACATCAAGACTCCTAAGAACATGTACAATACCAACCTGCCTGGGGTTTTCGCCGCCGGCGATTGCCGTCGTGGCCAGTCTCTCATCGTTTGGGGGATCAACGAAGGTCGCCAATGTGCTCGACAAGTGGACAGCTTCCTGATGGGAACAGGATCTTCCCTTCCAGCCACCGGAGGCATTATTCGACGACCCCAGCATGACGCTGTCCCAACGCCGCAAGAGATTAAGGCTCACAAACACAGTGATATGGCTCATGCAGCGGAAGAATTCAAGCGCAATACCGATATTAATGTTGCTGCTTGATTGGACGGGTATATCTATAAGCAAAAAGTTGCCGTAAAAGTCGAATGAAGTGGTGGGGGAAAAAAAAAAAAGAAAGCAAAAACGAAACAAATGTTACAATGGGTGGCTTTCCGATCATTTATGAGCTGGTTTGGCATGGTGAGCGCAAATCAGTCAGAATAACCGATACCCCCTGATGAGCGCATTACGAGTTGAGATGACCATGGTACTGGATTCCATGACCTCGGTATCCCAGAGATTCGACGATTATGAGTCATGGTTTCACTTCTTTCAATCATTTATGAGCAAGAGGAGATGATGTCAGGATTTTTGCGATGTAGAAACATTGGGGATGGACATCAAGACATGGGCTATGAGAGTTTCAAAGGATTAAGTATGGGGAATCCGCAGATTGCCAATGGAAATGTATCAATATGCGTAGCAGATGAAAGTAAAAAATTTTCTCTTGACTGTAATAGAAGAGACAGATATTGAAAAGTGTTGACGTGTTCCCGATTCGGATGTCTTGGCAGAAGCCTCCTTCAACGTTTGACTTCACGAGGAGCACTTCGCGGCATATTCTTCACCACCAACGCCACTGTTGATGGAAAGGAAATTTCGCTTTCGCTGCATATTTTACTACCATAAGCCTTTCGCCACCTGCGAAGTGCCTTCTCTGTTGCCAGTCTTATTCAAGTCCGTCTATCTACGAGCATTACTTCTTATGTGTCATTGCATCGCAAGTCTTGACGAATAAGTCAAGCTTGGGTGTTGGGGGTCGTGCCTTTCAAATCAGACAGCGCGATTGGTACCACATTCCTACTCTAGGCTCCACCAACTGGCAATCCGAGGCTGGTTTCCGGAAAAGTCCAATTCAATTCACGATCAAAGCTTTTCAAAGCGGGACCGAGATTCGTTGGACAATTACGATCGAGTAACCAGAAAGACGGGCACATGTTTTTGAGTCAAAGACCCATTTGGTAGTGCTGGTTCAAAACCTTCGCGTCATGAAAATACACGTTTGCCAGAATCTTGAGTGACGACGAAAACTCCAAGGTTGACAAGAGCACCACGTCGACGACCGACCAGTTCCAGGACCACCAAAATGCTTCTGACGACCACTCTTCCTCTTCTCCCTCCCCCATCAGCATCTCTACTTCCACCTCTCACGCATTCTTCCTCTGAAGTATCCACGACCACACAATCTTCAGGCCCACATCAACATCGTCGCCCAAAGCCACATTCCTCAGCCGTCAGTCGGAACAGCACATTGGTTGCCCTTGCTTCAGATGAGCGCACCATCGCGCAGCGAAAATTGGCTATCGCCACGTACGGCTATGGCTGGTTGAAACCAGCAGGCTGTGCAAAGACAATGCTGGGCAAGCGAGAAGAGGAAATCGAGAGGGAAGAAGTAGAACGGCAGCTGAGGGAAGTCGAACTGCAAGAAAGGATGGCACAAGATCAAGAGATGCAGGATCGACTTGCTAACCTCGCGGAAACGGGTGAACCGGACGGAGACAGAGATCTAGATGAGGACATCCCTGATGCAGATGGTAGAGAAGAAGTGGATGATCTCGATGAAGGAGATTCAGACCGATACTCCGATGGAGAAGAAGAGGATGGCATGGAAGGCGATCTTGACGATGAAATTCCTGATGCAGACGAAGGGGACGAAGATGAGATCATGTCCCCTGACGCCGATGACATCGACGCAAATTGGGTCTACGATACGCGACGGGAGCCAGACACTGACGAGGAAGAGGGAGACGTCCCTTCCCCCGCCCAAATCGCTCGACTCGGCAGAACTGCGGATGCCAGCGCTGCAGGCGTCCGCGCTCCCGTTCCAGGGAGCGAGTACGACTACCACGAGCGCGAGGCTGAAGATCTGGTAAATGCAATGCTTGAGGAGGATGAGATTTTCGATGATGGTGCGAGCGAGCACGATCTTGATGACGACGTCCCCGAACCTGAGTCAGAGCAGGCCTGGGAACACACCGACACAGAACTTGAGGAGAGTGAAATGGATATTTCCATCTTGCCTGGTCAGGGCCAGATACATCAGCCGAATCTCGGCGTGCCCCGTCGCCGCTCTGGCCGTATGACTGGCGGATCAGGACGACGGAGTTCAGGACCATGGATCACTGGGCCGTCTCCTCGGACACAAGGACGCGCTGACCGCGAGAGGATACAATACAGCCGGCCGACACCTGATCCCGACCACGCGGCTACACGGGCGAGGATGCCGAGTGGCAACCGCCCGCTCCCTACCCCACGCCTACGCCAATATATTCAAACGCCCAGCATGCTCGATAGTCCTCTTGACGCCGTCAACGATACGGATGCCGCAAGCGACGACAACGCCGATCCATTTGCTTCATCTCAACCAAGGGCAAACACACGTACCTCTCACCGACGTGATATCAGTACCGGGAGCGCCAGCAACACAGGCCAGGCGCCATCAGGCAGTGTAAATGATCCCAGAGATGTTGTCGAGCACTCCACGCGTGCAACTACGGCAAGACCCTGGCTCGACGGTGCCGCCACTGCTGGTGGCAGCAGTGCCGGAAGGACCCTATTTGGACGTGCTGCCAGGAGAGCGAATCCCGCACCCGCTACTCATTCTGCTTCGACATCTACAACAGGGACAGCGAACGGCCCTACAAACGGAGCTGAAGCGTCGAGTAGCGGTGGCTTGTTCACTCCGTCCCCTGCTGTTGGCGCTGGCGCCGGAGGCGGCTCCTCTGCAATAAACTGGGAAACACCGGTGAACCATCGGATGCGGAGCCGGAGTGGACGCTTGCTGGGCGGGAGGAGAAGGGGTGAATAAGTCTTCAACTTGGCAAGGGAAGGGTCAGTCATGTCCTCGATGCAAATATCTCTAGGAAGATGCTGCGCAAGCGCGCGGAAATCCAATTATGATTATTAGAATACATTGTGACACGATGCCACGCTATGTCATGCCATGCAATACTATGGAACTGTTGGTTTCCCGGATTTTTGCCATTTCATGATGTTCTTCGGCTTTGGATTTTATTCGTGTGTCATAAAGCTAAATGCACCGGACCAAGCAGACAAAGGTGGCCGGCACAGAGTGATGCAAAAACCCTGTCTCGTTCGAAATATCCCATTCGTGGAGTTCCAGACAAGGAATCATGGAACCATGACCGCATCAGGCTGGGTGAACAAGACGGTGCCTGCCCCTCGGCTCGTGTCTGAAGTCCTCCGCTTCCGGATCAGATGCTTTCTGTGGAATTGTCTCTGCCAATATGCCATCTTTCACAACAAAGGAACTCAGCTCTTCCTAATTCATCATTGTGAAAGTACCACCCTGGTTCAAACTCCGGTTCGGAGCCAAATCCACTCGAACGTGACCAATTGTGGACCCATACATACCTTTTCGCCTGTACGCCTTGCTACAGTTTTGTCGTGACCTGGAGATGAATAGTGAGAATGGAATCTCATGTACAGCTCATTGAGTCGATCGTCTAGGTGGAGGAATAGCTGTTGAGGAATGTTTGTTGCTCCGTTTGATAGCCAGTGAACCCAGTTTGCTTCCGATCCTGGATCAGCCTTCGGAAATTTCAGAGTTTTGTCTTGTTCTCACATAAACCAGTAGTATGGCAACCCATTCGAGCAGATTCTTTTTTTTTAGCCCTTGCAACATGAGAACGCCTCTTCACTTATCGCCCAGTCCAATCTTTTATAGACGATGCATGGCCTAAAACAGCCAGACATAGGCGAATAGAGCCCACACAGCAATGAAGAACAGTACCCAAACCTTCCAGCTGACGCCTGTCCGCTTTGCCATGCGTAACATTCTTCTCATAGTCCCTCGTAATCTGACGCCAGTGTTCTCAAAGGTATCGTTGATCTGGCTTGCCAGCGTACTTGAGTCTCTGATCTCATCGCCAATGGCAATAGTTAGAGACTTTAATTGGGAGACCTTTTGCGATAGAAGCGTGGTAGCAGTAGTTTCATTTTGGGATTCCAGTTCTTCCAGGACGGATGTCGAGTATTGACCTTTCGAGTTGGGAGTGGCCGGTCGGAAGGATGACGTATTCGTAGGGGTACCGTTTGTGTTGGAGTAGGGATTGAGGTAGGGTGAGGACGATGGGCGGGCATCAGGAGCTGAAGGGTAGGCGTAACCTGGACGGCTAGAGGATGAGCTGGAGGGCCTTGAGCCAGGATAGTCTTGGAACAGTGCAGAGGAAGGTGCCGCGCGGCGATTCAAAGAGGAATACCGATTACTAGAAGAGTATGATGCGTTAGCTGTGCTTCAACAGCACAAGAAAGGCAGCTTCCAAAGGAGAGGAGGACACACTTCGACATGGTAATTTTATTGTCGGGAAGAGTGCATGAGGATGTGTTGTCGCATAGGAAGTCGTGGTGGGGTTTTCTAATTTTCCAGAGGGTAAATAGAGATGGAATGACCGTGGCTTTTGGGACCAGTCTGCCACCGAGTCTGGCGGTTGAATCTCGTCCTCCTCGCCGTTTGTTCTGAACGGGTTGTGCAAATAAAACAAGGGTGGCCGAAGATCTGAATGATGGCGATATTAAAGACGCACGCCCGAAGTTACTGCGTAATAGCGACAATGCTCTGCTGTAATGGGGCAGCAGACCGAGGCTGCCAAAAAGAGAATCATTCTTTCAGACACCTACCCAAAGTTCTGTCTCATCCTAAACTCTTTATTTTCTTTCTCTTATAATTGCCGTTTTCTCTGACTCCCCACAACGTAGCATAGCACCTGTAAGCCCGGAAAAATCAATAATCCGTCCATTCCTAAAACCTTTCCTCTCATTGGTTGAAATCTTGTGAGACGGATTGTTCGTGCACGTGATCCCCCTTTTCTCCTACCCGTTGCAAAATGCTTGGGCTCGAACTGCGGCCCATTGAGTTCACAAGAAAGCTAACCAGCTTCAATGCTGCCTCCTAGAGTGATCGACTTCGAACGTATCTTGCGGTCATGAGGCATTTCGTAGTCAAGAGTCTGATCAGACACGATGAAAAGGTGACCTGGAAACCTCCTTGACCTATCACCGCGAAACTGCATTGCTCTCCTGCTCACACCTCCAAGCCAAAATGACGTCCGCATCAGACATCATCACATACATCGGAGTTCCACTCGCCGTCCTCGGTGTACTCCCGATCCTGTATACTTTTACGCTTGCAATCCTCACTCAGCGCCGAATCCGAGCCTCACTTATCCATCATGGCCATAAGCCCGTTACCACAACACGTCCACATGACGGCTTTACTATTCGAAGCTCCCCTATGACCAGCCTTATTGAAGTGGAGCTGCCTAGATATACCATCGCACCCTTGGAACGGAACAATGAAGACTATTGGAAAATTGCTGATGAAGGTCAAGAGTTGGGAGAGGAGCATCACCGATTGCTCGATCGAGCCGAGAGCACGCTCAGCATGATTGAAGAAGGTCGTGTGCGTGGGTTCCTCCGTGGAGGCAGCTGGAGAGCATTTCACTGGAAAAGATTGATCGTGGGCAGGAAGCTATATAGAATACAGTATGAGGACGAGCTACGAGAACCGCCAGCAGAAATCGATTTTTCGGAACTTGTCCATTTTCTGCTCGACTGGGGTGCCATTCCGGATTCGATGGGATGGGAGAAATTGAAATCGGGTGGCTTGTGGACACCGGCTGGAACAGTTCTTCTGAAAAAGACGGATGATGAACAGGGTTCTCGGAAACAGGTCGACTGGGTTCTGAGAACGGCGATGCCCGATGAAAGCGACGGTATTCTTAGTTTATCCATCAGATGGACCAAGGATATGACAGATGTGGCGGAACTCCGAGGTGTCGCAAGCCTCGCACCAGGCTGGGGTCGACTTCACCAACCTCAGCTGTTGGAGCCGAATGAAAACCAGAAACAGGAGAAGCAAGATCTTCCAGCCAGGATCGAAGAGATGAAAATCTCAAACAAGTACAGCATGGATAGCTCGAGTTTTCGCTTTCGTGCCCAGGACCACCGTGTCCAGAGGCTTCTCTGGGAACGGAAAAACATTGAAACAGGTTTCGTCTGTGAACCATTTCGTACATATGAGCAATCGCGGGTGGCGATCTGGTTTACATGTGCGGCATCTGCTCTCCTCTCCCGCAAACAGACCAACGGTGGTCTGTGGGACGTTGAAACCCCCTCCGAGATCCAAACTTTTGTCCATAGAGAATCGGTGCCCTGCGGTGTCATGGTAATCCTCGGTTTACTGGCGGATATTGATGCGCCGCAATGGTCTTCGGAAAAGGAAAACAACAGCGTGAATGAGTCCATGAATCTCAGCCAACGACATATGCAACGCTATCAGGCCCGCCTTGCTGCAGAAAGGCTAGAGGCCACCATGTCTCCGGAGCAGGCAAGGATTCACAAGATGAACCGTGAAGCAGCAGCAAGGCAACAAATTCATAACGACATGATGGAATCGATACATATGCGGCAGGAGCGGGAGGAGCGAAGAATGCAAGATGCCATCGCCAGCCCGAGAATGAACATCAAAGCCGTGGCCGAAGCTTGTCTTGTGTGGCTAATCGAACAGGGCGAGATCGGTCGAGAATGGACGCTCGACCAACTCGCTGAGGCGGTCTTGTACTTGATCGTCGTGGACCAGAGTCAAAGCGAAGAAGGCGAGGCGCGAAAAATCATCAAGATCCTGGACGAGTGGATGTCGTGGGCCGTGGCAGGCGGCATGAAGAAGCAGCAAGTCATCATGTTGGACCGCAATAAAACGGTGTTTTGCTTTGCGGTAGCTCTGGTCTTTGTGGTCTCGGAGTCCACCACCTCGAATGCCGGCAAGGGCAAAGCGGGTGCAGATATGTTGGAGTGTTTGCGTTTGTGGAGGAAAGTCAGATTAGGATGAAAGCCGAGTCTGAAACCTCCAAAGTATTGTGGAAATAGCGGCATGATATATATATGTATATTCCGGAAGCACTCTACCGGAAATGTTTTGAAGAGACCAATCTCGATTTATGATTCATGAAGACGAGTGAGTGATCCTCGTATCGCGTGCGAGGGGAGTTTTCTAGAATTCATAATATCAAAAATATAAAGGATTCCTTTCTCAAACCACAATGCATCCCTCGAGGGAGGAAGAAGTCATGTATCCCGTTCTAGAAATCGTGCAGAGAAGAATGAAGCCCCGTGAATTCGTAGTAGACAGAAATAGCCAGGTCCATTCAGAAGATTGTGAGATCATGAGCGACCCAGGACGCTTTTCATGACCTCCAAGAGTTTCTCTTCGCAATCATCCCTTAGTTCCATGGATCGCCAAGCGACGAATCGGTCAGGCCGGACAAGGATGGCACCATCTTCTTCGATTTCTCTTCTTCGCTCCCTAGAAAAGCCCTTGTTAGTCAAAGGTTTTGCGGAAGCCATGGAATATTCAAAACTTACCAGTCTCGATAAACATCCACCCACTCTTGCCCCCAACCGATACTGTGTGCCTTGATTTCGACGCCCAGTTCTCTCCCAACCTTGTCTGCCGCCTCAATCCACTTGTCACCACCGATACCGGTGAGCAAACAGAAACGTCCATGACCTGCAAGGTCGATGGTCGAGATCTGCTCTTTCATGGGCATTGTGCGGTTCAACCAGACATGGGGCAACCGATGGCCAGGGTACGTACTGACCTTGTGATGGAGGATAGCATCTTCAGGCCACTCTGGCTTAGCCCTGCCTGCTTTGATTTCATCTTTCAGATACACTGCTGGTGACTCGTATCGGTGATTCATCTCCACACCGATCCCATGGAATTCGTGGCTCGTGCCTTCAATCGCAATGTTGACTCTCTTTCTCCTCTCTCGTGCTTCGGGAGATGGTGATTTCAGAAAATTGAAGACCTCCATCCTCTTTTCCACGGTCTCTTCCATCAGGCCCATTTCTCGCCAGACAGGCACGTGATCTCGGATGCCCTGGTTCGCTCGAGTGATCACACCCAAGCCCACAGGCTGGCGTTCCGTACTGAAACTCTCGAGTAGTGAAGGAGATGCAAGGCCTTGTGAGACAAACTTGATTTTCCAAGCCAAGTTGAAAGCATCTTGGACACACGTATTGGAACCAAGTCCGTTGAAAGGAGGATGTCGGTGTACAGCATCACCGAGACAGAAGATGTTCCCTTTAGAATAATATTCTGCCACGATTTCGTTGATGTACCATTTTGAGATATCGAGGATTTCCAAAGGAAGGTCGTCTCGTCCGACAATTTCTTTGCATCGTTGGACGTATTGTTCGTGCGTTGGCTCTTTCCATTCTGTTCCCGGTTTGGGAAAGAGAATGAACATCCATCTGTGCTAGTTAGCAACAATGCCCTGGCCAGATTTCTGATAGACCCCTTACTCATGCCACGGTTTGACCATTCTGATCAGTCCACTCCAAGCAAAGTCGGGGTATTCCTTCTCAGGTTGGAACACCCAATGTAGATTCCCCTTCCTGGCTTCAACGTAGTCGCTCAAATCTACCTTGACTAAGACATTCAACGCCAACCCTTGTCCAGGTTTCTTGACTAGTGGAATCTCCAACTCTCTCAAAACCTGACTTCGGGCACCATCGCATCCAAACAGATAGTCTGATCTGATGAAGTACTCGGCCTCAGTCAATCCGTCCCGAACTCGACTGAGAATTTTTCCATCATCTTCTGTTTTGAAGTCGACTATGCTCGTTCGGAATCTGACGTCCCAACCTTGAGCCGATGCACGTTGAACCAAAATTGGTTCAAAAACAGTTTGGGGTAAATCCACGTGATGGCAAGGGGTGGCAGCTTCATATTCCCCCCGTCGCTTGGGATCATTACCCCAAGAATAAATTCGACCGTATTCCTCGCCTGTCATATCATGACACCAACGAGTGTGAATCATGCAGTCGCCTTCAACAGATTGGGCGAGACATGCCTGCTCTAAGTCGATATCTCGGAGACATTCAAAGGCGGCGGGATTGGTGATATGTGCCCGCGGCGTTTGTGAAGTTGAAGGTGCCGCCGAGATCATAATACCCGTCATTGAGTATGGTGGATATGAGAGGAAGCATGCTAATGATGCGCCCGCTGGGCCGGCACCGGCGATGAGGAGAGGAGTTTCAATGATCTTTGTTGTGATTTCAGGTATGCCATTGGCGGCTCCTGTGCCCGCCATGTTGGGGACGGTGCTCATATGGAATTGGAGGGTGATAGAAGATGAAAAGAAGACGGCTTTAAATCTTTGAAGTGATGATGAACGAGGTCATGTTTCGAGATATACGAAAATTTAGTCCCGGAAAAACCCCCGTTTCCCCAGACCCCAGAGGTCCCAGCAGTCTACTCCACAAGACGACCCTTGAGGCCATTGTAATTGGAGTCGGTCTTACCCGAAAGCTTCAGGTTATCGGATGGTTCTTCGTCATTGGCGGAAGGATTTCGCATAGACTTCGGATCTGGTCTCTTGAAGTCTTCGGGAGTTTTTGGATGGGAGGCCGGAAGCCGAGACTCCAAGACGGCGTGGATTGAAGGAGTGCTTGCAAAGATTCTCGTAAGCGTTTTTCGAAGGCCACTGATTCCATCCACAGTGTTGGTTTGAAGAATTGAATTGGGATAGAGGAACTCCTGTCGCAGGTGACCCAACCGCAGTGTACAACAATACCCACCTGCAAAATCACATGACATTATCGCAGGGGCACCCACATCCCTCCTCAATTGCCTGCTTCATCATCTTGTACCCGGCTTCAACAAAATAGCCTACCCGTTCCTCTCGTTCTTGCTTATCTCATCCTCCTCCTCTTATCCTTGTTACCTTCATTCAGCTCCGTCTTCCTCTCTACGGGAACAACCATGCTTCTCCGAACCACCACCCGGCCCTCCCTCCCCATTCCTGTCCCTTCGAGGTCGATGTTCCTGTCTATCTCCAGAAGACGAAGACCTCTGAATCGGCCTATTCTGGTAGCATTTGGCCTCACAGCCTCCCTGCCCTTCGTACAACCCCGAACTATCGCTCGCCTGGACACCCCCCCCTATTCAACACAATTCCCCCAGTCTTCCGAATTCAGCAGCTCACCCTATTCTCACTCGCGCGATGCGAAAACTCCGTTGACAAAAGATGGGAAACTCAATCCGGCCGCCGTCAAGCAGATTAGCTTGGGTGCGATACTAGGACTGGGCACTGGGGTATTGTTCTCTGCGTTTTCCACAAGCCTCACACTCTTGATTGGTCTGAGTATCCTGGTCTGGCAGGTAATCATAGCATCTATCCACGAGTTTCAAAGCAAGGCTGACATGATGCCTTCATAGTACGCGGTGAGGAAGGGATACCACTTTATTCCCGTGGACCGCATACAGCGATACGTCAAGAATGTTAACCTCCGAAGTGCGATCTACGATAATATGGCTTTCAAGATAAGCTTTGGCCTTATGTTTGCTCTTTCAGCTTTTGGGCAGTTCTGACGGCATTAATTACCTGGCATTATTCGAACCAACAAGCTCCAAATAAAAGTCAGCAGATCTCCATGCGTTTCTTATATCAGAATCTTGTGGCATGACAATGCTTGGATTTACCCCTATTTTCAGAGCTGCATAAGCTTTCTAGCGTAAGCAGCCTTGCATGATGATGTCCGGAGAGCTGCAAAGAGGTAGGACCTAGAAGTCAGGTCACCGGAGGTGAGGAGATCATTCGAATACCACAAGATTGGTTTGGTATGAAGTGCATCTTTTGAATGAATTCGCGGTTGATTTCAAGACAACATCCGTCCAATCATCAAATGCGGGGAGAATAACGACACACCTACAAAGTTGTTCTCAGAGGAAGACGAAGGAAGACTAAACGAGGCTGATGCGAATCTCCCCAAACAGAACGGCCCGTTCTGCATACAAGCCGGAATGGTGGTTCGAAGCTCAGCACTTTTCGATATCACAAAGCCACATGTTGCTCAGAGCAAGAACACAGTCTAAAGTCCTATATCCGGATTCTATTTCTCCGATGTTTGTACAATAATCATAAAACACAACCGCCCCAATGCAACCGATGAAAGTCACCTTTGCAGCCTGTCGGTGTCACGCCTCGACTATTTGTCGTGAAATTTGTTAGCATGTCATAATCATCCTTCCTTTGCGTTTACGATACGGCTCACTCCCGCGTCAAGCCCTGCCGGCAAACATCCTCTCATCTGACCGAGCTGAGGCCTCGCTAAGAGGATGTTCTTCCTATTATCCGCACGTCCAGCAACTGGTGGAGTGCGTCTTCCTCACGTCGAAGTGCCCACGCGAGAACGAAAACAAATAGCCAGCGACGAAGGCAATGACGGCCATGGAGTCATCGTTCCAGACCAGCAAAGGGTAGCTGGCGCCAGCGAAGCCGACGAGTTTGAACATTTTAAAAAATTAGAAAAATTGCCATGATTCAAAACATGAAAACGGATATTGCTGCCGCATCTCAATCATCCAAACGTTCATTCATTCGCACGATAATTATCGGCTCGGAAATACATTACTGGCATCTCAGGCACCCTTTTCTAATCGGATCCAATCCAATCCAGGGAGAATTTCATGTTTGTGACTTATTTCGTCCCAAACTCCACCTTTGGCTCCACTGCAGGTTGAGACATACCATCGGTGCTCGTAGTTCGAGCAAGACGCTTCTTGCTAACGAGTCTGAATCCACCAACTAGCATGAACAAAAGCTCGGCACCGAGGATGACAGCAAGAGTGACCACGGCACCTATGACGCCGGCAACGGCCTTGGAGATACCACCGCTGCCGTTGTCGTTGTCGCCGGAGGCGGAAGAGCTCGAACCGAAAGAGCCACTCTCACCCAGGGCACTGGGACTGCAGACGCCGGTCGAGTTACCGCAGGCCGTGCACCAGTCCTTTTGGGACTTGATGGAAAACTTGCCCATGTGGTCAACGAACTCAGACCAAGGCAGAGGAGAGCGCCCGGTGCCGAAGAGTGGGAACTCGACGGGCTCGCTGGTGGGGCTGGTCGTGCCGTTGTGGAAGTAAAAGCGCACGCTGACGTCGTCGACGGATGGGAATTCAGCGCGTGAAGAACCCACGGTCGCGTTGGTGACGAGTTCCCAGCTCAAGCTCGAAGCGTAGTCTGGCACGCCGTAGAAGGAGGGGCTGGCCGATGTGAGGTTCGCGAGGCCGAAGAACGACATCATGCCGGCGTACGCTCCGAATTGGATATTGAGTTTGTTCTTGCCGTTGCCTGTGATAGTACCGTTGAGGGCGTCGACCACTTCGGCTGCGATGATGGAGCCTGTGATAGCGCGGATGGGCTCGGATTCATTGTATGCGAGTCCCCATTCATGTTGATCCGCAAGGGTTCGCAGTTGGAAGAAAGTTTCTGCAGTCAACAGGTCGGCGTTGGGGAAGTCGTCTGTCGAATTGTGGATCGAGGCAACGTTTAGCAGATCAAAGATCGTGTATGCGTTTTTGAAGCTCGTCTGCGAGGCAGTGAAGGTCCTGTTGATCATGGGCGAGAGATCGGTGTAGAAGCTTTGGGTGCGCCGCAATGTATCCAGGTATTGCGAGCTGGTAAAGTAGTTGTTGGAGCTGATTTGGGCATTGGCACAGTTGGTCGAACCTTGTAGCCAGGCCGAGTTCTCACTATTGGTGCCAGTAGTCACAACCTCGAGAGGAATCAATTGATATCCGTTCATGGGCGATTGCACGACCGTTCCATTGCGCAGGGTGTTGCTGCCCAGTGTTTCTCCCACTGGGGGATATAAGCCTTGCAGGAAACCAATGGCAGAGTTCTGCAAGACAGTGTCGATGGGTGCAGAGGCAGTGATTTGCGATTGCTTGACCAGGTCGGCGTTGATACCGTGGATGCGACGGCTGGCACCACTAGCGACATATCGGTTGCGGTAGAAGGTGCCTGACGTGAAGACTTCTTGGTAGCCCAAATCAGTCAAATTTGCTGGGGGTGTAGACTTCGCGGTACGATCGCCATGACGGGAGAAGATGTAGACTCCCAATACAGTTTCGACAGCGAGAGCTGATGAGGCCAATGAGGCAAGGAGAGGCAAGATTGTGTAGTGCATGTTGGAATATTTGTATAGGACTGATTTATTTAGCTATAGCTTGACATATGTCCGGTGAACGGGAGGTGAGAATATCTCTCCAGAATTAGACATACCCTTGTTTGTGATAAATGGTATTCAGTCCACCATAACACAGACCTTGGTGACAATAAGCCTTCTACTTTTGAGGAAGAAGTTGACGGACCAAAAAAAAGAGAGTTCCTGACGTAAAGAACAGGCGCAGCGGGGTCGCTTTGCAGAACTGCTTGCTCTTATCAGGGAAAAAAAATATCTCTGGTGATCATTTTTACCCCTCGAGCCCCTCTCTGGAACCATTCGTGGGTGGGGATGACCGATAGAAGGGTGTTAACGAGCGCCTTTGAGAGATATGAGTGGTTGTCTGATGGCACGAGGTCCCATTGAAACGGCATAATGTTTCCGAGGACGGCAATCATGGAAGCCAATAGTATTTTTCTCAGGAATAGACTAGGGACGTAGCAAAAAGGTCAAGAGTTGCTTCAGTTGCTTATTGATGGCATGTTCAGAGGGCTTTGTTTTGGCCGAACCAGGCCAAATCGAGTTGGCGGATGCGACCCACCATACTAGGCGCTGGCTCCGTACTTCCTCGGAAAAGTTGAATGAACCCGACAATCTTCTGTGGAAGTGGATTCAAATCTTTAGTCTTGGGTACAGATTGGAAAGAGAATGGCGACCAACGCGTGGAAGAGATATTCTCGCCTTGTGGTAGTACCCTTGAAACAATAATGGCGAATCATTGCCCCAAACCCTGATAGAAGTGCTTTCTCTGACTGGCCACTTTGACATCACATCGGGTCTGAGAGCGAGATCATGCACCGCAAATCTCACTAGACATGCGAATACCTCGTCGTCGTGCAGAGTAGCCATCAGTAACGTCGTCGTCTATGGAAACCTCCCAGCAGTGTTTCAATGGTGGAGCCTATACATTATAGCCCCTTGTTCAACACTTTTCACACCACACATTCATGAATTTGGGAGGCATCTGAAAAATCTAGAGGAAGTGCGGAAAACCTTTCCATTCGATCAACTCAGCGTCTACTCCCGGCTTTTGGTATTCTTCAATGAAAAACACGTGGAATCCTGGTCACATGCCGCGATATAGGATTTTGGAACGAAGTTGATCTTCCATATATGCATCATTGTTTATGTCCAGAGGCCTTACCTCGGGCATGTCGCATGATGACGTTGCTAATCATTGGCAAATCTGAATACTTTCCTAGAGTATATCTGCTCTTGTATACTACGGGGCAAGGCTCGAGGATCGCATGATGCTAAACATGTCACGATCAATCTAGCGGGCTTGGGAACCGGATTCGAGATGTATCGGGAGAGAAACACAGGCTGGCTAAATTGCCTCCTGCTGATCCATCCACGATGAACTCTCTCTTCGGATCCCAACATATTTTGAGGCTGTGGTATTCATAAACTCGCAGGGGGGGTTGCAAACAGCAGGATATTCTGGGGAAAGGAGGATGACATTATACTACCTTTCAGCAACCATTCTGCATAGATAATCTTCGCGTTCGATGCTGCCGGCATACCAGCCTCCAGAATGAAGAGATCTCAACATCTTCTGTTCGAACTGCATTGGTCAGTAGAGGCATGAACGAGGAAATACCGACGAATATGTTAGCAAATCGCCGGCAGCTCATTTGGACAGGTTCCAGTTCGAGTGCGATAACGACCACCCATCACTTGTTCGGGCTGTTAGCCGGTGGAGATAAAATGGACGAAGCTCTTCAGCCATGTCATTTGCTGTGAGTGTGCCTGCATAAGCGAGGACTCTGCACCGAGAGAATGCAAGTCGTCGTGGGATGAGATCGCCTGACTTTCACCACATGCTTCAACTGCAAGCGTGAAAGTACTGTCCTATATCAGAAGGGAGCCGATGGGCGTGTTTGGACTAGGTCCAAGTACTAATTTTCTTTCCTATACAGATCCTTAGTCCGCCCTTGTAAGTCAGACGTCCGCGAACTGGCTACCGACTACATCGATATAGGGGGAGCTCCCAGACTTTTCTTCCGGCTTATGACTTAGTAGCCTCGACGTGCGTTGGACCATTTTCAATCTCTCCAAGCTCCAAATTCATCAGTGTCCCCTTCTTCCTTGGAAACATCATTGCTCTCTTTATATAGCTCTTCTTGGTCACCAAATCATATAGCCGCCTCTTCCAAGGTCCTCTTGGGTAATTAGAGAAGAAAAGTCTGCATGATAACTGTAGAAAGAACACCCGGTATAATAAAGCACAAGGAAAATCTCCACAAATGGAGGCAGAGGCGCTCGCCGTACACGGGGTACCATCGAGCCAGGTTGCGCAGAAGCAGACATAGATGTTGATGGCGGCTACAGCCGCCTTGAGGCCAGCTCCGTTGGAATTGGCAAGCGAACTCTGAGAGGTGGCGTAAGTTGCAACTAGGACCGCTTCGATAAGCAGGGATAAGGCACAGCTGTCAACGCTGGACCCGAGTAGCTTCTGACGAGGGAAGGCATCAATTGACAAAGGCTAAGACAATCCAACCAATTTGGAATTGGAACTCTTTGTTAGTGTCGAAGCCCGGTTTCGACTAACGTTTTGGTTCACAGTTGTTGGTTACCCGGACCCCTGAATAGAGAACATGGTGGCAATAATTAGCAAGGTTCGTATTCTGTAGCTCGGGTATTGAAGTTTTATCAGCTACCGAAAGCCCGCGGAGCATTCAGGCCAGTTGCGAACTTCGTTTTCCGTCTCTCAGTCAAACGCTGCCGACGACAACAAACCGAATTAGGATACATTGGGCACGACGTCTGGTGCGAGGTATCTCGCTCTCTGTCCATTTCCCTTCACTTTACCGAACCTGGCCCACCATGCCTCTCAAACCTTCGAACTCCACCTGCGTCATTCTCGACCTACTGCGACCTCGATCATGCGACTGTCTACGTTCTCAACGCTTAAACCGCAGAATTTCTCGACACTCCCGTAGTGTTGCTACTGTGGCTCCTCAACTCTCTGAAATGGAAGTAGATGCCGAGACTCCTCCGCGTTGGTCTCAAACTCCTCCTGCCATGAAAGCGCCGGTTCGAGCCCAACCTCCCAAGCAGATGAATCCTTTCAAGGTCCATTCCGATCAACGGAAGCTCGATGATGTATACATCAAGTTTTTGGGACGAGGAGGAGATAAGATGCTATCGGAAGAGACCAAATGGCTTGCTGTTACCAACAAGAGTTTCGATCACGGTCGTAGAGGGTTCAATGATCGGCTAGCATTTTTTGGTATGGTATTCTTCAGACTATTCCCGCAGCTCTGGGTTAACAGACGGATAGGAAAACGGATACTCGAGCTGCAATGTTCACTGGGTCTTCTCAGTGTCTCGGATTCTACACCCTATCTGAAGGACAAGGACCGGGATCCTCATGGCCGGCAGCCGTTTCGACATCCAGCGACCGAATCGGTAGAATGTCTTTTGGGTGGTGCACATGATTGGTTCGTACACCATAAACAGCTTGCCAATCTTGCAGGACAATATGGACTACCAGAAGTTGTGCGGTGGCATCCCAAAGATGTAGGTGTCGTACCCTCCAGGGTCTTGTTTTTGCTCGCTAACAATTCTTAGCCCGAACGTTTAGAAGCCTCCGGAGCTACTTTGGTTTACGCACAAGCTCTTCTGGCGATCATAGGTGCTTTAGCTTTGGAACAAGGAGGCGCAGTTGCAAATCGAATAGCCAAAGAGAGGGTATTGGTTCCCTTAGGCCTGAAACGGGACTGGAAACCAAAAGCAGAGATTGCAGAACCCTTGCAATCGTGAGGGGAAGGTAGAGAAATTCCCTGTGTAATAACAATAAACATATTGTACAGCATACTAGAAAGAATGTCTGGGGCCTCTGACACCGCCTGAGCAACTTTTTTCCATCAAAGAAGAGTGCTCAGCCAGCTCTTATGGCACCGTCCTGAGATGTCGGTCTCCGCGCCTCTAAATCGCAAAGTCTGGCAACTGATTGTACCGTGCAATCGTGATAAAATGTCACAATTGAAGGATATGCTGCATTGCACTGTCTTCTGAGCGCGTTGGTTTTATTACAGAAAGAGATCAGAAATATTGCCTGAAGATGAATCCGCCAAAACGTGGCTCTTGGCGATACACCGGAAAATCTTCGGCAAAGCCAGACTGACAGATTACGACCTCACCCCGAGATCCTTCAAATCATCCCTCGTCAATTGCACGCACCGCCAGGTGGCATTCTGTAGCCAGCTGTTCCATGAACTTGCGCTGTCCTCAACAGCTCGCAAGTGATCTTAAGGTCTCTTTATCTGAATCCGACTTATCAGCTGCTCCCTCCGATCAAGGGGGTTCCTGCTTGGACCGCTGACTGCACCATGGCCTCTGCGGTATTCTTTCTCGATTTGAAGGGCAAGGTATGCCAACGAGGTGTGGAGCCAACTTCATGTTATTGACGTCCTCAGACCCTGCTTGCGCGCAATTATCGAGGTGACATTCCCATGTCCGCGGTAGAGAAATTTCCCATCCTCCTTTCAGAAGCCGAAGAAGAATCGTCTGCTGTGCCTCCTTGCTTTTCCGACGAAGGTATCAATGTTAGTATAGTATGATGGCCTGTCAAACGAAGGTCGGGTGTTGACATCCCTACAGTACCTTTACATTCGCCATAACAATCTTTATCTTCTTGCCTTGACGAAACGAAATACCAATGCCGCAGAAATCCTGCTCTTCCTCCACAAAATCGTGGAGGTCTTCACGGAGTACTTCAAGGAGCTGGAAGAGGAGTCAATACGAGACAATTTTGTCATTATCTACGAACTCTTGGATGAAATGATGGACTTCGGCTACCCACAGACGACCGAGTCCAAGATCCTACAAGAATATATCACCCAAGAATCACACAAGCTCGACGTGCAAGCCCGACCGCCGATTGCCGTCACGAATGCAGTGTCGTGGAGAAGCGAGGGGATCAGATATCGAAAGAACGAAGTGTTCCTTGATGTCATTGAATCTCTCAATCTCCTGGTTTCGTCCACGGGCAATGTACTACGGTCCGAAATCCTAGGTGCCATCAAAATGAAATGCTATCTGTCGGGAATGCCGGAACTTCGATTGGGCTTGAATGACAAAGTCATGTTTGAGACGACAGGGAGAGCGACACGAGGTAAGGCGGTCGAGATGGAAGATGTCAAATTTCATCAATGTGTGAGACTATCAAGATTCGAAAACGACAGAACAATCAGTTTCATTCCACCAGATGGAGAATTTGAATTGATGAGTTACCGACTCAACACTGCTGTTAAGCCGCTGATCTGGGTTGAGTGCGTGGTGGAGTCGCACTCGGGTTCTCGGATTGAGTATATGCTCAAAGCCAGAGCTCAATTCAAAAGGAGGTCGACCGCCAACAACGTCGAAATCATCATTCCTGTTCCGGATGATGCAGACACGCCACGATTTAGAACCAACATTGGATCCGTACACTACGCCCCGGAAAAATCTGCCATCGTATGGAAGATCAAGCAATTTGGAGGCGGTAAAGAATTCTTGATGCGTGCTGAACTTGGGCTGCCTAGCGTCAAAGGAGACGACGAACGAGGTGGTGGTATGACCGGTGGTTTTGGCGGTAGCATGGGAGGCATAACGGGAGAAGGCAAGGCCAAACGACCCATCAATGTGAAGTTCGAAATTCCCTATTTCACGACTAGTGGCATTCAGGTGAGATACTTGAAGATCATAGAACCGAAGGTTTGTCCCTCTTCCGGTGTTGGTTTTCTCGGATGAACTTTCTCACCTTTTGTCAGTTACAATATCCATCATTGCCGTGGGTACGATATATCACGCAATCCGGCGACATTGCAGTCCGACTACCTGATGTGCAAGGCTGAGCTCCAAGTTTTGGCAAATTCAAGATATCAAAACAAATCACCCACGTGCAAAGAAGTTTGCTCCACGTCAATCATGCCCCTGAACGACGCAATTATTCTAGCCTGTCCGGATCCGAATACCGTTGTCAAATAAGGGATGTGAAATTGAAGAGCAGTTGGTACTTGTGGAGGTGCCTGCTCTACTAGGGAGATAATTGTTCAAGATGGGTGTGGGCTGCGCCCGAAAAGGAGACATCCGGACGGACCGATATTGGCTTCGATGTTGGAACAAGAATTCCTGGTAGAAGCCAGAAGCGAAGGCTTTCTTCAGCGGGCAAGGAGATGATAGGCACTTGCTTCACGGCAAGTCAAGATACCCCCGACTGGGCATGAATAACTAGCGAAATAATGTCAATGCCTGAAGGAGCGATAGGTCTTTCAAATCACCATCAATCACTGGTTTTCATGCACCTCAGTGATGCATCTCAAATTTTGACGCCCTCTCTCTTGCCTGTGATCACCTTGCAAACAAGCCTCTTACTCATTTTCAAACGTTGATTTTGTCATAACAGACTCGGCCATTGTGGGCGACAAAGCCAAAATTGACGTCATTTGATCCCCTTTCACGTTCGCTCTGTGCAGCTTTCTTGATTGAAAATAAAATCACAACCAACCCTGCCATCCTTGTAAACATTACGCCTCATACAGGCATTTCCCATTCATTTGAGATCAACATTCCTTAGCGATGCCGTCTGCGGCCTTTCCAACACCCACTCCAGACGGGCTGGACGACTTACTCTACTTCTCCCGCACAGGAGACCTCGACGCTCTCAAAGAACTGGTCACGGACCTTTGTGCCACCCATTCCTGTACCCCCTCCATTATCCTGGCCTCCGCCATCGATGTCGACCAAGATGGCCTTGGATCTCAGTCCTCCCTTCTCCACTACCCGGCCGCGAATGGAAATCTCGATGTTATACATTACTTGATCACACTCCTGAAACCCCCCAAAATACTCGAATGCAGCGTAGGGGCACCGACGGCAGACAAATCCGCACTGCAGCTCGTCAATCACAAAAATGTCAGCGGTAATACTCCACTACACTGGGCCGGGATGAATGGTCATCTGGAGGTGGTCAAGGCATTGATTCGTGCCGGTGCGGATCCGGGCATTGTGAACGCCGCAGGGAGAGACGCCGTGGTGGAGAGCGAGCTTAGTGCTCAAGAAGGTGCCGCCAAATGTGCAGAGTGGATGTTGAAGAATTGTGAAGGGTTAGAGAAAGGTGTTGGAGGGGGAAGAGAAGAGGAGGAACCGACTACTGAAGACATGGCCGTTGATGGAGAAAGTGGACAACCCACGCCCGGCGCGAGTAAACAAGAGACATGATGGGAATCAGATGCAAGTTCCACTTGAAGTCAAATATCATGGGAACGTTTTCCGAGCCGAACGAAACAAAAAAGCTGCTGTCACGCATATGCTGCAATGCAACCAAACCTACCAATTGAATATACCAATGGCTCGTGATGCAAATCAGCAGCAGTATGAGTGTGATCAAAGAGTCCAAGAAACTCAACCTGGACCCTTAAAATATCTCCACCATCTCCCCAACCAGGCAATATCACCGGTCGCACCGATCAACTATTCCGCCCCAATTTTCCAAAACCAGGCAGTAAGTCGGATACAATGACATTGTTCTCCCTCCTTTCCGTCAGGAAGGCCATACGCAGTAAGGCACGCTTTTCCGGCATCGGGATCCGTTACGCAATGTTGGTCGATGCAGATGCCGGTATTTGTTCGCTGAACGGAGATCTTGTTAGCCTTGTATGCCGACATGGACCTCTGAAGAAAATTACATGAGACAGAATGCACCTTCGCAAGCTTGTCTTCCCCGGGCGGGTGGAAATATGTGTCTGGAACGGTTGAGGGCACGGGATTGCAAAGCGTCAGAGGGAAGCCGAGCGCCAGGCTGGCAAAGAGCAGATCGCTGAAGAGCATCTGGGAATGGATGATGATGATCTCGGCGGCCGTCTCGTCGAAGAGTTTGCAGCTAGAGTCCTCTTTCGCATCACCAGTCCTTAGAGATTGTGACATTGATTTAGGTTCGCGGCCTCAGCAAACCAATCACATTCAAGCCTTCGGAATTCATCAAGGGGAAGAAAATAAGAATGACCTCTTGCTCCCTCCAGTGCATCCAGGTACGGCTTATGTACCTCCTTGTCTCACAAGTCCTGTCCACATCCGGTGCCGGCAGGATCGAGATTATGATGACGAGAAAAATTTTCCCAGCATCTCGTCTGACGTGTGTTCTCTCTCCGTCTCAGCCAACGCCTCACTCCCATCATTCGTAATCCATCCCGCCTGGCATCTAGCAAGTAGCCGGGTGGTCGGCCTGAGAACTCGACTCTTGAACCAGTCAGTTTCCCGCACCCGACATCCACGAGGCCTGACGGCGAGGTCAGGAGAAGCTTGCCTTGAGCAAACTCGCAAGCCACGTCAAGTTTGCTTGTTCCCTTCGTTCGTGTTCTGCATCCAAAACATCCTGCACGGTGTGTGGTCCAGTCTCATTTGATTGGAAAATATTTGAGATACCAGCCGAACAACCGTCTTCGAACAACGAGCTGCAAAAATCGCTCATCGAAAAGGACAGAAAAGGAAATGCTCCAACGGAAAATAGAGAAGGGGAAAACCAAAAAAAGGGAGCAAGGGAAAAGCACGGCAAGCAAATGCTCATCTGCAGCGTATACCTGCCTGAAGCGGAAGAGAAGGATGGTCGAGGACGATGCAAGAAGGAGAAACATGTCCACACTCAATTCAATGGTCTACAATAAACGGGATCCCGGAATCCTGGACAACCCTCGCCCTCTGAGGGATAGGATGGGGGGAATCGAGGTGAGCCTCGTGTTCACTTGGTGAGGCCTACAGGGCTTACCTGAGATAAGCTCCCACTCGCCATGAATCTTTGACTTTGTATGGGCCTATTTGAGTTATAATGCTCCGTGCTCGTCTCAATAACGTTCTGGTTTAAGCATTCTGATGATCAGATTCACACGTGTCTTCCAATTACCATCTACCATACCCAGTTGACCGCGCCCGTGGATGACCCTTGACCCTCCTTTTAGGCAATCTGCCAGAGGCAATCTTCTAACTTCAATTCCTCGATCAACACATTTACTCTCCTCTTCTCACCTTACGCCTTATTTGGCCCCAATCGTCAACACAATACATTCATACCCGGAGTTAGGCCCGGCAGGGTGCTGACGCGGGGTAAGGCTGAGAGCTCTGACTATAACTACCGCTTTCTTCCTTCCCTGCCTCGTATTCCCTCCCTTCCCGTCCGCATTGGAGAGGGTAGCGCAGGGTAGGACTGAGCTGAGTCGAGCGGAAACAAAGTGCCTATGTCGCTAACTGACGTCGAATCAGATCTGTTTCGGTGCCAAGGCTGTGGAGAAAACGAGCTCACGTGGGTAAAGGAGGATGTATGAGCTAACCGAATCCATCTGCCGTGCTGGCCGCTTTATTTGCATGTCCTTCGTAAATGAATGTAGCCTAGCGTAAACCAGAGTTCTTAGCGGAGATCCACACCTCCAACCGTGCCGCTTTTAAGCCACGACGTCACTGGATATTGCTTGAATGTTATCAGTTTCCCTTAGTCGTACGGTAGAACCTTCGTAGATGTTTCGGGACTCCTGCTTTCAAGCACGACCACCAGACCTTTACATTTTGATTTGATCACAATCAGACCTTTGGCCTTACAAGATACATCAAGACACCTCAGGAAGACAGATCATGAGCCCCGAGGACCGAGGCGGATCGTTGCCAGCATGATCAGGAACGGTCCGAAGCCCCCCTCTCCTTTGGCGGCGCCGGCACGCAGGTGCTCGTGGTGGCCTTCCTTTTCCTCCACCCAAAGGTAAACGGAGTCGATAAGAGATAACCAAGTTGGTACATCCAGTTAAGCATCGCGTATTGCCAATATGTTCATTCCGAGCTATCGGCACATATAACCAGACCTCTCTCCCCTCACTATCTCCACGGACTCCTTGGAAGACAACAAAACGTTGACATTTGCTACTACTGTCTTACCTCTTCACTGATCACTTCCAACATTCTCCCACATTGTTGATTCCTCCGACCGACATCATGCCGATTTATCTGAGTATGCAACGGGTCCGCTTCTCCAGCCCGGACGCGTACGAAAAGTTCAAGGTCCTCTTCGCCGACACTCGGCGCCACCTCATGAAACTCCCGGGCTTCTTGCATCTGACCTGGTGGGAGCATCCGGACGACCGAGGCTGGTACAACGAGTGCAGCTTCTGGACCAGCCGGGGGGCCCTGTACGACTGGCACAAAGACACCTACCACAAGTACTGCAAGACCTGGGCGGCCAACGGGGCCATCATGGAGGACATCATCACCAACTTCGAACTCGTCGGCACCCGCTTGCTACGCGTGTGCCCCGTTTGCAACATGACGCAGGACAAAAAATACGACCTGGCCCAGGAGCAGGCGGTCCTGCACGAGCAGTGCCCACAGTGCGGGTTTCACTTCCCGGTTCTGGAAGAAACGCCATCGAGCTTCGCAGTGTTCAAGGACGTCGTGGTCGCTCCGAAGGAAGGTGAAACAGCACAGGGAGCGGAGAACGGACATTGATCCTACTACTCTGACCGTGGAAAGGGAGCCTGAGACGAAGACGCAAAGGTGCCACGGCCCATTCTATCAGCGTTTGTAAGGTCTTAATGTTGATGAAAACTATATTTAAGAGGTACGAACGGCTCAATGTCCCCTGATCTGCCTCACTTATGTTTCCTCGTTCTTCTCCTGAACAATGATGAATTTCATCAAAGATCTCTACCCCATCTATCTTCATCTTCACTCTCACATCCACATACCAATTTCATAACATGAAGAAAACCCCACGACAAGAAACATTTTCCCACAGGCACCGAAGACCGATTGGCTTCAGGAGGGTGGTCGGTAAGTGAAAACCAGCCGAAACCGGGTTTTCTTTCCGATGCGATGGAAGGGAGGATAGAAGAGGGTAAGCTCGCCGAATCTGGGCGACACGTGTATCTAACCGGTGTTACGCAGAGAGATGGCCTTTGACGCCATCCAAATGGTCCCAACTGACCCATTGAACCCAGTTTAGGATGGTTCCATTTTGGACGCGACCCGTGGAAATCCGAACTCGAAAAATACATCCTTGACAATTTCCCCCCAACCCCCCAGTTACTGCCTATCACATCCTAACCACGCTCTCTCCCTCTTATCGCGTTTTCAGTTCCACGGCAGACATGTAAAACCTAACAACGAGAAGCGCACTGGAACGATTGGGGACTCCGAAGCGGCTTCTGATGGAATATGCTGTTATTGTCAGAACTTGGGATATAGTCTATTCTAACCACAACGTTACGATTAGTACCGAGGAGGTCAAACAGCAGGGTTTGACCGGCCGGCTCCTAGAACAACATCAAAAGTGAGGGGATCGCCAACCGATCAAAACTACTTGGTGGTATTGCATAAGGTCAGTCGATCCCAGCAGCTCGCCGTCCGCCCCTACTTAAGTGGTGATCTCAGTCGTGTATTATGGTACAGGGCCGCGTCAACTGTTCACACAGATAATCAAAGCCCTCCCCAACCAGTCATCAGCTGTTACAATAGAAGAAATGTAGCGCTGAATCCCCTTCGTTGAGAGAATGGACTTGGGAGGAAGAACAAGAATGGCAAGACAGATAGGGTGGTAAAGTCGAAGGCGTCTGAAGACTGATTATTCGGACCTGGAACATGATTTCACACGGACCCGGTGAGCTGCAATACTAGACGAACTATCAGAATCAGGATGAACGGGCCAATTCGGACCCCAATTGCCCGTGGAACGAAAGCAAGCGAGCAAGAAGCCAACCTTTTGATTCGCATTTTTCTTGAACCCTCGATGTACGCCGATGCCATTCCCCGATGCTCGCAGTTTGTGTTGGCTGATCGACAAATCAGGCCACCATGACCGCTTTTCAATCAATCACCAGCCTTCTCTCCTCATCAACCTGACTCTTACGTCTTTCTTCGGATTCGATGCACCTGCGCCAACCTTGCGGCCGGGATGCACCCACTTGCCATCGTCACTAACGGGCACAATGTCCCATTGCATGATGATAGCAGCGGCGAAAAGCACGACCTCCCTCTCCGCGAATGTCTTACCTTTACACATCTGCTTACCACCTCCCCAGACCTTCATAGTTCCATATTCAACCCGTACATCTGCTCCTTCGGTCTTTTCCTTTTCGTCCTTAGCCCAGAAGCGACGGGGGTCAAAACGTCCTGGGTCGCGGAAATATTTCTCATCACTCTGGTGAACGCCATGTGGGATGCAGACGTACTCGCCTTTACGCAGCAGGAAGGATTGCGGATACTGTTTCCCCAACATAGCCGCGTCCTCGTCAGACTCGGTCACCACGAAGTCTTCTTCAACCGTCTTGTAACTCATGCTGGCGGCCTCGAGGCGCATGGTTTCGAAGAATGCACCCTTCAGCAAAGGACATCTCGTCCATAGTCCACTAAGGTCGGCTTCGAGCTTGGGGGCCTCTTTGATGGGAAGACCCGTGTCGGGTGCGGGTCGGTATTTGACGTAGGGTGCGATTTCTTGCCGAATTTCTTGAAGCAGGCTTGTGTCCGAAAATATGTACCATATCATCCAGAAGATAACAGGATTGGCGTTGATGTTCATTGCCCACAGGACGGCGCCGTTACCGATAGCCCAGCCTCGTGGCACCGAGCCCACCTTTTTGAATTCCACGGCGCGATCGACGATCACCGAAGATACGTCTGACATGTCACTCCAGCGGCTGCCTGGATCTTTGCCGTCGAGGTACTTGAACAGAGCTTCGTGGTGTTCGGTGATGGCGGCGACGATGCGTTCCCTCGCTCGGACCGGTCCACCCATCCCCGGGAACCAGTTCGGCAGTCCCACCATGAACATGTTAAACCGTGAATCCATCTCCCACAGGTCAATCATGATGTTGGGGTTGTTTTCCATGAAGTTCCGACCGAAGAGGACCGTGCTGGCGATGTCGCCTACAAAGTGTCTGATCAGAGGGTGAAGACTGGCTTCACCCACCAATGGACGATCACCCTCGCCGTTCGATATCATTTCCACGTGGCCTTCACGCTCCCAGATGGCCTGGTCCACGGGGCTTTCGGCGCCCGAGATCAAATTCCAAGTTCGCTCTTCGACACGCTCGATCGTGCCCCTGATGGCGGTGTTGACGAAACTCTCACGCAGCATTCCGTACAGGATAGCATGAACGCCCCACAGGCCAGAGGGCTCGATATCCTTGATCGCCCCCCTGTCATCCCAGAAGTGCTTCATACTGTGGTAGATGAACTGTTCCATATTCACTGGAGAATGTCTGTCGAGCAGGACCTGTCTCGACAAGCTCGGCGCCACAATCACATTATGCTTCGAGTTAGCCATCGTAAGTGCGAAGATGGAGGAATTAGGTCCCAACGAACGGGCAGAACGACCGAGGTAGTCCGATCCGCCTGCTGCGAAATTTAATGCGTGCCCAAGCCACGGGATCCAGTAAGGTAGGACAGGGACGGTCCTGGGACCCTGTGAGGCCGGAGGTAGTTTGGAGATTGTAGAGCGAAATCTGAGGGTGGAGACGATGCGTGTGACGATGCAGATTAAACCCAAGATGGAGAAGGGCAACAGATATGGGTGCCGCATCACGATGTCGATGGATTGCCAGAGCAGGGAATTCCACCTTTGTTCATGTTCCTGCTCTTGCGCTGCGGAAGCCATGATGAATCTTGAGGGGATGCCCTCAACACTCGCGGACAGTGTACAGCACGGAACAAAGCAAATCCAGAGAACGACTGTGGTAAAGAGACAAATGGTAACCCCTTGAAATCCAAGAGACGTCACCTTCTGTTGCCTTGCTCGATTCGACTCCGTGCCCGAAACAGTGTCGAGCACCACGGATCTCAATCGCTGCCAATAATGGGTTTTATCCCACAGGACAGAAGGGGATCGAGCTCTTTTACGGGTCCCGAATTCGCGTGGCTAGCTTGGCTATGTGTCAGATTTTCGCATTCTTAACCACTTTGAGACCTGTTCAATGGGATCTTGTAACGCGGACCGCGATGAAGGAGGTTGATAGTCCAAAATCAACCGAAGACGGACGACAGTGGCGAGGAAATCCTTCCTCCCGCGTCCAAGGCACCAAGGGAATGAATGTGAAAAATTCGTCGGTAGCTTAGATCACGACTGATAGTTTCTACTTGAACGTTTCGTTTGCCGACGCGGAGAGAATCTCTGGGGCGTCATTGTGCGGCCAATCCGATGCCAGCATTTAACTGACCTCTGCAGCTAGACCTGGAGAAGGCTTGCATCTTGAAGCCCACGAGTCAGATTAGGTTGATGACCATAGTTTATCGTCATGGAAAATAGCAGATGAGCGGGATAGTCATTTTCTCCTTGAGATTCGTCTTGTTGTCTGGATGTATTCGTACATCACCCAACCGTCTGTCGAGTCTCGCTATATCAACATCAATAGTTGAGAAGAAATTAAGTTAATCGTACATATCGACATTAGGATAATCCCCTTCCAGTTCCGTCCCATGCCAGTTCTTCAAAACTGGTCCGTGAGCACCTTCTTGAGCTTACCACTTTGGTCCTCGTATTTCTGAATCTTCGCATGGCTTGCCATCGCCTTTTCCAAACACCATTTTATCCGTGGCTTCAATTCACTTGGTGTTCCAGGCAACCCGGCCAGAGTCTTCAGTTCGGTCTCGTATTTCTCCACGTTCTTGTTCTCCATTCCGATCAACTGCGTCAAGATTGCTAGATCAAGTCTCGCCTTCAGAACTTCATCGTCCGTAAGGTATTCAAATGCCGATTGATAAACAGGTTTCCCCGGTCTGATGCTATAGGGACGTCCGTTTTTGGATGTGATGGCGATCAGCTCTGCCTGTTCCAGAGCGTGGAGAACGACTTCACCGTCCTTGAACAGATCATTGAGCAGAAGTTCATTGTACCGGAGAGTCTCTTTTGCTGCCAATTCTTTGACCAATAGCCAGGCTTGCTGCGGTGTCCATTTCCGGCTAGAAACGTCAACGTCGAGAAGGTACATCTTTAAAATCTCTGACGCAGATTGTTCGATTATTTGCCGCACAGCTTCTGTTGGACGAGTTAGCACCGTCAAAACCAGTATGACAACAGCCGAGATACGTACTCCCTGGCGATTCGCCAGTTTTTATCCTTCGGGCAAGAAACTCCAAGTCGGTCAGTCGTCCCCCCAGGACTTGAATGACACTATCTAGCTCATCTAAATCGCTCCTTAACTGTGAAGGGGTGACCTTCTCATTACCGAGAGCTGCTGTTCCCTCTTCACTCTCGGCATCGAGATGTTGAATCACAAGCCTTTTGGCAACATCAGGAATACAGTCGCTCAGCGTGATCTGGCGGAAAACCCTATCGGGCAAAGCTTTGCTCAGAGATTTCGAAAACGAGACATCGGTCGTCAGGAAAATGACATGTGCGATATTCTGGGTGGTCAAAATGGCGGCCCATTCACCCAATTTATCATATACCATGCTCGCTGCTCCTTCGTTGCTCTTGTGCAAAAAGTTGTCAATGACCACCACCGGTCGGTGTTCCGGGTGGGCTTCCAACCATTCGTCATCGGACATCTGGGCGTCCTTATCGTCCTTCTTCCGTGGAGCCAATGCAATCTGCTTCAACGCCGTCGTGGTGTTGCCCCAAATCTTGGCCAACTGAGTGTCCAAGGTTTCTGAAAAGCCGGCCTTTGTACCGATGGTGCCCATTGCAGCAAGATCAATCATGCTGCTGATGCTGTTCATCCACGAGAATACTGGTCGGTAACCGACCTCCGCTGCTGCGGCAGCAATGGTTTGACTGTCCCCACGAGCTTCCTGGATTCTCTTGCAGTCGATTACCAGCTTATACGGCCGATCTTTCAACGCTTGATCCATCACCAGCTCTTTCTTACCGGCTCCTCGTGGTCCCTGAACGACAATAAAGGTGTCCGCTGTCTCCATCATCCATGTTTTCAACTGATTGATTGCGCCTTGACGATCTTCCCAGATGAGTTTCAGACTCTCGCCATCATCCCTTGTTTTTCGCAACCTGATGATGTCGTATCCTCGAGAAAGCCAGCCTTTAATCCATTTGAACAGTGGCTGATATTCCAGATGAAGACCGCGAGTGATATGCATTCTGATGAAGAAGGTTCTGATTGGGTCGAAAACGGCGACAGATGCTGCCGTCAATAATGCCACCACCAGTGGAATAACAATCCTGGGATGTCCCGTTATCCAATCCCAAATCCAATGGCTTTTCATCTTGGGTTCATAGCTAAGTTTCAGAAGAGTACCGGCCTTACCACCACCCTCCTCCGCGCGGACAATATAGCCATGCATGCAATTCTTTGCCGCAGTCGCAAACCTGATCCTCGTGTAGTCAATGTATGCATATCTCGGGAGAACTTTCGAGTCGGAAGGTTGCTGACCAATTTCAGCCAGTTTACCGTATCTGCGAAACAAAGAATACAACGTTTCTTGTGTTAACTCGGCCGCCGAAGTCTCAGGCGACGTCGGCAGGAATTCTACCTTGATCCTGGAACTTGGAATACGGTACAAGTCTTCGATCCACGGTTTGCCCTGAACCAAGAAGGCTCGTACTCGTCGAAACGGATTGAACCATGGGGTGATAGGTTTCTCGTCTAGATACGCTTTGAGCGTACTCTCTAATTCTTCTGCGCGAATTCCTCCGTTATGTGAGAACTTCACAAATGCACCTCCTTCGCGGAGTCTAGGTAGGATCTTGGTGACGGTGAGTGGAAGCTTTTCTGGTAAAGCTCGCTCGACGATACTCGAGGGATCAGCTAGCGCAAAGTCTGGGTGGTTCACTTTGCTGAACGCGTCTGCTAAGAACTTGTCGGGGTTCAAGTACGGTATTCGACTCAGCCACTGGAGCTTCAGGGGAAAGACATCTAATATGTAGTCAGTACATTGTGCGCAGCCGACGTATGAGCTACATGCTGTCAAAGAAGAATATCCCTTCATTTTGCTTGGTCTGAATGTGGCCAGTATCATTGTCTCCAGCCTCTGACGTACTCCTCCTCTTTCCGAGGGAGATCGTAGGCGTAACAAGGCTTGGGCGCAGTCCACTGGCTGTAGGATAGATATTTTGTTTCCTGAATTGTACGGCCCATGGGGGTGCAGGTCGCCCCAGCAAGCTCCCAGCGCCTCTCAATAGGGTCATGCTGGAGATCGAAACATCATGCGAGGCTGTCGATTGCAAATAAGGAGACAATGTGCCCCTCCATTGTCAAGGTGAAACGCGCAGAGAGGTAGTATTTCTCGAAAACAAGTCACTTCCTCATCTCGTATGTCAACCTCGACCACCGCTTGAGCTTGCTCTCATGATCGTGGACGCCCGCGAGTTTGTTTATGACGTCGTAATTACTTTTGCCGAACACGACTCAAAATTCCACAGTAGCAGCAACTTGGAGGAAACTTTTTGTTTTTTTATTTTTAATTTTCCTTTTTCTTTTTCATGGGAGTCCATTGTCTGTTTATTCGGGCATGTGGCTTGTCCTGAAATTTCAGAGTCTGTCCCCATACCAATCCAAGCATCATGGGTTGGTGGTGGAATTCCAAGCCGGCCGCGAGCGGCGAGAATCCTTTGCCCAGCTCATCGACCCAAAATGAAGAGCCGTCGCCTCCAGCAGCTGCTGAACCGATCGCAGAACCCGTCAAGCGGACCCTGTCCCCAGAAGAGCAAAGCAATCTGGAGCTAATGGAGCTTTTGAAAGAGTTTGAGGCACAATCAAATGCTGAACAGGATCAAAGAACTAGAGCAAAAGAGCCGGGAGCATTGAAGCAGTCTGTACCTATTCCCGCTGATATCTCTCCTGACTCCCTCTACCCTACCGAAATGTCCTGTCAATCTGCCTTCGATTACGCCATGTTCTGCCAGGGCTTTGGTGGGCAATTCGTGAATATCTATCGATACGGCTCATTCAGATCATGTTCGAACCATTGGGAGGATTTTTGGCTTTGCATGCGGACGAGGAATTGGGACAAACAGGATCGAGCAAAGGCCATTCAAGACCACTATCGAAAGAAGGCTGTCCAATGGAAAACCGGACCCAGCAGTGAAGATGTATGGGAAGTTAGAGAACACCCAGTGAAAGATGCATTCCAAGGAAATCTGGAAGAACTTGAAGCACGAATCGCCGAGTGGCAGAAGGCCAATCCAGACCGAACCGCGTCAATGTCCACGCTATCGCAGTCACCACTACGGGCACCCAAACTTGATCCTACCGGAAGCAATCCCAGCAATGCACGGTAATTCATACCCTCACTCGTTCATTGCGCAGATGAGCCCATAGAAACGCGTCTCAACGTCCCGCATCTCGAATTTTTCCATCTGCTCGACGAGATTTTCTGTCAACCCTCGATGTTTCGCGAATGGGGCCCCAACGGGCTCCGCAAACTCTATCAATATCATCCATCGGCACTGGTTCTTACTCTTCGACGTCTGAAACCGTACTTCCTCATACGATTTGGTTGAGCTCCCGGACTGAGTGGCCTCGTGATCATGCTCTAGCAGATGAAGCGCTAGAGGGCTGTGATGGTGTGACAGAGTCGGCCAGACCGTTTCCACAATCCAACTACGCAGTTGTTCTCTCAATTCTACAGATGACGGTGCCTGAAAGACGATATGGGCGATCGAAGCACCCATGCCGCCACCAGCAGATTTGGCGAATTCAGGGCGTGAATCAGAGAATAAAACCCGGCAAGCTGAACGATTCATGGACGCAAGCCAGGGCATGAATTTCTTCGTGGCCGGGGTGGGATTGTTCAACGCCGCCATGTACGCCCGCGATGTGAGCGTGTCTAGGGATGACACTTCGTACCAGACGAGGTATTGCGATTGGCCATTTTGCAGGGCATGGAATCGCCGCGTTCGCTGAAAGCCGGGAATGGCAAGTCGTTCGGGGAGATGCTCGTTCGTCCACCAGGCATTAAGGTCGTCTTCGTCCGTCGTCTTGTCGTCAACGCCGCCCCAGATCACCAGCATCGCTGTCCCTCGCAGGAATTTGTATCTGTCAGAGCCTGGGTTCTCCTTTGACGACATCGTGATGTATCATTCCTGTGGTATAAGGAAAGAATGGATGCTCAGGATCTTGTCAGAAAATTTGGCCAGACCCGGGCAGTTTCCAATGGATCGCACGGCATTCAGCCGACTGCCCGGTTCTCTTCAAGAGTGGGCGCAACTAAATATATAGCTGATCCCTTCAGATCAATGCTTAAGAGGATCTCCGCACGCTTCTCTGACAGTGTACTCTCCAAAATTTTCTCCACAGTGCCAAGGGAGACTGAACGCAGAGGACGTCGTCTTCTGTGCGTCCGTTCAGAGTTGAAGGGGTGTTTGTATGAGCCGCTTTCCCGTTAGCCATTTACCTGAAATAAAGACCAACATAGCCACTCGACTGGAGTTTGAAATATGACCGAGGCCGTCTGTTGGCGGGCGTAGATGACTTATCCATCAAATCCTATTGGCTGAGAACAAGAGCAGCGTCAATATTCTTCCCAATTGGGCGAGCGTCGAGCCTTGGCGCTGAAGCTCCACAGGTCACTGCGGATGAGCCTCAATCACTTCGCCTCGGTCTCAACTGGCTGTGCCGTCGTGATACAACATTCGCAATCATGGCGAATCGAGAAGCAAGGTGCAGTCGCCCCTATGAAGCTGCTTAATGACGTCTCACTCAATTTCCTCACAGATTCAACACCGATGTCTTCGTCGACACGACGCCGATGCCCGATCACATCCCCAAGGTGAAAGAGATCGGAGCCAGTTCAGCACCTTTACTTAGCGCATCATTCTTCATTGGTGCGAGATGTCGACCGTATAATGACGACTACATGCAATGCAAGACCGAAGCGTATGGGCGAGGAGAGCTGGATTGCATGAGAGAGGGGAGGAAAGTGACGAGATGTGCAGCGAGCGTGTTAGTATTGCCCTTCTAGATTTCAGCAAGCGGAACCGATACAAATCTGGCACCCTAGCGACGTTTACGGAGGGAAATGCTGATATGGTTTCAATACCAGGTTGGAAGATATCAACAAGAACTGCCTCGAGGAATTCCGAGCCCACTGGATGTGCCTGGAAAATAACAACCACCAATTATGGCAGTGTCGTCGGCCGGAACGGGCGTTGAATCGCTGTGTATTTCAGAAAATTGTACGCTACATCCATATACCACACCGGTGCCTGGGCTACGGACCAGGGCTGGTTTTGAGGATATGTACTGATCTCAATTCGTGTGCAACAGGGCCTGGAAAAGACCATCCCCGATACACCCAAGGGCCAAACGCCGATCCATCTCCGAGATAAACAGTTGTTTGCTGACACCACACAGGTGGTCATGCCGTGGGAGAAGGATGTGGGAATCAGAAAAGATGAGGCCAATAAGCTTGCATAAAGATATTCTGCTCAACCCGCCTTGATACAAATACATTCACGTACTGAGTCCTCGTGTTTGTCACCAGCAATATGGTTTTGGTGGGTGACATGAGAACGTGAAAAGCTGTGGAAAGATGGCACGGAGAAAATGTGCCATTTGAGGAGAACAATTGGGAGGAGGGCCTTGTACATATTCGAGCATGGGGATCGATGGCGAGAAAAGGCGCCATGAGTGAAAAATCCAAAATGACATATCCCATCTCGGTGTCGCTGAAGCAGACACCCGTTGTCATGTCCGCGTTAGATGGCACGACCATCAGGAAGCAATATGGCAGTTTTTCGGTCGTTTGTCCACGATGGTGTGTCATTTCTCATATTCAAGTTTATCTGATGACCTCAGAGGCCACCGCAACCTCAATCCTCCTCAGGAGGTGTTGGGCACCTGTCTTCCTCGTCATCACTCTCCTCGTCGTCGTACATGGCCACATCTAGGCCCAATTTCCCTTCCGCCACATCCCTCAGCCTCGTCGACAGGCCCCGGGCTTCTTCCAGGCCCATGGCCTTGATGCGGCCGAGGAATTCGGCTTTCGGAATACCATTCAGATACCTCAACTTCTTGCCCCTCATGCCCTCCACGTTCTCAATTTCTTGCTTGATGAGGAGACTGAGAACCCCTAGCTCTTCTTCATCCGCTATGGACTGGCTGATGCTTGGCTTGGTGGCTCGGGCAGGACATTGGGCATTGTGCTCGGTGATATGAGCGGTGGTGCAGTCTGTGCCCCGACAGTTGATGGGTTTCTTGCCATGTCTGCATCGAAGGGGGATAGTGATGGGCTCATTGCATTTTGTGCAGTTCACGGTTTTGGGAGGAGGTTGAGGGTTGGTGGCGTTGGTTTGACGTCTCTTGCTCTTCTTTGGACCCATGGTGTTCGAGATCTCTCGATGATTTTGAGGAAAGAGAAGAGTAACACGTCTGCAGTTTATATTTGGAGAAGGTCTCAAGCCGTGCCAGTCGAAGAAGTCGCCCCTTTCAGACAATGTCATCAACGTTCTGTATCCGAGCGTTTTGTCGTAGTGGTGTTGCTCGTGTGACTCAACGAGAAGGTGAATAGAGAACGTGAGGAAGAATCATTAATAAGATCAGGACTTGCATGTGCCAGAAGGGTCTCTCTCGGCGCTTGAGATGTCATGTTGCACCAGGCTGAACATCTGCTCGATCTTCACAAGTTCAGATACGATTTTGTTGGTATTACTTGCTCGGCGCGTGAGATATCAAAACGGAGAGTGCCCTATGACACTCCTGTGACGCTCGGAGATGGTTCTTGCTTGATTAAAATCCCTGCCAGAACAGACACGGATTGTGAGAGCGATCACTGGCTCCTAGAGTTACAAATAGAGGCTGGAAAACGGAAGCCGCGCCGAGGAGATGCTGGAACCTGAGGCTAGCAGCTGACTGTTTTCATGCAATTTCCAAAGCATATCAGCATGTTGAAGTTCATCTAGAAGCAACATGATGGAAGGCAGGATACGGCGGCTTTGCCCTGCGAATAAGCTAGACGTCTTTTGCCCAATGTGGGCGAGGCTGAGGTTGAAACGGGTGGTTGTTGGGAAGGCTTACCATGGAACCGTCACCGGGAATGGAACAACCGGATCTTCCGGATAAGCAGGTTAGCCGAACCAACCCAAAGCTAACGGTGGCCTGCATACTAAGCCCTGGCGTACCTCTGACTTCACCACCGAAGCTGGCCAACACACCATTTTCCCAAGTCCCCCGGCAGTGGCTGTTCAGGTGACGGCTTCTAGTATCTTGGCTGTTTTTGGCAAGGGTTACCATTATATCATCCGACCGCCATCATGGCCAACTCCAGCCTCTCTCCACCGCAGTCACCAATACCCTCAACATCTGCCACAAGACCTCTACCGGCGAATCGGGTCCATACTGTCCCAGACAAAATGGCAGTTAATGGCCACTTCGCCTCTGCAGGCCAGAACGGGACCGCCGATTTTGAACATGGCGTTCAAGTTGTCGACGAGGACAAGGAATTCAAGTAAGACCTCCAAACTCGACATGGGAGGGTGTGTAGTCTTACTAACTACTGCAGTATTGATTTAGCAAAGTATCTGAACTTCTCCGGAGTCTCCCGTGCCGGCTTTAACTACCATCTCATCTCGGTCTTCGGTTCGCAGTCGACCGGCAAATCCACACTGCTCAATGCTCTCTTCAATACCGATTTCTCAGTGATGTCCGAAGCAGACAGACGTCAGACCACCAAGGGAATATGGTTGTCGAAGAACAAGTCCACGTCGACCAAAATGGCAGATAACATCCTCGTCATGGATGTGGAAGGAACTGATGGTAGGGAAAGAGGAGAAGATCAGGATTTCGAACGGAAAAGCTCTCTTTTTGCGTTGGCGACCAGCGAGGTGTTGATGGTGAATATCTGGGAACATCAAGTGGGGTTATACCAGGGTGCCAACATGGGACTGCTCAAGACCGTTTTCGAGGTCAACTTACAACTATTTCTAAAGGACAAGAAGTCGACGTCACGGAGTCTGCTGTACTTTGTCATTCGAGATTTTCTGGGAACAACACCATTACAGAATCTGCGAAATACCTTGATGCAGGATATGGCTCGTATTTGGACAAGTTTGTCAAAACCACCCGGATTGGAAAAGAGCAGTATCGACGACTATTTTGATTTCGCTTTCACTGCGTTACCACACAAGCTCTATCAACCGGAACAATTTACGGCGGAGGTGGCAAAAATGGCCACGCGGTTCCGAGATGGACATCGTGATCGCAGAAGGGACGCATTAGTGGGAGAACTCGAAGGCGGCATATTCCTCCCGGAATATCATCGAAGGATACCCGCGGACGGTTTTTCACACTACGCGGAAGGAATCTGGGATCAGATCGTGAACAACAAAGATCTCGATCTTCCCACTCAACAAGAACTCCTGGCCCAATTCCGATGCGACGAGATTATGAGAGAAGTCATGGTTGCTTTTGACTCTACCATAATTCCTCTTGAGACTCAACAATCAGACGCCACCAGGATGGGAAAGCCGGAGATCATCTCCGGGCTTGGGGCTGCTATGAAAACCGCGCGAGCGAAATCGATCAAGAATTTCGAGACAGAGGCAAGCAGATACCACAAGGGAGTCTATCAGCGCAAGCGAACCGAGTTAGAAGGCAAGATTGATACAAGATTGAAGGCTCTCTTTGCTGGTCAGCTCTCAGCTGCTCATAAAGAAGGCGTTCAGCAGTTTTCCGACGCTGTTAGTGCCGCCGTCAAGGCTGGACAGAAAAAAGGAGCTTCGTACGATTTTGCTGAAATTGTCAAAGAGCAGAAGAAGATCGCTCTCCACAAATTCGATTCCCTTGGCAAGGAAGCTATTATCGAGGGCTTACCATGGTCAAATTACAGACAAGAAATGATCCTTTACCAAAAGGATTTGGATAAAGTATCTGGACAGCTACGTCGTGATGAGATGCGTCGGCTAGCCACAAGAGTTGAGAGATGGGTAAGGAGTAAATTGAATGACAGCATCGGCCTGGAATTCAATGCCCTTGGTTCCGGCCGTGGCGGGTCTGGAGCTCCTGAAACTGGGGACAAACCGTCGGAGAAGGGTATTTGGGACCGTATCTGGGTCATCTTTACTTCGACCGTACAAGACGCCGAAAAGCGATTCGCCGACCGAGCGGCTTCGTTTGACGCTAGCATCGAGGAAGTTGAGGTTGGTATTTGGCGATTGAGAAGGAAGTCCTGGGGAGTTCTCCGCTCCAAAATCGACGAAGAAATGATGGAAGGTAATCTCTTACTGAAACTTCGCGAAAATTTCGAGGACAAATTCAGATACGACGAAACGGGTGTTCCCAGAATATGGCGCCCAACAGACGATATCGAGGGCATCTACACCAAAGCTCGAGAGAGTACGTTGACCCTCATCCCTCTCCTTGCTCGGTTCCGGCATTCCCAAACCGGGGCACCTCCACCACTCGATCGATGGATCGGACCAACACCCGCTGCCGCAACTGCCGCCGATGAAGAGGATCTGACGCCCATCGGCGGCGTAGATGAGGATGAAGGAAAGAGCTTGGAGGAAGAAACCACGATTCTCAACGACGCCAAACGTCAAGACCTGACCGTTAGATTCAAGAAGGCTGCTGACGGGGTGTATGTTGAAGCCAAGCGTAGTGCGATTGGTGGAATGACCCAAGTACCTCTTTATTTCTACGGTCTGCTCCTGGCTTTGGGCTGGAACGAAATAGTAGCTGGTGAGTATTCTGAATCCCGTCAAATGATCAATGCTGAGTTTTATTTCTAGTCCTTCGCAACCCTGTCTATTTCATGTTCCTGATCATCCTCGCTCTCGTCGCTTATGTCACATATACCCTGAACCTATGGGGTCCGATGTTGAAAATGGCAAATGCAGCCTCTCAGCAAGCCCTTGAAGAAGGAAAGAAACGATTACGAGAATTCTTGGAGGAAAATCCTACTGCTCGACAAGCCTTGGCCATGTCGGGTCGGGAAGAATACGAGATGAAGAACTTGAGTTCATCAAGACCCAACAAGATCAAGACCGACGGTGCTGATGATGAGGATGCCGATGACATGTAGCATGTCCTTTTCCCAGCCAAGGGCATCATCGTCGACACGAATCTAAGGAGTGTGAACCATGATATTAATTTGGAGACAAGTATGTGGAAGGTTCAAGGTGAAGAGACACACGGTGTTGGTCTCATGAACGGCTTGTCCCACACCGAAATTTGGTAGGATGATTGGAAGAGAACTTTTGGCATACCCTTTGCATTCCCGGGCCTTTCTTTGGTTTTGTGTTCTTGCTTCTTTATTCCACAGGTTCGATCCTTGACAATTTCTTTGTCTGGTGAGCAAAAGACGATTTGCCAGATGCGTGCAGATTCAAACTGTCTTTGTCCTTCAACATGCTGACTGTGATCAAAAGCAAACATTCACATAGGCCATATCTGGAACGGGAGAAGGAAGAAAATGGAAAAGAAGAATCCCACAATGGCAAGGTTGACTGAAGAAGTCGGCCTTACTATTGTTGTCTTCACGTACATGGTTCTTGAGAGAGTCGCGTGGGTGGCAGGAGTCGAAGAAGTTACAGTAAGTCGACGAGTGCTTGAGTGGGCTGACGCATATGCTGGTGCATCTTCGGGCTTGAAAAGCAAGGGGCCCAAAAAGTGTCCTGTATGTCAGCCATGAGCTGCCTGACCAAATGCGATATTTTCTTGTCCAGAAGAGCTTTGAAATGTGGAAGTCGTAAAAAACATGGCGGATTGGGGATCATACCAAGGCAATATCCTACGAATATGCCCGAAGAAGCTACCGACCGCATGGTGTACCCTGCTGTATCGGTGATTTGCATTCCATCAGCGCAGCAGAGGCTCCTCCGAAATATATGGCAAGCGCCCCCTCCGTGACCCGCGAAAAACATGAGACGGCACATGCTCGGCAAAAGTGAGATCGGGAAGAACGGATATCTGCAGCAAATTTGCAGAATTGCCGTCCGAAACAGGTCGAGAACTACAAGGTAAGACTCATTGAAGACGTGAGACATTCACCTCGCATCCCTCACGGGACGAACGCAAGTCCGTGATTTGTTGGATACGGTGAGGAACTCGTTCTGCAATGAATCAATCGGCAAATGCCAGGAGTGCTCAACATCGCAATATAAGGGAGCAACACTAGGGGTATATTCACAAGAACCTTCGTCGAATGATTAATTGTCACAAGATGACTACAAAACGCTTCCTACAACTCAGTCTCGCGACCAAGCCTCGAAATGGAAATGGGTATGTGGGGCTTGACAGGGGGAAGACAAGGCTGCCAATGCCAGAGAAAAAGAATTTTTCCCGGTCTGCCCCAGTGTTCATTGTTTGGTCCCAGTTCCCTGGACTCCAACCAACCCAGATCTGCCCGTAACATCAGCACGGCTTCGTCCTCAGCCATGTCAATTCTTCTCAATCATAATACATCCGGTCTATCCAAAAAAATTTTGAAAAGTTTTCCAGCCATCTTCCGTCGATACACCCAATCAACCATTCATCTGCTCACAATTCTATTTTCTTCAGCGCTTGACCAATCGATATAGCTCCGTGTTCATTCTCTTCTTATCTCCCTCGTTCGTGAGCAAGACCGAATGTGTATGAAGTTTTGCCTCCGCTTGGTTCTCCTGCGTCCAAATGATGGTTGCAGGATGAAGGCGGGAATTCGAGTCGTGGGGATACTTCTCCATGGAGTGGAGAAGATGTAAGAGTGCGGGAATGATGTTGCGCAGCAAGCCGAGTTCAAAGGAATTCTGTAACCAAGCAAAAGAGTTGGCGGAGGCGCTCGGAACCAAAATTGGAGGGTGGTCGGGATTGAGAGAAGCGGTCAGGACGAAATTTGCCCAGCAATGTCCATATTCTATGTTTGGTGGTATTCGCTCTCAAGGCTGTCCGTCCCAGTGACTCTATTGTTCAAATTCTTTGTCAACCTCTTCATAGTAATCGAAGAAACCCTTGTACAACTTCACTCCCAGTCCCGGATCCAGCGATCCAGTGGTAGCTCGGATAGAATGCATGCTCAATTGAGGGATTCCACAGTCGATCGCACGACAGCCTAATCGTGAGCTTGTCATGGGTCCAATGGTTCCACCACTTCGACTGTCGTTTCGTATCTGGAATACTTGAAGAGTGCTACCACATTTCTCGGCAACTCGGGACAAGAGAGCCGTTGAAACGCTGTCGGTCGTCATGTGCCCATTTGGATCCGCTGACACCGCAACACCCACATTCAGTCGAGGCGCGTGGTTTTCCAGATAGGCTCCGAGGAAATTCGGGTTGACCGCGTGAATGACATCGGAGGACACCAGGAATGAGTTTGCCAGAGTCTGATTGATCAGGTTGGGACCGCAATAGTTCGACGAAGCTTCGCATATTCTCTCGATCACGCTGGACATGAAGTTGCTTCGGGCACCCTGTCGAAGATAACTCCCAATCTCTTCATCATCGAAACAACCAACCATCTTGACAATTCCAGTAGACGAGTCGTCAGAAGAGGCCAGCAGTGCTTCGATAGCAGCGAAGCAACATAATTTGTCGTCGATTCGGCCAGCAAAGATGAACTCTTTGTCGATTCCACCAAGTTGTGCTGGCTGAACGTCGAACAACTCCAGTTCCCAGTTGATAATGGATGTGTAGTCTTCGATTCCCATCTTTCCGGCAATAGCTCGGACGAGCCTTTCAGGTTGAGTAGCAACAAATATGCCAGCAGGGAGCTTTAGAGAATCTTGCTCTTTTCCGGTGACGTCTGAATTATCCAGGCCGATAATGGGAACCATATTTGTCTCCAGATTAAATGGTCCCTGAGCCGCCGCCCCGAAGTGCGGCGCCAGAGTGGGTATTCTCGCAATAGGCCAGTCCAACTTCACAAGCTGTTCTTTTATCTTTCCATCCTTCTCTCTCACGAGGACCTTTCCACCGATCCCTAGGTCACGATCCCACCAAGTCATGTTCATTCCACCAGCGTATGGAGCGACACCCAATTGTACGTATCCAGCTTTGGTAGATGACTTTGAAACAGGCTTCACTTTTGCCGTCAAGGCGTCGATATGTCCAGCAACAATAGCAACACCGTTGCCAGGCCTGTAATCCTTTCCAACAGAGAACGCGATGAACGCACTGCCATTGCGCTTGGTATAGTATTTCCCCCCCGGCTGAATCGTCCATTGTGCTCTCTCAGGCAGGAAAGTATAGCCAGCATCAGCTAACTGAGTGGCGAAGGCGTCGACAGCGTGAAACACGGTAGGATTGTTGGTCATGAAATTGAGATAAGGTTGCGTGTATTTCTCGGGTGAGAATGTCTTCTGGGGAACAGGGAGCTGTGATGAGGGCGGACAGGCCGTATGTTGGACCACACGGTCGTAGCCTCTCGATACATGAAGAGGGAGGTCCTCGTGTATAGAAGAGAAAAAGCCAGACGGCGTTTTCCGGACCATGATAGGATGTGTGTCGACACCAAACTCTAGAAACCAGTACCTGGGGATAAAAATGAGCGCAATGCGATATACAAGCGTAGAAAGTGGCCGTCGCATGCAGGGCGGAAGAAGCTGCCCCGGCAACCCTCAACCGGGGCCAATTCTTAAGAGCGTCACAGCCTGGCAGCGCATCGCAAAGCATCTGACCTGCCACCTACATCCTCAATTCCTATTGTCAAACTCCTCTCGGTGTCAGCCATCATCTCTTCCGACATTAGGGAGACCTCGAAACCAAAATGAGCTCCAGCGTCGCCTCCAAGCGTCTCTTCCAAGAGTACAAGTCCTTGCTGACCAACCCCCCTGATGGCATCACTGCGGGGCCTGTCAATGAGGACGACTTATTTGTCTGGGAAGCTTTGATTCAAGGGCCTGAGGGAACTCCATTTGAGGGCGGCATCTTTCCTGCAGAACTCAAGTTTCCTAAAGATTATCCTCTCAATCCGCCTAAGATGAAGTTTTTGGGAGAAATATGGCACCCTAATGGTACGACATCGTCTGTAAGGACGTGAGCATGGCTAATCCTCTCTCTTCAGTCTACACAAATGGCGAAGTGTGCATATCCATCCTGCATCCTCCCGGCGACGACCCAAACCACTATGAGAGCGCTTCTGAAAGATGGTCTCCGATCCAGAGTGTGGAAAAGATCTTGATATCTGTCATGTCCATGCTGGCCGAACCAAACGATGAGAGTCCGGCCAACGTTGAAGCGGCAAAAATGTGGAGAGATCGACGGCAGGATTTCGAAAAGCGAGTGCGAGAAGGCGTGAGACGGTCGCTGGGGTTATGATCGAATATGGCTGCGTCAGGATACCACCGTGATGTCTTTCGAGCCATCTCCCAGCTTCCTTACCAACCAATCCTGAAGACCGCCTTTTCTCTCATCCAAAATCTGAATCTCTGCTTTTCGATTCAACATGAGCATGCGCTGGAGCTCGGCCATAGTCTCTCGCAAATCCGGCAGCACCGCGCCCGACCCATCTCGCCACTCCTCACTAGCAAGCATTGAAATTGCCGTTATCCTATCTCTCGTCGTCAGGAGCATGGATGGCTCATCGGGATGCCCAAATGACACCACATCTTCCACTTTGAGGCCCAACCATTTCAGTTCCGGCGTGTTACAGTTATGTTCTTGTGCTAAGTTCTTGGAACCGTAGAGATAGCACTTCAGCATCCGAATTCCATCGGGGTCCCAGTCGAATAGGCCGAATACTTGCGTCGAGGGTCGAGCATGGTTGAGCAGGAGACGCAAAATTTTTCGGGTCGCAAGATCTGGATAGCCCTTGGCCTATGAAATTGATCAGCTCGCCCGTTCCAAAGCCGTTCGAGGCATATTTACGGTGAGGACTCCCCCAGGGCCAATGGTCGTATGTTGATGGAAGCGTCCCTCTACAAGAGCGTTGAACGTTGCCTGATCATTGTCAGGACCCTGTTACCACCCTGGAATCTTTCCACTGACCTCCTTCTCAACGACGAGGATCCATTGGAGATGTTGAATTCCCGTGATCGATGCGTTTTCACACGCGGCTTGGATCATTGATGGCCGACCTGCTTCAGATGGGGCGGGAAGGCCTGCCATCAAGCCTTTGGGGCTAGCGGTCTAAGTGAGGATCAGCGTTGAACGTGAACTTCCTTGAATTTGGAACACTTACGACATTCATGTCTCCCCTTGTTACCTGACAGGTATAGGCAATATCGTCAATGTATCGATCCACAATTTTTTGTCGCCTAAAAAGGGACGGGTCGCGATAATATATGTCCCTATCAATGTCAGCGATGTCAGCGATTCACCGGAGCTCCTTCAGATGGCAAACCTCTTGGTGACCGTGATGCCGGTCCTGATTGCGGTGTGTATCTCTCCCAATATCCGGCCCAAACATGCTACAAAAAAGGGTCAGAAAACCCAAAGAATCCTCGGTTCTCTGGTACCAAACCGCCATGATTCATCTGCATTCTTTCCCGGGAAATAGTATTTAACTTCACGGTCTTCAGTATGCCACTTCAGCCGCATGAAATCCGTAGGATCGTAGTAGGGTTTCATGGTGATAATTCGTCTGATCACGATAACGGGTCTGCCGCACGGACGGACTTTGATCTCATGTAAGATGCCATTGAAGGTTGTTTCAATATAGTCGAGGACTTTTTGGTTGCCCGCTGAAATGGTCTCCTTTCGTGATGTCGATGGGCGGTCATCGACAGGCATCCCTAGATTCATTATGCAAATTCGTCCTTGAGCATCTCCGATTCAAGGTTAGGACTAGCCAGGGGTTAGATCTTGGGAGTCGGGTTCGGCTGTGCCAGTGGCGAGTCACAAAAGCAGTTTTGCGGAGAGGAATCTCCGCGCGTGCGTGCCCGCCAATCCGCTTGCCGACACCCCTGTGCCGACAGGGGGGATTTTCCTCATGCCGAATGGCCTGACAATTCCAACCACGCTGTTGGTGGTACCTGAATCTCATATCCATTTCGGCAAGACGCACGCCCCTCTACCTTTCCTTCATGCTCAATTTTGAAGTCAAGTCAACTCTCGAGTCGAAAGCATTGAAAAATGGTGCAGACGCGACAGTCGGCTCAGAAAGCTACAAACGTCGTCGCCAACGGTCATGTCAACGGAAGTGCGAAGGGTCTGGTCGATGGAAACGACACAAATAGCAGCAGCAACAAAATTGATCGTTCCAGATGGCGATTACTTGATGAATCAGGTCGCCATACCTGGTACTACTTAAAAACAGACGAAGAGGCCGAAGAATGGCCCCAGACAACTGCGGACAAATATCATCTAGGTTTGCCAACAGTGAGGCGTTTAGGAGGTCTGGGGGGAATGTTTGCTAATGTACCCAGGATCTTCCTGACCTCCCTCCGGCCACGAAACCCTCTGAATCGATAGAGAACTGCTTGAAATTTTATTCCAAACTACAGTTACCTCCAGGAAATTGGGCATGCGAGTATGGCGGCCCTCTGTTCCTCCTCCCCGGCATCATTATTTGCTGGTACGTCACGGGTACACCGATACCGCCCGAGTATCAAATTGAAATCAGAAATTACCTTTTTGCAAGACAAAATAAAACAGATGGTGGATGGGGTTTACATGTCGAAGGGCACAGCTCCGTCTTTGGAACCGCAATGAACTACACAATCTTGAGAATCCTAGGGGCTAGCGAAGAAGATCCACGAATGATCCACGCAAGAGGAAAGCTACACCAACTTGGAGGAGCAGTGAATGGTCCTCATTGGGCCAAATTCTGGCTGAGTGTCCTGGGAGTGATGGATTGGCCCATCGTGAACCCTGTCCCCCCCGAGTTGTGGTTACTCCCAGACTGGGTGCCGATTGCTCCCTGGAGATGGTGGGTTCATATGCGACAGGTCTTCCTCCCGATGTCTTATATCTGGTCAAAGAAGTTCACGATGCCCGAAAACGCGCTCATTCGACAGCTGCGGCAAGAATTATTTGTACAACCATACGACACCATTGATTTCGGCTCGCACCGCAACTCGATCGCCCCAGAAGACAACTATAACCCCAAATCCTGGTTGTTAAATTTGATCAATGTCGTCCTCGTATGGATCTGGATTCCGTTCCTTCGAACCAAAACCCTGGCCGAGCGGGCAGAGGCGTGGACCTGGCGACTAATTCAGTACGAAGACCAAAATACTGATTATGCTGACCTGGCCCCGGTCAATGCCCCCATGAACACCATTTGCTGCTTCATCAAGGAAGGGCCTGACAGTTACTCTGTCCGCCGCCATTTGTACAGACTGGAGGAATACCTGTGGGTGAATAAAGAAGGCATGCTTGCCAATGGTACGAACGGTGTCCAGGTTTGGGACACATCGTTCACAATCCAAGCTTGTGTGGAAGCCGGTCTTGCTCAGTCAGCAAGTTGGAAACCCATGCTCTTCAAAGCCCTTGAATATCTTGAATCCGAACAAATACGTGAAGAAGTCCCTGACCGTGAGATCTGCTACCGCCAATCCCGCAAGGGGGCCTGGCCGTTCAGCACCAAACTTCAAGGCTACACCGTATCCGATTGTACCAGTGAAGCTCTTCGTGTAGTGCTGCTTTTGCAAAACGCCAACAACTACAAGCCCCTGGTCGACGAATCTCGTATCCGTGATGCGGTCGACGTGCTCTTGACCATGCAGAACAAACACACTGGTGGGTTTGCCAGCTATGAGCCACAGCGCGGGTCCGAGTACTTGGAAATGCTCAATGCCGCCGAGGTTTTCGGCCGTATCATGGTCGAATATGACTACCCCGAATGCACCACCGCCGTGGTCACGGTGCTGTCACTCTTCCAGAAATTCTATCCAGACTACCGTGCCCAGGAAATCAAGCAAATAAAGGAGTCTGCGTTGCAATACATTCGACGGGCGCAACGCGATGATGGATCCTGGTACGGCAGCTGGGGAATCTGCTTCACTTATGCGGCGATGTTCGCACTGGAATCCTTGTCTTCCGTCGGCGAGACGTATACGAACTCTCCGCGCATCCAGAAAGCATGTGATTTCTTGATCACTCATCAAATGGCTGATGGTGGGTGGGGCGAAAGTTACCGGGCCTCAGAGCTCAAGGTCTGGGTTGACCACGAACGATCTCAAGTTGTGCAGACGTGCTGGGCTGTCATCGCGCTGATGTATGCGCAGTTCCCAGATAAAGAGCCCATTCGGAAAGCCCTGGCTATGGTGATGAGCCGCCAGCAGAGCAATGGAGAGTGGTTGCAAGAGGCGATCGAAGGCGTCTTCAATTGTTCGTGCATGATCACATATCCGAACTACAAGTTCTATTTCCCGATCAAGGCGTTAGGGATGTACAAGGCGAGATGGGGGGATGAAAAGATGATTTGAATTATTGATCACGGTCCCGGTTGACGGGCTCTTGGGACTCTCCCCCCCCAAAAATTGGATTCAATTTCAGGGAGTAGATCATCGACGGTCTACGAGAAGGGTTTGGTAAGGAAAACACATGGATTCTGTTGTCAACTTTTCCCCAGGACACGTCAGAAAATGACTGTTATGTCAAGTTCCAGCAGCCAGTCACTTTCGATGCTTACGAGATATCTAATTAGTCAAACGACATGGAGACAACCCGGCAGACATATTCGGGGCAAATCTTCATACCGTTTCTCTTTTCTATGACCCGACTGGCGCCAGCGATGGAGATCCGGCTCGATTGATTTGGGATTTCTCCAGAGAATTCAGCGTATTTCAAACGTGGAGGTCTTCAGTTTCTGGTGACTACCGTGCAGCCATTGATTGCGTGTCAAACTTGAAGGAGATCGGTGATAGGACGTTGGTGTATGCGTTTCACGCAGACCCCATAAAGGGTGCGTGCTAGAGAAAAGACGTCGATGGACTGCTTCAAAAAGGAACTAGAAGGCCAATACAATACCACCTCGATGTAGGAATGTGATGGACTTGACAGCAAAAGCCTTGGTAAGCATCTTCTTGATTGGGAAATTTCCGATGTTCCAGATCTCCTCGTCCATACGAGGGGCACAAAAATTGTTGACTTCGATTGGCTCCAAGGCAGAGGAAGACTCTGATCAAGAAAGTTCTTGCGCAAGAATTCCAAATCTCAGGAACTGGAACCGGTTCCTTCTGTCTGGTCATCAAGAAAAGTTAACGGGCGAGGCACTGACATTCTGGGCGCGTCGATAGCTTATCGATAGCATACTTAGTCACAACTCAGACCGGGTTGAGCCAATCACCGCACACGTCTCACGCTTCCCTCTAGCGCCTTCATCATTTGGAATGATAGCTTCTGGCATAGAACATCAACATAATAAACGGCCCCATGCATGCAGAAGCAGTAAAAGCACCCGATGTGTCGCCAAGAAAATTTGCCGATTGGGATTGAATGAGTATATGGGATCGGTCTCGCCTCCTTCAGGACCTTCCGTAAAAGTTGCTGGAAACGTCAAAAATTACGTCTCTTGCCTCTTTCAGTTCGACGCTCCGCCCTCCCCTCCTTTCCTTCTATTAATACTGTTGACCTCGGTATTTGCCGGTTACGTGGCTTGCGCTGGTCGGCCCGGATCCGGAGGAATTTAAAGAACTTTGGAGTAGAAATAACTTGGATTTGAAGTTGAATACCTGGCGACGTCCGTTACGGGTAACCCTGAGTCGCATTCGTTTGGGCCGATGGTATTGCACCATGCATGGTCACCCTGAATGGTTGCGCCTGTTCCCGGTGGGATCCTAGATCATTGAAACCTCAACTTGGATAACACATTTGAACCTCGGATGGTCTTTCTCGCACGTAAACCGGCTCCTCCCAGTTGGTGGCCTGGAATATCTGAGCGCAGGGTCATATCTTTCATATGTCCTGCCCGGTTCAATGATCTGGTCTTTTGATACTTTTTTACATACGACCGATTGAGCGGAGGCCTGAGGTGACACGTGTTCATTCAATCTGGCATTTGAATCGACGTTCATGTCCCGCTCAGTCAGGATCGTTGCTGGCATCATAGTAAGATTTAGAGGGGTCTTCGTAGATAAATGTCGTCGTGGTGCTGCCTAAACTCTGACATGAGCAAGGCGACATACCGGGTTCGGTCGAATCTGCGCTGGATTCCCTCTTGCCTTGATAATTCATGTTGTCTCTGTCTCCGGATTTGGAGAGAAAGGTGTTGAAGACATTCTCCACGTGGACCCCTCTCACTTTGACATCTTGAAAAGCTGTGACGAGCCATTCGGTCGCCGCAGTATTGCCAAGGCGCTGAAAATGTGTGAAAGCGAGATTGGCAGGAAAGTTGATGATATGTGCCCCCAGAGCCCCCATCTCTGGCTGTAGACAGTAACGCACTGTTCGGCATATGTCTGCGGCATGTTTCTCGGCGTCAAAGAGCTCCCTTAGTGATGTTGGCTCGACGGATTGGAGCAACTTTTGATCCCGACGTTGGACTGCCCCGACCATGTCATCGACCACTTCGGCCAGGGCCAGCGACGACGTATGGTAGACTAAACGTGCTTGAACAAATAAATGGTTCTCAAACCAGAGATCGGTGTCGAAAGGATAACCATCTTGTTCCGTCGACGCATGTTTGATCACGCGAGGACTGGCTGTTGTCTTGGTGCCATCTCTCCACCGGTTCATCCGGAGCTGTAGATCTCGACATTGCTCCAGGGTCTCCATCAGCCCTTGGCCGCTTTCGGAATCACTTTCTCGGAGCAGGTCAAACTTCTCGAGGATGCCTGGGATGACAGTGGCCAGGTCGACCATCCTGTCAAAATAGGTCCGCTGCTGTGTTGCCCAGGGAACGGTCAGCCATTCTTCGTTTGCGAGATAGGTCGACTTCCTCTGCAAAATAGCGGCGTAGATTGTCGGAGTCCGAGACGCGAGAAAGGGATGGTGAGCATTCCAGTTCTGGTGACGTTGGGGGCCGCGGAGCTGGATAAGTCGAGCGGCTCCTTGAGCATGGGCCATCCAACTTCGAGAATTGAAAGCAGGTCCCTCGAAAACTTCGTATAACCCAAGGAGCATACATGCCATCAGGACATGATCCGAGTGCATTCGGTCCGGGTCGAAGAGAGCAAGCTGCAATTCCTTGAGAGCTTTGCCGTAAAGTTTGGTGCTTTCACGGACGAGGCGAATATCCCTATTTCCTTGGCCAACCCTGGAAATGCTCAAGGCCGAGAAAGCATTTTCAAGCGAAGCATCCTGTTGATGGATGTTCTGGATGACTTCGATCCAATTCATGGGATGTTTGCATTTGAGGATGAACTCATCCCGGACTTCGCAGTCACCCTGGGGCAAATACAGGTCCCAGAAGAGACTTCGACATTGAGACTCGATAGCATTCCGATCAATTGACCCAGGAAGGGAGATGGAGGTGGCTTTGACCTGAGGAAGAAAAATAGCACCTTCAACGGCCTTGCTGGCAGGATGAAGGATGAAGGTTCTGTCGCGGTTATATCCCCCGCAAACATAGCCACTAGAGGCACATTGACCGCAAATGGGACGTTTCTGATCGCACTAGATGGCTGGTAAGTCATGGATGAAGGATGAATCTGGATCCGGGTCCCACATACGCCTTTTTTGCGGCGACGACAGGTGCTGCAGCCTTTACTTTTGCCAGGCACGCCAACCATGGCTAACCACCATCTCCTTGAGTTGTTCGGCAAGGTGGTCCAATAATGAGAGAAGTCGAGGACGTCGAGCCAGGCTCGGGCGCAAGAAGTATCCAAATGGGTGAGACGGGGAAGAGTGAAAATGTATACATCTTGCGACGAAGGGCGGGGTGAGAGAATAAAAGGCTTGAGAGTGGACAGGGTCATGGACAAATAGTAAAGTCAGTTACCTCATGGATGGTTATTGAGCCGCTGTGAACCGTGTCGGGGGCCGCATGGAAGCATAGGGCGGAATAGAGTCGATTGGGCCGTTTCAGAGGGTGAAAAAGGAAAGGCGTGTCAGTATTCCTGCAGATGACAATGGTTATGAATGATGGGCGGGGTTTTGGCCCCCAATCTGATGGAAGTACCTTACCTCGCACTTGAGGCAGTAGTAGAGGTGTACAGTGAGGCAACTCAAGTTGTGGGCTTGACAATGCAGAAGATTCACGGCTGGTGAGCGCAGTTGGGGAGCCAGAATTTGGCGGCACTGGGGCCATTTCAGTCGGAGAGTCGGCAGGATGAGCCAGCTACCCAAAACAGACATTCAAGAGCGTCTACTAGGCATCGAATACGATTATACCGAGGCGCGGAGTATTTATTCAGTATAGAACTGCACTAGGAGTGCGTCAGCAGCGCCTAGGCCACAGAAAGAGCATAGTACGGTGTATGTCGCTTGCCCCACCAATTTCATGGCCATGTAAACAACAAATCTCCCATGCAGCTGCACTGGTTATACTGGTACACTTTACTCTCAATCAGTCTTCTTGATCATGCATAATAATTTATGACCTTAATGTCTATGGCGAATTGCTGTCCCCCGCTTCAACTGCATCATAAACCGTGAGGAACTCGCGGCTCTCCTTTCCCAAACAAACTCCAAAATGTCCGCCTCCGACGCCGCTTCACAGAATCAAACCTGTCCCTCTCCACTCTCACCTCGACAAAAGTTCCAGGCAGACGTTCGAACACTGAGTGACCATGGTTCTTCCGCTCCCAGAAATGCGTCCTCTTCGCGAAGATCTCCAGAGTTGCAGCATGTCTCCAGCCTGCGAGTTCAACCAATCCCTCCGCAAGATATCTCTCAACCAAATCCAATCTACAGATTCAGCGATTCCGCTTTGGATTCGGCGAGGGACGTGCACCGCGAGTCACCATTCACCTTGGAGGAACGGGAAGCTTGGAACAGGCCTTCACCAGTCAGAACACGCAAAGGGATATCGGAGGATGTGTTCATCCTACAACCACCACAAGAAGACAGTCCTATCCCACAGCCCAGCAAACCGATGAGAGAGTTGCAGTCATTTGCTCCCTGTACAGGCCACACAGACATCAATGAAAGACCTAAAACCAGTCGAGGACTCAATCCTGGTCAATCAAGCCGGCCGACCAGTCGTGACCACACCCACGAGGGGCGGGATCAGAACCCTCGGAATTCCAAGTTCGCCGAAGGAAGCATGAATGAGAGATCTGCTGGCATCTCCTCTACCTGGCTCGAACACGGCTCCATCTCCAGTCTTTCTGGAACAGAATCGGACAACGAACCCCTTCCGCGAGCCTCACCACAGCGCTCCTCCGTCGACTTGGAAGAGTTCCAATCGGCCCCCGCAGCTTCTGCAACTCTCCCAAAACGTCTTTTCAAGATCGGCTCAGCCTTCAAATCTAATGAGAATGCAACCAAGCCTGAAACCGAGCCTCAACCGGCGACGACGACGAAGAAGAAAGGCCTGAGGAAAAGTATGTCGATGTGGAGCATTCATAATATTGGAGAAAAGATGAAGACGTTCGGAGGATCAACAAATGACTTGACGGCAAAAGCGGCTTCTCCAACCAAGAAAGCGTTTGCATCTGGCCACGCCAATGACATAGATGTCCTCAATGACCGAAAAAGGAGAGCGGAGGAGACCGGCGCCCGGGAGCTTGGTGTGAAGAGAAGGAAGTCTGATGTTAGTCAACCTTCCGCGTCAAATGAGCAAGGTTTGAAACGGACTCTTGTGGCAGCGCCTTGTCAGTCACTTGCTCGATATGAGGGCAAGACACCACCCAACAAGACACGACTGAGCCGATCGTCGTCCACCATAGGGACGAACGACTTGGAATTGGCCGACAATTATAGCGATCTCGATCGCCACAGACGCCCTACACGTCGAGAATTGGAGATTGAAAACCAACAGCTCCGAGCCATGTTGAGACAACAGCAGGAGGATGCTCGTCAGAAAGGCAGCGTTTCACAAGAAACATCTTCTTCCACCAACGTGCGCCAGCCACAGGAATCGGGACGTACACCTGCTTCGTCACCGCGCCGGTCATCTGCTCAGAAACAGAGCCAGAAGCCTTCGGGGAAAGATGTACCACCAGTTCCTCCAATCCCAGACCGAATCGCCTTGAAGAATTTAAGCAATACGAGAAATCAGCCTCGGAACGACAACAGCAACACCAATGTCAACAGCAATTCTAATATGAATCGCAACAGCAGTTCTGACCCGATGACGAAGACTGGGTTGCGAAGCGCAGCTGGACTCCCGCGTTCAGTTTCGATGATCCTCGAAGAAGATGAGGAAGGAGTTGAGAATAAGGGTCCAGGCTCGAGTCCAGGGAGATGCCCACGAGACTTGGAGATGGAGAAGATCACAGTTCAAGAACAGATCGCGCTACAGATGAAAGGGGTCAAGCGGGAACCGTGGGAGTGGCCAGATGATGTATTCTGAGACCATAAGACCCAGTGAACTGAAGTGGACGAGAAATGAGATCACGAATGATGAGAGCAGTTGACTTTGAATTTGATGATCTCGGAGAGTTTTATGACGGGTCTGACGCCGGAACGAGGTAAAGAGAATGAGTACGTTTCGGCGGATCTGGTTTTCGACTGTGCTTCTGTTTTGTTTCATTTGAAGTCCGGATCCAGTCCGGACAGAAAGTCCAGCAGAGACGAGGGTTCCTCAGCACCGTGCGACGAGACTCGATCTGTTATTTTCACATTGTCTCGAGTATGAGCATTCATGGAGCGAGCATTGATTCATTCATCCAGCCTTGGGCTAGTCTACAATGGGGTTGATCGAGTGAAACCCAAACTGTGCCGTTTCCCGTCCTTAGTAAGAATAGATATTCGCAGTGATTCATTGTACAACCTCAACACAAAATTGCCCAATGGCGGCGGCCTGGAAAGATGAAGTAGAGGACAACGCGTCGTTAGTAGCCGGCCTCTTGATATTGAATGAGGAAGATCCGCCGTGCCCAACAAGAGGGGTTATGTTGCCGGTAATTAGCTTCTGGGAGACCAAATCTGCTTATTCAAGCATCAGATTCGAGACCATCTCCCATTGGACTCTCGCTGTATCCGCTGACCTCATGCATTATGTCCGATCCTGGTCTGCCGCCTGGCTCCCCGCACACAGACAAGCCTCAATCAGGCATATAAAATGATGTAGGGTTGGTTTGTACAAAAGGTGACATGCCATGTCAGTGATATCTCGATCATCTTGCGGTCCTGGGGCATCTCTCACTTCATACATCAAAGGTCGACCATCAACTTGGAACTTCACTCCGCGGTACAACTACTTTCAACACACCATCGCCCCGACGCGACGAAGCATGGCCACAGCGGCCCACATTGAACTCAACCCAACCATCACCGCTGGCGTCTATCACGTCCCGGATATCACAGCCGAATCCTCCAAGATTGGAAGCCAACTCCTGCAGGAGAACCATGACAAATTCCACATATACTTTAACCAAAGTGGTTTTCACAACCACATTGCGCATCATTTATTGACCATCTACGCTCTTGGTGCCACGCCAGACGAGATCCGGCGCGCCTTTGACAACAACAAGACCATCCAGCGACCACAGTTCCCCGTGGAAAAGCGGAATGTGCAAGACATGGCTGATCGTGACCAGTTCAAGCGGTTTCTAGGTAAAGAACAGTATTTTCACGACTATGAAGCCTTCTTTCGCAATGAAATCGACACGAAGGGCTGGGAGGCGGTACTTAACGAGCATGTGTTCGCGAGAGACGAACATGCGGATCGAATGCGGGCAAGAATGCTGGCAGGTAAGTTCTGGCATCCTCCTTCAAAGAAGGTGCTTTGACTGACCAAGGTCAGGCTTCCTCCACCCATTAATTCACCTTGGATTCGGCGTCGAGTTCAAACAGCCGGCCATCATCGTTGAAGCACTCGCCCAAGCTGCCACCCACGACGGCTGGACTGGAATATTCCTCCATGCCGCCGAGAAAGCCGCCGGAAATTCCAAGTCGTCGTCCAAGAGCTTGGTGCAACTCATCCATGAAAGCCGTGCGAATGATAAGCTCCGCACGTCAGCCCATTGGGAGGACGGCAATAAAGTCCGAGACGGGGTCTTCGTTCGCGCTCCAGACGAGATGGTGGCGCTCGCCTCCCAATGGATCGTGACGCCCGATCAACTCGAGCGGAAAACCGCCGAGATGATCAATGCGACTGTCTACTTCGCCGGGGCAGCACAACGTCCCACGAAGCAAGTCAAGTTCGACTTCTTCTACATGCACTGTGTCAACTGCTCGATCTTCTTCTCCACGTTCCTCAACGAACCGTGGTTGAGGGTGGAAGATAAATGCAGGCTCTTGGAATGGAAAGGACGCCTTGATCTCGCCATGTATGTGTCAAGAGGATGTCCGGAGCTGTTGATCGACGAAATTAAGAATTACAAGCCCGAGAGACCGGAAGACGGGTGGGCCGAAATTACGCGACGAGTAGACAAATTCCCCGACGATGGACATGCGAGCAAGCTGGTTCGTGCCCTTGCGAATGGCCAGCATGTTTGCAAACCCTATGAGAGCGAATCAGACGATGTATTTCCAATCAAAGGCGACCATATGTGGTGGAAACTGGGTCATATGGCGATTGACTCGGTCGAGACCAGTAATCCTAACTGGGTCAGAAGCTGCGGATTTGCAGAGGCATGGGAGAAGATTCCAGAGCGAGCAAAGTTGTGACTTGACAGCACCCATGTATTATTAGTGCAATTGTCTGGCGAAGTCCGAGCATGCTCAGGCGTTAGCACAGGAAAGGCGGCTCACGACGCTTGACCTTATGTTCAAAATTCGGATTATGGTTGAAGTGTCACGTGAGCGGGCGGCAAGATTTTTGAGACAGAATCCCCGCATGGGACATCATCGACGACCTCCAGGCAACTGGCGACCACCCATCATCTTCCATCGCTTCTCTTATTTCATCTCTTCGTCCTTCATTTCGTGTGTAAATCGCTTCCATTGACAATCATGCCAGAAGAAAACAGAAAGGACACCGCCATCCCACCTCCCTACGATCCCTTCCCCACCTATCAGGCCCCATATCCTCGATCGAACAAGGACGACGAGAATCCGTTCATTCAATTTCGTCGTTTTGCGGATGAGCAGTTCTCATCATTCTTCCAAGGTGTCCCTCACATGTTCGGCTTTTCTCCCCGCAACGCTGCCCGCCGAGACGACCTCAAGAAAGATTTCGAGGACCTGATACGCAGGAGACACGAGCTGGAAGAAGGCTGCAGGGAACAGTTAGAGCGAGAGATGGAAGAGATGAGGCAGACTCTTAAGCAGTCTCAAGATCATCGGACGACTATGGAAAATGCTTGGAACTTTCCCAACGGCAACGCATCGTGGTGGACGCATGGAAGAGTAGCTCAACGTCCGGCATTAAATGGCGAAGAGCCTCAGAAAAAATGCCCTGCTCTCTATGATGACGCTGGCAATCCGAAGACAGAATTGGATGTCTACGAGGGCATTCAGGGAGCAAATAGCAAGCAAGTCCAGGCATTTCAACCACCTGTCCAGGATGCCTCTAAGAAGTCCTCCAGATCCTGGTTTTCGGCACTCGGATGGGACGGGAAGCAAATGGAAAAGGGCGTGGAGAACGACAAGGCTGTGTCCGATAACCCTTCCTCTGACAAAGAAATCGCTCGACCGACGAAGTATACTATGTTCAACACACGTCGGATGGACCCCTTCGATGATACAAATCACACTATCCCATGGCTCATGCTAAGCCCGTACTCCCCGATCTACCTCTGTAACCCCTCCCAGTCAAGGCTTTTCAAAGTCCAAATCCAGGATTCTGAGGATACACCTTTACGGATATCCCGACCTAGATTCTTTGAGAGATGGTACTCAGACGTCGACGAAAAAATGGCAGAACAAGTTCCCTGGGCTGATGCTTTTGAGGATTTGGTTAGCCTCCAACAGACCGGCAAGATGGTGGATAGAGACTCCTCGACCTGGCGGACACCGAACACGTGGATCCACGACATGGTGAATCGAGGAAGCCTGGGAAGTCGCTGGGGTTTCGATGATGAAGGTCTTCTGGTCAAGCGACATGTCGAGCAGAAGACCACTGATGCGCCATCGACTATGAAGGACCGATGCACACGACCCAAAGAGCGGGGATGGGGATGGGGATGTCACCGACGATGTGAAAAGTCCACTGGGGATGAGCAACAACATTCTCTTCAACTCGGCGAGAAAGAGAAGGACTTGATCGACGACCTCGTCGACAAAGCGACCAGTCCTCTTACCTCGTTCCCTCTCTTTGGGAGCATTCTTTCGGCGGCTGACGCTATCGTCTCTGCTGTTGACCAAGCCCAAAAGGAACTCGAAGAGATATCAGAGGAAGCATCCCCTGATGACGGGTCTGAGCCCGCTCCAGCCGCACAAGAACCCACGACATCCTCTTATTCGGCAACTTCCTCTTCATCTTCCTCCTATGAAGACAGTTTTTCCTCTTTCCCTTCCTCGGACGGCTTCGATCCTTCCAAATCCGTCATTGCCACCTTGACCTCAACTGTCACGCGGACCCTGCCAGATGGTTCAATTGAGACGAAACGTGTTCTGAAGAGACGCTTTGCCGATGGTTCGGAAGAGAGCGATGAGAGTGTGGAAATGAAAAATCTGCCATCCACCCACCGGACAAACGATGCGAAAGATAGTGTTGAGACGCGCAACCCATCTCCAACACTGATTCAGGCCCAGTGGCCTGAGCCTCGACCCACGGCTCGTCCTGTTCAAGATGCTATTGCTGAGCACCAGCAGAAGCTGAAGATTGAACAACAAGATCAAAAGGAGGCCAGAGCTAAACGGAGCGGGTGGTTTTGGACATGATCTACGCTCCTGATCACTGGACCATTTCTGTCTCTCCTCTCTCTAACCACTTCCATCAACAAGCGGAACCATGGAACTTTCCTTCCAATCTGTGACTTTATTGATCCCCTTGACGAATATCAAATTGAATCAGGTTTGTGTTTGGTATCACAGGAGACGTGTTAGATGTGGACTTGGGATATGGGATAGGGAATGAGCTTAAAGCGAGGAACTCGCAGAGGTGAAATCAACTCCACTCAGGTCCATAGCTACCGAATTTTATATATATACCACCCGCCTCCATACATCTATCTTCTTATTCCATTTCCCATTCTTTAGTGATAGTTTTGCCATGCGTTCCTGTGCAGGATTATAGTACAACGTCAATGTGGATGCAAATATGGCAAGAATATGGTTCCATTTCCGGATAAGAAAATGTCATCAACTAAGAAGTTCATAAGACGACCCAGTTTACTATTGTCACAGCAGAGCGCCAACATCCAATATCTCGATTGGCGCCTCGATATACTCTCTCTCTGCTCAATATCGCTAAGTCTGTGGGACAGTTTTTGGGAATGTCTCGGGAGAGCGACAACCCACAGCGACTCGCGTACCACAGCGACATTGCTAAACACCAATCAGGCCTAGCTTGTGCGAGCGTTGTCCGCATGATGGAAAGGTACCTGGAAACCCCACCCAAACCCTAGTAAAATCGCACAAATCGAGGTACCAAAACATCAAAATTGAGGCATTCACATACTTTTGGTATTTGCGAGCTCTTTGCCTCATTGTTGCTCGATTCGCGACTTGTATAGACTTCCTGGTGTTGCAGAGTCCTGTTTGACCCTTTTTGACCTCTTGTTGCTGCAGCCTCAATGGCCACTTTCTTTGTCGGCGACCTCTGGCAAGCGCCCTCAAGGTGCGCTCCAAAATGACGTCCACCTTTCGGATCGATCTAACCTCAAATGCCCCAACAGCAAGACCAACTACTCCTTCTCGCCCCGAGACCCCTCCTGTCCTTGAAACTCCTCCTTCTTCGCCTCAGATTACTCCTCTTTCACGGCGTCTACCGATTCGCACTCCTGAAAGACCCCGACCGCGTCGATCGCCCTCTCCTGAGGGCTTGCCAGGAGGACTACACAGGCGACAGACAGGCCACAGGGGTGGCAGAGAGGGTCTGACACGCCACAACACCAAAATCGAGTGCAAAAAGGCGTGGAAAGGCGAATGCAAAGGACTCCGTTAAAAGGGGTCAACGACGTCGTTGAAAGAACATCAAAAAGCGCCAACTATGTGAGGGAGGCCAGGTGGATGGAAAGGTACCTCAAATCCCCAGGGAAAATAGGGGGTTTCAGGTACCTTTCCATCATGCGGACAACACTCGCACAACTAGGCCCGATTGGTGTTTAGTGATGTCGCTGTGGTACGCGGGTCGCTGTGGGTTGTCGCTCTCCCGAGACATTCCCCTTGTCGTCGTCGTATGGTGGTGCAGGACGCGCAAACCCTGAGCTGCCAGCACGTCCCCGTTTGCCGTTGGATTCGTCTTAGTTTCCCCATCGAAATAGGTACTTACACCGGACACCGCGAGAAGGTGCGAATCCATCGTCCCACTGGCCAGCAGCCAGCGCTCTGCGTGCTCGCAGAGGGCGGGGGGGGAATTGCGGCTGGTGTACGGAATAGCAAAAGTGCGACCAAGTCACGTGTTGGCTAAGCGCGTTACTCTTGAATGGAAAACTGTAAATAAACACAAATTCCATGAGCCCCCACCATAAACTCACATCTCAAGATTCTACAAACTCCACCAGAAGATTCTGCAAACCCCATCTGGGCCGTTCATCTAGAGCCGGAACGATACAAGGCGCGATACTCTAACAAAAAAGGGATCCTATGTTCTATCATATATTCGGCAATCACGAGGTGCAATGGCAAGTGAATTGCGATCTGGTATGTTCCTTCCATGTGAACGTGTGCGCGACTCATTAAACTAGGCAACCGTACGGGTCACTTGGTTCGACCACCATTTTCCTTCTCTAAATCTGAACCCAAAGCAAGGACGTCCGCCCAGGCAAAGAATACGAATCGATCTCGTGGATTGAGACGAGCTTACTCTTCAGCATGCTCTCCGCATTTTTCTGCAGACAAAATCAAAGAGACTGATCCGTACCGAATCAAACTGCTTTGGCGAGACGTCATGGAACAAAACACACCTCGATACACACGCCAAACTTTGGCCAGCCAATCCAAAAGTCAGGCTCGGTCAAATGTGACTCCAAAAAGCACCCTCCCTACATCTGTCTCCACAACCAGTGCTCCTAGAACGGAGGTCCCCAAAACTGCCACGGTCCGCGACGCTGACTTCAAATACACTCAGCTCATTCCACGGGGGGTTGAAATATGCGAATATGAGAATCCAAATCTAGATGGGGCTTATGGCCATTTCGGCTCTAAGAGACCTTCAAACCCAGCCGAATCACGCGAATTTTACCGATCAGTCGTTCAAAAAGCCCTTGCAGGAAGAGCTGACCGGGACATAGATGATTCGATATTCCTGCCCATGGACACTAATTTTGTTAAGTCCGTGCTTACGGCCTATGGCAGAATGGGAAAAGCTGGCGTTTCGGAAGCCTGGTTCAAGGGATATGCTTGTCAGAAACTGTTCGTCGGTCCGTACGCCGTCTTAGAAGATGATACTGAAAGACAGCTTTGTGCTGTACTGTGTCCGGAGGTGTCGCTCAAGCCCAGCTCAAGCACGAGTCGATGTATATGGCATGCACCTCCAATAATCTCGAACCAGCCTCCTTCCAAACCCTTTAGCTTCGATACTCGCGCCGACTGTCAATTTTGGCTTAGCGACAAGATCATAAATCCCGAATACCGAACACATGCTAAACACTTCGTACATTTGAAGGACTTGGGTACATTTTGTCCCTATTTCTCGATTGAGTTTAAAGCCACAACTGGCGACAGACAGGTTGCGGATAATCAGATCGCTGTCGATGGCCTAGTTTCCTTGTTTAATCGATATCGATTGAAGGTCCTCGCCTTTCCTCATTCTACTCAGAAGCAATTCAAATTAGTTCGTCATTATGGATTGACAATGGAGAAAGACCATTGGACAGTATGGCTCTTTCAACCCAAAACAGCTAAGAAGGCGACTTGGGCCGGCTGCACAGTACGAATTCTTCATACTGGGAGTTGTGAGACAGAAGAAGAAGTTGTCACATTGCTTGAATGGATCAACGAAATTCATCGGTGGGGCCTCTGCGAGTACGCTCTCGGATGTGAGGAGGATGTTAAAGAGATTCTGAGCAAAAATTCCGGTAATCTCAGAATTTCCGCGATGGGGGTCTCAAAGGAAACCGAAACCGTGAAGGAAACCGGAACGGTGGAGGAAGTCTAAAATGATAAAGGCAGTACAAATGGTGGACGGAGCCCAAGGTGGCGAAGGTCAAAAGGTGAACGGAGCCCAAAGGAACCTAAAATGTTGAGTACAGCCTGAAATGGTGTGTGGAGTAAAGCCAAATACTGTGCATGGATTAAAGTATGTTTATGATAGCAGGCGTCTATGGACCGGTGAGTACACTGGCTGGGTGCGTAAATGGGTACACACTCTCTCCTCTCCGAAGCTGTTGAACTGTGAGACAATATGTGGCAACACTTTCAGCGTGGTGATGAACATTCAGCTCGAGTGACTTCGTCCATGAGCTGAGTACGGACACGCCGAAAGATGGTAACAATCGTTCCCTATATAAACGTGAGATGTAGAAACCTTGTTAGATGAAAGAACAGAACACTCCTTCAACTCGAGTTGTACAAGAAGTTCGATATCTGCTTTCCTAATTGGGTATACCGTCGTCCACTCATGGTCTATGCACTGGATCCGATAGGGATATCGTACGGGCACAGGAAGCAGTGATCAACATCGTCTACATATGATCCATGGATTGGATCCGATGGGGTCAGGCCAGTTAGAGCACGTGATTGGGTATCGGATTATAGATTTTCCGGGCTACGGCGCACTCTACCCACTACTGGGTGGGCCGTGGATTGGATCCGATGGGGTCAACCACAGGATTACGTAATACTCTGACTATAGATTTTCCGGAGTAGGGAGGCCTGGCTAATCACGTGACACGAGACCCCGGGGGTTAGCCCGTGGACTGGATCCGATGGCACCAGAGTCGTCGGATTATAGATTTTCCGGATCCCGAGGGGTCGCAATCACGTGAATCGTCGTACGGCCGCATATGTGCGCCGCCAAGAGTTGCCAAGACCAGGGTGGCCGGTTCAATCACGTGATGTCTCGAGCGTAGCGAGGCATGGGGTTTGGGGGGCTTGCCTCCAAAATACAAAAAGCTACTCCGCGGAATATCCTGTCCGCGGCCCCCTTATTCCCGCCCCTATCCTGTCTCGACTCAAACGCCCCCCACCCTACACTTTGGCCATGCAACCCATCGGTCCTTTGCCTTCAGATACCTATCGGACCGCCTCTCTCCTCTTGAAACTCCTCCCTGATGACTTGGTACCTGTCGTTCTTGATATGGCGGAATTCTGGCACGATGCTCCTCTGGCATCAACGACCAAAGAAGTCCATGTCACTGAAAGGAACGCTGGACAACCGTACCTGATTGCTGAACTCCTCCCGGTATTTCCAGCCAGGGGTCTGCGGTCGCTTACTTTCACCGTCACATCTCGGGATCAGGGTCACAGTTGGGACAGACATTGGCATGGAACATATGAGCACAGTTGGACTTGGTTCGAGGTGGCCCTGCTACCCTCAGATTCGGACAATCGCACTAATGATACGGGGATCAAGTCCCCAATCCCGGGGAAACGAATCATTACCAACGTGCATGCTAGCAACGAATACAGGACACATGTTGTCCGCTGGAGCTACAATGATGATGAGGAGGAGACCAGAAAGCTCGTGAGAAGCATACGCGCTGGACAGAAAATCGCCATCACTGTTTGGGCCAGGTTTCCCGCCTGGGTCAACAACGTGAGAAGCGCTAGAATTGATTGTCAGGTGAATGCCGTGAGGAAGATATGAGTGCATCTCCCTGGCTGCAAAATCTTCTTAATCCAATGCAGAAACAGAACTCAAATAGCTGCCCTCAAAACAAGAGAACGTGCCGGAACATCTCGCTCCCCGAGGATGCAAGTCTGACGACTTTGGCATTCCGTGCCATGCCTATTCATCCGGAGATTGCCACCTTATTGTGTTGGATCAAAAAGACAATCGACGGGACAGATGAGTGGATATTCCACAGACGATAATACGGAGACGACCTGGCTTGTATGATTTACCGAGAGAACACTCTTCTCACCCGACGGGACGAAACCGGTGGAGATAGAATAGGATTATGGCATTCGGCAGCTGTCTTGCTGCACTGTTGTCTCTCGGGCTCATCCGGGCGCTCACTCTCTGGGGGCCACGTCGATACTGCAGCCATGACTCTGTATGACCAGGCGCTATGGTTTCCTTCTATCAATGGGCCAGCTCTCGGTGTCAAGACAGACCTCCTCCACCAAAGATTTGCGTCTCCGAACTCCACATCGACACCAGCTCAGAGCTCAAAACTCACATCCCATCGCTCACACCCTCTCTCCGTCCTCTAACTTCTCTAACTAATCCCTTCGCTTCTTCGACCTCATACCCATCCATACACAGCTCCTCGGCCAGGCGTTCTGCTCGTTCGAACTCGCCAGTCCGCACGTTCCATCTAGCCAGCCACAGACGCGCCTTAGACGTCGTGGCCGTGGTTCCGGTGCCAAATCCGTCACCTTCCCTTTCGTCATCACCTTCTGCGTCTCCATCGGCGTCAGCAATGGACGGGTCCACAGGTGAAGACGGTGATGCAGAAGACAAGATCTCTGTATCGTCGTCCCCTTCAGCAGGGTGGTCGAGCCCAATGTTTGTGTCAAAGTTCCCATCTGCAGCTATCGCAGCAACGCGAGCGCGGCGCTCCTCCGCGATAGCTTGTTTGCGCTGCCGTTTCTGCAGCGCCTTCTCGGCGCGCACTACAGACTTGTGGCTGCCTCCCGTCTCCTGCGCGACGCATAGTTCCATGTACTTCGCCGCCTCGGCCTCAGCGGCGGGACCGCCGCTGCGCTCGTACAGGAGAGCGATCTGGTACAAGGTTTCTGGGTCCAGGAGCTTCCGAGACGGTCGTTTAAGTTTGGATTTTGTCCTCGTGGTGCTAACGCTCGTCACGCTTGTGCTTACGTTGAAGCTCGACTGCGGCGAATTGCTGTCGTCAAAGTAGGTCCCGGCCACAAGAGCTCGTTTGAGGGCTTTGATCGCTTGTTCCAACCTGTCCATCTTGGCATAGCAGGATCCAACCGCTTGCCACATTTTGGGGTCGTAGGGTCGAAGGCCCGCGGCACGTTGATAATAGAATAGCGCATAGAACCCCATGTCGAGAACCTCGTACGCCTGGCCCAGCCCATACCAGGCGCGGTAGTCCTTGCGGTTCACATCGACGGCTCGCCGATACGATTCGATGGCCGCATGCGTATTTTTCAGCTCGATGTACTCGTGGCCCATTAACGTCCAGGCGGATAAGAAATTTCGGTCGAGTGTCAGAGCACGTCGGAAATACATGACCGCCTTCTCGTGTTGCGAGCAGAGTGAATAGTAGTTGCCCACCACACAGCAGGTTTCAGGACGGAATTTGTCGACGGAGGTAGCCAGATGGGCGAGGAAAGCGAGTTTAGGCCGATCTGCCATTACATACAAGATGTTGGAATAGTGATCTAGCCCGTCAAGGCGATGGGGGTGAGATATCAGAAGGTCTTGGAAGATCGAGGCTGATGTTTCGTATTCTTTTGCGTGGTAGTGCGATAGGGCGAGCTGGGTGAGGAGGAATGTCGAGGTTGGGAAGTAGTTTAAGAGCGTTTCCAGGTAGGTGAAAGTCGCGGATTGGTCGCTTGTGGAGAACAAGTCGACGGAGGCGTAGGCGTGGTACATGATCCTCATTAAATTTTGAGGGAGGACCGTAGGGGATAGCTGTGCATTCAGGTCGTCGACGGAGGAGAGGAGGCAGGCCAGTTCTTCCCATGCTCCCCAGTGATAAGGATTCAGTCGAACAGATCGAAGAAGCCACTTCTGCGCCAGATTTTCTTGCCTCGATTTGGACAAGATCAGACCGTACAAGTATTCCAGCCATCCCTGAGAACGTTTGAGGTGTGGGTCCGCGGCGTCTCTGGCATGGAAGTATGCTTCCAATCCCCTTGCCAGCGACGATAGTTCACGGTTCGTCGTCTGCCCACCATCGGCCGGACCCAGCACCATTTCGCTCTCTTCGTCTTTCCGTTTCTCTCCAGCAAGATACCTCGCGTATAGCGATAGGAAAAGGGACTTCTGGCTGAGTCGAGGAAATGGATTGACCGAAATCGGTTGGCCCTGTTTTGATTTGCCCTTGGAGCGAGCTGGTGTAGACGTCGGTGTTCTTCCTTTTGGCTTGTCGAAAATTGCTAGACCTCCGGCGGGTGTGGCGGGGGGCAGAAATACCGCAGCACATCTGTCAAACTCTTTGGTATCAAAAAATGCCTTTGCCAGTAGATATTTTGGTGCTTCTCTTGCTTCCAATGTCGCCTCTTCAGGGTCATCGTAACTCGTTGAGAATAATCGATATGATGATTGAACATTATTCGTATCTTGCATTGGTGAATCGTTATCCAGACTGTCATCTTCGGGAAGAGAAGTCAAAAGTTCGGCCGCCCATTTTGCCGACTGGTACAAGCAACGCTCTGAGCATTTTATGGAGACCTCAGTCAGTCTGTCTCGCAACTCACACACGACATCTGCATCGGTCTCGCCAACTGAACCGAAACTATCGTTCTGTCGTTGCGACACCATGGTGAACCGCGAGAAAGCGTCAATATGGCGAACACGAGAAAATGCAAATTGTCGCCATTACTAGTAAGTTAACGCATCCATTAAGTTCGCACCCGGTCCACAGTTCCTTTTTGGACGAAAATATGCGCCTCTGAAATTTGTGTGCAGCGCGTCCGCGTCTGCGGGGATAACTGCGCGACATGCCGAACCGTACGCCGTAGCCGGCATTCGCATGTTTCAGCCTCGTCACAGAAACGAAGACATTCCCCCAACTGCACCATCAACTTACCGACTGGCTTTATCCTCATTGCCAACGCCGTGCCAGAGATACCGGCTTCGGCGAATCTCTCCTGGGTAGGATTCTCGTGAAGATTTCCGGCCAGGAGAGTTTGCCTCTCGTCCATCATGGACATTGCTAAGCGGCTTTCGTCGCCCCGAGAACATGCCAATATCCTGCGTTGAGATACAGACAACTGGCAAATCTACACGTATTGTCGTTGAAGGGTATCCCAAGCTTGCCGACACTCTACTAGAACCAGCGAGCCCAAGCAAAAGAAAATGACGATCATATCCGAAGATGACTTACATTGAAACCACATCGACACCATGATATGTACGGCGTGGTCTTGCGACAGAAGAAAGAACTTACCAGATTTGGTGAAGGCCATGTGGGAATTCTCTTTATGACAAACGAAGGATATTCAACCATGTGTGGACATGCTACGATAGGGGGGGTATTATTCTGTACACCAACTTTTGTTATTCTGTACACCGGAAAACCTGCTTATTCTGTACACCATGCCTCAACTCTCCTTATTCTGTACACCACCACCTCTCTCTCGCCTTATTCTGTACACTTAACGCTCTCATCCTGTTATTCTGTACACCGCGCTAACAGAGCTTGTTGCCGTTGGCCCGGCGATGGCGAGAAAACACTAGTAAGTGGCGTAGCTGTGGAGGGGTGACGCGTTAAACTCTCCCCGTTATAGGTGGTTGCGAAGCAATAAACACATTTGATTCCCTTTTCCTTGGTAGATAAGTACCGTGCATTTTGAGCTTCTCTGTATACTTTGTAAATTATTGTGGCCTACACAGCCGGATTTGTGTAGAGATCCCCTGCACGGTCGATACCTCGTGCTGACTAAGGTAACAAACCAGCGCCCATAGGCTTGGGTGGGAACCGCCCATAAGCGGGGCAGTTGCCCCCCGGCTTATGGGCGGTTTCCCCCCGGTTCATGGGCGGTTTCCCCCTCCGGCTTATGAGCGGTCCTCCCAAGCCTATGGGCGCTGGTTTGTTACCTTAGTCAGCACGAGGTATCGACCGTGCAGAGGATACCATCGTTAACCATCATTTCTGCATTCTATATAGGCAGACTTAGGTGTTGTGACATCACGTATCTTCGAACTGCGCAGATAACCGGAAAAATAAAAATCCGGACCAATCAAAAGCGGTGTACAGAATAACAAAATGTGGTGTACAGAATAACATTACCCCTACGATAGCCCTTGGCCAATTTTCTTGGATACACGTGACCTCCATTGTCTTTCCCCAATCGAAACGACGGCAAGCACGACCCCAACACTCGGACTGCTTTCCGTCAATCTTCACGCTCCATGCGGCCTGCTCGAGGTCACCGTTCCAACCAACGACGATGGGTCCGACTTGATCCCAAGTGTTGTTTCGTATGTCTCGATGCCATCATTCGCGACCGGAATAGGAGTTCCGATACCGATAGAAGTGAGATCCCCATGGCCTGAAGCTAAAGGGAACCTATGGTGGAATTTGTAGATTTTGCCTACAGTGGCGCATTCTTGTCTCATATCGTCAAAGGGGCTTGGACTTGAGCAACCGTTCGCAGCTTACAACCTACTTGCTATGCACATGGCCACGGCAGGGCCTGAACTATTCCATTGAACAAGACCATGAGCTCGCAAAGTCCTTCAAACACTCCGAGCACGACCTCTCCTTTCTTTGTTCGACAATCATCGAGGATGGATATGACGGTGAGTCGACAGGGTACTGGGGCTCTGAAATAGGACTTTGCTTATATGCTGACCAGCAGACTGATCGTCCACCGACTGGGAGTGGGGTCGCTGCCCATACTGCTCTTGCGTACACAAAGAATGATCGTCGTATGACCGAGATTCGGGAGTACCATTCACATGTTTCCGCGATCTCGAGAGGTATGGGACCAAGCCTTCTACTCCCGAAGCGGTATGGTGGGATTTATGGTCCTGAAGTGCGGGTTAAGGTCGAAGGACAAGCATTCTATACTGGGTTCAGCACATTCTCGGTGAAGGCAGACCGGCAGGACGACGATGGACACCCCCTAAAGGATCTGAGAGAGTGACCCAGTGGTACTCGATCTGATAGCAAAATCTGCACCCCACGTGAGGCAGTTTGCTTTATCACGAGGCCGCTTGCTCTCTCTTGGATAGATTCGATCAATCTTCTCTCAGTCCTACAAAGATGATCACGTGTCAGATAGTAAGTCCGTCTTCACCCATCGTTTCCCCGATTCTTACCCGGAATGCCTTGTGCAGGGGGCTGGCCAAATCCAACGTCATCGCTCTAGATATATCTTTCACGATACGGTAAAACATCAATCTCACTATACTCTTCGTCTTCGCTTTATATTTATGCATTTGATGTCAGAGTCATGGAAGAAGCACAAGACACACAATATCATACTCATACATTATATTATAACGATTACTCCGTGTGTTCGCTCATGGTCCGCTTCGCCCTGGCGTGCTGCCAACAAGATAAACAATCCCCATCTCCGTTAACCGTGAACGAGAGAAGAATTGACATTCATCATGGAGAGCAGCTTTCGGAGTTCTACCTATGCGAAGTGAATCCCAAGGGAACGGTATGGCTACCTTGAAATCCTTTCCCTCATCACTCCTCCGATGCAGTTCTGTTTAGCTACAATTCGACAGCAAAATTATTTTGCATTAACCGACCAAAAAATTCCCAGGTCCCCGTTTTAACTTGCCCTGGCAATCGGTCGTCAATTACTGAAAGTCTGGAAATGACGCAATATCTACATGAATACTACCCGAGTTTATACCCATCGCACCTGGCAGTGCAGATCAACAAACTGCTCGCACAGTTGCATGAGATTAATTACTTCTCACTCACATACACCCGGAGACCGGATCGGGCGTCTGATATGTTGAACGCAGTCGAGAAGAGGCTTGCAGATCCGGGTATATCGAAAAAATATCGAACGGCGTTGGAGCATAAGCGAAAAGTGTAAGTCCAGCTTCGTCAGATCTGAATCGCCTAGGGTACAGAAACGATGTGTTTGGATGGAACAGGACGGGTATTTGTTTTGCTAAATCTCGTGGGCTATTTCAAAAGGATCCTCTCAACACGAGCACCAGCATTAGATGCGTCTTTCATCAAGAAGGAAGAAGATAAAACCGTCGCATTCCTGTCGCAAGTGACTGCGGTCATGGATGCCTCTTGCAACGAGAATGCACCTTGGATCTTTGGCACAGAAGTTCCGACTGCGCTTGACGCGCATATGATACCGTTTCTGGCACGTTTGGTTGATGTGGATCGGGAGAATATGCTTGGGTCTACGTCAAGAAGGTACCTTGAAATGGCAATGGAGACGAGGATATGGACGGACACGATGCAGGGCCGAAGAACAGTGCATGGGACTTATCTTCCTGCGAAATGATATGATATACTAGTATCATTTCTATTTTTATTCCATCAATAGGAAATCTATTTCCTGGGCGTATCATTCTAAGCCTTTCGGTCTTTGCCCTGACAATGTACACGGAAGGAATCAATGTCCAATTTGGTTCCAATTTTGATAACAATGAAAGAAAACAAAGTTTCTCTGTAGACATGCATATCTTCCTTCCAATTTCCTCTGAAGATGGATATCATTGTGGCGCCCAGGGACGTTGGCTTGGAGAACGCTGATCGACATTCTAGCTCTCCTTCGCCAATGTACCCATAAGACCACCCACTCTTCAAGCCATTCGACATGGAGTGGCAGCGCAAGTCAAAGACCGTGGGTCGTCAGTTGCAGTCTGCAGGAGCATCATCATTAAGAAATCACTCGATCATTCGTGATTTGACGCACGTTTCGGAGCCGGGAGAACCATCTGTACTGTGGCCATACTGCGGCCGAAGGCCACGGTTGTTGGCGAAAGCCCAGCCATGCATATTCTTTCAACAAATTAATCCAGCAAGCCAATAAAAGCGGGCTCCAACATTGGCTCGTGGAGAAAGCATGCAAGGAGCGGTATACACTGGCAAAAGCCTCTTAAATTTATTCTCCGTCCATCGGCACGGAAAACTCCTGTGACAATGGAGCGTCAACGATGGAAGTCTGGACGCCGTTCGTAACATTTGCCTCGTTCCCGGGCGAATTCCAGTTGATGATCGCACTGATCGTCCCGTAAAGTGCATGTCCAAGTGAGGAAGGCTATCGAAGATCTGGTGCAACAGGACCATTGGATGTACACAAGTGGCAAGTCGAAGTCACGGTTCTCCTCGTTCCAGCCTTGCCCAAAAAAGAGCAGGATCAGTTCCTTCACCGGCGGCACGATTGTACTCAGGGCACATGCTGTCGATCAGTAGATGTGACGACTTTCCAGAGCACCGCCCCAACTCAAATGAATTGTCTCCGGATAAAGTTTACCGAGCATCGCAAACAGGGCTGCCGCTGCTGGAGGCGGCGCGCAGACTCCACACTTTCCAGCTGGGTATTCCTAGGAATTCCAAGGGAAAAGGACTGGACCAGAAATTCATTTCTACGATGTCAAGCAAGGCTGCTAGGGTGAATATTGAGGTCAATGCTGTGGATTCGATTGCTCTGAAATGTTCCTGTCCTATCGTAATCATCGACGCTGGCTAGATCCTTGGGGGTATACCTGCTGCATTCGTAGGCATGATTGTGGACGGTCGTCATTCGAGCCGTCCTTAGCTCAAGAAGTTCCTTCCATCCACCACAAATCGATGGGAAATTTTTCGTATAGAGTCTCGTAAATAAGAAGGAATCGATCCACGAATAGGGGTGAGGCATCGAGGTGATATGGTCGGACAGAAAACTGTCGATCATGTTATATGGCCACACAGATCAGCCGAGACGGGCAATTTTGAACGTTTCCATGTCGCTGAATCACGTCGTTGGGGAGGAATGGTTTCTGATTGGATGCTGAACGTTTTTGAGTCTCTGATGGCTAGGTCCGAGGACATTCTTGAACGATCGCGCTGTCTCTTGGTGGCAGAAGCCATGATATTTGCAGCAGTAGCACTGGCCGTATAAAGCCCCCACGACAAGTCTCTTCATCAGTGGCAACGCTCAAGACAAGATCAATCCTGGAATTCAGTAGAAGCAAGAAAGTCAAGGACAGCGCTAGGCCAATTATGGACAATTTAAAACGGCAACCGTCACATTCCCAAACGAGATATAACTTGTGTCCAGGGAGAGGAGAAAAAAGGGGGAGGGGAGGGTGGTCGGACCAGGGAAGATGATAAACAAAGCTCGACTTCTTCATTCAAAGCGGAGAGATTGCCCTATCTTCAACTCCCTTGCTTTCTCCAACATAGCCATACCCAGCGCGACATCGCTCAAACTAAGGCCCCGATGCCAAAACAGAATGGTTTCGTCGTCACTCTCACGGCCTGGCTTTTGGCCGCACACCACCTGGCCCATCTCGGCGTGCAGATTTTCTTCGGTGATCTTATCACTATCTACATGTTGCCGGAGCGCACCGTACGGAAGCCCCTTTCTACACTGACCCCAGTCATCGACGAGGACCTTGGACATGATATCGGTCAGGGACAGGTCCACGGCGCTCATGGTCCCGTAGGGCATCACCAAGGCGCCCTTTTTAATCCACTCTGTCTTCAGGAGGGGTTCTGGTGCAGACAAGCGAGAGGCTTCTACCACAATGTCGGCCCCGCGGATCGTGTCTTCCCAGTTATCAAGGACCGTGACCTTCTTGCCTAGTTCCTTGGACAGCCGATCTCCGAGAGCCTGACGACTTTCGGCCCGCTTTGAGTGCAGTCGAATCTCGTCAAAGTTGAATATGCTGTCCATGAGACGAATGTTCCAATACGAGCTTCCCCGAGCTCCAATGTGGCCGAGGATCTTGCTGGATTGACGAGCGAGATACTTGGCTCCGATGGCCGTCATGGCACCTGTGCGCATGTCCGTGATGGTGGTGGCATCGATGATGGCCAAGGGAACGCCGGTGTCAGGGTCGAAGAGATTAAGAATAGCGAATTCAGAGGGGAATCCCAGCTTGTAGTTGTTGACGAAATCGCCGACAATCTTGACACCGGCGGCGTTCAAGGGGTTGACCACCCCTCGTAGCACGTTGAAGTGGCCTTTGGCTGAGTCGTGTGGTACGAGGTGTACTCGAGGCTCGATGACCGTCTTGCCCCGCCCTTGTGCGTCCAAGGCGTCTTCAATGGCTTTGAGAATCTCGCCATTGGTCATTTCCAATGCTGCGACATCTGGCCCATTCAGGTAGGTGAGATATATTGGCTTCATCTTGGGTATTGAATTGGCAGATGGATTCTCATAAAGGCAAAAGGAAAGAGTCACATTTCTGACGCTGAACAGAGTTCTATTCTGTGCGTTCTACAAAAGATTCGTGACCTTGCGTTGTCCTGGACACGAGAATGCCTGCCCAAGGCGAATGTAGGTATATGCAGGGAAAGTTCCGCCGGTGTCTTATGGAGGAATATCCTCAGGGCCTTTTAGTTGGGGTTGCGGATTCCCTGGGCTTCGAAGCCAAAGGGATTTTTACCTCGAATTGGGACTAGTCTTCCAACGAGAGGTCACACCAGATCATGATCAAATTACGGGCGACACTGTCCTACGCCGAAATCCGAATTCCATATCTTTGCTGGCTCGTCATTTTGAAACTAGCAGACTTGATGGGTGCTGGCTATATTAGCTGCTACGGACGATGTACTGAAGTCAGACTCCAACTCTCCGTGGGCTTGATCTTATTCAGCTTTCGAAGATGGCACCCATCGCGATTTCAGAGACAATCGACCTGGCGCCATCGCACATCCCAGAACCGACTCTATACCAACCTGCCACCTTCGACCCTCAAAAACATCTGTGCTACCAAACTCCTGAACAAATCATTACTTTCGAAGAGCTGGGTCTCAATCCTAAGACAGCAACCTCGTCCGTGGCCATAACGTCGCCCTTCCCATTACTCACTCTCGAAGGAGTTCGAGAGCTCCGTGCAGACATCTTTCGCCGTGAGGTCGTTGGGAAGTATGGCTCTGTGAAGTATCCTGGCGTTTATCGCATTCGTGGCTACGGCCCAGATGCGCCATTCACCTATGCTCTCTGGCGGAGTGAGGCTGTGAGGCAGGCCTGTTCGGCTGCCGCAGGCACAGAGCTGGAGATCATTTACGACTACGAGATCGGACAATTGAATGTCCAACTCCCTGCGGACATCGACAAGAACGCGCCTATCACCGAGAATTTGCCCCCAGCGGTGCCTCCGAAAAATTCCAGTCCCCTCGAAGACGGGCCGGCCCCGGAAAGTGAAGGTAAGGCCTTGGTGTCTGCATGGCACAACGATTCCTATCCTTGGGTCTGCGTCTTGATGTTGTCGGATCCGGTGGGGATGAAAGGTGGCGAAACCGCGCTGAGGACCGGCGACCAGTCCATCATGAAAGTCAAGCCGCCGGGGATGGGATATGCGGTTATGATGCAAGGAGGCTCTATCAATCACGCTGCACTCCCGTGCCTGGGCAGCGGAGAAAGAATCAGCTTTGTCACTTCATTCAGACCCAGAGATCCTACTCTGCTGGACTCGAGTTCTTTGAGAACGGTGCGGCCGATTAGTGATTTGGATGAGTTATACAGGCAATGGACAAGTTATCGGCTGGACGTGGTGTCGCAACGTGCAGCTTTGAAGAAAAAGGAGTTGGATAGACGCGGACGTTCGGCGGATGAGATACGGCAAATGGTGAATGACTGGGTCCAGGAACAAGTCGAGTATCTCCAAAACACGGTCAAGGAGATGATGTAAGGAGAAATGCAGCAAAATTCGACTTATTGTATGCGCAATTCCAACCGAGCACTTTGGTGATGGCTATTGAGACTGCTAAGAGCGTCTCGACGGCCAAAATTCTTCACTTCAACGCAGCACTTTGAGCTGCTCGCAATTTCTAGAGCTATACTCGTATAGTGGTTGATCTTATTAATGGCACTAGCATTCCTTCCGAAGTAATTTGAGCTTCTGATCTTGCGTTGAGAGGATATGCATTACTGCTTAGCCGCGTCCAGGAATGTTTACGTGCCTTTGTGAGTCCTCTTGAAACGGGGCTTGGGTTCCAGGTATTCGGGCACTTGGAATCATGTTCCAAACTACCTGGCAGAGCATGTGGGAGGGCCAAGGGGGTGCGGCTGCACGCGTAGGGCTTTGCCGTCACGTGTTACACGTGAGACAATCACGTGACTCAGCTACGACACTAGTCTCGCCAAGCTTGGCATTCGCGAAAGTGAATTGAGGCTGGCGTTGTCAAAGTGTCCTCATAGTCAAAAAGATTTAGGAACGGCGCCAGTGGTACAATAGCCTTCAGGGGACCACGATCCTTTCTACAGCCAGCTTGTCAATATCTCAAGCTGTGCTTTTGTTTCTTCATCATTCCCTACTCTTCGTCCTTCTCCCCAACCTTGTAGCTCATCTGCTGTTCTGCGCATCTTTTCGCAGCAACCATGAGCGGTCGTGCGTCCACTTCCTCCGCATTTGGGCACACGACCAATTGCTAACCCTTATAAACAGTTCGATTCCTCGATCTCATTAAACCCTTTACGCCCCTCCTTCCCGAGGTGGCAGCCCCCGAATCCAAAATTCCATTCAATCAGAAATTGATGTGGACAGGAGTAAGAACACAAAAGAGCAGACCGGGAAAATCAGGAGAGCAAGAGACTGACCATTGGCGCCAGTGTACACTTCTAATCTTCCTGGTCATGAGCCAAATGCCTCTATATGGCATTGTCTCGTCCGACACGTCGGACCCCATTTACTGGCTACGTATGATGTTGGCCAGTAACCGGGGAACACTGATGGAATTGGGAACAACACCCATTATTTCTTCTGGAATGGTGTTCCAAGTAGGCAAATCCGAACCGTCACGTCCCAATGTGTACGTCTGACATCGCTAGCTTCTCGCCGGTACTCATCTCATCGATGTCAACCTCGACCTCAAATCCGATCGCGAATTGTACCAAACGGCGCAAAAACTGTTCGCAATCATTCTCTCTTTCGGCCAAGCTTGCGTTTTCGTCCTCACTGGTCTCTATGGACAACCAAGCGACCTTGGTGCTGGAATCTGTCTCCTCCTGATTGTTCAGCTGGTTATTGCTGGATTGGTGGTCATTCTCCTGGACGAGCTGCTCCAAAAGGGATACGGCCTTGGATCTGGAATCTCATTGTTCATTGCCACCAACATTTGTGAATCCATCATCTGGAAGGCATTCTCTCCCACCACCATCGACACGGGCCGTGGAAAGGAGTTCGAAGGTGCGGTCATTGCTCTTTTCCACCTCCTCGTTACCCGGTCAGATAAGACTCGTGCCCTCCGTGAAGCCTTCTACCGACAACATCTACCTAACATCATGAATCTTCTTGCAACTTTGACTGTCTTCGCTGCCGTCATTTATCTCCAAGGTTTCCGCGTCGAGATTCCAGTCAAGTCCTCCCGCCAACGAGGTATGCGAAGTTCGTTTCCCGTCCGCCTCTTTTACACTTCCAACATGCCTATTATGCTGCAATCGGCTCTCGCATCCAACATCTTCATGATCAGTCAGATGCTCTACACTCGATTCTCGGACAACTTGTTGGTCAAGCTGTTTGGTACCTGGGAACCGAGAGAAGGGTCTTCCCAACTCTATGCCTCTGGTGGAATTGCCTACTACATGTCGCCTCCTCTCAACTTCGCTGACGCTCTCCTCGACCCAATTCACACCGTCATCTATATTACATTCATCATCGTCACTTGTGCCGTTTTCTCCAAGACCTGGATCGAAGTGTCCGGCTCCGCTCCCCGCGATGTCGCCAAAACACTTAAGGAACAGGGACTGGTAATGGCTGGACACCGTGAACAAAGTATGTACAAGGAATTGAAGCGAGTCATTCCCACAGCTGCAGCTTTCGGTGGGGCCTGCATCGGAGCCCTCTCGGTTGCCAGTGACATGCTCGGAGCCCTGGGGAGCGGAACTAGTATTCTCCTAGCTGTCACAATCATCTACGGCTACTTCGAGATCGCTGCCAAGGAAGGTGATTTCGGTGGGAACCTAAAAGGGCTAATTGCATAGATGTTTCGACAATCAGACGAGCATAGAGAAATAATGAGGCAAAACCATATAGGGTTGTGGGGGCTCATGAAATCCCCCAAAAATATGCTTTTTATGCATAGCACAAGGTCTTTGAGTTGGAATAGCGGGACCTGGAAGGAGGACAACGGCGAAGATTTTGTACAGGGGCTATTCAAAAACTTCTGTACTTTTGGCGGCAGAAAAAGTTGAACAGAACTACAGTTGCTTGCAAAACCGGCTTCCACCCAAAACACATTTTAAAATTCTTCACTCAGTGGTGATTCGACCTACGCTTGGCCCGCACCCCACCAATTAATGTTCCTTGGTTCGTCATATCTTGTAAGTACACCAACAAGCTTATTGAACTAGTTCATTTTTAGCGTCGGCCCTTCGGCGCGGTAGTTTAAATGAACTTTGCCCCGCACCGAAAAGCGGGTGCGAAAAACGTGACGAGGTACATCGATGCTCATCCGCCCGCCTTCAACGATATCATGTCTATTCAAAGTTCCAAAGGCGGTAGAAGTATCTGTGAACGGCAGCCGGCGCGACGCTTCTGTTCATTCCCACAGTGCCTTAATACCTTGGTGTTTTTGGGGGGTTTGGTTGGGGGGGGGGAATTCCTCGGAAGTCAGAGCAGTTTGCGCTGAATAGTATGGGCAAACGGCAGCGATAGCGGCACGATCATTGGCGAGTAAGTCTGGAGAACGGGAGTTTACTGCATCAGCAGCCCGGCGGGTCAAGTACTGGATCAGCCATTGTCCAAGAATTTCCTTGCATTGAGACTGTAGCAGATAGAAGGCATTATGACGCAGTGTATTTTATTGTAGTTGGTCTACGTGCCCACAACTGATTTCCGCCGGTGCCAGTCGAACCCTGATATTTGATCTTTACTTCGGTGACCTTGTGAGGCCAGCCCTAACCTCTGCTTTTCTGCGTTCTTTGTCCAACGGGTGATTGCTAAGTAAGGGCGCCAACCCTAATCCTTGGTGGTCGACTCGTTGGTCTCTTTCCTCGTTTTCTAGAGCTCCAACCTAAATTGACCTCAAGTAGTGCTTGAGAGGCCCTAGGGATTTCTCGTGTCATGCTGGATCTAGCTCATCCCACTTGGCGATTGTCTTGGAGCCGCCTGCCAACGTCGACGAGCTCGATGCCACAGCCAGGTCTACCCCACACACGGACTCGCCAATACTTCTGCCCGTAGAGCCACGCTACACCGGGGAAAATGAGATTCCAGCTTAGATTGGGAGCAAGCCTTTCATAACGACGTGGGGCTACCTCGATCACGCGCCTGTACATTGTGAGGGAGGTTGCCCTAGATAATTTTCATTATCGGTGGAAGTTCTCAAAGGGGTATGGCTGACAGATAGCGCCTATGTCGTGGGTGAGTGTCAATAGTCCAAAACCGCCTTCATCATCACCAAACCCTGGCACGCCTTTGACAACACCACACTGGGAAAGCAGCACAACAGATATGGAAGTGAGAGTGGGCATCCTTTGATTTGCCGTGGAAAGCTCTATCGATGATGCTATGTCATGAGGCGTGTTTCTCAAGCTCAATGTCTAACGTTAGGGCATGAAGCGAGGTGAGGAAAGCCTGCTGGCCTATGAGTCCTTTTAAGGAACTCACGGCGCGTTCTTTGGCCTATCATTGATACGATTTTGTGGGCCTGTTACTTATTATCGCTCCTTACATGTGGAAATACAATATGTAACACCATAACACACCTTTACTCTAGATTCCAGATACCATGTTCTAGCGCTTGAGATGATAAATCGTACCGACCTTTAATATGCGATTCGATGACGCCGACACGCCTCGCATCTCCGTTAGTAAAGACAACGGCGAGCCAATAGAAGACGGTGTCACCTGTCCGTATTCCTGCGGTCGAATCCTGAAGCCCTAGCAAAAGTATGCCGCTTAATACCAGCTCTCTTCGATGGATCGCATCGCGTTCGTCTGAGGATTCAAAATCTTAGGTTATATAGTGAGAGGCACGATAGATAGCGGCATCATCAACGTTTTGCATGAAAGTCCAAGGAGGTGCCTCTAGATCGATTCGCTCCCGTAGAGCGCCCACGGCCGCAGATCTCCCCAGCAAGGGCGAGGTGGACTGAGAAGGCCAACGCCAGTGGAAAACATAACTCTTGATCTGGAGAGCATGGGATGTTTCTGGCAGTATGACCTCTTTATGAGTTCGGCACCAGTAGTCAAGAGTCATCGTTCGACCTTCCCAGAATATTATAATCTCAGCTGAGTATGCCACACAAGATGCCTCGTAGCGCAACCCCAGCGACCATTCTTCTTTAGAAGTTGCGAATACGTCAACACGCCGGGATCTCGACAACTCTTCCCAGGCAAGATGCTTTGCGTGCTGAGGCATGCAAACGGGACCTCGTGCAGAAGCCCAGGACCATGATGGAAACATGTTTCTCCGTCGCTGGCCAGTGGTCGCAGTCGCCGTTTCGTGGTAGGTTAACCATAATAATCCGTGCAGGAAACCTAATGAGGGCTTGAACAAGCGATCCTCTGGGACTTTGTCCTTTTGAGGAGACGGCTTTTCGTAATAATCATGATACATCGGGATTCCCCATAAGCTTCTGTAAGGTGACGTTGTCAGAATGCCCCGAAATGCGTCCAACGCATCCGAATCATACGTCAAGTCTCTTGATTGATATTCCCTTAGTTGTAAAGAGAATAAGAATGTCTGATGTTTCCAGCTTCGAATTGGAATGTCGGGGTAGGGCGAGAGCACATGGCGGTTAAGATAGCAGTATAGATCTGTGTTCTGGCCAAGGTTTTTGGCATAGTTTTTCCGAACTTTGAGAGGGACGAGCAAATCTATTTCTTCTGGAGCCTCTCCAAGCATACATATGAAGATCGCTTGTGTGGGAGTGAAGTATAGAAGACGTTTTGACATTGCTGCTTCTTGTTAAGTCCAACCTCTAGTGGTCCATTTTGATCGTTGCAAGTAGTGGCGCCACGACGGGGATGTGTACAAATACTCAAAGCCCTGGGCAAAAAAGCGTATTTGTGGTTCTCGTTTTGTGTCTGAGACCCCGGGCAGTCCAGAGTCTGAAGAATTGCCTAGGGCTACTATTGTCAAGAAAGCATTGCTAAAGATTCGATCCATCAATTTTACTTGCGCCCGCTTGAACTCTGAATGATCCTGGGCAATACAGTATCGATCATCCCAGAGGTACTTCTCGTTCAGATTGGACAGGCATCTCGAACGGTCTTAGGCAGGTTATGTGGCAACGGGTGGGTCTCTTTCAATAGGGCAGATTCTTCGGGTGTGGGTAAGTGGTCGGTGCCCCAGACATAGCTCAGACATATGTAATTGCTGTGCGGTGGTAAAGATAGAATCATCTGGGTGGCACAGTCGATGACCATGATTCTTCCACGCATAACATCTTGAGTCATTTTGGAACACGGATGTTTCCTCACACATTCCTTTATTCGCGATTGGAGGAACTTGTAGTCCACCGCATTCGGAATCAAAGCTCGGGCTTGATAATATGGATTGGGCCTTCGATGAATGAGTCCTCGATGATTGAGCTCTGGTTGTTGTATTGGTAAGGGCACCCGTTGTGTTCCTTGTCACCCTCGAAGGTCTCGATCCCCGAACTCCCGGCCAAAGCTATATGCGAAATAGATGAAAGATTTCCAATAGCTGGGAAGGACTCCAATTGCCAAGGAGAATTTGGGAACATCGGGAGCTCTTTCTTGATCTCATTAACTCTTGAGGCGAGAATTGTACAGAAGCGACATTCTGGTGAGAGGTTCTGCTTCAAGAATCCCAGATCGAATACAGGTCCTGCGTGTGGTTTGCTGGCAAAAATGAGCCTGAAGTCAATTGTTCGGCATCTCTCGCAGAATCCGAATCCGAACTGGAGTATCGCGCTAAATGGAATGCCCCTGAGTCGTAGGCTGTGTTCCGGTACGTCCGGATCAGCTCTTCATAAACTCTGTCATCCCAGAGATCAAAAAGACGCTTCTTCCTCGTCATCACCGTTTATATTGGACTTTTCGGCGCGTCGTCTTTTTGGCGGCTTCCTTTGTTCGTAGTCATGGCAAGCTTAGTATGTGATGTGTTGCGGTGATGCTTGGGTTGGTGGCCAAAAAGGCCGAGAAGATAAAAAAGAAGTGTAGAATGAGGATGTAGTCCATGGTAACGGGGGTGTTGAGGCGGTGTCAGAAGAAGGCTGTTAACCTTACGTCAGAACAAAGGTGGGCGACTTCTAGCCAATGCAAAACCGAGAGAAGCCCGATATACAGTACAGCGTATGAATATAGTCATAATAGCAGCGGAATGCGCCGAAAATAGCATTCAGCCTCGCAAGACGACGATTAATATTTCCAGGTGAGGTAACGTACGGTAACCCGAGCTGCGAATCTCAATATAACTGGCGGACTATTATTTAAGCTCAAATCTAGATAGCGAGTGATAGTTCGAAGAATGCTCCACTTCTAGGCAAGTAGAAACCGGGTTTTGCAACAGTGTGTACAATGTCGACATAGAGGTGAACAGTCCAAAACCCAAAATCAACTCCAACAAAGAGACATTGTTGGATTTCATTAATGGCCTTCCCAGTTATTCGTCCTTTTTACTCGCTCGCATTCCCATTGGTAATCCGACAATTCCCCACCAGAGGCAGAGAGACATGAACCTGGGTTCTTATCCATCTCACGTCCGATAGTCACCATTGATGGTAACATACTCATGACTGAAATCACAGAACCAATATCTGGCCTCCTCAGAGCCCGTGCCGAGATCGACGTCGATCTCCAGATCCTCGTCCTCCAGGAGGCGGGCGGCGCGCACTTCATCCACGGCCTGCGGCTCGCCGTTGACGAGTAGTTTCAGCACACCCTCGTCGGCGCTCTTGGACGACGGCGCAGGCACGAAGCTCACGTTCGTCCTGTTGGGGGCCACAGTTTCGGCAGAGAGATGCGGCGTGTATCCGATCGCGCACAGGATGCGGCCCCAATTGGCGTCCTTGCCGTATAAGGCGGTCTTGACGAGCGGGGATCTCGCGATGGTGGAGGCGATTTCTTTCGCGTCGTTGTAAGTCGGGGCGTTGCGGACAGTGACCTGGACGAATTTCGTGGCGCCTTCGCCATCACGGACGACGAGTTGCGAGAGGCGCTGGGCGAATGAAGTTAGTACGGAGGACATGGCTCGGTAGTCTGGCGAGGATGGGTCGTTGGCGATGGGCGGCGTGGAGGCGGAAGGCGAGGCCGCGCCATTCGCGAGAATGGCCACCGTGTCGTTTGTCGAGGTGTCGCCGTCAATTGAAATGGAATTAAATGATCGGTTCACGGCTCCGGTGAGAAGGGACTGTAGTGCAGCAGCTCCAATGGGCGCGTCCGTGCACAAGATCCCTAGCAGAGTTGCCATGTTGGGGTGGATCATGCCCGCTCCTTTGGTCATGCCAGCTAGACGATACTCAATGCCCTGGTGTTGGGTAGATGGGAGTGTGAAGGTTGTGGAGAGAAGTTTAGGGAATGTGTCGGTTGTGCAGATTGCTTTGGCAGCTGTCAACCAGGCGTGGTGCGAATCGTCGAGATTTGAATATGCCGTGGGAATTTTAGACAGAATTTTTTTGGTGGGAAGTCTTTGGCCGATCACACCGGTCGACATGACAAGACTATTCGAGCCAAGGGGATCAGAAGCTGGCGTCATCGAGTCCTGGAATTGTGAACTCGCCGTCTCAGACATGGCACGAGCATCTTCCATGCCACCCACACCTGTCACAGCGTTGGCGCATCCGGAGTTGATGATAATACTCCTCAATCCTGTACCACCACGCTTTTCTAGTACAGACCTGCTAACTTGCACAGGGGCGGCTTGAAACTTATTCGTGGTGAAGACTGCGGCACCGAACGCTGGCCGGTCGGAGGCGATCAACGCTAGGTCCGGGCGGGATTTATTGGCTGGCTTGACACCGACGTGGGTTCCTGAGACTTTGAAGCCTTTGGGATAGGTTCCTGATGTCGGAATGTATTTTATTTTTGAGGCTGGGATGGACGAGTCGACGGGGGCCGAGTAGTGACGGACGACGTTGCGGATGACCGACCGAGTTGGAGGAAGAGTTGACGAAGCCATGGCGAGGGTCTCCTGGGTTATCTAGGAGGATGAGATGGAAGAGCAATTCCCAGAAAGGGATGTGACTAGGACCAAAATTCTTGTCAATTTGTGGTTATGCTGCCTTCTTCCGGTAGGGGCAGAAGAGCACCACCCGGTGAACGACTTTTCATCCAAACACCTAGAGTTCGAGAGGTCTCGCTTTGGAAAGGCAATATCCCAGTCCTTCCTTCTTCTGGCGGTCCGTGAGAGTTGAAACGTAAGGTGAGGAACTCGGCCAGCACCCCTCGTCGTGATCAATGGTTGATGGTGCAATGGGATGAGTCAACGCTCCTGGCGAGCTTCGACAGTCTTCCTCTCGGCATATAATGACCTTTTAGTAGGTCATCGTCTCACGAAAAATTTTCCGGCCTCCCTACAGAGTGGTGGAAGCGTGTGACTCAATGGGAATTTTTCGCAGAGGCGGCGGAAAAAAAGACGAGGTTTGCAGCCAAATGCGGGACCAATCAGAACCGTCGGTTTGCGGAGTCAAAAGAGGGAACAGACAGCAATGCGAGTTCATGACGCGCAGCATCAAAGACCGTCCATTTTCACTGCAAGACGGCCTTTGCTACCATGTTTCGTTCGTGTACTAATGCGTAATGAGTTGATATCTACCCTCTTCTCAGTTCCGCGCTATGGCCAAAAGAAAACTGCCTGATCCCACCCCTGAAATTACAGATACCCCTTCCAAGCGCCGAAAGAAAACCATTGAACCGTCCCTCGCAAATGGAATTCACAAAGACGATTCCACCTCGGTCCCGATGATAAGCGGCACGTCAAAGAAGAAGCAGGAAACACCCTCCAAAAACAAAGGAAGAGGTGCCATTGGTACGGTCCTGCACGAGGAGGACAACGATGAAGGAAGCCCGACGCCCAAATCCAATGGCCGGACCCTATTATTCTCTACTCCAAGAAAAGAGAAGAGTGTAGTGAGCACTCCCTCAAAGCCAGGAAGGGCGGATCGATCTGCAAAGAGAAAAAGTGCACAAGCCCTTGCCGAGGCGCAAGATGAAGACGACTGGGATGGGCAAAGAGCTCTGGCCAGGGAAATCCTCGAGGACGAGGAGGCTGCGGATCGAGAAAACGTCGAGCAGATTGTTGATGACGCGACCGAAGGAGACGCAGCGACCCCTGTCAAAACACCAGGAAAACGTGGCAGACCCAAAGGCGCAAAGAACAAGCGGTCACCCACTCCAGATGGAGATATTGCTCCTGAAGAGCGCTACTTTTTCCAGACCCGCAGCGGTCCCCCTCAGGTCTCAGGCAATAAATTCGACTCGGTCAAATTGCTCACTTACGAAGAGTATTTTGAACAAATTCAATCTTACAAAGACCGCCACGCTTCCAATCAGGTGCAGCTGATGAAATTGCACGCCCGGTCGTTTCCTCAGTGGCAATTCGAACTTGCCGAAGGCTTTGGATTGTGTCTATATGGATATGGCAGTAAACGGCAGCTCGTCAACAATTTTGCGGAATGGATATGCAAAAGATCAAAAGCACCGCCTCGCATTGTTGTGGTCAATGGATACACTCCCAAACTCAATGTACGAGGAATCTTGAAAACTGTTGCGTCAGCTATTTGGGAGGAAGACCAGCATCTACAACTTGTCGGACAACCTCAAGAAATGCTCGATACTTTATTCTCACACCTCACCAATCACCCCCCCGATGGTCAATTGATGGTCATGATCAATTCCATTGACGCTTCAGCTTTGCGCGGCTCGTCAACGCAAGCGATAATGGCTCGCCTTGCACGACATCCCTTGGTCCATTTTATTGCCACTGCCGACTCACCAACTTTTCCTGTTTTGTGGAATTCATCACTGCTAGACCAGTTCAAATTTGTTTTCCATGATTGCACGACCTTTTCCCCGTACACAGCAGAAATCAATGTCGTCGACGAAGTGCATGAATTACTTGGCCGGAAAAGATTGCGAGTGGGCGGGAAGGAAGGCGTCGGGTTCGTGCTCAAGTCACTGCCTGAGAATGCCAGAAACCTCTACCGGCTATTGCTCTCGGAAATCCTGAGTGTTCTAGCCGATGGCGGAGTCGGTGGTACGGCCGATGAAGAAGACGACGCAAAGACAAGACGACCTACAAAGCCCAGTCGGGAGGCAGCTGACGAAGTGGGAATCGAGTATCGAACCCTATACCAGAAGGCATCAGAGGAGTTCATCTGTTCAAGTAGCATGAACTTCCAATTCCTTCTAAAAGAATTTCACGACCATCAAATGGTTACGAGTCGACGAGACGCGAGTGGGACAGAAGTGTTGGGGATCCCCCTGAGTAGAGAGGAGATGGAAGCCGTGTTGGAAGACCTCGTCGTTTAGATTTGTTGAAGATATCCATATCCGCATTCACAGAGAAAATCAAATTTACGCCGGACCATGCCGCATGACTTCTTTCCCATCTTCCCCTTCCAAAACTTTTGGTCTAAATCTTCTACCATCCCCGACCGGCCATTTTCTCGCCAGGGGCCATGCTACCACAATTGATACCAACCATGGCCTCACCTAATCCTTCACTACACTCAGCCAGAACTTTGGGGTCCTGATAGTGAGTGGTGGCCTGAACAATGGCCTTGGCTCTCTTTGCCGCATTGCCGGATTTGAAGATACCGCTTCCCACAAATACACCGTCACAGCCCAACTGCATCATCAACGCGGCATCTGCAGGGGTGGCAATACCACCTGCTGCAAAGTTGACCACAGGCAATCGGCCTAGCTCGGCAGTCTGTTTCAGCAGCGCGGGGTCACAGCCGATTTCCCTTGCAAGCGCTCTCAGTGCGCCCTCACCTTCCGCTAAGGCGGCCTGTGCTTCCGCAATGTCTTTCTTGACAGTCCTCATATGTTTGACAGCCTCGACGACGTCACCGGTACCGGCCTCGCCCTTTGTTCTGATCATGGCAGCGCCTTCACTGATCCTCCTCAATGCCTCACCAAGATTCCTGCAGCCACAGACGAATGGAACACGAAAGGGATGTTTCTCGACGTGGAAGGTATCATCAGCAGGAGTGAGAACCTCACTCTCATCAATGTAGTCAATCCCGAGGGCCTCGAGGATCTGGCATTCGACAAAATGGCCAATACGAGCTTTGGCCATTACCGGGATAGTGACTGCGGCTTGGATCTCCTTGATGAGCTGGGGATCCGACATGCGGGCGACACCACCATCCCGCCGGATATCCGCCGGCACTCTCTCCAATGCCATGACGGCGCATGCACCTGCTTCTTCGGCGATGCGAGCTTGTTCAGCATTGACAACATCCATAATGACACCACCCTTGAGCATCTGTGCTAGACCGGCTTTCACGGTGAATGAAGGGCCAGATGAGGTCGTCGTGTTAGTGGTAGGGACGGTAGAGGTCGCCATGCTGCTGTGGTCGTTCAAGACCATTGCGGCAAGGAGAATAAGTAGAGGAAACGGAGAGAGAGAGAAGCCAGACTTAATCTGCGCAGGACAATTGAGACGCCAGATTCAAATACGAAGTAATGAAGAACTGAGAAAAAGTATTGAGTCACAATGACCACCGCAGCGAATTCTCAGGTCAAGTTCGGCTAATAACGGATTTTTTAATAAATTTCCCGACCTGCGCCTTGAGACAAGATCCACGAAGGAGGAAGGGAATGGAAGCTGACCGCCCGTCGTGAGTTTCCTGAAAGGAAAAGAGATTTTTTTTTTTTCCTCCTCCGGTCCGTTCCCCGCAACCCAGCAATCAAAAAGACCCCTCAGTGCGCGCACGTGATCATATTAGTCATCCACCCTGCCTTCTCTTTTCACTTTCCCCTCCTTTCAACCAGACATGCATGTCGTAATTGATAAAGATATTAGGATTGCAATATACCACCAAATCCGAGGCCAGGGACAGAATTCCCTCTCTGTCTGTTCATTATTCGTTCGTCATCGAGCAACAACACCACGTTACACCCCAGAGCAAGGATTGAAAACCCCTGGTTATCGCCGAGATGCATGGAATTATCTGACCAGAGCTGATGGGCTGAATATCTCCTCTCTTCCTCTTTCTCAGCAATGACCGGTATCTTGAGCTTCTCGATGCGTTGCTCGAATGCTGCGCCATTGCTGCTCTCCTTCAAGCAAGCAATTCCCCAGACTGTCAACCTCGAATGATCAATCGAACCATGACACCATATCCAAAGGTTGACCAAACCCCGAGCTCTCCACCAGCTGCCGCTGCCATATCAATTCCCGACCTGCCCGAGGACGTCTTTCTCCTGGTCCTGACCAATCTCGCCGCATGGGACCTGGTGAGCTGCCAACGCGTGTCGAAATCATGGCGCTCTGCATTCAGCCAAGACCAATACATCCGTGTGGTGCTGCAACATTATCCACGAGCGAGAGAAGTCCGAACCCTGCCGCCAGGCAAACTTCATTTCCACAGTCCACGAGATGACTGCCTCGACTGGAATCGGATTCTCCTTCGCGTGGCGTCGCGATACTATAGTCTCGTCAATGGTACGGCGAGAACGGTCCTCAAATATCCCATGGCCCCGGTTGAACAATTAGGCGACTGGTTCCCGGTCGGACAATGGGACTATCACGAAAGTCAACCGGGAGGACGTTTGTACTATGAGACCGCCGCGGTTCATCTGAGCAGGATCGGTTCCAAACCATACCTGTTCAGACCTACCTTGTGGTCCTACGACCAGGGGCTTCTTGTCTATGCTCCAGCTCAATGCACGGGTGACGACTACCTTCCTGGAATCCTAGCACTATTGGATGTCGAGACTGGTCAGAAATTCCCCATCCCATTCGACATTCGAGGCAAGATCATCCGCAACCTCCGGCTGAAGGACCGAACTTTGATCGTCGAATGGGCGGAAAGGGACCCCTTCCACAACCTCAATGCCATGGAGCAGGTCAATCGGCATTTTGCCAACTGCTTCGACGTCTGCCCGGGCCCTGACAAATCGTCGTGGACGGTGACATGGCGATCGGAGTGGAAAATGCATTTCCTAGGGCTTCCGCCAAACTACCACGATCGGTTCTTCTCCACACACAACTCCACCCATTATGCCGTGTACTTCTGGCAACCCAATCGGAGCATGTACACTGGCGACGAGGAGCTGCCGATTGAATCGCTTTCGGTCTGGGACATTTCCGCCTCGTCCCCGTATCAGCCGTCCACAGACCCTTCGGGGGAATTTCGCCCGCCAGAGAAACAAGGACCGTATATCGTGTCGAGATTCAGCTTCACACATATGGACTTCGTCGGGATTCGACAACATGCCAGTGTGTCACTGATGTCTCTACATCTCGATTCCGAATCATTGTCGCTGACCGTGCGTGAAAACGTCGGTGTCGTAGGTCAAGGATATTTCGACCCAGCAGAAAGGCTGTGGTGCGCGAAAACGACGACATTTCCATTCCTGGGCCAAGGACCGCGACTGTACAGAGAGTGGGATGGCAATCTCCCCCCATATCGAGGCCATTGTAGCATGGAGAGCGCGGATGTCGAGGAGAGTGAGCGCTGGTTCCTACCGATCATGGACATCGTCGACTCGGACGCTGGTGTCAGGCTGAGTCTCGTCGAGACTTGTTTTTCCGGACAAAGTGTGGACAACAGACTGGTTGTGAGGATGAAGACGCAGTATCGTTCTGGTGAAAACAATGGCAATGCTGCACTCGACTGGACTACGCTTGACGAGTCTTTGACGCGCGAAGTCAGTGCTATGGGCCGCATCGCAGGTGATGAGCGCTGGATTATCGGACAGAATGACAGGATGGAGATTGTGGTTTTGAAGTTCTAAACATGACATGTGTACTCCAGCCCATTCGTCGTTCTTCGTCTGGATAGCAATTGCAATCGTAGTCACAAGTATGATATTGATGTTCATATTGAGAGTGGAATTGGATTCTAATTCCACCACAGTTAACCCGGTGTTGTTATATGTTTCAGTTTTCCTAGTCGCTCTGTATTGTACACAGATAGCATATTTACTCTTCATCTCTCTTCTTTTTTCTTTTTCTTTTTTTCTCCCTTTGGAGTCATGCAGAAGCGGCGAACTTGTCATCTTCAAGTAATTATACAGGCCATCGGTCGGTCAGTCAGTCAATTCTGTATGCGATCCAGCCCGATTCCGTGCCATCTTTGGTAACTCACATGCGGCCTCCGGATCGAGAAAAGCACTAACCGGAAACAGAGAAGCTTTGCTGCATTATATTCAACTCTAAACCGCAGCTATGCGGGTCCATTTCGATCCTGAACAACGAAACCTTGAACATAGGGTTAGTCGGTGTTTCCATCAATTGTATCGCCACAGCTCGACGGACTCTATACAAATCTGTCCTTTTGTCTACATAGCAAAGTAGCTGTTGGAATCTAAGGCCGTAAAGATACCCGGCAGACCTTCCCATATTGTGCTACCCCACGTTTTGTCTCTTCCGCAGCCTCGGCTATTTCGGTTTCGGTTCATTTGGTCTCAATGCCGCTTGACCATTTTTCCGATATCTCGAGGATAAGTACCTTGATATTATGTAGGTATTCCTACTCTCTTCCACACCCATCGGTGATGGTATTGGTCTGTCACCAACTCAAACCGCAGAGGCTCTTCGTTAGACCTACTTGAGGTGAACGAAAGACGTCATGACTGCCGACCCACCCTTGTCGGGGCTGCGCGTCCTCGAACTGTCAGGATTAGCACCAGGTACAATTCTTTCAGATCTCCCACAGAGTCGTAGTACAGTGAGCGTCTCACTGACGGACTAATAGGACCCTTCTGTGGCCTCCTACTAGCCAACTGGGGTGCCAACGTCCTTCGCGTGGACCGGCCGGGTCCTGACCCCACCTCTGACCTCCTCACCAGCCACAAATCCTCTATTGCCCTAGACTTGAAAGACCCTCAATCGCTGGCCATCTTCCTTTCTCTTCTCCCGAAGGCCGACGTCCTCATCGACCCCTTTCGGCCCGGCGTGCTAGAAAAACTCGGCTTGGATCCGGCAACGGTCCTCCTGAAGAAGAACCCCCGCTTGATTGTCGTCAGATTGACGGGGTTCCGTCGTGATGGGAAATACAGCGCAATGGCCGGCCACGATATTAACTACCTGGCGGTTTCGGGCGTGCTGTCCATGCTTGGGGCGCGGAACACCCCTCCGCTCCCACCGGGCAATATCCTCGCAGATTTCGCGGGCGGTGGCATGGTTGCGTTCGCTGGTGTGCTCTTGGCTCTAATCCATCGACAAACAAGCGGCAAAGGCCAGGTTGTCGAGGCCAATATGGTGGATGGCGTAAGCTATCTCGGAACTTTTCCACGCCTCTTGACGAAGGAAGCGATGTGGAACGCCGAGCGCGGCACCAACACCCTCGACGGTGGTGCGCCTTACTATGGATGCTATGAATGCAAAGATGCCGGAAAGTATATGTCAGTCGGGGCATTGGAGCCGCAGTTTTATGCTGAGCTGCTGAAAGGGCTGGGCTTCAAACCCGAAGAAGTCGTTCCAGGCGGTTTGGATCGATTGGACAAACGTTCCTGGCCATATATGCGCGAGGTGTTCACCCAGCGATTCAAGACCAAGACGCGCGCGGAGTGGGAGCGCATCTTTGACGGGACAGACGCATGCGTCGCCCCCGTGCTTGAGCACAAGGAGATGGAGGCCCAAGGGTACGATCAGCGGCCGATCGTAGGCTTGACCGCCTCTCCGGGTAGAGATGTCGATATGCCTTGGAAAGGCCAGCCGTCGAGGCCTGGAGAGGGCGCCGAGTCCGCCTTGAGTGATTGGATGGGGTGGAGCAAAGGCAGAGACTACGAAGTCTCCTCCAAGGGAACATTTCTGAAGAGGGAGAAGAGTAAGCTATAGCTGTCAGCAGTTGTTGCCCAAAAGTGACATGATTGAAACATTCTTGATTTGGTCGTGAGGATGATACTTTGTCAGTTTTCGGCTGTTACAGTACGAGTCAGATGTCCCGCTTTCATTAACCGCCTTGGAGAGAACAAGTACGTTTTATATAGACAACTTTTAAGATCTTCGCCCTCTCATCACTCCCGCTCCTTCTTCTTCTTCTATAGACAAGTTGCCAGAAGAAGGCCTAAGGGGTCTTTGCTCCAGCTCGTCATGGCCGTCTTTTCAGCCCAGCTCCGCTGCTTCTGCTCGGTGATTACCATCATCCCCAGTACCCAGCGACACCACCAAAGCCAGCCGCCGCAGGCAGATCATCGGCATTCAACAAGCCAACACCCTCCTCAATCAGTGTGGACCAGACGGCGTTGCGCGTCGTGATCGGCCACGCAGGCGTGTCCCAATACCGGGCGAGGATCCCACGTCGGTTAGCTTCGGCGATGTGGCCGCGCAGTGTCGCCAGTTGCGTATCATTGAACGTCGTGCCGTCGACTTCGCCGATGTACCGACTGAACTGCGTCGACGCGACAGGAGACACGGCAGCCGTAATGTTGGATTGCGTGCTGTTGAGTAGAGCCAAATTGGCGTCGAAGAAATAGTCTCGCTGCTGCACAGGCTGTACTTGGTCAAGCGGCGTATTGCCTGTTCCGATCACAGTGACCGGGCCGACCGTAACACCCGTGCCATTCCAGGTCGTCAGGTAGTCGGCCTCACGCAACGGCTGGAGGGCGTCGATCACCACGGGCCAAGTCGTCGTGCCGTTCGTCTTCAGGTCAACGAACAGTAGTAGTGTCTGGCTGGACGAGGTATCGTAGACACCGTTGTGGGTAGGCGAATCAACAAATTGACTCGTCGGGTTCTCCCGTCTCAGAACATCCAGGATGGGTTGGACATACAAGGAGTTGAAGGTGCGGGCGGGCGCGAGGGCGGATTCTTCATGGCCGACGTAGAGAGTGTCGTTGACGAGCCAGACGTCCGCTTCGACGGATACACAGCCAACGGAGAGCGCCGAGTAGAAGGGCACGTCGCGCCAGTAGTCGTTGTGCGAGTGGATTGGTTTCTGGAGACCAGAGGGCTTGTCAGAACGGAGCGGAAACGAGTGAGATTGCGTGGAAACTATGTGTCTTCTCGGGGGACTCACAGGCACGATTCCCCTTGTCAGGTCGGTCGGGTATGTATACGCATCACTATTGTGGTTGTTGGATAGGATGTTTTGTAAAGACGTGGAGATGTCGAGGCCTTCCGCGGTAGCCGATGCGGGCAGCGGTGCAGCAGTAACCTTCACCGCGAGAGGGAGCGCGAGGGCAAGGAGCGGCGAGATCATGGTGGAGGGCGATGGGGCAAGAGCAGCGTCCACTGAAGCTGTGAGAAGCGGGAAGCTCGAGAGAGGGAGTTTGAATCCATCTTATTATGACTTGGGGAGAGCGCAGTTCGCGAAACGTGTTGGCAGCGAAAGTGACGCTGTCGGATCATGCCCGCAGTTGGAGTTTTTAGCGGAACCGGTGCACGCGGACCATACATCATCGCCGGGTTCCTGGATCCGAAGAGATCTGCTGTCCAATGATACTTGATTCAGCTATACACGTGCATCGGCAGTATTGAGCTCTATGTTCGTTCGTCAGATGATGGCTTTAGCATGAGGTTGATTCGGATATATTAACTGGGCAACTTGCTTTGCGACAAGACAAACGGTTCTCTCGTAGGTTGCATCGCTATGTGAACGAGAAAGTGTACTAGAGGACCTGGTAGGACGAGGTCCCTCTGCCCGCTGCTACCTACGGAATTGAATACCTTCTTTCGAGCCGCCAAAAATAATTGTCGATTGCGGTCGAAGATGCTCTTTCGGTTGACTCGTTGAGTTTTGATTTTTGCCGTGCTGGATGTATACACTGCGTCCGGGCCGATAGATCTTAGCAACGTCACCATCAGACTGAATATGTGGCCTGCAAGATTTTCTCCTTGTGAGTCTTTCAACAGCCTTGTTGAGCTCAGATCTCGGGAGTGTCCAGTCAATAGCTGACCAGTGAAGGAGTAAAAGATACCAATTCGTCGGGATCAAGTAGCAGATCTTTCTATCGCAGAAATCGTCATAGAAAGCTTGATAGATGACACTCTCCAAACTATTTGGGCGCCCATGGTGCTCAAAATTCATCATGTTATATCAGTCCTCCTCTTTTCCGTCTCTTCTGGCATGGCCACACCAGAGAATCCCGGGTCGGAAGAGATGGGACCATAGCCAAAGAGACCTTGGTCCGCGAGATCGAAGAATCGTTGCCTAGAACATAGTATTGCACTATGCAGACGGGGGAGGGTGGCAGAGACTAGTAATCTGGCTCTTCACATTGGACATGCAGGTGAGTGGAATTCTGAGGGTCTAGTTCAATCGTCACAAAATTATCCAGCATCAACGGAAGATGCAGAGTATTATACTTACCTGCTGTCAACTCTGTCTTCCGGACTTTGGAGTGCTTATGAAGTCATCTGGCCCCAGAGCTCTGGCCGCAATACTGCTGGTCGGTCTCTGAGTTGTGACAAACAAAATTAGCAGTGAGAAACGGAATGACAGAGAGAGTTAAGCTTGCGAACTGTGTGTTTACTCCGGATGATGATCGATGGCGGAATCCTGCTGTTGTGACTGATGCCGTCCTAGCCTTGAGCCTCCTCAGCTCTCACCCGGATGCGTTTTTCTCGATTTCGATCTTCAGGATGAACTCGGCCTCCTCGGTTGATCTTCCACGTCTTTTCCAATCGTGACCAATCCATTCTCAAACCAAGGTACCCCAAGGCTGCCAAATATGTTGGGTGGAGACAATTCACTGCCTCTCTCAGATGGAACATGACGCCGGAATCTCAACCGTGCATACAACCTGTTTTCCCAGGCTGTTCTTGGGATTGTTGGATTCCAGAATACCCGGTTCCGAGAGCACCAGGTATATGTACCGACTTCCTCCCGTTCCTTGTGTTGATACCTTTCGTCTCCTTCAATTCAGGTATCGGATAAATCAACACGTAGTCGGCTCATATTTCTCCTCAGCCTTCCATCCTCCTCCGCGATCATCACCATGCAGATCCAGAACGTCCCTCCTCTACTCTCTCCTTGCTGCGGTTCCAAGTTTTGCTCAAGAGGAATCCTCCACCGCAGTTGGATCCGCCGCTTCTGAAGCTGCCAGTCGTCTCAGCACTGCAGCATCGGCCGCCTCTTCCCAGGTTAGCGTACAAGCTTCGATTACTTCTGAAGTCGCCGCTTCTGTCTCATCCGCCTCCGAATCCACCGCCTCTACTCAAGAATCCATTGCTTCCAGCCTGAGCTCCGCGGAAGCTACTGGCGCTACCGGTGCAGCATCCTCGCTCTCGGCTCTGAGTACCTCGGCCAGTTCTGTTCTCGCCAGTCTCAGCAGTGACGCCGCCAGTGCTCTGAGTAGTGCCACCAGCGCTGCAAGCTCTTCCGCCTCTTCTGCTTCATCTGCCGTCTCCTCCGCCGTCTCTTCCCTGGCTAGTGCCGCCACTGAAACAAGTACTGACAATGCCGCCGCCGCTGCTGCTCTGCCAACTGGTTTGAGCGGTGCCGCTGGTGTTGCCCTGTTGGGCCTTGCAGCTTTGTTGTAAATGGAAGAACACCATCGGTCAAGAATATAATGCATGCACCAAGGTCATGGGCGTCGAGGTAGTTCATCGTTGAACGTTCCGTCATACTTTTACAAAATTCATGGTCATAGCAATATCAGGAGCGATTCTCAAATCTTGTGCAGGGCAATCATTATTCCACAGTTTAGCTTTGTTGACTCAGCAATTACGATGTTGTCTTCTGATTCATCCTTGCATCTGACTTTGACATTTGATTCTGCCCAAGCTCCTAAATTCAAGTCCTGACGGGTGGAATGGTCTTGGGGGGAGGCTCTTTCCCTTATTGTTGGCTGAAAAAAGTGTCGAGTCGTATAGCGCTGCTTGACAGCCATTCATGGAAAGATTGAAAGGTTTGGCACTTACAAGCGTTGCGAGCATAATTACAGCGAAAAGACCTCACATTGACACTCCAACATAAACTAACTCCCGCAGTCAACTCGATTCGTCCGTACTTGAGCCTCCTACCACGCCCGAGGTATCAACGTCAAAACATATCTCTCCCAACGACACGTCGTATCGTGACAGGCTCGTGAGATGCTCATAGACCACCTTTGGCTTGACAGGGATTCTTTCCCGCTTTCCTCGCAAGTCTTCCTTGGGTATAAGTAGTTCGGAATAATCCCTGAAGTCCCGCGAGAGATGATATGAAATGTGAGTGCCATCGGTTTGGCCTGGGGACTTTGGCTGGACAGGAATGTCCTGTTCCTCCAGCGAACCACAATAGTGCCAATGTGTGGGATGATGGAAGTCGTACATCAGAAGACGCAGGTGCGCGTGGACGCCAAGCCGCGACCCCTCTCCGTGCCACTCAGTTTGCAATTTTCTTTCCACTTTCGTACTCGTACGACCGCAATGACCAGCCTCATCGCTCCATCCGTACAAACATCTTCGGTCTCGGTTGGATAAAGACTGGTGGTACGAAAGAACGGGCACGAGCACAAGCATTCAATCATGCCCAAGGAACGGAAGACATGCACCGAGTGCTCAATGCGCCGGCAGAAATGTGACCGAAACGTCCCCTGCGGTCGCTGCGTCAAGAGAGGTGACGCTGCAAAATGCACTCGGGAGTGGCCTGAGGGCGGATACGATCCCAAGATCCACCGGATCTATCCTCGAACATCAATCCGAACAGATACCAGCCCTCCTGCTCCCGACACGTCTCCTGCTAATCCTGCTGAATCTTCGGTACATCCTGCCCGGAGGACTCCGGCCTCTGCGACCTCTGCAACGAGTCCTCAAGCTCAGTCATCGATCCATCCTGGCAATCCTGGCACAGGTCCGGACAATGCTCCAGTCTCGGATGTCGACAACGCAGCCACAGTGCTGGAGTTTCTCACCTGGGGTCGATCAAAATTGTCGGATTATGACCTCAAGGCCTTGGAACTCCTCAAAGAACCCCACAATGCCGGGGTATCCGCCGTCCCCAAAGACAATGGCCCCGACTGGGATGTTTCTAATGGATTCGGAGGCACTGGTGCCGCCCAAGTTTCATTCCTGCAATTGTTGCTGCCAGGCCGTCGACAAGTGTTTCAACTGGTCGAATACCACATCAGCTCCATTCTGTGGTACCATGGATGCTTTCATGGTCCTACTTTCTATGAGGAGCTCAAGGAGGTCTACAAAGGCCCGTCCGGATTGCAAGTCAGAGACATGGATCTCAGGTGGACTGCCTTACTATTTTCCGTTATGGCAGCAAGCATGACTTGCGCCAATGAGCAATTGGCTTTGTCTTGGGGCTTTAAAAAGAACGAAAGAGCCAAACTCACCAGACAGTGGTACAAAGCCACCGTTACTTGTCTCAATCTCGCAGATTATATGTGGCGACATCATATCTATTCGGTTGAAGCAATCACCGTGTTGACTATGTCCGCTCACATTCTAGGATTCAGCAACACCCAAAGCACACTATTGGGAGCCGCACTTAAGATTGCCCAAGGACTCGGTCTTCAAAGACTTGGGCCTGAAGACGAGATGGGTAATGTGACCGGAGCATGCATTGTCATGACCTCTGCTCAACGGGATAAGGTAACCAAGCGGGAAACGGGAAGGAGACTGTGGTCTCAACTTTGCATTCAAGATTGGTTTTCGATCCCGTTCTCCGAGATGTACTCCATTCAGAAGATCCATTTCACCTCCCTCAAACCCATAAACTGCGATGACAACACGATGCTACCGTTGCCCGATGACACCCCCAGCATGACGAGTTTTCCCAATTTTCTCTGCGAGATTGCTTCACTAATGCCTCAGATGCATGATGCCATTATTGGATCGAACACGTTGTACACCAAGTACGAGCAAGTTCTGGATTATGATGCGAAGATGAGAACATTGGCAACGGAAGGATGTCCTCGCTTTTTCTCCATGCGGGAGCCAATGTCTCCCGAGTGGCCTGCATTTATTCCCTGGGCCAAGCGAAGCCTAACCATTTGTTTTGCTCACAAGATCATCATGATTCATCGGGCTTTTCTTGGTCGCAGTTTCACCGAGCCAGCATTCGATTTCACGCGTCGTACTTGCATGGCGGCGGCCAAAACGATATTGAAGGAAGCCAGACAGGCGTACGATGAAGAGGGACCAATGCTGTGGATTGATCAAGCATTCATGGTGGCGGCTGGAATCACGCTTGCCTTGGATATTTTCCATCGCCAACCCAACGAACCCGAGTATGAAGAACATAGGAAGCTGGTGGATAATACGATCAGTATGCTGGGGAAGTTTGAAAACAGCATGATTGCTTTACGTGGTATCCGACTACTATCGTCGTTGCTTGCTGAACAGGCTCGGCTCACGGCGGATCAGACGCTGGAGAACTATCGAAAGCGAACACATGAGAGCATGGGAAGCCGTGGACAACCAAAGAGACAGAAATTCAATGTGCCCAAGTTCGTGGAGTCCTTTGTCGGAAATGACTCCTTCACCCATTCCTTGAGAACTGCCAACCGAGGCGTGGAGCCGTCATTGGATCTGTATGAACCGACCGAGGCTGCACGAACCCCAGCATCGCAAGAACCCATGATTACGTCGGACCTAGGTTACGAGACCTTCGAACAACTGTTTCCTCCGCATACTGGTATCAGCAACAATTTTCTGTTTGAAGACTTGCTTAATTTCGACATATGAAACAAGGATGGGATGGATCATAAAGATATTGGCATGTCACTGTCCGAAAGGATGTGCGAACAGAAACCAAACGAAACGAATGCCGTACGACAATCGGTGGAATGCGATTGGACGATAATGGTTGCGGGGGAGGCTATTCCAGCCTTGTGCCTTATCGCGTTGTTAGCACATTGTAATCATTTGCTACCGATCGTCCAAAACATATAAGAGATGGTTTGCCCTCATCATCCACTGGATATTCCAGAACTTCTTAGATCATTATACACTGCCATCTTCCCGCGTCCTTCTCTTGAAAAGTATCCAACCACCGTCTCCGAAATTGAGCAGCATACCGGCCATGGCACCCGAAAAGACGAAATACGTCGATCGCGCCATCCCCACCATTTCGTTGGCAAACTACTCGGAGCGCATGGACGAAATCACCGCCGAACTTGTCTCTGCCGCCGAAAACGTCGGCTTCTTCTGCATTGTCGACCACGGCATCTCGCAGGACGAAGTGGACGAGATCTTCGCCCAGTCCGCGCGCTTCTTTGCCTTGCCCGACGAAATCAAAGCCAAAGTCCCCTTCTCTTCCGCCCACAATGCGGGATGGGAGAAGAACGCGCAGGTCCGGCCCTCGACTGGCGCCGCGGACAAGAAGGAATCCTACCAGATGCAATTCGGCCAGAACATGGAAGGCAAATGGTTGGACGATCGCGAGATTCCGGGCTTTAAGGAATCCAGTCTAAAGTTCATGTGGCACGTCCAGGAAGTCTCGGAGAAGCTTATGACGTGTTTTGCAAGAGGACTGGGGTTTCCTGACGATTACTTTGTCAAGGCACACGATGTCCGGAGGCCTGAGAGCCAGACTGTGGCGAGGCTACTGCATTACTTTGAAACCCCCAGAGAGACGAATGGCGAAGTCTGGCATCGTGCCGGTGCCCATACGGATTGGGACCTCGTCACGCTCCTGTTCCAGAAGGCAGGACAATCTGGTCTCGAGGTATGCTACCCAAGAGCGAAGCTGAGCCTTCATCCTCATTCTCTCTTTCGTCGGTCCACTCCGACCACCTTTCTGCTCTTTCTTCTAACACCTCGATCTGATTAGATCTGTCCTGGCCGCGAAGTGTCGACGTCTTTCGGGCATGGCGACGAATGGACAAAGGTCAACCCACCGTCCTCGAACGCTATTATCTGCAACATCGGCGACCTGCTCATGTCCTGGTCCGATGACCGCTTTAAATCGACATTCCACCGCGTCAAATCTCCCTCCGAAGCCGACGACTACTATGGCGAACGCTACAGCATTGCCTTTTTCAACCAACCGTGTCGAGATACGCTGATTCAGGGGCCCCTGAAGAAATACCCGCTCGTTACCGGTGAGGAATTTACGCGTAACGCCATGATGAAGAATTTTCGCGCGCTGGAGATTAAGAGGTTCGCACTGGCGGAGCAGCAGGCGAAGGAAAATGGTATGGTTGGGGTCGGTGGGGAGAATGGTAAAGTCGTTGCGGGAGTGGGTGCTTAAAGCGAACATAAGGAAATTGCTCCAGGATGGCCCCCTATTTCCATAGCAAAAGGCGATGAGTTGCTCCGATGAAATCTTCCCCTTTCACCCAAGCGCATTCAGGTTGTTTCCCTCATAGCATTGAAAGTCGGCGATGGCACATAGGGAGGTAGGGCCTGATGCCGCCTGCGGAAGCACGGAACTGTGGAAGTTCTGGAGTCCGTCGAAACTGCATGTTCGTCCCTTGTCCAATGCCTGACGAAAAAACGTCCCTCTTTAACCCTCCACGCCAGTCTTCTTGCTAAAAGCATCTCGCGCCATCATCGTGTTCAACACGGCGCAATTGAAAGCAGCCTCGCCCGGTGGAATCACGACAAAAATGTAGGTGTTCTCAGTGAATCGAGCGAGGAAGCAATTGAATCGTGGTGTTTGCACTTTGAACAACAAGAATCCAGCGCTGGCCGGCGTTGTCCTCGTATTTCTTGCTACCGTGTGTTTGTAACTCTTCATGATATTCGAGATCCGTTCATGTCGGTCGTGGTTGGGATTGTCCTCTCCAAGCTCGGTTACGACGTTTGTGACAGTCAGAAATGTCGATCTCTCAAACAAGACGATCTCCTCGGCATTGAGCTGTTGTGCAAAAGCCTCCAGAAAGCGCTCGATGACAACCAAATTCGGAATCATTCTGTGCACGATCCCTGCCCAGGCCTTGTACAATGTTTGATCCCAGATGCTGCTGGCGAAAGTCTCCAAGCTAAGCCCCTCGGACCTAGCCATAATCAAACGACATCGTTCTTCATAAATTCGTTCGCGGTGTTCGTTCTGGACCAGGTCCATCTTGTGAATCAAACAGAAGACATGCGCATGGGGACTGAACTCTTTCAAAGCCTTGATCACCTGACTGTAGGTTTCGAGATCCTGGTCAACGGATCGCGATTCAATGTCGAACACGTAAATGAGCACTTCGGCGTCGGAGAAGACGTTCTCACGCTGAGCATTGAGGTAGGAGTCCATAAAGGCGTCTTGCCTACCGCAGAAACTTAGTTGATTGCCTTGAACGGTTGACAGATTTGTGCTCCAGAGAATCACCTACCCTCCACAATCCCATAAGTTGAGAGTCAGATTGCCCATGAACTTAGCATGGCTATGCTCGACGTCAATTGTTGCTCCGAGACGGCGAACGTCCTTTGCGACATAGTTGCTGAAAATGATGGACCGCATCGATGACTTGCCAGAGCCGCTTTTGCCCATCAACAGGACTTTCTTCTTCCTCTTCCGCGTATCCATCTTCCTGCGCGATTTCCGGTGCTGGGCCTGACTTTGGCTCGTGCAACCCACGCGTGACGCAAAAGCTGGGGCAAAATACGCATAATGTATTTTGGAGGAGTACAGAGCCGCCTAATGCAGCTTTTCGCAGAGGGCAACGCACGCCTTGTCTATAGCAGGGTCTGCGGTGGAGATTTCCATCGTAATTAAAGCCCTCCTGTTATGAATCTAAAATAGCTCCAAGATGCCGACGGCAAAAACCATGCATCCTCGCGGACAGACAGTCTTCGCTGGGGAAGAGCAAGCTTCGGCCTACGGTTCTTCGGGGAAAAGCAAGCACCAACGTTCAAATCTCAGAAAAGCCCCTGTTCGGTCTGTCTGTCTCTTCAAGATTCAGAATATTCGCAGCCGGTCTCACACTCGAAAACCCTTTAACACAAAGGCTAGAAGTCAAAGGAGAACTAGAATGAAAATGGAAGACTTCGCGACCACCAATCGATAGCATACCATCATCAAGTTAATACGTAGCCTCGTAACCCCCTTTCTTCGAACCCATTTCCGTGATCTCCTGAATGCCGTCTACCCGTTTTCATGTAACGATATGGAAAAGAGAACATTTGGTCATTCAGAAGACCGTTCCGTCAGATATAATACCAATGGGAGGTCCTTTGGTGATGGGGCGGGACACTTGTGCAATTTCTCGTCCTCCCTGCCGAATTCATTAGCCAGACTTGCAACAAAACGTGTCCAGAGCGCCTCACCTTCCAAGTTCCGGCCTCGAGCATCTGCGCCAAACTCAGTTGCTCTGCCCCTTCAAGTCCGAGCCCCTGGTTCACTGCCGCCAGAAGTTCATCCAGAAATCCGACCGTGACAGCTCGCCATTCGACGATCACATCATCACTGGGCTCAAATGTCGGGACGACCTCGACGGCATTACCGTCGCCGACCATGTGATGGTAGATCTTGAGACCCCGTTGTCGGTCTTCTTCCTTCAAAGTCAGAAGTCCGGTATCGACCAATAAACCGCCATTGCGGTATTCCGGAAGACCGGTCATCAGCTCGGCGCCCGCGAAGTGAACGTTGAGCAACTTGGTCATCGGAACCATCAAGGAATAACAAAGCCACTGTGTCAATTTATGGAAAGGGACGATGGTTTCCCACGGATGAGCGGGAGGGGACTTGGGCATGGCACGGCAGGGCCAGGCGTCGCCTAATGATTTCCCTTGGATCGTCGTTCGAGTTGCGGGCCAGATACTGGACAACCCATCCATGAGGACGCTCCAAAGGGTTGGTAATAAGACCACCGGAACGGATGCCGCCTGGGTGGTCGGATGGGATATCAGATAGTCTAGAATTGATCAGCGTGCTCCGCCGACGAAGTGCACTCCACTCACCGATCATGTTTCCCGGTCGGCCCTCCACTCCGAAAATTTCAGTATTCTGTAACGCCGATGCCAGTCGGATGAGCAGACCAGCTCGACCCGCAAGGCCAGACATGGGATTCGAATCAGAAACCTGCATGCCTCTGGCCAAAGTCTCCACCGTGACTTTATTCAGACCAGCAGCATCCACTTGATGAGGTTGAGTCGGGTCGCTACTAAAAGCACCGGCTTTGAACATCTCCAGACTTGCAACAGCGAGACCTTCACTCCGGACATAGACCTTCCCGGACTCTTTGGATTTGTACGACCACTTCGTACCAGCGCCAGCGTCGAGCAGGACCGAGACGAGGAACAAATCAATCAGGCGTCGAGCTCTCTCTTGAGTGTCGATGGCGGTGGGCCAGGACTGTAACAATTGCGTCACTCTTGGTCTTCCTCCCACTTCAAAATGTTGCCAACGACCGTGAGGTGGTATTGAGGCGTAATCACCCGCATAGTCTCGCTGGGGAGTGTCAGCAATTTGGATGGATGTTGCCGATTCACGGTGTCCCACGGCTTACCTTGATAATGGCGACGACATAATCGGCGGTGTCCTTGAACTTGGACATGTCGACATCGAAATGATTGAGGGCATTACCCTTCGCCTCGTCAAGGACCAACCTCGTCCTCTGCCTGACGGCATGAATGCTTCGAAGGTAAGCAGCAGGTTGTGAGCCTGGATCGGGGGGATCAGGAATAGGAATGTCCGGCATGTTGTTACCCATTGACGGAGAAGGGAAATTGGCGCTAATAAGTTTGGGCGACTTGTGTGAATAGTTGGAAAGGCGCTCAACAGCAACAGCAGGCCTCAGAAGTGATTTGTCCGACTTTGAATCATCTGGTGACGCTCTCGATTCTTTTTTCTTGAAAATGCCCATCATGGTGGGCGGAGAAGGCCTGTCGGGCCTATCGATGCAAGGGAGCCGATAGGCTGATCTAACTGTAAGCTGCAAGGGGCGACTCGGGTCAAATGTGTCGATCTAGGAACCGCGATGGCACGGTGCCCCACGGCGTAACGGGTTGCCTGTCAGGTGTCTGATGCGTCGATTCAGGCTTCGACAGGCGTGGTTTGGGCAGCGGAGTGACAGCGCAAAGCAGCGCAAGTAAAAGCCAGAACAACAGGACGAGAAGGTCTCAGGTGGAAACAAAAGAACCTCGGCCTTCTGACAGGCCCGGAAGCGAATGAAGGAGCGAACGAACGCACGAACAGACGAACGAAACGAGCGGCTGGAGGGAGAAATGAGCAGATCCCAACAACTGAGACACAATTTGAGATGGGCTGCGCCAATGCAGCAATGCAGCCGAGTGGGAAGGGGGATGTAGTGAGGAGGAGAGTTTCTGTTGAGCTGCTACCGTACATGTATCATTCTCAGTTAATTGACGGCCTTAATTCTTGGGCGTGAATTCAACTGCATTGCGCTCTTTTCCCCCCAAATAGCCTGGTCAACATGGGAAAAAAAAGGAAGAAAAGAAAGGGAAAGAAAGATAGCCGTAGTTAGTAGTATGCACAGTTCAGGAGAAGGAGGGAGCGTTGCTGGGAAGAGGAAATCGACTTCTGTTGGTGAAACAAATAGGCGAGCGAACGCCCGACTTAGGCTCCAACCACACTCCCACATTGCCGATGGGCGCAGCCACAAGGCCACTGAACGATGAGTTTAGTAAACGGCCCTATTAAGCATGGAGGGTATGGCGCAACGTCCCGGGGGGAGGGAGGCCTGGTGGGGAAGCTTTCTCCAGCTCCCAAATCATCCCGAGATTACTGCAATTGGTTGAAGTCATGTCTTCTGCAGAATGAGCGCTTTAGGCGGTCGTCGACTGTTCATTTGTTCGGCGGCAGGAACATTTTCAATCGTCCTTCGGCGCAATCGATTGTCCTTCCAGATCCAGCACCTCTAAGCACCGGAGACCATTCCTCTCTGTCCTCGCGGGCTTGCAACGTGGCCGCCACAAGATCCCGTATGGAGCACTGTCATACCATCCCCTGGTTCGTGGAGGTCACCGACTAGCGACGTCCACTTTGAAGAAAGAGAGGATTGAGTTTAGCTCGGGGGCTAGGCTTAGTCTCCCGCCGCCTACAATTCCCATGATTACCGCTTACCGCTCAGGCATCCATCTCTCTGCGACCCTCTGGCAACAGTGTTCTGGGTTTACAATCAGCGTCCTGGCAGGCGAAACTTCCTTCGCCCCAGCTTCGCCATCCTCAACAACACATGGTGTTGTATATATTGACCGACTCAATCGCACGTTCGACTCTCAGGGACGAGCTGCTCCGTCAAGGCGCACTGATTGGCACGAGTTCCCACCTTCCGCATCCCCAGAGCGCCAGTCGTCCTGAAACAGTAACCCTTGCCTTCATCTCTTGCCGAAGTCTCGGACTCCAAGCCGAGGGCGACCATTGCGATTGACTCGACGGTAGAATGGATGCTATTCGGGAGAATGCCCAAGAAGAGAGTCGGCTGTTTTCCATGCTCCCCGCCGAAATCAGAGCTTCCGTCTTTGAGTTGGCTTTGACATGCGACGACAATCTCTCAAAGCCATACCGAGCCGATCGAATTTACCACCGACCCGGCTACCATTATCACCAAAAGATCCACTGCTCGTTGCTTCAAACGTGCAAACGCATCTATCGCGAGGCCCGCCTGCTGCCCGTCTCGGCCAATGAGCATATATTTTGGCTCTTTAATGGTCCATGGAAGTCTATAGGCCGAATCAATCGCAATACGGCGAGATGGTCCAGCTGGTATCGGTCACTCCACCGAGAACAGCAGAAGGCCGTACAAGTCATCCATATCTTTGCCCAACAATACTTCTTGGAAGGTCTCGGTTCTCGTCCTCAGCTCGAAGGGTTTTCTTTCGGAACGAGGCTTTTCCATCTTACTCTGCGCCATTCTGACTGGTGGTCGTGGGAATCCCCCGTGGAGTCAAATGATCGTTTGGGAATTTGCCCATGGCGAGAGAATCGGACATCATGTCAGCAGATGCTTGCTGAGCCAGCACAACCGAGTCTCAGCTACATCAAAGCGCGAATGATTCCGTCTACATGGGGGGGACAGATATGTCGAATCCAGGGCCTGAGGGAGTTGAAGATGGAGTTTGAGACCAGCGAGGTCAAACGGTCACAGCTGCAGGTAGTGGTGGAACGAGCCAAACACTGGAAGTTTCCCTTGGCTGGTGAGAATTTCGTCCTCGAGTGGATTGGAGAGTTGAAAGAGTCTTCTTGGGAAGGCCTGTTGAATCTGAAGGACGATTACCAGGTGTTGCGGGAACAGCCTATTAGCGAGGACGCGCCCAAGCAGAAATATTATGTGGTCAGGATGGTCTGGAGAGCGTCCTCAGCAACACCGGAGCAACTAGAGGATCTCGAAGACTCGAGATAGATAGTATAGAAGTGAGAGGGTGCAGAGCTATCCCTCCCCCGTGCAGAATTTTGCCTTATGAAAGTGAGTGAACACGAGACCAAAATTTTGTATCTGCTGTGGCTGTTCACTTTGTGGCGCAGGCATGTCACCCAATCCCCCGGTGTCGCGTTTCTTTCTTGTCCGCCATGGAGGTGAACAGCGTTCTACCATGATCCACCCGGCGCCAATAATTCAAAACTTATCACACTGCCTCCGTTGTCGCCATGGATGATATAGCGGGGTTGAAATGGACATCAACCCCGGCCAATGGACAGAAACCCGCAACCTCGAACTACTCTGCTTTTAAACCTACTCCCCCAACCTCAGGGCGAGCGTCTCCATTCAATGCGACATCTAGTCAGCCTCCTTCCAAACCCGCCACTCCCGTAAATGACAGCTTCGCGAATCTAGTCTCCTTCGGGGCCTCTTCGAACAAGAATCTTTCCTTGCTGGAACAACAGAAGAAGCAGGCAGAGACAAAATTGCGACAACAACAGAGTCGGAATCAAGCGATAAAGGATCAATATGCCGGTGGAGATGATCAGTTTTGGAGCAGCTTGGGAAACAGGAGGGGCACACCGCCAGCGACTGTCAGCAATCCCCAAGATAAGAAGACAAATTCAACAAACAATGGACTGGACGACGACGACGACCTATTGGCTGCCTTTAATAAGCCTGCTACAATGAATAACAATTCTGTGGCTGCACCTGTACAGAAAAATGCCATGAATGATGACGACCCATTTGGACTTTCAGAAGCTGGACCTCGTAGAACAGACACCACGGCTACCACGGCTACTGCTAGCACCTTGGACGACGACGACGTGCTCGGACTACTTGGAAAACCAGTATCTACGCAACTCGGACGAGAATCTCCTCCGCCCGTGGCGAAGAACGACGATACGGAACTTCACGTACAGGATAAGGCCATGGCAGAGCTCGTTGACATGGGTTTTCCTGCAGACAAGGCGAGACAAGCTTTAGAGGCCACTGACTCTGGTACCGATGTCCAGGCTGCCGTGGGATACCTCCTCAATCAGGCGCACTCTGAATCGCGACAAAAGGCGCAGTCGAGAAATACAAGTCGTCCGGGAGCGGATGCGGATAATGGCCGTTGGAATGACCGAAGTCAATCACGGACGTCACGGCCACAAAGACGCTTTGAGGATATCGATGTCCCTCGGAATCGTCAACAGGGCCCTGCACATGCAGCGGAGAAGGATTTCGAGCAAATGGCAGCGGAATTTGGAAACCACTTTCTCAGGACGGCGGGTTCCTTATGGAAGCAAGGAACAAAACGAGTCCAACAGGCGGTTCAAGAGTTCAACTCTGATAGCGAATCTGGGAGCCAACCACGCTGGATGCGAGAAGCAGAACGTGCAGAGAGAATGGAGCATCGACCACGCCAGAGAGAGGCCGATGTGGCCACGGCGAGACCGAGCCCAGAACCGCAAGGCTCAGCAGGAGTGACGGATGAAGCCATGATGCTTGAATCTAGCAGACCAACTCCCCCTCCACGCCCATCAGCGACGTCGCGACCAGATCGACGTCTTGATCCCGGTGCTGACAACTCTCGGGACCACTCTCCTGCTGTGCCATCACGGTTACGAGAGTGCATTCCACCAAAACAGCCAGCCTTCTTGCGACGGCAGAACCCATCCCCGGCTGCCAATTCGAGGGCCACTCTGAACAGAGAAGCTGCCGAAGAGCAAGCTGCTCAAGCCTACGTCAGCTCGGCTCGAAGACGAAAGCCTCAACCCCAACCCCAATCTGCGCCACACCAACAGGTTATAGCCTCCGAACCCGATCTTCTTGAGGGTAGTTTCAAGGCCGCGGCCTCTCCAAGGCCAACCACAACTGCAGCGAGCGTACATCCATCTCCATCACGGCCCGTCAGCCGTGTAGAAACCCCAGCCCGATCGCCTCCGACTCGCAATATTCCCTCAGTATCTGCCATAAGTATGAAAGCTTGTCACTCCCACCGAGAGAAAGGCAATGAACATTTCAAACGCGGTGACTACTCGGCAGCACACCAATCCTACACCAGCTCCATCTCCCACCTCCCAGACGGCCACCCACTCGTCATCGTCCTCCTGACCAATAGAGCCTTAACCGCCCTCAAGATAGGGGATCCCAAAACCGCGATTTCTGACGCGGATAAAGCCATGAGAGTAATTGGTCCGTCAAAAGGCGAATCCGAGACTGTTGACTTCGGCACCAGAGACACTCCGAAATCAATGCGTGACTATTACGGCAAGGCCCTTATGCGCAAAGCTGAAGCTTTGGAGCAGATGGAGAAATGGAGTGACGCGGCTGTTGTCTGGCGTGAAGCAGTAGAAGGGGGCCATGGTGGTGCAACCAGCATCCAAGGCCGCATGCGCGCCGAGAAAGCAGCAGACCCACAGGCCTCACAACTCAAATCTGCGGCCGTTGCTACAAAGAAGCCAGCCGCGGCGTCCGTTCCTCCACGACGCTCTGCCGGACAAACACCATCATCTTCTGCACCGGCGGCAGCTGTGACGCGCTTGCGCGCGGCGAACTTGGCAGCGGAGAAGGCAGACGATGAGAAATTTCGACTGTCGGATTCGGTAGATGCGCGGATTCAGGCGTGGAAGGGAGGCAAGGCTGACAACCTTCGCGCCCTCCTGGGGAGTCTGGAGAATGTCCTTTGGGAAGGCTCTGGGTGGAAGAAGATCAGTATGGCGGATTTGGTTCTCCCTAACAAAGTCAAGATCCAGTACATGAAGGGGATTGCTAAGGTTCATCCTGACAAGGTACGCTATACGACTGGACGTGGCTGCAGTTACCTCTACGAGTTTTTACTCCCTTTCTTCGTCTGCATCTTGTATCGTGTGACATCCTTTTCTCTTCCATTTGGAGCTGACTCTTGCCACTCAATAATGCAGATCCCCACGGATGCCACGACGGAACAGCGCATGATCGCTGGTGCGGTGTTCAGTGCGCTAAACGAGGCATGGGATAAATTCAAGACTGAGAACGGGTTATAGAAGTCTTTTTTCCCGTGGCATGCATATCAAGCGTGAATCCGTGTCCGCGGTTGTTGGTTGGCAAAACGTGAGCTATCTCAGTAACGGTATCATGAGGATTAAAGGGACCGAAAAGCATGCCAATGCCAAATAGAGAAATCGGTTAACTCTGGTCAAGTGGCGACCTGTCAACGACACTTTTTATGACCAAACGATATTAATACAGAACACGAGAAGTCGCACACTATGGTGGCCGTCTTCCCGAGTCTCCTTCGTTCACGCAACTTTCTTTCCGCCTCTGCTCGAACTCTTCGCTTTCTTCCTGGCAGCCTTTGCCGCCTTCGCGGCCATACCTAATTTCACTTTGGCCGTGCGTCTCCTCCATGCCAGCCAGCGGTCTCTCCGATCATATTCACGGACCTTGACTCCTTTCCGCTCTGCCGCCAAGCCGATCGAGACGTTGGCTTCACGGTACGTTCCTTTGCGGAAAATGGTAGCCGGGGGGGCGGGTGTGACTCCGGATTTGAAAGCCGCATAGCTGTTGGAACTCAAATGGGGCTCGAGGTAGTCCTTGTCCGACGTCTGCGTTTCAGGGACTTTTATCGGTGTGGCGTACATGCCCAAGCGTCTTCGACGGGGCGCATTGGGGGGCAACGGCAGTTGTGAACCTGGTCCTTCTCTTTCCAATGCGACTCCAATGTATCGCCTCTTGGGGTGTCTGAGGGGATCGCGATAGTATCGCACATAGCCGTATTCGGTCGCGTAGATGGTGTGGTCCTTTCCCATGCCCACATTCTCGCCGGGGTGCCATTTCGTGCCTAGTTTACGACCATTTCATCAGTCCTTACTATCTTCCGGGTCGACTAATGCTCTATGTGATGAAATGTACCTCTTTGTCTGAATATGATGTTTCCTGGTATCACGTATTCAGACGCTGACTTCTTTGCTCCTAATCGTCTTCCCGCGGAGTCTTTGGGACCATTTGCTCGACCTTGCGCGGCATGGGAAGCATAGCGGACAAAGTTTGTGGAAATTCTCGCCGTCTGTTTCGAGCACAGGCTCAGCGACTTTAGAGAGGTGGCGAGAGCAGTGAAGGAGGCTTCGTTGGCCACGGTCGGTCGGTATAATTGAGGCTGCAACATCACAAAATTCGTCTGGGGTTGATATCTGTCCGGATCAGAAGTTTCGGACTTCAATGTGGTGGAAGGAGCAGAACCCTGAAATAAGGCAAATCGCGCTAACCGCTTTTGGCCAGTGGGTTATGGTCTCGACATTTCAGAGACAACTTGTCCCTTTCTCTTCTTCACATTTCTACATATGTGCATCTGCCACTGCTCTCTACCTCTTTTGACGTTTCACTCGCGAGGCATCATGAAGTCTGCACTCAGTCTCGTTCTCATCTTGGCAACTTTCGTATCGGCTCAGTTCCAATTCTTCGAACAATTTTTCCATGGTGCCCAGCAGGCTCCGGGGACGGCGGAAAAACAGAACGTGCCCAGCGATTCGAGTTGGTATCGCCAAAATTGGGAAGGCGGTAGGTTTTCGGCTGTCCTCGCACCGATTTTCCCTCCCCATCCGACCATTTCTCGTATTCGATGATGCAGCCCTGCACTTAACCCCGTATTAGCCAACAACGGAAAACGTTTTCGGTCAGCGAAGCCTTGCTGACTCATCGCTTCGGTAGCAACCTGCGCAAAATATCTCTGCCCGGGCACACTGGCGTGTGTGCATTTCCCACATCATTGCCCTTGTGCACACCCAAATGTGGAGGATAAAGTTGAGTTGGCGGAGGGGATTGCCGTGTGCGCCAGTAAAGGCGGATTCCGGGTCGGCGAGGCTGCACGTAAAATCGAGTTGGCCAGAAAAGGATTGATCTAAGGGAAGCGGTGCATTACGTCTCGTGTCGTTCATTTACCGTCAAATCTGACAGTCCGACTCGAAATTGCGGACCTCATTTCCCCAGAGGGCGCTTACAAGGGCATTGCAACTGCCGCAGATCAAGCAATGCTCTCTGGGTCCCCATCGACAAGGCTGCAGGAACAAACAGCTATTGTAAAGGTGATGAACGGTTTAGCACTGGAGTGCCGATCAAGCTGGGAGGATGTCGGTTTTCAGGATTGTTTCTCAACCACACTCGAAGGTGGACTCGCTAGATTCCTCTGTGTAGGACCAAACGACTAGAAAGAACTCAATGGGCTCAAAACTTTGTTGTTAACTCGTTCCTCTGTTGTATGCTCCTCTTCTCCTCCTTTCTTGCCTACCTGCATACTTCTCTTATGCATGCTTTGGACCCTGTGATATGACATGCATCCTATGGACCTAGCACCCTGCCACACTGTCAATGAAGACTGCAATAAAGTTCGCCGTATTGCCATGTTTTAGGAAGGTCCTCAATATTTTCCGCCTAAAGATACGGCTTGAGAATGTTCTGGGGCTAGCCCCGTCGACATGAGGAGCATATTAGATTCGAATTTCCCACTTTCAAATCTGCTGCATGTAATGGTGATAAACATCATGCACGCGGATTACGTATCTCCAATCAGGAAGGGCGGCCCACATGCCGGAAAGAGTCAGTGGATTTCTCGTCACAACCTTCTCTCCATTGCGGCAGGATGGCTATCCTGGCTTGACCACTGTATAGGTCCTCACAGCAATGAGCCAAATACTATATTGTATGATATTCAATGGTCGCCGTCATCGGCTGCACATAGCTGATCCGTAGAGACGATCAAACAAGAGATCAGTCTTTTAGCGGAAGGATCCGATTCATTTTCCCGTAAGTACCGGAGAGTGTCAGTCTTCTGACATCATAATGTCTAGACCTCCATGGACCAGTGTCGGTGGACGGGATGAATGCTAAGAATTTGATGAGCATCGCCACCGCCGACACGAGGGGCCTCAATATGGACTTCGACACAAGGAAAAGGAATTTCGGGTATTGTATCGCCACTGTTCCAACCACCGAAGTTTCAGGGGTTGGATTGTGCGGGTCCGCAACTGTCTTCGTTCACCGTACAGTTTGTTGCTACAAACTTTCTGCAAAAATTCGGGTTTTATGAGCGCCACGCCCCGAGCTAGAGGATGGCTAATGCACCGGATGTTCGACTTATGATTGTGCCAGTGCCAAACCAAAAGCCAGAAACATCAATGCAGCTGTCAATTCTTGAAGAGGGAAAGGCCACAATGCCACCGTTAGGTCTGAGCGACTCAAGGAGAGAGAATGCCGAAAAGATCATTCTCTAGCGTGTTGCGGAAGCCTTGAGTTGGAACAATCTCAGGCGCTAGATCCGCCGATTCACGCTCGAGATCTCGACTCTGAAGCAATCGGCGGATATTCAAACCCCGCTAAAAAAGCCTCAGCCGCACCGCCAATACATCACAAACATCTGCGTGGGACATCTGCAGCCGTTTCCAGGATCGGGCAGCTGGTTGTGGGCGTGCCCGCCTATAACACATGCAAAAGAATGATGCTCGGATTGCCGCAACAGCGCCTCGCCCGCGCCTGTTCTGCTAATTGCGGGGTGTTGGGAAATCCTGGTTGGCCTGAAAAAGCCTCTCAAGAACTCGGTGAGCTCTTACTTAGATGCCCGCTAGTATAGATCGCTTCGAGGCTGCCTTCTGGTTTTGTCGTCCCCCGTCCACCAGTAGGGTAAATGTCAAAGCAAATACTCCAGGATAATAGCTTTACAAGAAACTATGTATGCTGATGGCTCCTCCTTGAAGTGGACTCTAAGTTAGCCCAAGGCCGGTTTCTAGTCGTTGTGCTAAGGTTCTAACTCATCCTTCAAACTGAACACGATGAATCAGGAAGAAAATGACAGCCTATCTGGCTCACCCGGCCCCTCGAAACGACGACGGTATTCGCGAGTGAGCAGAGCTTGCAATGAGTGTCGAATGCGAAAAATTCGTTGCAATGGGCGACGGCCATGTGAGCCATGCGAAGCTTTCGAACGGCGTGGGTGCCCGTCGGTCCTTGTTCTATCTTAATATTTACCCAAGCATAGATTGTAATTATAAATCGACAAGAGGGCAGAGGATAGCCGGGGCACCTCGAACCAAGATCCTAGAAGATCGGCTGCGTCGTGCTAGAGCATTGATCTCCAAGCTTCAGGCTCAGAATCCCTCCGCTCAACTAAATCATGAGGTTAACAGCATTTTCGACTCCCCGCCAGGCTCACCATCTTCTGCCCAAAGCCCACCGGGTCCAACGGATGACAGCTCTGGAGACCATCTGGAAAACATGATGGACGGAATGGGCCGACTAACATCAACTCCAACGTCTACCGAGTACTATGGTGGGGGCTCGGGTTTCGCGTTTCTTCAGCAGACTCAACAGTGGTTCAATCGAGACTCTATTGGACGGGAGAGGCCCGCCTCTCACCAACTTCCTGCTGATGTTATGTCAAGGCTTTTCGATTCTCCACTTCCAGATAAGCAAGCTCTGGAAATAGATGTTCATTTTTCCCAACTGCTGCCGTCCAGGCAAACAGCAACAGAGCTTCTTCATGTCGTCTTCGGACGGGCGTATCAGCTGTTGCAGTTCCTCCACGAGCCGACGTTTCGGAAACAAACAGATCGGATCTACGATCTGGATCCCATGGATTTGGAAGATTCCGATCATGAGTTCCTGCCATTGTTCTATTCGGTGACCGCTCTGGGTTACCTATTTCACCAGAAAACGCATGACAAGTATGGGTGTAAAGGTGCTGTCAATCAAGCGTAAGTTGATCCCAGCTGCCTTTGGTGTTTGTATCCTAATCACTGAAGGATGCGCCACTTTACTGCTGCTCGACGAATGGTCAATCTCGATCAGTGTCGAGACGTCCGCACCTTACAGACCCTGTTATGCTTTGTCCTTTTCTTGATGTCGACGGCGCGACTTGCCACGGCTCATACACTCGTTGGTCTGGCTGTTGCTGCTTCAATGAAGATCGGTCTTCACTCCCAGACATCGTGTGATGGTCTCTCTCAATTAGAAAAAGATATTCGCCGACGCGTATTTTGGACAATAGTGAAACTTGACATGTATAGCGGCACGGTCCTCGGTCTTCCTGGAATGATCAATTTGGACTATGTGGACCAACTCAAACCCAGCGGTCTCACTCAGGATTATGCAAGCGAACACCAAGGCCGATTCGTGTCATTATCTGCCAGGAGGATGTTTGCTGCCTCGGCTCAGCACCTTGAAGTCTTGATGATCATCGGTAAGGTGGTGCGAAAGCTGCACCCCAAGACCGATGAAGAGGCCCACCAGGTGGGTCCAGCGAAGAAGATCTATGTTGGTAATGCTACCATTGCCGAAATAGAGGACGACTTCAAATCCTGGAGAAATGGACTGGTGGATGCCCTTGGTTCACCGGAACACGATGACTCACTGAGCAGGTATGGACGAAATTCCTCTTCTAAGGAGGACTTGCTAACTAGACGGCAGTGTTGTCTACGAACTGGAGATGGTCCATAACTTTGGCCACATCCTGCTCTACCGGCCCTTTTTGCACTATCTAGCCAAAACTGAGAGTGATCACCCTCCGGACCCTCGTTTGTTGCGCTGCGCAACATCGTGCGTCAGGATTTCGAGGCTCACAATCTCACGATCGGACGAAATGCTCCGCCGGGGATTTCTGACACCAGCAGCATGGCAATCTATATACACCGTGTTCTTATCCCTCGTCACCCTGACATTCTTCCTCGCCACACAACGCGGCAACAAAGAGTATGAGGCAATCCAGAAAGAGACCGAGCTCGGCATCCAGATCCTCGCCACTACGTCGTGCCAGGACATTGGTTCAAGAAGATGTCTGGATGTTTTGAGAGTAAGTCCCGAATTGGATGTTGATGGATGTTTAATGCCTTCGCTGACTCTATTCAGGTTCTCACAAGGCTGTCGCACATTACTGATCTTGACGTCGATCGTATCTCAGAAGGGGCCCCATCACTTTGCAAAAGCTTCCGCCACCACGGAGAGGGGAGACGCAATTCGGCAAAGGGGTCGGCGCGTGGGAATGCTGGCGCTCAGCTTCCCACACCCGATCGACATGATAGGCACGCACCCACCAAGACGGCGCCAAAGCCAACCAGTCAGCGCCAATTTGTACATCGACCGCAGCCACGGGCGCAGCCAACTTCGCAGCAGATGCCACAGATGCCTGTACACCTGAGCAATATGTCGATGTATCAATCGCCCTCAATGCTGTACCCGGCGCACGTGTCGATCTGGGAACAATCGATGTCAGTTCCGAACGCTGAACTAAACCAATACATGGGGAGGCCACCTTTCCCATATGCCGCATCTCATCCCGGATCGGAGACGAAGAGTAATGAATCATTTGGACGGCAGTCGGATATGGAGATGCCTTACACAGAGGGATTTGCTTGGCCATTTGAGATGGTGGCAGAGTCGGGTGGAGAAAGGCAAGTGGGTGGGACGGCGGGAATCACAACCAGCTCGGGGCCCTCGTCCACTGACACCGCAGGATATTGCGGCATTCATGCAAATCAAACCCGCCGATAAACCGTTTCTATGAATTTCGAGCTTAAGCAGAAAGCCCAGGCTAAGCAGGTCCAGGACAGAATTGGTTATGACTGTTTATTGGCGTCCTAGCAAGGTGATACTAAAGTTGGTGGTACATAGGAGTTTCTTTTTGAAAAAGCGAAAGATACTTTTCCAGAATGATAGATAAGCCTTGTTGCATGTTGGAGGAAGAAAAGGTCGGTACGAGGGTCACGTGGCAGGAAGGTGCGTCACATGACTGGGATCGCGGTTCAAGATTTGGTTGGTGGTGCCATCAAACAGTTTAACATTCATCTTTCCCTCACGGTTGGACTTCAAAAGGTCAACTGACCAACGATCACCCCGGCGCGTTACATCAACCATTATACTGCAGCCCTGTGGAATATTCCATGAAGCTTCCATGGATTGGATCAGGCGAGCAAATCGCCAACCACACGCTGTAAGTACCCTGCATGGGAGGTGCCTTCTTTCTTCAACTTCTTATATGCAAGGGCTAGTTAATTCGAATGCCAAAAGCGAACTCAACCCTCCTAAACCCTAGCTAAGATGGCTTTCTGCTCTTGTGACAACACTCTCTAGCAACAGCCCAACTAACCGTCACCTCCGAATTTCTCCGCGGCAGTAGGCGACCACGGATCTTTGAGTTCATCAGGCCAATGCAGATCGAAGCCCCGTGCGGTCATAGCCAGCTTACCGGTTCCTGGCATCCTTGCATCCTGCTTTTGATTGTACAGGGGGTTCTTTTAGCCCCCAGAATCAGTCCCGCATCTCGGGTTTGTGCCCCATCGCTTCTTGAACAAATCCTTGGCCCTACAAGGGCAACAGATGTCCCCTGTGACCAATTGCACTGCCACTGGCCAAAGTGAGGCTTCGGAGGTTGGAGAGCTGTTTGGCAAGTCCTCCTCGGCAATGACTCTTCACTTCGAGCTGTCCAGCTACGTACAGTATATGTAATGTAGCCCTGATGCTGTCATACCTTCGTTAACAAGAACAACGACGATACCACGTGTTGATAGCTCTCAATTGTCTGTCCCCGATCGACCTCTTTTGCGCTCTCCCATGGCCGCCAGCGCTCCGCGAACACAGAGAGCTTTTATCAACAGCCATTGATGGATCCATTCTCACTCACAGCAGGTGCCCTGCAAATCGCTGGCGCTTGTGCACAGTGTACTGTCACCATCATTAAATGGGTCGGCGATGTTAGAACGGTCGATGCCCGAATTTCATCTTTCTGTGATGAAGTCGCCGCCCTTCAAGCGACGTATGAAGGCCTCGAAAGAAGTTTGTCCTCCCCTCTTATGGCCGAGGCTGCTCGCGTAGCCAATCAGACGAGTGATGGCGCCCATCTTTGGATTCAGGTAAAGGAAACACTCAATGATTCTCGAAGGACGATGAAGAGGGTCAATGAAGTTCTCACGCAGATTGCCCGAACTTCTGGGTTTGGACGCAAAATCAAGACACAATTACAAGAATCGATTGCCTCGGGAGAGCTCTCTCGCCTTCGCCAACGCATCCAATTCTTCAACTCTGCCCTGTCCCTTCCAATTCAGATGGTCTGTGTCATGCTGCAACTCGAACAGAGAGGCATGACGGCCGAGCATCAGACATCATTGGATGCAAAGCTCTTGTCCCTTGAGCGCACCATGAGAGAGCTCGTTAAAAGCCTAAGTGTCCCGCCTCGCTCCAATACGCTATCCGGCTCCACCATCGCCGGCACAGAGCGCGGGGAATTGATACAAGACGAGGGAATGGACACGTACATAGCCTTTGCCAAAGAATTCCTGACTGCTGCATCTGCTGCCGCTAGTACGAGATCTTCGTTAAGCACCACTTCTCCCGCCATCGAACCTGATGTGGCCTTTGAAGCCCGAAAAGCCTCACTACCTGAGAATCCTCTTCCCGGCGACCAGAGGGCACGGCTGGTAGGTTGGATTCAACCTCCGTCGAAAGATCCTGGTCACCATTTGCATAATACCCTATATGCACCTCAGTCCTCCGGTCGTGGGGGTGGGGCCCGTGTAGAAGACGATTCTGAGGTTGAGTTCCTACGTGCGAAACGGCATTTGAAACTCGGACAAGAAAGGGTTGAACAAGGCAACTATGCAGGAGCTGAGATACACTTCCGCAAAGCCTTAGCCCTTATGGAAGATCATGATTTCGAGGGAAGGATATCATTTCAACCCGCAGAAGTCGTTCTGATGTTGGCAGACACCTGCCGGAAACAAGACAAGCTTGACGAAGCTGTCACTCTCCTCGAACCGCTGGCTGCCATGCAACCCGATATTTTCCCTAGCAGTTCCAAGAGCGACGCGTTTACGGAAGCAAAACGACCTTCATCGTCGAAACCCGCTGATAAATTGCAGTCCCTCGCAGCTAGCCATATGTTAGGGCAGGTCTTTATGTGCAAATCCGATTTCGATTCTGCTGAAGAACATGGTTTGAGATCGTTCACCGAGCGAAGAAAGGAGCTTGGTCCACAAGATGAGAAAACGTTGGAGTCGGTACAATTAGTCATCGATATTTACAAAGCGCAAGGAGACGAAGAGGAAGCAGAAGGCTACGAAATCTTCCTCTCACCTCCAGAGAAGCCCCAAAATGTGGTCTTCCCGGATGACAACTTACCGAGGGAGAAGGAGTTACGGTCCGTGCCTGCTTTGATTGCGCCGGAACCGATCCAGACTCCAGCGAATCATCGGAACAGTCGATCAAGTTTGGCCCAACGACTGCGGCATTTCGGACGATCTTCTCAGTCCACATTGGCACAATCACCTCCAGCAACAGATTTGCACAGATTATCCATGTCGAGGACAATGACGTTGAACGATCCATTCCAGGATTCAGATGTATCGGCTCCCCGCCAGGAGGGAATGCGAAGCTTTAGTTCACGGTCGGAGTCTTCGACGCATGAAAGAAGTATGTCGGTCAACGACGAGGATTCGGTCACGACGCCATCCAGTGGAAAATTGGAACGATCATCGTCGAGTAGGACGATGGAACCTACTTACCTGGCTATTGCACAACTGTGTGTTGAGAGGAAGTTTGACAGGGCGGTCAAGGTTGCCATTCAATACCTCGACACATACAGGTCCAATGTGATGATTATTCGCAAGGCCGAGTTGAAAGAGAATATTCGTCGAGGAACAGGGCAAGGATTGGCTAGCACGGGCCGAGGCTATGCCCCTCTGCATTTCTTCTGTGAGCTGAAAGAGGAGCATGCCGAGGAGGTGAATTTATTGATCAAACACGGCGTGGACGTCAATGCCATTGCTCACCAAGCTGGATATACCCAATCAAACCCGAAGGATCCCTTTACAGCATTGCAACTGGCCACTGAAAGAGGACACTCCACGATCACCGGTCTTTTACTGGCCGCGGATGGGATCAAGACAGACGTTCGAGACCCAGAAGGCTTCACCCCGCTGATGGTCGCCTGCAGGAAGGGATACCATACTATTGTCAAGCAGCTCCTGGACTTTCCACTTCCAACCGAATTCCCGCCGACTTGGTACGGCAATACGCTTCTTCACGATGCTGCACGACGCTGCGATCCTGTACTGGTCGAGATGCTGTTGGACCGTGAACCCGACATAGACGCACGAGATCGATTCGGTAAGACTGCATTGATGCATGCCGTGATCAAAATCGATATCCCTGATCCCATCGAGAAGAAGAAGAGGAGTCGTGGGCGACACCGGACTGTACAAATCCTGCTTGAGGCAGGGGCAGATTCAACTCTGAAGGACAACAGAACTGGAATGACGATCCGGGATTATGCACTCAAAGAGGGTGACATTGAATTGTTGGCTCGTTTAGATCAGGCTCCCCGAAGAGGTGTCAGTGAGCTCCTGGCTTGAGGGAAACTTATCTTCGTGACGATATTTGGTTTTCGTGGACTATAAGGATTGTAGCAGGGCTCGCGCTTGCCGTGTCTGCCTTGACTTCTACCGGGATCCCCTTGAACAGCCTCGCTGCAGTAAGGAACTTTGACTGCGGTCGAATCGCCGCCACATAAACGTCACCGTCACGTGCCACGTACCGAATTGGACTAGTCCCTAGGTGGCAGTACGTCACTTGTCCAGTAGAGGCTCGGCTGCGACTTGCTTGGAGCTGCATCTCCCAGGCACTCAGATAAATAGCTTGCCTGGATATCTAACAGCTTCGACTTCTATTTTCCTCTCTCCACTTCCAACGCACAGATATTGCGGGCAAATCAGTCCATCTCACAGCCGACATGTCGGACGCAATCCCAGCTCTCCTCATCATCCTCATCACCATCCTTCGTAAGTCCAGCCCACCCAATTGAAAGCGCAACTCTTCTGCGGCGTAGACTGCGTCCTGTCTTGCGGTCTTCTCCACCGAATATCCTGGCTAACTGGACCCAATACAGTGCCGCCGGTCGGTGTCTTCATGGTGGCAGGCTGTGGCGCCGACCTGTTTGTCAACATCTGCCTGACCATCCTTGGCTATATCCCTGGTCACATCCATGCCTTCTACATTGAATACGTCTACTTTGACCGCCGAGATCGTGCGAGACATGGCCAACTCACTGGCCAAAGCGCCCCAGGAGTGTACTCAGATCGCGTGCAGAGTGGCGGTTATGGAACTATCTGAGTGAAGTGGGTCAGGACGATTTGGGACAATAGGCAGGTCGTCGGTAGGCACCTCCCAGTCCTGGGCAGGTGATGGTGAAGACGGGCAATGAGTGACATTGGAGCCATCTCAGTGGTGCCATGGGGACGACTGTAACACGGAGAAAGGCTCCACGACGATGGATTTTGAGATCTATCCGACGATGCTTCAGGAGGGAATGACCTTTCATAGCCAGCCAGGACGACAATTGGACCGCAGTGAAGGTTATGAGTTACTGAGAATTGTATGATTTGGACAAATTCTTCATAAGGCTTGATTCCAATCTATAGCGCCTGTTGTAATCAAAGCATCCTCATGGGCCTTGTCTTTCTGACCTGCCGTGCAGGAGCAGGCTGATTAATGGACTTCATTGCGAGATCCATTCACTGCTGACATGCTGCTACTACTTGTATTGATGGACGAATACATCCGCCATCCTTTGATCCCTCGTACTTAAAGCATGTGTAGGTATCCCATACTAACGGCCTCTGTCATGATCTGACCATTCAACAGTCCCTGCGGATGTTTTATCATTGGACTTCTGCACCTATTCTCTGAAGGCAGTCTGGATGCAGAATAATACGATTGGTTCACCATGATACCAGCACCTGTGATCCGATGGTAATAGAATAGCTGTGAAATGAAGCGAGAGAACTTCCAGCCCCGCTGATTGGCAAGAAAAACAACACGGGCTTTGAATATGATGAGCCCAGCGGCGGGTGCGGGCTGAAACAGAGATGGCCCCTCGGATGGCACGATTTGAAACAAGCCCTACCATCATTTGAGACGCCTTGAATCTCTCCACTCCTCTTGCAAGACCATCACTCGGCCCTGAACCGATAAGGCCGCGAAATGATTTGGCGGGCCTCATTCAGGCCAGCAAAAGTCATGATACACATGCATACAGCCCCATTAGTTGTGTGGCGCGGCAGCTGTGCCTGCACGACGCAGTTGCTGCAAGTTGGTCGTAGCTTGAGACGACATTATTAACAGGCTCAATCGGCCTCGGCCCTGAATTTTCTCTTTCAAGCCACACACTAAACCATTCGCCTATCTCTAGCGATTTTTGTTCGCAATTTTGCAAATTGATCTCCATGCGTGACGATTGTTGAAGTTGGCGATTAAAAACGCTCTCATTGGCCCTCGACGTGTCCCTTTTGGCCAGGCGACACAGGACTTTTTCTTTCTCGCCCGTGGCATATGTCTGGCCCTGATGACATCGATCTTCCCAGTCTATATGGCTCGAGTTCATATGGACTTGGTGAGCAGCCGCACAGTCGCCGATCACTCAGGACATTCGGGCACCTCCATCGCAAATCTGCCTCTGCGGCTTACAATCCAATCTTGACCCCTCAGGAGGAATATGGGAACCGAGCATTACCGGCTCGAGATAAGCAAGCGCCGCCATCTACAACGTTGGGCCCTGGCAGGATAGGGAAATTCGGAGCGGACTTGGTCTTGGAGATTATTGTCTGCGCCTTCGCTGTCCTCGTCGCTGTGCCCTTCTTGTGGTTGGCGATCACAATGGCCAAGTTCGATCACGACGAGGTCACCGACTCCAAAACTGACTTCATCAAGCAGGCCACAAGCACGGTGCGAGCAACTCATCCAAGAGTTAACACTCTAGTACTGACGAGAGCAGGCTTCTACCCTTTTCACCATCCTCTTCGCCGCCGTATTAGGCTCCAGTCTCAAACGGTTTGCCACATGGCGCCTCGAGAGAGGGATTCGACTGGGTCTCTTGGAACAGATCATGCAAAGTCGAACGGTTTTCCAAGCCGTGACCACTCAACTCTCGTTTCGAGCCTTCAATCTCACAGCCTTGATTCTCTTGATAAGCTGGACATTTTCGCCTCTAGGCTCTCAAGCCTCACTTCGACTAATCTCCACTGGCACCGAGCTCACCACGGATACTGGTCTGGTCAGCTACGTTGACACCATCACCAATCAGGTGTTTGATTCAGTTTCCGGAGTTGATTCACTTCTGACGGCGCTCAAACCGACATATGTCAGCTCCGTCCTTGGACCTAATAGCACCAAATCTGGAACCATGGATCTTTGGGGCGCTGTCAGGATCCCGTGGCTGGTGGAAAATGCAGAAAAAGATGCTGATGGATGGACAAATTTGTCCAAGTCAAATCTAACGGAAGGTTCGTACACCTCGTTGGTGGGTGTGCCTGTCGCATCCCTGGCGAATCGCAACGCCAGTTTCGTGATCGAAACAACTTATATGAACCTGGATTGCGATAAGCCCCAAAATGAGTCCCTGGTCGACATCAATTTCAATGTCACGTCGGGAAATGGGACATTCCTTGGCCCCAACACCACGAGTCCAGACGACAGTGCCATCTATCCATCCTGGCAGGTCGCCATGAACCAATTCGTGAGCAACAGTCTATACTTTTACGGCTACCCGGAACTGTTGGTCAATGTTTCAGATGCCGATATCCCGCAGGCGACCTTTCTTTTCCAAACTCGAGGCCCCTGGGTCGCGCGCTGCCAAATCAACCAGATCTATGTCGAATCAAATGTGACGTGTGAAGCGGTAACTGATTCTCAAATTCCAGTGTGCTCGGTTTCAGCGCAGCGCAAGTCTCCAAAGCGGCATGCTCCGTCAACTGTCACCACCCTCAGTTTCCCGAGTACTTTCGATTACATGACATCGGAATGGATTCTGGCGACCGATCCGCTGTTGAGTTCTGGGTACTCCTCTTTGAGTGAGTACTATCTGCAAAATACGACAGCCGCGTTCATCTTGAGTGGAAATGACCGCGAGTATGCAGACTATGGTAATGTGACGGCTCAACAGTTCTCCCAACGTCTCGGGCAGCTTCTCAACACCTGGGTGCTTGCGGGTCAAGTATCCGCTAATGCGATGGAATATTCTTTAAGCCACCGCAATAGCACGGCGACGTACACCGTTGCACATGCCGTCTATCTCTGCTCATGGACATGGTTGGGCGTGTATTGTGCTTCTATCGCCGTTATGTTGACCGCCGGAGCCTTTAGTATCTGGTGCGCTTTCCATACGACCGTACCGGACGTATTGAGTTATTGTTCGTCGTTGACTCGGGATTCCAAATTCTTCGAATTTGCAAAGGGAGGCAGTACCTTGGATGGTCTTCACAGAGCCAAAACGCTCCGGAATGTTCAGGTCAAATTTGGCGAGGTTGTTGACCCCTCTGATGATGGGTTCCGCAATGACTTTGTCAATGAGATTGGCTCGAGGCCTAACGACGGAATGGGATGTTTGGCCATAGCACCTCCGGAGTACGTACGGGCGCCCAAAAGGGGCTTGTTGTATGCTTAGAATACACTGTTTAATGAATGAAATATATGATATATTGGAGAAAGAAAGGCAATGCCCTTTTTGTGCTCACCATTCACTGCGTAGAATAAGTGAGTGTTGGCAGACCGAGGGTGGAACTGGCTCCCACCGCAGAAGCCGTGTTCAGCCTGATCACGTGATGCCAAGATACGGTCGCGTCTTCATTCCACGCGGACGCGTTTCATTCTTAGTCTCCATCGTGATCTTGTATTGTATAAGCTCCCAACTCTGAATCGCACAACAACGCCGTCCCTTGTCACTCGTAGGGGTGGCGATGAAGAGGTAACTCTTTTGTCTCGGCGTTTTGGCTCTTTGTAAAACTGTTTGTATCCGTCTTTGTTTGAATCAATTCCGCACACAATGGAACCACAGGGTACTCCCCCCTCGATTGGGGGCCCTTCTTCGCCAGATCAACAACTCACTCCTGCCTCGAAGAAGCGCAATTATGAAGGACACATCATCAATAATTCCAACTCATTTACGCCGCCGACTGATCAGCAGAGCTGTCAATTGACTGCAACCCGTTCTCATACTGAATCACCGACAATCAATCGAGCCAGGACCCCACTCAACGACCTTGGTCCTCCACCTGTTCTTAGTCCATCGCAGCACCCGATAGCTCCTGACTCCAAGAAGCGAAAGCTGACGTTCGCCGAACGAGAGGTCGAACGAGCTGTCAAGAGAAGAGAAAAGGAAGAAAAGGAGAAGCAGAAAGCGGAGGCCAAGGTCAAGAAGGAAGAGGAAAAGAAACGCAAGGATGAGGAGAAAGATGCCGCTCGAAAGGCCAGAGAAGCTTTGAAGGAAGAGAGGCAACGACAGAAGGATGTTGAGAGACAAGAGAAAGAAGCCGAAAGGGAACGAAAGGCTGCCGAGGCACGAAAGAAAGAGAGAGTGAGTTATCTCCTAAGCTCTTTATTTCAGTTGTTTACAGTTCTAGTCACAAATGCGTATAGGGGCATTCTTTGGTCGTCCAGCTCCAGCTTCCACACCACCAACGACTCCTGATGATGTCCTGGTGGAGATTTCGAGCAGAAGACCATCGATTGCTTCAGTCGACATGGAACCACCTGTTATTGAGACCGTGTCTTGTGAGCCCGCCAATCCCGAATACAATAAGTGGATTCTCCCATTTTTCGTCAGCGGGAACATGGAACTGGCACCGTTCAATCGATTCCGCTCGAACACTTCACTCGTGAACGATGATCATATTTCACTGAACCAGCATATCACTCCCGAAAAAATCAGCGCACGATTCCGTAGACGTCGACAAGCCAGACCGGTCAAACCGGTCAAGGAAATTCTGGAACTGAGTAATGGATCGGCTGATGCACCGATTGAACTCGGTCAAACTACAGACCCGCTTGTAGGCGTTCCCTACAAATATTTATTTTTTCACCAAGATGTCCGACCTGCCTATCAAGGAACGTACACTAGGCCGGTTTCACCGAGGACTGCACGGAAGATCGCTATTACACCGTCGTACCGAGGTCTACCAGGTACAGACTATGATTATGACAGTGAAGCGGAATGGCAGGAACCGGAAGAAGGAGATGACGATCTGATGGATGAGGATGAAAAATCCGAAGATGAGGATGTCGGAGAAGAAATGGATGATTTCCTTGACGATGAAGGACAAGTGGTCAAGCGACAACATCTCGTGAGCGATATGGAACCAAAATCCAGTGGACTGTGCTGGGAGGGGGAAGACACTCTGCCTGAAAACGGATTTGACCTTGCCGGTTACCGAATGGACGTCCTACATGACGCGACAAAGTTTCCCATTGACCCTTATTCAACTAGTCATTGGTGTGATATCGCCAAGACGAGTCCAGACAAAACCGAGAAGAAGCAGCCATCGCCTTTAGCTTCGATGTCAGCTCCTCGTCTTCCTCTTATGGCGGTTGATGGAAACAGTGGTAATCTGGTGCCCCGACATATGACGACTTCCACAACAAACCATAATCGATCCGAGAACCAGTCCTTAGTGTCAACGGTGAAAGCGAATGGTAGTGCAGGGACAGGAAAACCAGTCAAGACGATTCCATCAGATATTTTGCCAGCATTCAAAGTTGCCGTTTCCGGCAGCACACTGACGAAGACCGGATTAATTGAAGTCCTCAAGAATCAGTTCCCGAAATGCTCCAAAGATGCGATCAAGTACACTTTGCCTACTATTGCAGAGAGACGTGGTGCGAAGGAAGGAGAGAAGAAATGGGTGTTGATCAATTGAGACGAGCAAGAGAAATTCCGTTGAGCCGAAGAGATCGAAAGGATATGAAAGTTTACCTGGATCAGACAAAGATTGATATGAGCGTCAAGCCCGTATTCATCAGTGGCAGAAAGGTCGTCTCTGACGCTGGGAATGAGGAGAAATTGATGACCCTCATGGTCTTGAACCGGGAAGAGACAAACCCAGGCTGTTAGACTTACCCATGTAAAAAAAATGGTATGAATCATGGTCAGGTTTAATCTCTCCTTCCGGGGTGCGCGGTGATCTCGAACGAGGCTGTTAACCCGAAGAGGGAAGTTTAGCGATGGCAAAGGAATCTCTCCGAGTGGTTCTTTTTCTCGCATTCAACTGCATGAAAGGGCAAGGATTTCTCGAGAAATAAATCGCCGACCTTTTCTCGTAAGAAGCAATTTCACAAACACGGCAATACCTTTTGCCAGCCATAAAATCCCCGTCATTACGCTCTGTCACCGTCTAGGTGGACAGCAGCTCCCCTTTGCATACAGTTTCCTCACCCGAAGTCCTCCAATTACATCCTACGTGCGCTTGTAATATGGCATGGTTCCTTTGCCCGACATGAGTCAAGATCCTCCCAAACGGCCCTCCTTAGACAACAAGATTTCCCCTCCTCTAAATCCTAAACCTCGTTCCGCGATACCTTCGTATTTATTGAATGGAAGCTCTCCTTTACATCGACCTCCCACCACTTCAAGAGCGCAGGAACGAGAAAACCTGGCTTCCTCAATCAAGAGCACTTACGGGAGAAGAACTACAATAGACCTGGCAGATGTTCAGAGTTCTCCAAATACAATGCCAAGTACTTCTTGGGTTGGTCTCACAGATGGTCCGACCAATGCTGAACCCAAACGATCCACACGACTGCACGAACCAGCTAGAGACGAAAGAGATGAGGCACCAGTGACACCTCCGACGGTTTCCCGCCCTGCAAGCCCATATACCTTGAATCCTCCCATCGACTTTGACGGTCTTAGCTGGCCATGCGTCGGTACGCGCGAACGACTAGAGCAGACTCCAGAAGAAGCACAGGCTCGCTTGGATAAACTGGCAGGGGCAGTCAGGACTATTTTCGAATGTATTGGTGAAGATCCCGAACGAGAAGGACTACGAGAAACACCCGCACGATATGCTAAAGCCTTGATGTACTTCACCAAAGGATACGAGGAGAATGTCCGAGATTTGGTCAATGGTGCGGTTTTCCACGAAGATCACGATGAATTGGTCATTGTCAAGGACATTGAGGTCTTCAGTCTGTGTGAACACCATATGGTACCGTTTATCGGCAAGATGCACATTGGCTACATCCCCAATAGGAGGGTGCTGGGTCTGAGCAAACTTGCCAGACTAGCAGAGATGTTCTCTCGAAGGTTACAAGTTCAGGAAAGATTGACCAAACAAGTGGCATTAGCCATTGCCGAAGTCCTCAAACCTCAAGGTGTGGCTGTCGTCATGGAAAGCAGTCATCTTTGCATGGTCATGAGAGGAGTCCAGAAGACCGCCAGCAGTACTACTACTAGTTGCATGTTGGGCGCCATGAGGAGCAGTGCGAAGACACGGGAAGAATTTCTAAGCCTCTTGAATCGGAAGTGAGGGCTTTTTGGGGGACTGGTACTCTGTCTCGCTCGGAAAGAACGAAGACCACTGGTTTGACTTTTCGTTTTCCCTTTCCCCCCAACATCATAGATGGCGTCCCTCAACGGTGACTGGGGCATTATACACCCAAGGATCACAGTACTTGGAGCAGATTCTCTGCGGACATTTTGGGATTGGCAATATTGAGCTTTTTGTCCTTCATTTTTTCACGTCTGTCGCAATGGGCGGCTCGATATCAACTTCGTTGTGTTATGCAAGCTGTGAATCAACTCGCGGCATATGATCGATCAAAACTGGTCCACGTTCATGGCAAGGCTCTATCAAACTCAAAGATGGAAGGGACATACAAATGCATCCGTGAAGAAAAGACTAGATGCTCAGCTAAATAGTTTGTTTGGCCTCGGCAGAAGCTCCAACTATGTGCGGTGCGGACAAGACGTGGGCCATATCACGTGATCCTCCTCGTGGTAATATGCTATGGATTGAAGCGCAATCGTTGGCGAGCGAAATCCACGTTCTGGTCTCAAAGTCCACTCAAGTTCTCAGCTCCCAATTCACCGATCCCTTGATATCATCCCTTTGCCCATGATCGACAGTTCACTCTCGAAGAGAAAATGCAACTTAGTGGGCAGAATTCATCACAAATTTTGGTGGTATTGAGGAATTAGCGACGTCTATGCCACCTTTGCATATCGAGACACCGATAGTTTTCTAGAGGACATACCCACCTTTTGTTTGTTCAAGGCAAGGCTTCGCATTCAACTGCATCTACATACCTACCATAAACTTGGGGAGCTATTCGACTCAAGGCATGTACGACTAGACCTGTGTTACAGCGAGATATGTCAAGATCAACCAACTGTTTTCCTGTGATGACCAAGGCTCAGTCTGTGTTTGATGCCCTGGATTCTCCCAGATCGGGATCGCAAAAAATCTCGCAATGTCATTGGCGGAGACATCTTTGTGAAGATCTCGGTCACGTGCTCGTCACGTGCGATTGGCGGACTCTATCCCGCTCATTGGACGGAGAACAACCGACATCTTCTGCCTCTCCTTTGCCGAAGTCCGTGAAAGCGGGCGAGTATGGAGTCCAATCGAGGGGCCAATATTTTCAGCAGTCAATCTAACCATGGAGATGGGAGAGATACTACACCGAACATGGCCGACTATACGAGTCAAGCTGCGGCAGCTAATCTGCCTCGGTGACTGCACCTGCAGCTAATACTTCCACCCAATTTCTCATCTCAGTTCCTCTCCCTCTCTTTTATGTTCAAATCTCTATGCAAACGATCTGCACTCCTTCGGCATCTTCCCCAGAATAGATTTGTCCATTCTCGTATATTTCGCGGTCCTTCAATCTTTGCCCAGTCCAACAACACCACCATGGCACCTCCTCCGCAACCAGATCTGCCTCATCCTGCCCATCTTGATCGCGATTCTGCTCTCGGTCGAAAATTCGGTAAAGAAGTGACAAATTATTTTGGAGGTGAATACCACAAGGCGATTTGGGTTTCGCCAAGCGTTGGGCTAAGATTTATTTTCCACAGGCTCGCCATTGAATAGATTGTCGTTCCTTCGCGAAGACCATTCCTTTCTGGCCGGCGCATTCGCTCACCCCTCCACCAAATTCCTGGTTTTCAAGACTTTATCGCCGTTGATAAAATCCCCGACCGAGATCCACTATGCGACGTACGACGAGATCAAATCGCTGATCCCAAATAACCCTTTTGAAAAGTCGGAAAAGGAAATGATAGACGAATTTGACTCCAGGACAGACATCCCGCAATTAGTTTTCCTTGGTATGGACGAAGGTGTAAAGGATGGTGGTTATGCGTTCAAGAATTTCCTGGGGGCTCCTCATTTTGCGCTTGATATAACACCAAAGAAGACCTTTGAGAAGAAGGCGACAGAGTTGACGGAGGAATTTCTCGCTTCAGGTTTGAAGTTTAGTGATGGAATGCGGGCGATGAGTTTCCCCGCTGATGTCGGTGAGTGTCTATTCTCCCTGTTTCTGGAAAGACAATGAATTTTTTTGACAAGTTATCTGCAGCCGCCGAATACGCTCAAGGACGCCACTACCTCGATTGGAATTTCCGAAACACATTCTGCGGAACATGTGGTCATAAAACATTGTCGGTCCACGGAGGAAGTAAGCGCGTATGTCCACCGAAGGATCAAGCCCAAACACCGCCCGAACGCGAACCATGCTCGACTCGCACGTCACTGTCGAACCTAACATTTCCCCGCACAGATCCCACGATCATCGTCGCAGTCCTCAGTCACGACAGCAAACGCTTACTTCTCGGCCGCCAAAAACGGTGGCCACCCTACTGGTATTCTACGCTAGCGGGCTTTGTCGAACCCGCAGAAAGCGTCGAGGATGCCGTTCGCCGCGAAGTCTGGGAGGAATCCGGCGTCGTTTTATCCAGAGTTCTCATCCACTCGACGCAACCTTGGCCATATCCTGCGAACTTGATGATCGGCGCCATTGCACAAGCCGCGAGCCCCGAAGACGAGACCATAAGGTTGGAGTATGATCCCGAATTAGAGGTGGCGAAATGGTTTACTTTGGAAGAGGTGCAGGAAGGCCTTAAATATGGGACGAGCGGACTGGGCGATCCGGCACCAGAGGGCTATAAAGAGGGAAATCTGAGGCTGCCTCCCCCGACTGCTATTGCAAATCAATTGATTACAGCGGTGGTGAAGGGCGGGTTTTTGGAGGGTGTCACGCCGTTGGCAACGAGCAATAAACTGTAAGTTGATTCCAGTCATGTCGAGTTGGTGTTAGACTTTGATGGCCTTTTGGGCTGCAACATGATGACATTCTTTCGTGGAAAAGCAGCAAATGGCTTGCTGTTCTGACACATAGACAGATTGTGATATCCTACCTACGTGACCAGGGTCAAAATATAAATATGAATATACGAAGACGTCAAACAATGTTTTCTGCGTTCTTCGGTTGAGACAATTTTCTTACTCTTTCATTGCGACCCTCTTCTCTTCTTGTTGCTCACAGGCTCCATTACATCACGCGTTCCCTGCTCCTATTCATGGCATGCGGCGTTGGATCTTCGGTGTCGGTTTCTCTGACGACTGATGAAGCACGTCGCCGGACCTACAGAGAGGAATGCGGAAAGAAAATCGTACTCCAGAGTGCCGAAGTGAGTGGGCGCATACAAGTACTTGAGAACCTAAACCTCTTGGTGAGAGGAGCGAGGGCGGATGGTCTTGTCTCCGCCCTCCCTTCCCGGGCCTTTGAACGAGCGCCGAGTGGCTCTAAGCTCTCCCTTCTCTCTTGACACGGATGCGTTGAGAGACGAAAATGGTCATATCTGACAATGACCATGAGACGAAGCTGCCTTGTGCATGTATTGTTATGGAAGGCCTCCACCGGTTCTTGGATTATGTTGTGGCTGCGTTGCGGCGGGTACTTGTCTGCCGTCAAAATGGGTATTATCACTTGTCGATATAAAGCCACCTCGAAGCAAACGTCATTGAGATGATGGCTAATTTTTCATACCATCGGCTATCCAAATTGGATTGACTGAAGTCCGACCCCAGCCATCTTTCTTCTCCTTCTCGCTCTAATCTTATATTTGGCAATGACGATCTTCCTCTATGCTCTTTCCTGCTTCTATTTTCCACCCCTCTTCTTCGTCTGTGATGCATTGAGTCAGAGTGGTAGTAGCACCAACACCGCTATCTTGAAGCCAACATGGACTCAAGAACAAATCGACTGACAAAACCAGATGCGCGAGGAGTCGTTTGCTTCAGGCATCCGCTTGTTTGAGCCCTTTGGGGCGCAGACTTGCGATGTTCTCGATGTCGATCATGTTCTTTCTGAATATCTTGGTGCAAATCCGCCGAGTTGGTGCATTGGTCCCACCCGTTATAAAGCACATGTTTATGCGTTTCGTTTCGTTTCGTCAGTTAACGAAAGGGATGACTGAATAGTTGACGAATGGTTTGACCGCTCGTAACCGTGATAAGTTAGTTGATTCGAGCGGCACCAGATTTCAGTTGTCTTGAAGTTGAATGGCGATGTGGGCATCTCTTGTGATGTTTATGAGAAGCCCACTGAATCGTGGATTTCTATGGCTTTGCACAGTTTGTGGCGGATCATAAAGGCCCAGATCAGTGGGTGCGATCGTGCGATTGAGAAAGTTTGATGCAAAGTTAGTCCATCCATGGTCTATTGCTTTGTCGTTTTCACGTCTCGAGCCTCGGAATGCGGCCTTAATATCTTCCACCTTCGCTAGCAACCAAGATCTCACAAAGGTTCTATTCAGAGATACCCCATTTGGACGAGATAGACGCATGTTTGATGTTGGTGTCTTCTTTAACGGATTCTTTATCGGCGCTGGTCTTGCCATACTGGGATCGCATGCTGGTGAGTCATCCACGGCTGTGCTTCGAGGTCTCGCTAAGAAGGGTGTCCAGGTATGGCATCAAGATGATCTTCGGGGCCTATGACATCCGATCTTAGCGGCGACTATGGCTAACGGAATAATTTGGACTGCTAGGCTGTTGCAAACTACCAAATCGATGCTGGCGACGACCCTCCCAATAGTGGCACTCAAGTTGTCAGTTCTCTTCGAGCTCCACATAAGCATCTGCAAGACCAGTGGCGACCTATTTTGAGAAGATAAACGGGCGCTGAGACGACTGATCCTGGTGCCCTGACTCCGATCGCTGATAGGGTGAATTTCTGAGAAATGGAGAATTGTTGAGCGCGATCAAGAATGATGGTCATACATACACGACCGTTTAGAACAGTTGGATAGTTTGATCTGGTGCCATCAAGATCGCGTCTGGCCGGTATTGAGCTAGAATTTTCTCGTGATCGCCAGCGGTGTTCTGAATTCATTCCTGTTTCTTGATTCCGACGACGACAAAATTTCGCGGGCTATGTTTGTAATCAAACACAATGTCCACCCAACATTCCTGGACGCAGGCTTGTTCTCTGAGAAAGAGCCATCGATCTGTCACGATTATGCTCTCTACCACCCCCGCACTGAACGCCATGAGGCTCCAGATGACGGATAAATTCTTCTTCGCGTATGCCCATCGAGATTCGTACTCGGCAATCGTGTCGTCGTCCAAACTTCGTGTAAGTTCCGCAATCATCGGTCCGTCAACGGGGTCTTCTCTTAATTTGGCCAGAGCACCGTGGACGTATGCTCGAAAGTTGGTGAAGCAGGCTTTGCGTAGAGAGCCCACGATTAACGGCGTGCCTTTGGTATCCTTTCCGGTGATACTGCCTCCCGCAAGGCCGCCTGGGTCTGGACATTGTTTTACCACGCCAAAATCAAGAAGTATGCGTTGCAGTAATGTACGGTAGAAATGTCGACGGAAGAATGCTTCACTGTCATCTGGACCCCAGTTGTACGGTGCTTGTACCGCCATCATGCGTGCTGTGATATTGAGTCTCACGCCCTTTCCTGCTTCGTGCTCAAAATCTTCCAGAGTCTTTGACATGGGAAAGCCATGCGGGTCATAGGCAGACCCCGTCGACTCAAGACGCGGATGATTAGGTCGTAGTTGCGGGAGTTTGTATGTTACTGGGCCAAGGCGTTCTGTGAGGAGGTTGTAACAGCAACCAATCATCGCGACTGCACAGACGGAGGGGTTGAGGATCAGGGATCGGATCCCATGATGTGATAGGTTTCCGCAGGAGTGCAGAGACACTACCATAGATTTTGGCCTTTTCTCAGTGATAGGTTGGCGACACTCATACTTATCTAGATCGCTCATATGTCCACGGCGTGCATCTTCCTCTTCCTGATCTGGTGGGTACAGGAGGTTCTCCAGATACCCATCCTGAAGATCGTGTTCAATATATGTCATTGACCCCTTTGTTGAGTCAAAGTTTTCGTCAAGGACATCGTGGTCTGCTATAATGGCATCTGGTACAGGCACCAGTTCGACCTCCGCCAGAGGCGGAGGAGTGGTCATAGCACTTCTCAAGCTAAGCTGTCGCTTCCACTCCTTCTTGTTGCGCATGATTTTCTCTTTCTTTGATAGCTTGGCATGAACATCCATATGTCTAGCACCAGCTATGTTATGATGTCTTTTTTCAATGGCAATGACATGTTTGTTGTATGGTGGGGAGGCCAATGTTCGACCAAGATAGTTTTGTCCAGATCCAAAATCTACTATTGAGATTGGTTCCTGGAGACGTTCCGAGACATGGTCTGAGAGCTTGCCAACGTAGGCAGCAAAATTTGTCACTTCGTGGATCTTTTTGACTTTCATTCCCATCGAGATATGTTTGGACACGTCCGTAGTTCTGTCCGATACTGGCTTGAATTGCCTTTGCAAGCAATGTTTGCGGGTAGACTTGACGTATTCAACCAGGCTTTCAGGAGGGAAAGGGCCACTATTGTGGCCCTCTGGGTGCCCGTTGTAGCACCGAGCTAGATCCTGACGAAGAAGAAGATCCAGCACATCATCAACGCTCACTATTTCAAACCAGTCGCGCCATTCTTTAGGAAGAACCGTAGTGTAAAGATCAGGTTCTCGGGTCAGAAAATCCAAGATATGAACTCCACCGCAGAGGTTTCGAAAAAGATCTGAACTGGTAGCAAAGGTGAGTAATGACTGAACATATTCATCTTCAGATTTCCATTCTGGGTCCAGCGGAAGGCCAGGCCGCATCTGGCGCCCTAGATTGCCAGCCGTCATGGGGTTATGGGCATTGGAGAGGGCGACGCATAATGATGCAGATAAACGTGTCGACTAGTCCAGGGTCAAGTTTCCAGCTAGGAAGTCGGTAGATACTTAGGTGGGCAATAGCCATAAAAATGACGACAAAAATTCAAGGCGCGTCAGGTTCGGGGTCTGGTGAAAACTCAGCAAAATTGCCAAGACGCTAGCAGTCTAGTGCACTGCGAGCCTCAGGGGCTCCCCCCTTTTTAATCTGGACTGTGGCTCTCCCAGAACAGTAATCAATACTCCTATCTCGACCTGTCTATGACTGTCACATAAATGACTTTACTGCGGCAAGCGCAGATCACCGATCTCGTAGAAACAATCACAGAAAAGGGCTATCCAAAGATAACCTCTCTGTGGCTGTGGGACTGGTGTTTTCATGGCCGCGCAACCGACAGTATGAGATGGGCTCTCGTTCGCCGCAGTCTGGCGGTCCGAATAATTTGAATGCTTCGCCTTGGATATGTTGCAGTGGATAGCGTTACTGGTGCTAGATTGCTGTGTGTTTTGTAGATTAGATTAGATGTGATTTGGGCCTCTGTTAGAGCTAGGGTCTTGAGGCTTGAGGGTGTTGGTATTACTGGATATACCAGGTACAGAAAAAGTTAAGGTCGAATTTATACATGGCCAGAGATGTGATGAAGGACAGACATTATCAACACTTGGTCTATGACAGTAGAGGATGCCGAAGGCACCATTTTCGTATCTGCGCTGCAATCCGTGAGAACCATCAAAGGATTCAAGACTGTAATGCCAGGGGAATACCTTGCGGACAATCACAGCCTCGTATGACTGGACTTGAGGTGAACAACGGCCTTTTTTTAAAATCTCAACAAGGTACTTGTGGCGAATTTTGAGTGGGTCAAGACTTTGTATTTACCAAAGGCAGCCGGCAGTAGCAACCCAGGGACTCAAATCCGAACCCCAGCTGCATCAGAGCTGTTCAACGAACACGGTTATGTTCAATCGGGTATCAAGTTGGTAGTCAGTCCAGACCTATCCATTCGTCTTCATCACCGTCACTATTCCCGATCCCACCATTTTCTAAATCCTGCTGTTTTCCCGACAGGATAAGCGCTTCTTTACTCTTTACCGGTAACTCTTGACACAGGAACTCAATTTCGAATGCATTCCGTTGGCTGAGACTGCGTACTGTTTTTCCTATGCCATCCACTCCTCGAAGAACCGTACGGAGTTCGCTGACAAACGTGCCTTGTCTTTCTTTGATATAGCGACCATGCACACTCAAGACCTCACAGACCCAGAGGAGCGCAAATTCAAGATGAGGGCTATTTTCCATCTGCTGGGCAATCAGCATCAACAATCTTCCAAGATACACCCTTGGGAATTCTCGGACTAGAAGCGGGATGGATGGGTAAGGGACAGATTCGTAGCTCTTTCTCAACAAACATTTGTCGTTTAACCTGAACGCCATGACTAGAGCTTTGAGGTATTCCGGTTCATTTTGCTGGAGTATTGCTTGAATATTTTGAGGCGTAACATCGACGTCCAGATCAAAAGGATCGAAATCTTCCATTCCAGTATTGTCAAGGCTGTAGATCAACAAGCCTTCCGTGCTGGCGGCACAGAAGCTTCTCCCGGTAGGTGCGAACTCGATGCCGGTCACTTTGACTTCCGGTCGTAGCGTTCTGGCCGTTGCGTCTTGTCCACGCTTTGCTCCAGGTAGACTTCGATCTATTCGGTCCTCGAGGTCACTTGCCTCACCTTCTGTATCAAGCATGTCTCGTGGGAGACCATTCGACATGATTGCAGCGGAATTTAAAAACTCTCGAGTTCCGTCCAAGCTCAGATTGATTGAAACCGTGAACTTTTTAATCAATGTTAACGTGGTGACAGAATATAAGCAAATATATTTGCTGTTTCCAGCAGCAAGCAGGCAACTTCCGTCAGCAGAATACGCGATAGAGTTAAATGACTTCGTGCCCGGCGTGGAAGCAGCAGTGCGTCGCGACGTAAGAGTTCGACCACCACTTGCATCCCGTCGGCCATCCAGCCCAGATTCTTGTATGGATGTATTCAGATTCCAAAACGTGAGTTGCCCATCCAGCGTCGAAGCGGCAATTTGTGCCGAGTCAGGCCGAATGGTGACGCATAAGAGGTCTGAAGTAAGTTGTAGAGTTTCTGAGGTTTGAGACCGATCAAAAACCGACCATACACGTATGGTATGATCCCAGGAACCGGAGACAAGATAACGGCCATCCGGCGTGAATGCCAGCGTCGAAATTGGACCCTCGTGCCCTGAAAGCTGGTCAAGGAGTGCGCCTGTTTGCACAGACCAAAGGTGAATGTCGAAAGAGTCATGAGATCCGGCGCAAACCACCTCAGCAGAGGGGTCGACTGCTAAACAGGAAAAGGAGAGTCGAGTAGGAGCCGTGAATGTTCTGAAATTTCGATATCTTAGCATATCCCAGGCCCGGACCGATCCATCCAGAGATGAAGTGAAAAGAATGTTTCCTCTCGTTGAATAGGCAGATGCTGTTACTGCAGAGGAATGCTCCGTAAAGGTTGCGACATGGAATCCGGAGGAGATGTCCCACATTTTGATCAAGCCATCATCTGCTCCCGTGATTATTCGCGTAGAATCCGGTGAATATGTCAATGTTGTCATCGTGTCCAGATGCGAGGATTGTTTGAGGATATTCGATTCAGAGGCATGCTCCCATACAAGTAATTGACCTGTCTTGGAGGAACCAAAAGCCAACCACTCCCCTGATCTATTGATGGTCACTGCCGATATGGGAGAAGATGCCATAGATAAGTTGTGAATATTTGAAAAGGACGGTATTTCATACAAAGAGAACAAGCCATTATCGAAACAGACGGTCAATAGATTTGTTGATGGATGGAAGGAAGCGCATCTCAGTTTTGCGTTCTGCATGAAATAATTTCTTTGTACAATTCGCCATCTCTCGTCGGCAAGTTCTGTGGACTCCTGCTCATGGTTTTGCTGGCTTGGGACAAACTCCCATCGAAACAACGCTCCATCTTCGCTGACCGTAAATATTGATTCTTGATCAGCAGAGAACCAAACATTTCGGACTTGTTGCCTATGGCCAGAAAGGACGGTCGGCTCAAAGCCTTCTTCAGGATCCAGACTCCATATTCGTGCTGTTAGATCCTTGGAGGCACTAAGGAAGAACCGAGAGTCGCCTGACCAGCTTAAGTGTCTGACTTCGTCAAAATGGCCACCATATTCGCGGTGCAAGACGAATGGCGCAAAGTCCAATTCTCCGTTTGCATCTCCGCCGGGGGCGGATGGTGTTTTCCATGTCTGTATTTTCCTTCCAAGTCCAACAGCAAAGTGTTCGCCATTGGGAGAGAAAGCTAACGAGCTGACCGGAGACTTGAAGGTGAAGTAATAAATTGCGATTCTTCTGGGAAATACGGATAATATTGCACGGCCATCTTCATCGATCGTGAGGAGTAGGTTTCCGTCAGGTGTTAGGTCAAGGTGGCTGATATTCTTCCGGTGGGCCAAGGGGAGGGTATAGCTGGTGTTTCTGTAAATTTCTGGTCAGCAAAGCCTCTTGCTAAATGAGCAGGGGGGCTTCTCACTTTGTCAGATTGAAAACAGACACTCGATTGCCCACCGGTGAGAGCAGAGAGTTACCATCAGGCGTGAAGGCAAGATTCCCTCGGCCATAGACGGTCCCAAGGAGGTTGGAAAACTAGCAAAGCTGTTAGAGGTGCTGGAGTATGTCACTGGATATCGCAGGACTACCTTGAATTCCGTCTTCATCGTCTCATAGTGGGTGCTGCAGTCTGAATGGCATGATTTTCGAGGGGGAGAAAAAAGATGTCGGAGAATTGACTCCGGTGCTAGAACGAGTGTAGTTAAGCTTGATCTGGGGATGCCTTGGCATTTGGCTTTTCGTGTTCAGGGGCACTGAATTGGCGGAATTTTGTGAGGGAAAAAGCCCAAGCCAGTTGAGAATCAACAGAACCCCCTAAACTTTTAGAGTCTTTGACAGCACTTGCCTGCGCTCTTCCATCCTTCACTTTTGACAACTCCCATCTTCGCGGCCATCGACCGTCGTCCTCATCTTCAACTACTGTCACTCTCGCGCGAATTCTCTCTCTTCTTTCTTCTTTCGCCATCATCATGGCCCCGGCAGCAGCAGAGTCCGCGTCCCCGATTGGCATTGCCAATCTGCCCAACCAGCGACACAAGATTGTCGCGAAGAGAGGCGCAGCCTTCACCATCATGGTAAGAAGAGTTTGACTCGGTAGTTTGGGTGAATCCACTAATCACCCATCGTCAGGTGGCTGGCGAGTCAGGCTTGGGAAAGACCACGTTTATCAACACCCTTTTCTCGACTACGATCAAAAACTACCAAGATCACAAACGACGACACGCAAAGCAAGTTGATAAGACGGTGGAAATTGAGATCACCAAAGCCGAATTAGAGGAGAAGTTTTTCAAAGGTACAATAGTTTCTGATGGCGCACCATGAACTCCGCGCTGACATTCACAGTTCGTCTGACCGTCATCGACACACCTGGCTTCGGTGACTACGTCAATAACCGCGACTCCTGGATGCCAATCATCGAGTTCCTTGACGATCAACATGAGTCCTACATGTTGCAAGAGCAGCAACCTAAGCGACAGGACAAGATCGACCTTCGAGTCCACGCTTGTCTCTACTTCATTCGTCCTACTGGCCATACCTTGAAGCCATTGGATATCGAAGTGATGAAACGTCTCTGCACCCGTGTCAACTTGATTCCCGTTGTCGCAAAGGCTGATACTTTGTCTCCTGCCGATCTTGCCCGCTTCAAACATCGAATTCGAAATGTCATTGAGGCCCAAGGCATCAAGATCTACCAACCCCCAATTGAGGACGATGATGAGGCGGCTGCACAACACGCCCGTGCTCTTATGGCGGCGATGCCTTTCTCCGTCATTGGCAGCGAGAAGGATGTCAAGACTGCGGACGGCCGTGTTGTCAAGGGCCGACAATATGCTTGGGGTGTTGCAGAGGTCGAGAATGAGGACCACTGCGATTTCAAGAAGCTCCGATCGATCCTTATTCGAACCCACATGCTTGATCTTATTCATACCACCGAAGAGAACCACTATGAAGCATATCGTGCTCAGCAAATGGAGACACGAAAGTTTGGCGAAGCGAGACCAAGAAAATTGGACAACCCCAAGTTCAAGGAGGAGGAAGAGGGGCTGAGAAAGAGATTCACCGAACAGGTCAAGGTCGAAGAACAGAGATTCAGAGCTTGGGAACAGAAGTTGATTGGGGAGAGAGACCGATTGAACAAGGATTTGGAGGCCACCCACGCTGCCATCAAGCAATTGGAGCAAGAGCTCGAGCAAATGCAAGGCAGCGCCGTCCGAAGCCACGGTCGTCGCTAGACTGCTTGGTCCATTCAGCCCTCAAAAGTTCAATGAGCTAGACAAGATGATTTGTTGGAGGGGATCAGAATGCTGGCAATTCTTCCTTCTGTTTACTTTGGTCGGGGAAGAGAGTGGCTTTCACATGGCGAGCATGGGGCAATTCGAGGTTAGCATGGCGACGAAATACTTCTCTAATGTCAATTTTTTTTTTTTTTTTTTTTTTTCCCCGTCCTTATCTACGTGAAAAACCCCCCACCTTCGCACTCAGGTTATGCGATGTGCTGTCTATTGATTTGTCAGTGTATCTTCGATCGGAAGTCGTTTCTCACTTCAGCTCCCGGAGTCTAGAACCGCCGCATTCTTCAACTGCTGCGTGATATGCCCATTTGCGCCCCGTCCACCCATTGGATCATGTCCCTCCTGGTCTTGCTGCTGTTGCTCTGCCACCGCATGATCGACATCCGCAAACCCCTCATCCACCTCGATCTCACCTGTCTCATCCTTCACCATCCCCATCCACGCCTTCATCTTGTCGCGCTTGAACTCCTCGAAATCCCACTCCTTGGCCTCCAGCGTCTTCTCACCCTCCCCCCACACATATGTCTCCGCTTCCACTTCTTCGATAACCTCCGTCCTACCTTCCTCTGCAGCCTCGTCTAGCCCTATATCTTTCAATACTTGCACTTTTACCTTTTGCCGGCTGTACTGGTCACCTTCGAAGATGTCGAGGCGATAGAGATCTCCTCTTGTTAAACCTGAGACCACGGACCCGCGTACGCAGGAGCCTTCGTGCGCCAGGATCGCGGGGTAGTCTGCGTGTCGGACGCGGTGGCGGCGGTAGGATTGGAGCATGGCGGGCCGGACGGTCAGGAGTGATTTCTGCCATGGTTCAGGGTCGTGGGTGCCGTGGATGACGCGGTGGAGGACACCAGGGGCCATGAGGGTTCCTGGGCTGTTTCGTTAGGATAGCAAGTTAAGGAAGTAGAGATGGCAGGATACCGTAGAAGAAGGCTGTGTGGTCTCCCATCCTTGCAATTGGATGGTGCCTTTGCAGGGTTGGGCTGGAGGAGTGGATTGTGGACAACCTTATCGACAGTTTTCAGTGGAGAAGAGATGTACCCAAGGCTACAACATGTTTTGACGCTTACGAAAACTTCGGAAAGTAGGAAATGCAAACCAATCAGGAAACCTAACGAGATGTCTATCCCTCATGCGCAGAGAGAAGGTGCGCCCGATCTCCACTGTTGTCGCAGCCTCGGGGCACTACCGCGGACCATTCAACGTATCACGCACATTCTATATCTGGATGTCTCAACAGAGCTTTCCCTCGTTTACCTAACGCGCGCTCCGTCGCAAATACAATTTGCTGCTCGCGAATCTCAGTCTTTTTCACCTAGAAATTGGAAGCTGGGAGTTTATATTTCACGCAACGCGTCTGCCCATAATAGCGAGACTCCGTGAAAGAAATCGTCGGCATGGTCAACATAACCAGTGAACCCATAATGCCAACCAACATCGCGGCTATCAGACTCGTTCAACGCTGAGACCGGCAATGCAGTGATGCTCTTGATGAGAGAGTCGTCCAGTCCGCGCATTGACTCAGTATTGACGACCCCGTCATTCCGAAATCAGTCTCCTAGAGTCTCTCCGAGAAAGTTCTTTTGGTCGGGAGACAGCTCCTGACCAGCCATGGCATACACTGTTGGCAGCATCACTGGGAATACATCTCGACGAGGCACATGTTCACCTAGTCCTGGTAGATCTAGTTTGAATGCTTGGTCTCGAAGGAGCCTGTTAGCCACATCTTTGGTCGATTAGCCAATAAAGTCGCAAAGTTTGAGCTTCCCCCCAAAATTGGTCCTGACTGCCGCTTCTGAATCGCCCGGGGTATCCATGGCGGTCAGAACCTTCGAAACGGAACCGTATAGTGGAAGGAGAACGTAAAATGGTAGATGTGAGATGGAAGATGCAACGACCCTTTGATTCAAATCACTGACGCCTTGGATGTTGTTGTCGTAGAATGCATTGTGGTTGGAATGCGGCCATTTCTAGACCAGACCTGATTGTGATTCTAAGCGCGTTCGCATCTCCTGGAAGGATTCGTTTTGCTTGTGACGGATATCTCAGTGATCCAACTGCGAGCCATATGCTCTCCGAGCTGGATTCTGGTAGGACAGTGTGGCAAACAATCTACCCACTAGACTGATTGTGTCCACCTTGATTCCCGAGGATATGACGCTAGTCAGTCTGCTTTTGCGTCCCAAAAATGCGAAAACTGATAGGAGAACGCACTGGCAATAGGTTTTGAGGGCGAACAAGGTATCCATCTCTACGGTGCCAAGATGGCGCTCGTCCCTCACGGAAGAAGCGACATATGGCATGTTATACGTACCGACAAGGTGGACGTACCAGGCCTCTTGAGCAAAGCTCAAAAGTATTTGGACGATTCCCCAGCAGATTGAACTAGCTTCTCACCGGAAAGGGCTATGTTGGTTGGTGTGACACGGCGTTGGTCAAGTTCGGTACCCACAAAGCTGCCCACTATCAGACTTTCCGGCGTTGTGGAACATCCTCGACTCGACGAGCCGGATAGTGGGACTTGAGGCAAGGGGAGCTCAGCTGCAGCCTCTAGCCAATGTAAGAATAAAGGCACGAGGAGAAACGGATAATAGCCTCAGGGCCCTCAAGTTGCCAAATAACTCTGCAAGCCTTTCAGTGCACTGAAGAAAAGAGGATTTATTATTCGAAGGGCCAATTGAATTAATATATTGATGTTGATACTTGGGTTTCGAACAAACGCCACACCGGGAAGGATATTTATAAGCAAGCAAAGAAGAAGAAATACCACAGGGACTCATGAAATCAAATCAAGCCCTCATAAAAGCAGTTTGCCTTTGAATGGAGTTTCCCCAAATTTTCCTGCTTCCCAAAATAAAGTTTCCACACTTAGAACAACAAGCCACCGAGCAAAAGGCCACCCAACAGACCTCCTGCCACCGGGAGTCCGTATCCGCCACCATAGGTCGGGCCATAGGGACGGTTGTAGGGATAGCCAGGTCGAATGAATCTTGCGTTGGGATCCGCGTAGGGACCGCTCGCGTAGGGATTTACTCCATATCCTCTCGGCCCATAACCTCTGTAGCCAAAGGCCGGGCCACCGGGAGGTTCGATGTAGATGTCCTTGCCGTCTCTGTCTTTGGCGAACCATTGCGGTTGACCCGTTATCTGTGCTCGTTGCATGGCCTGCCTGAATCTGACATGTGCTTCATAATACTGGCGCTCCTCGGCTTCTCTTTGGGCCCGATTCTGGACACGCTCATCGTGCGTGGTGCCCGTGACTTTGTCCTTCAGTTTTTCTCCAAAGCTCTTCTTCTGCGTATCGGGTTGTTGCGAGGTAGACGGTCGTTCCGGGAGAGGCGGGAATGGTTTCTGGCCGCCGCTGGGGTGGCTTTCGTCTGCGGAGAGTTCGGCGGAGTGGGGTGTGGCAGATTTTCTCATTTGGTTCTCTTCGTCTTGTAATCTTTCGCGTTCTTCTGTGCTTAGACTGCTAAGAACTTCGGGAATGTCTAGCGGGTGCTCCCAGTATGATTTGGGAGGGTCAACCTTGGTATTCACGAAGAATTGGTGATTCTCCTTGGGGTCGTATTGGCGGACCCAGCCCTCGGGTAGCGGTCGTTGGAGGTCTTCCATGGACCGGCGGGCTTCGATGGGGATCCCATTTTTCTCCTGAGGGACTTCGAGGTGCGATGTTTGAGGTCTTGAGGATGTGGTGGAGGAGCCGGTCGCCTGTGCGTACGTTGGCGGGGCATCTTGGGGGGTCGACATGATGGCTTGGGGACTGGGGTGGTAGGTATAAGTGGATAGGAATGACCGGCGGCGAAGAACGAGGGAACAGATTTAAATCCTTGCTGTTGCCTTTGCAGAAAGTGGGAGATGCGTCGAGAAGGGTGAAAAGAAACGCAAATGTCAACGAGGCTCATCGCCCGTGCGTGACGTAAAGCGCAGCCTTTGCGAAAGCCAGAGTTTCGGAGTATCGGCACAAGACTCAGCCACAGTACTTCAACCAATGGAAGACACTAATGGAGCAGTACGCCACATATTGGCCACCAATCATTTCTAGCCGCGACCAAGGTGCGGCGAGTCCGCTTTGTCCAACCAGGCCTTCATCCTGCGAACCCAATGTTGGACCCCCAACTTGCACTCCTCTCTTCCTCTTCCATTTTGATGCTGTTGCAACCTCCCATCCGAAGCTCTTGATCGTTACAGCGAGATCGTGGTAATAACTTGCTCGACATCATCTTCTTGACCCTCGGCTCAGGAAAAGCTGCTGTTGAAATTTCTCGGCTCAATGTCAATGGCCCTGTTACACGAAATGCGTCAGAAAAGCTGTCACGGTCATATTGAGCCAAATCATTCTCAGCTCGGTCAGTATTGGCCTTGCGGTCGAGCTTGCTGACCTTTTACTCAACCCACGGAATGTGGCTGCTAGGAGATTTGAGAAGCGGCGTCCTGTCAGTATCCTTCCTGTCTCGTATGGTGGATGGAGGAGCCCACAATAGTCGTAGCTGCAAATTACGCCTTTGAAAAAAAGTTCTCCATCTCTCTGGAAAGGACTGAACATCCTGGATAGAGCCGCCATCCCCGACCGAATCGAATCCGCCCCCCGTGGCGGTTCAGCGCCATGGGTCCTCATAATGGTCTTCCACTACCTTATTAGAGGTCTGTCCATTCTCCATACCGGTTTCTGCCTTCCACAGCCTCCTTGAGCACAGCAGCCGGAATGGAAGGATGAGAAAAGTCACCTGAGAAGACCCATCAGTCGCGTTAGACTCCTTCCAGAACGAGTTGAAGAATGCAGAGCGATTGGAGAATCCGAGTTCACTCAAGGCGGCCGACGAGGCTATCTTGCTGCCTCACACGGTGGCCGCCTGGGGGCAGAAACTCCTCCAGCATTCACATATTCAACATCTTTCCATCACTATTAATTCGCTGCCCAATTTTCACTTCTTTGTTTGACCGCCAAGACGAAAGCACCTGTCATCTTGAGCACGACAATTTCGCAACCTCAGGTTTCGTCCTCATCAATTTCTTCAAATCTCGCTTTGCTTCTTCCATTTCATATTTCTTGACTCTACTCCAACACTTGCACTTCATCACTTGGTTCCTGACTTCTTCCCCACCAAACCACCCCTGTTTGAATCAACGATCGTGTCTCTCCCATCGCTGAGGAGAGCAGCGATCAGCCGCTGTGCCCTTAGCAGCGCTGAGAGTCATGATGAACCTAGAGACTGCCCGCTTTATTTTCGATCATGTCTTCTTACCCCCAAACCTCCCTCAGGCCGATCACGCAGAAGTCGGAGGTGACGAGCTCCTGAAACAAATCTCGCAGGCCGCCAACGAATTCGGTCGCTCTTTTCCCTCTGGGAATGAGGCTCGTGTTTGGGCACACTTGTCCCGATCTCTTTCTAAATGGATCGACCTCTTCGATGGCGGAACTCCGTGCAGTTACAAGATCATCAATAACCTTCGGAGTATGCGTGAAAATGGTCAGTACAGCACACTTGATTGTTGGTTTTGGCTAAGAATATTCCAACAGATGTTCTCCTGTTCTATGTGAAACCCCAGAACGCTGCCATTTTAGTCCGAAATCGATCGACTGGCGCCATTTTCGAGTGCTTCGAGGTTCTCCCTAAGACTGATGCGGTTCTGGCAGCCAAAGACGCACTTCTACGACAATTTCCAGCAAGAGCAGTATTCGTCACGAGAGACAAACTGAATGACACATCCTTCATACATGAGCTGGGAACCGCAATCCATAAACTCTCCGTTGAGCCATTGCGACTGGCAATGGAAACCACAAAGAAGGCACGAAACAATGTTTCCGAAGAACGTCAGTCTGCCCATCCAAGAGCGGTCACCGAGTGGCTCTTCGGGCTTCTCAGCAGCATGGGAAAAGCCACGGCTAGTCCAATCATTACCAAGCGAACTCACGATGATGTTTGTTGGAAGGACGCCAACCTGCCTTGGCGCAGATCAGGACTTTGGCTTTGTGCTCGAGTAGCCATCCAGGTTGCCTTATTCAACTCAGACCTCGTGGTTGAGGATCATTCTCACTATAAGAACTTCATGTTATTTTTGTTGTCACGACTTGCGACAGAGATCTCCATGACCGACATGTTGCCCGATGTTCTTCATGTCCTCCGTGTCAAGCTAGCGAGACGAAATGCGAAACTCGGGGTGGCTACCTTTGGATTCGTGCAAACCGCTGTCCGTGAAGCCTTGCATCATATCGATGAAACTATGCGATCCCTGTGGAAAGAGGTAACGGAGCGCGACAACATCAGCATTCCGCGAGTTCCTGTCAGGGAAGTCACGGACAAATTGGCCCTGAAGCATAGTCATGCTGCTTTGCAAAACATCTGGCAGCGCGCCCAAAAGAGGTTCACTTACTCCCAGGCAATATTCATACCACCCTCATTTCCCAGAATCCCATTATTGAGGGACCAACTGCCTAGACCGCAGATTTTCGAGCAACGTGCTGATCTACTCTTCAATCTTGTGGACTTCGAGCTTTGGGTCGAGGAAAACCTTGAAACATGGTTGCAATCGCACACCACCAGCTCATCGTCTTGCAGCCCATTGGTCGAATTGATACAGACATACCATGCCAAAGCAGAGTCAAAATACGATGGACACCCAGAGCGTATGTCCGTCATGTTTCTGACCATGTTTGAGCTCTGGGTTGCTTTAGACACTATCGCAACAACCATCCACCCTTTGTTGCTGAACTACCCGCCAGACATACCTGCCAACTTGTTTGAGCCACTCCTACTCCACAAACAGGCCGAATTAGAACGACTGTCCCGTATCGAGTCTCATATCGCCCACCGAAACTCTAGTTGTAAAGATGGCTGTCCTTCGCTTTTCAGCGACCCTTCATATAATTGCTTTGCTATCAAGTTTTATGACGTCTGCCCCGATATGAAGGAATTACGCAACACGATCGAGAAGCAGGCTAAATGTGCCAGAACTGCCAAGACGAATGAGTGGAACTCGAAGAAAGTCGAATTCGACGGGCTGATGCGGAAAGTTGAGTCAATGGAGCACGGCGTCTTCATTCCTCGAAATGGGCGGTATGCCGGCCGTCCACGACATGACAAATTTTGTGCTAGATGTGCAAAAGAGAAGAAGGCCAACGCGCTCGAGATTGAGAAGCACGAGTGGCCCCTCCCAGAGAGCGAGACACTGTGCAAAGCCGTCATCTTCGAGCTCCTGGCACCTGAAGCAATCACTTGTTGGCGAGATGCCACCTTTTACCTCATACATGACATCGACAGAACTGAGACTACCGGACAGGCGTCTAAGCAAGTGCTTTTATCGTTCCCGCCGCTTCAGAAGCACGCGCTGAATAAAACTCGGCGCATAACCCTTGCTTCTTCGATCAAGCCGATGTCCAAAGCTCATTATTTCAAGACTCTATTGGGCATTGACGATATTTTTGTCAAGAATGGTCTCGAGCCTAGAATGTATGACACCGCGAAATCTGGGGTATGGACGGCCAAGCAAACTGCGAAGCCTTCGTTAGTGCGCCGGTGCGCCTCTCAACTACCACCTTCTCTCAACCGACATCTGACACGGCAAGTACACTCCACCCAGCATTCTCAAAATTCGGTCATTGCAAAACAGTCTCAATGTCCTCCGGAGATGGGCCCCCATGAGTACCTTGTCTTTGGCTCGCTGCGGTCAGGGGAGAGACTGCAGTGGTTCAATGTTCTGGCATCCCTCATGTCTACCGAGATTGATTTGAATTCGGCCGCCACTGCTCTGCTCTTCCTCCATGCAATTTCCCAGGTCGGCACACCCGGCAGTATTGCCCCATCATATCTGAGAGAAAGCCAAGTGGAGCTCATGAATGAAGCTTTCTGTCGATCCCTGCTCGATGCCCTCGAAGGGAATTTTGCGAGAGTTGAAGCAAACTGGAAAGAGGCAACGGCGGTATCTGTTTTGCTGACCGTCACGCTCAAAGTCGTCTCAATATCGCCTTACCATCCTGTTGTGGAACGTTGCATGAAGTTGATTAGTCGGATTCGAAGCTCTGCCTGCATATGGATTCGCCAACTTGTTGACCTCCATGCAGAACAGAGAGACCGTCTAGTTGATGACCTGGCCGATGGAGCTGCCTTGAAAGATCTCTCCCGCCACATCTTGAATGCTTGTCTCTTGGCCCGTCGGACGTATGCTCTCGACAGCAGCAAGCAGAAATTGTTGTTTTCAGCACATGATGCCGGAACAGATTACGTTGAAGCCTCTCTTCATCTGCACACACACCGCGAATCCTATTCTAGCACAGGAGACAGCAAGCTGGAAACAGACCTACTCAATGACGAGCATCTCGCAAGACGTTGCGAGAAACATTTCCAAGTCGTCCTCAAAAGCGACGATGCCGTAATTACGGAAGGTATCAGGCGATTCTGGCCAGCGGCCTCTTTCACTGGGAGATGGCAGACAGTCCACGCAAATGACACTTCATGGGTTCAGAACCATGTCTCATCTAAATGTGTTCACTACAATTTGATTACGGGCAGTCTCTTGGTGTCCGGTCGTGCTCTCGCACGGCTGCCTTCAAAGTACTCATCGCATCCCTTATATCGCGCCATTTTTGGTGATCCTGGTCTGGAAGTATTCCCCTCGGATGTCGATGACATGGAATACATGTCTAAGAATTTATTTGCTGGACATAAAATTTATTTCGGCATGCGCAACGAAGGTCTGCTTATTCGTTCTCGCATTGAGAACGATACATTTGAGGCAGTCCTGCCTGACCAGTTTTTGGGAGATTTACCAACGGAGATTGTCAAGTACACAATTCCGTGGATGTCCTTGAATGATGGTAGAGTGTTTTTTCGCCCTAATGAACGCCCTTGGATATCGGAGGCCGGCGATTGGATTCTCTATCCCGACATAAACTCGAAGACGACACACTCCATGCGGACCGACCATGCGTACTTGATAGATAGTGAAAGCGCAGTTGGAAGCACCATTTGCCAGATATTCCGACCGTTTGAGCAACCAGACCACATTGTCATGGCTTTTTCTCAGGATACTATAATTAACATCAGTCTTCCGCGCTATCAGCTGAACTTTTACGTCGACTATGCAGGCAATGTGGTCTGCAAAGAACTTTCTGCTGTTATCGATACTAGCCAGGCAATCGGCACACTATACGGACTGAAATCACGTCTTGTCTTACATGTGGAGGGCGAATCTGAGCAATCTTCACGCATTCTCCTCATACCAAACGGCCCGGTGAGTATCTCGAGTGCACGACCGCATATCACGGCACACGTCGTTCTGAAAGAGGAGGACGACTCATTATCATTCTCTCAATATCGACTTGATAGCAGACTTGGTCGATTGGCCAGTGAAACTCAGCTCGAAGCATTCCTATTCAAGACATACCTTCATGCCATTACGAGTTTCCCAGAACCGGATGCTTTTACCGGTCGTACTGGCACCGAGGAAAGCCTTTTTAATTTATCAGACCCTGTCTGCCGGACGTCAATCCCTCTGTCGGCTCGCTCTCAGTCGCTATTGACTGTGATTGGGGAACTCTCTCCCGAGCGACTTTATTATCCGGCTCACCTGAGGACTATGCAGACCGACACCTTTCACGATGTCCTACCAATTCTGTCTCAGCGTGATCTCTTCTTCGGCACAGTCCACGAAATTGTGGCGCACAACATCAAGTCAGTTTTCTTGTTTGAAAATGCGGATATCACGGCACCCAAGTATGCAGGAGATTTTGGACTTTTAGAGCGGTCTCACCATCGATCTCGCAAACTATACCCTTGCGAATCAGTAGCGACCATGCGGACTGTGTCCGATGACCACGAATATCCCGCACGCGATCGGGATCGGAGCCACAACCAGACCACAGCCTCAACACTGGCAGGCCTTGTCGAATCTTGGCCATCTACTTTTGGTGTTTGCTCAAATCTGAAAGATATGATTCAATGCTGGCAAGAAATTAGTGGTTTCGAGGAAAACTTCACTGTCATATCATATTCAAGGCTGTTGAGTGAGGAGAATTTCAAAGACGACTTTCCTCGGTTACTCAGCCTTTGCAGATCTGGAACCTTCTCCAAACAAGAACTCAGCTTTATTCTTTCGCTCATAGCATTCGGGAACCCGGACCTGGTTCCCAAGTTGAGAAGTCTTTTGGCTTTTGCAGTCTCACCGTCTCTGAGAGCGTTGCCAGCACCTCAACATAACCATTACGACCTGTGTCAAGGCCACTCATTAAATGAGCGAGATATCTTGGCCATTCTTTCGCACTGCGAGGAGGAATTTGTACCGAAAACCGATTCAAACAGCGAGGACACGGGTGATGAATTTTGGCAAGCAGAGTGGCGACAATTTCAACGAGAGTTGCAAGATCAGCGCGAGTTAATCCTGAATGCAGTTCGCTCTTCTTGGCCAGGCGATACAGTGAGATTGCCTGCTGAGCATCTACTCGGTCATTATCAGTTCTCTCAGTTGAAACTCCTTTTGAATGGGAGATTCGCTGCGTGGCACAAAAACCATGTGTTCTTGAACCAATTCTACGACTTTGACCAAGCGCTCAGAGCTTTTCATGTCTCTTGGACAGGTCCAAAGACTCTTGATACCATCCTCGATTCGACACCTGTTGCCCGTGCTCCTGTCCAAGAGACTCATTTCTCTCTGCTTGACCTAATGAATCTGGTCGACGTTAACGAACAGGAGTTCAATCAAAGCAAACCAAGCCTTCTGGACGAAGATCTATCCCGCTCTGTATCCGGCAGGATCCCCCAGAACCTCCTTAATGTCAACGAGCTTCGCTGCACCTGTGAGGAGCTTGAGGGCATCATTGAAGACCTCGACGAAGATACTAGCAGTGGTGCTCATCATTATGCCAAATTCCTGAATGACAGCCTAGTAGCGCTACAGGAAAAGGCTGGAGAAGACCAAGCCGTGATGAAAGTACCTCCGAATTCTGTTTTAAGTCGAAAAGTCTCTGATGTGAAGGATCATATTGCATACATCCTGCGCCGAGTCCGTCAGTTGCTCGAACCGCGGTTAGAGTGTGAAAAGGCACTGGTCACTGCAAGAATCTGGCCTCAGGTCTCTCAATTGACCTTACTCCAGCTCCTATCTGCAGACCACCGCGGCAAGCTTCCCCGCCGTTGGGTTGACATCCTGATTAGATTTGCCAAAGAAATTAGTGCGCTCCAACGTGTGGGACGCATTCAAAAGTATCTGGTGGCTAATGATTCTTTCGCTCTTCAACGCGAATTAGCAAATCCGGCCCATGCAGCATGGTCACCTAGAAGCTGGCCCGATTGGCTATTGCTCGAGATACAGAACAACATTCTCATTCGACCTGCCCAGGTCCGTGTTGCCAAAGAGCTGATCAAGCCTGAGAATGGGGTCGTTTTATTGGGTATGGGAGAGGGGAAGACAAGCGTGATCCTGCCAATGGTGATCACGGCTCTTGCGCATGGTACGCACCTTGTTCGTGTCGTCGTCCTGAAGCCTCTCGCCAATGAAATGCTCCGATTACTATCGAGAAGCCTCTCTGGACTTGTTGGACGGACCGTATATCACTTGCCCTTCTCGAGACAGACGTATTTGGGTCCCAAGACGCCTCAGCTTCTAATGAACCTTTTTCAAGAATGTCGACAAACTGCTGGGGTTCTTCTCACGCTTCCAGAACACCTGAACTCATTCCGCCTTATTGGGCGTGACAAGTTGGCAGCCCCCGATACCTTCAGCCTTGCCACCGAGCTCATCGGGGTACAGAAGTGGCTGGATTGCAATGCCCGGGATATATTGGATGAGAGCGATGAACTGCTGAAACCTGCCTATGAGCTCGTGTACACGAATGGAGAGGCAAATCTCTTGTCCGGAGCACCAGACAGATGGACAATTGCTCTTGAGCTTCTTGGCTTGATCCAGAAAAATGCCGCTGCGCTCCACAGTAAGTCTCCCACCGGGATTGAGTTCGAACCACGATTGCATGGCTCTTTCCCACATGTACGAATCCTTCACGACGAAGGTGGTCACTCTGTGGCTAAGTTCTTGGCTCAAGAGGTCGTCGAGAGGAGAGTCTCTGGCCTTCCGTTGGGTCACTGCAATTCTGAAGTCCTGGCCTCGATCAGTTCGTTCATTCTTGACGTTGATGTGGACGAGTCCAAATTTCGAATGATGGAAGAACATTTTAAAGGCTCTGCACAGTTAGACATCCTCTACGTCGTCCGTGGATTGATCGCCTATCAGACACTTAATCACTGCCTTCGGAAGAGATGGCTCGTGACATACGGACTGGACCGCAGTCGCTCTTTGAGCGCGGTACCCTATCGAGCAAAGTCGACTCCCTCGCCAAGCGCTGAATTTGCACACCCCGAGACGGCAATTATTCTTACTGCTCTCTCATTTTACTACACCGGACTCTCGCGCTCAGACATCAGAAGATGCATTCTTATCCTCATGAAATCTCCTGATCCAATGGAGGAGTACTCGAAGTGGGTATCGCACAGCACCCTGACTAAGTTCCGAACCGCAAGCGCGATTAATCTAGAAGATGCCTCATGCATTGATGTCCTACACGAGCATCTCCGCATGAATAGCGAGGTGATAAATTTCTTCTTGCGATTCGTCGTCTATCCTTCCGAGGCAAAGGAATTCCGCTATAAGCTATCTAGTAGCGCCTGGGACCTCTGCTCTAATGACGGAGGGAAGGTCACTTCCGGCTTCAGTGGCACTTGCGATAGTCGAATTCCAAAATTCTGTACCCAGAAAGATCTCCCAGACTTGAGATACATCACAGCATCTACTTTATCCACCTTATTGCGTCACGACAATCGCACTTATCTATGTGCAGCTTCTTCTACGGGCCAGCGACTTTCAACTAAAGAGTTGTTGAAGCTTGTGGTGAAGGATGATGAGAAACATAACACACTGGATGTTATTATCGACGTTGGAGCCCAGATGTTAGAGGATAACAAAGAAATTGCGTCAAAGTGGCTGGCGTTATCCCAGAACACGGGGAAGACAGCCGCAATATTTTTCAGCGACAACGATGAAAAGATGGTTTTGAAGCGTGATGGAGCTATTGAACCACTGGTAACATCGACTTTCAAAGATAAAATTGGGGACTGCCTCATCTATCTCGATGAATTTCATACTCGAGGGACAGATTTTCAGCTGCCGGACAAATTCAAAGCCGCCGTCCTTCTTGGTCCTGGACTCCTGAAAGACAACCTGGCGCAAGCCTGCATGCGAATGAGGAAGTTACAAGTCTCGCAGTCGGTGAAATTCTTTGCTCCACCTGAAGTAGATCAGAATATCAGAAGCATTTTGAAGGGAGCTCCGGAGACTCTCGACAGTTCTCATGTGTTGCGTTGGGCGTTACACCAATCTTGTACGGCTCTCAAGAGCCAGGGTCCACTCTGGATTACGCGAGGATTATTGCATAGCCGTCGACGACTAGCGTCTGCCCGGCATGTTCGAGAAGGTCAGATTGTTGACGCAGAAGAGTACCTCAACACCATCCGAGAACGAGAAAGTCGCCCAGTTTCGGAGATGTATCGCGCAGATCGGCGCCCTCGGAAGCAACTGCCCTTCGAACCTAAGTTTGAGGAGGAGGTGGATGTCATTATGAAGGATCTGTTGGTTCAATTTGAGCGAACAGATATCTCCGATTTCAAAGACACCGGAATTGACGAAGAGCAAGAGCGGGAAATCCTACACGAAGTCGAGCAAGAGAGAGAAATTCAGCGTCCGAAAGAAGTACGACCTGCAGTTCCAAAGGCCTGCATAAGCCTTTTGAACCTTATCAAAGATGGTACTTTTCCGGAAGGATCGCCAGAGCTTTGCCCAGCATTCGAAGTGCTGTTGCAAACCCGACTGGCATGCCATTATGGTCGACTCGATTTTCCAATGCATGTTCTCGTCACACGAGATTTCTTACGCACCATTGAAAATCGCGACAAGTCGCCTGAAGACGATTTTCTACGACCAGTTCAATGGGTATTAAAAGCAAAGCGCATCAAACAGCCCATCATCATCAGCCCACATGAAGCCCAAGTGTTCTTACCTGTGATCCGACTTACAGGGCGTGCGACTCTTATTCTTTATCAACCTCGAGTCAGCCGCAGTATGACTCCCTTCGATAGTATGAATGTCTACAAAGTTCCTGAGAGCGCGCATCCCGTTGACATTACACCACAAGAGAAAACAACGTTGAATCTGTTTGCTGGTCAGCTCTATTTCAGCTCGTTTGTTGACTATCAGCGTCTCTGTGAACTTATTGGTTTATGGGATGGAGTTCGTCCTCTCCCTATACAGCGAGAAGTCGCCAATGACAATTTCGTATCACCAGCGTGTCGGATGGCAAATGGCTGGACAGAGTGCACATTTACCACAAGTCCAGTTAGCATGTTGAAGGCGTTTATCGGTATGCGCAGATTGGGTATTGAATGGAGCCATACGCATATGGGAAGGATTCTGGCAGGGCGGATTTTGAGGAAAGAGGAATTCGAGAATAATGCGGCCTGATATTGTACGGTTGTTCATCATCATCGATATGGTATGATGGCGCGGAGTGACACACCAGAGTTCTCAACTTGATAGACTTGAAGACTGATTCTCTATGTACTTGAAGAAAATCAATCAACACGAGTCTGAGTTAGAAGCAGTAATACATCCAAACCCGCTCTTTCGGGCGTTTCTTTGCAGGCTTGACTATCCCTTCGCGTATGAGAACAGAATCCTTTGATCGTTGAAATTGGAATCAATCCATATTTCTCATCCACTTCTGTAAGCTCCTTCCGCTGTCGTCTCTCTCCGCCAGCTGTTGATTCATTTGTTGAAGCTTTTAGAGACTCTTGTAGTGCCGAATATTGTATTGAGCTTTGAGTAGCTTGTATGCAGGCATGGAGGTCAAAGTTTCTCTATTTTTGGCATATAGACAAGATGAGCGCCACTGATAGCCATAAGAATGGACCAGTCTGCCCTGTTGCCTGACGCCGAGTGGCTGGGCCCATATATCGTGGGGAGTATCGTATTCGATAAGTATGGGTGGTCAGAAATAGAGTGTGGTAAAATAACAAAGGCCATCCAGTTTAGGATCAGACACAGCCGAAGCTCAGAAGTTCGACCGGGCCCCAAAGCAGCTTAGTAATGCGACAAGGCCCTAAGACTCCCCACCGCAAGCATGGTCATGGATATAATTCGTCAAAATGGAGGGGCATCCAATGAGAGGGAATACTCTTCTTTTATTTTTTCTCTGGTTCATTTCTACTATATTCGCATCATTTCAATCAAATGATTCATGGTCTGGCGGCTTTGACTGTACTGTCGGATCCATTATTCTCTCTCAAACTCTGCGATAAGGAATCATTCCATAGAAACAACATGCAGACTTCATCGATCTCATCAACCCTCCACCCTTTGCCTTCAGAGGCAAAGATGGCCAATTTCTCGCCTAATGACCCAGTGTCGAATGCGTCCATGAACAATGAGGAAATCCAGCACAAGCAGTCGCGCATCCAGTCGTCCAGAGGGTAGAAGTCGTGGGCGAGGGGTCTTCCTGATAAGTAGAGCGTATAAGCGTGGAGAAAGCCATTCATCAGCCAGTGGAGTGTACCGTGGCGGTAGATCACGTAACCCATCAATGCAGTGACGATGACTTGTTGGAAAGTTGGAAGTAGCTCCTGCTGGCAGAGCGCCGCACAAATGATTAAGTGTTCGGCATGAAGCTCTGCTGATGCGGGGGCAGTGTATATGGATTCGATCAGGTCGATGAGCTCTAAGCTCAGGAGGCGTTTTAAGGCAAGTTCGCTAAAACCAGGGGGAAGTTTGGCGATTTGTGAGCACAGAGAAGACGGAAAACGGGAGGTTTGGGGCCGTGAATTCATGAAACGAACGGCGTGACCAACTCATTCCCTGACGCTGAAGCTTGCTCTGTGTCTGAACAAAGAGTTGCCACTCCATGAATTCTCGCGAATGTCGCGCGTGAAGTCGTCGAGCTCCTTTGTTCCCTCAGCTTTTGTTTAGCTCGATAAACCCCTGAAGGTGTTGACTGAGCGCAGTGAAATTTCTGCCCATCGCATCTGCGCCCATGAGGTGCGAGATAGTAAGGGTGATGGCGTTGGTAAGTTCGAGTCGGCCTTCTCGCTGAGCTTCTTTTAGCCGGCTCGACAGAATGCGTGCGGCCTTGATATACAATTTCAACGCCTGAGGCGATAGGGACAGAAAGGGGGACTTTCGTCCTGTGCCATGTTTGATAGCCATGTCTGCACTAGCCAGTGATCTGGCCATTTCTTTGACCTCGGCCTTGGAATCTGTCTCGACGTACTGTCGCTAGGGCGTAGGATTCGACATCTGCACAGAGGACAAATGGCTTGAGTTTGACGTCATCTAGGGAGGCGAAAGGGGAATTCAGGATGAGGGCAAAGGCTTACAGTATTCCCAGCCTGACTTGTGGATTTCGGTTGGATTGATGGGGAAGATATTTAGGTAGACATGGGCTGGCATGCGAGGGCCGGACCTCGAATTGGTCCTTGAGCATATGGGGCACAACAATCGTGCGTGCACATCGCAAGGAACGGATTTTGAAGGGGTCAACACGGGGACCGTGTTAGAATTGTTAGGTTCATCTCTGCCCCTGCGAGAAGTCTTCCTTATGGTGCCTTTCGTTGACGATTGACGTGGCCGGCTGCTCACTCGCGCTACGTGGGAAGAGATTGCGCCTTGCTCCCTCGCATTATTGCGGATTCCGTCTGGGCCTTTGTTTATAAAGAGGACCTTTGGCCTTCGTGGTTTCATTCTCCGAGTCGCAGATAGGCATATGCTGAGTTTTGCCGAGTCAAATTGTGCGTAGCAGATACGGAGGTGCTGTAAGCGAAATTCACCGTCTTTCCTGACCTGTGCGACCACTGGAAGTTAAACCTAAATGTATAGGCGCGATGAACGCATGGATCCTTGTGTCATTGCAAAGCTCCAAGCGGGGAGTTCCCCCAAGAACCAATCTGATGCTTGACTTCGCGACGTTCACGATGAGTCATCCGGATTCGCAAAACGATTGGTCATGAAACTATTGAAAGCTTCCGGCGGTAGGCACATGAAGCCCAACGTTGGGCTATTTGGCGTTAACATAAAAAGCAAGTGAGACTGATCATCGGCAGTTCCAGCAGTTCGCGGCAAAAATATAGAGGGAGAGTGCGTGTCCGTGAATCTCTTGTGCAGAGCTGCCACGAGTCGATCCGCCGATTTACACAAGGGCCGCTCATTTGCCTGATCAGGTAGATGACTTGATCGTGAATTCTTCGTCGGCTAGATAACTGAGATTGTTGACCTGGATCGGCGGGAACAACGTTTGATCGGTGACAATAAACGTCTTGGAGCTCTTTCTAACCGATCGGCGAGTCTTGAAGCAAAACCTTCCACAGTTGTGCTCCATCGCCACCATGACCGCCAATGTAATTCTGACCGACCACGTTGACCAGTACCGAATCCAGCCTCATGCATTCCAAAAACTGTTCTTCCTCGCTTCCCCGAGGGAAACATCGTTTCCACTCACTCCAGATGCTGTACGCTTCTTCGCCCCAGGCCCTGAAGCTCTCGCTCTCGATGATGGTAGGGGTGATAATCTCCTTACCTCGGAAAACTCCCCAGGTAACGGCATTGACGGTACTAACTCCAGGGGTATGTTTAGACGTCGGTTTGTCCGTGGACTCTTTCTGAACCACCGCCTCGCTAGACTCAAAGACAGAATTGGCGTCTGTTTTCATCCATCCAACGTGCTCCGAATCAAATTTGATCAGAAGCGGCTTCAGATGATTCTCCCATTCTTGTCGCGGACAGAAAAACTCCACAAAAGCTTTTTGGAAGACGAAGCCTTCCCCCGGCGGTCCCCAACCGAATGTGTCGTCTTCGCTCTTCACGCCGTCGACTGCCGGTTGACTTGCAAGAGTCCAGTAGCCTTTCTTCTCAATAAGCGCCAGAAGTTCTCTTCGGATCACCTCTGTCTCGGCTCGTAGAGCTCCATCACCACCACCGCTCGCGCCATCCACGTCGACTTCGTCACTCCAAGGAACTGCTTCTAGCTCACCAATCACATGTCGTCGGAACAGCTCGGTAACATCTCTGGTGGATTTGGGATGTCCCCAGAGCTTTCGTGCTGTAATCGATCCAACTTTAAGAGTTGGCCCATACCCATCGATTTCACCAAAGGCTGGAGAGTTAGAAGGACCCCAACGCCCATTGGGGAAATCATCCCACGTAGCTTCTCGGCCTAACGCACCCTGCCCTTCCGAAATCATGAGATGGTGCTTCCGTGTTGGATCAGAGGCCGGAATCCCCGTTCCTCGATCAGGAGCTTCGTGTTGCAGGAGTATGGGTCTGGTCAGCTCCGCACTCCGATCTCGTCTTGATTGTCCAGGTGACCTTGATGGACGATCCATGATTACCCGGTTATGCGGTTGTGCATTCATTGAACTCGCCCTCCGTCGTGAAAATCGAGCCGTCTGACCGCGCTCACCTGTACTGCTGCCGTTTGCAAAAGTCGGCGCGAAATGGATTGATTTTTTCACATCCTCAACGATTGCGTCGGAATCAGATGAGTCGCCAGGGCTCGGTTCGGAAAACGGGGGAATGAGGTGGGTCTTTTCGAGAACGAAAGCGACCGACTTTTCAAGATTGAGAGTATAGAAATGAAAGCCACGGGGTACGCCTTCCGGCTGAGGTAAGGTCCTGATCTGCTCAACAATCTCGCTGAGAATCTCGACGCCGACCTGTTTCACGGCCTCGTCATCTGACTTGACCGACTCAATCCGTTTCGCAGTGTCCTCTGGTAACTTTGCATGACTGAGTTTCGTGATTCGTTTGATGATCTGGTAGCTTTGAATGGGCATGAGGCCCGGAATGATAGGAATCTTCTCGAATAGTTTGTTTCCGTCCGTGTCCACATATTCCCGCAGTCTTTTCTCGTACGCTCGGTAGGCATCAATGTCGTATGTGAGCTGAGTCATTATGAAATCTGCCCCTGCACCGACTTTCTCGGCCAGATATGGCAGATCATGTTCGACGCTCTGTTTTCCTGCCTCCGGATTGCTCTCGTCTGCATGACCCTCAGGATAACCGGCAACTCCGATCGAGAAGTAGTCACCATGTTTCCGGCGGATGTACCGCACCAAGTCAACCGCCCAAGCAAACTCCTCGCAATCTTCTGTGCCAAATCCTCCATTCTCCAGTTCATCTGTGTCCTTGTATTCTTCTCTGGGTGGATCGCCTCTTAATGCTAAAATGTTTCTGATGCCCACTTCTTTTGCACTCTCCAGCGCATCGTCGACTGCGCTCCTCTTCATGTTGGTACATGTCAAGTGCAGGACGGTGGTCAGACCGAGTTGTCTTTGGCAAACCTCGGCAAGTTCCAAGGACTTTGTTGTAGTTGATCCACCCGCACCCCAGGTCACCGTCACAAAGAGAGGGCGTAACGCCGCGGCCATTCTAGCCAGACGGGAATGTAGGTTTGCGAATCCGGACGAGGTTTTGGGGGGAAAGAACTCGAGGGAGAAGTAGTGGGAGGATGGTGAGAGGGAGGAAAGTAGGGTGGGTAGTCGATCGTCAGCCATGACTGTATTGTGTAGTCTTCAGGTTGCACAGGACCGTGCCGTCAGGGAGGATAATCTACAGCATTCGACCAAAGCCGCGGTGGTGGCGTTGATTGTCGACCAAGGCCACAAATGGTTCTTTCCTTGATATGCTCGAAGGACCGGTTTGGCTAGCAGGTATATTGAGTCTCGTGTTGAACACCGTAACTGCAACTGCAGCAGAGAAGCAAATGCCAGTGATTTGTTTGTCTGAATTGATTTTTGGTTTCTATCACGGTTGAGATATCCAGTGCCCCCGCGTGTGGGAAACATTTTTGCCGGGGGCAATTACTTCTATCAATACAGCTTAGTGCCTGACAGCGGCGAGAATGACGCCAATTCTGCAGCTGCTGAACAGGGATTGAAGGCAACTAATTCTGGGCAGAGAGTTATCGTGATTCAGTGGCATTTCAATTGCCGAACGGCCTAGGCCTTGCAGATAAGTCCGTTAGCGAGTGGAATCGATTAACCGAGTTCAAAATTTCACAATAAAATGTATAGAGTTAAGATGGTTATATTGCCATCACGTTCCCGGATCTCTTTTTTTGTACAGTAAAGTGCCATATCCCAGTCCAGGCCCTTCCCCCCTTCCCCTTTTTTTTGTGGTTGGTGTTTGGCTGGCTGTTTGATAAGGCCAGTCAATACCGACCCTGTTTTGACCACGATGTTACTCCATACAAGCTGATAAAAAAATATCGAGCTTCCCTGACATTAACGCACCATCCTGGAGAAAACAAATAAAAGCTCTGCCTCGGCCCATAATAAAACATCTTTGACACTCACTCAGTGATGTATCTCGAGGGTATCGATATTCCTTCCCGCCATACGCCTTGCCTCCCATCATTCAGCTTTGTTCGTCGCCGTTAAGAAAGTCGTCAAAGTGCTTCGACACGTTATCCCCATCCTCCAATTCTGCATGATCATTGGCCGAATCGTTGCTGGCCGTTCGGATCATGTCTAAGGCTTCGCTAGCATGGCTTGTTTCTTGCTCGAGGCTAGGGACAGGATCATTGTTTCCATCAGCATCTTGGTTCGTCATGTCCATAAACATGTTGTCATATTCGCCTCCAGGCGGAGAGCCCTCCCTGGCTGAATTTGACCCGCTGGCAGAAGCATTCGCAAGACCATTCCGAATGTCGTCGTCTCCGTCAAGACCTAAACCAGTATCCGGCCGGAAAAGGGGGAACGAAGGGTCATGATTTCTCGCTTCGGCGGATGTGCCTCCGGAGAAGGTCGGCATCATAGGGTCCCTCATCCCTTCAGGAGGTTGTTCCCCTGTTGGACTAAACATGGGTGACGGTGTGTTGGGGGGAAATGGCGAAGGTCGGTTTGCCCCAAACGAGGCACTATAAGGGGTAGATCCAGATATGAACCCGGGTTCAAATGTACCACCAGGTCCCGAATTGCCGGTTGATTCTTGTCTCTGCATTCCAGTAGAACTTTCAGCATTGCCCGCCGGGTGGCTTTGCCCCGGACTGGAAGCTGAGCCCGGCGCTGAAGGTGATTGTGTGGATGGCTTGGGCAGGAGAGGCCCCGTAACAAATGACTCCTGCGTCTTTCTTCTCACATATGTTTTCGTCCTCAGGTGAGGAGGAAGATCTTCTGGCTTCTCAACCCCAAGTTCCTTCATCAATTTCTGTTGCTTGGTGGGTCGTGGCTTTCGTGTCGACAAGCTTTGGTCCAGAATTGGCGGTGGTTCAGGCGCAATCGGCTGCCACTTATGCAATTCTTGTCGGAAAACATTTGTCTCGTACGCGAGAAGAAGTTCGGCGCCTTCAATTTTGCGCAGATAAAACAACATTTCCGGCATTTCCTCAATAGTCCTGCAGAGTTGGTTTCCGTTCGTGTATTGGGTCAGGAAATCCCGGAAGGCTTGAGCCTTGTCGATAATCCGCTTGAGAAGTTCCTCTTCCTCCGGTTGGAATGGCAAGTCTACAATTTCATCCTGCCATGCCTGGAGATCTTCTAGCTTGGGTCGGGCGGCATCACGAGGAATCTTGACTCGCCAATCACAAATGGGGCAGGTGAACATCTCGCATTCCTTCACTTTTCCTCTAGCGAGCTTGAGGCACTTTGCATGATACCTGAACTATGAGTTAGTGCTTGCGTGGCAGGCCCATTACGTGACTTACCAATCATGACAGATTTCGCATTCAATCATGAGACCCGCCTCAGGCTGTCGGCAAATGCAGAACACAGGCTTCTCATCGTCCCCGAGTGCACCCCTTTCGTGGCCTTCAGCGGGAGTTGCTTCCCGTGAGGCTGGTTCGACAGGCGGCCTGAAAGTGTCGTTGAGGTCGAAACAAAAGTTGTTCTTCTCTTCCACAAACTTCATATGTTGTTCGAGAATGTGGAGGGGCGCGTTGGCCTTGCCAAACAACTTTTTGCCTTTTCTCATCCAATCCTCGTGTCTCCTCAACTCCTTTTCCAAGTCGGCAGCACCATGAGGCTTCCCGTTCAGGTCTTCGAGACTCTTCACGACGTCACGCACGTGGGCGTACATCGGGCGTTTGCGGAAATCCGGATCGTGACTGCGTTCGACCAGGGTGATGATTTGGCGTTTTGCCTCACGGTTCTTGGCCAAAATCAAATCCATCTGCTCCAGAGTTTCCCTGTTCACGGGGAATACTTGATTTTGCACCTGGGAATGCAACGACTCGAGCTGCGGATAATGGACGTCTTCGGCGGCCATGACTTCTTTGGCTTTAATCTCCCAGAAGTCACCTTGCCTCACCACTTCGGTCAGAAAGACCACCTCTGGTACTTGAGCCACAATTTCCAGTTCTCCGGCACGTTTCAAAAGGGCCCTGCATTCATCCAAGGTTTTGGTTTGTATGTCCTTCTGGATAAGACGGACCTCTTCGAGCCATTGTGTTCGCGCATGGAGCTTTTCTAGACTGGTGAGTTCGGGCATGGCGGCCATGAAACTACGACCTTCTTCAAGTAACGTCTCCAGTTCGTCAGTAGTGGCTTGGCTCAGGCCAGTGAGAATGCGCTTGACGTTCGCCCGCCATTCATCAACAATGGCCACCTTTTCTTGCAGATTCTCAAGTTGAGGCGCACTGAAGCCGAGTTGCTCTCCGTCCTCGATTAGCTCTTTCATGCGTTCCAGGGTCAGTTGTTGTCCATCGTCCTTTTCGTCTCCCTTGCCTGTCCGAAGAGAGGAACGACGCCATGCCTTTTCATTCTTGCGTCTGTTTTGCTGCTTCCGAGTCAGGTAGAGGTTCGCTTCATCCACCCATAGGTCGCATCGCTTTACGAACTCGGCTAGATCCTCGAGCCCTTTGAGAGGATAAGGGATTTTCTCTCCTTCGGTCAGGAGAGTATGCAACGATTTGAGCGCGGGTCGAGCATCCTCTGCAAGCAGTGCTTCCAATTTGGCTTCCCACACCTCGGGGACGCTTGCCTTATCCACGACTTTCTGAACCACACCGTTCAACTCATGATTTGTAAACCGCAGCAAGAGACTGTGATTTGGACTTCGCAATCGCTCCTCGGGGCTTTCAGAACAACAATCGGCTACTTCAGGGTGTAGGAGACAAGTGACTTTGCCACTCCGATGACAACGGAATTGTGAGAGGTAGGAGAATGCTTTGCAATAACAGCATTGGTATTCTTCCTCTTCCAGGTCAGTATTTTCGATCTTGACAATTAAGCCGCAAGCGGGAGACGGTTCGGAAGAGAGAGTATCAAAGGTACAGTCGTCGTGTGGAGAGTGACGTTGGTGAAGGGCGACAAATTTTTCACGGTCGGTTAATTCACGGTCTCGAGTCCTTTCAAGGGCTGGTCCTAGCCACTTGGCTGTTTTAATCGTTGTGTCAGATGCTGCCGCGGTAAACAGCAATTCATCGTGGGAGAAGCATGGCTGGCGACGGAACTCCTGAAGTCTCTGTACTCCCGCCTCACCGAACGGCTCCCAGTCAGCTGGGGCAAAGTTAACCGCTTCGTTGAAATTGAAGCCATGATTGAATCCAGCGTGATAAGCTTGAGGGAAAGTGATGACAAATTGACCGGCACGTTGATCGAGCGCGTACACCTCGACCCCTGCTTTTCTTAATTGGTTTGGTGGGAGGATGGTGACCAGTTGGAAGAGCAAGTCAGGCTGTGTCTCGAAGAGTTCTGGAACTGCCTTCCGCATCGCCTCTTCAAAACGATAAGCGTCTTTCCCAGGAATGCCATACCACGTCTTGGTGGCACCGAAATGCTGATAGTTCGCCGAATACGCATAGTGATCCTCGTTGTGCCAACAAAAGGTGGAGAAGCACATGCCAACATAGAGCCAAGGGACTGTCATTCCCGAGATGTCGCCCTTGATATGCCTGAAAAGCGATTCTTCGAGGAAGGGCATGACGTTGAGATTCCAGGGATCCTTGGAGTAGGGATTCAGAGGGTTCTTCTCCACGCTTGGAAAGCCACTGCCGTGGGTGGTCGAATGAATGTCTGCTCCGTATTCCACCTCTACCGATTCAGTGATATCTTCGACGAGTCTCCAGAACTCTCGTTCCACGTCGTCCTCCGTGGCACGTCTTTGAGTATTCGTGACTGGATCAAACGGCATTCGTGCGGCGAAATAATGGTCCTTGAAATTGTTGGCCTTCTCTTGAAACTGCTTCAATGAGTAGATGCTGCCCTCTTCAAATCCGTAGTCATTCGTGCCGACCAAGCATTTCGGGCAATGCCAATCACAGTCAGGAATGTGATTCAAGGGAGGTTCAACACAGTGCTTGTGATAGCCCAAGTCGCAGCTGTCGCAAACCAGAATACTTTCTTTGTTGTCCGATTTGCCACATTTCTCACATTTGTCTCCTTGCCTTCGAAGTGCTGGGCGGGCGCGGATTTGGGGTGTCGCAGAACGCATCGCGGGAATATGATTACCCGGAATAGTCGGATGTCCATCTACACGTGGTCAGTAAATGTTGACGGGGTTAAAAGCTTCCACCCAAATAGCACATACCTTTCTTGGGCCTCTTACTTCTTCGCCCACCTGAGCCGTCTAGATCGCCATCCAAGCCCTCCGATCCAGATTCACCATTCAGACTGTCATGGCTCAGGGTCCTCTTTAGTGGATTGGAAGCTCCGTTCGGCATTGGACCGCCAGACGAATGGATGGTGGTGATAGTAGGTCCATTGATGGGTAAGAAAGATGGGTTTACAGGTTGCGATGGAGGCTGTACCCCGTTGACTTCCTTCTTGACCACAGGAGGTGGAAGAGTGTTGACAGCCGTGAATCCTGAAGGCTTGTTCACAGCGGCAAAGCCACTATTCACGGCAGTGAAGCCAGATGATGATACCGGTCTGGGTTGAGGTTGAGGCGCTGGGGTGGTCGATGGCATCGGTGACGGATGTTGTGAGGGTCCGGGAGCGTTGTGTATCGGTGGATTCGGGCCCAACGAGGTCTGGTGACTGGGTGAACCTGTTCTCGTAGCCGGAGGGGCGGGCTGAGGTGGCGGCGGCGGTGGAGGGTGATTCATCGACGGCTGATGAGGGGGAGCGGATGGTGAAAATGATCTCCCGTGCCCACTTTCGAGTTGCTGATGAACTCCCGGTTTGGCGAATTTGAGCCACTCCTCATAAGGATGCAACCATCTTTGGTAGGAATTTTTGAGAGAAGTCGAGAGAGATGACATGATTTTCCCACTGTATCCCAAATCTCTTCCGATTTCCGCCCACTTTTTGTCTTTGCAAACTCGTTCGAAACCGCCCCTAACTTCGACGGCCTTCTTCAATTTGTACAGATCAAGCGGACGTTTGTCCACACTGGGGAAGCGGTTGAGGTGGGCACCATACTGTTTGTGAAACTTGGCAAGCTGGTCCAGATAGTTGAGATTTGTTCGATTTCCTATGCAATCAGTGAGGAAACAAAGTCCCAGAGAGCAAAGTCAAGAGAGCTCACCTCCTTCGACCAGATTGATCTCTTGACGTCGGGTACGGAAATGGAAACGCTACGATAGGTCAGTCTAGAATATAAAACAACCAGGCAGCAGTTGGCGTTTGTCGATCTGGCTACTCACCTCGGTATCGATGGCGAAGTCCGGGTTCCAATTGTCTGGAGGGATGATCTTACATATTCCATATTTGCTAGCCTCTTCAGAGATACTTCGAATGTATTCCATAGGGTCGCGGAACTCTGCCTCGGTTGGTCTGTACGTGGGTGCTTCAGTCAATCCGTGTGGCCTCAGTCTGGTGGGCGGATCACGACTTGAAGGATGGCCTTTGCGCTCGACAGTTCGCATATCGAGAGGCTGCGCTCGACGAGCACTGTAAGGGAATGACGGAGTGGCCATACTAGGTCCTATGCCATTGACACGAACGGTAGATGATGGTTTAATGGTCGCAGTCGCAGGTGCGACACCACCAGTTGAAGGTGGAGCGACCATGACTGCGACAAAATCCGATGGCTAACCAGAACGGATCACAGTGTTCGGAGGGAACTATTTGGCAGCGATGGAAGATGTAGCAGGAGGATGATGGATGATTTAGAGGGTTATTCGAGAACGATCGGTTGGATGTGGATCAAAGGAGAGGTGAGGGTCAATATTCGACAAGTGAACGAGGCCCGAGAGGGCAAGGGTAAAACGAGCGGGAGTGGTGTGAATGCGGGTAGCCTCCTATGGTCGCTCGGGGAGATAGGGCGCGAAGTGCCGCAAAGCACTCCCGATAGCAGAGCCTCACATGCGCCGGAGGAGGACTGTACTCGTGGAGGAGGACAAATTTGCAGTGAAGTCAAGGCGAGAGAGGTGAGGATAGGTTGACAAGTGGAGGGACGGAGATGGATAAAGTCGGGCAACACTCAGAAAGAGAGACCCTACTTGCTTATTTGTCAGTGCTATAGGGATGATGGGTGTCACCGTAGTGCAAATATCAGCTCACGTGAGTCCCCGTTACCTTGCGACCTTGAACAGTTCCCATTCACCTCTCCGGGACTCCAGTTACGAATGATATTTTCATGAGGATCGACGAAAATCTGAGCCTCACACCCGGTTCTACACCGGTTAATCCATTTTATGAGAAAAGCAAAGGCATATCCAGTTGTTGGCTCGACGCAATCCCAAAACCGTTCGTATCCAGCCGACTCATTCGCTTTTCACGCGCCCGATATTCCCTTATTACTCAACGTGGCTTCCTATTCCACCCGTCGCAAACCCGCCGCGCCGACAAATCTGCTGATACTTGTCACTGATGGACATTAAACCTATCCCAGCATTCTATTGCTGCTACCTTCTTCGGTCTACAGTCCGCCACTCCAGCATTTACATTGGATCAAGTCCAGATCCTGCCCGACGCCTCGCTCAACACAATGGTCGAGTCCAAGGAGGGGCCGAGCGTACATCTCGAGCCAGTCTTCGCCCGTGGGAGATGGCATGCATTGTGGCCGGCTTCCCATCCAATATAGCTGCTCTTCAATTCGAATGGGCCTGGCATAATGCCCATTTGACCAGACACATCACCCCAACCGAGCGTATCTCATTTGCCACCATTCGCACGAAGACCTCCGCCAGGACCGGGAAAACAACACGAAAACCAGGAAGACCGCGAACTTCTCTGATGGACAAGTTGTCCAATCTGCATCTCTTACTTCGCGTCCCATACTTCTCCAAATGGCCTCTCGAAGTTCGGTTCTTTAGTGAAGATGCATATCGCTCCTGGGCCATCTGGTGCGAACGAGTCGATTCGCAGATCCGTACCAGCATCAAAGTGCATTTCGATCCAGCACAATCGAGAGCCCAGGAGGGAGAATTTACCTCTGTTCGGCCTATTCAGAGGAGGAGAAAAGCAGATTTGGTCGGAAACGGTGGGGTCGACGGCATCGATCCAACTTACTCCCGCCTACGCGATGTGTTTAGAAGAAGTCAGTTCCTCCTGGACGAAGGTGATGAGCAAAAGTGTTCTGTATGTGCAGACGGCATCGACCTGCACAAGAGTCTGTTTGTGATTTGTCCCACAAACGAGTGCCATGGTATCTCTCATCTGACCTGCCTGGCCGACAAATTTCTGAAACGCGCAGAATCCGATTTAATGATCCCGGAGACGGGAATTTGTCCATTGTGTAAACAGGAACATGCATGGGCAGAATTGATGCGGCAGGTAACTTTGAGGACCAGGGGCATGAAAGAGGTGCAGAAACTCCTGGGCCCAAAAAAGAAAAGCACGGCTGCAATCGCCGCTGAAATTCTGGAGACTGAGAGCGAGGATGAGGATACACTCGATGAAAATGTTCTTACCGCTCAAGACGTCGTTGATGAAGCTGATGGACTTGATCACGGTGATGATGATGATGATGACGACGATGACGACGATGACGACGCTTCGTCTGTTGCATCTGCAGATTCATTTCTAAGTAGAACGTCCCATGTCGAGACAAGACCCACATCCGATGCCCGACCAGGAAGGCTTGAGATCGTAATTGAGGATAGTGAGGATGAAAGATGACACTTGCAGGACTTCACTCCTCCGCAAGCAGTGGTCCCAATTTCTGCAATTGACCCAGCACGGTATTGGTCGGTGATAACTGCAAGACTGTCGCCTGAATATCATTCGCGACCTCGTCCATCGTTCTTCCCGCATTGATGACATGAACTGAAACACCATCGAGTCTCGTGAACAGCTCGTTGAACAGAGCCCTGACGCGGGCTTGCATCTTCTCTGTCTCGTATCTCTCGGAGCCATAACCGCCACGGGTAGAGGCGTCCGTAGAAGAGATGTCCAAGAAGAACAATAAGTCAGGCTTGAAGAGGCCAATTTCGGGATACCAAGCCCAGTCCAGAGATAAATCGGGATTGTCTTTGGCGGCGGAATAGACAGCTCCAGAGAATGAATACCGATCAACAATGACATTGACTCCATTCATAATGTCCGCTTGAATGCCATTGATGGCTTCCCAGCGATTGGCCGAGAACAATAAATGGATGGAATGATCATCTTGTTGAGCCTGGCCTGTCAAGTAGCTGTTGATCATTTGACCCGTGGGCGTCGTCCTGTCTGTCATTGATCAGTGTCCAGAATGGCTGAAGTAGATGTGTTCGACGAACCGGGAAACTTGACATATCTTACTTTCTTGCCGTTCGATTGAAAGTACTCGACAAGTCGTTGGCATTGACTGGATTTACCAGAGCGGTCAAGGCCCTCGACCACAATCAGGAGTCCTCTATGCTGGCAATCGGGAGGTACGGTCATGTTTGCTAAGGTGTGTGTCGATCCGGGACCCTTGAGAACTCTCTCGGTGTATGATAGGGGAGAGGCTCTCTTCTAGGCTGCGAGAATGCTCCACACTACCCTTTGTACGGTGGAGGTTGCAGGCCGATCCCCAATTTTTTTTTTTAGAATTCATATACTGCTCCCAATAACATATCGACATGCAATAGCAAAATGGAGCATATGAACGGTACTTCTCTACCCCAGCTGCCGGAAGAGATGCTCAAATTCGTTCTCCAACATGCCGCCGCTTCAGAGACCAGCGCAAGGCTAGGCCAATTGACCTTTCGCGGGCGACCCCCTATTAGCACACCATACTACATTGTCCCGACATCCAGAGGCGTAGTTCCTCACCTGTCGCAAGATAATCTGCAAAAACATACGGGAATATCGGCAGTATTCGTGCCTTTGGAAGACTGTATGTTCTTCACCTTCAGCGTAACGCTGGATGCTGACCCGTGTGGCTTACAGTCGGTGGATAACAGTCATTGAGAAGTCGCATGCCAATGCCCCTATCTACAACACCCCCGTTGAAAATGGCGGATCTCCTCTACGACGGTATATCGGCCTCCCTGACCGATGTTTGTCCATCCTAGGCCCACGGAGGGTTCCAAGCATACCCTGTCCCGCGCATAATACGAACTCGTCCATCGCGATTTCGACATCTGTTGGATTCGGATTCCTGGAGGCGGAGCAGTACCATGAAGCGATCAGGACTTTAAAAGCAGATATTTCGACGAGCCTGGCGGATTTGATTGCCACAGAGACCGCCAGCGTCAAGAGATTTGAAAAGAGCGCCGACAGAACGCATGCCTGGCTTCGGGATAGTATTGAAGCCCGAGGGGCGCAGACTTCATCCCCATTCTTCGCTTCTGTCCCTCCCCTAGAACCAGAACGATTGTCCCTTTATTTTTCGGATCTACAAGATGAATACAAGTCTCGCATATCAGGACTGTGCATCTATTTACCGTCATCGGTGGCAGAGCTACCGCAGAGTCTCAGACAAACTCCCACAATGTGTCTAAGTGACCCATTAACACCACAAGCATTACTCGTGGCCATACACCAAGGGGTGGACCTAATGACAGTGCCATTCGTGACGCGGTCTTCGGAACATGGCATTGCGTTGTCATTCTTATTTCCTGGCTCTTCAGATACACAAACCAAACCTCTAGGAACTGACCTTTGGTCCACTACCCACGCCACCGACCTTTCACCTCTCAGTCCAGATTGTACATGCTACTCCTGTACACGCCACCACCGAGCCTATGTCCACCATCTTCTACAAGCCAATGAAATGCTAGCATGGACACTGCTCCAGATCCACAACTACACGGTCATCGAGTCCTTTTTCCACAGCGTTCGGCAGAGTATCGCGCGCGGGACGTTCAAGGAAGACATCAACACGTTCGGGCGCACGTATGAGTTCGAGATCCCGAAACAAACAGGCCAAGGACCGAGGGTAAGAGGGTATCAGATGAAAAGCGTCGGCGGGGGCGAGCCGAAGAAGAATCCCAAGGTGTACGGCAAATTGGATGATCAAGTGCAGAAGCTAGCGGAGGCGGAGTCGGGAATAGCCACTCCAGATGGCAGTGCCGAGGACGTCGAGGCGCACGGATGGGCCCAAAAACTGGAGTAGCATGCCGCATATGATGGCACCAAAGGATATCTTGGTGGGGACGGGCGATTTTGTCCTCAAGCATTCCTGGCCGCTCCCCTTAACAACGGCCCAACTTGTTTGCGGCTCTTACTCGTATCCCCCATCCACCAGATCCTCCAGTTGCCCTTCCGATTGGGGCTACCTTCAAATCTTCGCCTTAAAGCCTTGATCAAGTCTTCATCCTCATTCCAGGGCGCCAACTGCAGCTCTCCGGCCTTGCTTTCAAACTCGTCCAGCAGCCCCTTCATGCGCTCGTCGAAGGCAAGAATAACCACTTCCTTCCCGTCCCCTGCGCGGGTTAACAGAGAATACACGCCCAGTTTTCTCTCATCAGCTGTCGCGAATGCTGCGATTTCGTCGAGAAATTTCTCAATCCCGCCTGCATGCTTTATGAGCCAAGAGAGCGGCTTCACGAGACTCGAGATTCCGATGTTGACCTTATTGCTGGCGGAGGAAGAATCAGTGGGTGAACTCTTCGTAGGCTCGTGCCACGCTTTGTAGTCCCGGTCAAAAGTCTCTTGCATGGTAAGAAGGGAGAGGGAGTTGGCTTTTGCGGTGGCAATAATGCAGTGGAATGTGTCTCGGTCCCAAGGCGTCTGTTCCGGTGATCGAGGTGAGGATTGCTGGACACCGGAGTCGTGGGTCAGGAGAGATTCGAGGAATTTCACGACTTCGCGGTCCGTATCTGAGCACTTGTCCCCTGTAGCTTTGAGATTCCATGTATCGATTAAAATTGGCGCAAGGGCGAATTTCGCAATTTCTTGCAACCTTGATGTCGACCACTCTCCGGCTTTCGCTTGTGCTGGGGAAGGCCACATGCCGAGATCCCGCAAATGCTTGACTACAAGGCTCGTGCAGCTTCCTATTCCTGTCGTAATGATGCGGGGGTTTGCTTCTTGCGCCACGTAGTTCTCATCGACATGATGGTCGATACAGCCCACGACTTCAAATCGGGAATTGATAGCATCATCTGAGAGCCCAGGTATTGAAGGGGAATTGTGGTCCGTGAGGAAGAGATTTTGTTTCTCGTCTGTGCTCGATAGCTGTGCTTTGGACTCAGTTGCGTCCTTAAAATAGGAACATAAGCCCGAGTCCTTATCGCTCTTGATGTCCGCAATGGTAATGAGTCGCTCCAATATCTCGGTCATGCTGTACTCGCTGACATCGCTTCCTTGACTGATCCTGTCCAACGACCCTCCTGTTGCCAACCTGGCCGCAACCCCGAACTCGGGTCGGAGTCTCCATAGATCATTCGCTCTGACGGCAGGGAGATTCAAGATGGGTACATAGAGGGTTTTGCTGGAAGATCCTGTGTTTCCTCGCAGATTGTAGAAGTAGGAGAGCGTCAGTGCCGAGACAAAACTGTCCAGGTCTGCGGAAGGATTACCCAGTACAAGTGTCAAGCTCCCGTTGTCTGAGGGTGTTGATAAAGTTGTGGAGTTTAGTGTTCTTCTGAAAATGACATTTCGCATGCTCGATAAATATGAGGTCAAAGAGAGCATCTTATTCTCTTTGTCCATGCAGTCGTTGGGCGACTGGGAATTCGTCATTGTAAAGACTGGGCACAGAAGTTTTTTGTTCACTTAAAGTTCAGCAGCATACCGGTTCTTGCACAAGGTCCTCTCGGTCGTTGAAAAAAGGAATATGCTCTATGCTCTGTGACAAGGCGTGGACAACGATCTGCCCAAAATTTGGAGATATTCGCCAGTGTATTTTTTCCTCTCCTTGCAAGTGATCACACGACGCCGAAGAGAGGGATAGTAAGTGATGACAGCGGGAGAGTCTGGGATCTTAGACCGAGTCTTGAAGGCTTCTGGTGATGTTCTGTAGGGATCTCATCGCAGCAAATCTCGTCGATATGGTCGGGTTAAGAATCGTGACAATGTGCACAACATTGAGGTTGACCGTCCATAATGACGCAATTGTCTCCATATGGTCGGATAAATATATTTTCCGAGGTCTGTCCCTGCGTTTCAACCGTAACTTGACCTGTCAAACTGGGAGCGACTTGAGATGTCTTGAATGCTCTGTTCTCTATCTACTTGTTGCGTTCCTGACGTCGCCTTTATAGACGTGAGAATATCTCGTCGTTGCGCAGAGCAACCATCAGGAATACCGTTGTCTATGGAAGCCTTTTACCAGTGTTTCAGTGGTGGAGCCTATAATGATAAACTTCCTGGGTCGACATGACCTTACCAAATGTAAGATTTCATCTCGCGAATTTATTTGAGCCGACAATACAGAAGATCACTCCTTGCGCCTGCGGACCCCTGTCAAGCCAGCCGATACGAGATGAAATGTCTCAAAATTCAAACGGTCCATGCCGCGTGCTGGTGCTTGCTTAGCTTGACTTCAGCCTCCCGCACAGTCTCGCTACCGCCTTCTCTCATATAACATAACCAGAGTATGGCCATGATTACTTCTCTCTCCTTTCCCTGCACGACATGCTAGAATCCAACCGTGATCTCGCCAATCCGCAGCTATGGCGATCCAGAGAGGGCTTTGGCGATACAGAAGCCGAACCTATGTCGTCTTTGTCGCACGAATGTGGTCGATCGCCTCTTGGAACCAATATATGAGGCGGTCGACTTTTGTGACAATTGGGCAGATCTAGAAGCATCTGCGCGTGAGGGATGTGAAATGTGCAGGATTATCCAATACCAATGCTTGATTACAGATGTCAAGCTCGACCCTGCTGCAGGACTCCTAGTGCTGAATCGAGAGAACGGAAGTATTCGTTTTTCCGAGCCCATCTCATGATGTCATCTGGCTCGACAACTGCACCGAAGGAAAGGTATTCGAGATATTTCCCAAAAGCCGTGTGAAATATCTACTTTTGACCAGATGATCGATGCTAATCTCCATATGGGAATGCCTTTGTGTGCAAGTGCCACAGAAGATGCGATTGCTCCTTCACCTGTTCGACGGCTGGAAGTGTGTGTCTAAAATCATGATAATTATGAGGTATCGCAGGCTGTGCTGATACTGTCGCCTGTTGCTGGCGCTGCTGTCAAGGAAGGTCTTTGCCCACCAGCAGAGTTCCTGCCTCCGCGATTGCCGGAAATACGTGGAGAAGCAGGAAACTTGAGTATCAAGCTTGTTCTTTCTTCTGAAATTACGCAATCGCCGAAAAGGCGACGCCACTAGTGGCAGCCACATCTAAACCACGAAATGTTGAGCATATTTCGCTGACCTATTGCCGGGGTGAGGGTACCAGTCAACGCGTTACCAATCAGCTCGCTATCACTCAACATTTGGTCGACATTGACATTGAAACTCTTCCAAAAACAATCCGAGAAGCCATCTCATTGGTATTCTGTTTGGGAATCCTCTACCTCTGGGTCGATGCCTTGCGCATCATCCAGCCATCGGACTCGATGCCTCTGATTGGGAGAAGGAATCAAGCATGGTGGGTGAAATATACTCAAGCTCGATCTTCACCTTGATGGCTGAAAGTGTGTCGGATGTCCATGGAGATTTATTACTCAAGCAGCCAACATTCAAGTATCCTCTCGTGCACTATCCTTTGTCCGTCAATCAGGAAATCCTTATAAAACTCTAGGCAGAAGGTCAAAGTTCATGTTCCGTCCTTTGCTTCCAATCTTGCATGGGGCAGTCGAGCAATTACCCCTTTCGTTGGCAAGGATGGACCTTGCAGAGCGTATCGTGTCAACACGAACATCCCACATCCATGATAAGGAATGGTTTGGAACTGCGCAGAATTACCTGCGTGAGAGCATCGACCCCTTCACCCGCTAGCTCAAGATACGGCTGACTTCGGCTAGCATACTTATTATTCATGGATGCGTTGCCGCTGGAATAGGCCACTAAGTCAAAATGGACCTATCAGGGTGTAGGTGTACATCACCAGGAAATATTCGACACGTCGGTTGACGACACTCATGGACAAGCTTCCAGCACTCTCGGGCATAGCGAAAACCTCCCATAATCGGTGCTGCAGTAGCGATCAATATCTTTCAGGAGTGTGGGAAAGCATGCTGCCACCCACACTTTTGTGAGATAGCAGAATAAGTTCGCCTCCTATTCCTTCACATCGTTTGCGAGGGAGAGTCCCCAGCATTCCAACCGGGTCCCGGCTCTCTATTCCCGCTCCATTTGTTTTGAGAGACAGGGCATTCCGGACCAGTGGGTGGCATGGGATGCCGGCGTTTTCATGGCTCATACAGAGAAAGCAGGGCAGGGCTCATTTTGTCGGTCCTGAACTGAAGATGCGCCTGTTGTGAACAAATGCCGTCTTCGGATTCAGGATCGGGAAAGGTGTGCTCGGAAACCAAATCTTAACAATGAAAGGCCCAATGTATCCATGTGTACATTGATGAGCCTCCTAAACTGCAATGCATCCTTGACTCCAATGCGGATGAGATTTTCCTTCCGGTTCTGCGAGTGTGTCACAAAACGGTTAATCCGTACTTCCTCCTTCTTGAGAGCATTCAGGAGGCCACTGTTCGTGAATAGAGACGAATCGGAATTTCCTGGAGAGGGCCTGGTACGAAGACGGTCCTTGACGAAGCTGTGATGTTGGGCCGAGGCGAGATCAATCTGATTTGAATGTTGTCTGGTCCTCCCGTCATTATTAATTCTTGATACCATTTGCATCTCTCTGCGTGAATCTGTCGGCCAGGGCTCATCGGAAGAAGAAATTTGAATGGAGACGAACTTGGAATCTTCAAAAAAGGAAAAATAAAGCTCTGTCCAAGGAGCAGGGGCGGATTATTTATTTTCCTGCCATCGAACTTTAAATCTCACACCCGAGTCATCATTCCCAATAATCATCAAAGCCTGGAGCATGCATACTCGTACAAGAACCAACAGACGCCTCTGTATCATGTCCTGGCTTATAGACGACGGAAGCAAAGAACCAACGAACACCCTATGTCCGAAGCCCATGGTTGTCAGGTCCTTCTTTGATCAACATAGTCCAACACCATTCCGTGTCCTCGACAACGTTCAATATATGTTTGTTGGTGAACCCAGGACCTAGGGTGCCCAAAAAATCAAGATTGTCTCACGACCGCGTCAAATCACAAAAACATGCCAAAGACCGCTGAACTGCCGTTGCTGTTTGCCATTTCCCTAATTAAACACACTCCCATTCACCCCAGACGCACCATCTCGCACTGCGATCCGCGAGCACGAGACCTCGCCAAATGCCTCGCTCCTGGACCTTGACTACTGTTTCCCAGAAACTCCCAAGTATCTCGCCGTCAATTTCTTTCAATGCGGTTGGCTGCGGCAGACCCTCATGTTTACGGTTCAATCGGATGATTTTGCCGCCGGGGCTTTGGATTGCGAGTTTTGCAGGTTTGTCTTTGACCTTGACGCCTGTAGTACCGTTCATGTTGCTGTTATGCTCGCTTGGATTACTGCCTGCTGCACTGCTGGTCATGCTCATGGCACTGGTAGGTCGAACGAGCGGATTGGGACTGGTAGGACGGATATCGAAGCCGTTTTGTTCGTTTGCTGGCGTGGACGCAACTGCTGCGGCATGTTGACGCACGCAGAAGACATATGTCTCTCCTGCACCAAGTCTCCAGCATTGTGGTTGGACCACGTAGAGATCTTGCCTCGTCGCGTGAGGTGTAGGATGCCGCATCACAAAGTCGTACGCCGGGTTCTCACCGGTGTTGTACAAGGGCAAGGCGAGCGCCAGCGGATGCACGATATCTCTCGAACTGAGCATCAAGCCCTTCTTGCCCGCGTAGACTTTGAGCACCGCCATGCCCTCATCTCCCGGCAAGACTGCTTTAACGACATACCGCTTCTGAGTGATCTCAGCGTTGGGCATGGTTCTGTACCAACTCGGTTGTGCCAATGCTCTCTTTTTGGTCACGTTGTCTGCGTCCTCGTAGACATCGCCATCTTGATCACGAAGGTATTTCCTGGCCTCTACTTCTGCAACGATTTCCACGTCCGGAGGGACGTTAATGCTGAACGTGCACATTTCTAGACCATCCATTCGGATAACGCTCGTGTCATATGCGTGCATTGATAAGCCTTGTCTAAAGAAAGGCGGGCATGTGCCAGGCAGACTGAGGAGGACATCCGGGCTGATGCTCGGGACCATGTGTTGTTGCGCGTCGTCGACAGGCACGTGCGTCCAGCAGATCTCACTTGGTCTCGTCAAGAAATACCATGCCTCCGCAATGCTGATGCTGACACTAGAATAGAGCAGTCTTTTGGGATTCGTCGGACTTGCGAGGCTGGCATCCATCATCCTCCACTCTCCGTCGACGAGGATGGCGTTCCAGAAATGATTTGGTCGGGATATCGCGTCCAGATCGAGGTCTTCGCCTGGTGTCTTAAGGTATCCGTGCACGATTTCAGCATGAATGCCGATGGCGATGCACATTTCAAGCACCAGGGCTGAAATCTCTTGACTGCTTCCTCGTTTGGTCTGAATGACTTTCCTCGTGTCAATTGGCCGGTTGTGGTTGAAGCCGTCCATGTCCAAGTCTTCTTCCCAGCTGATCCTCTCGGCGCACCATGTGAAGATTGCACGCAATCTTTGGACACCGCTGCGATACGGACGACAGATGTAGCCCGTCGCTAGACTTGCAGCTGTGATGCTGCTTGGTAAAGTGGTGATGAACCGAGCTGCCTTATCCACCTGACTGAAGCTCGGGTTGCTAAGTTGGAAGGGTTCATAAACAGGGCGTCCGTCGGCATCTGCATCGCCTTGCAGATTTTCGTACAGTTCTTCGACAGGGCAGATCACCGGTTGATCTAACATGTGACATCGATCAGCCCGTTCTTGACGTTCCGACGGTCCTGGTGTGTTTGATCGATTGACATCGCGCCGAGTCAGGATGTACGCTCCCGAAGCTCCGCTGGTCAGGCCCATCTCCTTCGCAGCGTCTCTCCCGAATGCGCCGTTTGAAGTAGAGCTTCGGACAGGTGCATTGAATGCTGTACCTCCAGCAATACCCGTCATCTTCGTCGGTGAGCCTGCATTACTTCCTGTCTGGCTGGCTGAAATGGTGCTCCGGGCACTTGCAGCACCTGTCTTTGCACTGTCCATCAATTTCTTGAAAAAGCCAGGTTTCTTAGCTTTTGGAGTGGTGAAGCCACCAAGCCCGCCAGTTGTACCCCTATTTGCATCTTCCCAGCCCACCGCCGACTTCGCGCCTTGTCTCGAATCGTGAGCTGAGTGGTGGGAAAATCCAGTATTTGGTGTTTTGGGCCACATATCGGTTGGGCTCCACTCGTCAGATCTGGTGCCTGCGCTGGTCATTGGCCTCGTTATGCGCTCCCGAATGCTTCCCATTCGCTTTCGAGCTAGACTTCCGGCACTGGTAGCACTGATGGCACTTGCAGAATATCCGCTCATTATACTTTGGCTTGTCATGCTGGTTTGATGCGAGGAATTGGTGGCAACACTTTGGACTCCAGAGCTGGAATTCGTAGAGCTCGTTTTGGCTGTGTAGGTTCTCGCGAGACTGTCTGACCCCAGCTCAAATGCGGATTTTCGCTTCCGCATTGACAACCGCCGTCCCCCCATGGATGAGCCGGGTCTCGAATGCCACGGGGAATTCTTCGGTGGTGGTTCTGGAGGGTCACTTCCAACTTCACCTGGGTCGCGGCCTTCTCGCAATTGCTGCATACGGCGTAGCCGGCTTTCCATCCTCTGTACGTAATTTTCAAGCCGGGGCGGACCCTCTTGAAACCGATCGGGGTCATCGAGGCGACTGCTGTTGTTGATACGTCCCTCCGAACAATGGATTCCACTGGCTCCTAGTCCCAGACTTGTCAACGGTCGAGGGTTTGGCCTTTCTTCCGGGCGACGAAAATTGTCAAAAGCTTCCGGCGACCAAGGATTGAATTCCTGTTCTTTTCCGTGGGTTGACTCGTGTCTGACGAGCGTCATGTCATCCAACGAGGACATCACATCATCCATCGCATTTCGAATCATGGGGGGAGTGTGTCCATTGATCGAGGGCGGAGCAGGAGAAGGAGTGCGAGAGAAGGTCTGATAGCGGTCATTCATGTCAAATGCTGGTGGTACAGGTGAAGGAGCCCTGGATATCGAAGACACAGGACCTCCAAGCACCCGGTGAGGCGGGGGAGGAGGCGGAGGAGATGATCCAATCTCATGATGTGGTAATGGAGACGGTGACCTGGAAGGAGCTCTTGGAGGCGGCCTCTGCTGCCACAAAACTGTAGAGGGAGGATTTCTGGGGTCGTATGATTGTTGTGTTGGCGCGGCCGCAGGCGCCGTTTGGGGAGGTGCGTCAATCGGTGCTTTGGCACTCTTGTAACCTTGAAATGGTCTTCGGGACTTTGCTCTCCCCTTCTTTTCTTCGACATTTGCCACGGAATTCCTGCTTGCGCTGTCACTTTTGTGCAAATCCAACAACGGGCTGACTGATCGACTCTGAGGCACAAAGCCGTCCTCGAGAACGACAACAAAGTTAGAAGGGAAAAGTCCCATCATTCTCTTGTCTCTGCGCAGCCTTCCCATCCACCATGAGCCATCTCCCGCATTGAGGCATTCTATCAGGTCGCCCTCGATGAATCCAAGGTCTTTGTCGGTTTCACCTCCCCAGGAGTAAACTGCGCGACACCAGCAGGGGAATTTCGTAGGTAGCTGTGGTGCCGACATTTTTCCAAAGTGTACCGAGGTGTTTGTATTGTCGTTCAGGATGGTGCGCGACGCGCTCAAAGAAGGGGCGGCAGCATTGGTTTTCAATGGTGGGCTGAACGTGTTTGAGAACACACAAGGTGGTGAGTTTAGCACACTGCTATGGGCAAAAACAATGGCGAGCGTGTCGCCAAAAAGAGTAGAGGAACGAGAGCAGAACACTCCCCAGCGCAGTTTGCAGACGTTTGCCAGGAAAACCGAGAGCAGTGTCTGTGCGGCCAGATACAATACAGGGAGGACTAGTCGAGAGAGGCGTTGTGCTGCCAGCGAATGCCAAGCCCAGAGATGTAAATAAAGAGCCGAATTTGGTCTAGCGCACTGGTTGGGCCGCTTTAACACCACCTTATGTTTGGACGGCTTCTGACTGGCTGAATTGTTCGATCGTTGCCGCACTTCCGCGAATTCGCTAAAACAGCGACACCCAACAGCTCTTCGCGTCTTCCCATTTGTCCCGGCATTCTCTCGGGCATTGTCACCAGCATAACGATGAGTTCGTGTTGATTAATCCTAATCCATAGCTCAACCCTTGGTGCAAATATTAAGTTGACCTGCTCCCTCCCGATTGATGTCTTTCTTTCAACAAGCTCCTTGCTCGAGCAGAAGGCCCCCCCTCAAAGCCTCTTCAGCCGAGTTTTTGCTGGATTCCCAGAATCGGGCCAAGACGAGTTGGGGTTCGCACCGACGGTAAGTGCTCATTGCTCACAACGGCTTCCTAGTGATCGCGGCTTCAGACTGGCAATCGAGAAAATGATCTTTCGTCCTTCCAAATCGGGGGGCCGCTCCTCCCAAATGTAATCGTGCCGCGGTTGTCATCAATACCCCGCATCTACATCAATCTCCAGATCCATTTTGCCTAGGCAGGTTACTCGATATGGACGATTTCGGTGACGAGCCCAACCAAGAAAGGCGAGCGCAAATACGGTGTGATGAACCGCCACTCGGACAACCCGATCTTGCCACTCACATTCTGTGGAGATTCGAGATATTGAGAAACGCTATCCAGCCTCATGATTCTCAGAATAATGCTCTGCCAAGAGCAAACTTATGCACCATCAGCAAATGTCCCTCGCCTTTGCCCAAGTTTGCCACCAGCTTCTGTTTCCTTCGGCCGACCGCATGGACCAATCCAGATATCCAGGATGGATAGAACTGTTTCGCTTCCGAGAGAGCAGCACCTACGCAACCGATACCCCCAGAGTTCCTTTGCACCTCTTGGCACTGGACACCCCTTGCGAATCAATAACATGGATCAAATCACAGGTGGGCTCTTCGTGCCCGCAAGGGCAGCCCCGTTTTGTTCGCCTCAAGCCCAAAAGGTTGGAGCAACCCTAAGCACTTTGGTCAAGAGTTGGATCTTGAATGCTTGCCCGAGTTTCATCAACCATGAAGTTTGTCCATTTGTTTCTTCGTCTTGGCTTCGTTGCATCGTTGCACCTCGGCATTTTGGAAGCGAAACATATTTCGACAGGACAGAAAAACAGCAAAATGGGTGCGCGGAAAATCATCCTTCCGTCTAGTTGGACCCGTCGGTTGCATACACTAAGGTGTGAAGTTACCCTCCTGAAGGAGGCGATCAAAGTCAGTCCACATGGCCTACCCCGGACTCTCCACTGCGGTAGGACTCACCACAAGTCTGGGGTTGTCTCCCCCAAACAACTGTTTTGGAGGGGCGGTTTTTTTGATTTCTGGGCCATTTCCCGCTGGTAGCCTATCGCCTCGACGACTTAGCATATCTCCTGCCCTTGGAAAGTTGGACGATCCTGGCTGGATTGTGCAAGCCTATGCATTCTCGATCCTCGGCTCACACCATGCTGGTTTTCTAACTACCGCTGAGGGCTCTCTGGAAACGGCTTGGCTAGTGCCTTGTCAGCAGAACGCGATGTCTTTGCTTAGTCCTCATTGACAGAACGCGGAATTCGCACGATATAATCCCCCTGTTCTCCCAAGACGTGACTTTACTCTTCATCTCGTCTTTGCCTTCTTCCCAACTCTGTTTTCTCCTTCCCATTTCCCACTTACTCCCCTACTTTGACATACCGTACAACAATGGCGACTGCTGTTCCCGTCGAGAAAGAGGTCGATATCGATGAGCTCGAGCGGGCTGGCAAAGTTGAATCAGTCGACTCTGATAAGCTCAACGATGCTCGCATCGAATCCTTCACTCCTCAGGAGCAGAAAAAGATTATCAGACGTATAGATAGACGACTCGTGTTGACCTTGGGGCTCCTCTATGCCGCATCCTTGATGGATCGGACTAATCTTGGTATCGCTGTCGTCGCCGGCATGGGCGTCGACCTGGTCCTCATCGGCAATCGGTACTCGATCATTGTGCTTCTCTTCTTTATCACCTACGTCTTGTTGCAACCTCCGGCCACTGTCGTTCTCCGCAAAGTTGGCCCCCGCATCTTTCTGCCCTCCATCACCCTTCTCTGGGGTATCACCATGATCTGCTTCGGATTCGTCAAGCACTGGAGTGATCTGATTCCCCTCCGTTTGATTTTGGGTGTCTTCGAGGCTGGTTTCTTCCCCGGTATGCCCCGACCCATCGTTCTCGGCTCTTCACGGACGGCTAATTTTTCTTTCTCCTAGGCTGTGCCTATCTCCTCAGCTGTTGGTATCCGCGATATGAACTCCAGAAACGAAATGCCGTCTTCTATCTCATTGGGTCTATGGCATCGGCTTTCTCAGGCATCCTGGCTTACGGCTTCTCCCAGCTGAAGAACCATGGCGACGGCCCCGTTTGGTGGGGACAGCATTACGGACCTACTGAGGAGGACCCTGATGCTCCTTCGGGGATTCTCCCCGGCATTGCAGGCTGGAGATGGATCTTTATTCTTCAGGGCGTGTTGACATGCGTCATGGCCATCCTCTCATACGCCGTGATCGTCGACTTCCCAGAACTGGCCAACAAGACCTTCGGATTTAAATTCCTGAATCAGAAAGAAGTCGATTTCATTGTGGCTCGCATCGAAAAGGACCGACACGATGTTATTCCTGAACCATTCAATCTCATGAAGTACATCAAATGCGGACTGGACTGGAAAGTCTGGGGTTTCGCCGCTCTTTTCGGCCTGACCACTACAAATACCTACGCCATCGCTTATTTCCTCCCCATCATTCTCAACGTCGGTATGGGTTTTGGTGTCGCCGCATCTCAGTGTCTCGTTGCTCCTCCCTACGTCGCGGCCGCGCTCGTCATGTATCTATTTGCCTGGATCGGCGATAAGTATCATATTCGATCTCCATTGGTCCTTATTAATGGGTGTGCGCTTCTGATCGGTAAGTTTATGGACCCATCCAACCAACCCTTAGATTTCACTAGTTAATTTATCAATCTGGGCAGGTCTCCCACTTCTCGGCTACCTCGATAATGTCGGTGTCCGTTATTTCGGTGTCTTCATTGCCACCTCCGCCTGCAATGCCAATGTTCCCTGCGTACTGACCTGGCAAGCGAACAACATTCGAGGTCAATGGAAGCGTGCTCTTTGCTCCGCCACACTTGTTGGTGCTGGTGGTATTGGCGGTATCATTGGCAGTACAGTGTTTCGCGACCAGGATAGCCCAGAATACCACCCCGGTATCCTGACCTGTATGATTTCAAGCGGATTGATCATTGTCATCACTTTGGCTTTGGATTTGAAATTTTACCGAGCCAACAAGCGAGTTGCAGCTGGAGGAAAAGCTATTGAGGGCCTCCAAGGATTCCGATACACCTACTAAGAGTGAGGAACTGGCGATCACCGGGAAATGGGGCTTCCCACTAGAACCAGGTTGTTTAGAATACGTTCCCGGCGGAAAGAAGGGAATTCATTGGTTAAGGGTGGGAAGAACCCAGATGAAAGTCGTCCTGAGTATATCTGCATACTCCCACGCCAAACATTCTTGATCTACTCATCCATTAACAACACCGTCACAAGAAAATATATATATATATATATACATACATGTTCTTTGTATCTCTCTCCTTGCTTGACTGGCACACCAAGCGGCAGGTGGGGTTTTGGCCTCTTGGCCGACCAGATACAACATCCAGCAAGCAGATTTGTTTACTTTATCGACCCTTCAACCTCGGAGCCGAATTTGTTTTGGTTCCATATGTCTGAGCCCAACAGCCGAGTCTTATGCAACATCTCCCCCCCAAGATGTCGGGGTACCAGCAAGCTCGTCCAATATTTCTCGTGTCCGCTGGATCCCCTCCTGCTTCTAGCCCGGAAACTCTCCAGATCCATCACATAAAACTCACCTCGATAATAAAAACGCAGATCCGCCCCACCAGAACTGGGCTCCCTAACAGAAACTCGATCGGCCATCTTGGTACGGTCCCGACGGCATGTAAAACCGTTTGCCCAGTGAACCTGAATTCCGATTCCGGCCTTCCATCAAACATCCACGTTTTTAGACACGGATGGATTACTAGGTTAGGGAGAGCCAAGACATTCTGCTTGGAGTCCTGGGGCCCCGGTGCGGCGCCTCGGTATCTTGCCGAACGCGAATGGATCGAGCTATAGGCCCAGGGTAATACGAGCAAGGGAAAAAGGTGTTGGGCAGACAAATCTGGGTTTCTTCTTAGATTGGTCTCTCTTCTCAAATCAGGAAGGGCTCCGGATTCTATACAATCTGAAATCAGGGCGTAAACAAGTATCTTGCTAGAGAGATATCCTCTTCGCATTGATGATTGGCCGTTTGTCACTAACCCTCGCCCAGAGAGAAAATCTGTCGATGCCGAGTATGCAACACTTCTGATACAGATGCGGAACCGAAATCGGCATTCAGCAATTGAGTCGGGGAAGGATCCTTAAAGGGAGAGACACTGATGCCTAGACCGTGTGAGACTTCACGGGCCGTGGCCGTGGCCGTCCCCAGGTCAGATCACGCAATCAGTCGACAGACACATCTGACCTCAATGCTGTTCAGCTTTACCTCCTCCTAGTAGAAGGAAAGAAAGGTTGCAGGGCCGGGAGGGTTTCTCTTTCTTGGCGACGACGGTATTCACATTCAAGTCATCAAGAATGTAAACTCTTGTCTTGAGGAAGCCTTGACGGAAAGATACGAGCAACAACCCGATATCACCCCGTCTCACTCCTCAGTCACCCCCTCGGAGGCTATCTTCGCCTGGAGCCGTCGGATATTTTCGCTGCATATCTCGTCCCCGTCCCCCCGGCCCAACGCCTCCTTTCGCAGGAGCTTCTAGACCATGTTCTTTCACAATTCTATACTGCTTCCAAGCCGTCTCGCGGCGCTGACACTTGCTCTTTCAACAGAGTGAACACATCATTTCCAAGACGACGCAAACCGCCGAGACCGCCGATGGGTGAGTCGAATGGGGCGGGAGCTCGGAAGTTAACCACGTGCCGGTGTCATGCTCAATAACTTGAGGCCTCACAAGAAAAGAGGCTAAGGAAAGGCCAGTCGATCATACATCGTGTCTATATACTGTGGAGGAGATACCTTCAGTCCCTTTTCCATTGATAAAGTTCCAGCCTGGTGGCCAATAACAGCCAGCCGCAGTCTTTTGCATTCAGAGTTGGTAAAGGTGTTATTCCTTTCATGATAACAACATGAAAGTTTCGGCCAGCGACATCAAGCACCTGTTTTGGCAATGTGCCCAAGACATTATTCCGGATCTCCTCCCCCATTCACGTCTCCTTGATGTGGAGGAGCCAGCGCCGCGTTGTCCCATGCTCCTTTTCCACTGTGTATTTGAAGAATCAGCGTCGAAAAAGGTAAGGGCAAAATATTCATCAAAGTCCACACTTGGTCCTTGTTTCCACATCTCAAGCCGATCGAAATGAGAGTGGGGACCAGAAGATCCCTCGAGACAAAATGCGAAGCTCGCCTCAGGATGCCGGTTCAGCGTTTTCCTGCGGCGCCAGGACGCGCAGTCAACCCCGTTGTTGCTACTCCTATGGTATTGTGTCCAGGTTCGATTCTGTCAAAGTCACATTCTCGAATTGATGACCTGGGCTAAGGCTCTGGCTTCTATGGTGGAGTCTTGATGCCGCTCTAGCAGCTTGGAGGACGGAAAGAAGGTCACAGGGAACCCCATTGACAGTGCACAAGAATTAGACTCGGCTACCTTGAGTCTTTCCGTGCTCGGCATATCATATCTAGCGTCGTTGTCTTGGATAATTTGGTTCATTTTTCACTTATTCCATGGATATCTTTACTGACTCTGTCGTACCACCCTCTTCTTTCCTTCCATTTCATCTGGAGGCAGACTTTTCACGGCATGTCGATGCATGGTTCGGGAAAGTGTTCACTGATCCCTCAAAAGAGGGTGGTTCCCTGTGAGGAGACACTTTCGGTCTTCCTGATGTATGTCTTGAGATATACGAACGGACAAGCTATCTCTCTTCAAGCCGATGAGAAAGAGTGCAACCAGACACCATTCTACTAGTTGTTTAGATAACATATAGGCCGATGCCGTTCTTGAAACGCTGTAGAACGGGTCTTGGATCTTCAAAAGGAGTTTTCTAGATCGACTGCGGAATTAGTGCCGGGTTCCCCAATCTTCCATGCAGCAGCGGGGTTGACGTCGTCCTTCGTTAACGTGTAATGCGAGGGAATGGAGCTCGGATTCTACACACGTTGTGTCGGCTCAGGATTTATCAACGGCGCTTTCTTTGTCCGAGGTTAGGGGACATATAACGTTTCGTTTGCGCAAATGCGTTGGCGACTCCTACCTCGTGCACCACAACCGCCTGTCCCTGCCCGCTCGAAATCGAAGTACTAGTAAGAAACCAACTTTGCTCAACAGTTCAATCCGTTACCAATTCCGCGTTATGATCTCCGAAGTCGCAAAAGATCTTCAACTTCTCGTCTTCGCCCATTACAAGATCGTTTTGATCGGGACTATAATTTTGCTGTTGTCCACGCGGCTCATCTACAATAAATACGGGCACGGCGTCAACCACATTCCCGGACCTACTCTAGCTTCTTTCACCGATCTCTGGAGACTTCTCATTACATGGTCCTGGCGACCGGAGAATGAACATATTCGTCTTCATCGGAAGCATGGAAAACTTGTTCGATTAGGTCCAAAGACGATATCTGTCTCTGACCCCAGAGCAATCCAGACGATATATGCGCTAAATTCCGGTTATATCAAGTCCAGTTTCTACTCGGTGCAACAGACCGTAGCGAAAGGTAGAAGGCTGCTCACTTTATTTACATCTCAAGACGAAAAGTTTCACGCGAAGCTCCGCCGGGCCGTGAACAACGCGTATGCGATGAGCACGTTGGTACAATTCGAGCCTCTTGTTGACTCGACAACAACTGCATTCCTGGACCAGATCCAAAACCGGTTTGCCGATCGGTATGACAGCGTCTGCGATTTCGATATCTGGCTTCAGTACTACGCGTTCGACGTGATAGGTGAACTCACATACTCGAAGAGGCTAGGTTTCGTTGACAATGGAGTTGATGTGGATGGTATTATAGGGAATCTGGAGAAGCTGCTCAACTACGCAGCAGTCGTGAGTGCAACGTGCCACGCATAGGCACTTTGGAAATCTTGCTTGACTGACGTGTCTCTCAGGTCGGGCAAATTCCCTTCCTGGACGAACTCCTCCTCAAAAATCCTCTGCGTATTCTTGCTAGTCGTTGGGGACTGATCAGTTCCGATACACCTGTTGTCGTCTTTGCCAGACAGCGCATATCAGGCCGCGTTGATCCCGAAACTTTTAAAGAGAAGCCGCAGGATTGGTCCGGATCATCCTCAATCAGGAGGGATTTTCTTTCTCGATTCCTGGAAGCCCATGATCGGGAACCGACCTTCATAACCAAGGATCGAGTGCTCGCATTGACAGTGGCCAACATGTTTGCAGGATCTGACACCACTGCGATCTCACTACGAGCTATCTTTTATAATCTTCTGAAGAATCCGGAGGATCTGAAACGTCTCCTTGATGAGCTGCAAGAACAACAACGTAATGGAAAATTCAAACGGACCGATGGTATCGTTGAGTGGGAGGCCGTTAGAGAACTTCCTTTCCTTAGTGCCGTCATCAAAGAAGGACTCCGCATACACCCAGCAGCAGGCCTCCCACTTGAACGAATCGTGCCTCCTGGCGGAGTCACTATCTGTGACACCTTCATCCCGGGTGGGTCTATTGTCGGTTGCAGTGCTTGGACCGTCCACCTAGACGAGTCCATCTTCGGATCCAAACCAGAGCAATTCCGTCCACAAAGGTGGCTTGATGCATCTCCAGCACAGCGAAGGGAGATGGAGAATTTCCTCTTCACCTTTGGTGCTGGCTCCCGAACCTGCATTGGCAAGAATATCAGTTATTTGGAGATGTATAAACTCGTCCCTGCGGTCTTGATGAGATTCGAGGTGAGATGTTCCCTTCTATAAAGAGGCTCGGATCAATGCTCATACCGTTCCTTTCCAGGTCGAATTGGCTGCCCCAGACGAAGAATGGAAACTGCACAATGCATGGTTTGTGAAGCAGAGCAATTTCAGGGTGCGATTCAGAACAAGGCGTTGAAGGGTGGTAATGGCGACCTGTAGCCACGGTGGGATCAAAATACGCAAACAAGAAGCTCAGAGCTGGTGACCGAGCTTGACGTCTGCAACCAGACTTGAGCATGCTGAAGACTCAAATAGGCCAAGATACTGGGACTTTTCATTCGTGGCTGCAAGAAGGATTTACCAGAGTATCTCGACTTGCTTTGAGAATACCGACGAATAGACTGCGCAACGGGTTGGTTAACCCGACCCGATCACCCTACCCTTTAACCCTATAGGGCTAATCGGGCGGGTTAAAATACATCGGGTTTCGGGTCTTGGCGGGTCGTAAATTAACCGTATTTTACAAAAAATACCACGTTTTATGTAAATTCTTAATATCTTCGGTAATAGGGTCGGGTATCGGGTTAATCGGTAGCGTAAGGACCTTCGAAAACCCGACCTAACCCGACCCGTTGCGCAGCCTATCCGGGACAGCTTTTGCTCGGTAGTAAGATAGAACTTCGTATAGTGGGTGTCGGGGATTGGCCAGTCGACCTCATTGGGGGATGGAAATTGGAGTTCTCGCTCAGGATCATCAACGCCGCAATCTCCCTTGCGCAGACATAGTTGGATCCTGGGCTGCTTGCCCGACTTCCATCCCCCGTAATCATCATCCTTGAGGAGCGAGTCAAAGAATGGCGTTTCCTCGCAAATGCAGAAGAATATCTCCCTTCAAATATTGATTAGCAAAGCCCGTCCCTCCATGGATCACATACATACCCAGTTTGCTACACTGAGTAGCGGAACTTCAATGCTAGCAAGATCGAAACCCCTGCTCCTGTAGTATTCTTCGTCCATGTATTTGTGCCCTGTCGTGTCGGCCATCTGATTCCGTCGATTTGCAACTAATTGTTCCTCGTTAAGGTCAACCTTCAAGAGTGTCCTGACCCCATTTTCGAGCAGCACGGCCGGGCATTCCATACTGGTTTGGCTGGACGCCGTTCTCCCACCCAAATTCTTCGCAGTAATCGCAGTTAGTCTTAGAAGAGGCTCGTCGGATGCTAAGAAAGGATTTGCCTCCACTTACTGATAAATCGATCTGATAGGATACCTCCATGGCGGACACGATCACGGTAGTAATCACTCATTCCCTCCTACGGTATGACTGCTGCTAGTCCTTTGGGCCTCCATTCGACAACGTTGTAAAAAGCTTCGCTGGTCCCACGAGACATCGTATCCAGCAAGCCAGGACTCTGGCCAGACCCACGCTCATCAACGCGGACAACGATATATCCTTCGCCTGTCCGATAGCGAGGGTCTGGAGTCTCCCAAGCAGAATGGGCCGATTTCATCTGTGGATTGAGCTGACTCCAGCTTTTCTTGTAGAAGCTTTCATATGGTACATCCTTCCCATCTGTAGTGCATGTTAGCTACCTTCGTATCGGAATTTTGGAAAAGGAACGATATACATGAACCATATGTCGCTATAACTGGATACACCTTGTCGCCAAAGGGAGCTGCGTCCTTTGGTAAGAAAACATTGCATCTTAATACGCCCTTCTCATACGTCTTAAGCGGGATACCTTGATTTTGAACGAAAACGTACTCAAAGGACTTGTCGTCGATGGTACGGTGCTGGTTGAACGCCATGGCTAAGGGTTGTAGTTACGTGAAAATGGTATTGTCGCAAGTTAGATATTGATTCCTTCATCACATGGAGAACAACCAGAAATTTGTCCCCGATGTTGTCAACCAAAGTGAGGGATGTTCTGTTGGCGCCTGGCATTGCCCCGTACCGAAAATCATTGCTTGGTCAGAGTGGTAACACCAACTGATTGTCTCGGCTCCATCGGAACACACTGGCCTGCTTCGGCCATTTACCACAAATTCTCTGGCCCCGGCGAGGCCTAACTGATGGCCCGCGAGGAAGTTGGTAAAGCCAAGTCCAGGTGCGGTGATTATGCTTGACTGGGCTTCAGGAGAAGATTCCACACGCATTCCATTGTTTAAAGCACTCAACGGTGTCTCTTCCACAGCCAACGAGATACTGTATTGTACTCTGTACAACCAGAATGGCTGCTATTATTTCAACCATTGTTGTTCGTGATGGTGCGCGATCACAACTGGTTCAGCCTGAAGTCGCCAGTTTGATCGCAGACTTCGAAATATACCAGTCGAGATCCTCAAACTCGACCGAACGAGATAACGGAAGTGTCATAGTCGGTGACGTGGAAAGAGAAGCCCAACCCGCAGACTTTGATCCAACTCTTGCTCCGCGTCCGACCGTTGCATATCCAGTTTCGAATCCGGCATGGTGGGAAACCACTTTTCGAAGAGTTCCAGACTACCGTCCTATTAATTACGAGTTGGATCTGAGTGAAAGACGACAAAACCTAGCGTTTACAATAGTTGGTTCTACGATGCTTCTGGGACGTTTTACACTCGCTGTAAGTTAAAAGACCTGGTATTTGTCAACTAGACAAGTTCTGACCACTTCACTGCAGCGACTGGCATCATTATGGAGGCATTCTGGCGGAAGACTGACCGATTTTCGCCCGGGTAAAGTTGGCGGGGAGTGGCGATATCTGTGTTACGTACGTCGAAGCTGCATAAATTGTAACCTGGTATTCTCATTAAGCATGGGTAACTACACTACGTGCCATTTCTCCAAACGCCCCTTCATGACGATCAAGCTGCCATGTCTATTCCAACCTGCTATAGTCATCCCAAGATCCCAGCTGATATTGTGAGTTGCACATATTGACAAGCTCCCAGCATTCTGCTAACATGACATTCGGTCCCTTATCTTCTTCGTTTCCTTGCCGCCCCGGCGGCGAATAACGAAGCCATCCAATGGTCATCAGTGCCATGAGCCTCTTTGTATTGAGGATGTTTCATCATGCGGGTGATGGCTCTGTGGAGCTGCGGCCCTGTATCCTCCATAATTACACCCTCCAGGGATTGCCGGAATTTCAGAGCCCATGCACCCGGGGGGACTGGCTGAGCGAAGTTTGTCCTCATACAATGCCATCTGAATCCAGTGGCTTCGGTATAGGTTGCGGACGGACCCTCCACTGCCGATTATCAATGTATCTTCGTATCTCATGGGCCGAAGTGCTGCTCCCATCTTGAGATGGAGATGTGGATCGTAGCGCGCATTCATAGATACGATTGTCGTTGGTAGAGGTAAACAATTGGGGAACATTCGGATCACGATGAGAAAAGTATCGTGAATCCAGTCAAGCTTCCTGTTCACACGCGCGTTGATCCCCGCAGCTCGCAAGAGATCGATCATTCTTTGTCCTCTTTCGAGATCAGGGTTGAGCTTGTAGGGGAGATAACGGTTGTCCTTAACGCTCCGACAGGCAACTTTTGCGGATTCGGGTTCATGCTCACGTCCACTAAGTCACCCGGTGCGTCCCAGTGTGCACCCTAATTGTTCCTTAGCAGAGAGTCCCGTTGCTAAAGCACTGGAAGCAAACAGTACCATCATGGCTATCCTCTTAATCCCTCTGCGAATTGCATCGTCGCCGACTTGATGCCAAAGTTTTGCTGGTTCGGACTCCTCGCCCAACATCATAGTGGAGCCATGGGCAAACAAGAAAACCGGGGTCCTGCCTATACAGAGGCTCAAGGAGTCGACGTACCCGGTGCCTTTTGCGTCCTTTGGGTCGATACGTCTTAAGCCACGGTGGCACTCTTGAGAAGATGCAATTTGTTGCAAGCCAGCGGTTGACGTCTTGATCACGTATATACGGTATCACATGGTCCATTGTTTCATTGGAAGGACTCCGGGGCCGATATCCTGCAATTGTCAGGCAATCCAGATGGAACCACCGGCGGTTGCCTTGTCGCGTGTGGAGCTGATCGGTCTAGAATGGATATGGCAGGCTGAGACTTCTCATATTGTTTGATCCCCTTTGACCAGGGGGAGTCGGAAAATCCAGAAGTCCTCGGTCAAGGACTTTTCATATATCATCGACCACGCCTGGGTATTGCGTTTCGAACAAGACAGAAAATGTCTCCCGCGAATGTATACGCGACGGTGAACACGGCCTACATCGAAGGCCAGGTGGAGAACGTATTGGAACGACAGAAAGAGCTTTCTGCAATGCATCACCAAGTTCAGAAGAAACAAGGTCAGATATTAAAGCTCCGCCTCTAACCCGACGAAAAGGGACTGGACGTGTTTACTCTCAAGTAGATCTGAATTCGACCCCGGAAAGTTCCGAGCAGGAAGTGAATCTAGTGCTTTCCACGATCAAACTTCTTTACGACGACCTTGATTTACCAGATGCTCTGGCGAAGGAGAAACTGATTAAGACGGGGAAACGCTTGCCAAAGCGGCTCGTCCCTCTGGGTCCGACTCTGATAGTACCGACAGATTGTTGCCCGGTATCGTCGACATTGACGCCATTGGCTGGTGCAGTAGCAGCTGGAAGTCCAGCTGTTATTTTGGCACCAATGTCACCAGTCGTCCGTAAAGTTCTGGCGGAAATCATCCATGATAGTCTCGACCGCGAGGCTTTCAGAATGGACTCGCACTATGGAGAAAAGGGCACTAAGCTTATCGAAATCGACGGTTTGGAGTAGCCGTCCTCCAAGATCCCCAAGCAAGTGAGGACTGGAGGTCAACCTTGACCCAGCAAAATCGATCCATCCGTATTCTGGAACCATACTTTGGCATTCCCGCTCTCTTTGTGGATCGTAATGCTACTGACCTGAAAGCGGTAGCAACGCATATGCGCAAGTCCATTCTTTCTGAGCTCCGAGACTTGTTGCTCGAAGGAAATGAATATGTCAAAGGAATCACGCTAGATCGCGGCGAACGGACACTCAATGCTCGACGAGAGCTGATAGAGCTCCTCCGGTTGTCTCGCTACTACCCTCAGAGTAAGTGTAAACCCCTGCGCACCTTGGATTGAAGAATGGGAACTAATGTGGGCACGTACAGCCCTGTCAATGCAGAGTCTCGAGCTACGATTCAAATACCTTTGTCGATGCCAAATGCCAGACCCGAAACTGGAAAGCAGTTTAGACTACAAGCGAGCAAGACTTACCAGCCTCGGGGACAACGGATGTCTTTTTTCGAGCAAGGTTTAATCCTTGGCCTTGCCATGGTGGTCTTTACTGCGTCTGGCATTACATATGCTTGCATTACCGGTGTCCGGGGCCGTTTACGTTTGATGGGGGAAAACGCCTTGGCTATTTTTCCCCGTACCGCTCAACTCCAAGAGCTTCTCTGAAGATTGACGCATTTGGTAGCTGCGGGATGGTGTTGATCGTCCTGGGTGATCTTGACGCAACGACCTGATCACTTGGGCATAGTGATTGTCATTTGGAGTACGGCGATTTCCTTCATCTATTTTGCATTCTATTGCGGCCGCCAATTGCAGACACATTGCATAGGCCTCATAACGGCAGTGGCTCTCATCTCAATATTATGCGCCTCTCAGCCGATTTAGGCATCCCTGAAAGCCCTCATACACACACTTTAACAAACCGCGTCCTTGGATTCTCGGCAATCTTACCGGCGACTTCTCCTGTTGTTCGTGCTCGGGAAATGACTCTCTATCAAAGCACCCTCCTAGCGTCCTACAAGGGTTTGATCATCCTGAATTCCATAGGGGGCATGTTTTACTGTACGCGGATCCCAGAGAGGTTCTATCAGAATGGCTTTCGATACAGATGAGAGGCACCAAGGGAGATGCGACAAGAGATGCGCCAGCTGCATATGCTCCTCTTTTCTTGTTCGCGTGTCCTTGCATACAACTTTAGTCCTCAACAAAATGATGTAGATCGAAGACCAGACATAGAAATTCTTGAGAATGAAATCCTACTGTGATACTAAAGGCGGGAATGGGAAAAGGTCGAGCTAGCGAGTGCAGAAGACGGTAATGTAGAGGATCTGAGTGAGTGGGGATACGCCTGTTTCAAAGATAGCACTCTACTGCCTCTGTACAACAAGTCAGGGCTTCAGCGCTTTTATATTGGAATGGATGGTCCAGATTAGAGTACATTTTGATGTGGTATGGGAGAAGCCGCCCAGGATGCGAAAGGAACCTTGACGAGAGGCTCCGGTTGCGCCGAAATGGTGCAACCACGGACGGAATTATGAGGAGAAATGCATATTCGCAGAATCTACCATCACGTGTCCTGTCTACTATTAAATGCCTTCAAGGTCCTCATCTTTTTCGATAATTCCTTGTACATTTGCGAGTCAATGCATGCGCAAGCTTGGTACCTGATGTTCTCGTCAGGCACATTTTTGGCTTCCCTTGATCGGCATCCCCCAGAGACTAGGTATTCCCATCATCCCGTCACGCACGCCACACCACTTCATCCAGTGGACAGAGTGTGCATCAGCAGGCTTGACAAAGTCGTACGCTGTTCCAAACGTACGCCATCACGGTTTTCTGCCCCAAACGCGTCGACTACCACAGCCGAGTTAGTATGGCTCAGTGTCGACTCTCGTTCAAGAGGACTTACGTATAATGCCATATATGCAGCCGCGGTTTCTTCAGTTCTTCCCTCACTTTGGCAACATATACTCTGGCTTCATCCGCAGTCCATGGTTCCGGAGCCCCCCATCGTGTCAACAAAAACATTGCCCATCCTTCCAGGCCGGAGCTCCAATGGACCAGATTGATTCTTCCGGCGTCCTTGAGGAGTTTGTCCTTGGGCCACGGTCCGATTGGGCATTTGTATAGATGTTCTTGGACATCCACAAACCCAGCCGCTTCGACCTTGGCCTTCATGGTCAATTGCGTGTCTAGAGGACGACCCGCTCGCTGTGCGCAATCGAGGAAGTTCTGACCCCACCCAGCCAACAGCGAGTCGGGGTCGAGAGAGTCGTCGTCAGACATTACCCGTACGTCCAATTCGACTCGTTCAATGTATCCTCCTGGTTTCATGTTGTCGAAACATTTCCTGTAAACCTCAGCCCATTCCGTGTCTGTGAAAGCCCCCAACATGAGGCGCATATGAATCAGATCAAATTTCTCTCGCCACGTCCAATCTTGCAGGACATCGTCCACCTGTGCTACGTCAACTTGAGTTCTACCTCGTCGTGGTCCATCAAATCACCTGGAGGAAACAATTGGGGGGCACCCATATCGTGGGTGGCGGAGAGAGGTCAACGCCATACACCATTGCTGGACCTCCTTCAGACTGACATATCACTGAAACTCTTTATATATTGACCTACCAGAAGGAAATTGGTCGGCGACATCACTTGTGTCCGGTAAGAAGTCATGCATTCGATGCAGCAGAAACTCAACTTACATCGCCCATGTGCCAGGTCCTGTCCCTACATCGAGGATATACTGATGCAAACAAATCAGCGGAAAGGCTCCTCTCCGGAGATAAGTAACCTTTTTAAGGCCGTACTTGTGGCTCTGCGATCGGCGATCGAAACAATGGATTCGGCTGATTGCCATCCAGGACCAGGTAAAGCAAATGGCTAACCGATATCTCTTAACTCCACGCTCGTCAGCGTTATGCGAATTGCTCACCCAGCATTCAAGGCTTCATATTGCTGCTCGTCAGAAGGACCCCTGTTGAGCCTGTCAGCAGCCCCTTCTGGACTGTTGAGGGAAGAACATACCAGTAGTCATCTCGCAATGATGAGTACCTGCGGTTGTCAGCAATGGGCACGTTCAGATATGTCCACCGGTTAGGAATGGAGAACTTTCTGCCATTTATCATACGCCCTCTATATATCGAGGATGCAACAGAGGTCGTGTCTCTTTGAGCGTCATTTCAGCAACGCTTCTTCTGTCGACGTTACTGGACTCACGAAAAATTATCACCATCCTCAAAAGCAGAATCGACGTCTTCATCAACCTAGGATACCGTCATCAGTGGAAAAGAGTTTCGGAAGCAAGCATGCATACAGCGACGATTCCCGCTTGAGACTCTCCCTCTTCGTTGGGCAATCTGCCAGTGGCGGAACTTCCTTCGCCTTGGGCAAGGTCGGCAGAAGCCATCGAGAATAAATATGCCTACCGGTTGGAGCAGAAAGGCACGGTAACAAAGTAAGAGAACATTGTTGTTTTATTAATTCTCGCTCACCTCTCATGATCAGAGTTCTCGGGGTGCATGGGTTCATCCAAGCTTAGTTGCCGACCTAATCCTCAACCGATGTGCCGGGGATGGTCTGGCTTGCTAATTAGCTTTGTCGCCGGCATTGCAGAGATAGCATCTTTGCCAAATGAGCCCGTCCTCTGGATTCATTTTCCCAAGCCTACCAAGGATCTAGTGACCTTGATTAGCGGGGACATTTCGGTGACCCACACCGGCGTACGAGCCGCCCCGAAAGTTGCATTGAAATAAGGCAGTCTACCAGTTGGTATTTGTACCTGTCACAATTGAACACGTTCAGGGACCCTCTGACTATCTTTCGGAGAGACACCCCTCCTCAAGGGGCAGGCATTCTGAGGAATCTTGCGTCAATTGCACTGACTACGAGTCGACTATTCAAGGTGAAGAATATCTTCAGACCCTGTCGCTTACTGTGTCTTTACCGATATTCCCTCAACCCATGGCCGCTTCTCAGTCCCTGCCCACGAAAGTGATCGCAGGTGTGACTGTTCCTGATACGCCGCTCATCACAAAAGCTATAGATTTCGTCCGTCAATATTCGACAGATGACACTTTCAATCACATCATCCGATCCTTTCTACTAGGTTTTATCATCGCCGACAAAATCCTCCCCGACCGAGACCGCGAGGCCCATGCCGTTGCTGCAGTTATGCACGACCTCGGCTTTCCCATCGGCCACCCTCCCCACTCTGAGATTATATCAAAAGACAAGAGATTTGAAGTTGATGGAGCCAATGCCGCCCGAAACTTCCTCAAGAGGGAGGCTCCAGACTGGGACAAGCATAGATTGCAGCTGGTGTGGGACGCAATAGCTCTACATACCACAGGATCCATTGTGTTCGAGAAAGAGCCCGAAGTACAAGCGTGCAGTTATGGGATATGGGCAGACTTTCAGGGACCAGATAGGGTACCAGGCGAACTTTTGGGCTGGGACGAGTATAACCGCGTGGTCAAGGCAGGCTGGACAGTACCCTCGGCTGAGAAGATCTTGCATGCTGACTTTCCCTGCCCACAGGAATATCCTAGATTGGGTCTTATGAAAGGATTAAAAGCCAATATGTGCCATCTTTGCGAGCTAAAACCTCAGACAACGTATGACAATACGGTGGGTGAGTGGGGAGACCGATATGTTGAAGGATATAGCAGAAAGGGAAAATTGACTCAAGATCTTCTTGAGACGTGCAACCTCGATGACTTATGATCACAGAATGGCAGCCATTCTTAGAACATGCGCTGGCCTTGGTTCAACCGCAGTTTACAATAATATCTTAAAGATTAGAGACATGTCAACTACCGTCCATTGTCACGGATGTTCCTGCCCTTGTCGAGTTAAAGCCACCGCGAGCTGGCAAGTACAATTTGAAACGCTTGGAGTCACTGCGGTGCAGTTGTTGCAATCAAGATCAAAATTCTTGAAGCTCTAATAGAATGACTCACTGCTTAGAGTAACTTAGCCAATGTGTCATTACTACACTCTCGTTGGCCAAGTTTCGTCACTCCAGAGAACTTGATACCATTGCTCTTTCGTTCAATGAATATGCTCTTGTACCCAGTTGAGTCGAGCGACGCGATTAGCTTCGGACATCGGAGGTTTTCGTAAAGCAACCCGACGTTGGTAGCCCTTTTTGGAAGCGCGTATCTTACGCTCTCAGCGCCGACTTCGCCTTCTGGCCAAGGAGCCTCTGCTACTTGTAAATATGTCGTCCTCCGCGTCTTTTTTGAGCTAGTGACGAACTCTTCAACTCGATCGGCTTCTTCTTTGTTTAGTCGTGGAGGCCTTCCTGCTTTTGAATGCTGTGGAGTTGCCTGCTACTTTTCGCAAGTATATTGAACAGCGCGTTGTGACACCTTGAGGAAATCTGCGATATATTCGTACGTGTATCCGAGACGGCGCATGAGGAGAATGTCTCGACGCTGATCACGCGTAAAGTATTTCCGTGGAGGCGTAGAAGGAGTAGTTGCGTCCATGGCTGCAATTGTATCAATGAGGAATGGAAAGAAATCGACGTCGCGGCCAAATGAGCACTAACCCAAAAAGGAATAGTACGAGCAGACGGCCAGATACAGACTGTCACGTCGCCTAATCACGTGAGCCCGTGGCTTGGCACTGTCACGTGAGGACGAAGGTCACCGCCATCGGATCCAATCCATGTACCACATGGCCTCTCGGGGGGGGATCCTACTTGATAGGAAGTCGATGGTTCATGGATCGGATCCAGTCTGTAGACCACCGCCATCGGATCCAATCCGTGGATCACATGGTCCCTCGGGGGAGGGGCCACCTACTTGATAGAAACTCGATGTCGAAATGGTCCACGGATCGGATCCAGTCTGTGGACCACTCAGACAAGCAACGCTGTGAGGGTTCAGGGTCGAGGATCCGATTAAGGGATTCCAGCTAGCATCTAGTTCTAGGTGCAAGACGTACGAAGAGAGTGGTCTGTTACGCCAAAAGTTATCGCGGATTAAACGTTGGCGGCAGCCGAATAACTCGAACAACTGAGAACACTGCCCTGGACCCTTTGAAATGGAACAAATGTAACTAATTGATTAGGTATAGCCCCAGAGTGTAGGGTCGATTGTGTGATTCGGACAAGATTGATTGACTGGTCGCTTTGTGGGAGGCCGGAAAACCTCCTAGTCTCTGAGGTTGGGAAGGCCCACAAGCGATCACTACTCACGCTTCTGCTGCGACGAGCGGATGGGAGATGTTGAGTAATTCGATACGATCTGCCGTAGTTCAAAGGAAGAATCCTTCCTGAGAACCGGTTATGGTACTTCCAGAGGTCTTTTACCGTCATGGCCAATGTATAGGTCGGCAAAGGAGACTGGCTATTGTGATGGGGTGAGGTAGGCCTATGCCAAGCAGTCACGTGACAGAGTAAGCAAACAGTGCAAATGTTGGGCAGATGGCTCTCTTTCGAAGGGAGACACGGGAAAAAACATGCACAACAGAGACGTAACAACAGCAGAGACAGCAACAGACATTTTTTGGGCACAACTGTTATTAGTCTACCTTCATGTACCTTGACGCTCTTACCTACCTGCCTTTGAAGTGATCCTTAAGCTCGCGCTCCCACTTTGGCCTGTTGTGTGGTGTGTTGGTTGTTGATTTGAGTCGAGACAGGTGCTGGTTTGGCAGCCCCCATATCACCCCTCCAAACTATGTAAAGTTGTTGCCAGAAAATCCGCCTCCGGTTTAGGCGGCCTGCCCATGATAACTCTCTTGTTCAACAGGAATAGTCCGGAACGTCGCTATAGAATCTCAGTCACATCCTCCCCCGACGTTCGCCTCTCCTTATCCTGGCTCCCCTGACACTCCTTCCCTGCTTCACATTGATGCGGCCGAAGTCCGTTGCGTCCCCGTCTAGAGGCCAGCCCAGTCTGTGGCAGCATGATTCTGAGACCTAATTTCCTCACATACAGAGTTGTATCAAGTCGCCAGCGTCAAGTCAATCCACTCTCTTCCCCTCTTGCACAAGACTCTCTGGAGTACGTCGCGCTAGCGTGTTAGAATCGATCCACTGCATTTCATCACGACCCTTTGTTTCGTGTAGGTAGTCATCGATCTCCTTCATGCATTCCCGAAACAGTGCCTCCTTCATCGGATCAGCATCTTCCGTCACTTTGTTGTCTTCTTTCCCAAAACTGCTAGACAAGAATGTGTTCAAGTCAGACGTTTCACTCGGGTAGAGGATTTCGCGTAGCTTAAATAAGCACGTAAGAAACCGTACATCATCGCGATATGGGTGCTCAAAGAAATTAGTTACCGACTTCATGAAGTGTCCCCGATGCTCGAACCAATACCCCTTATTGGCAACAATGTCCATTGGAGTTTTCTTGTTGTCGAGCATCACAGTAGCCAGAGGCTTGGCCCGAAAGGCGGCTTCGTCGGTGAAATCCAGCGTTGCTATCCAGATTATGACTGTGAAGAATGATTCCATATCATGGCCCAAGGTTCGTCGAGAGATTGGCTCGTCTTGAAGGAGAGCTGGCGCCATGAAGGCAGGAGTACCGCTTCTAAAAGTTCTGCTGGATGATGCTCCGTGAGCGTTAAAGCATAAGTTCCAGTCAATTAGTGTGCCCCTTCGATCCTTATACGTAAGGCCACCGGTGAGTACACAACCTTCCACAGGAACTAAGATGTTCTCAATGGAGATATCTATTGAATTGATTAGCATTTAGCAGACAAACATTCATAAAGTGCTCACCGCCGTGGATGAAACCAAACTCTGGAAGTTTGTACGCCTCATAGTATGTGATCATGGCATCGCGTATGATTCGCATGAGTGATTCCGGGCCGCGAGAGCGCATGGCTTCCTTCAACGGTACACAGTATGACATCAAAACGCGGGTAAGACGCCTGCGGACCTCAAGGGGTTCATTAAATTGTTGTCTTTGAATTTTGACCCGGGGCACGAGAGGCTCACCAACATTGGCACCGGGGGCCAAGGGTTTCGAGGTGTGACTGGAAACGAAGCTTGCCTGCATCTTCGCCATGAGGTTCGTATTTGGTGCGGAGAGTGCAACCTCACAGTTTTCAGGGAAGCTGCGGGTTTCTACCTCTAAGTTGCCATCGTCTCTCACTATCGCGCTCTCCAAGGCACAGGGTTGTGGAAGGCCTCGGACGTTTGCTTTGAGAAGAATTTCGAGAACTTCTACCTCCGACGGCGGTGACGATTCCGGTGGAAGTTTCTCTTCCCAGGTGCTTTTCATAACCACCCTCTTCTCGGGAAATTTGGCACCTTGGTCCTTTACCAGCGCGACCCGGATATTTCTGCCGACGAGGCAAGGGCGGTAACATAGCGGACCTTTTGGCAGTTCAGCCCATGTTGTCCCTGCATGACGAATATAAGTCCAGTCTTCTTCTTTTTCGACTGTCGGATCCCTTCCACGATACCCTGGATTTGCTATGAACCATGTAAGAAAGTCCACCAGAAGCTGAGTGTGCTGAATGTTCGTCGCGAAATAGAGGGGTTCGGAGTACACGGCGCAGCCGTGATCAGCGTAGCACACATAGGCACGAGGTTTTATAAACATGATCCCATAGAGGTGACGGCGGAAAGGTTGATGGTGGAAAACACTCCAGGCACCACGCAGCCACTGTGAGAACTTCTTGGTGACCACTTCTTGGCTTCGCGTATGCTCGAACAAAAGATCCACATCCGCCCATGTAGGAGAGTCTTCACCGACATGGAGGACGAAGTCGGGTTTAGAAGGCACCTCCTTACCCTTGTTAGCATCAGGTAGAGTCTTAGTACCGCCATAAAATAGCTTGAGGTCACAAAGAGCCTGGTCGCTAAGTTAGCGGAGGACTGAGAGACGCATGAAGGCGCACCCAGAATAACGAACCTCGTCGGAAAGCAACTGGCGCAGCCGACCCCAGAACAGTTGTTCTTCGCCAACCTTCCGCACGGAGTTGACAGCCAGCTCCTGTTGAGGCTTTGCTCCGAAATCAGAAAGATATATCGAACGGAATGTGTCCCACGGGATATTCTTCCTCGTTACTCCACGAGCTTCAGCCGCAATCTGTGCTTCCATGTCCGTAGCGTATACCACGGTCCCTTGGTTTATCATGCTGGCATGAGAGGTCATGCGCTTAGTGCTGGGTGTCCTGTAGAATGATGGGCTAGCATTTTTAGCACCCTTGTCCTGTGGTGAGGTTCTCCTCTTGCGGGCTTTCTTCGCGGTGCTGGAGGGTTCGCGAACTGATGCTCTTCGCCTTTTGGTACCCGAGTCCACGACGCTGTCGTTGTCGGTCGCGTCGATAACTTTCCGTTTTGCCGTTCGGGGCCGGAGATGCCTGGGTTTATCATCCATCGAACGAGCGGCCTGTTCTAGAGCGGATTAGTGATAGTGGTTTCGTATCTGGGCACGAGGGAAATACTTGGTTATGGGTCGAATTGTCGTCAAAGAACGGTTGCTGTTACCAAGGGTGATCAAAGAATTGTGGCTTACAGGTACAAGGTTAGAAAACACGCCTTAAGGGGATAATGAAGTGTAAATTGACAGGTATCGCTAGTGTTTGTTTTCTCCCCAAGGCGGAGGCGCGGTCCAAACTTATGGTGTGGCTGTGGAGCACTAACGCATTGAACCCCTAGTTGGGTTGCGAAGCAAGAAACACATTTGATTCCCTATTTGTGGCTACAAGACCGAAGGCGGCAATACGCGGCCATCGACCCGCGACTTCTGGGAACACCAGAATCTACAGCTGTGCCCACTTTGAGGGGAATGTTTCGGGAGAGCGACCACCCACAGCGAACCTCGTACAACAGCGAATTTAATTAAGCTTGATTTGGCGTAGTGGATGGAAAGACACAACCAGTGATGTAAAGGTACCTAACACCCCCCCCCCAAACCCTAGTAAAATCGCACAAATCGAGGTACCAAAACATCAAAATTGAGGCACTCACATACCTTTGGCATTTACGAGCTTCGCGATTTATATAGACTTTCCTGGTGTTGTAGAGTCCTGTTTGACCCTTTGACCTTCTCTTGTTACTGCTGCCTTCATGGCTAACTACCCCCGTCGACGACCTCTGGCGAGCGCCCTCAGGGTGCGCTCCACACCTTCGTGCGCCTCTTGAGAGTCTTGTCAACGCTTTTCCTGTCCCATGGCGTCAGATTCCTGTTACTGGCGAGATTTTCGAGTCTCTTGTTGAAGCTGAGAGGCGTTTGAGGGCGTACGCACTTGTAGCAGGCTTCGACGTCGTCCGCGGCGGTGGAGGAAGTGCGAAAGTTCCAGGCTCGCAGTTCAAGTGTATTTATCACGGTCAAAGGTCTCTGAATACTCGTGGCCTCGAGGATCGTGTCGAAAAGAACTCCGATGGTGAAATCACGTCCAGGAGGAAGCGGGAGAGGACTGCGGTTCGACAAACAGGGTGTAACTGGCATTGTAGAGTCAGCTTCAAGTCAGTTGAGCGTGTGAGTAAAAAAGAACGGGTTTTGACCGTGATTTCGCTTGATCATGAAGGCCATGAATTGACTGAGAATCCTCTTGGTGTCTATCCACGTTTTATGGATGATTTACCAGAATTTCAAGAGATTCGAGCAGCGGCGACGGCTCATCGTATTGCAATCATTCCGTACTCTGCCTCTCGAAGAGTGCTTGAGTCTTCCTCTGAATTTGGCCTGAATTTGACGTCAAGACAATACTACAACCTTGTAAGAAAGTGGAAACCAAACCATGAGAATCAAACAACGATTGCTGGCCTTCTCCAGGCTTTGGAGGATGAAGGATTCGTTCATCAAACTCGTGTAAAGCATTTCAGCAATGAAAGAGATGAGATTGTCGGTAAACAGATGATTCAAGTCTGGTTTACCCATCCCACCTTGTTGGCACTTGCTCGTCGCTTTGTTGGGGGCTTCCTTTTGGTCATAGATGGCACTTTTAACATGGATGAGGTCTCCATCTGCAGTGACGACATCAATGGCTAGGATACTCTCACACGCCACTCCCCATTTGCGAGAGTTCCAACCAAATCCTCCTTGGAGCAAAAAGCCACCTAGACCGACTGTCGGACAGTGACCTCCTGGGAACAGGAGATCATGCTTCTCCAGAATCTTGTTGAGATTTGATCCGTATGTTGCCGGCTGCACTTCTGCCGTTTGAGCTTCTACGTTGAAGCTGAAATGGTTCATCTTGCCCAGATCGACAAGGATCCCGCCATCGCGCAAGAATGAACATGTCCATGAGTGTCCCCCTGATTTGGTGCCGATGCTGAGATTGTGCTCTTTAGCATAGCAAACCACAGTCTGGACATGTTCGTCGCACTCCGGATAGACGATCAACTCAGGATACTTATCGGGGACACGGCCGTTCCAGCAGGCTGATTTGCGGGCGACTTCGTGGCACCTTTAAACAACTCGTTCCTTTTATATCGAAGAGAGGAAACCTCTATGAGTTTAGGCTTCCAGATCGTCGTGGGGCTGCCCTTGTTGGTTTCTGCCATGACTGCCAAGTCGCCCAAGAGAGTAAGAATGTGATCTTACTACTCGCACCCTCGTTCGTCCCTTGATCGCTCTCAAAGCGATCAAGTCGATGTCAATAGACTAGTCAATTTTGTTAGTCCCATCTCCAATACCTTGGTATCACTCTTACCCGTCCACTAACTTGATCAGTCTGATAGTTTCCCCTTTCGGTAGCATCTTGTGTGTTGCTTTGAGCCCGATGTCTTATCCCCGGTACGGATGCGGATCCGATTCTTGGGGGTCGAGTTTCAAGAAGTGGTAGGTGGTGCAATCGATTTTGTGTATAGATCTTACTTATTGTAAAGCGAGATTTCTGAACGGCCCAGAGAGTCGTCTGTCGTACACGGTCTGATACTTGGAACCAGCTTGTTCTGGCGAATGACGGGTCAACTATACGATTCGAATATTCCAACTAGGCTCAATTGATCCTTGATGGAGGACTATACGAAAGAAACGAGAATGACGTGAGATGAATTCGAAAAAGGTTGGTGTTTGATTCTCATGTTGCTACGCGTGTCGTATCAAAAAAGGCATTCACATGTTGATTGACCACTTCAACCGAACCCGAATGATGACAGAAATCATCAGATATCCTTTGGAGAGTATCGGGTGAATTTACACACCCGACAAAGCAAGAAATAGGTCGTGGTGCTGCGAGCCCTGCTTGACATTGGAAAGACGCTAGAGAAGATAGTGAGGCCGGGTGGGATCCTCGTTGCAGACCTGGAGCTGAAAGACAATATCTCGAATCAGCAGGGTAAAGAGGTAGGGAAAATCTCGGCCGCTTGTCGGGGAAGAGGGGAGAACTGGATGCAAAAATAGACTGCATATGCGTACATGAGAAGGAATGACTGTACCGACCTGACCTAGAGCATAGAGCACGCAGCGTAGACCTGATAGGGACGAGGTAAGAGGCTGAAGCCCTACCTGCTCGGAGGAAACTGCTCCACGAAGCTTCGGCTTGGTAGTCTCAATGATCGTCTCAGTGTGGTGGGAACCACTATCAGCTCAGATGAAATCATTCCCTTTCGGACTGAGCGTGATCAGCTTGATGTCTGTGAATTCTTTCAGACCCCATAAACCATTGTTTCGTCCCCAACCACTGGCCTTCATACCTCCAACCGGGATTGTCGCTATAACAAACATTGTCAGCATGAGGCTCCCAACAAAAGAGAAAAGCAACTCACGTTCATCATGCGCAGTCATGCTGTTAATGTGGATTTGTGCCGTGTCAATTTCCTTCGCAACCTCTAACGCATGCTGCATATCCTTTGAGTGAACTGCAGCGTTCAAGCCGTACTTGGTTGCGTTCGCCAGTTCAATGGCCTCCTTGTCGTCTTTCACAATATAGAGACTGAATGAGGGTCCGAATGCTTCCTCATCTGCAATTTCCATGCCGTTTGTCACCCCTGTCACAATGGTGGGCTTGAGAGCCGACTTAGACGCCCGCTCTGGACCGCCAACGAGGAATTTGGCGCCTTTACTTTGAGCATCGTTGAGTTTGTCGAGTGAAGCGTTGATGATGCGGGAGGTGACGCCGCTGCCGGTAGGGAAACTCGTGGCAACTTCCTTTACATATTCTTGGAATTTTTCGGCCACTGATTCTATCACGATGACTCTTTCTGTGGAAAAGCATAACTGGCCATGGTGTAGGTAGGCTGACAGTGACATTAGCCGAAGTCACCATAAGTAGGGAGGAAGGAGACAATGACTTACCACCAGCGACACACTTCTGAGCCGCATCCTTCAGATCAGCGTCAGCAAGCACGATCGCTGGGCCTTTGCCACCCAGCTCCATGAGCACGGGTTTCAAATACTTCCCCCCTAGCTGGCCAATGACTTTGCCAATGCCGACACTGCCAACGAACTCGACTTTTCTAATCGCTTGGTGAGCAATAAGCGCCTCAGTCACAGCGGCGGCGTCTTCGCGGCGAGTTTGGAGCACATTGATTACGCCATCGGGAAGTCCGGCCTGTTTGAAAATCTCAACTAGCAAGTGATGAGTCTTTGGGCAGGCTTCTGATACTTTGAACACCACCGTGCAGCCGGCAGCAACCGGTGTGGCAATGGATCTGGCTCCCAATATCACTGGTGAATTCCATCTGCAGACATTGTTAGCAAGCGGATGATCTCTTGACCATGCATTCCGGGCCGTTTTCGATTCTAACGTACGGCGAAATTGAAAGCACTGGTCCAACTGGAACCGGAAATGCCAACGCCATGCTCCCCTCCGTCTGGGTCGGGGGAATAAGCCCCTCCAGCCTCGTCACGCACGCGGCGATCTCTTCCACCAAATCCGCAGCGAGATGAACATTCTTTCTCGCCCATATCTCGTTCATACTGACTTCCAGGCGCTGGAACCGGACAAACTCTTCTTCATGGTTACGAAGAAGCTCGGCGTAGCGATTCAGCAGTCGTCGACGATCAACGCTGGGTGTTTTCCTCCAGGTCTGAAATGTCTTCCATGACGCGTTGGCCGCACGGTCAGCGGCGTCTACATCTGCAGATTCTGCAAGGAAGACGTCTCGCTGTTGCTCCAGGCCAAAGACCGGGAATGTGATGGATGGATTTGCGCTAGTGGGTTTCCCATCGATGACGAGAGGGATGATCTCTAACTTGGTTCCGTTGGTGGCATCCATTTCCCCTTTTCAAATGACGTATGATCTTTCTAGGAGCATTTGGAATTTTGGCCGTATTTGTATTATATCAACCTACTTATTACCATCGCACATCTTTCTGGGACGCCTTTGGACAAAGTGGGAGCGTTTATGGATGCCAAAATAGGGCATCCGACATCCCTAACTCCGTCAGCCAAGTCGCAACTTCTCACACCTCAGCACCCGATCGGCGTTAAGTGGGCCCCAATCCTCGCCAATTGGAGGATGCAATTGGTCTGGTAGCTTCGTGAGGCTGAATCCTCTTATTCGTCCCCATACATTAACCGTTACGTCCGAGGCAAAGTCCAGGGTACAGTATCGTACAAACCCCAAGCAAAGCGTCCCCACGATACAAATTGGATCCGGGGTAACAGCACTACGCGTTACCGTCTATTGCAAAACTGGCCTTACCATTTGGTCTCTTCCTTCAACTTCTCCGCCCTGCAATTACGATCTACAACCGATTCTCGTGACCTGCTCCTGCTGGGGATTGGGCCAAGGCGTAATAGCGGCAATAACATATTATCGTTTGATCGACATAAGAACCTACATCCGCACGTTGTCAGGTGCTTGGTAGGAAGGTCTTAGACCTCTTCCTGAGTTACATTTCGTAAGATTAAATTCTGAACAGGGAGAGTGAGGTTTCATTGCCGCTATTACGCTTTCCCAATCCTCTCCAAAAGCTAGTTAACGGGGCCGCGTAACTTGATATGCAATGAATGGTGTGAGTCGCACGCCATTGGAGATGTGCGGTTCTATTGGTATGGCTGGTCCTGCCTAAATCTAACCTTTTTGGAATAACAGCTGTCGCAATTGAGGGGTGGAGGGTTTGGTAAAAGTGTCCTATGTAAGGCGGTCCCACATATTTTGTAGATTGGGAAACGATAAAATATCAATTCAAATGTCCCACCGGAAATTTCTGGTGAGGCATACGCTTGATCGTTTATGTTCCTATCCCAGTTGCATATCTTCCTCTGTTTCTCGATTCAGGTTGCTCTCCAAGTAGCATCGTGCAGATTCTTCCCTTTCAACGTAAGGCTCTTAACATTGTCTGTGCAAAATCCCATTTGGCTTGATCAAACCTTTTTAACAGTTCTCCAGATGTACCTTGTAGCCTGACTGAACATGTCAAGAGATTTTCCTGAATTCATGAGTTGAGCCTTGTGGCGCCAAAACATCGTTGGCAGCATTTCGTTGATCTCGAACAATGCAAGATACCTGCCAATGCAAATGTGTGAACCTCCGCCAAACTGTGTACGACGTAAAGTCGTCAGCATCATAACGGTAGGCCAATGCTTGAAGAGATTGGGTGGAAGAGGGTCCAAACATCCTTACCTTGAACATAGATCTTTCCATCCTCTTCAACTGGCCCTTGAGAGCATTCAACCATCTCTCCGGGTTGTAAGTTTCTGCATCATCGTCAACTGCTTGCCTTGTTACGATGCATTCCCCCATGCATTGACTGCTACTCGCATTCCTCCTGGAAGATAATTGCCGTCGATTTCTGCGCCGCCTGATGGTACATAACGAGTAGTGTTGAAACTGGCCGCAGGCTGCATCCGCATTTCCTCCTTCAAGCAAGCCTGAAATACGGGAGCAAGAGCGCCTCGATGTACTGCACAATATTCTGAAAGGAGGGATTCATTAAGCTCTGCCACCAGTTTCTCGTGCACCTTTGGATCCGAAAGAACGTGCCGGCGGGGGCCGTACATTGCGGACGCGGTGCTGCCTGACCCGGCACCGCTGGCCATTTCACAGACGTTAGCTCCTTCACGAGTAAGAGGAAGGTTCATGCGCGGAGGAGACTTACAGAGCACCCATGGAGATTGCAAGTACATCATCAATTGTGGATTTGCCCGGATATACGCCGGCAACGTCAGAAAGAGATAGGAGAAGACAATTTACATCCCGTGTCTTGTCATTTATCTTCTCGGTATCTCTTTAGGACGTCAGTCGCCGTGTGGAGAGAGAAGCAGATACAGGGGTGTCTTTTTTCGTGGGTAAGTGTCCGCTTTTCCATAAAATGGCACCTGTGTCATGATTCCGCTTTCGCAAAGGCTCTGGACTAGATTCGCAATGGTATCATTCACATCGTGACTAGCATCGAGGAAGCTAAAGAGTCGTGCAAATGTGAATTGGTCGAGACCCTGTCCAAGTTGCGTATCTCGTCAAGTTGGAGTATTGTCTATCATGGGGGTTTTGCTTACATCGAAAGCCATGAAATGAAGCAACTCTGCAAATCGCAGCTTGATACTTGGATCAGAGATATGAATTCGTCCAGCTTATGAAAAAATTTTTCCAAGAGAGCCTCGATCTGGTTGTCATGTTGCTGGACGAACGCGAGGGAGTCGGAGGATCGGCGTAACGTTTCCTGATATCATGCTCATTCTCTTGAATCTCGGTGAAAGTATCGTTGATCCTGTCTGGAAAGAAGACTGTATAGGATTCTGTACTGTGAGAGTCCTGCCCATTTTTGAAAACAGCTGTTCCTGCCGTAGACGATGCGTAAGAGACTTCGTTCACACCATGCGAACGAATAAAACATCCATGTAATGCTCTTCTGCCTTAGCGGGCCAAGCTACTCATACCATGTCACCTTGATTAGATTAAGTTCCGTGTGTCACTTTTCGATGGCGTACCTTGCCAAAGCCTTGCGAAAGATGCAAGGAATGACCTAGAAAACCTTCGAAAGCAGGTGCCATACTAAGTGTGAAGCAGGCTCAGGAGCATAAAAACTACCCAAACGCTGATAGCACGGCTTTCTTGGAAAGACATTATGGACCAGAAAATTCCACGACTTGGGTTTTTCACGAGGCAGAAATGCTAGCGTCATGAGAGTCACTATATCCCACAGCCGATCCGGTGAGCATGCAGCAGAAGGTGTAGACCCTTGAGTATATTGAGTTTGTCTTCCCCTGGTGGTCCCGCTCGTTTTGCAACTGCCCTGACTTGCTGATGTACATTGAGAAGTCCAAGATATCTCACACTCGATGTATTGGTATTTAGGGAAAACTTGAAATTTCGTAGCATGGCTCATACATCTGGGACCCGAGAACTCATGACGGACGGACCAACCTTGTCTGCCGAGCCTCATGCGAGCGTCCTCTTGATGACATGTTTCTCGTATGATTAAGCTATTAAGCTCCCCTTAAGATTTCGAACGTCATCCAACTTGCCGTGGTTGGCAGATAGAAGAGGGAAGAAAAGGAAGAACTGTCTACCTCGGTCGACTCTAGAGCACTTTACGCGGCAGCGCAGTGGACATATCTCGCAACAATAAGATGCGTTCGGTCGTATGTACTCGTACTACTGCAGGGCAGTCAGAAGTTTCATATCATTTTGGTGACGTTTTGCTTGTGACTCATCTCTGGGAAGCTGGCAAACAGTGACGTCTCGACTCCCGGCTCCCCGCCCATGTTATCTCGACCCGCTCATGACCGTCTAGATAGATGCCTGGATCATTCTTGTGTAGAAATACAGGATAGTCCTCGCCACGTGAGAATGCGATGGGAGCTTCGTCAAAAGCCAAGTCAAGTCATATTCTTTTTGCCATTCATCCACCAGCCCCATCAATTCACCTTTTCAGAAGATCTAGATCTTCCTCTGGGAAAGAGATGATGTTGGTGATGCATTTAAAAAGACCCAAAAAAAATAGAGGAGGGGGAGAAGGGGGACCATTGGCGTGACAGCATATTGACACGTCAAGTCTCTAACCCTCCAGCTCATTCATAGGCACATCTTCATCATCAGGTCCAACAATGGCCTCTGCGACCTTCCATACTTGGATCAAATTGTCATCTGCCGCGCTGCATACCACCCATGGATTATTCTTGTTCCACGAAAAGTCGCTGATACGGTTGGTATGTCCGCCGTGCATGAAGAGAAGCTCTGGAGGTCCATCTTCGCTGTCTTCGGGCGCTTGTTCTTCGCCGACTTTGGCCAAGTCCCAGAACATGATGCGTCGATCATAGCTACTTGAGGCAAGGACTGATTCCTCAAACGGGTGCCATTCCAGAGTCGTCACGCTGTCGTTATGGCCTTCAAGGACATGCAACTTGTCCCGGAGGTTTCGTAAGTCCCAGATGGCAATCGTTTTATCGGCACTGCCGGTTGCGACCACAGTTTCTACCGCCAAGTTGAAAGCAATGGCGTTGATTGCGTCTCGATGTTGATTCTCTCCTTTGGCTGCTGCTCTGGTCGTGTCAGGTTGTCTCAGGTCCAGAAGCTGCATCGTTAAATCGTCCGATACGGTTCCCAGCAGGTGTGGTAGGTTTGGGTGATATTGAACATCATTGACAATGCCGTCGTGGTGGGTGTATTTACGAGACTCCTTCACCAGCTTATTTGTCTTGGATGCTCGTGTGACGTCCCATAATCTGACCGTGGAGTCTTCGCTCGCCGTGGCCAATTGACCGGCTTCACGAGGATTCCAGCTCAGTCCGTATCCCTCTCTTTCGTGTCCGCTCAGCTCTATGGTAGGGTTTGGCATTCCGGTCGGTGTACTGGTAAACTTGGATTTGTCCCAAATCATGACCCGTCCGTCCGTACACATGGTGGCGATGATATTGGGGTTCTGAGGCTGGTACCGAGCCTTGTTGACCTCACCCGGATGATCAATCTTTTGGACGATGTGGAATTTGACTTCAATCTGATTTTTGCCGGAGGGGCCTCCACCATATCCACCGATCTCTCCCGTCTCTTCATTGTAGTCTTTCACGTCAGGCTTCCTGGGGTTTGGCAGTTGGACGTTGGCAATCTCGAGATAGTTGGGCTGGCCCTCCGCTGTGTGGGTGCCGATCAAAAGGCGGTGCTTTGAGTAGTTTGTGCCCGGCACCCTATATACGGTTTAGCCATCGCTAAGGCAATCATGACACTGTGCTTACTCGGAGACATCTGGAAACCATTGCGTGGTGAGGGTAGGCCAGTCAAGGGCCGTACTGAGAATCATGTCATAAAGGAATGGTGCATTTTTCTTCCAGGTCTTGTATTCTTCGTTGATCACCTTTTGCTCGGTTTCGGCGTCTTCGTTGTTGAGCTCTTCGCTCACTGGTGGGCTAATTAGTATGTCGTCTACAATGCAATGTGAAGTCTGTTCCACGCACTATTCTCGTCGTCTTCCGCCATTGTGGGAGGACTGGGGTGAGAGCGGGGAGGGTGGGGAGGTTTGAGGAGGAAGATGGGCTCGGTGCAAGATTAAGGAAATAAAAGAGTGTTCATCAAATGAATCGTGTTAAGTTGATGGAAGATTCGCAAACGCGCGACCGGTTACCTTTTTTCCATCGATCCAAGACGCGTCCAAAGGCGTCCTGAAGGAGTTTAGCTTCTCTTTTGTGCTAAAGTGGCTTGGCACAGGCAGGCGTCACCGCAGCACTCATTCTCCCCCAATATGTGGTTTCGAGTTTCAAAGACGGATTCTTCCAAATCACCAGACATATTGCCACCCTTCTTCTCCGAATGTAATCCTGAAAATCTACCGTATTCACCGTCTCCGTCCATAGCTGTACATAAAACCGGCACCTCCCACCCTCGAGAATCCTTTCTTTTTTGGGAGGGAGAGGTCTGCGCCCGTCGCCACCATGGGTGTTCCTAAATTCTTTAGATGGCTGAGCGAGCGATATCCTGCCATATCACAGCTGATTGCCGAAAATCGCATTCCCGAATTCGACTGTCTTTACTTGGATATGAATGGCATCATTCACAACTGCACACACAAAGACTCGGACTCTCCATCCTTCCGCATGACGGAGGACAAAATGTTCATTGCAATTTTCAATTACATCGAGCACCTTTTTGGCACAATCAAGCCCAAGAAGCTGTTCTTTATGGCCATTGATGGGGTAGCGCCCAGAGCCAAGATGAATCAGCAGCGTGCTCGCCGATTTCGTACCGCCTTAGACGCGGAGAAAGCCCGAGAAAAGGCCATCAAGGAAGGCCTGGAAATGCCCAAAGAAGATCCTTTTGACAGCAATTGTATTACTCCCGGCACCGAGTTTATGGCCAAACTCACCAAGCAGCTGAAATATTTCATCAGCAAAAAAGTCTCCGAGGATGTTGATTGGCAAGGTGTGGAAGTGGTTTTATCCGGCCACGAAGTACCCGGAGAGGGCGAACATAAGATCATGGAGTACATTCGACAAGCAAAAGCACAGCCCGGCTACGACCCTAACGTCCGCCATTGTCTGTACGGATTGGATGCAGATCTGATCATGTTAGGACTTCTCAGCCATGATCCCCATTTCTGCTTGTTGCGAGAAGAAGTCACGTTTGGGAGATCATCAACCAAAAAGTCCAAAGAGCTGGAACATCAGAACTTCTACCTCATGCATCTGTGTATCGTCAGAGAATACCTGGAGTTGGAGTTCCAAGAAGTACAACACGAATTGCAACGGGCAGGCGACCTTGGCTTTACCTACGACATGGAACGAATCATTGACGACTTCATTTTGATGGCTTTTTTCGTGGGCAACGATTTTCTACCCAACCTACCCAATTTGCATATCAACGAAGGAGCGCTGGCGCTCATGTTTCAAAAATACAAACAGATTCTTCCCACGTTGGGAGGCTATATCAACGAGCAAGGAGTGATCAACCTGCCCAGATTGGAAGTCCTTCTTGACGCATTGGCCGAGGTTGAGTTCCGCTTTTTTGAGGCCGAATATTCTGACGCCAAATGGATCAATGCCAAACGAAACACCCCGGAGGAAGATGCACCGGTGAAGGCATTGCGGGGTCCAATTAGAATCTCCCCCGAGCAGAAGACACTCTTCAAAGAGGTCAAGAGATATTTTATTTCTCCCGCGAATAAAGACCCGGCTACGAGACAGCCGCTCGATCTACCACCCACTCTTCCTGCGAGAGACCGACGCTTCGTGCAGCAATTGGCGACCGATTTGAATCTTCAGTGGGCGACGCAAGAAGATGAGGATGGTAATCGTTTTATTCAGTTAGAGTTCCCATCCGCCGAAGATGACGCAGAGTCTGACGAAGAAGAGGAAGCACAGCTTGCTGTCACAAGAGTCCTGAAACGATACGAAAATGCCATAGTGGAGGAGGCCACCGACGAACAAACCCGGCAGGACCTCAACAAGAAATATGACCAGAAATTCTTTGAGTGGAAAGATAAATACTACGAGGAAAAATTTGGATGGGGCCTCGAAAACGATCAAGAGATGCAACAGTTGACAGAAAACTATGTCCAAGGTTTGCAATGGGTGTTGTATTACTACTACCGAGGTGTGGCATCTTGGCCATGGTTCTATCAGTATCACTACTCGCCCATGATTTCCGATGTCAAGAAAGGCCTAGGGGCAGACATGAACTTCCAACTTGGTCAACCGTTCCGTCCGTTCCAGCAATTGATGGGAGTGTTGCCAGACCGAAGCAAGAAGATCGTCCCCGAAGTGTATCATAAATTGATGACTTCCGAGGATTCGCCGATCATCGACTTCTACCCTCGAGATTTCGAATTGGACATGAATGGCAAGAAAATGGATTGGGAAGCCGTGGTCAAAATCCCATTTATCGACGAAGAGCGGTTGTTAAGTGCCATGGCTCCTCAGGATAAGTTACTGTCAGAAGAAGAGCGTCTTCGAAACGACTTCGGCATTAGTCTCAAGTTCACCTATTCACCAGAGGTAGACTACACCTATCCGTCTTCCCTTGTCGGCATATTCCCGGATCTCCCACATTGTCACTGCATTCAAAATGAATTTGAGCTTCCCACCATGGACGGGCTGGAGCCCTTTATTGGCTTGGTTGATGGGGTCCAGCTCGGAGCTGCCGCCTTGGCTGGTTTCCCCAGCTTGAAAACATTGCCATTCACCGGCTCATTAGGATTCCACGGGGTCAATGTTTTCCAGCAGGAGAGTCGAAATGAAAGCATGATCATCACCTTGTCGGACACGGAAAACCGAACTCGTACCGAACATGCCAAACTCCTCCTGAACCGACGCGTCTTTGTTGGTTACCCCTTTTTGCAGGAGGCCAAGGTGGTCAAGGTATCAGACGAGCTGTTCGATTACATCATGCCAGAAACCGGACCCCGTCAAGTCAAAGCGGTTGAACATACCGGAAATGAAATCGACCAGTTCCATAAAAAGGCCGAACGGATCGAACAATGGTACAGCAAGAGACTTGGCATGTTGACCGGTGATGTGGAGTCCATGGTCCAAGTCGAGATGCTGAAAGGTCTTCGGAAACTTGATGATGGATCTACGGTCAAAGAATTCGCCGAGCTCCCCGGTCTGGAAACGATTCATGCAAGTCAACTTGTGGTGGAAAGTGTGATCAGCGAGGATGTTCGTTTCATCGAAAAAGCCGCCGTACCCATTGAAGAAGAATTTCCTGATGGTACAAACGCCTTTTTCCTCGGCGATTATGCATACGGAAGACCGGTCAGTGTCGTTGGCCATGAAGCTGGCAAAGCAAAATGTTTGATTGCCATTTCTAAAGGACGGCAAACCGAATTCGGACGCGAAATCGCTCGTCATGCGGAGAAATTGTCGCCTTATACGCCGTCATATCAAATTGCTCGAAGTCTCAATTTAAACGCCTTGGCATTGGCAAAGATCACATCGTCGTTTTCGGTCAAAGTCGACGACAACACCAAAGCCAATTTGGGCCTCAACCTCAAGTTCGAAGCGAAGAAGCTCAAAGTCCTCGGCTATTCTCGAAAGAGTGAGAGCGGATGGGAATTCAGTCAAGCAGCCATTGAATTGATCCAGCAGTATATGATCAAATTCCCTCAATTCATCGCTGGAATCCATGCCAATCCTCAAGGAGACATGTTGCCTGCCACGGCCTATTTTCCTGGTACCGAGCAAGAAGCCAAGGCAAAAGTGAAAGAAATTCAAGCATGGCTCAAAGAGATCGAATCCAAGAGCTTTGAAAAAGTGCCCTTGGAAGCCGAACAACTGGATTCTGAAATTGTCAAGCAGATCGAATTGGCAGCCGATGAAGCATTGCGCAGTGAACCACCGCCGCAGAATAAAACGATCAGTGGCGTCCCTCGAAACGGTCTCTTGAAACCTTCCGATGCTCAATGGCGTCTAGGACATCAGAAATTCGTTCTTGGGGATCGAGTAATCTACGTGGCCGACTCGGGCAAAGTTCCCATCGCGTCCAAGGGCACTGTCGTCGGTCTTACACAAACCACGAGGGAGACGTGGCTCGACATTGTCTTTGATGTCTCTTTTATGAGTGGGACATCTTTAGGAGATCGATGCTCTCCCTTCCGAGGATCCACCGTGCCTACGTGGTCGGTGCTGAATCTCAGTAACAGACAAGTTCTAGCATCATCAAAGGCCAGTGCAACCCGAAAAGCAAATAGGCCAAGTCCATCTCCACTTACCGTTGCCGGCTACGGTCAACCACGGATCAATGGTCAAGACCAACTCCGACCTGCTCAGACACCACCCGCGTTGAGAGGATCGTGGCGTGGTGCTGTAACTGGACAAGCACCCAACGGTCGAGGACATTCTCCTGGAACATGGACGCCACTACGAAATCAATCGAATTCGCTTGCCAACGGTCATGGCCGTGGAGGACACGGATCAATGGCTCCGACGACTCGAGCAGGATATACAGCGGTCGATCGAGGTGACCTTCATGCAGGTGTGATCCAGAACAATCCCAATTTCCGGCCAAAAGCACACCACCACGTCCCTCCGCCTGCGAGTTTAAACCATCCTTCGACGCCACGCGGACGTGGCAGAGGGCGAGGAGGTGCCACGCGAGGAGGAGGACGTGGCGGTAAGACATAGGGAGGATGAGTAGCCCGGGGAAGATCTTGAAAGACAGATATCCAATGTCTGGTCAGGGCTGTTTGGGTGCCAGCAGCAAATATTGTGTGCGTGCTTATTTTCCCTCCCCCGCTGCAGGCATGTGCTGGACGAGACCGAGGAATATTGGTGAGTCAGGGCTTTTCGTCATAGTGGAAACGAGCGGATGTTATCGCTCTCCACCCGTTGGGTTGGCGAAGTGAGATAGAAACGGGCGATTGGATGTTTGATGGCAATGCTAAAAAGGAGGCCTCACCTGCCTACAAAAGTCAAAACGGCGCTGCAGAAATGCCCCGCAGTCGAGAAAAGGAATTGCGAACTGCTCCACACGATGCGCGATGCGAGAAAACAGCCCACATGTTCGAAACCCTCCCCCCCTTCAACACGAACTCCAACGACGAGCGAGCGAGCGACTTCGCTGATCAATTAGTTGATCCATCGTCGCCGAAATCACCAACACACAATAACGTACAATTCTTCTGCACAAAGAAGGCGCCTATGTCGCCGGAATACAGTCTCGATTTCAATCTCAATCCCCACCATGTCGCCCGCCTTTTGCCTTTTCTACCGCCGGCGAGAATCGACGCTTGCGCAATGGGAGATGCACGTAATCCAGCGCCTGAAATTTTTGACCTGCACGTTGTCGAGTCTCCACCGGGTGGTAGGATACAGCTCTGACAGCTTACTCCATCTATCCATCCATCCATTGCACATAGTCGGAATTTTGCGAAATGCCGACGCACACCTGCTAGTTTACCCGAGCTCCTAACCTTATGAGCACCCTGGCCGTCTTTTCCCGTTCCCTCCCAGCATCATATTTCCCCTCTCGTTCTATCTGACCTGATTCGATGAACCTATTGTGTTCCTGACTTTCTCCACCATGTCAGATCTGCTCGTCAAAATTTCACCGAGTTCCTAACCCCCACGCTATTCGGCGTGAACACACGCTCAGTTCCTCCTGAGGGATCGCATGTCCGCTTTTGAATTCATCCTATGTTCCACACTCACACCCACCTATTTCCAACCCCTCGGCTAAGGTGGGCAAATTTCTTCCGAACGCTTCTCAACTCTCTCTGACTGGCTCCGTAAATTGCACCTACAAACCCAGAGGTGACGGATCCATGAGTTTGATCCAAATTGATCTTCTCAACTGATGCATGAAATACCCGGCCGGTTTTCATAAACTTGTTAAGGGCACGGGAAACAGGGCTCCGACGCAAGCAACTTCGTCTATGTCACTGTACTATCCGCACACATCAGCATACTGAGACTGATCATGGCAAAACTCTACGACATAGGGCTTTGAGAGTCGGTCTTTCTGTTGCTAGTTCCTTTCGTTCACCTCATATCTTATGATTCCTTATCTCACGAGCTAGACCTGCCTAGCTGGTCAAGTAAAGCTGCCAATCGCTTTTATGGTCCGGTCCGGTCCACCAAAAAATATAGCAGCCAGCGGCTCCTAAGTGACTGGTCACGCTGCATTGGCAGAAAGGGCCTTGATTGCTCTCACCTGACTCGTCGGGTTTCCGCTTCCTCTGGACTTTCCTCGTTTTACCACCCCATGCCGAACAGCAACAGCGGGACAACAATGAACATGTCTAGTATAACTTTCTATCAATCACCGGCATCGAGTGTGTGCTAGCACTTTATTTTCACTACGTTTGGGATAAATGCCCTGGGAGAAGAGATTCATTACGAGCGACCGACACGAACGAGAGAGTTAGCGGTTCGTTCGAGGGACCATCAGCCAGTTTGTTTCAAAACGATTTGGAACAGGTCAAAACAGAAAGGCCCTCAATTCAACTGGCTCTGGACACTGCTTTGCTCTCTCCGGTGGTTGCTGATAAGGACGCCACGTCCTCACGTCACGTCCGAATCAGACCGACGGGATCATGGCCGATTCCATGAATCTGGTCACGGCGCAAATATCATTCTTGGTAAGGGCTCCTCGTTCATACATTAGCTGTTTGGTTACATCATTCTCGACATGTTTCATTTTCCATCTTTCTTGCCTTCCAAGGGATTAGAATGGGGCAAAGGGAAAAGACCCCTGTCGACCGGTAAACAAGTCGAACTGATTGTATATATATTGACCCTCAGGAACCACACCTTGCCCTGATTCACATACCAATCGAGCTATATTCACTTTGTTTGCAGCCAATCTTACGACTTCTTTTTGGCGAAGATCACGACGAGGATGCCGCAAAGATTTCTTGGACCAACCGACATGATTTCCTTAATGTCTCCATCACCCCTATTGAGTGCTCCATCATCTGCTCAAGGTATCTAGCAGATCGATTCATCCTGCCCCTGGCCGAGGCCCTCAATACATTATATGCAAGGAATCCCAAAGGTCTCAAAATGGAAATTCAAATCAGTGCCGAAGATTACATTGTCATTCAAGTTGACGGACAGGGACTCGATGCAGGGCAAAGGGTATTGGAACTCACTTCCCCTCTAGCTATGGCTGGGATGTAAGTATTCACTATGGAAGCTCTGAGTGCGGGCGGACCCGATCTAACGAATGTTTGATAGAAGCATCTTCTTCATTACGACGTATTTTTCTGACTACATCTTGGTTCCTTTTCGCTCGCGAAGAACCGTCACCCAAGCGCTCCAACAGCGAGGATTCGTGTTTTCTCAAACCGCCGATGCGTTCGTCTCGCAACTTTCACCGTCGTCCCCAACACTTCCTCATGGCGGGCGCTCCATTACCACATCACCGTTCTACGAAAACTCGGCACCCACTACTCCTCCGGCCAAGGACATCCCCGAACTTCAAATCCGGACCTTTACCAAACTTCAGCGACATAATATCAGTCCTTTGGTTGATGACAGCGTTCGCCTGGCTAACTGTGCGGGTAGTCGCGAGTACAACCAGACCAATGAGGAACAACTGAAGAACGATCTTCTACAGGTTTTACTGTCCACAAGCTCCCTTCCCCAAAGGACACCTTCAACATCATCATCCAAAACAGCTAGTACACTTGGCCTCGAGAATTCATCGGCAAGTACAAGTTCCAGACCAGATTTCGGAGCCAAATTCCTCTCTTTGACCATCACCGCTGGAGAACCGATCTCTGTGCTCTTGGAACGCCGACTCCTCGATCGCCTCGGTGAGTCATTACTAGGCGCCAAGTCCGAAGACGACGTATTAATCCCCATTACTCTGGACCTACGTGAGTTGCCGCTCGATGCCACGGGCATTGTATGTGGAGTTGCAGGTCGACTGGCGCAGGGCAGTGCGGAGGGAGAAGACGGATTGAACAACAACAGTCCCAAAATGCTTGGGACCACAATCAACACCGAGCCGGTGGAAATTTCATTCTTGAGTACGGCCAGGGCGGGCACTGTGATCGTCAAGGCCAGTCAGTTGGAACAAGCACTCGACGCATTGGAATATGGTATGAAAAGGGCAACAACTTCATCGACCTGAAATGCACACCTGCCGAGCGAGTTCAACTCGGGATATGAGGCCGTTCCCAAGAAAAAAAAAAAAAAAACCACCAACACCAAAACTAAAATCAAAACGGCATGGAAGCATAGGATTGGTTGCATTGCATCAAACATGGAGGAATGGAATCAAAAGGGACCAAAGAGGGCAAACGCTAGTAATGGCATCGAACGTGTCTTACATTTGTTCTTTCAATGGTGTTTTCATGACTAAGGTTGTCCATCAGCTACCAAAATGATTTATTAGCTTAAGTCCGGGATGTCATGACGGGATTGATGCTTTGCTCAGAAATGAACATCCCCTCGGCCAGAACGGGTTCTTTTGTATTTGGTCGGTTCTTAATATTCCACCACTATGCATAGATTTTGACCACGCCATCAGCACCTCCTCCAGCCCAAAGACCCTGTCTTCCTTGAACCAGACTGCCTTCTCTCCATTTTACGACACTGACAACTTTTCCAGTCCGATTGATCCCGACGGCCCCCACACTCTTGCCAGATAGAACATCCCAGCCCCGTACTCTTCCATCGTTCTCACTCCCACTTAACACGAGACTCTCATTCAGCGCAAAGCAGCTTTTCAGCCGCAAACTGTCGTTCTTGTATCCCTCAGCATTCCCTTCTGGCGGAAACGCCCTGAGACACGTCCCATCCACGCGATCCATCATCCTGATCTTCCCATCCAGACATCCGATCAAGACCGTCTTCGCGTCTCTTGAGACCTCCAAGCTCGTCACTGGCCCCGGCATCACATCCACCGTGACGCAGCCCATGCGGATATCATAGCTCCTAACCCTCCCATCCACGCTGCCAGATATAACCTCGTACCCGTTCCCAGGGACGACTAGGCTCGAGATGCCATCCTTGGCCTCCTCAAGCACCATCAAGGGCGTCGCATCCCGGCTCCTGATATCCCACATGCGCACCGATGTATCATCGCTCCCGCTGACAAGCACACTATCTCCTTCACCCGCGAATGCGACACAGGTGATCCGACTCGTATGGCCCTGGTTTGTATTACTGCCGAACCGCCTCAACGTGCCGTCCGCGCTCTGCACATCCCACAGGAACACGCTCCTGTCTCCACCCACGCTGGCGAAGGTCTGATTGTCCTGTGCAACGGCGATGTCGAGCACGGCATATCCATGTGCGGTGTATTTCTGGATCGGCACGGACGGAGTGCCAGGATTCGTAGGTACGGTGCGTGACAGGTGGATTTGTCGGTCTGACGAGCCTGTGAGGGTGTATGTGCCGCCGAGGGAAGAGAAAGTGATGGCATTGATGGGGCCGGCGTGCGAGGTGAGCGTGTTTACAAGAGAAGAGGGGAGTTTTTGCGCAGTCATCGTGGTGAGGTAAGTCGTAGCTGGACATGCGGGCGAACGAAGCAGGGCGGAAGAAAAGCAAAGAAATGAAGGAATCGGTCTCTCACCGTTCACGGAGGCATTGTTAGAAGAGTTTCAAACGCAGTCGACGTCAACCAGGCTTGACAGTCGGGTACAGGAGATGGGGACGATGGCACGAGGAGCGCAGAACTGCGATGTTCAACGTTTGAACGTTCTCTATTTTCTTTGGGGCAGGCAGCTAAAAATTTATGTTGCCGCCTTAAAGAGACAGGCCCACTCGACGAATTCTTCTGCCTTTACAATACGTGACATCTCCAATGTCATTCAAGAATCAAGATCCATTGCCCCGACATGCCGCCCCCCGATAAACCGGAGGTAGTTTGTCTTGAGAACTTTCCGTCTTCTTCAACTAGCAATAGTGTACACCTGTTAAGTTTTCTCCTTTATTACCACATTTCGGGTCCGCCTCCACTACAGCTCTACGATTTAGTTAGCACACCGAGTTACCGGCAACCCCGGCCGCTCAGCAAATCATGGTATAGACCACCCTCTTTGGAGTGGAAGTAGAGGTAGCATATCTGGTTAGGCTTTTAGGCATGCACAAAAAAATGGGGACTGGGAGGATGTAGGCAGAGAGCTTTCTGTAGTAGCACACGAGTTATGGGCACACCATCGATAGTAGTGCCACGCTTTCAGGCAAAATGCGATAACAGAAGTGACTGTCACAGCACAGTATTAATTATTTACGAAGCATTTGTTGGGGATTTGGAAGCGCTCTCTGCAAAGATGTCCCTCTGCCGCTTTTATTCCCAGTTACTAGTGCCTTGGCATATTTCACACAGCTATTCCTAGAGGTTTGCTTCGCGGAAAAGGGCCGTCTCCCAGATCCGTGCTAAAATCTTAGATGTTTCGGGTTCTTGTCATTCTCGGTCTCCCATACGGAAAGCAACATCCAGTCACATAAGCATTAGGCTGGTTACTTGGAGTCTTGTAAAAGGAACACAAGGCCTGTTACTCGGCCATGGCGACTGTTGTCAAGGCTCCAGACGGTATACCGAATGTGAGTTTGAAGGTTTTCTACGACTAGCGTACCGAACCTGATATAGTATTCTCGATGTGCTTGACCTCTTCCCTTTATCTTCCGTGTCTTCTGAGCATTGAGTGAAAACGCAGCCAGTGGCGTTAACCTGTCTAGTTCCACGATGGCACCGAGAACGAGATATACTCGCAGATCATGCAATCTGCCGACAAGCTACGAGGCGACCCGGACCGCATATTGAGACACATACAGAGAGCTGCCGACGCCAAGGGATTCTTGATAGCGCTCGAGCCCGAGAAAGTTGAATGGCTCCATCGGTATCTCGAGCCTCGTCAGCCGAAGGTAATCGTGGAATTAGGAACCTACATCGGGGTGTCGACAATTGGATTTGCATCCTTGCTCCGCAAATGCCACGGCGACACGCACGGGTGCAAAATTTACAGTTGCGAATACTCGCCCGACTTTGCGCGTATCGCGCGCGGACTGGTTGAATTGGCTGGCTTGCAGGATTTGGTAGAGGTTTTGGAGGGTGCTGCAGCAGATTCTGTCCAAAAACTTGTGGAAGAGCATCCCAATTTTAAAGCCGACGTGCTGTTTCTGGATCACTGGAAGTATTATTATCTTTCAGATTTGCAGCTTTGCGAGGATTTGAAAATGCTCCGTAAAGGCAGCCTAGTAATTGCCGACAACACTGATATTCCCGGAGTGCCTGAGTATGTCGAGTATGTCAGGAATGGAGGTCGAGGAGGTCACGGCACCGTTAAATACACCAGTGAGACCTTTTCGACATTGAAGAACCCCAAGCCTGGTGATGCTGTGAGTAATCTTCCCGTCCTCTCAATCTTCGGCCTCTTCAAATGAGTGACCATATTGAAGGATGTACTCGAGGTGAGCACCGTCGTGGAAGCGCCATGAGCTAGCAAAGACCTTGCAAGATATTTTTGGCACAAAGAACGTGGATCACCTAAATATTCAACAATGATCCTAGTCTAGCTTGAAAGCAGACATATACAAATCTTCCTTTTATTTATTTTTTTTTTTTTTTCCCCAACAATTGACTCTGCTCACACACCATATCTGTGCCCGCGTTGTCTGTATGATCTATCTGCTGGGTTAACTTGCAAAAGTCGTCCTCTGAAAGGAGACCTGTTGGATCAGGGGATATTTGAAGAAACACGAATGATCGGTCATCGTGGGAAAGATATGTTTTTGAACCTACCATCTAATCTCTCTGTCCTCCATAGTGATCTTCCCGATAATGTAAAGCCGCGGTCCTCCCGCCAAAACGCGGAACGTGTTTGACTTCGAGCAATCGTAGCGAATTCATAGGTTCTTTTGGTCAGAATTAACCTCTTACTCGGAATTGTCTCTGTAAGATTCCACCTGGTGGGCCCTCATCTTCTTGGAAGTCGCACGACCTACCGTGCGCCCAGGGTTCTGTAGGTTTTGGATAGTGCCTGGGATTGACAATCGAAATTCTGCTGAATGAGTTCGATAGTGGAGATGTGTTTGTTTGCGTCTGAAGCATCAACGAAAAAGACTTGTGGGAATCGAGAGCCAGCCACCATGCTGGGTTGATCGAGGTAATCCTGAAGCTCTCTGAGGCGGTTCATAGTTGTCTTCGGAAAGAAATGCTCCAAAAAGATATCGGTAGCCAAGCTCAACTGCAATTTCTTGCACTTCAGGGGCAGGTGATGGCTGTAGGACCACACGAATTTGGAATCTGCTGCATGCTTGAAGGGCAGTGAACTCGTCAATTGGTTCTCGCCCGGTCTCGTGTAATCGCAAGAACAAGTGGTCTGCCTTCCCCTTCAGTACGTAGGCCAGTTTCCAAGTGAGATTGTGCGCATCCTGAGAATGTCAGCATACATGCATAGATTGCGTGCAATGGAGAATAGTCACATACCGCAATACTGGTGATTCCTCCTAAAACCGCCCGTTGGAGGAATGATATGTGTCGCACCTCCTGCAATAAAAATATGATCGCCAGGGCTTACAAGGCGATCCGAGGTATAGGCTGCCATGGTCCAATATGAATCAGTCCTGATCTCAAGCAGTGTTACGGATTCGTCTAGACCGGGTCAAAAATCCACCCCTTTCTCCAACATTGTTCACCATAAGACGACCTTGTTGCCCGCCATTTTCCAATCGAAATCCGACACCAGCCTTCAGATTAGCACTCTTTTGCCGACGTAAGGGCCTAGGTCTGCTTCGAAGGTCACCCTCGGACTATTCCATAGCACGTCAGGGCCTTCCCGTTTGAATCCTTCTTTCTGTCTCGTAGGACTACGATGACCGTCACAATCAACCACATAGGTAGCTTTATACTTTATATAGTCCTCGATGCCGACCTCGAATTGGCTCGAACATGCTTTGCGGGGATCCATGTTAGCCAGTCACGTGACGCGTCGCCTTGGCGACGTCACGTGAGGCTGTTTGGCTTGGCAACTTGCGCCCTTCCTTCTTTTCGTCTTTCTCTCTTAGATAGAACAACAACAACACATTCCTCCTCTAGACTCCATAGTCTATCAATCCATACCCGGTGTGATGGGGTGATCTGTCGGACTTTGTCGAAATCGTACTCCTGGAAGTGCTTGATGAACTTACCTCTAGCCCATTTCTCCACCAAGAGCATTCAGCATTCAGGTCGAGTTCCTTAGCGCTCTACTCCAGAGTGAAATCCTCTAAACCTATCTGGCGCAGGATTTCGCTGGTGCGGAAATTCAATTCAGCCGCTCGTGGATGAGTTGCAGCGCTACGAGCTGATCAAACGAAACGGATTTGATTCTTTCCGGATTCAAGAGATTAGCTGCATTGCCATGGTTTTCTCATGGGGTACCGCTACGACGTCTCCTGTCAACAAATCCTTCGTTGATAAATTCTACTCGGAGCTGCCTACATCTTATGTACAGTGTCCCTTCCACCGACTGTTTTACGAGGAGGATAACGGAGCATTCTATCAATCCAAAGTTATCCCGGAGGATGTATGAAGAATTAAAGGGGTTGGGAGCGTAAATGAAATTGGTGACTGTAGGAGACATGGGTATTGTTTTTGCTTGAAAGAAGGGGGGATAGGCCCCAGTCTAGCGTGCTGCCAGTGTTGGAGTCCCTGAAGGAGCACGTCAGTGCTTAAAGCAAAGAGTAGGGAGATGATTGATTTGACTACCGCTGGAAACTACCTTAGAATACTAGACATCGCGAGGTATGAGAGGCAGTTAATTAGTATGCATTTGACCTGATCTGATTGCTTGTCACCAACTCCCTCCGTCTCACTGGGGAGTCCGGAGAAGATGCTATTACGGAAATTTACCCGTCTTGCTCTGTTCATACCCGGCAGATACCGTGTCCTTTCCAGGTTTCAAGGCTCATTGTTGCATAACTCCACATCTTAATAATCCCCATGGCTTCGGCCCATTGTTGTGGTCTGTGTCAGTTTTGTAAAAGGATGACGGGTGAGGTGTCAAATTCAGACAGGAAGCTTCCCGTGAAAAACGAAAAGTCTCGGGCGAGTAGTCGTGTGATCAACGTACGACAAGCCGGCTCCACATCAACTCAGTCGGCGATGGTGCGGAAAGGAACGTCCGAGACTGCCCCATCCCGTTTATCGTCACAAAGTCGGGGGAAATGACCACCCCCATTGGGTCGGCCAGAGAAAAACCCACGCCAGATAAATTTAAACGACGTTCCGCGTTGGTTTAGTAGCTCTTTTCAGGTCCGTCCACTTACGGGTGCAAATCATAGTTAGGTGCTTTCACTATCACAATCATGGCTGCAAATGATATTGCTCAGCGCGATGAGACGCTGCCGATAGAGGGAGTACAGAGAACGGAATTCGATTTCGGCGACTTCGATCACTCCAAGATCCCCTTCGAAGAGAATGAAATCCCCGTGATCGTCATTGGATCGAGCATGATTGGGATGAGTCTGCAACTCTTCCTTGGCTTTCATGGGTCAGTATGTGGTTGTTGGCATACGACCTCTCAATGGAACAATGGTATGGAGACGAACTAAGTGCCCTTTGTAGTATCAAAATGGTCGCTCTTGACCGTCATCCATCGAGGCTATCCGCCAGAGAGCTGCTTTGTTTCAACTCCGAACCATCGAAATCTTCCGTCAGTTAGGACTGGAGGAAGCGTTTCGTGAGGAGAGCAAGACCGTTATCGACTTGGATGGCGGTATGTTGCTCACGGACGTTTCGTACCAGGGCAAAGAGCTCGCAATTGTGCAAGGCAGTGACCCGAAGAAGATCGCCGAGATTTCGCCTTGTGTTAGATTTTGGCTCACGCAAGATATGTACGAGCCTTGGGTCCGCGAGAGGGCCACAATTCTTCAGGACCCGCGTCGTGCATTACGAGGAAAAGGCAGACCACGTGGTGGTAGTGGTCCAAGATACCGAGACGGGCAAGTACCGCAAGTACAAGACCCAGTTTTTGGTCGCTTGCGATGGTAACAGAAGCCCCACTCGGAGAAAAGAAAATATCCACCGGGATGGGCCGGGCGTCCTGGGAAGCAAAATCTCGATTCATTTCAAGGCCGATCTAACCCCCTTTCTGGGACGCAGGCCCACCCACTGGCGCCATGGGTGGAAACACGGGGATTCAAGTAAGGTGACAGAGATCATGGCTTGTCTTTGATTGAAAAGGATGACTCACACAAGACTTAGGACGTTTACAATCTGGCGTGGAAACTGGCTTACATTCTCAACGACAAGGCGTCTACTGGTCTTCTGGACAGCTACAACCTGGAACGAGTGAGATCGTCCGGATGGACTGTCCAGCAAGCCTACTCCCGCTGCGTGAATCGTGTCCTCAAGGACCCTAGTGTTCCCCATGACAAAGAGCTGCCCGACGAGACGGTGGAAATCGGCTATCGCTATCCGGAGGGTGCACTCATCACCGACGGTCCGGTGGATCCTCAAGACCAGTGGGAGGATCCCTACGTGCCTCGAACCACCGTGGGCTCCAGAATTCCTCATAAGGTGTCGGAGGATACATCCGGCAACAAGCTATCCAGCTTGGATCTCATAAAGCGCAACTTTGTGGTTCTCACCACCAGTGCTTACTCACCTTGGTTAGATGCTGCGAGACGACAAGATTTTGAGGTCGACGCCATCTCGGTCACGGAGACGTCTCGGCTGGTCAAAGACCCATCTGGGGAATTGGCAAAGGTTTTGAAGCTTAAGGAGGGGCAGGCGCTGCTCATTCGTCCGGATGGATATATCGCCTGGAAAATGACAGCCGCCGTGGAGAACCTTGCTGATCAGCTGGGGATGGTCCTACAAAGAATCTTGAGGCCTAATTCGATGACTAGAACCCGTCTATAGATTCAGGGTCTCGCTGGTTCTGAACTAGAGAACCTGGTGGTTTGGGCGTCGTCTCTCAAAACTGCATATCCCTTGTTTTCATGCAAAACTAGCAAGGGTACATCGCTATTGGATGTAATGAGAAAACGAAACGATGTCGTAGCTGCTCAATTGTATCTTCAAAATTACATCAACGGGCGGTGGTACGATAATGCTTGATGCATCAATGTTTTCAAATCGCGCCTGATTTGAAGTTGAGAGTTTGTGGTCTCAACTTTTTCCAATTCGTCCTGAGATGAAGGTGGTCGGATTCAGTCTCTCCACGTTACATAGCAAGCTAGCAAAAATGCGACACCTCAATTCTCGAAACGATAAGTCCTACTTTTCAAATGACAACACACAAGGCTGACCAAGTTTGGGCGACAAAAGAAAATGCTCAGGTAGACATATGCGACCGAAATCACCGCCTCAAGAGGCTCTTCGTCAACCACACGATACCATAGACCGATCCGCCCATGGTGGCCAGTACCATGAGGAGACCCTGCTCGATGCCTCTCTCGAAGAACGGGTACTCCAGGGACTCGCTACGGCAGACCCCTTCAATGCCCTCGAAAGCAGGACAGATTTCTTCGGTACCTTTCCTTGGCCCAACGTCTTGACTTGGTAGACTGGGAGAAAGCGTACACAACCTGTGCAAGCTGGGGTGATTTCTGCAGCCATTAGTTACCGCTTCGCGGCCAAGCACAGAAACGGCCTTGGAGCAGTTCTTACGTAGAATTGATAGGACCGATGGCGTTCTCAGTGTTCGTCGTCGGAACGAGGACGACCTGATCGGTCTTTTCGGCGAGAATCGAGATGTTGAACAATTGGCGACATATCGTTTACAACAGGCCGACTCATTCTGCATCACTCGCCCACTAGGCTATATCATCATTAACGAGCAACAGCGTTGACGTACACTGCATATATAGATGTATAGATAGGCTCTATCCTGTACTGGGAGAGCCAGAGTACTCATTCAATTCAAGTTGCACAAGAAGTTTGACACTTCACTCCGGGTGTGGATGCTAGAATGGAGATGTTAGTTCCGAGTATCATCCCCTCAAGTCATCAGACTGTCGGCCCTTGGGAGATGCTCCTGGAAGAACTTTGTCGGTAGAAGAATGACATGAGTAAAACGCCTAGAGGGTCCTGTGAGGAACACCGACTCCGACTGTAGTAAGTAGCGACACCAAGGCTTGTAAAGATTCTCGGGGGCGTTGTACGCTTCATACATGCTTCGAAATTATATACTCTGACGCTCCTTTGGACCCCTTCGAAATAGGACAAGTCTTCCGTAAAATCGCACGACCCCCTTTTTTTGACCCCTTATTAGCGACCAGCTGCAGACGCACCACTCTAGCAGGGTCAAAAGAACGTTGAGTGAGACAGTTCAACGCCCCACTCCTCCGACCTCCTCCGTTGTTTGTGCGCCCCGTCTCCTGGTGACCAGGACAGAATACAAAGCACCAGATATCTATGAGCTATTCATGAGCAATGAATTCGTCCCAAGAGCTTTTCAACTCCGGATGTCTACAACCTAGTGCTCTCGATGCTGTCAACAAAATCTTCCTGAAAAAAATGGAAAAGCATGCCAGGCGCTGCTCGAGGGTGAATTGTTAAACAACTTGGCGAAATGGATTGAACGAGAAATCAACGATTTCGCGGCTATTCGTGCTCTGGACTGCGGCTTCGTCTATGAAGATGTCGAGATTCTGGACGTTCAAATAGCTACTTTGTCCTTCACCATTTTGCTAGCGGGGCAGAAAAAATTTCAGGAAGGATTGCGGACATACCTAATGGAACAGTTTGGGTCCAACGTTTCCTTAGCTCTTGCATGTACTGGCCGTCCTCTCGATTCAAGCAATGCAAATTTCGACGTTTTCCAGAAATGCCCGACAAAAGTTTGCCTCAAGTAATTTGCAGAGGTTCTTGATAATGAAGGACCAGGACCCAAGCGTAAAATGCGTGAGCTATTTACTCAAGTCCGGGTGATCTTCGTTCACCCAAATGCCCTTCAACAATGGGATGCGAGGATGCGCGTTGACGACTCTGCAGGCAGACCTGTGGGCCTTTCATCGCCCCTTGGCCGATCTTTACCACTTTATGCTTGAAATTTCACGGTCGGAGACTCTAATCAAAATATCTTCGCCTGGATTTAAAGAGCTGGATAACTCGATTGACAGCGCCGCGCGGAAGGGCATTGCGATGGGAGAGAAGATCTGCTCTCAGACGAGGATCTAGCAGAAATGGTTTCCTCCAACTTCTTGGTTTTCAGGCTCAATACCGGCTATAAAGACTTCCAGGTATCGAAAACGGTGACGCGTGGATGCTTGCGGCTGAGAGAGGCTCCTGAGGCATCTGCTGTACGCAAAAAGATCTTGGATGTCGTAACAAGTGGATTCGTATGTTTCCTTTCCAGCCAAACCTGTAGCTTTAGAACAGGCTGCTTGGCCAGCTAGCTTCAACAGGTATGTCGGCGTTCAGGTACCAATCTATGCTTTCGGTCTCCTCGAGATAGATTTGAAGCTGTGCATCCAGTACTTTTGTGGAAGGGGGCATTAAAGGTATGCGTCAAAGGACTCATCTTACAAGGACTGGGACGCAGTAGCAAAGATCTACGAAGAGCAGGGAGATGGAAACAAAATGGTCGAAAATTTACAGGGAGACGATTGAGAGACAAACCGCCACCGGTACACTCTTTGGGAAATTGCTTGCGGAAACATTTGGTCGTGGTGGCCCTAAAGGGATTGTAATTCGCCGCTCTTCGAAGCTGGCGCCAATACAAGCATTGAAAAACAAAAATGCAGCTCTCTGCTCAGCTTTGTAGCTCAAATTGGAGCCGCAGAGCTTGTTCAACAGCTGACTGACCATTAAACTAATGTTGATCTTGAACCACACAAATTCCAGGATGCTCCGCTCATTATTGCTTCAGCCAAACATCTACAGAGATTGTGAAGGTTCTTCTTGCCGCTGGAGCAGATGTGAGAACGAAGCAGAGCGGTGAATAGAGCCTTTTGCATTATACGCTTTTGAACAAGAATGAGGACACGGCTACCCTTATTCCTGAACATGGACCTGATGTCAACGCTTTCGCTCTTAAATGGCTGAAGCTGTTACTTTTGGCTGTTTTAGCTGGATTTAGGATATTTGTGCGAGACTTTTGGACCTTGATGCAAGCACAGAAGAGACAGATGATAGTGGAGTGTTAGTATCGAGAGTTGTTGGTCAGGCTGGGCAACTTGAGGGCCAAACCACAGGTTGAAAGAGTTCAAGGACCAATGTTGTGACAACATAGGATGGAAAAACTTCAATTGAGATGGCACTTATGCTTGAGCATGTGAAGTTATATCAGTATTGGGAGAAGCGGGGGCGGAGATGAAGTAGCTGCTATATCATGTAAGATCTTGTCCCTGTGATTCTGAATCCGTGGGCTTTGCATATCATTCCTATGACAGTTCCGTTTTGAACCGCCCTATGCACAACCCAAGCCACGGGTGCAGCCTGTATTTATGACACCGATGCCCACTGTAATCATCAGAGAGGTCGTCGAGGGCAGGCCCTTAGCCTTGCCAAGATACATCTCAGCCTTGCTGACAACGACTGCGAGGTCCGGTCACGTGAGTGATTACCAGAAAAGGATTAGCGCTGTACATTCTGTCTTCAAAAATCCATCCGCAGCAGTTGCCCGCCAAAATGAACGGATGTCTTTATTCGATTCGACTCTTTTGATTGATGAAACACTTCCATTTTGTATATCAGTTAAGGAGCTCCTATCAGACGAATGCGTCATGATGAATGTAGCTGAAACCTGAACAAGTGCAACCTACCGGGGGCTGTGCCGATCACGTGAGGTACGCTAAACTCAATTTGTCAGTTGAGGGGAGACGTACCGTCATCGAATTCAGGCATCAAGCAAACCAGATCCAAGTCTTTCAACAGCTCAGCCACATTGGTGGCCGTATTCCAATACGAACAATACCATCATTTGCTGAACGGCGCAACCTACTCCAAACGCTTCTGAAATATCTCAACTCGTCCCGCGCTCCCTACTTGACGGGGAGCAAACTAATCATCCACCACGCAAGACAAGTGTCTTCCATGTCTGATTAAGCAGATCAGGCATGGTAGGCGTTCCAAGGAGTAAAGGATGTAGAATATGCGTCCAGCGTCGCGTCAAGGTAAAGCACGGAATGTCGACAAGTCCTCTGGATGCAGACTGACTCGTATATCCACAGTGCGACCAGACACGCCCAGTGTGTAAGCCTTTCCGCAACTCAATTTCACTTTCTGGGCATTCTTGACCTCAGTTTTCCGTCCAGGCAACAATTGCTTGAAAGGCAATCGTCCATGTCCGGGATATGATTCCGATCTCAGGATCCACGATGAAGGCACCAAACTTCGAAGACGATATGGTCCAAAAGACGTCAGCGACACCAAAACCGACTCGGACAGTTCCTCCCCATCCACCAGCCTATCAACAGAGTCATCTCCTGAAGAATCCACGGAGCTAGTTACGCGACACAAAACACCCTACTCTGAGACAACGCAGGGCTATCGTGGTGATATGCTTTTACCCTCGCGGAACCCCTTTTTCAGCCTTCTCGAGAATCAAATCTACCCCGATGCCGACCCTTTGGATTCTAGATCTCTGAGTTCCTCTTTTAACTTCAATGACCTCCTCGATGGCGGTTCAGTCGATTTAGATATCCCGTTGGAAATGGCGCCAAACAACTCGGTCTATTCTCCCTTTCTTGTCCAAGAACAACTTCTAAACACGTTTTCCTCCGCCATGGGAACGACTGCCGGTAACCTGGTCCTTCCTCGTCATATGCAGAGTCACACTCGTTGGCTCTCGCAACTCCCTCGGCTATTTGGTACCAAATTGCTCGACAGTGCTGTTCGCGCAGTCTCTCTGATTCATTTAGGCCGAGTTCAGCAATTGGACGTATTGGTACACGAGTCAAGTCACTTCTATGGCAAAGCACTTCGTCTTCTAAACCAGTCACTGACTGATCATACCAAGGGCATGTCAACCGAGACACTCTCGGCCACCATTCTTCTTTCATTTTATGAAATGTTCGCCTCCGACTCGAACGAATCTTGGGTGCGCCATGCAGGCGGGGCCGGCACGTTGATGCGCATCCGCGGACCAGCACGACATCTCCATGGAGTCGATCGAGACGTCTATCTTGCCTATCGTCACACCATTGTTATTGACGCCTTCCAACGAGACGAACCTTGTTTTCTCAGTGAGCCTGAGTGGCTGGAGCTATCAAAAACAATTCACGAGGATCTCCGCTCGTCCGGTCTGTCAAAAGAGCGTCTGGAAATCTTTGACCTGGCAGAGGAATTCTACCTGGAAAGTGTGTTCGTTCCAACCACCTTTAGCCATGTAAGAAAGATCCCAGAAGCCCGTCTGCGATTGAACCCCGAACAATTCAAAGTGTACGAAGAATCCATTCTGGAACGATGCCGGCAACACCGAACGAACCTCAAATCCATCAACTTACGATTTCGGGCCGCTCTCAAAAAGATAGGATTGGAAACCACCACTTATGAGACCCTCGACCCTGTTTTCCCGATCCAATACGGATATGTCAATGTCTTCATCGGCTCAACCCACGTTGGACACTGGACGATTTTGCTCCTCCTCAACATCATCCTGAAGGAGATGGAAATGGAGTTCGCTCCAGAAAAGACCGGTCTCTACCTGATGGAAAATAGGGAAATCGCACGTGAAATTTGTCGGACGACACCCTTCATGTTGACATCATCTTTCCACGGACCGTTCTTCATCATTTTCGCCCTCAGACTGTGCTTGATGGTCTTTGAACCGGGAATGGAAAGGGAATGGGTGATTCGAAAGCTGGTTCATATCGGACAGACCCATATGAAGATGGCCGCGGACATACCTGTTTTAGAGCCGGATTCCAGCATATCATCCAAAGGGCAGGAAAACCCTGGCAAAGTCGATGTCGATGTCGTGGGATAGGAAGAATCACCGAGTTCAATGATTACGAGGTTGTGACGAGTGTTCGGCAGCCAGGAAAGTGTTCGATGATAATGGCCTGGGGGCCAAAAGCAAGTTGGCACCTCAGGCTTCCTCCGGAAATGCGGCTGCTGGCTTTTTGCTCTAACTGATCGGACGAATTGTGCTAGCAATCTGCTTCGCCGTATTACTAATAGAGTCTTGACACACCGGGCATTTGGATTTCACCAAGAGCAAACTCCGTACAAAACCTGGACGGATGAAATTGATGAATCAATGGTTCAACCCGGAATTTGTCAGCTTGAGAGGACTATATAAGCACAGCAGTGTTACCCAATTCCGACTCCTTGTTAGGGTTACCAGTCAATTCGAAACTGGACTGTTTCAATTTATTATCACGGTCGCTACGTCCTGTTGAATAAGCTTCCTACAGAAAAAGGACAAGGCGTTCACGACCATGACCATGGCAACTCATCCGGCCATTGTGACGGTGGGTCCAGGTCTCCCGCTAGAGATCCACCAAGTCCCTACACCAACAACAACCGACCGCCAAATTCGAGTTAGGAGCGAATGGACGGCATCAACCCCTCTTGACCTTCACCAAGCAGATGGCGGCCTTCTTGTTAAGCATCCTCAAGTCCTCGGCGATGGCGTTGCCGGCATAGTTGTCGAAGTTGGGCCTGACGTCTCCCGTTTCAGGGTCGGCGACAGAGTATTCGGCTTCACCTGGCGCGATCAAGCAGAAAAGGCTCATCAAGAATATGTCGTTGCGCCGGAATTTCTCTTCGGCAAGCTCCCCCACACAATCATGATGCAGCAAGCCGTGACCGTCCCTAACAATTTCGTGACTGCGTGGCACACATTCACGAAAGATTTCGGGTTTGAGCTTCCCTGGCCGAAACCAGAGGATTATGTACCGAGCGAAGCCAAGCAGTGGATTCTAATCTGGGGCGGCAGTTCAAGCGTTGGACAGTACGCGTTGCAGATATTGAAATGGTTCGGGTACAAGAACGTGATTGCGACAGCGAGCAAGAGGCATCATGAGAAATTGTACAAGTACGGCGCTGCGAACTGTTTCGATTACCGGGAGCGTGATGTCGAGGGGAAGATCGTCGAGTTTGTTGCGGGCAGCAACAGCAACAATACCAGCAGTGGCAGTGGCAATGGCAGCATTCATTATATTCTGGACTGTATCGGCCGTTTAGAAGGGAGTGTGATGCCCGTGAGCAGGACTGCCAAGGATGGAGCAAAAGTTGCGGTTCTATTGCCAATCATCGTCAAAGACGCAGCTGAGGGAATCAAGCCAGAATATGAGATGGATGTTGGAAAGGTGGCTCGTTGGTCAGAGGGTGTGCAGGCGATCGGGGTCCGGACGCATTTTTACTTGGACAATAAGTTTCTGGCGGAAAAGTTGCAGTCGGAGATCATGCCAATGTTGTTGGCCGAAGGAGTTATCGAGCCGAATGAGCAGATCGTTGTCGAGGGAAAGACGATGCTCGAAAGGGAGGAGAAAGCGTTGTCGATGTTAAGAAGGAAAGAAGTTAGTGGCGCGAGGTTGGTGTGGAGAGTTTCCGACTAGAGCAATTGGAAGGAAAAATTTAGAAAGAGGACAGGGGAGATCATGAATATATGATCTTCCAGTATTTACTGATGCAGGAATCGAATCAGAGATCGAGACAGATCCTCCCCTTTCAATCCAGGGTGCTGGCCGGAAAATAGCCTGCGTCCATGCCATTTTATGTCGGCGATAGATACATTGACATAGGAACTGGGACAACAACCCCGAGGAACGCATCCCATAATTATTGGTCTGACTTGGCTTTGCTCTACGATTCACCTATCCGAATCGTTACTCAAGAAATGTGCAGGTAACAACTCTTCCGCTCTAGATTGCGCAAAGGGGTATTTTAGGTAGAAAAGGTAGAAGCCGGTCATTATAAACTGGGCTTCTGATTGGGTTCAACGATACTATGATGGTCAACATCGACACGAGAGATACGTAGGTGGTCGCGGAGACGATATCTAGCAGATAGGCCATTACTTCGACAAGGCTGCGCTCCACTATTCACGCTAGTTACTAGACTCTGATTAGCTAGTTAGAGCAGCATCACTGTCGTCCGAATCGGGGTTGAGTCCACTTGACGAGCGACTGCGGACTGCGGCATGCTCTTCTCTATCTTCATGAGGAGCGTCCTCATATCGGCACAAGCGCAACCATGACTCTCTGGGGCCAAGACACAGTCAAGGATGTCGCCGAATCAGTCGGTATCATAAATCTCAACAAGGATGTCAACCACGCCCTGTGTCGAGATGTCGAGTACCGGATATCGCAAGTTCTACAAGAGGCACTTAAATTCATGAAACATTCCAAACGGACGATTCTCTGGTCACAAGACATTTCACAAGCTCTTCGTGTACTAGACATCGAACCTCTTTACGGCTACGAATCTACACGTCCCTTGAAATATGGCGAGGCATCACTGGGACCCGGACAGCCTTTGTTCTATGTGGAGGATGAAGAGATGGATTTTGAGAAACTCATCAACGCGCCTCTGCCGAAAGTGCCTCGTGAAGTCTCATTCACAGGTGAGCATCGTATGATGGATGCCAAGCAGACGGACACTGACAGTTGACAGCACACTGGCTTGCGGTGGAAGGTGTACAACCATCGATACCTCAAAATCCCACCTCAAGCGAAGCAAGAAATCTCGAACTCCTACCCAAAGGACCCAATGCCAACCCTGCCCTTGCAGCGATGAATGGCGCAGACAACACCACCACGAAGCCTCAAGTCAAACATATCTTGTCAAAAGAACTACAACTGTATTTTGAGAAAGTTTGCGCGTCGGTCCTGGATGAGACTCAGCCCGAATATCGCACGGCAGGTTTGGCCAGTCTCAAAGAGGATCCCGGTCTGCATCAACTCGTACCTTATTTCGTTCAATTTGTAGCCGAGAAGGTCACACACAACCTGAAAGATTTGTTCGTTCTGACACAGATGATGATGGTGACCGAGGCATTGACGAGAAATGAAAAACTCAACCTTACTCCATACGTATGGATTTCTGTTCGAACGTGTCGACTGAAGCTAACTATTTCATAGGTAGCCTCGATGGTGCCCCCTGTATTGACCTGTTTGATCGGACGGACACTGGGGTCAGGAATGGGTACACTAGATCATTTTGACCTGCGCGATCTCGCCGGGTCTTTGCTAGGCCACCTCTGCAATAAATACTCGAAATATTCTCACAATCTCAAGCCACGACTGGCGCGATCATGCCTGAAGACGTTTCTAGACCCGAAGAAACCATTTGGCAGCCATTATGGTGCAATTCTTGGATTGAAAGCAATCGGAGGAGCCGAAGTAGTACGACAGTTGATCGTATCCAATCTCAAGGCATACGGAGAGCTTTTGGAGGAAGAAATTCAAGATCAAAATGGGAAGAAGGCCGAAGCCGAGAAGGTTGTCAGTGCAATTCTCAACGCACTTGGAACACTGGTGGATGACGATATTCCCATGACGAATGGACATTCTGAACAATCGGCCAGCAGCATGCGAACCAAGCTTATTGATCAACTTGGAGAAGTGATCGGGAGTCGAATAGCAGATTCCGGTCATACTCGGTTGGCCAAAGCAGTTCTAGAAGGGTCTCTGGCAGGATTATGAATGCGATAATGCAGGCTGGATTATGGGAACGGCGTTGGAGAATTGGCAACGGTATTCAGGAAGCGAATGATCGATACCCGGCAATTGAGCCATTTTGATGTTGTGAATCGTGGCACAAGACCAAAAAGTTCAGCAATGAACAGGACTGGTATTCTGTTTCACATGCAGTCTAATGCTCTTAGCATGAAGAAGGGAGGGATGAAACCGAGACAGCTGAGTAGGAACGGAAATGAGTATTGATTCCTGCAGGCTAAATGCAGAATCGTGTAACGCCAAGTACCGAGTACTTGGGTCGACGTAGCAAAATGTGCTTGACAAAATGTACTGGCTACTTTCTTTCCAATGATCAACTCGACGATTGGACAAAAGATTCCTTACATAGGGAAAAGATCAACGACTCAGAATCCTAGCATATTAATCATGGTCAGCCTAGAGATGATTTTCAAGAATATCTTGACTCCTCGACTCCTTTGATGCTTACCGGATACCCACATCGTCTCTTGGGATTGGGATCTAACGAGATTAGTGTCTGCCCCATACTCCTTCTGCAGTATCGCCGTATCGGTAGCACGACAGTAGGACTGACCTGGTCCCCCTCCAATACCTCGTTTATTGTCCATTCAATGCCTCAATCCCATCTATGGCTGATCAATGTCCAAGGACGAATGTTGAACGGTCCTATCGATCATTGCCATGTTCAACTAAGTCTGCCTCTTTTCCTGCTGCGACAGTCTCCCTTCAGCTTACCCTCCTTGCCTCCATCTCTGACGGAGTAAGCGTCTAGTACGAATCCGTGTACCACCATTTTCCTGAAGAACCCACCCCTTCTGTCTCGCCAGCGCAAGTTTCCGCTCTTTTTTGTTCAACTGCGCATGCTCTTTTCATTTCCCAGGCCAACTTGGCTGCGACCCGCCTTCACAATCATGAAGCTGCTCAACCTCATCAATGTGGTGTCGTGGTGTGCTCTTAATGCTCGAATTGCCCATGCCTTGTCCAACGTCACATTCTACTCTGACGACCAATGTACCGAAGTTATCAGTGAAAAGAACGGTCCAGATGATGGAACATGTACACCGTTTCCCACAATTGCTCTCAGTTTTCTCAGCTTTAGAGTCACTAGCCTGGACCAAACATGCGCAGGTGAGTTTTTCAGAAGATCACCAGCGTTACTACTGCCAAAGCTAATGTATACTTTTCATTCAGTGACTGTCTATGGCACTGATCCTCCATTCTGCAGTTCTGATCTCAAGTTCATCGCCCCTTTTTCAGATTGCATGACCAATACAACCGTCAATCAATTCTCCGTCGATTGTCAAGACTATTCAGTTGCTACCGCATCTGCCCCAGCCATTGCTCCTACTGCAACTGCTGCGCCATCGACGGACGAAGGCTTGTCTACGGGAGCCAAAGCGGGTATTGGGATTGGTGCAGCAGTTGGGGGATTAGTGTTCATTGCTCTCCTCGTGTTCTTCGTCATGAGGAACAATAAAAGGAAGAAACGAGAAATGGAGGCAGGAAGAGTTGAGGCAGATTCAAAACCCGCAGTTCCTCCTTACTCAACCGAGTTGCCCCCAGACGAGAAGAAAGTACCGGTAGAATTGCCTCCTCAAGCGATGATTCCAGTCGAGGCGCCGGGAGATCGACATTGGCCCCCACCTCAAGAACTCGAAGGCGATAGGACCGTTCAATCAGAAATGGAAGGATCTCTCCCGACATCAAAGGAGGATGTCAAACAGGATGTCAAAGCAGAGAACGATTACGATGTCAAGAAGACTCCGAACGCGGATCCTTGACGGCCACGCTTCACCCACGTCCGATTGTCGAGGAGCTTGACACGCTGAATTGGATTGTGGTCAGACGAGGTCGGAGTTCGACGGCCATAGCTTCTAAATGAACCCAATGTGGCGACTGGACGACGTCGTCTGATGTTTCAAGAATTACCGATACAGATTCTCGACATGGCGGAGGCTGAACAATTGTCATCAGCAAAGAAGATGTGTGGTTGAAACAAATCTTGGAGATGTCCTACTCAGCCAACCACTTTCAAGGCTCATGGATCAAATTGCTTGCCAGCGCCTCTTCTAACCTATGACCGGTCTCATTTCCAAACAATCAGCAATCGACACAAAAGTGCTTGGATTACACCGCACCTTGATCGCCTCGGAAAACAAAAGATCACAGAACCGTGAAGAGAAGTATCTCGAACAATCACCTAATCCATTTAGTGAAAACGAAACATCATCTGTGAAGAAAAGCTCCACGAGAGAGCCTGACTCAATGAATAGACGACGGCAGAGGTACGGTTATTTCGATCCTTTCATCCCGGCAACCACTCCGTTAGACAAAGTCGAGGCTATACTAGATAGCTTAGCCTCAGGAAGAGGAATACATGAACCATGGACCCCAGACCCAAAACCACTTAGGATCTCTCCCCAAGTGCCTCTGAGCCTAATATCGAAGCCTCTTCCTTCACGACGAGATTGGCACACCAGAATCCATCATCACCAGCCACCCTATTCTACACTACTATCTGATAACTGATGAGCCTGGCTACTACGTTAGAAAAGGCGATCTTTGCAGATTACACGAGATCTCCCTTCCTCCAAAGACCGATCTCTTGACGTTCATCTTTGTCTTGTGAGACTTTAACTTATATTCAATATACAGACACTCAATGACCATTTTATTTCGTTCCAACCCATTCAAGCTTTCTTCTGTTCTGATAGGTTGGCCGACAACTACACTCGACTATTTCCGAACTTTGATCAACCACAATTTGATCGGAGAGACCGAATTCGATTCCATTTGCATTTGATCATAACATTGACTTCAAGCCTGACCAAGGCAGTGGGCTGTTAGTTATCAAGTACACGAACAAGACACCGATGGCAGTCTCTGCTTCTGGTGGACATCACTGAACAAACTCTGTGCGGAAAATTCGACGCGAACAATTTCCTTCAAGAAAGGGAAGGATCCTACGCCCGTCCTGCCCTGTTCTTTTCCTAGAGCTTTTCTGTCCAAGATTTCATACAAACGACGTCAAACAAAGCCATAGGAAACTTTTCCGTCTGCTGCACCAGATCGGGAAGATGGCTCTCTCGATGGGGCAGATGTTTCCAACTCCCGTTCCCCAGGATATCATCTCATTTTTCTCATTCATGGCGTATCATATCGATCACCACCACTTGAAATCATCTCAACCGAGATCCATGTCCGGAGCCAACCCCTTCGCTTCACGCTCCCACCACGCAAGGCACCACTTCAAAAACCCTTCCTGCTCCTTCCTCATCTCTTTGTCCTTCTCACTAGTCTCCTCTTTGACAATTGTGTACTGACTTCCATTTCTCGTGGGTCCGAGGTCCAGTAATTCGTCATACCCCTCGTCGCCGACGCCCAATGCCGCCACACCTCCGACCGTGTCGTCAATCTCATACTCGTCCTCGAGTTCGACGATACGTCGCCCGTACTGGCGCGGTGCATAGTCCACAAGCGTATCAGGCCTTACGTACCCGTAGGTCATGAATCGGATGTACATCTTCTTAAACGTCATGCGCCGCCGTATGGCTTCACGAATAATCAGCTGGTCTGGCCGAAGGAGGATTTCGGGCTCGCGCCCTAGTTGTGTGGCGGTCCGCTCGCCCCAGTACTCGAGTCTGCCCCTGCCGACCTGCTCGGGTGGGATGCCGAAGATACTCAGGCCCTGCTCGTCTTCGGCTGGCGTGTACTTGAGCTTGACCCACTCGCGGAGTATGTCCAAGCGGGTCGTCCACAGATCGCGACGGAGGACACGCAGGACTGTCGTCAGGCTTTTCTGCGACATGAGCAGTTTGCGCATATCGTCGTGTTTTTCGCTGGCGACTGGGTCGTTGAGGCGCATGTCGAGTTTGACGAAGAAGCACATGGCAAAGAAAATGTCGAGGTCCGTGAGGAGACGTCGATTGTGCACGAGCCCGATGCGGCGCGCGTTATCGGGCACGTCAAGCAGGTACCAGAGCCGCTTGAGCGCGAGGCGGCAGCGGAACGGTAAGGGGATGCCGTCTTCCGCAAACACGGCCATGATTTCGTGCACGACTTTCTCGCGGTGGATGATCATCTTGAGCCAGCGGAACGAGGGGATCAAGCGGGGGACGTGGCGTGCAGCTAAGGCCGCGCGAGGGTGTGGGATCTGCGTAGCCGGGTCTGTTCGGCTGAGTCGCGAGTAGCTGCGAAAGACGAATGTGCGGGCGCTCTCAGGCGCTTTGTTCATGGCCTGAGTGAGGACGACTGTCGTGAAGCGCGTGTCGAGGATCGTGTGAAAGTCTCGGCTGATTGCGTACAGGCTGATGAGATCCTTAACGGGAAGGACGCTGGCGAGGGCGAAGACGAGTTCCGGGTACAAGAGGACGCCGTTGAAGATGTTGAAGTTGGGATCGCTGGTGCGTTGATACACGTACGGTGGAGGCGGGAAGATGTTCTCGGGCCGCTTACGTTTCGAGGATATGCGGGCGTGACGACTTGCGCGTTCGAGCCGGTGGGGAGACATGTACAGGTGTTCGGGGACTAGGGACTCGGGATTCGCTAGGTATGGAGCTGGTTGGAAGGATCGCATTGCTTCGATTCGATTTCTTGTGGTACTGTAATTGTATGCCGCGGATAGTGGTTGCTGAGCACGAGTACCAGGGCCAAGTCCACCAAAGTCTCGCGGGAATGGAGGGGGGTTTGGTAGGAGTCGGCCATGCTCGTCGCGGTCCATGTCGACGTAGAGTGTCGTTGGTAGAGATGGTTGGAATGGAGGAGGTGGTGGTGGTTGACTGGGACCGGAGTTTGGTTGCTGTTGTGGCAGAAGAGATCCGAGGCCATAAACTCCATCTCTTCGCTTGTTTCTGATGCTCAGCTTATCCAGGTCCGGTGTGGCTAAGGTGGAGCTGGCAGGTTTTGTATTTTCTTCATCGCTTCTTGAGCCCCAGCCCCGATCTTGTTTGCCATTTTCGCTCTCGTCAATATCGGTTTCTGCATCACTGTCTGAGAGCAGCTGGCGAGGGGATTCTCGATGGGAAGATCTACCCTGCCCAATGATTGGGTTGGTTGCTGATGGGGAATGAGAAGAATTGTTTGAGTTCGCTTTGTTGTTAGAGCTGGAAGGAAGAGATGGAGTGCTATTCGTCTGAGGTGAGTCGTCTGTCTCTGAGCCTTTCTTGGAAGGAAGAATGCCGCCTATCTTACTTTTGCCGTTGCTGAAGAAGCGAGATTTCTTCTTTGGAGGAGGGGCGTCATCCATCTTGACAGAAAATACTGAGGACTAAGATGAGCATCGAATGAGAAGGATTGTGTAACTGACCTTGAATTGTGAGTCTGATCAAATGAAAATAGGTTTGTGAGGCGCAGTGGAAATGTGAGGTAGTTAGCAACAAGAAGTGAATCACATCAAATCGCCGTTCATTGTGATCGCAATCGCTTTGGTGCGGTAGAATCTTTGCAGACCCGGTAACCAAAATTCTTCTTTTGCCATCTTTTTCATTTTGTCTCTTACAACTCACAGCACCCGCCTCAGTGTTGGCATGCAGAATTCGGGGGGATGATGGACGCTAAGGAGCTTCCTGTCCCTCTCCTTCACTCCGGTTATCATGAACTTCGCCTGTTCACCTACTTCATAACAATGGCTCAAACATATTGCCATCATGCTTGTTGTCTCCCTTGAGATTCCATGAGGAGCACCGAAGAGATCAATATGCGTTATAGAAGGAATGCTTTGCAGTAACAGCTTCTACGTATCACAAGACTTTGCGTCGATCGATCCTCGTTTCCTCATGAAACCTCGATTCGGATCACCTCAATTACCTTTTTCTGTCAATCATACTTCTTGAGACCTCCATCTGCCTTGAAGATTAAAACACCCTGAAAGAAAAGAAAAAGCGTTCCGGCTTGGATATCAAGCCGAGCTGAGCTAGCAGATCGATCAAAATTTCTGGGCAAATTGTACAATGACCAGATTTCCACCACGGCCGCCGTGAACGTGTCATAGCCGCCACTCCAGCTTGGCAAACAGCGCTGCCTGTCAAAATGGTCCCATCAAAAAAGACAACTTTCATTGAATTGCGTTGACCCTTGAATCGCCTCATCTTCTTCCTTCGGACCTCGACTTGAATCATGTCTGCTGTTCGTCGAGACGGTATGCTTGAAGCCGACGCAGCTACTTGACCGTGCCATTCATCTCAAAGACCAAGCCAGAACGAACGATGCAATTGAGAGGAAACAAGGACACCCCGGCAACGATGCTCTTGATGAGGAATCCGACATCTTTTCCGATGCAGCTTTCGACCCCTCCAGAGTTCTTAATAAATCATCCCCCCAATCCCAAAAGTCAACTCATGATGCTGTGTCCGATACTGTCAAAGACTTGAAATATCTCGTGCCCCATCCAAAACGCGTCATGCACAGTAAATTTACTCGCGTGGCAGCTAGGGAACCTTGAAAATGCGAGACATCCCATCTGGAGTATTGACCAAGATCAGGAAGTCCACGATGCCCACGATGCTCTAACCAGAGCGACCACCAGAGAATCAGATATTTTGGATATTGATCGAGTGGCTTCAGAAGTCGATGAATCACGCGGTCGTGTCCAAAAAGTCCATCCGCAAGGAGAAAGTCTTCAAGCAGTTGGATCCTCACTCGAAATGTGTCTCGTGTCAAAGTTATGCGACCTTGGCCTTGAGGATCTCGCTCGCATCATCGAAAGGATCGCCATCACCAATGCACCATGGCAACCTTTCCTTGTCAACATTCAGCACGTCTACATATGGAAGGATCCGAAACGCACAGCAAGATGGTTCGGCCTTTTTTGTGTGCTATGATACACCGAGCACATCATGGGCTAATTTTACTTTTCCATCATCTGCTCGAACCCCCGCAGCGAATTCCGATCTGGTTCCGTACAAGCTATTCATGACAGTGTGACAAGAGCCAGTGGCCGAGAGGCTCGAGCTCAAGCTTGGGGATAGATTGATTCAATAGTATGGAAAATGTGATTGGTTTAAACCGTTTCTGGATGAAATCGGTCCTATCCTTCATATGCAACCTAGCGATCTTGCTGATTTTCTCAAAGTCCTCTTCAATTCCGCCGACACGAATGAACGAAGATGACGTTGCCACACTGTTCTTCTTCTCCTGATGGTTTCTCATGGCATTGTTAACCGATATGGCATTTTGCATAACTGGTCTGGTTCATATTTGGGAGTGGATTTTTTTCGCACATCCTATTGCCACGAGGATTCCGCAATATCGTCATCTTGTCTAGCATTTTTGTTGGATGTTTCGGGATATTCCTCCTCATGCCGAATTGATCATTCAGCAATTACAAGAGAAAGCCGTCATGAGAGATGCTGAACTTACTGACTTTGAGCTCCAGCGAGAAGATCATTCCGGCGAGACTGATTCAGAGTCAGGCGGGGGCTTTTTGTCAACAGTAGACGGCACCCGTCTTGGATCCATACAGCCAAATCTTTGATATGGTTGACCGCAGAAGCCTCCGGGTCGTTTCAATGACAGATGTTACCATCTACTCCAGCGCAAGCAAACAACGATGGCGGCCATTTTCTCCCCTTTCTGAATTGCGCAAACTCGACCATGTCGACACGGAGTCTACTCTCGACATCTGCATTCTCCATCCGCAGATGAGTGGCTTTTTTTTTCTTTGGTCCCCAGTGATAAGGACGAAGAACAATTACTTACCATCCTTCTTTGTCCTGCTGATCGAGATCGAGTCTTTCATCTCGTTCCCGCCTAGTCTGGTCAGAGATGGCAATCATTGCAAATGGAAAGACATAACAGGATAGACAGTGATCAAAGAAATCTAGATATTACCATCAAGCGAGCATTTCATTGATTCATTTGGCATCGTTGACTCATTCGGCGACTCGTGGATTTCATCCGTACAAACGGCACTTTTTAATGTCGAAAAGCTCCCACTTTTCTCCTCCACCACGCCACAAAATCCACCGTTGCAATATCAATCCCCAAATTTTTCAACTCGCTCGTATCCAAATGACAATCGTACGGTCTCAACGTGCCATCTGCCCCCGGTTTCCCACCGTCTTTATCCGCCACGAGTCCATCCATCGGCAACCCCATGATCTCTGCAAACTTCTTGCAGATCTCGTACTTGGTCATGCGGTCCTCGCTGCTGAATTGTAGAATGCGCGGCAGATTGTCTTTCTCGCTTGTATATAGTTTTGCAATATCGACGCACACGCGCGCCACATCCTCAACGTTCGTCGGGTATCGGATCGCCCAGTCATCCATCTTGACGGGCTCTTTCTGCGACGTGTACAGCGCGTCCATGAGGATATTGACCGCGCTTTCTTGGTTGTTGTCGGCCGGTAACGTGGGGCCGTAGAGGACGGGGACTCGTAGGACGACGGTCCCAGAGTGTTTTAGCACTGCATTTTCGCCGTCGAGTTTTGTTTGGCCGTAGATGTTGGTCGGCTTGGGAGGGTCGTCGGCTTTGTACGGTGCTTGGCCGGCCACGCCAGGGAATACGTAGTCGGTCGAGATGTAGATGAGAAAAGCATTGTGGGAGGCTGCGAGCGAAGCGAGGGATTCTGTTGCTGTCACGTTCAGGCGACGAGCCTCTTGGGGGTTCTTGGTGCAGGAGTCAGGTTGGCGGTCCGCGGCGCCTAGAAGGATGTTCTGTTAGCTTCTTTGCGTAACTGATGAGCCATACACACAGTGGACGATGACTTGAGGTCTGAAGGTGGGGTTAGCTTTTTGATTTTCCTATGCGTAGCCATCCCTACTTGACCTCGTCCAGGAGCTGGGTCACGGCTTCGCTGTCCTTGATGTCTACCTCGTGGATCGTGGATGAGGCTCGACGGAAGCCCGTGCCGGTTGTTTGCCAGCCTGCGTCGGAAAATGCTTTGGCTACCTGTCGGCCTAACAGGCCTGTCGCTCCTGTTACTAGAGCTGATGGCATTGTTGATGGGTTTTGACCACGAGTTGGTTAGAAGTTGACATGAGAGCTGGTTTTGGAGAAGGTTTCGCACTCCGATTCTTTTAGCTATGCAATCAATGAAACTACGCTCCAAAAAGTCTTGGGACTTGTTTTACTCTACGCTGAGCTCTACCGTCTATGATCGGACTATCAACCCTCCTCCTTCTCCATGCCTTCGCACCAGGCGCCGACGATGATGAAAAAGGTGTGTTGGTTTCAAAAATTCCCACGCGAACCGAAGTCCACGAGGAGCGGTCAGTTAAAAGTTTTCTAGCAAATTCCATTAGTATGTCACTAATTTCATCCAGAATGTACGACTCACCAACTAGCAAAAAACAGGCATCGGATTGCTCCTCACTTGCGCTGTTACTGCCCGTGCACTGTTTTCTACCCGTTAGCCAACGTTCTGAAAGGTTCGAGTGAGGTGGATATGGACGTGGAAGCATGGAAGCTGGAGAGGAAGGAATAAGACATGATGGTGTATCTGAAAGGGGTCGGAGGTCTGGGCAAGGTAGGAAATCGATGCTGAATTCGACATGCGCAGATGGGAAGACTTGCCTTGGAATAGAAAAGAGGAAAGAAAAATTGTGATGCTGAGAGCGAAAGATATTCCTTGCGCGAGAGCCTAGTCTTGGCGTAGTCTAACCAAATTTGGACTGCGATGTTTTGCCGAAATTACCCATGGAGCCTGGTGCCTAATTTTCAACTCGCATCGCTGTCTAGTCATGAATCATGTCCTTCTCACGTTGCCGCCCTCGCAGGCAGACAATTACAGCTTTCCATGATCGATCACTCTCCACTGAACCTACATTTCTCTAAATGATTCAAAGAGCCAGCCCAGGAAGTTTTAATCACGTTCTTGGATGTCAATATATATCTCCAGACGTTCAGAACCTTTTTTCGAAACCAGAATTCTAGAAATTTTTCCGGTAAGTCTCTGACAATTGGAACAATTTGCAGACTCGATGATCCACACAGGTGTTGGAAAGTATCGTGTGTTTCTTCAAGGCGACGAAGATACTATTTCCATCGTGATTAATGTGTCCGAAATCATCCAGGTTTCCACGTCGTGACGTCGGAAAATCTAGTCCTGTCCAGCGTCAAGCCATTTTCGTCGGGTCTGACGAACCTGTCAACTCGAACATGGATATCAGTCCTATCGCTTGGAGAAACCTCTTGCGCTCCAAATGTGGTCAACCATCAACCCATTGGAGAGTACGGAAATGTCTCATCGAGAAGATCCCGGCATATCCATCCCGCTTGAGATGTTTGAAGACACAAAGAAATGCGCGCATTTGCTCTGGTTTCTTTCTCTTGGCGAGAACAGTTTCCTATTCTCGGGTTGAGATTAGCTAATTTTGTAAAGAAACCGCCCGTCACCATCGAGTCGTAGCCCGTCGTCGCCATCACGATCAATGAATGCACACGTACTATGGAATCACCTCCTTCCCGCTCATCTTATCCATCAAAGAGCTCGGTGCCTCTAACGCAAAATCTGTCTTCTTAAATGAGGATGATACTTCCATTTCCCTTCTCTGCCACAATGATATCTCCAATATACAGAAACATCCTTCTCACCGCTCCAATGGCAGGAAGAAGATCATTCGTAAGATGAAGGAGCTCGCACTTCGAGAACACAAGATATCCCAGCTTGGGAAGGAACTGGAAGATCTTGAAGCGTCCACTGTTGCCCAGGATAAAGGGCTTCGAGATGAATTTGAGAGTCTCCGGCCACTGGTCACTATATTGCAAGATATTCCAGCACAATGTGAAGATGGTCCCGTCAAAGGAGAAGCATCATTTGGAGACCGAGATTTAGAATAGAGGCATCTCGAAGCGAAGCTGCCTGATAAAGAACTTCTATCGGAGATGGAAAATTCAATTGCAGAGTGTTCCAACCTTGTCAAGAATTGATCAGCTTCGTTCTCTGCTTCAGTGGCTGGATTCCATGAAGTAGGTTGAGGATGAACAATCCATACATGACAATTGGAGAATGCCAATGATACGTCATCCTACGGGTGCTCCAACCAGTCCGCAGGGATGAACGCTTCCGCCTCCTTCTACGCCAACGCCTACAATTGGAAAGCCCTCCATTCGGACACCGCGTGCCATTCCTCTTGACACTGGTGAATCTTCAAGAGTGCGGCCAGTTGTGAGACGAAATCCACTGCCATCGGTCGAGGGGCCATTCCACGAAATCACTCATCAACACTAAAAAACTAAAGCATATGTTCCACCAATTGTCCTAGGAAGCACAGAAGACAGTCTTCCGGGCCACTGACGAGAGAAATATGTCCCGCCGCTTCCCCGTGTACGTATGGCAAGCTGCCTTGAAAGCCACAGACGACTGATATATGTCCCATCAAAGCTCCTAGCACGTTAACCAACCAAACACCTACACTATTACCGCAGCATGGCAGTCGAATCTCAAGAGGTACATGCTATCTCAGAACCTCTAGCCGAGGCACCATTCAAAAACAATTCGAAACAGGCAAATCCAAGGCACAACGTACACAGTTACCTCTTGACAGACGTCTGGCAGCATCATTCAGAAGGAATTCCACTATTCCTATCGAAAGCAGGCGAGGAACGTTCTCTACCACTTGACCCTAGTGCAAGACAATCTGCATCTGCATTTCAGGAACAATCACGGCCTGAAGTCCCACTCCAACCTGGCCAAAGCAACGTGAATTGCCACTCAAATCAGATAAAACATGTGTGCCTGCGACTAAGGATCAAGTTTTGGGGCAAACACGCGGAAAAATCATCGCCATTGAAGGTGTTAGCTCTTGTGCTGGGGAGCCCCGTTGTGACCACTCTTGACAAAAATCCCAAGAAATATGAAGACATCGGAACAATCAGCGAGGAGTGAAGAAGGGCAGTGAGCCTTGTTGGGCAGGACTTTCAAGCGACAGTGTATTAGGTGGAGCGTCTTATTGTTATCAGGAGTGTTATCTTATAAGGGTACCTATCATCCAGTGACCGTATTGGCCCATGAAGTCTGGCAGTCACGGACCAGCTGAAACGGCAGAGGACGAGCATTGATGACACGTTACAGGCTTGAATGTACAAGCATCCGAATCGCGGTATCGAAAAAATCATTGCTGCTAAACCACAAAAATTACTGCATTTTCTGCCCGGAGAGTTGTCCATCCGGTAGTTGGCTCTTTCCGACAAGTCGAAGCTCAAATATCAACAGTGACAATTCCCAGTAGAGATTAATACTCCAAGATCCCTGGTGACATCTCATGGATGAGGTGCGAAGATGGATCAAGGGTCTCAATGTCTGCTCGTCGATCTTGGCTGTTCCAAGCGGAATTTTGGTGTGAACGATGTCTCTGCCGGTCAGCCTCATCATCTCACTGGGTAGAATTCTTACGGGCTGGCATACTCTGTCTGATTCCCCGGCTCGTAGCTATCGTTCCGCAACAAGCTTTCGGTGATGATGATGCTGTTTCGACCAGCAATCACGTCATTCTGGTCGTTTCTCGGAGACACAGCTAGTGTTGCGCTCCTTCTGCTAGCCGTCTTCTCTATGGGTGGTTTTGGAGCCTCGATTTTCTATTCCCCAGCTTCGAGTATCTTGATGAGGTTCTTTGCCACTGATTTGACTTTCTTAATATGGCGACTGAATTTGCCGTGGTTGTCTTGTCGGGCAATGTTGAGTAGATCCAAAAGAAGTTTGACTGACCATGACCCGACGATGAACACCGACTCGTGGTTCGAGGCGAAGCTCTAAGCAGATGTTCAGCGCAATCGCATTCCGACCGGCCATAACATGGTTCACTGCGTGCAACCTGTTAACTGAAATTGATCCACAAGACGCGTTGGCCACCTTACCTCCTTATATCGAGCCTTACAGCGGCGAACGAGATTATTCATGTTTGCAGATTATTCCTCCACGGTTTGGGCAATCTGTAAAAGTTAATGAATCAGCATGAGAGCAGTTTATGCTTGTGATTTGGTATATCGTCGAGTTTCAACAAGAGATTTTAGGAGGAATGCGGTAGCGGTAGGCAGCAAAGAGCGTCATTGGCTTTCAAACTATGAATAATCATTTTGAACAAAGTTCCTTAACGATATTCTTCTGTTGGGAACGTGGCTACCTACATGAGAAGATCTGACATCTTCTATGTACATCTGGAACTGTAGGGTCAGAGCCTCCACCTCGTTGGATTTCCGTTTCCACCAACTGTATGGACGTTCTGCATTCTCATATGTCTGAACCTAATCAATTCGTCGGGCCCTGACCCTGTGTTTCGGGTACCAAGTTCTGGTCTCTTGCATTCAGCCCGATGGTGTATCATCAACTGCTTCTTGGTATGTCTTCGTCGTCAATGTCCACCATCATTCAATCTCCACGCTAACACTTTTTCCTCAAACTCCAGCCATCTTTGTACACACGAGCAGCACCCATCAGACAAGCACCGAGAGTCGTCGCCAATCCCAGACCCAACTGCGCCGATAAATACCCTCCTTTACCTCCACCATTCGTCGTCAATAAAGCGCCTCCAATTGGTGGACCAGCAAGACCTGCAAAGCTGAAAATCGAAAACGCCATCCCCATGCGAACGCCATTCTTACTCAAATCATTGTTCAGACTCGTTACCGTCGTGGGGAAAAGACATTGGAACGCTCCTGCTGAGAAGCCATAGAATGTCGAAAACACGTACATACCAGCTTCAGTAGTGACAGCAATCCAAGCAAATGCAAACAACGCATTGAGAAAGAGGAGAGGGACCATTACATTCAGAGGTCCTAGAAATTTGTCCGCAACGAAGCCCGTCATGAGTCGAATCGGGATGGCTGCTGCGTTGAAGATGATAAGCAGTGTGAGTGAGTCTGCATAGCTCATGTTGATGACGGTGCGACCGTAGGAGGCGATATAATAATAGGTAAAGAAGAGACCGCCAAAGACAAGGGACATGCCAACGAGGACACAGATGTACGGCACTTCATAGAAGGCCTTCCACTCGACGATCGGGCCGGCTTTTCGAGGTGGCAATCTCGGACGCATGAAAGCCAATGCAGTTGCGAGCAAGGCCAAATTCACAAACCCCAAAACACGGACGGTCCATGCATACCCAATCTTGGGAAGAAGTTGGCGCACGATGACAGGATATACTGCACCACCCACTGAATTACCCGTTGAGACAATGGCCACCGCAACTCCTCGATTCTTTTTGAAATAAGTGGTGACCAACCCCAAGGTCGGGCAGAAAAATATACCGCTGCCTAATCCTGTGCAGAGCCCTTGGGCCAGGACAAGTTGCCAAAATACTTTACAGAGACTCGTCATGAATATGCCGATTATTTGAATCACCGACCCGACCAACAGAGTGGGTATGAACAGTCCAGCATCCAATGCCCGACCAGAAAAAGCACTCACGAAGAAAACTACCCATAATTGGACCGAACCAACCCAAGATATCGTTGATTGTGACTCTCCCAGGGTGTCCGTGTAATAGGTTTGGAATACACCGAAGGAATTGATATAACCCCTGGAAGAAATCAGCTGCATCCGTCAAGCCGATAGGTTCCTCAACACACCAGGTAACAAAGCATACCACCCAGCCCATGGCCACTTGGATCCATGCTTTCAGTCCACCATCGGGGGGAGGGCCGGGATCAACGATAGATCGAGTGGTGAGTCGGGAGGCCGCCCTGCTTAAAGTATTACTGGCGACTTGTTTCAACTCGGGAAGTGAGGTGTGTTTGCTGAGGTCTAGATTTCCCTCGTCCTTTCCCTTGGGGTTATTGATCTCTATGACGTCTTTCTCGAACTCGGAAATATCTTGACTCGACATGCCGGCCTTCTCCTTGTGGGTTCATTTGTAGGGAATGCTGCAGACTTTTGAATCGATTCTGGTCAATAGCAGTGGAACAGTTTCAACAGCAACTGAGGAAAAGAAAAAAGAGTGAGTTGTACCCATCCCTGATTACCCGGCGTTGTATTATACTCATTCTCCAATTTGCGGGTTACCTCAAGTCGACCAGTATTCGCTGAAGCCTCGAGAATTGGAGACAAAGGCCTCGATACTGGTGCTTATCGGTGCCGGATAACCGACCAGTGCCAAAGGGCGCGGTCCCGCACTCGAAATGGAGATGTAATGCAGCTTAATATACAGCAAAATAGCCCGCACACAGGAGTAGCACACGGGTAATGACAGATTTCATCTCGCAAACAACGCCGACCTTGGCATTTTCACCGCCTGGAAGAAGTCCGACACTTTGCTGGTTTCGAGGATTTTCTCTCGATCTCGAAAAGGCAAGAAATATCGACATTGCTCTTCATGGACTGATTACACAGGGACGAACGGTAATGGTCGACGTGCACAATGAACGTGACCTGGGGGTCCCATCGCGGATTTGCTCTGCCACCTCACAGGCCCCCCAATCCACACGGCGTTGTGCTAAACAGTAAGACCACGATGACGGTGAGATCACCGCCCAGAGGCGGCATATTTGAACTGAGAGACAGGAATGTGATGGTTAGAAGAAATCCGAAGCCACGGTCAGGGTTCGCTCGCAAACTATGGTCATTTTGCGGTGGGCGCCAAATCCTTCACTCTCATTTAACGGGGTGACAACATTGCTCGTACCACGGTAAGTTTGGGCCCTCACGATGACCATCCCCTGGACATCTGAACAGCCTTCTCCCATCTCCCAAACATTTCTTTGCTCTTGGCCTCTTCCATTTCTGGAGTAAATACAGTGCGACCTTCAACATTGATATTCTTCAACTCGTCTATGCTCTCCCATACCCCGACGGCGAGGCCGGCAGCAATAGCAGCTCCGAGGGCTGTGGTCTCACGCATTTGTGGTCGTACTACCGGAATTTGAATCAAATCGGCTTGGGTCTGAAGCACATATTAGCCTTGTTCATGAAAGGAGAGATCGATGACTGGTCATACCTGCATAGTCAAGTCGGAATTGCTCATTCCACCATCAACGGCAAGTTCAGAGAGTTTGTGACCAGAATCTTTCTCCATGGCACTGAGAATTGCTTGGGTTTGGAAGCATGTCGCTTCTAGTGTGGCCCGTGCAATATGACCCCGTTGGGTGTAAGCGGTGATGCCGTCTGATATCAATGAGCATTAAGTGGATCGAGCGGGGGCCCCATATGGAAGAACTTACAGATGGTACCTCTTGCGTCGTCTATCCAGTATGGCGCAAAGAGCCCGCTGAAGGCGGTGACGAAAACCACACCACCGTTGTCATCAACTGTAGCTGCCAACTGACTGATCTTGCTGGATGACTCGACAAAGCCAAAGTTATCAACCAGAAATTTCACACTGGAACCGGCGACAGCAATACTCCCCTCAAGAGCATACATTCTTTTGCCTTCGCCAAAGTCATACGCCACAGTGCCGAGTAAACCGTGAGTGGAGAAGACCGGCTTCTCCCCGACATTATACAAGAGGAAACAGCCCGTACCGTAGGTATTCTTAGCAAGTCCCGGGGTAAATCCTTTTTGACCCACCAAGGCTGCGGACTGATCACCTAGGCAGCCAGTAATGCGGGTTCCTTGCAGCACACCCGACTCCAGAGAGCCATACGCCTCAGGATCGGATGACCGAGTGATCTTGGGGAAGTGGATCTTGGTCGGGTCGAGTCTGAAGAAATCGATGAGCTGCTCATCATAATCCAAGGTTGTCAGATTCATGAACATTGTTCTCGAGGCGTTCGTCGGGTCGGATACGAAGACGTTTTTCTTCGGACCGCCGTTGAGTTTGTACACCAGCCATGCATCGACGGTGCCAAAGGCGAGGATGCCTTTGTCATACGCATCCTTGACCTTGGGCACATTTTCTAGAAGCCAGAGCAATTTCCCAACGGAGGGATACGTCGACAAGGGCAAGCCGCAATGTTGTTGAAGTTGATCGGCCCCCAAACGATTCTTCAGCTTACGAACAAGAGCTTGTGTTCGAGTATCGGTCCAGACGATGGCATTGTACAGAGGTTCTCCGGTTTCAGAATTCCATACTACCTAGATATCGGAAGCAAAAGTTAATCCATTTTCAAAGCGATTGGCTCGGATGGGGGGATCACGGATTGGCCTGACAGTGGTCTCTCGTTGATTCGTAATTCCCACAGCTTTGATATTTGCGCTTGCGTGGCCTTGGTTTTCCAGGTCTTTGACGGCTCCTTCGATACATTCCTCCACCGACGAAATAATTTCGAGTGGATCATGTTCATGCCAGCTATTACCCGAATCAGTGCCATGATGCCATTATGAGTGTGTGATATGAGCTTCAACGTACCCTGGATGAGGATACATTTGCTTGAACTCAACCTGATGAGAAGCAATGGGGTCACCGTCTCGATTGAAAATGAGAAAACGGGTGCTGGTAGTTCCTTGGTCAATGGAACCCACGAATATCTCATGAGAGGGATGGCGCGCGGTGTCACCCATCTTGCCTCTGATTGCGGCCAACATCCAATCAATTTGGGCTCGGAATAGGTTGCGAGATGATGCCTGGAGTGGAAGATGGAGCAGAGAAATATTCGGTAGTTTTCTCGACGCTTGGGAGAATTCCGAATCGCTGGAGAAAAGCCGCTGGAGAAACAGCTGATCCGTGGGTTACTGAAGAGGGCTTCTGTTCGATTTTTCGAAGCGAGGCTCGGACTGGAGACCCCGAGCTGCAGTAGCAGTTCAAGTAGTTATTTCGCGGAATCCGGGGGTCCTCAGAGGCGGCTCCACGCCACGTGATCTGGTGGGAGGATGACGTTTTGACTGATAAACTTAATTGAGCAATTTCTCCACGAAGTCTCGGGAGAAAGACGATGATTTTTCCACTGATGATGGCTAGAGCATATGCCGACCCAGCCTTCGAGATGCACGACAGCTTAACTTAGCAATGTCCGGGGTAGATAGCAAGCAAGCCACAATTTGTCTCGACTGGAAGTGCGCTAATGTGAATTAGGCCTCACCAGTGTACGGCATCCTTGCTCGAAAGAACGAAGGAGAGTGGGTCAACCAGCGGTTTTGCCTCTTAGCACAGCGTGACACTGTAACATCAGCACCATTAGCGCCCTATGAGCCACTGTGCCATGTACAAGACCACCTTTTGTGATGCAGCGGCATCTTTCGGCAGTCCTACAGAGGCTGAGCCTAGCAACATCAGATGCTAATACGCACTGGTCAAATCGAGTCCTGTCGGACAAAGGCTCGGTGGCGCCGCTGGGAATAGACCCGCCAATCCTGCCGGATGCATGAAGGATTCTGCGGGGTAGCTTGGGATAAGAACGACAGATGGAGACACACCAGAGAGTAGGAGATGGAGAGTGGAATGACCTTGTGTCTCTGACCTTGCTCTCCACACTTATTTTCAACAGCCGGTGAGACGAAGCCGGAGACAGGACATTTGATTCGACGGAGTGTCTCCTGGCTCCCATATAGAATCAACCATGTTAAACGACCCGGCCTAAACAGACCAGCGCAGCACACGCCCTGGAGAATCGAAATTCGAGACCTCGGGCCTGAAAGTCAAAGACACCCCGAAATCTGCAAATTCAAAGTTCCTGCAAGTGACGAGGTTCACTCGATATCGTGGGACCAGGTTTTAGAAAGCGGGTGGGTAATTCACAATGGAAATTTCCATTTCGGCAGTTGGCGTTGATTGGTCCAATGGGGGCTTAGAGCTCCCCAATTCAAGTAAGATGCTGGATTTACGGGAGACAAAAAACTCGTCAGCCTCAGTCAGACGCCAGTTTGTTCTCTTATTGGTTCCATTTATTCGCTCGCTCAACAACGACGAGGCCGTATCGATTACTGTCTAGTCCATTCTGTCTCCAGTCTCTCCATACGGAGTACTTTGGATTACGTTCCAACCAAGTGAAGGAACCGAGAATTTGGTTAGTCCCGTACCATCGCGAAGACTTGTCACCAGGGCTTCCCCCAAGTGTTCCGGGTTGCTGACCCATCGATCTACAACTCTCCCTTCGGCCTTTGCTCACACCGAGATGGAAAATCAGTACTTCACTAGTGAGCCTTTCCATTCGTGCGGTGTTACATGCAACACTGTGCTTCACCTCCAAATAGTTCGGTCAAGCTGGCCTGCATGCACCCTTGGCATCCCGCCCACTCTCCTTTCCCCAGTATCCTGCACGATGACTGGTTCGTATCCGCCCGCCTCCGGGCATTTGGACTGGGACTCCGCATTGGCGGACTAGACCTGGTTGGAATTCCTTGCAAGAAGGACCCTCCACGTTGGAACAATAAGAGTCTAGCCTCTCCTCCCTTGAAGGAGCTGACGAAATGGCGAACGATCACATCACTACCATCCATCTCTCGGGAGATTTGAGCAAAGACGTCGACACCATGGCCCTCGAGAAAGAATCATTGTCCTCTACTCCTCCTGCCACTCAAAACGAGACGACCAATACTTCTTCTCCTGCTCCCAATCACCACATTCACCTTCTTCAACCTCAGGAAAACTACCGACACACCACGGTGGAAGGCCAGCCAGCTTATGCGGAACATGGGGCTCTTGTCGACCACAAGGTTCCACAAGAAGACGTCATTCAATCCGAGCCAGATCTCCTCTGGAGTCGGATTCGTCATTACTGCCGAGAACCGTTTTCAGAATTCTTTGGCGTATTCATCCTGATCTTGTTCGGCGACGGTGTCGTGGCTCAGGTTGTTCTTAGTAGTGGTACCAAAGGTGATTATCAGTCGATCTCATGGGGCTGGGGGTAAGATCTGGACCTGAGTCCCTTTTATTTGGGGGGAGATTTTCACTGACCTTTCTAGACTGGGTGTCATGTTAGGTGTTTATGCTGGAGGCATATCTGGAGGTCACATAAACCCGGCGGTCACGTTTGCCAATTGCGTGTTTCGAAAATTCCCTTGGCGAAAGTTTCCCATTTACATGGTAGCTCAAGTTCTCGGGGCCATGTGCGCATCTGGCGTCGTCTATGCGAACTATAAATCGGCTATTGACGTCTTCGAGGGTGGTGCCAATATTCGGACCGTCCCGGGATACTCGGAGACCGCTACGGCCGGCATTTTCTGCACGTATCCCGCGCCGTTCATGACGAAGACCGGGCAATTCTTTTCCGAATTTATCGCTTCTGCCATTCTCATGTTCATGATCTACGCCCTTAAAGATGACGGCAACATCGGAGCGGGACCTCTAACACCATTGGGCCTGTTCTTCGTCATCTTTGGAATTGGTGCTTGCTTTGGTTGGGAAACTGGCTATGCGATTAATCTGGCTCGTGATTTCGGACCCAGATTGATGTCGTACATGATAGGGTACGGCCCGCACGTGTGGACTGCTGGTGATTATTACTTCTGGGTGGGTCCAACATCTGGGAGTGCTCGTCTGACCTAGACGGCTAACATTTAATAGGTACCCATGGTTTCACCATTTCTCGGATGCACGTTCGGCGGTTGGCTGTACGACATGTTCCTCTTTACTGGCGAATCGCCCATCAATACGGAATGCGTAGGATTGGCAAGATTCCTCCACTTGGATCGAAAGACATGGTCCAACACATATGAGCCCAAGGAATCGTCCCCGGTTTAAAATCGACAAATGGTAACTGATGAGGGTTCAACAGGAATCGAAGTGGATGGAATTCGACAGAGGGAGAGTGAAGTCGCAGAGGGGAAAAAGGAAGATAAACATTTCACCAGCGACAGGCAGATCATAGCAGGCCAGGGCAGATAAAGATGAACAGACACGCGCGAAGAAACAGAACAGAACACACCACGGGGACAATCTCCAGAAAGATATGTATTTTAGGGTGCCATGATTTTTTTTTTTTGGTTTTCCCTTCTCTGAAAGCAAATGACAACAAACCCTTGGCTTGCTGAGGATTAACATTGGGAGATTAGTTACTTATCTCGTCCGGGCTCTTTTTGGATGAACTGAATCTCTCCATCTTTCTTGGGAAATCCGAAATCGACATGTTGATTACGCTCCCTAGCTACTAACGGCCGCTCTAACTTGCCCGTCGGCGGCTTCCGGCCGCCCAAATTCCAACCGTGGAGCTGGGCTGGCTTCGTTAATGTGTACCAGTCCCTGATCGCTGCGAGAATGTGGGTTCGGGCTGCGTCAAGAAGGTAACCGTCGCACGGCAATGTTCCGCCCTGCCACATACTACTCTCGCGTGACGAGGCTGAGACAGAAGAAACCCGCCAGGTTGAAGTACCTGATCGGTAGAAGCACAGATCTATATTGAGGACGTGGCCGGTGGTTGCGCGGCGGGGCTCAGGTCACGGATCACACAGAAGGTTCAGAAAGGGAGGTCGCCGAACACGTTGCTGGGAGGAGGCACGGCCAGGTCAGAGCATTGAAGCACTGATACGAGCCTAGTGGCTAGCAAGAGGCTGTCTGAGGAGACTTGCGGGTGGGGGGCGCCAATGGTGGCCAACCGCCAATCAGAATCGGCTCCCGTGACCGTGCTCGGCAAGCCTCGTTTAATTTCCCGAACAACCCTCCGGTCTCCTGCTGACCATCTCCCTGCGTAAACGATACCTCGTTGTTGGTCCTCCTCTGCCGCATCGGCCAAATTGCGGTCATGGACACCTAACCTCCGACCTCTCAGCGTGGAGCGTGCTCGCTGACCCTGAATGACGAATCTCCAACACGGTAGAGGCAGGCTGCCCAACTTGTCCGAAATTAGGAGGAATCAACTTTCAAATGCCGCGTCTCATGCATTTCTAGTAATTAAACATCTATTTTCAGAGGTCGGGGGATCGCCTATTCAGAGACCCTGCCCACTCCGAGACAAATTGGTCCGACTCTATCACTGACCACAAGAGCGTCTAGCCATTGCCCGTCGCATACAATGCGTATCCATCATTGGTCAACTCGTTCAAGCCCAAAGGGTTGCTTCAGCCTTATGGTCGTGCTTCCAGGCCTCCGGTTTATTTGTTGGCCTTAGCGGGCGGTCCCCCGACCTCTCGCCAATCTCTAAGTCTCCTTCAAGCCATTTCCAGTTTCAACGGTCAACATGCTTGCTCTCAAGCCCTGTTTGAATACGACCAACCACAAATGTTTCCATGTTTCCTCTCGCCCCACTTCTATAGTTGCTCTCATATCCTTGGGCTCTTGCGGCCGATACCGTCTGAGCGTCAACAAACCTCTCCCAGCACACGCATTTTTGGGTCTCTTCCTGCGTTTCATCAACCTCACCAGCCTCGTTATACTCCCTTCTGCAAAGATGGAAGACTCGGTATATATCAATCCTGGTCGCGGTCTTCATCATGGCATCATTTACATATCATTCCTTCACGATCCCTGCATCTACAGTCCCTCTCAATCTCGCTTGTTCGCTGCGTTTGCGATCCGGCAGCATGCGCATCTCAGTTCCCACGTTGACACTCTTTACAACTGCTGCCACTGCTTCTTACGTCTTAGAGGATGACTACTCTTCCTCATCCTTTGCAAGCATGTTTGACTTCTATACAGTAAGTAGTTCAACTTTGGCACAGAAAACGCGGAGACTGACGCTCCTCAGGGAAATGATCCCACCAATGGCTATGTAAATTACATTTCCCAAGACCAGGCAGAACGCTCCGGTCTATACAAGGTCGACAATGGCGCAATCTATATGGGGGTCGATTCTACAAACACTGCCTCTGGCCGTGGTCGAGACAGTATACGAATAAGCAGCAAGAAAACATATAATCACGGTCTCATCATCTTGGATCTTGCACACATGCCAGCTGGTGCTTGTGGGACATGGCCAGCATTTTGGATGCTTGGTCCAGATTGGCCCGACAATGGAGAAATAGATATCATTGAAGGAGTCAACACGCAATCGACAAACAGTATGGCCCTGCACACGGATGCCGGTTGCTCAATCACCAACACGGGAGCATTCTCTGGCTCCCTCGAGACCGACAATTGTGATGTCAATGCCGCCAATCAAGCCACCAATGCCGGCTGTTCGATTCACAGCGGGGACTCCAGCAGCTTTGGAAGTGGTTTCAATTCCAACGGCGGTGGTGTCTATGCTACGGAATGGACAAGTCAAGCAATCAGCATCTGGTTCTTCCCCAGAAGTGCCGTTCCCTCCGATATCTCCAGTGGCAACCCGGATCCATCCAATTGGGGTCTTCCTCAAGGCCAATTCACAGGCAACTGCGATATCAATGACAAAGTCAAAGATCAACAACTACTCTTCGACGTTACCTTTTGCGGTGACTGGGCTGGCAACGTCTGGTCCACCGACTCCACCTGCTCCTCCCAAGGATCGACTTGTCAGGCTTTTGTCCAGAACAACCCATCGGCCTTCCAAGATACATACTGGCTTATCAATGGTCTGAAAGTATACAGCGACAACGGCGCTGGTGCTGCACCGACCCAGACTCAGACTCAAAGCACAGCTTCTGCTGCTCCAACCTTCACCTTCACCGGATCTACTGCCGCCGACACCGCGGCCACGGCCACAACTCTCCTCACCGTCACCTCAGGTGGGACGACAAATACCCCCGCCCCGGGCGCTTCGACGTCGACAGAAAGCACATTCAGCACCACACTCTTCAACACGACCGTGACCGCCACCTCTGTACCTCTCGGTACAACAGCTTCTTCAACATCCTTCCAAACTTCCTACATTATCTCTCAACCCACTACTGCCGCAACCACAACAGCACCCACCGAAACTTTAACCGTCACAACTGCACCAATCTCATCCGCTGCTCCACCTTCATCTGCACGTGGAAACAGTGGATCATGGACCACAGTCACAAGCAGCGGGTGGGACTGGGGCAGTGGCAGTGGCAGCTCGAGAAATGGCAATGGGAACAGCAACGGCTACAGCGGTGGCGATAGCAGTGGATGGGGTGGTCGTGGCAGTTCGGGAAGGGAATGGTTCCGATCTACCTTCACAAACTGACTCTATGTCGACTCCTTTTTATTCCCGCCGAGATATGTTTATATATTTATTTGTACAGCAGACACGACGAGCCAGACGATATGGGACGAGACCACAGACTCAACATCAGCATCAACATCAGGGCAGGGTGGAATTAGGGATGAAAATGAGGATTAAGAATGATACCCTTGGGACAGGCGTTTTGGATTGGTTTGGATTATTTCAGGCACTTGCATAGCGCGGTACTGGGACACGGGATGCGTATTCGTACAGGTTAAAGATTGACAGGTCAAAAGCGCGCCAGGTTTGGGTGTGCTGGTATATTATGATATATGTTATACTTTGCCATGATTCCACCGACTGGATGACATGAGATGATATGAGATAGGACGGAATCGATGTTCTACTTGTGTAGTTGAAGATTTCGAACCCTTGAAGATTCAACAAAACAAGATTGCAATATGAAGATCATCCAAGAGGTAAAGTGTAAGATTTGTGACATTTCAAGCATCAAAGAATATAATGGCATCATGGATTCATGAAATCATTCATGTCAATATATATAACGGCCAAGGCACTGAAAGATCTCGCTCGTGAAAGAGAAGAGGAAACTTAACTTTTGATTTCCCAGAGAGTGACGTGAAGCTTCGTGAGATACCAATAATAATATAGAACGATGTATACATTCAATGTTAAGCAGCATGCGTGCACACTGCTGAGCATGACATCTGACACCGATTCGACAACAACCTTCAAACGGGATTGCCCGCGCTATGCCATCCGTATGAGGCACTTCCATCCATCCAATCATGAAATCATTTTATTGGATGACAGGAGCATCAACACCGAACCAGTTCCAGCCCTGATCGAGATCAACTCCGCTCTGACCGAATGGGAACGAACCGAACGGGAACACTTGAGCGGGAACACCGCCAAGGCCACTGGCTGTAACACTGGGGTTTATATCATTCGTTGCACCATTGTATGGACTTTGTGATTGGTGTTGGGGTGTGAATCCTGAGGAGCTGCTGCCGGTCGTTGGGCCCGCGGAGGGGAAATCGGTTGGTACCTGTGGTGGGAAAGCCATGAAGCTGTCGAAGGTGATGAAGGGATCGTCCGGTTCGCTGGGCCAATTCTCGAGACCTGGCGCGATGTAGGTGGCTGATTCGTAGATGGAGCCCCGATGGGCTTGCGAGGGCATTGATTGAGATTGAGATTGAGGCTGGTCGACGGTCGTGGGCAGAGGCGACGGTTGCGTACTGTTGGAAGATAGGGACGGAGGAGTGGGAAGGCCGGAATTGGCGACGCCACCTGCTGCTACGGAACTGGTCATGTTGGGTGGTGCGCCCGGTGCACCTGACGTTCGTTGAACGTAGGTGCCAGGCTTGATGGGGACGAATTGTTTGCCCATTCCAACGGAAATAGTTCCAAAGTAGGGGATGGACACTTGACAAGTCTCACCACGGCATGAATGGCCCTTTTCGTCTCCCCAGCCTTGTCGGACACGAGCAAGCATTTCTAGAGCCTGAGCGCTTTGTGCGGCGACCACACCGCCTGGTTCTTGAGCAGCGTCTTTCAAAAGCGCAATGGTCTGATCGATGAGTTCGGAATCTTTTTGATCTTGTTCTAAATCCGGTTGTTGTGCGTTGGTTCCACGTTGGTGTTGAGAATAACCGCATAGATTCAACAAGAGGAGCATTGCGGCAGTAAATGCTTGGAAATCAATCAGTTTGCAAATAAAGGGTCCAACAGATTTGTTCGTTCGAAGAGCGTCGTAAATCCGTATCATCTCCCTTGCACCGTCCAAAGCAGCCGTATGAGAGTATTGGTATCGTTTGTCGGCTGAAGATCGAAGCATAAATGGCATATGAAGAAGGACTCTGGCCTGGTGATGGAAAAATTGTGCTTGTAATCGATCAAAGTGATCTTCTACAGAAGCATTGGGGAATCGGTCAACTGACCACCAACCCGGGCCCTGCGCGGCGTGCGACTCTTCCAATTCCTGATCCAGCCGTAAAGTGGCAGAATATCCCAGGGGGACGATACTTTGATTTCGATCATTGATCTTGGTGACTATGGGCAGCATTTTCAAAGCGTATATTTCGCCATCATTGGCGGCGGCTCGAGGTCCAGATCCCGGAATATAGGGGGAGACAAAGTTGTCCGCGACGGAATAAGGCAAGCCCAAGACCAAGGACAAATATCTATCTCCCAAAACAAGATGACACCAAACGTTGACGGATCGTTGGTAATCCAGAGAAGTCTTATCGGCTTGGGCTGCTAATCTGTGGACACCCAGGAGTTGCGCGAAAGCGATTGCTCGGTGGAAGAGAAGCCAGGCACGTCTAGGCCGACCCATGTTGACGTGATACTTGGCTTCGAGCATCATACATTCGATACCATCCAGAGTGGCGGCAATTTCATCATCGGACGTGATCAATTTGTCGACCGTCGTGATATATCGTTCCATCAAATCAGCAGGCTCTTCTCTCATGTGGAGTCGGGACCAATCGAAATCACTAGGTAATTGATGGACGCTGATGGCGATGCAAAGCATGATCTTGGCCAGCTCCGCAGGTTTCTCCGACCGTAAAGAATGAGAAACAGATTCTTTGATCGTCTCGCATCGAGCGTCGGTGATCTCGGGAAACATCTTCTTCCAGATGGCAAACCATTCGTAAGATGAATCCAAAATGATTTCCAGGTCTTGAGGTGACGGTAATAATTTATTCAAAGCGGCGAGGAGAGTCTTTGTTTTGTTATATTGAGCCCGGGATACCACAGGTTGAGTCTCCCTTCTGGTAATGACAGCATTGTCAAACAAGGTAAGTGCAGGAGCGTCATCTCGAAGTCCGCCCGGCAGAAAAATCGATTCTTCGGTGCTGGCATCGGCTTGTCGCAATGAACTCTTGAGACTCTTTAAGACTTCGGCCGCCTGAGCATCCACTTGACTTTTGTCGGTGTCGGAACTGGAAGAGCCATTTGCATCCTTCTCCGGTAACCGCTGCAATACTTGTTTGACTAGATCTTCCAGTTGAGAGACTCGCTCCCTCAAACTGTATGACGACTGTTCTGCCGCGGATTGAGTATACGTGTGTATGTCTCCATGCTCTTGATCAATACAAGTCGAACCTCTTGCATAACACTCATTGCATATGGCAGGTCGTCCCGGTTCAAACGTACATTTGATTTTCCTCCGTCGACATTCCAAGCAACTTTTGGTGCCTTTTCTCATCTTCTTCCGCGGGGGGCCTTGATTGTGGTCGGAACCAACCCCATGGCCATCATTGTATGGGGAAGTGGAGTTACTCGGAGGATGCGACATGTTTTGATTGGAGTCAGGACCTAGTTGGAAGGACGGAATTCGGTCGAGGTTGATCGAAGAAGGAAAGGGAGAAGAAACAGGGATGGCAGTACGTGATGGATAGCGACCACGGCCAGCCCAGGCAATCGCTGACTCAGGTGATTTTGATATCGAGTACCAGGAGTCTTCAAGCAAATGGTCGTGGATGCTGACAGATCGGCGAACGCGGTCCAAACGGTGATTGGCGAGGCCGAGCCTGGAGATGGGGTGGAGTTAAAGGTGTTTGGCAGGCTTGGGAATTCTGGAACGTTCAATATTGCAACAACAGGCCATAAAGGGCCAAGTACTGCTCAAAAGGCTGAAGCAGCAGTCAATCTGCCATTTGGTAAGGTAAGACGTCGGAAAAATTGGGCTAGCAAGGTCCCGAGCGCAAAAAATGTTTCGTCTGACGAAAAAATTTGTCATACGAGGTCTGGGTATTCATCACGTGAATTCCACGGTCAGACATTCACATTTCTCAGAAAGTGTCCGATTAGTCAGGAACCAGAATTTCTTCGTCCGTCCGAGATTTCGGGCGAACAGTCCGCCGAAAGCGCGGTGACCATCCGCCAATCAGCAAAGCAGTTTCATGATTTCGGGTTCTCGGATCAATTTCCTTCCAGCGACCCGGATAGCCAAAAAGGGAAAGTATACGGAGGTACCACATCCGGCTACTTGGCCATTGATCCGTTGGACAGCCTGGTCAGCCAAGCAGAAACTCCCCCTTTTTTTTTTCCATGCCACAGGAGCCGCCCTGGTGTCCGCTATTGACACTCGGTCGAGAGACTTTTGAAGCTTGTCTGGCCAAACATTGCCAACTTTGCTGCCTGATCCGGGCTCCAAGGCTGGAAATAACCTTTCAGGCCCTCCCTCGGAGTTCGGATTAGGCCATTCCCGGATTGACAAATCCAGCCTTAGCCGTCTAAATTCCGCCAGTCATAGGTCAACAGATTCTTCAGCCTTGTCTCCGCAACGTATTCGTTATCCCCGAGCTTCAACTCGATCTCTGATACGAAGCCATCATGATTCACATCCCCCCTTTTACCCGACTGTTCGTATCCACCGGGGTTTTTTTTTTTGATTTGGGTATGTGGTATTACCCTAGCCAACGGACGAAATCGCGTTCCACGCCTTTCACATGAGCAGTGTGACGTGCTTTTACTCCCCATGACGCATCAAAACTTGATGTTAGTCAGTATGCGCATGCTACTTTACACCCCCCCCCCCCCAAGAAATGTTGCTTTTTCAACAGTGCTCCGTCAGGAGTAGAGTTACATATATCTCTACGGTGGCTGCTCTCCATGATATCTGCTCCTTATTCTACCAAAACACCCTTTCCTTTTGGTGGCCCGGCAAAGCTCCCAAAGGTTTATCTTTCTCTGCAGTCATTCCTTCCCTCATCATTCCCTAACAATGTCGAACCACCCATCTTCCCAGACCTCCGCGGCCACCTCCGTCTCTGAACTCTCGAAACCCCCGCTCCCCACCATTGACGATGAGAAAGAACAAGAAGAAGTCACTCTGAGTCGAAAGTCATCCCTTCAACCAGGACCCATCGAGAAGGATGGCGAACTGGAGAGGGAACTCTCCCGGATCAATACCTCCGACTACCCCTCGACATTCCCCTTGCTCATGATCGTCGTGGCTTTGATGTGCAGTATCTTCCTGGTCGCGTTGGACATGACCATTGTGGCGACGGCCATTCCTCGAATCACCGACCAATTTCACTCACTGGACCAGGTGGGCTGGTATGGCAGTGCTTTCTTCCTCACCATTGGGTCCTTTCAAGCGACATGGGGGAAACTGTACAAGTACTTCCCACTCAAGACCTCCTACTTGGCGAGTATCTTCATCTTTGAACTTGGTTCGTTGATCTGTGCCGTGGCCAATAACTCCACTACTCTCATCGTGGGACGGGCGGTGGCCGGGATGGGCGGTGCAGGTATCGCATCTGGCTCCTATACCATCATTGCATTTTCAGCACCACCAGCCAAAAGACCCGCTTTCACCGGCATCATGGGCGCCACTTTTGGTGTGGCCTCCGTCATTGGCCCCCTTTTGGGAGGTGTCTTTACCGACAACCTCAGCTGGCGATGGTGCTTCTACATCAACCTCCCCATCGGAGGGGTTGCTGGAGCTATCATCTTGTTTTTCTTCCGCACCCCCAAAGCTGCTCGCCCTCAACCGGCAACGTGGAAGGAGAAATTCCTCCAGATGGATTTCCCGGGCACGTTCACCATTATGGCATCTATTGTCTGTTATCTACTGGCTATGCAATGGGGAGGTGCCACCAAACCATGGTCTGACGGCTCGGTCATTGCGTGTCTCGTCCTATTTGGTCTCTTGGTCATCGCTTTCGTCGCCATTGAATATTTCCAAGGGGACCGGGCCCTCCTTCAAGGACGACTTTTGAAGGATCGAACCATCGCTGCCATGTCCGCTTATATCTTTATGGTTGCTGGAGCGTTCTTCATCCTCCTCTATTACCTCCCCATCTATTTTCAAGCGACTCGCAATGTCTCCGCCGCCAAATCAGGAATTAACAACCTCCCACTCGTCCTCGGTGCTTCCCTGTTCACTATTGTGGCCGGTGGCCTTCTCACGGTGTGGGGCGAATACGTTCCCATCATGGCTGTTGGCTCGATCCTCGCCTCAGTCGGAGCGGGGCTCATCTATACACTCGAAATTCATAGTGGCTCCGACAAATGGATCGGCTATCAAGCACTAGTCGGTATCGGACTAGGTCTGATCTTCCAGATCCCTGTGATCGTGGCCCAGGCGATTGTGACACCCTCGGACCTCAGCTCTGTCTCGGCCGTGATTCTTTTCTGGCAAACAATCGGAGGCGCCGTTTTCATCTCCGCCGCCCAAGCAGGTTTTGCCAATAAGATGCTAGAGGAACTGCCGAAACGGGCACCAAACGTGAACCCAGCCCTCGTCATCGCCACAGGTGCCACCGACCTGCGTAAAGTCTTCAACGCCGAGCAAATTCCTGGCATCCTCTCCGCGTACATGGAAGGTCTCCGCGTACCGTTCGCCATCGCCATTGCCTGCGCTTGCGTCACATTCCTCATATCCTTCGCTCCACGCTGGGAGAGCATCAAGGGCAAGGTCAAGCTGGATGCCGGTGGCGCTTGATTGGGGCTAATACGCGACGTGTTTTGCCGGGAGGAGACAGGAGACTCTTTCGTTTTCCACAGGGCTCATGATCAATGTCACGTCCATTTGTTTATCCATTCAACATCATGGTGCAAGTGTGCTATCTCTCTTCTCAATCGTCCACCAACGACATTGTTTCCTATTCATTGCTACTGGCACTCAGACTTGGGATGGGGGCGTAACTTGTCATAAAGGCGCTGGACTGCACCACACATCACACATCACACATCATACTACATGCACTAGGCTGGTGTTTGTCCATTTTTGATGTACTTGGCTCTGAGAAGTGGCCGAAGAATATTTTCACGACCTACGTCTGCATGGCCTTGAAATGTACACTACGTTACAAGCTTATATCGCTATAGTCATCAGAAATAGACATGATCTGATCTCTAGGAGATAAAGCTTTGTGTGCTTAGATAGATGGGAAAGACAATAGACAAACGATAAGAGAAACATCCTTTTCACGACTTTTTAGTGCTCTCCTATTTTACGATCTACAATTTCCAGGGAGGGCCCACCTCCCCCCAAAAATTGGTCCCTCTCAATATACAGTCCAGGCATAACTTAACTGGCCTAATTCGGATGAAACCCCCACCATGAACACGACAGGATATGACAGACAGGCCAAGCCGTCCACGTCTTTTCTGTCTCTTCACTTCTTGATACCGGATGAATTGCATTTCTAAGCAGCGTGCACATCCAACACATCCTCCCGATCCGTAATACACCCGTGGCTCGCATCGGTGACAAGTTTGGCGTATTTGGCCAACACGCCCCTCCTCACGCGTGGGTTCGGCTTATTCGCATTCCAGTCTTCCCTCCGCTTCGCGAGCGTAGCTTCGTCAACATTGAGGTCCAACGTACGCGTTTCTGCGTCAATGACAACTTCGTCGCCGTCACGTACAAGACCAATAGGTCCGCCTTCCATGGCCTCAGGCACAATGTGCCCGATCAGGAAGCCGTGAGAACCTCCGCTGAAGCGTCCATCTGTGATAAGTGCGACGTCCTTGCCCAGGCCGGCGCCCATGATGGCGGAGCTGGGTTTGAGCATCTCAGGCATGCCAGGCCCTCCTTTCGGACCTTCGTAGCGAATCACCACGACGGTTTTGTCGCCCTTTTTGATCTCGCCACGCTCTAGGGCTTCGATGAAAAGATCCTCCGCATCGTAGACTTTGGCTTGACCGGTGAAACGGAGTCCTTCTTTGCCGGTGATTTTGCCTACGGAGCCACCGGGCGCGAGGCTCCCGCGGAGAATCTGGATATGACCTGTTGATTTGATGGGTTGGGAGAATGGTTTGATGATGGCCTGATCAGAGGGCAAATCCGGTGCGGATTCGACGTTTTTCTTGAGAGTTTGGCCTGTGACAGTCATGCCATCGCCTTTGACGATGCCTTCTTTGATAAGGAATTTGAGGAGCGTGGGAATACCGCCGATATTGTGGAGGTCGTTGAAGACGTATTTGCCAGAGGGCTTGAGGTCAGAGAGGAAGGGCGTTTTGTCGCTGACGGCTTGGAAATCATCAATGGTCAGTGTGATGCCTACGGCGTCAGCCATGGCGATTAGGTGGAGAACAGCATTGGTCGAACCGCCCGTGATCATGACGACGGCCATGGCATCTTCAAAGGCTTGTCGCGTCATAATGTCGCGGGGTCGGAGGTCGAGTTTTAATAGGGTTTTGATGGCTCCGCCGGCGGCAAGACATTCGAGTTGTTTAGCTTTGGATACCGCTGGATTGGACGAACTGCCTGGTAATGTCATACCGAGGGTCTCTATGGCTGATGCCATGGTGTTGGCGGTGTACATTCCACCACACGCTCCACCGCCAGGACATGCATGGCGAACGATATCGAAGCGCTGCTCTTCGTCGATTTCGCCGGCAATGAATTGCCCATACGCTTGGAATGCCGAGACGATATCGATGTCCGCGTTGTTTTGTGTCTTTGCACAACCGGGTGCGATGGAACCTCCATAAACCATGAGGGAAGGTCGATTGACGCGGCCGATGGCCATCATCACGCCTGGCATGTTCTTGTCACAGCCGGGGATTGAAATGTTGGCATCATACCATTGCCCTTGCATCACAGTCTCTATCGAATCGGCAATGATTTCTCTTGATTGTAGACTATACCTCATTCCCGTGGTGCCCATGCTGATTGCGTCCGAGACACCGATTGTATTGAACTGCATCGGGGCCATTCCCGCATCCGCCACACCCTTTTTCACCATATTTGAAAGATCCATCAAGTGCATGTTACACGGATTCCCCGTGTACCAGACAGAAGATATTCCCACCTGCGGTTTGTTCATATCAGCTTCGTCCATTCCGGTGCCGTACAACATGGCCTGGGAGGCGCCTTGAGATTTCGGTTGGGTGACATGTCTTGAGACCTTGTTGAGGTCGGTGAGATCGGAGGGGTCATGAGGACGGTGTCGGGAAGATGAAAACAAGCGACTGCAATAATGTGAGCTTAAGGCATTTCAGAGCTGAGAGGTCGACGTACGGCCTTTGATTATAAAGCTGAGTCTTTACTTGCCTCCGGCGCAGACCTCTGAGGGACGCTGAAGCTTTCATCGTGGGTAATCTTTGTCTTGCCCCGATGATTGACGGCTCACGAGTACAGGTTGAGGATGAATCACGGCCGCCCGCCGTCCAGGCCTTACAGCTTCAACTATGAGCCGCAGAGCCGATCGAATTCCTAGGAGAGCATTGAACTTTGGATGCAATGGTCCAGTTCTCCAAATGTTCCCCCCCAAGGGTTTGTGCCGCTGCCCGGAGAAGGATATATAGAGCCAATCGGAAGGTTGATATTTGCATTTTCAACGGGGAGTCTAGTGTGACTCCGGAAAGACATCCCCTGCCTCTGACTCAACAGAAAGATGAGGCCGTGCATTTTGAAGTCCTCGGACTTAGTCTATCGTTCAATCTTTCCCATCCTACAAACCAACGACCCCTCCGCACCGTCAAGCATATCAAAGTCCATTCGCATCCCTAACCGATTCCCTGGCCAAATCACCCAGATTTCTATCTTTCTTATCATGTTCATCAGGAGTCTCCTTTCATAAAACATGCAGCCAATGCACCATCATCACCTCCAATTGTATTGTTACAAAGCTTCTTCTTCGACCCATCGAAGACCGCCATCCACTTGAATGCCATCTTTAACCCATGGCATCTCTCGTATTTCGGTCAATGCTTTTCGTCGAGTATTTCTTTTCAATAGCCCATCCACACATTCCATCGCCCCTTGAAATTCTCGACCTTTTTCGGGATCCCATTCACCATCTTCATCTCCGTATTTGACCCAAGCCCATTCACATCGGGCAATGCGATGTGGTGTTCTTGCTCGAAGCGTCGCTGGATCTCCTCGTGCCCCTGGCAGAGGGTCGAAAGGTAGCCTTCCTTCCATCAATGCATATAACAGGACTCCTAAAGCCCAAGCATCCGTCTGTCGCCCATCATAAGGTTGTCCCATCAAAATCTCTGGAGCTGCATAATCTTCACTCCCACATCTGGTCGTAAGAAGAGGACTTTCCGGAGGTTCTGGTATCCGACGTGAAAGGCCCAGGTCCGTCAATGTCACGACAGCTCGATCTAATGTCTGCCAATTGGGCACATCTGGATGGACACGAACTGGGATGTTAAGCAGGACATCTAGTGTGGTCAGCGCTTCACGATTCCCGAAAGAGTTTCCGAGACCTACTTTCCAACTTAATGTCTCGATGAACGATGTACTTTTGGTGAAGATACCGAGCGGCCGACACCAGCTCTGAAAAGATACGTCGCACCAGTGGTGGCGTGAGAACGTCTCGATGTTTGGTCGCAACTTCAAACAAGTCTCCACCCGGGCAATAATTCATGACCAGCAGCGCACGAGATTTGCCGTCATTGCCAAATGCTTTGAGATGGACCAAGGATGGATGCTGGATTGACTTCAACAAGTCAACTTCTCGTTTCAGCCCCACCTCGATCCTTTCAGCATCAGCCCCGCCGGCTGGACCATGCTCCACAACTTTGACGGCAACAAGTCTTCTCGATCTAGCTCTAACTCCAGCCATGTTCACACTGTCTTGCCTATAGTCCACGCTATCCTTGCGATCATTGTGGACCAGTCGCACCGCCAAATAAACTCTACTGAACGTGCCCTGACCGAGCTCACGGATGGCTTCATAAGACCGAAGCTCGCCTTTGGAAATACTTCTAGCGGTAAAGATCTCCAATCGGGGTCGTTTGGCTGCTGGTTCATCTTCATGGCCTGTGTCGGCCTCGTCCGCGGTCTCGGATGGCGTCGCAGGTCGTACGCCGGTATAGGTCAAGCCTCTTTGATCACCGAGATATTCCTCGCGATGCATGGCAGTGGAAGCAGACACATTCTCGGCGGGGCCTCCAGTGCTGGATACAGCCACGTTTCGGGGCTTCTGTACGGCCAACACCTCCGGAACGTATTCGCTGACACTTCTAATGCGTGTGCCGTCAACAAGAAGACCTTGATCATCAGATGTATTTGACCTTGACGAAGGAGAGGTTAGACCTGGATAATCTTTACGGCGAGGAGAAGTCGGGGACAAAGTGGCAAAGGGCACCCCGGCCGGAGGGATTTCTGCTTTGAGGGAAGAGATAGAGGAGCCCCGAGATCTGGTTCTTGATATGGTTTTCCAAGACTCAAAAGTGGTCATAGTCGGGGAGGGCAGGGGTGTGATATCGAGCATGGCGGCGATTTGTGGTGACGAAATGACGGTGCCAGGAGAAACAGAGCCTGCCGACGAATGGAGTTGCGCTCGAACACTAGGGACTCGACGGGGAAGACTTGAAGCAGAAGCACTCGATCGCAGTCGTGATTCAGAGTCCACTGAGTGGGTGGAACCCGAGCGCTGTGGTGCATTGAGATCGGTCCTGATGTGGAGGCCACTCAACAGATGTGTCGCATCGTGATGTATCCGGGACGATTTCCCGGGAGAAACGTCCATTTGTGCATATTGAGATATAGCCTGTTGATTCGCTTGAAATACCCGAGCATTGTTTTGGTATAAGGCCTGGTCCACGGTATTGATGGTTGACGTCTGAAGGGGGGGTGTCAACAAGATCCGATCGTCGGAATAGAACTGCGAGTCGGAGGGTTCATTTTGTCTTTGCCCTGAACGATTGATATGACGGCTAGGAGGGGAAATTGAGGACGTCGAGTGGGAGTCGGTCATGCTGTTTGCTTGAGGCTGCGGACGAGGGGTGTGGGTGAAGTTCCCCAGAATGGCGGTTGCTTTATTAGCGGGAACATGAGAAGCGCGGCGTGGTCAAAGAAGACAGGTGATTCATGCTGCAATTTGGACTCCGTGCTGAAGGACAGAAATAGGATTGCAAGGTAAGCATCGCGTCCCCCCGTCGTAGTTTTGGGCGTGGTCAGTAACGAAGTCAGGATTTGCTGTTTGTGTTAGTCTGCCCCCTGGCAAGTGGACGGTTTCATTGCCAGAGGTGGGCTGAGTATTCGTACTCCACCGTGGACGGTGCGATCGGATATCAAGTCACGTGGGTATCAAACTGACTCGTAACCAACCCAACAACCGTCAACCGATCACCTTGAATCTCATTGCCAGTCAAACTCCTTGCATGACAATTGCTACCGCTATCCGCATAATTATTCCACCGAGGGCCACGCACGTTGAAAAGTAGATCTGGAGGAGGAGAAGCTCTGATGGGCCTTGCGATTTGCTAACATACAAATAGACTTCGGCTTCACTTGAACAATTGATCAACGTCGGCAAAGTGGCAGAGCGCTTCTCAATTAATCAAATACGACCAAGGAGCGTGTTGAAAATCACTAGACCACCATTGTGAATGAGGTCATGCGCAGAAATGATCTCGCCTGAAGAGTCCTTGGCCGTGATATTCCTCTCCCAAACAAGCATCCGATTGTCCTCTTCGCCAGATTCCCAACGCTTTCGTCCAAGTCCCTGAATTCTATTCTCAACAATCCACGCCAATGGACCTGAGGAGGCTCAATGTCTCTGCTACTTCGGGTCCTGCCGAGCTTAGCAACGCGTCCCATGAGTGACAAAGAATTTCTTACCATAGATACCATGTTCGCTTCCTTCGACCACGTCGAAGATTTGCGAGTGGAGGGAAGGTAAAACGAGGCCTGCGCCCTCACCTGCGTTTTCCGTCGGGGAACTGACATTCATCAGCATGGAGTAATCCCCACTCTGTCTGGACCCTTACGCATTCATGTCAATGATGTTCACTTTGATGCGATATTGCCCCGGTTGAGTGATCTTCAGCCCTGGAAACGTTGCATATGCAATCGTGGACCGTTCACCCTCTTGTTCTTGGTGAATGGGATGAATCGAGTCGGCAGTTTTACCTCGTAAAAGATCGGCCCGAGGTGGAGCCAAACTTTGTTGCATATCAGGCGTGGTCAGAGACACAAAAGCCCAAACTCCGCTCATGTCTGGCAACACAACAGTTTCCCGATTCTCTTCTTTTCCATCTGTCGTCGGTTTGGGGGATGAGAAGGTCACGACGAGGGGAGTGTGAAATGCCACCCCTGCTGCAACTCTGGAGGGTGGTGCGATAGCGAGCTCCATGGGTACTTTTTCGTGCGCCAACCAAGCGAAGGAGATGAGTGGCTAATGGGTTGTTCGATGTTGATGCGACCAACACGAAATATACTATTCGGTTCGGGGTGGTCGGAGTAAAAGATGACCTGTACATCAGCGTGTTAGCCCAAGGCTGAGAACAATCACAAGGGGTTTCTCACGGATGCAAACCAGGTAGTCGTTGTGATGGTCCTCGGTTCGGTTACGCCCAAAGTCTACTCAATTTCACGAGCGATCATGGTTTGTCCAGTTGAGAGGCCTTTAGCAAGAATAAAAGCCCTTTTTCAATTCATGAAGGCCAAGCCAGACACATTGTACTTGCCGAAGAAGGTAGGAGCTTCAACTCAAGACATAGATAGGGGTATTGTGGTGGTGTTGCTTGTAATGGTGGTCGAAACAACGAATATTCATGTAATATGCATCTGTCTCCGTGAAAATCGGACGAGGTTCTTCGTGTCTGACAACGTGATTCATACAGTTCATCAAGCCGTAATGGGGTACGTGCAAAAAGCAGGGAAAGCGAAGGCACACAGTCAGAACATATTATTTCAGATGTACATGTATGGTAACGAGACCTTCGACATATCAAGTCTGTAAGATCAGCTGAACAGGGGGTCGTCCAAATAGATATTGCCTTCCCAAATCTCGCGGTGAATTATGGCATCTCCGTTCGCCACGGGTACTATTTTCCTTGCCAGGGGCAAATTTTTGATGGGAAGGCGAACCAACGGGTTCCTGACACAATATAGGCCATCTGAATAGTAAACGCGATGTACACCTCGAACCGTGCTCCGAAGATATTGAACAGTCAGAGGATGGTCGATAAAGTTTCTATGTTGGGGGGCCGATCTGGTAGAACATGTCACAAGAATTGCCGATGCTGAATACGATGGGCAGGAATGATGTCTAACCCGAAAGACAGAGGCCAAGGCGGCGCATGAAAAATGCAAGGTATTGTAGGACTGGAGGGGAACGTCGAAGGATAGGCAATCGTATTCGGGGAAGTTGTTGTCTGTTAGTGGATGGCTATCGCGAGAGGAGTCTCTGACAGCAAAGTGAAAAAGAGAGAATCGACTCCAGGATGACTTCCTCCACTAAAACACGGGAGTAGTAAGAACACGCGAAGCGGATCCGCGGAGCGCCACCCTTTTTATGGGCGACTTCTGAGAGGTGATAGACAAAAGGACGAGGACGAGAAGGAAAGTGACGAGTGGATGTGAGAAGTGTTGGATAGGTGGAACAATGAGGCTCTGATAAGGAGTAACTGCGGAAAACAAACAGCCAGTATGGCGAAGTTCTGGTCAAAGTCGCTGTTCTTTGTTCCTCGCAAACTTTTACTTCCCTGTCCTCAGCTCTCGCAGTTCAGATCCCAAAGTTCCCTCCCTGTATGGAACGTTCTCTGAGGAGTGCGACATGCCTATCCTCTTGCTTCAATTCTATTTCTTCACCCCTTCCTAGAGTCTACAGCTCATTTCTAGTCTGCCCTCTTCCTTTGTCGCTCGCACTATTGACGCAAAAACACACTTTTTTCAGCATAGGACAAGCCGATGTGTGGTGGAGCAGCTGCAAGCATATCAAGGTGGCCAAATTGTGACAGACCCGGCAGCTCGCCGATCCTCACCATTCACAGGTTTTCTTGCCCTATTGCGCAATGTTCTAACCGTTTTCAAGAAAAGATCAGTTCCTCGTGCGTATGAATTGTGGAATGCCGGTGCCCCGGACGACGCCTCCCTCCTCCTTGCCCTGCTGAACTGATCCTGGCAAACGTCTACGGGCGATCCTAGCAGTCAACCTTCTGACACGAGGCACCACACCTCTGGACTCCAGCTCTCCCCAAGTCAACTTCTCAGTGTCCCTGCAAAGTTACTAAACCATGCTCGTATGTACGAAATTGTTTAATTAGCATCCCGGTATCGTCACACTGGCACACGAAAATGAGCTACTGCTATGATCATGACCCCTGGGTGGGGGTGGCGCCACAATCAGCTCCAAGACATAGCTTGAACCGCTTGTTTCCACGGCACTTCAACCCTGGCAAGTCCCACTTGTGCGAGCCAATACAAGGGACGCACCTACAGTACCTTCGACCCTGCCGCGCTATCGATTGGCATAAAACAGCGAGTTCCGTCGTATTTCCACGCGGTCATGCGGCCAAAATCCGGTCCTTCTACACCCTGGGCAAAACGGGAAATGGCGAATGTAAGATCCTCCTCTGCCCCGCTACGGTGGGCATCCCATATATCGTTTGTGATCTGTCATATTCTCCACGAGCAGACCACTCCTGGCCACAAACCTCATTTGCCCTGCTTGCTCCATCTATTTCAAAATCAACCGTCAGTCTTGGGCGTTGCTGCCGATTGCTTGGATACGCAGCTGTTGACCGTAGTCGCACGTAGAGTACGTCTCTCTGACCTGCGCATTCGGCACCCATCTTGCCGGTACTCTCTATGCGATAACATCCCAATCTCGAAGAGACTCTGGCTCTCTATCAGGTATATTCGCCCGTGCCTGTTTATCCTACCAAACCAGAGCCAGGTGACTCCGCAGCTTCAGATCGAGGGGGCAATGCCTGATCCAGAGATCGGACATGTTGCGCCACAGCTCCATTATACCCGTCATCGCCACCTCGGATCCCCCGATGCGATGTGATCTACTTAACTTATAATGAATGATTTTGCGATTCCATATCTGGAACGCACTTGCTCGCTCTGCTTCCTGAAAAGCTCGTTGTCAGCCTGATGGGATTTATATCAAGGCATTCTCCTCCTTCCATATTCGATAGCTAACCCCAGGATGTACAGGACGTCGTGTTAGGCCAGGTTCATCATCTAGGGTGAAAGCGAATAAAATTGAAAGTCCTATCAAATGGCTAAGCGATGATCACATCTCATGCACCTAAGGTCAGGGTATAATCTGTCATGCTGCAGCTCATCCGCCATACATGGATAAATAGGACGTTGATCAATATGCCTGATCTCCAGAACGCCGAGTTATCATGCTCTCGCACTCGCATACACATTTCCGTGTCAACATGTCCCTCTTTGGTGCATTACAATTCATGAAGATCCTGACAGCATCTTGAGAATCAAACCCCACTTCTATACACTTGGCTTCCGCCACTCCTCAATCGCACCGTTTCTCTTCTTTGCAAGACGTGCAGAGCCCTAGCTAACGCTGCTTCGCTGTATCCTCGACCTTGGACAAATTCGCGTCTTAGCGTCCCTAGACTCGTGCTCCATCCAATCGGTAGGCGTCTTCTCAGCTCTTCTTCGACTTGGCTCACTTCTTCCATCAACTCTCTGTTTCCGCCCATTCCACCGGCTCCTTCACCTTGAGACACGGCGTCCATGGTGCTTGCGAGGAAGAGGCGGATGGCTTCATCCACATGATGTTCTTCCGCTATAGGGGACAGTGTGAGTTTTGCAAGGGATTCCGTGATCCGGATGATGGCCTCAAGTTGACGGATTGTAATGGGGATGGAAGATTTGACATTGCTGTTCGCCTCGGCTTGAGCCACGCGATTTCGGATCGAAACGAAATGAGATGACAGCTTTTCTGATGCTGCAGCCGAGAGGCGGGGGGCGCAACGACTGGAACGAAGCCGTCAGTATTGTATTCTTTGCTTGCGACATTGAGGGATTCACGTACGATTTGCAGAAACTGATGTACCTCTTCATCTTCTCTACCGGGATTTCCACTTCGGCTTGTTCTTCGACACCTTGATTGCCCATGTGAATGCCCATAACGTGTTTGGCAATCGTCTCGTCACGATTTCTGTCGTGATCATCTCTGACAATGAAGATCATGTCGAAACGAGACAAAATGGTCGTTTGGAAGTCGATGTTCTCGCCTGGAGACTTGAGATCGTCATACCGGCCGAAAACCGGATTCGCCGCAGCTAGGACTGACGTGCGCGCGTTCAAGATGGTGGTGATGCCTGCTTTGGCGATGGAGATGGTTTGTTGTTCCATTGCTTCGTGGATTGCCACCCGGTCTTCGTCCCGCATCTTGTCAAACTCGTCGATACAGACTACACCACCGTCTGCAAGGACCATTGCTCCCCCTTCCAGATAGAATTCCCGCGATTGCGTGTCGCGCTGGACGGAAGCGGTCAGACCAGCCGCCGACGAACCCTTTCCAGAAGTGTAGATGGCAATTGGGGAGACTTTCTCCACGAATTTCAAGAGTTGTGATTTGGCTGTACCCGGGTCACCCAGTAATAGCACGTTGATATCGCCTCGCAGTTTCATCCCGTCGGGAAGGATCTTTTTCGACCCGCCCATCAATAGACAGGATATGGCTTTTTTGATGTCCACATTCCCATAAATCGACGGCGCTATGCACCTTGCAAAGCGCTCGTAGAGATCAGGTAATCGTGACATTTCCTCGAATTCTTGAATCTCCTCGTCAGAGAATGAAACGGCGCCGCTTGCATTGTGGTCCACATCGGTGGAGATCCCGACCGCTCGGAGGTAGGGGTTTCGAATGGCAACTGCACCGTCCTTCTTTGACCCTTTGTTTGGCTGGTAGATGGAGAATACACCCATGACTGTACATCGCGATCCAGGGACCACTCGGTTTGTGAGATAGCGGTCTGCAGAGATGAGGATATGACGAGGCAGTTCACCGACAGGAACTTGATCTGGTGCCTCCTGCAGTTTCAAGATTTGCTGGTCGATGAATTGGGAGTGTTCGTGCACCACATAGTATGGGTCCATGGGACAAGGATTGCCCGACTCCTGGCCTTCGATTTTCTGCCTTCCACATCTCCGCGGTAAACTGATTCCGGAGAAGCCGCCTTCGACCGGGATATTGTCCACATGGTCACAGTTTCGGCACATGATGTTGAGGAGTGTGGCTTTGGAGGAGAGGGTGGATGCGCCGATGACGATACCGGGAATTCGCACCAGGTGTGAAACATTGGTGGCATTAAGATCTCGGATTGAAATATGTGAGACAGAGGAGTGGAGGAGGAGTTGGTGCTGAGGAAGCTCAATTTCGGGGTCGTGAGGGAAGACAATCCGTTTTGTACACTGCTTCAGCGCAGCTTCGAACAAGGGGATCACATCGGCGGGATCGCTCGTCAGTCGGTGTGCCAGTTCTTCATCGTACGAGATCAGGTGCGCGAGGTCGATGTCGCAGTAGTATTGCTTGACGAGCACATTTTCGCGGATCTGGTCTCTGTAAATGTAGGAGCCGTCCAGTTGAAACGCGAGGACAAAGTCTTTCAGTTTTGACTGCAATTCGGTGCGTGGCTCGACCAGTGCGTCTTGAGGGGCGGAGAGCACGCTGAGGGAATATGCTGATCTCGTATCGAACGCCATTGCGACGTGTGGGGTGTTGGTATTTATTTGGGTGGGCGTAGAATATTCGATTAAAGACAATGGGACGGGTGAAATTCAAAAAGTCGCGCGGGTCGACGCGTCTCGCGTTCACGTTCAAGCTCGCGTTGAGTGGTTGCAGGGCCACAGCCACAGGTGGCGGTGCTTGTGGTCTCTTTTGCCCGGCGAAATGCCATTGTCATGGCCCGGAAATGGACTCACGGTCGCTCAGGAGAAAAGTCAGAAGACAACGGGCTTATCTTGACGCCGTGGATATTCTACTAGTTTATCAATCACGGCCCGCGACCGGAAGAGAAAGGTTTATGAGCCTGAGCAATACTGGACTTGCTCCTGGGCCCTGCCCATGGGGCTTCTAGCGTGATAATTGTAATTGTTTCTCATTCGCAATACCATTGATATGATAGCTTGACGCCCTCGATTAATCCATAAAATAGAAGTAGTACTCGATAAAACGTGACTGAGGCATCATTTTCCTCATCTTCCCAGATCACGATCGCCTCCCGCTGTCGGAGCTGGCGCATTTGAGAGTCGTCCTCCGCGATTTTGGCGTTGCTCATGGGCACACTACACAGGACTGAACTGCTTCGAATGGAAAGTCGACGAAAAAATGTGAGCGCGGGTGTGATGTAAGTATTGGGAAGCGACAAGAACACAACTATCGGTGAGTTTTAAAGCAGCGGCCGACTTGACCATTCTTGGCATTTCGCTGATGCTGCGTGTCCTTAGAAAGGACCCGGTGCTTAATCTTGCAACGTCAGCCATTCGTTCGAAGGCAGAGCAAGCGCTGCGACCATGGTCCATGGGAGGCTGTCCATGACGTTTTCGAGATCTTCAAATTTTCTAATGGACATATGAACAGGCGGTTCAACCCTTATGCCTTCAAACTCTCCCTGTGCCAAAGCTTTGAGATGAGATGGCCTCTCCAATTCGGTCTGGATCCCAAAGGACCTTCACCCCGCCCATTGCGACATCGCCTACAACAGGATACCCATTTCCAGATGTTGTGCAGAGACAACACGGCGGTCCGAGAGGGGACCTTCGGCGCGGCTCAACCACAAGTTCAATCACTAGCATAGGCGGCTCTCTCGACACTGGGCCGATCAACAACAATACGATAACGGAGATCAGTCAGAATGCCATCTCAATACTGCTGCAGCATCCAATCGTCCGAACCGGATTGCAAGCCAGCACCGCCGTCCCAACGTCCGGATACAAGGTGCCCACACCTCGCGATATCCCTCCTGTTGCGCTGACGAATATTCCGCATGTCGAGCCAAAAGCGTTTCAACCGTATCTCGCCCAAGTTGGTTCATTGTACGAAGCATTCCAAAAGGCCAAAAACGAAGGTGAGGGCGAGGGCGAGACGTCGCTGTTTCATAGAGACAAGAAGGACACGAAAAATGAAGAGTGGGAAGCTATTATGAATCAGCGGCTGCAGAGGCCTGGCCATTCTCGGGCAGGATCTGTGAGCCCGGCGGTGTCGGCGCCGATCGAACCGCCACAACCGAAGAGGAGACAAAGTGGACAGCGTCGTCAAGCGGTCACACCATTATCTACAATACCGTCGGTTTACTCTGAGGAAGATTTCCATTTGGAGAATCCACGAACGTTCGACATCGTCTCTGAGCATTCGGAAATAGTGCGGGATCCTAGTGGAGCCCCTAATGGAAGAAAGTCTCTCGCCACCAATGCAATCTTGCAGGAGAAGCTGTCCTGGTACATGGACACGGTCGAAGTTCACCTGATCAACTCAATATCAACGGCGTCCAAATCTTTCTTCTCCGCACTTGGCTCTTTGAGAGAATTGCATCGTGAGGCTGCCGATTCCGTGGATCGCATACAGAAATTGCGAAAAGATCTGGCGAAACTCGACAAGGAAATGGCGTTAGATGGTCTCAAAGTGGTCAATCTCAAACAACGACGGGACAATGTTCGTCAACTTGCTCAAGCCATTATGCAACTGGAAGATATTGTCAAAGCCGTGCAAAATTGTGAAGAGATGGTAGAGAAAGGTGAAATCGACGAAGCACTGGATGATTTGGATCATGTCGAGGCGTTGATGGCTGGAAGAGACGGCAAGACTTCCAGTCTAAAGGAAATTCCTCGATACCAAAAACGAGATCTGCGAAGAATCAAGGCGTTGGCGGGCGCCTTTGATGATTTGAATCAACTACGGTATCGGGCTGGGCGAGGCTATGAAGCCCGATTTCACGGTAGCTTGCTCAACGACATTAGACGACATGTGGAACAGACCGAGGTTGGCGTGACACTCCAAAGATGGGGGACCGCATATACAAGACCCAAGCCTGGTCAAAGGAGAGCTCCTTCGGCCTTCCCCGGATATATGAATATTGGCCCGGAACTTCGTGCCGAACTCGAAGCCGAAATGAAAGGGCTCTCCAGAGCAAGATGTACTACACCGGCCGCCACTTCATTCAGGGCCACTGTCCTCAGAGAAATGAAGAGTATGATCCGAAAACAGTTACCGAGCGCCAATGATGACGATAACGTGTCGACGATATCAGCTTCAACAACGGGTGGCAGGCATATGAGTCAGCAGGACAAGTCCTCTATTTTGGCTCGAAATCTCCGAGCCTTGGATGCAGATGACTGGTATCAAATGCTGGCCACCATCTATACCAACATCAGCGAAGGGTTACGCAGGCTTAGTGTGCAGGTGAAGATTCTGCTGGACATTACGAGCAACTTACCTGATCATATGGTCAAATCACCACCCAGAAGTCCTGATCCAGGAAGTGTGGAGAGAGTGATGAGCCCGCCAACCGGTCGACCGCGATCAACAAGCTCCGTTCAAGCGGAAATGCAGCAAGTCTTGGACCTTTCAAGTTTACTGGGTGAGGGAGTTGATCTCGCACAGGCCCAAATTACCAAAGTGGTCAAAGTGCGATCACAACAAAATGTCGAGCTCCCGCTGTCTGATTTTCTCAAGTATTTCACTCTGAATAAATTGTTCACCGACGAATGCGAGGCGATTTCAGGACGAAGTGGAACAGCGCTGAAAAACGTTGTCGACACTCAAATCAAAGATTTTGTGGCTCGTTTTGGAGACTCTCAGAAACATGAAATCATCAGAGTGATGGACAGCGACAAATGGGATGCCAAAGACTTTGGTGATCGTGAGAATGAAATTCTCAGTCGAGTCATGGAAGGCAGCACCAACGATGCTCTTCCATGGATTGAGAGCACGATGATCTGGCAATCTATGACCAATGGCTCCAAAACCAGTAATCGGACCGCAACAAATGGCGCCGATGGAGCAACAGCAAAAGTGCGGAGTGCGGTGATTGATGAACAGAAATACATTCTACCAGAATCAGGTCTGGCCATGCTTCAATCCATGGAAACCTTTCAACATTTGGCCGCCGGAATTCCCAGTATGAGTCACGAGGTTGCTATCTTGTTGCTGGAAAGTTTGAAGTTGTTCAATTCACGAAGTTCACAACTTATCCTCGGAGCCGGCGCCACGAGAAGTGCAGGATTGAAGAACATCACAACCAAACATCTTGCGCTTTCATCACAAGCCCTGAGCTTTATCATTGCTCTCATCCCTTACGTGAGGGAATTTTTCCGTCGACATCTTTCTTCCTCCACTGGACCCCCGGTGATGAACGAGTTTGACAAAGTCAAACGTTTGTTCCAAGAACACCAGAACGGTATTCATGAAAAACTAGTCGACATCATGTCCGGCCGGGCGTCGATGCACGTCAAATCTATGAAGAACATAGATTGGGAAGAAGTGGCAAAGAACAAAGCTGTCCAGGTCTCTCCGTATATGGAGACGTTGACAAAAGAGACCGCCACGCTACAGAAAGTATTGGCCAAGCATTTACCGGAACCTGTTGTCGCGGGGATCATGATCCCGGTGTTTGCGAGCTACCGAGAACAATGGACGGCTGCTTATCAGGATGTCACGATCAAGTCGACAGCGGCGAAAGAAAGGTAGGGATTGGGGACGGCATGCCAGAGTTTGAGGCTAATATGCGAGATAACAGGCTCCTAGCAGACGCGGAATGGTTTAATTCTCGCATAAGCAAGATCGACGGTTCAGGCGATTTGGGTGAACGTATCGTCAGGGTTGTGCAGGCTAAGACAGTGATGAATACTGCTCCATCTCAGCCATCTGCTGCTCCAACGACGGGAGATGATACTCAGGAAAAGATGGAGGTAAATGAAAAGGATACGGCGAAGGATGCTGGAGGTCTGGGTAAGGAGGAAGAAGCCAAAACATAGAATATGGAAAGGGATTGTAGATATCTGTTGGGAGCCGGAATAAAATTTCAGTGATCCAAATTCGAAGATCTATGTTCGATTGCTTCGAGTCACCCTAAATAAGACCTAGAAGTGCCTCAGGGGAGGAGGTAAATTCCATGTCTCTAAACCTAAGGTTTTCAGAAACGAAATCCTACTCCGCTGCCATGTTTTTCTCATCAGTCGTCGAGCGATCAGAGATTCCCGACCCCGTCACGCACAGCCTTGTCAAGACCACGTGTGCCCTTTCCCGATCCCATCCTCACCCCCTCAACCTCACCCTCCACGTCCACGCTCCTAATGTAAAAGTCGTATCCCTACTTCACACTTCCAGTCCACCAACCTAGAAGATCGCCGTCGCGTTGACATGACTGCTGACCCCTCCAGGGCAATTTGCCGGCGAACTCGAGAAAAAGAACGTCCACCGCTTATACTTCTTCGCTAGTTCACCGACTTTCTCCAAATCCAGCATTTCGCCCAACGGCATCCCCCACAGCGCTAGTATATACTCGTGCAAATAATACGATTCGGGCGTCGGCCAGCGCTCAAAAGACGGCGCGTCCCCGCCCACCGCGGCAAAGTAGCAATCATGTAACCAGTCCTTGATTGCTTCTTCCTGTTTCAAGCCAGCCCACTGGGCTTCGGTGCCGTGGGAATCGTGGCCGCGCAAAGCCAAGCGGGCCCGCTCCTCGGGGGTACGCGCGTAGTAGTCGACCGTCCACCCGGAACGGACGAGCAGGATATCGCCGATCTTAATATCCCCGCCTTGTGCGGCGGGCCGGATATCCAAACCCTGAAATTTCCCACACGCAACGAGATCATCATAGCTGATCGCATGCGATGTCGCCGTGTCGTATTTGATCCCTTGACTGTCGGCGTAGGAGCGGTAGTCGAGCAAAACTCCACGCCCGGAAAATCCGTGGCGTGACCAATGATGAATACTGCATTTATGATTTGCTTCGGGACCCACGATGTCTGAGCCGTGCGTGTTATTGTAGAATGTCTTCGTGGGCACGTGAGCGAAGTGCCTGAATCCGTCCCACTGGGTCCCGGATTGGGTGTTCATATGGTAGACGTCGTCGTAGGCGACGCCGTCGACGAGCGTCAGGATCTTGTGCTCGAACTTTTGGCGGCCAAAGGCTGGCTGTTCGGGGACGTTGGTGGGCAGGTCCAGTCGGGCCATTTCTCCTGTGCGGATCTCTTGGGCGGCGGCTTTCACGCGCGTGGGCGTCAGCAGGTTCAAGCGCCCGATGTAGTCGTCTTTTCCCCAGACCCAGGCTGCTTCGTCAGGAGCGTCGACAATCTTGGGCAGGTGCTTTCGCGTTGGAAACGAGGTGGAGTCCGGGTCGAATGGAATTGTTGTTGCTGTTTTGCCTAGGATGGCGTCTTTGATCTGGCTGAGACGCCGACCGGCTTGGGAGAATGTGTCTGCCATTGTGCAGTAACCCTTGGAATTCAACCTGACTTTGACAAGGCGAAGCGAATAATACAGCTGTTAAAGAGGTTTAAAACTGGAGAACCAGAGAAAGTCCATCATGTATGTCCCGAGGTATTCGGCCCATCTCCATTTGAAGTCTAACTGCTAAGCTTGAGGGGCAAGATCCGGACCCGTCTGACTTGGTAGCTGTTGCTGACAAGTTCCCTTGCCCCGCAGTAATTTTTTTCGGCAATCCATCGTAAGCTCTCCCCACGGGCCACGAGGTACGACCACGAGATCTCGAGAAGTCTAGTCATCCAGGGGTCCTTGAGAGTTTGTTGGCTGAAAGAGGGAGCAGTGTGCCGATCTCTTGAGCATCATCAGGACCCTTCGCAAGTTCATAGGTATAGGTTGGTGACTCGCAAAGGAATATTGAGTGTAGAGGACTCTGGCTAATGATTATTGAGGCGGTAGGAGAAAAAATAGATGGGAAAAAGGTAAGGGAAAAAATAATCACGTGCTACACGTGACATGAAATGTCATGTTACTCCACACATTTCAGCTATATTCATCTACTGCAACATATCTACGTCCGGGTCCAAAAATAAATACACAAGAATTGACTGGAGTGGGACTCGAACCCACGCGGATTTCTCCATGAGAAAGACAAGTTTGGATTCTGTTTTCAGATTCCAAGGAGGAACGAAAATCGTCAACTTGAGTCACCTGTGGGTGAACTGTTAGTATAATTTTTGAAAAGCTGGAAAAAGGGGCCACTTGCACGCCATAACCACTCGGCCATCCAGCCTCTTCATTTTTTGACAAAAAATTGTCTATCCGATATATAATGAATCAAAAATTGCTGTGCCACCGAGCCGCGACCTGGTACTGAGATTTACTGTATGAAGTCTAACGCTTCCCGTGTTAGTCATGTCATGAACTGTGCCAAACAAAGGGACTCTCAAAAATAGACGGAATATCCATCCTCCACAACAGAATAAGCATATGCTCGTGCCCAAAATAGCCATCCTCCCATTCACTTTGGGACCAAAAATCAGTCGTATTGAACTCAAAACCCAGGAAGCGGAAAGCAGGCAGCGAAGATCTGTGTCAAGTGTACATGAGGGCCTCAAGAATCGCTAATCGTGGTGGCAAGGCCCAGTTTGATCTTCTTCGGTCCAGGTTTCCGAGACGACCCATACTGCATATAGCCTATACAGGGCATCCGCAGGGTTTTTTTATGTGTGAGAACACCGAGCCAGAGGCATGGGTAGCCCAAATATAGCTCGACAAATCAAGCAGGATATCCAGCGGACAGCATCGAATTCCACCGGAATCTCTTCTGACACATGAACAAGTAGACATGAGGCCGGATAACCTCGGCCGGAGATATTTGATAATGCAAATAGGTGTTTGGTCCTCCAAAGGCAAAAGTCGGCGCCCAGGTATCCATCTGGGTAGAGCATTATCGATATATTGGGTAAGTCTCTCCGCGTATCTCCCCACCGATCACCCAATTCAACGTTCTGAAAATCCAATGCGCTTTGAGAAGAGATTTGTTGATCGGAGAATTTAGGCAAAATAAATCAGTTGGAAACGGATATAAGAGACAGACACTGTGTACATGCATGAGATGAGGTGAAGTTTGCTCAACCACGTTACGCGCAAGCACGTTTCGTCCCAAGCGGAAGGACTCTTGAAAATGGAGGAAATTTCAGCCTCGTCGCTGCAGAATGGCCACGCTCAGAATGGCTATTCTCACGTGCCCAAGAGACTATATTCCATCTCTCGACCACCCTTGCTATCTTCCTTTCAAAACATCTGCTCTCAATCCACCAACCACGACACTTATCCCCTCGCAGCGACGGTCAAGTCCAACGTTCCCATCTACGACCTAGCCACTGCACCAAAGGACCCGGCCTCAATCGACCACCTCCAAGACGAATGGCATCACATCATCCTCTCCGGGCCTGGCGTTTTCGTCCTAAAAAACTTCTATCCAGACAGACAGCTGCTCGAACATATCAACGGCGTCTTCTCAGCGATCATTGCCTCAGAAACCCCAGGGTCCAAGGGCGACCATTTTGCTGCGTCGGGAAAGAACGCACGGATCTGGAATTCGTTTCAGAAACACGCAGAGCGAGACCCGGGGTCGTTCGTAGAATATTATTCGAATCCTTGGCTGGCACGGGTATGCGAGGCCTGGCTCGGCCCTGCGTACCAGGTCACTGCGCAAGTCAACATCGTCAAGCCTGGTGGTCAACCGCAGGTGAGCCATCGGGACTACCACCTCGGTTTCCAGACCGCAGAGGCATGTTCACAGTTCCCCAAAGCGACACAGATCGCAAGTCAGTTTTTGACACTGCAAGGCGCCGTGGCGCATTCGGACATGCCGCTTGAAAGCGGGCCGACGAGATTCTTACCTTTCTCGCAGATGTTCGAGGAAGGGTTCATGGCGTACCGCATCAAGGAGTTTCACGACTTCTTTAGTGAGCATTGGGTCGGTGTCGAGTTGAAGATGGGCGACGGAGTCTTTTTCAACCCGGCATTATTCCATGCGGCGGGCGAGAATCAAACGGCAACCATCAACCGGAGCGCCAACTTGTTACAGATCAGCAGTGCGTTTGGAAAGACAATGGAACGTGTCGATTCGGCGACAATGATTGCCAAGTGCTGGGGAGATGTCACGACGATGTACGCACAGGCTGGAACGATGACAGAGGACATACATGCGATTTTGAAAGCTATTGGCGATGGATATCCGTTTCCCACGAACTTGGATCATCGACCGCCTGCACCGGGGGGGATGGCGCCTGAAAGTGAAATCGATATTCTCAAGAAAGGTTTGATGCAAGGATGGGACACTGAGCAGGTGGTTTCGGCCATCACAACGGTTCGAAAAGATTCATTGCCGTAACTTCTCAAAATGACAACCACGGATCAGGACCAAATCAACCTTATTCATTCTCAGCTCTCCATTCGGATCTGCCTCCTATTCATGACCAGACAAGAATAGGCTTGATGGCCGCTCCAGAGTCCATCCCATGATACGCCTGTAGCGCGTCCCGGATCGGGAAATACTTGACGATCTTCTCAATGGGAAACTTGCCCTCGCGCCACCATTGAAGCATTTTCGGCACCCAGATCTGGCCCGTTGTATCCCCCAGAAAGTTGCATTCGTAAGTCTTACTCATCCCAAAGAAATCTGTCAGTGCAAGCGTCAATTCCGACCCTCGTTTCGGGACACCGATTTGAAGCAATTTTCCCCGTTTGCCCAGCGCCTGTGCACACCCCTGAATCACAGGAATCACACCCGTGGTGTCGACCACGATGGAAATGCGTTGATTGTCCACCAACTTCTTCAGGTCCTCCGCAAGATCCATATTCTCTGGCTGACTTGTATCCAGAACCTTGGTGGCACCGACTTCCTTGGCGATTTCGAGACGAGAGGCGACACGGTCGACGGCGACAATCTCTTTACATCCCGAGATTTTGGCTGCCATGATTGCACCCGACCCCACGGCTCCGACACCAGTGACCACCACAATGTCCCCCGGCCCGGCCCTTGCTGCATTGATCACCGTGCCGGAACCGGTCATCAAGCCACATCCGAGTGGCGCCAGCAGTTTCAACTCTTCGTGACTCTTGACGAGATCTTTGACGTTGACGACGCTTGTAGCAGAGACAATACTCATGCCTGCGAAGCTCGATTGACCAAAGAATTTGCCCTCAGCAGCTTCGCCTTGGGAAGTCTCGAAGGCATTCTTGTCCCCCATGACGTTCAGAGGGTGAAAATTTAGACAGTACGGCTGCTGCTCATTCTTGCACAAGTCACAATTCTTGCAGTAGTCATAAGACAGAAGAACCGGATCTCCGACTTGGGCGATCGTGACCCCCGGTCCAACTTCTTCCACAATTCCAGATCCTTCATGCCCCAGAACTTTGGGGTATTCAGTTCCTATTATTCCACCTGGTATGGACGAGACAAAGACATCGGTGTGACAGATTCCGCTGGCTATCATTCGAACCTTCAGCTCATTTTCCTTGGGTGATCGAGTGATTTTGACATTTTCGACTCTCCAGTCTGGTCGTGGATTGGGAGGGTAACAAACGACTGCAGAATATTCGGTCGCCATTTTCAGGCCGATTCAGGAACTCGGAGCTTTCTGGATTTGCCGGTCGTGTCATTTTATATACGGCTGCAACGAAATTTGTGCTTGCTTATGTTTTGGCTGACGAGGAACTGGGAAGGGCGCTGGGCCAATTTGACCTCGGATAAAATAGAACTCTGACTCGAGTGGTTCGAATATGTAACCTCAACATACACCCGACAAGGGTAACTTTCGTTAGCCGGAAGCTGTATCACGTGGCTATCGGCAGCCTATCGTTATAGGGTCAATGGGCCTTGGCTTTAACTAATTTCTAGGGATTACTTAGCTCTAACCTTGCCTATTGTCCTCTTACTGACGCAGCGCTGATAGTTAAGATTTTGGGGGCCCACTTGGCTAGGCTTCAGCTATCGGCGCTTGGAGCTGCAGGCCTCAGATCACGTGCTACTTGTTCAGAACTAACGAAAGTTACCCTTTGTTGAGTGTATGTTGCGCCTTCCCAGTTAGGTCTAGCGCGATGTCGCACCGCGCTTTTTGTTCTGCACTTTCGCTCGGATAGATTCAATCAATCTCCTCCCCATGTTGTCCAACAAGACACGTCATAAATTCTTGGAGAACGACCTATACGTCGAATCCTGGTGGCTTGCTGACATCGATACGACGAGATAAGAATGCATGCTTCTACTTCGGGGTGTTTCCCCGTACATGTTATAGTTAAAATTGGGGTTAACCCAACTCCGGAAGTCAGGCTTTCCATTGTGGAGCACATTCTTTGATATTCAGAGATTCTATTGCTTCGATTTTGGACGTACTACCACTGCCCAGAAGTGAAAATGAGGCACCTCGCCGGGGGCCATTCTCAAAGTTGGAGGTTCGAGAGCGATATATCCTCTGCACACGCAGGAAAGGGGGGGGTTCATGGGTACTGGAGGCACGCATAAGGAGATCGAATGTTTCCAAATCTGACATGTTCAGTAGCGCACTGGAAAAAGTCATCACGTCAAGTGTTGAATTGTATTGAACTCTAATTGAACCTTTGCAGGTGTGCCGTCCTTGGTCAAGATACAAGTCAGCAGCAGCATTTTGCGGGATGTCAGCTCCGACTCTTCGTATTAGTCTGCTGGAATTTTGATTTGATTCGCCCAAAACGAACCAACGCTCTTACCTTATTCGCCCAGAGTGGAGGGGACTGGTGTTTTCGCACCGCGCTGAAGACGGATCAAACCGACCCTATCAGAGAGTGCAGGATGTCCTTTTCCCATGGGTGTCTTGCCGGTAGACCCAAAATTGGAGGTTGGCGGCCTGGATAACGGCGGAATAGCCGGGGCCAGGTATTGAATCGAGAAACGCAGGGGACCATTGTCCACTCCAGTCAGGAAGCGACAGTGACCGATGCTGTTAAGAATTGCATATGTAGGTCTGTGTCCTCCTTATCCCTTGCTCTTGCTTGCATCAATGCCTGTTTCATCCAAATATTTCGGGTTGTCGAAGGCGCAAGTCTGCGAATGAAGGTCCTGCTTCGTCCGAACAGCTGAAATGTGTGGAAATGAGATGATCGAACCAGTTGGCTATCCAGTCGAGGAGCGTGAGAGCTGGAGTCATCTGAGTGTCAACGGCTGCTATTCATGGATTTGATCAATCTCCGTGTCAAATCAAGGGAAGACTTGTAGATTTTGTCGTGTCTGTGACTTCAAACCGTCGTCGACGAGCTCACGGCCCTCCAACGACTCAACGAGTGTCAGGAAGAAGGAAAAGGCTAGCCCAATGACGGCTGAAGATACTCCGTGGGCGACAGCAGCGGACTTCCGATAAGGAACTTAGTTCGACGTTGTGCCACGGCCCGGCCATGATATGATCAGGAGCCAACCTAAAGGGGTGAAGTGCGAATTAGGATATATTGATATGCTAATAGGTTCCATCTCAACATATTGACATACCGCCAAGGTTCTGTTGTTGCCAGAAAACGGCACCATCCTAGGGTTCTTCATGTATGCCTGCGTGCATGCATGCATTCATTCATTTGGTATTGCCCATTTGGACACCATTGTAGTCCCGGTGGCCGTGGGAGTTCTCCAACGATTCATTGACTTGCATCCTTTTTGATATTGATGCATTTCAATAGTCCAAGGTCCAACACAATTACTCAGCATAATGGATGTGTTTCTCTACAGGCTCCCAAGGAATGTCACCATCGGCGGAGCTCCTCATTGATTCGGTCCATTGCTATTTTCCTATTGACAGTGACGCTCTCCAGCACTTCAGAGTCCGATTTCATCGTATTGTATTGTACGTGCTCGGCCACATCTGTCAGCATCACTTCTCGATTCCATATGTGAATGTCTCCAGGGTCACAGGGGTATCGAGATGACACTGTCATAGGAGTTCTTGTTGAACGTATTCAATTGTCCAATCCTGTTGAAAATGAAGAATTTCAAAAGCCCCAGCATCACCAAGCGAATTCATTGTCGATGACGGTCAAAATCTTTCCAATGTCATCGACCTTCTCGAGCAGCTCCTCACCCATAAGTTGCTCGACACCGGCGGCCACATGGCTTACCGCCGAGCGGACCTCCGCTGGTGTCGCTAGCCCTTGTAGTATTAGGTCGCCACTGGCGAGAACGTCATTGCCCTTTGCCTGCCCGTCTTTGATGAATCTCATAGCCTCCTCAATCATGAGCTTTAAAGCGGCAATACCCTCAAGTCTGTCCCGTCCATATTTATCGATTTTCTCAACTCCTCTACGTCGTTTCTGCAAGGCTGCGGTGTTTTGGGCCATTGGGACGTATTTCCCGGCAATTTTGCGTTGCTTTCGAGCTGAGCCGCCTTTCAAGCCCTTCTTTCTGATGTCTGGGTTTGCCTTCCATAGCTCTCTGTGTTGATGTTCGATCCGAGCCTTGTACTGATCCAATTGCGAATAAAGACCGCTGAGCTCGTCGCATAGGATGTTGAGGCGACCGAGATGTTCAGTGAGGCGGCTACGATGGACGAGAAATGATGGATTAACCCCAACGGGTCCAATTGCGAAGATGTTTTGTGCCAGGAATGGACTGGAAGGTGATTCAAGCAGGACCAAATTCGCAGAGACCCCTAGCCTTGTCAATATAGAGTCCAGTCAGGAGATCAGCGAGACCGACCAGAATGACCGCCCATCTTTTCCTCCGTGATATCGCTCACGCTGCGCGGTTGCTGGGTGATTCAACTGATTCAATCTGTAGTGAATCGAAGTGATGAATCGCGCGGTGTGAGAGAGAGCGTGCCGTAGAGCGCAAGTGACGTTGATATCTGCGGCGGATTCCACTGCATACTGAATTAAAGAAATCCAGGATTCACATGTTTGCCCAGAGAGCTGCCATTTTTGCACACCTCCGCGCGAGCAACTGCTGAAATCTTTCTAATCATCAACCTTGACACTTCACCGTTTAGCTCTTTAACTTGGTATAGCGGAATCCATGTTCCCAAAGCATTGTCTTCTGCGGATTGCCAAAGAACCGTGCAAATAACATGTCCCAGACGTCTGAGGCCGTCAGGTGTGGTCATGGTCCAGAGATAGTCGCCTTGAGAATCCTCAACCCCTCGCCTATTGAATGACAATTGTCCTGGAGTCCTTTATGATGCGGAACAAGGAGGTCATCCGACAGTCCCTTGCGCCGTCCACGGCCGTGAGCATGTTGGTCTTGGGTGGATACCATATCCGAATGCTGAAGGTTGGCAAGATCTGCCACGCTATCTCGTCACCACCTGGTCGCCCCTACTGGACTTGCAGATCGGAATCCGCAAACGACTGACGCCCGATTCGAGAATGTTGTTGTACGAAGTTGGCCATTCTAATGTCGACTACCTACAAGACTTTCGAGACCTGCGGTACGGCAGATGAAGAAGTTTGGGAAACATATTGGATTCCGTTACAGTTGTCAAGAGGAGGATTAGGGTTGACGAAGACGAAGGTTTGTCGCCTAAATGGGAAACCGGAGACGACGTCGTGGCATGTTGCTGCTCATCGGCATGCAGGCAGCCATTACAAGGTCCATTGTCGAAGGACGGGTATCTATCAGAACATGAAATCTGTCATAGTAGAAGGGAAAAGAGAGGGCGAAGAAATCAAGACGACGAAAAGGTTGGTCATGGAATACCTGGCCACCCAGAGTACTCTCCGATTGGGCGGTCCGCCCCGTGAAGGAGGCGGAGAAGTACTTCGACGAAACTTGGAACACCCCGCTGCCCCCCTCTATTGAATTTTGTCTATACTCTCTCACGTCAAGAGAGCTCTGTCAATTCGAAATTGATAGCAGAAACCGATTAATTGACCGTGGTAACGTGGAAAGATGCTCATCCAAGAATCCTACAATGATGTACCAACTAAGGCCGCAGGAGATGGCTCAATGCGTACGACTTCTCCAACACTGGCATGTGCCAATCTCTCAGACCCAGACAAATGCTGAGGGACAAGAAAAGGCATTTACCTATTCCATCCTACGATCGCAGGCTACCCACATGCCAAATTCCCCGGTGTCGTGGTATTCTCTGAGATCTACCAAGGTGACTCCCTCCCGCAACCTAATGAGGTTGAATATTGAGGAGACGATTGACTGGTCGATGGGACCTCCATAGTCACCGGCCCCGTCACTCGATTCGCAAGACAAATAGCCGGGCAAGGCTACATTGTCGCCGCTCCCTCCTCATACCACGAATTCACGGGCCCCGAACCACTCGCGTACGACGTCCCCGGTACCGACGCGGGCAACGAGTGGAAGATCACCAAGAAACTCGCGGCCTACGACGAAGACGCCGAGCTGTCTGTTTCCCTCCTCCTCAACCTCAAGACATGCAACGGCAAAGTTGGAGCTACAGGAATGTGTCTCGGAGGCCATTTAGCGTACCGATGTGCCCTGGATTCTAGGGTCAAGGCCGCAGTCTGCTACTTCGCGACCGACATCCACAGCCACAGTTTGGGAGAGGGGAAGAATGACGACAGCTTGCAAAGAGCCGGCGACATCAAGGGTGAACTAGTCATGATCTTCGGCAAGAGCGACAACCACGTGCCAGCCGAGGGAAGAGACTTGATCCGAAAGACACTACATGAAAAGGGCGTGGATTTCTCATTTTATGAGGTCTTTGGCGCCCAGCACGCTTTCATCCGCGATGAACTGAGCAAGGGAAGATATGACCCGGCCATCAGCAAAGTGTGCTTTGAAATGTTGCTCGAGGTGTTTGGAAGAAGACTGAAACTTGATCTGGGCGATCCCAGTGGTGGGAAATTGGTGATCGAAGATGTATGTTGAACCAAATTCACACATGGCACACAATGTATATTGTGTCGGACGGACACAGAAGGGAGACCATATTTCACAATTTGGCCTCGCTTTTTTTCATCTCCTGTTCCGTTGCCTGCTTTCCGCCTTCTTCACCGGTGGTCTTATACCCAAACAAATAAGCAGCTACTTTTCTGATCTGCACCTCCTCGCTGCCTTCGGTAATTCGATAGCGTCTAAAATGTCTCCAGATATGCTCAAACGGATGGTGCCTGGAATAACCCACTCCGCCATGGATTTGGATTGCTCGATCAGCGGATTCGGTGGCCAATCTGTTGGCATAGTAATTGCACATGCCGATCTTGTGGCCTAGCTGTTTCTCAATAGCTATCCACGGCGCTTTGCCACTGGCTTTGCATTGTGCCGTCACTTGATCCATTTCTACGGCGGTGCGGAGAATCAACAGCCTCAGCATTTCCGCTTGCGTTGCCAATTCGACGAGTGGCCATTGAATTGCCTGATTGGAGGACAGAGGTTTTCCGAATACCGTTCGTCGCTTTGCGTACTCGACGCTGCGATCAATGCAGTAGCGAGCAGCTCCACAGCTCGAGCTGGCTTGACGGATTCGATTCTCGTGTGTGAATGTCTGTGCGATGGCGAGACCGTTATCGACGGGGCCCAGCACGGCCGACGCCGGAACACGCACGTTCTCAAACAAGACGGTGGCGTGGTCGGTGGGCATGTTCAGTGTCCATTCGTACGAAGCGACTTCGACGCCGGGCGTCTCTCGAGGGACGATGAAAGCGGTAATTCCTCGCGGTGATCCCGCTTGGCCAGAAGTCCGCGCAAACACGAGACAGTGCGTTGCACTGTGCATACCGGTCTGCCACTTCTTGTTGCCATTGATCTCGTATCCCGGTTCCCCTGATGGGAGCGTGACGGATTTCGCGGTCGTGTCCATGTGCGTGGCGTCTGAGCCATGATGAATCTCCGTCAAGCCAAACGTAGCTCGGAACTCGCCGCGGATACTGGCGGGGATGAACTTCTTTTGCTGCTCTGGCGTGCCATAGTGATGCAGCATGATGATGATGGGGTTGTTCCCGACAACGCTGTGCTCGTTCTGTAGATCGTTTGCCAGACCCACTCCGCCTCCATAGACTGGGTTAGAAGCTAGATGGTACCGGATGGCACACATGTACAGGTTTTGAGAGTCGCTACCGGCACCGCCAAATTCCTTGGGGAAGGGGAATCGGTAGAATCCAGCGTCATCGGCAAGTTTGCGGGCTTGACGGAGGAGATCTTCCCATTCCGGAGTCGGGAGGCCTTGGTTGTCCCATTGGGTCCGGGATGATTCGCGACGATGGTCGAAGAAGCGATTATTGTCGTTTCTGTGCTGAAGAGGCAGGATCTTGTCATGGATAAAGGTGTCGAGACGTCCGAGGTAGGATTGGAGGTCCGAGGGGAGTTCGAAGTTCATGATGGCAGGCCGGAGGAGAGAATAGACACAATGAGTGATGGATGATTGAGATGGTGAGAGGGGAGGGACATCAACAACAACAACATGATGTTTGCAAAGAAAGGGCCGAAGAAATTATCTCAATGGACCCTACCAAGCAGGGGTTCTCTCAACCTAGGCACATCTGACTCGTTCCAAGGCTTGTTCGGTTGTCTGCTCAAATGCGGGGGGATGACGAGTACTTCAGAGCATACGAACTCACCTGCACTTTTGTGGGGAGTATTGAGCCAGCTAAGTGCACAGCGCGCAGATCAATCGTTATGGACAATTCGACAGCTGTCATGCCAGGATACTTGTCATGATTTCTGCCAGATGTAACCTTACCTCAATGCGACATTCAAGCTGCAATGGTCGTGCACCTTGACCCTTGGACAGAGCATTCTTACATTGTGAGATCGGTAATGAGGAAGCGTGCCGGTAATGAAGAGTCGGCGGTTTTGGTCCTGAGCCAAACACATCAGGAAGACCTCGCCGACGCATGGTAAGTCCTCGTGGCCGTTTTTCCTCCCTGGTCTTGGGCAAATTGCAACAGACTCATTGCGTGATGTAGAAGGAGCATGGCATCAGTCGGGTATCAGATGATCTTGTTCCTCTGTTTATTTCGGTTGTGTTGAGACATCATTCCAGGGTCGTTTCCAAACCTGACTTAGTCATTTTGACGACGGCAATAATCCTAGCGCTGCAGGTTCATGTAAGATTTGGGTGACTCTCGGAGAGTCTAGAGTTGAACGTGGAGAAAACAGCAGGCTCCCTGGGTGTGATGGAATGATTGAATCAACAAATGACTTTCGAATCCGTCCTCTGGACAGAAACGTGGCTGAGTCGACGACATTCCTATAATCCTTCCTGTTGAAGGCAAAACACGAGCTTTAGTTATCAAAGAACGCCACGATACAGGGCTGGCAGTTGTTTGCTTCTTGGGTCTCGAATATGCGGTGAATCTGCGCCACAACGGGCAGACAATCCCACAAAAAAAAAACACGAAAACTCGCATTACGACAGCCCCTGTCCCACTCCCCTTGCCGGGGAGCGGCCCACCAATCGTGGTGCTGGTCGTCTCGGATTTTAGCTGCCAACTGCTGGGAGGAGTCAGACACGTTCGTACGTTTGCTCCTCAATCTCGGTTGCACACAGGACACGAGAATGGTCGCCAGAAGTCTTTTCGAGCGTCAAATTGGTCTCATTGAGAACTGGAGGGGCATTGTTTGATTCTTACGCAATTACCACAGCCTCATGCAGCTGTCGGATCTGGATGTTCAATGGCTGAATCGAGTGTACCGAAGATCGTGTCTCGATTCACGTCCACATCCTGGAGTACGGCTTCTGCACCACATGCAAAATATCCCACATAGACTATACCCTCCTCGGGAGACAAGCTGTGCCTATTAGGGAGCTCGGGCAATCTCCGCTGTCAAGCCACGTTTTGCAAAGTTTGGCGCTAGGCTGACAAGAATCGAATAGTTGAATGCACTATTCCTGTTTTGGCCATTCTCCTTCCCCTTTTCCGCACAGTTCCACATCATCCAGACCATCCAGACCACTCCAGATCATCTCACGACTCTAGCGTCACGGGTGGGCCGCGCGCGTTGTTACTCATCTCTGTTGTGGGGCCGAGTCATCCAAACCTTGTGCCGCTCATGCTGCTAGGGTTGTGTCAGCCACAGTTTGTGGCATCTAAACTTCACCTACCCTCTACGTTTTAGTACTGGCACTGGCTTTGAGTTGATAACATGCACCGTGCGTATGAACCATGTGGCGGAGATCACCAGTTTGGGCCTCTCGCGGTAGGGCTTTTAGGGGGGCGATACTCATCAAGGCACAGCCAGTGTTCCCGCACTGCGCCAGAATAGTGGCTAGCGTAGTAGTATTCTGGATGATTTCTGTGTTCTCTCTGCGCCCTTTATCACTTCATCCTTCCCTTTTGACAGTTCTCTTTTGCGGTGTCGATAGGCACGCGTCCGTTCGTTCTCCCGCTTCCGTCTCTCCTTTCTGAGCGGTTGCACAATGCAACATGCTGCCATTCCTTTATTTCCTCTTATGTTCTAATTTGGTGTCGGGTTCTTTAGGTGGATGGGATAGTTTTGTGCCGTGGAAGAGGAATTTGTTGGAACGCGACATCGATCCTACTTGCTCGTGTACCGATCCAGCGGCAGCTGAATGGGCGACGAATAAATTCTTTTCAGTTGCTGCGACATCAGCAGAAACGCCGGCCGGTTATACTCAAACTTTGACCAATGGACATACATGGACTTCGGGAGATGGGTATCTCGGGTATACGACGATTGACGAATACGACAACGGCATTTGTGCAGCCATTTGCGATTCGATCGAAGAATGTTCGTCTTTCGAGATCTATTTTGAGAAGGAAGTTGGTGGATCAACGCCCTCGATCAAATGTGCTTTCTGGGCTGGTGCGATCACCACGACTGACGCTTCCACCGGTGCCAATGCTGTAATTGCCGGTTGCAATGGCTATACCAACAATACCCTTACAACACCTGAAGGCTTTGATGCTCCCTCATATATTGGGGGTGCCGCCATTCATCCACCTGGAGATTCGAATTCCTTCATGGGTTCCAAGATTTTTGAGGGACCATTCGACACTTCTCATTGCGCAGAGGAGTGCCATTCATGTGGCTGCAAATTTTTCAACACGTATGTTGTCTCCAAGAATGGTATTCGTCAAGGCCAATATTGTGACATGTATGCTCACCCTTTTGGACATGACTGGGCTACGGAAACTGGAAGTTCTGATGGAAAGACCAATTACACTATTTCTCACAGCTTTACCTGTGGATGGGCTGGAGACAAGCGTGATGAAGGGAAATCCAACGGTATCTCGGCGGTCTCACCGACAAGAACTGCCAGCTCGGGTGGAAAGGGCAATTCATGGGAACACGATCACCCTTGGCATGGAAGTGGACCAAATACCGGCATCTCGACAACGGCGACCGCCACTTCAGGACATTCGGGGGACTCGACTGCTAAATCTGGATTTGAGACCACCACTTCAGAGCCTTCGTCTTCAACCGAGACTGGACCGGGTGGATTTCCTCCCACTTATCCTAGTACAAGTACGGAATCTCCAGACTCCTCGACGACAAAGCCTGAGGGTGAGACAACGAGCCCAGTCCCCGAGCATTCAGCGACCCATCCAGGCCCGAGTCCCCATACCACTCCATCTCGTTCTGTGCCATCCCGACCATCATTCAGCAGTTCTCATGGTGGAGGTGATTGGAGTGATTGGAGCGCCACAACATGGTCGTCAATCACGTCTTCAGGAGATGAAGCATCTCCGGGAACTTCCTCAACTGTCTCTACAACCTTCAGCGCATTCACCTCTCATGCATTGCATCCTCATCCGTCATTCAGCCACTCAAAGGGCCAGAACGAATGGACTGATTGGAGTAATGCTACAACTCGATCTTCGTCTGCGACATCCTCAGCTCAAGTGTCTCCTGTCTTTACAACCTCATCCGAGATTACCTCGAGTACGCACTTGAGCACTTCTCGACATCATTCGACACGACCAGGAGTCTCTAGCACAAATCACGAATGGCAGGATTGGGGGAGCACGACAACTCGGTCTGCTCCGTCAACGATGCTGACCAGCTCCACCAGCTCCACCACGTCCGAGACCGTGGATGCGATAACGACTTCATCACCCACCACTTCTCGTCTGGCAACACGACCGTCGATTAGTGGTTCGAGGCCAACTCATGAATCTGGCTGGCTCGACTGGGAGAGCACGACAACGGAATCTACAACATCAAAGAGGCTGTCAACCACGACATCGAATACAGTTGATGCTGTAACGACTCAATCATCCACCACTTCACGATCGACAACACGACCATCGATGAGCCGGTCATTGTCTCATGAATGGGCGGACTGGACTGCCACAACTCGATCTACCACAACAACAGGGCGGTCCATTACACCGTCAATATCAATTGATTCCACTGTTTCCACAACAACTTCCAATGTTGTCAACCCTGCAACGACTTCGTTGTCCACCTCTTCCCATAGTACGGCAACAAGACCATCAATGACTCATGAGTCTAAGTGGTTAGATTGGAGCGCCACATCACGATCTACTTCCACAACAAAATCATCGATCACCTCAGTCGAGTCGGTGTCTCTTGTGACGACCACGTCTTTGACTTCAAGTCTTTCAATCCGACCGTCAATTAGCGGTTCAGGACATGGTGAATGGAAGGATTGGACCTTGTCCTCTACCCAATCGACGTCCACCTTGAGGTCGTCAACGACCTCTGATTTGTTGTCTCCTCGAACCTCAACAGCCTCGAGCTCTCCATCTGTAGCTTCAACACGACCATCAGTTAGCCGATCCCATAACTCTGAGTGGACAGACTGGACTTTGACCTCTACTTCATCCACATCCACTTTGAAGTCATCTACGTCTTGGTCCGAGTCAGTGTCTTCTATGGCGACAACATCTACAACCTCCACTTTTGTGGCCTCAACACGACCATCAATGATCGGTTCGGGTCACAGTCAATGGATAGACTGGACTGTTACATCGCGATCTACATCTACCATCTCGGCAACCTCGACGGAATCTGCATCCCCCGTGGCTATGACATCGTCCACTTCATCATTTGTGGGCTCAACTCGACCATCGATTAGCGGATCACATAATTCTCAATGGCTCGACTGGACTGCCACGACAAGCTCGACATCCACTTTGACGTCGTCAAAGACCGCAACCGAATCTGCGTCTCCTGCAGCCACGACATCGGTATCAAGTTCCTTCGCCAGTCCCGGTCGATCTTCAAGCTCCATGTCAAGGCCATACTCTCAGAATTCTCCCTGGATGGACTGGAGTATCGCATCTCGATCTTCGACTTCCATAGCGTTATCCACAAGCACTTCGACTGTTGAAGTATCACCTGAAACCACCACATCTACGACCAGATCTTTGATGAAGCCCTCTTGGTCATCACACAGCGGGTCTCATTGGTTAGACTGGAGTTTCACATCCATCCCATCCTCGACCTCGGGCAGTACGAGTTCTGTTGCTGCAATCAGAACGTCTTCACAGACAACAATCACGACCTCGATTGACGTGCACCCGTCCCTCTGGTCGCATTCAGGTCAATGGGTGGACTGGAGCATCACATCGTCTCGGTCTAGCACTTCGATGGGGTCATCTACAACGACTTCATCAGTGGAAGTGTCTCCTGTTGCGCCGACATCCACGACTCAGTCACTGAGTGAGTCAAGGTCATTCTCAGGACAAAAGTCTCATTGGATGGATTGGAGCTACTCATCCACTCGATCTGCGTCATCCACAATGCTGTTGACGTCTTCGACAGAAACAGTATCTCCTCTCACGACCAAGTCTGGAACGACGTCCTCTGCGATACCGACTCGACCGTCATTTACCGGGTCAACGAGCCTTCACTCTCAATGGTTGGATTGGCAGTTCTCATCCAGCCAACTTTCCACATCGACTAGTACCGCCCCTGTTGATGCCTTGACAACGTCTTCACAAACAACAACGACGAGTCCCGTCGTGCGCTCAACTCAGACGTCCCATAGATCACATTCGGGATCCGAGTGGTTAGACTGGCAATTTTCTAGCACCTGGTCCCAGTCTGTTTCAACCGGGCTCGCTGCGGAACCGGCTTCGACTACGTCATCGACAAAACTGAGTACCTCCACTGCTTCAACGTCTACACTGATATACTCCCGTCCAACTGGTTCGTTCTCTGGAAGTCATTCGGCTTGGTTGGACTGGGGCTTTACCTCAAGCTCTGTAGCCGTTGCACCAGTAACTACCAGCTCAGCCTTGACAACCACAACGGCGTCGTCTAAAAGCTCAAAGTTCGTCTATCCGACAAATTCTCAGCATTGGGAAGATTGGGAAAACATGACAAGTTCATCCATTTCGAGTTCTGTCTTCGTGGAGCCTGTGACCACAAGATCCGTTCTAGCCACCACAACGGCATCTTCAACCCCACGAGCGAACCATTCCATCATCTCGCATTCTCATTGGGAAGACTGGACAGTGACCACTTCGACCACTTCGAGCTCCTTGTCGGTTGAGCCAGCCACGACGCAGTCACTCGCGACTTCAATTTCTACGAGTTCGAAGTTTGTTTATCCTACAGGCTCGTCCCACTCCGGGGGTTGGCAGGACTGGACAGCAACGAGCTCGTCTACTTCAAGCTCCATCTCCGTTGGGCCGGTCACAATATCATCATCCTTAGGTGTGTCAACGAGCTCAAAGTTCAGTTACTCAGCCTCGTCGCGTAGGAGCATATCACATTGGGATGACTGGACAGTAACTACTTCATCTACTCCGAGTTCCGTGTTCGTTGAACCAGCCAGCACGTCACCTTCGTCGACAACGTCTACAAGCCCCAAGTTTACTTATCCGACGGGCCAATCCCACAGTGGAACACAGATCTGGCAAGACTGGACAGCAACCACTTCTTCGGCTCTGAGCCCCACATTCGTTGAGCCGGTCGCAACGTCATCGCTATCGACAACAGGCTATTCAAGCTCCAAGTTTGCTTATTCTGGCTCCTCTCGTGGTACTCAGTCGCATTGGGATGACTGGTGGAGCTCCAGCTCTAGTACTTCGAGCAGTGTAGCTGTCGAGCCTCTAACCACGACCTCAACTCTAGCTTCAACCACATCGAGCAGTTCGAAGGCGTCTACATTTACTTGGCCATCTCATTCGGGGAATGATACATGGGAGGACTGGAAGCTAAGCTCTACCACTTCTAGCTCTCTAGTTGTCGAGCCTTATACGACGAGCTCTTTTGTTGCTACCACCATATCAACCACCAGTTCGGGACGGGCCATGCCTTCTGGGCCGTCGCATTCTGGGAACGGCTCGTGGGAGGATTGGCTGAGTTCAACGTCGACCAGTTCCAGCGTCGCTGTCGGGCCCGTTAACACCTCATCTCTAGTTAAAAGACCCTTGACACCAAGCTCCCGACTCGCTGTGTCAAGGTGGCCGTCCTATTCAGGAAGCGGCTCTTGGGAAGATTGGGCCGCGACTACCTCAACCACCGCTTCAGTATCGACGATGAGCTCCGCGACAAGCTCAATCCAAGTGCGTCCAACAAATTCGTACAGTGGTACCAAGAGCTGGTCCGAAAGTGCTTGGCTTGACTGGTCCGTCACTCGTAGTACTTCAACGAGTTCTTCTGTGGGCGCTGAAGCCACTACTTCTTCGCTGACTACAGCCACCACGAGCTCTGTCGTAGGCTACCCAACCATTCCCTCTCATACTGCCAGCAATTCTTCATGGACTGAAAACGGATGTGACGCAATACCACCATACCAACTCGTGAAGAATCCTTCGTTTGAATGTTCCGATCAAGGATGGACATTGGATGAGGCGGATATTGTGTGGGGAGGCGTCCTGGCTTCCAAACGTGATCTCTCTTCACCCGATGTAGCATATGATGGCAAGGGATTTGCTCGCCTGCATCCAGCTTCTGGGTCTGAAACTGCAACTCTGTCTCAGACACTTGACACTCCCGCACCGAATGGATCATACTGGTATTCGTTTGCCTACAGAGTTCCAGAATCGGGAGTCACGCCAGATGGATGTACACTGACAGTATCCACCGACGAAGGATCATTAGCAACCATTGGATCCCTATCGACTGCCAGCTCGTGGATGATGACCGGCAAAGAATTCACGATTGAAGCATCGATAAGCGTGTTCTCTCTCGCCTTTAGCTGTAATGGTGCCGATACTACTTCGCCTGTCCTGGATCTCGACTACGTCAAGATGGGCCTGAGCAGTGGAAGCGGGACATCTGGCCATGATACCACTGGAAACAGTACCGGTCCTCCGGCACACCCTACATCACCGCCAGTGGATGTGACAAGTCCGGACAGTAGCGTGCCTCCGGCCAACGTGACCAGTCTCTACGACGGTGCTGCCACACATTCAGAAGCAAGTGGGCCGACGAGCACCATCGCGACGTCAAGCGATCCCACTGGACCAACCGAATCGGGCAATTCGACTACGGGGGTTTCAAGGCTGAAGCCCCGTGGCTACCATCGATATCACCGAAACCATAACGTGAATTAGGGGGTTGGTTTTGCATGGCAGAAGGGGGCCCCAAAAGTAAAAGGAAATAGGAAGATGATATCCCCCATGTTTTCAGATGGCGAATGCTTCCGAGCCTGGCTGTTGCGTGGTTGGGGACCGCCACCGGCAGGCGCAGGAAGCTTGAAGTTACGCAGACAAGATTGAGCCATATTTCACTCGGGCAAGACGAGACCCATATTTTTGACTTTCAATTGATGACGTTCGTATTGAACTGTGATATTTTTTTATTTGTGCATCTGTGATATCTTGTTGGCATGCCGCTTTTCGGCGGTATGCCGGGCTATCGAGTTTTCTCCGGTTGAACTCTCCATATTACCGCACAGGTTAGGCGTCATCATGCAATCTCCATTCTCCTTAACTTATCCACCCACCCATCCATCCATCCATCCATCGAAGGTCGGATTAAAGTGGGTAGAGAGTTGACTCGGCATGAGAAGAGGAGGAACACTATTTTCTGTCTATCAAGAGTCAAGTCAGGCTTGTTCAGACGACCTACATGACCCCCAGGCAGCATCACTTATTCTATCACCTTCATTCGACGGCAACTGGCCACCTCAGTACTATGTACTAGTAGTTTATCCAAAGTACAACCCATCCCGAATATCGTCTCACCTCTCCTTCACCTCGCTTCTCGCTCCCGATCCCTCAAAATCCTAACGAGCCGAAGCTAGGATCGTCGTCACTTCATCTCCATGAGTGCTAGCCTCATTCGTCTCGAACACCCCTGCTCACCAATCACCATCGCATCTTGATCCCCGCTATTCAGGGGCATTTGCCCGCCCGTAAATTGAAAGAAAGACCGAACCGAATCAATCCAGGTGCCGACATCCTTTTCTTCTCCCACTGGTGTATGACCCTGCTATGCGAGAAGATACGCAAACAACATCGCGTCCAATTAGCCACAATGATAAGAATGAGAGACAAACAATCCCATGATGGGTTCCTGCATCACAAGGAGAAGAACGAGTCTCCCATACACGCTGTTACTCACTGACTGGATGACTCCATTGATGGATCGGATCACCGTCACTGATCATCACCGCTAGGGAATTTTTCCAGGAAAGGGAGGGTTTTTACACATACAACAAGGGCCGTCGGCGCATACCGGGGCCTTTGAAACGTTTCCCATTTCGGACTTTCTGTTCGATGGCATCCCCGGGGGAAACGGGATTCCCATAATTACTTCCTCGATGATGACGGTTGGCCTGATCATTTTAGGAAGAAATCCTCCTCACAATCGCATGTACGCGTTCAAAGATCATCGTCATCCATCACCGGCAGGACCGTGGAGCAATCCATATTTGGCGTCAATGAGGCAGAGGGCCTTGCTCGGTATGTTATATAGGGCTGTGCCCCCCCTGCGTCTGGAAATCTTCTCCCATCTCATCAGCTCAGCAACTACTTCTGTTTTTCATTCTTCGATCCTGACCATCGTCATTCATTCATCCGACTGACCCAAGTCATTCATTCAAAATGAAGCTTCTCGCCACCATCACTTTCCTCGTTTCTACCCTCTCGGCCGTGGCTCTTGCCAGCCCTCAACGTGGTGGAGGCGGCCGTCCTGGCCGTCCTACAATCACCCAAACCGCCACTGGCACGACAACTAGCACGACAACAATTTCGTCGTCAACGACTTCCTCGGCCACTTCTCCCACCGCGACCTGCCTTGATTCCAGCTCGGCTGAATATCTCGTCAACGGATTCGCCTCGCTCCTGACCGCCTACAGCAACGCAACTGCCGAAGCTCTTCTCGCCTCGAACTTCACTGATACTTCCGACTCGATCAACTTTCTGGTGGGTAACCCATTGGGCAGCGTCACCTTCCCATCCAAGGCTGCTTTCGAGGCCGGTCAAGGCTCTCAGCCCCCTATTGGCTTTACAATTCTCAACATTGACGCTGTGACTTGCGATGTGATTGCATTCCGTTGGGCCGCGACCTTGGGCCCCGACGCCCCAGTCAAGGGTATCAATATCCTTTACGCAAGCAACCTCAACGGCACGGCAGCCGGATGGCAAGTCAAGACGGTGTACTCAGAGTTCAACTCTGGTACCTGGAGTCAGGAAATTGGTGGTGTCTGCGCGTAAATGGACATTGGAAGGAAAAAGGACGAGAAGAGAGTTTCGTCATGGAGATTAGGCGCTCGAGAGGCAAAGAGACGGGGTAATGGAGAAGAAGCCAATCAAAATCATGTTGAAACCACTGACGGAGAGAGGCGAGTGGAGATGGAGGATGGATTAGGGAACGTAATAGCATCTTTTTCTTCGCATAACTGTACTTGTCCCTTAATAAAAAAAAAAAATGCGATTTTGCCACGGGATCTCTTCTTTTCTTCCATGACTTCGGGATATTTTTATGGTCCGCTCTGATCTAGTCGACCCTCGTCATTTCCGAGCGAGTCGAATGGGGGCAGTGAGGGCAGAAAGGGAGGGGGGACCCAATGGTGCCCCAGACGAGAAAAGAGACAAAGGATTGAATCGGGATCATCGGCGCCTGTGAGTTCGATCTGTATTTTGCGGGTCTCCCGGCACGGAGCTTCCCTTTGTCGGTAATGAAACTCACCCCCTGCCCAGCATATGAGAATTCTGTCGCGTAGAATAATTCTCACTTTGATCATTACTATATCATACCACACTATAAGTAAGGAGCGCTTCTAACCTCGTTCTCTGTATGTACATGTTCTCATAGACCGATCATGTTGATCCGTTTGCGTCTTCTCCCTGTCGAATCTCAACTGCAGTCCCTGTCTCATCAAGGCAAATCCGTTGCGAGGAAGGAAAACTGAAAAGAATTCTCAACCGACACAGGCACTCCGCAGGGTCCCTTTCTAACAATCCTGACTCCAATATAACTGGGCCATGCGCGGTAGGGTGTCAAAGGAGCTGAAATTTCCATCCGCGTGAACCCAGTCCGAGGTGTTGCCGGCCAAATACTGGGCCGCGGCATCGGTGAAGAAACTCGTCGCGTAGACATCCACCAAAGTGCTGTCTGAGATATCCGACACGGACACATTGGCTTGGACGTAGTGAGGCGTGTCGGCGTATCCCTGGTCGATGTGCACGATATTATCCCCGTCGGAACCCAAGTCGTCTTCGGTCACATATCCGAGCGTTTTCACGAGGGTCGTATCATTCACGGCTCGCTTGTAGACTTTGTCCGTCTGCATGTTCCGAAGCAAATTTTTGGCCGAGGACCATGGCGCTGTCATTCGTAGCCAGTAGTTTTGATACGGGTTGGTCTGGTAGGCGTTGTCGATGGTGAAGGGACCTTCCAGCAGATCGTAGCGGAAACCGCCAGTGTTGGTCAGGATGATTCTGGACATGTTGGTGCGTCGTGGGTCGACTACGACTTTGGGGAATACTTCGGTGGTCAGGTAGTGGAACAGACTTTGATTGGAACTGATCGGGACCCGGGTGAGATAATAGTTATTGGGGCAGCAGCCGAGTTTCTCGGTCAACTCGGGAATCGAATCGATAGACTTGGTGATGTTGTTGCTGATGGATTCCCCGAGGCTGGTATTGAATGTTTTCTCGGTAGTCGACGTGTGGAATTCAAAACTGTATCGGCTGAAATCGAGATATTGTCGAGAATAAGTCAAGTGCGATTGACGATTGGGGGTGACACCGGGGATCGGAGAAGGAGATTGAGAGATTGGGGTCCCGCGGCCTTGAGGCGATTGGGCTTGGGTGACAGTTTGGGGCAGGCCATTAATCGACACCCATCCCACCGTTTCACAATATCTTCCTGACGCGATTCCCACGGCGTTCGAATCAAAAACCACCGCATCACGGACGTGGCGGTGGCCTCCGAAAATTTGAATTGGGGTTGTGGGATGATGTTGTCGAATGGCACCGTAAATTAAGTTCCATTCGGTGGAGTTGCGAAGAGTGATGTGTCCCGCCACCAGGAACATGTCGATATCGGTTCGCTTGACTTGCTGCTGAAACCAAGGTTGTCTAACCGCATCCCCCACCGGGGTAACGACGGTGGCATTGCTGTTACCGGTGAAATTGAAGATGAAGGCAAATGACATGATTCTGATGCCGAATTTGGTCTTCCAGTACGCATATCGGTCGGAAAAGGGTCGGAGCTTTCCGGTGTCATTGAACTCCACATTGGAGGTGATGTAGCGACCGCCCCAGTGAGGAGCAAAGTTGCGGTAGGTGTCGTTGGCAATTTCGGTGGTGTAGAGTTCGTGATTCCCGACGGATAAGAGATCGTAGGGCAATTTTCGGAATATGGGCAGTGTGAGTTTCCCGTTGGGGGTGGTGGCGTCGCCAAAGCCCGTTCCATCGTGCAGATCACCCGAGTCAATCAGCAGCAGGTCCACTCCCAGGACGTCCGCCTTTGCTTTCATCTTCTGCACAAAATCCGCAAAGTCGCCATAGTCGGCGCTGTAGTTCTCATCCAGCAAATGACCCGCCAACCAGCCGTGAGTGTCTGTGGTGTGAAGAAAATTGATCTGACCCCAGTGCAAGTCTCGGATTGGCTGAGGAGGAGTTGGAAGAGCAGCGGGTTGGATTCGTTTGGCCAGGTCATGTCGTCTCATCAGGTCATGGTCGACATACCCGCCGAGGACGGGAGAAGTCCAATCATGGTCGTCACAGGAGCGAACAGGCTGGTGGAAAGCAGCGAGAGTGAGAAGGGAGGTCAGCAACATGGCAGGCAGTGGGAGAAGAGGAGCAGGATACACGAGATAGGAAAAAAGAGCTTGCACCGGAGGACGTGGACTGAGAACTATCGTTTTATCAGGCGATCAGTGGACATGACTGAGGCTCAGTCTGAGCGTTGGTAAAGCTTTCCTTCTGGAAAGAGCAGCGAAAAAGGCCGACCCAAACTTTAGACATAGAAGGTGATGATGCGGTTGGCTCGACCTGCAGGAATCGGTAGCATCGTCCATCTCCCAGAGCTCAAAGGTTCCCCACTGCCCTATAAGCATCAGGGCGGACGAGCTTGGAGCTGCTTAGTCCAGCTTGAACGGATCTGACTTTACGATGCACGGATGGAACGGTGGCTGGGCCAAGGACGAGATAAAACCAGGCACGAGGGGCAATTAATTGGGGAGAACAAGCTCGCAATCGGTTACACCAGCTACCGTATACCAAGAAAAATAACCCTGTCCACGTGGGTATGCAAGGCAGAGAGTGGGTCATTGAGATGGGCGAGATGGCCACCCCAGGACTTACCCAGGTCCCTCCGCGTGGCCCTGTCTGCCTAACAAATCACGGGGTTCACGGCATAAAGTCCCTGTTCTCACATTAGCCTCCAGACCATGTTCCCTTCGGGACAGTTCACTCACCTGATTCAGCACGGCACCTCTGATTAATTTCGCCTCGACATCCTCGTCGTCTTCCAGAAGCTTATCGATCTTGTGCACATCATCAATGGCCCAGAAATCCCGGAAGGCGTTCACCACTCCTTCACTATGCTTTTGAACCACATCATCATCCACTGCCGCAAAGCAAAGTCGGAAGTATTGCCATCCCTTCTCTTTCATGATCTCTGGCGTCGGACAAAAGATTGAACCAGGGCTGATCAAAATCAGATATGGTTCCGTCGTCATGAAAATCCAAAGGGCCCGAGCCAGTCGTTCGTGATCAACTCTGTCGAACAACGGATGAGTTTCATAGTGGGCCCGCATCCACAGGAACATGCCCGCCATCGGGTAAGCAAAATCGTACAATTGCGTCTTGTGAAGGACCTGGTAGTCGCCGTCATCATCATCATCCTCTGTCACGGACACGCTCGACCGTCGGTGTGCGTCTTGAATCAGGTATTTTCCATCTTCCAGAATCGAGCTCATCAATTGCATTCGTCGTTCATAGTTGCCACGAAGACCTTCCAACCATCGGACCCATCCATCCACCTTCCATCCACTGCCGTCTTTACTACCTCCTTTGCCGGCATCACCATTTGGTGACGGGCCCATAATGAGTTCCGCGATCAAGCTCTGCACAAACCCGCTAGGTTGTTGGGTGCTGGTCTCGGTGATACGTTGAATCCTCTCCACCACCTCGGGTTGAGCGGTGATCCAACCCAGTCGGCACCCAGGAGCCACCGTCTTGCTGAATGTGTCGAGTCGCACCACGCGTCCATCGACATCAATGGATAGGTATGAAGGCACGAGGCTGTCCAAGAAGGGAAAGCCGCCAGACCGGCCCCCCGAAGACACGTTGTAGTTGAATGATGCGTCCAGAGGGAAGTTGTCCGACACCGGCTCGCCCCGGGCCTTTGTGGAGAGCTCGTGGGCCGAGGGATATTGCAAGTACCAGTATGGGTCGTCTTCCACAATGATAACGTCGTACTGTTGGCACAAGGCGTAAATTTCCTTCCGTCTCTGGAGTGAGAGCAGTCCCGACGTGGGGTTTTGACCCATCCTATGGGAAGATTAGCAGTAGCCGTCGACGACGGATGGCAATTCTCACGTCACCGTGTACATCAGATGAGGTCTCTTGCCCTTGTTCTTATCCCAGTGTGCCATCACGTCTTCCAGACCGCCGGGTCCGTGAGCCATCATGCCCTCGTCATCGATGGCCACGGGGACAATGTTGAGTCCACGAGGTCGTGCAGCTTGGATGGCATTCATATAGGCAAACTCTTCACACAAGATCCCCTCGCGTTCCCGAATCCAGTCTCTTTCTTCATCCCACACGTTACTGAAGCATTCAATGGTTTTGGAAAACCCATCCGTCGATCCACAAGTCAAAATCACTTCCGGCCCGCCCTGATAAGGCACGTTCGGGTGCAAGTGGGTTTGGGTGAATGTTCGGATGAACGTGTAGAGCGGAGGGTATCCTTGTGCCGTGCCGTATTGAAGCGCCGTGGTCAAGTCAATCTTTCGCAGCACATTTGGCTCAGCCGAGTCGTGGGGAACGAGGACTCGAGAAGCCGCTGGCCCCTCTGAAAGGCGGGCTTGGCCCAGTTCGACCGAAGGAGGGTCAACAGGCCGATTAGGAGTCGGCTTGAACCTATCTGGAAGAGCGGTCGCGGCCTCCAAGGTATCGTAGGGGAAGTAGCCAGGATTGGGCAGACCTGAGAGCTATCAGTCGCGTGAATCTCTTCAAGCAGTCGGCCATGCTCACCTCCCGCGAGGTTTCCAATTCCGGGAATGGCAAAATACTTGTAGAATTGCTTCATCTTGCTGGCCGAGCGATTCTTGGTCACTCTCGAGTAGTGACAGGACAAGTCCTTGGGCGCAGGTTTCTCCATGGTGGCAGCCATTGCGGCGTCGAGATTGATCAATGTCCAGAATAGAGACGGAAATTTCAGTATAGAACCAGTCGTGCACACATCGATCTGGGGGGAAGAGCTCTAAAGTGGCAGAGGATGCGAAGGATCACCGACCTCGACCTGAATGGATCCGCTCTGATAAAATCCGATAAAGGAACTTCGATATCGATAAACGGGTCCAGCCAAAGCCACCGACTTACGGAGAACTCCCACCCGCTGGTTGGAGAGTATTAGTCAGCTACGCCGCCAGGCTGCGAGCTTGCGTCGCAAAGACCAAATCCGTCGCACAAGGAAATCTTTTACATTCAAGTTCTCATTCCATCGCCGCCATCACCATTACCATTTGTTCAGTCTATCGTCATACCCGAAACTCTCTTGGATCCCTCCCTTACTCCTGCGTCAGAGAATCGAAAATTCAAATTGCCGGTTCCCTCCTGATGACTCTCATCCACATGTCCCTGACGATGAATAGACCAGCACGGAACAAATTCCTAGGTTTGACTGGGGATGCAACGATGAATTCGAATTTCCGCCGAAGCTAAAGCCATCAGGTCGGCATGATTCCTTTACCCGGGCGAATTGTTATCATGACGAGAATGGGCCACACGTTATATCCACCTTAGTTCTGCCAGGAAGAAATAGCTGTTGAGGGTGTCTCTTGCCAGAGGGACATCTTTCAACATCATACCGATGACGGGACGCCATGTGCGCAGACTTTTCTTGATGATGACTTAAGGCAAGGCCGTCGGCGAGCTTCAAAGTTTTGGCGTGTTCGAGAGCTTAGCCGAGATCCTGGACCGGACTGGTGTGTTAATCATGATAGGCACGCCACGAGGTCGCACGAAGAGCCGAAGCTGTGATGTCGCTACGCGCAAGGCTCGATTCACCAAGTTAGCTTTGGTTAACATCAAGGAATGAGGACTTCGCACATACGTCTGGACCATGAGTTTCCGTCTCGGCATCTTTTTGGTTCGGTCCATGACGGATGAAAAGGCCCAAACATGTCCAATTGATCCTCTGTGCCAGGTCTGAATCTTTCTTCCACGACCTTCTTAGCCTCGCTGAGGCGATTTGGGAGTGTCAAGGCTCCAGTGCAATGTAGTTTTCACGTGGGAGAAAGAGCGACGCATTCCGTAACTCGACCAAAGTGTAAGCACGAGGATTGATCCTCCTGAAGAATAGTGCTGACTCGAGGAGGAAGTGAGCGGGACGAACTCACTTGTAACACTGTTCAATAAAATGTCGCCAGTCGGGCCAAATCACCGGTCATGAATCGGCTGAAATTGAAATGGTAAGAAAAGGTCCACGGTCGTTCCAGGTCCGCATTTCAAATGATACATTTGGAGGCACGCTGCCCACTTTGGTCGGAAGGAAGTTGAGTTGTTTCAACTGAATAAAACGCACTCACAATGATGACTGTACAGGGACTGGCGCCGACACCAATCACCATGTTTCCGTGAGTGTTGTCCCCTCCTTGCAACCGTATTGGAAAGTTTCAGCGTGCTAATGACTCTGAATGAAGATCCAATATCCCTTCCCCCCTTTCCCCAACAAACAAAGAGCCGAGTCATTGTCTTCCCATGGCCAATTTCAGGTTCGGATCCAACCTAGAAGAAAGTCGGATATGAGATCCCATCGATTTTGAGCAGGAGAGTTTCTTGGAAATTGATCTCGTACAAGCACCGATGGAATGATCGAGGGAAATAAATGTGGGAGGTACCAATATGCCGTCAAAGAAGACGTCGGTTGAGCCTAGCAGTCGAAGGCAATTCCTTTGCGGCCGTGATCGGGTCCCCCTTCAACACTCTGGTCATCGGCGGTGGGCCAGCTACTTTACAGACATCCTCATCTTCATCCTCTTTATCCTGGGTTAAATATCATCCAATTTCGGATCTTGACAGCATTTTGTACTTCCTTCCTGTGCAAACTGCACGACGCAGCCCCAGAATCATAGCGGTGCTTCACTCGACCTGATGTATACCGCAACGACATCAGACAGGATTTGTCAACACTTCTCGGTTGACCAGGGCTCCCAGCGGCTCGAATGGATATCTCAGCAACTTAGAATCCGAAAATGTTCGGTTGCAGGCCAAAACAGTTGGCCCTTGATGTTAACTGATGACATTTGCCCAGAGCCTACACTTACGGCCGGATCCTACAGTACCGACACATCCCGCACCCACAAAATTCTATTTTCCCAGTCCCATTCTATACGCGTTCGGGCAACCGAGAAGTTCAGCGAGAGTCAACACATCCCCTCAAACTTATTAACATAGCCACGTGGCAATTGACGCTCTGACGCCTAGGGAATACGAGATCTGTGATTGGAATTGATGCGTTCCCTTTTGGGAAGAGCTCCGAACCTCCATTCAAGGTTGTGATCGAGCCGAAAAAGGATGTTAGGGGACACCGAAATAGCTCCCAGACTCTCTCGTGGCCGCAAGATGTGATAGGGCGCCACCAGCAAAGGCAGCATCCCAATACCCAGGATTAAGAGCTTACAGCTTTGAAAAGGGCATACTGCAAAACATCGAGTATGTTCGCCGACAGAAGCGAAAGGAGCTTCAACGACGAATGGTTACTGAAATCTAATAAGTAATTCCAATTGCAATTCGGTCTCTAGTATAACCTCGTCAACTATCGGAGAAATTCAAAAGGAAAAGGCTTTTGGAGGGATCTACAGTATGACAAGATGCTCCAATTCACTTTTGACGATCTGTCTCAAGGCTATGGGCTGTGACGAAAGTTCGTCGGCTTGATGCTGTCTCATCTAATCTAGAGATGTTAAGCACCCCTTGCGGCTTGCCACCATTGCAACAACCGCAGTCATGAGCTGGCTGCCGGACCCTTGTTCTCTGAGTGAATACGTGTCAAGTTTCCCTGTCCATTGGCACGTTATTCTGGATTTATTTTGCTATGTAGGGCGACACATGCCAATCGCGTATTCCCACCAGAAGTTTTTGCTGGTTTTCTGGAGAACTCTCCAAAAGCCGAAGCTACGGCATTTTCCCCCCCCCCCCTATATGCTCACATCGTTCTAATGGGTTTGTTTCGATTTCGTTCAAACACACAAAACTCATTCCTTTACCTCGACTACGCAGGATTACATCTACCTATCAACCCGTCTTGGATTCGGCTGGGGCAATAATGGCAGCCCTGACAGGGAGCACTCTTCCGAGGGCCTCCAGGCGTAGGAGCTAGGCAATGATCCCAATGACAGCGAGGCAGTCCATACAGCATCGACGAATCGCGCTTTGATGCCAGCTTCCTGGCTTGGCATGTTTGTCCGAATGTCGTTTGACGGCGGTCTTTCCTCCCTTCCTATCCTGATTGGTCAGTCAAGCTGCCGCCAAGCGCGGCTCAACTGTTTGCTTCCCTCCGGTGGTTGGCCGGAGACTGCCAGATATCTGGCACCTGCGTCGGGCACATGTTAGATATTACAGTCATGGCCGAACCTTTTCTTCTCATCTTCTCAAGTCAGAATGCACTGGCTCATACGGCAATATGGAAGTTGTCATTCAAGGAGTGCCTGAACGTACGACCCAAAAGCAGCTGAGAGACTATTTCCGTCCCGTTTGCGATCACCTCTCAATCGATGATTGGGATTGCCAGAAAAAGAAGAACAAGCCATTCGCTTCGTTGACATTTCTCAGCCGCGAAGATGGCCAAAAGTTCTGTTCTCGCCATGGATCCTCAAGAAATGGTCTTCATGGTAGTCCTATCCCGAGCCGGACACCCCTCTTCTTCAAAGGCCTGCCATTGTTCTGCAGCCCAGGCTGCAAAAAACCCGATATTCACATGTTAAAGAGCCTAGAAATGGAAGCAAAGACGCGGCAGAAAAAGAGACATTTGGAACAAAACATGTCTACTACAGTGTCGAGCATAAGGGATGTTCCTCTCAAACTCAGATCTATACTATGCGGTCTCTGGGAATATCAGGGCTCGAACCTGGTTTTCATGGCTCACTCGAACTGGATAGGTAAAACGGTAAAGGTCGGCGCGAGAAAGATCACTGTCCACGTGGGCCCAGGTCATCGTATTGATATACCCTTCTCAACCATACAGGCCATCGTACTTGAGAACTCCCTCCAATATGCGATTACCCTTACGTTGACCGAGGCACCATATTCCTTCCGCAACATAGACATTGGAAGCACAACTCCACTCTCGGATACGGCTTCTCTCATTCAACCCATGAGGCAATTGAACCTACGGAGTGGTCCGAGCCGGGCCAGAGTTCCTGGGTTGGACTCGGCCCATGAAGCGATTGCCGGGAGCTGCTTAGTCTATCGGCTTGTCCTCGAAACCACTGACGAGCATGTCGATTTATTGAGCAATGTTCGCGGGATACCGCCCATAGTCCGGCACCATGTCCAAGTCCATGCCCCTGATCGGCTGCACGCATCACAAATATGTGAATTGGTTGAGGTGCTCGAGGATAGTTACGTTCAAATTCCGTTTGTGGTCAAATACCAACTCCAGAGACTTGCGCAAAATAGCTTTCTTCCACCGAGGGTGGTACTAGCTCTGTTGCCGGAAGTCGCAAACCTTTTGAGCGACGGCAAGATTCCTTGCTGGGTCAGTGCAATACGACTATTATTCCAGCAACTTCCTTTCCCGGGGGTTGAAACAGAATCCGGCGATTTTCAGGTCGATACCTTGATATCTCTGCTGATAAAGAATGCAGCACAGTCGGACAACCGAGACCACTATGAAGATGATTCCCGTCGCTCTGAACAAATGGCTCGGATCCACCGAGTCACCGTCACTCCGGCTGGTATTTACCTGTACGGCCCAGACTGGGAGAGCAAAAATCGCGTTCTCAGAAAATACCCGGCAAATCACGACTACTTTTTAAGAGTCCAATTTTGTGAAGAAGATGGCTCCCAAGTACGATTTAACCCCGACGTCTCGAATAAAATCATTTTTCACGATAGATTCAAGAAGATCTTGAATCATGGTATCAGAATCGGCGGGAGACGGTTCTCATTTTTAGGCTTCTCCCATTCTTCGCTCCGGCAGCAGTCATGCTGGTTCATGGCCCCGTTTCTCTACAACGGACTCACCCTGTCCGACCGCATGCTCATCCGAAATTTGGGCGATTTTTCGCACATCCGCTGTACCGCCAAATGCGCCGCCAGGATCGGTCAAGCGTTCTCCGAGACACCGACGGCCATCAGGCTTGCTCCGGGAGTCGCACAACGAATGAATGATGTGGAGCGTAATGGGCGAGTGTTCAGCGATGGAGTGGGGACCGTGTCAATGTCGGTTCTGCGACGGATCTGGGCCGGGCTTCCGTCCACCAGAAAATTTAAACCAACTGTGTTTCAAATTCGATACTCAGGTATGCATGATCTCGGTGCTGGAGAATTATATGGCTCGACTTGGACGTGAAGAAAAAATGATGCTAACCGCTGGGTAGGAGCTAAGGGAATGATTGCCTTGGACAGTCGTCTTCGAGGCGAAGCGATGTTCCTCCGTCCATCCATGATCAAATTCGGGGGATCATCTTCAACTGACATTGAAATCTGTGGCGGAGCCTACAAGCCCCTTCCATTTTTCCTAAATCAACAAAGCATCAAGATACTCGAGGACATGGGAGTGAAAGATGAATTCTTCTTCCATCATCAAAAAAAGGAAATCGATCGTCTGAGACGGGTTAATTCGAGCTCGAAACACGCTTCGGAATTCCTCAAGTCGCAAGGCATTGGGGATCGGATCCAACTGCCCTGGTTCGTCCAAAAGCTGAAAACGATGAATCTCTCCTTCCAACAGGACAGCTTCTTACGAGACGTGCTGGAGATTGCCATCCTGGTCGAACTTCGTGCACTGAAATACAAGGCAAGAATACCCGTAAAGGATGGATATACCCTTTTCGGCATCATGGATGAGACTCGAATCCTTAACGAGGGCCAAATCTTTTGTATTGTCGAGGATGACGACGGCGTGAGGGTCATCACCGGCGACAATATTCTTATCACACGTTCTCCCGCTCTTCACCCGGGCGATATTCAGCGGGTAAATGCTGTCTCGGTACCATCCGACTCTCCATTGATGCAGCTTCGGAATTGCATATGCTTCAGCCAGAAGGGCGCAAGGGACCTACCAAGTCAGCTTGGTGGCGGCGATCTCGATGGAGACCTCTATCAAATCTTGTTTGACCGTCGGGCAACACCCAAAGAGACGTTTCCGGCCGCCCAATACCCAAAACAAAATCCGATCGATCTCGGCCGACCTGTCAACCGCGAGGATATGACCGATTTCTTCATCGAATTCATGGAGACCGATCAGCTGGGTCGGATCTCCAATCAGCATAAAATCTTTGCGGACCAGAAGAAACTTGGTACCCGGGATCGCGACTGCTTGACACTGGCAGAGATGGCTTCCACAGCAGTGGATTTTTCAAAGAGTGGAATACCGGTAAGTTCAAGTCCCGGAGGACCGACGCAACATGTGCTGAGGAAAACGATAGGTTGATATGACCAAACTCCCCAGATCGAATAGATATCGACCTGATTTTATGGCGCCAGGACCGTACTGCGTAGTGGAGAAGGGCCAGCCTCTTTCGTTTGACGCTTTCCCAGAAAACGACAATCGAGACGACGAGGATGAGGATGATACTCCCAGATATAGGTATTACGAAAGTGACAAGATCCTGGGGAAGTTATATCGCGCCATCGACGAGCAAGAGATCTTATCCGACATTCGGCAGCGAGAAGTAGTGTACGCGAATGGAACAGGGACGCCAGAGAGCCGTCGTACCACGGTGTTGCACACTATCTGGGCTCACGTTCAGGATCAGTGCCGCCTTTTCCAATGGATGCATCATCTTGAGGTGGCACGAGGTATCCGTGACGAGTACGTTTCAATGACCGCATCTTCTTCGATACACATGGAGCTTCAGAACTGACCTCGGGCCGAAATATCTAGGTACGAAGAGTGTATCCAGAATATTGCATACGAATATAGCAACCAACCCTCTCCCCCCCTGACCGAGCGTGAAGTCTTCATAGGCAATATTCTCGGGAGGACCGGTGCACAAGCGAAAAAGCAACATGAGTGGTCAGTGAAAATGAAAGAACGTTTCAATGATGAGCTCAACTATATCGTCAACCGCATAGTCAAAGACGGCCCAAACAAAGCCCAAGAGAGTCTCGAGAGGAGTATGGCATGCTTGCAAGTGGCGTTGGAGAAAGACCTCGGTGGCTCCAAGAGAAGGGAGAATCTGGTCAGTTTCGGCTACGTTGCTGCCGCTATTTGTTTGAAGGAAATGGAGCGAATGTTTGGATAGAAATGAGACTCATCTTGCGATGAGCAAAGGGGAAAAGGGGATTCAGCGAGTCACAGCCTTGACTTGGTCCACGTGATCTCGATGCGTTTTGCAACCAATCGAATATCTAAACCGTTTTGGGCAGCTCGTCCAGTGGCCGACTCGTAAGCCTGTGTCGCTTCCGACCTCCTTACCTCAATCCATTGTTGGCGCATATGGTGTTTGCTGGCAGCACATCTCTTATTCTCGTCGCAATGCTCTAATTCCAATAAAGAAGCACCATTGTTTGCTGTTTCACCATCCCACTTTCCGTGATTGTCCTGGCGTCTCCCTTCCACACTTCTCACCATGGTCTCGGCCTACCGTGACGAGGAGGAGACTCTTGTCTCTGACATTCCTGCTCTGACCGACGAAGAACCTGACAACGATACCGACAGTCGGGATTTCCATATACGAAATGCCTCCGAGTCCTCTGGAACAGCGCTTCCGATTCCCGTCTGGCTCCGTGAGTCTGCCAGCTCGTTTAAATACCAATGGATCCCATTACCCATTCGAAAAACCTGCCGAGCAGTTGTCACCTGGATCAAAGGACCGGTGCCTCCTCAGGTCCTCAAAATCGAGCCTATATTTCCCAAAATACAACAAGCGCCTATTAGACTGTTGGATAAATATGCCCCTAAGAAAAAACAACGGATTATACTGCTGGTCGCACTCTACGCATGCTGGTTTTTGACATGGTCTCTTATGCTTCAACATCACTCTACATCAGGCTTTATCAAGGGATATGGTCGGCCTCAAAATCTTTGGTGTGGCGCCAGTTTTTGGAATGAAGACAACGGCTGCGGACTAAACGGAAACCAATGCCGGCCATTCTCTTCAGCCCATTTGGCTTTCCGATGTCCTGCGAATTGCAAAAGCACTCATTTATTGGAAGAACATATGGTGGGAAACAAATCACTGAGATACGAAGGATTGGTGGTTGGAGGACCAGACCCCCAAGATCCAGATTCAATGCCGGTCTATCGGGCGGACAGTTTCATTTGTCAGGCTGCCATCCATTCCGGCATCATTACGGACGCAAATGGAGGCTGTGGAGTGGCGACGCTGGTCGGTTCTCATACCAATTTCCACTCGAGCAAGGCCCATGGCATTGAAAGTACTGAGTTTCCGGGAACTTTTCCTCGATCCTTCACGTTTCCACGACTGTCATCGTCTCAAGCGAAATGTCCTACAGATTCCCGATGGCCTCTCTTCGTCGTCACCGCCGTCGCACTGGTCGTTTTGTCCATCTTCACCACCTCTCCCGCCGTATTCTTCTTCAGCGCGTTTGTCATCTTGTTCTTCCACGTCGGCTTGGTGTCGGATCCACCCAACACGGCCAACTTCTACGAAGCTGTCAGTAAACTTTTGGAAAGACTCCTCCCCGCAGCGTTCATCTCTCATATACTCTATCGGACTTCCGCGGTTCCTCTCCTGAGAGGCCTGACGGCCCAGATCGAAAAGACCGTTCTCTATCTTGGATTCTGCTTCATCGGAGCCCTGAACAACTACACCTTTGCCCCCTTGATTCCAATCGAAAGATTGACGCCCCACGACCTCGATCAGCCCGGTGCACCATTGGCCCTAGCCGTCATCGTCGCGATCATCCTGGTAATTGTGTTAAGTCAAATCCATTGGATCCGCGTCTCCGGAAACATGCCCAAATACCTCGCCCTCTACGCGACCATGGCGCTCACCCTTGTCATCCTTCTCGTCCTACCAGGCCTCCGTCTCCGAATCCATCACTACATCCTCGCCCTCCTCTTCATACCCGGCACCGGCTTCCAAATCCGCCCTTCCCTCGTGTACCAAGGCCTCCTGCTCGGCCTTTTCATCAACGGCGTTGCTAGATGGGGTTTCGCATCCATCATCCAAACACCCGTAGCCCTAGGTGAATCTGGCTCCGGCGGCGACGGCAGCTCGTCCTGGTGGGGCGCCAAGTCTCCCAACGTCACTGCCGTCGTTGCGCCCGACGCATCGAACATAACGTTCAATTGGGGTCCCCTGCCCCGCGACACGGGGGTGGATGGTATAAGTATCCTCATCAACGATGTTGAACGCTGGCGTGGATACACAGACGATGAACTCTACTGGGACCAAGAGGAAGTGACGATCAAGCGGCACAAGAGAGAAATCGACGGTGGCGAGCCTGAATTTTTCCGGTTTGCGTATATGAATGGGAACAATGCGGGTAGGTACAGTAAAGTTGGTATTTGGGACGAAAAGGGTATGTGGCATGATATACCGGGGGCGAACTGAAATGATGAATTGTGATGTGATTGATGATTTTATATATGCGTGCCTAGGTACATTAGATTATTATAGCACCTTATACACTATATTGTGTGCATTGGACCTTGGTCCGTCCGGAAGGGACGGACAAACAGGCAGCCAGGCATGGAGAATTCTGAATATACTTTTCCATCTTGTCACGAATCACGGTATAAATTTGATGTCCACATTATCTTTTCATGGACATGATGTACATACAGTGCCTTAAATTCAACCGTGAAGTGCCGAATACGTCTTGTATTAGTACCGGCATGCAATGCAATGCGATGCTATACCATGAACGTTCCTCACCGAGCAGGTTGTATGTTTATCTCTTGTAATACATCCAATCTCCCATCCCATTCCTTGCATGTTCCCATGCTCGAGCTCTCACGGATGATCAGAATAAGACTCTACAACTTCGCCTTAACAGCTCCGGTCTTTTCCCCCTCGAGCGCCTCAGCGTACAACTCATCCAGTACACCTCGATACTCCTTCGCTGCTACCGGCCTCTTCAGCTTCAAGGTGGGCGTGAGAAGTTCGTTCTCGATACTAAATGGCTCAATGTACAACCTGATATTGCGCACGCGTTCGTAACCGGCGAATTTCTTCTTGCGTCCAGCCTTGTCGAGATCCTTGAGCACGGCGGCTTTGATCTTGGGGTCATCGCATGCAGCTTGGATCGCTTTCATATCAGCTTCTGAAATTTTGCGGCCGAGGACTCGGGAGGCGAAGGTCGCGAAGACGTCGGGTTGGACGCCGAAGATGCCGACGAGGAACGTCTGCACGCTATCGCCATGCACGAAGGCTTGGGCGAGATATGATAAAGAAGACAAATAGACGCCCTCGATGCGCTCGGGGGAAATGTATTCGCCTTGGGCGAGTTTGAGGACGTTCTTACGACGGTCGATGATGCGGAAGCGCCCGAGCTCGTCGACGCTGCAGATGTCCCCGGTCTTGAACCAGCCGTCTTCCGTGAAGGCCTTGGCCGTCTCTTCTTCGTTCTTGTGGTAGTTTTTGAACACCGCGGCGCCGCGAAGCAAAAGCTCGCCGCGCGGATATGGCTGGTCTTCTACGGTATAGTCCATGTCCGGCACGCTGAGGAGGCAGGCTTCCTGGCAGGGTACGACACCGCCACAGTTGCCTACGGAGAAGTCGTCGGCTGGTTGGGTCAGTGCCAATGCGTAGGTTTCTGTCAGGCCGTATCCTTGAAATACGCGCGCGGAGAAAACGACGCGGAGGAATTGTTGAAGGGATGGGTCCAGAGGCGCGGAACCGGAGACCAGGTTTTTCGCTCGGTCCAGCCCCATGGCCACGGCCACCTTACGGCCCCAGATTCTGTCGTATACAGCGTGATATTGGGTGGGAGTGGGAGGAGTGGCGTCTTTGGATTTCGGGGTCGGGTTGGCATTTGCCAGTTTCGTTTTGACAATGTATCGGCTCAACACACCCTTGAAGCCCGGCTGTTCAACTGTCTGAGCTTTGATGGCTCCTCCGAAACGGTTGAACAGTCGAGGAACCGAGGCGAAAGTGGTGGGACGAAGAAGTTTGAGGTCATCCACCAGTTCCTGGACGTTGCCGTGGAAATAACCGACTCGAGCGCCTAGCCAGAGAGCCGAGTGTTCGAGAAGTCGACCGTAAATGTGTGCCAATGGGAGATAACTGCACGCGACCGCATCGTTGTCTAGTGGTGAGGCGCACAGGGAGGAAGAAGTGGCCGCTACCGTCATCGCGTGGGTGAGCACGACGCCCTTCGGAGGCCCCGTCGTCCCGGAAGTGTAGTTTATCGTGACCACATCGGATGGTTTGGGTGGGTTATATGGTCGATTCAAGGAGGCTCCCAACTTTTCCACCGTCTCCAAGGAATAGATTTTCAGACCGGCTTCTGCCGCCATCCTGTCGAGCAGGGCTTGTTTGGACAATTCGGGTTTTTCATTGCGGCCCGGTTCGAGAGGATCGAGAACCACCAGGAATTTGAGATTTGGGAGTCGGCGTTTTAATTGGAGAAGGGTGGGAACGTGAGGTAAGGAACAAGCGACCGAGGCGAGATCCGCGTGCCCAATGATATATTCTGACGCGTCAGGGCCCAGGCTATCGTACAGAGAGACCGAGAACAGCGACTGAGATGTGCAAGCCAGATCCGTCAATTGCCATTCTGGTCTGTTTTGACACCAAAGGCCGACTCCATAGTTGGCACCGGTGATCCCTTCTCGGGCATGCAGTTCAACCAGACCGACGCCGTAGTCTTTCCTTCTCTTCTGAACGGTCTCATAGTCCAGCCATTCATAAGGGCCATATGTATTTTTCGCCGAGTCGTACGGTCGGTAACCTAAACAGGGAGCGTGAGGATATCTCTCCGCCGCCCACTCAAACATGTCGTGCGCAGTCTGCAGGGAGGGATCGAGAGTTTCGAGGACTCCATCCCGGCACTTGTGATGTCGATAGACCGCCGTTCGGCCAGGTTTCTGAGAACCTGGAAGAGTGATTGAATATGGCTGACCCTTGGGAGGTGGCTTGTAGTATTCGTCTGCCGTTTGTATGAGGAGTGATTTCGAGGAGAATAGCGGCATGGTGGAAGGGGGGGGCACTCAACCCAAAATCTACTCCAGATACGATCGAGTCGAGAGAAGAGGGAAAGGAGGACAGGGAGAATGTGTCAGATTCTTTTGATTAATATGAGTCTTGGGGCAGGGACCGGGAATGAGATGCTCGGCGAGAGGATCAAGAGGATCAAGCTGGGGACAACAACAATGCAGACAAATCAATCAGAAAAGACGTCATGTCACGCTCCCCTTTATTTTCTTGGTGGATGGTGGTGAATGGTCAAAGCGCGGAGAGACAAATGCTGAGCTTTTGCCGACATCGCAATGCACGCGACCCAAAAAACATTCCAGCTTCACAGAGAGGATGGTCGTTGCGAGTAATTGCGCCGTCGCCGCCGGTGCCTCGGCAATCAATGGCCATGCACCGTCTAAGATCTCACTCTCATGCTGGAGATCAAGTTTGTTACGGAGTATCGGAGAAGCCGAGGCTGACATGACAGCTGACTGTTGGCTCATCTCACAATACGAGAAGCGGAGTGAGGGTTGGAGATGATGGAAAGGAGCATACGTTCTGATGGTATGTATACGAAGATGCGTAAGGATACATGATCTGAAATCACCTTTTTGTTTCGGGAGCATGTGAAAATCTTCATTGCCCGGCAATTAGACAGAGCACTCATTGGACCACCAAAGAGCCCCGGAGATGAAGTCCAGTGCGCAGTCTCTTCTTTCTCCCCATTGTATCTTGTTCCCGAATTTATGGCGATGCCGTCGTCTAGAGATTCGGTCCTGTATTGTGAAAGACCATCGTCAGGGTTTATTCATTCCACTGGGTAATGAAATCAGGTTGCCCCACTGAGTGTAGCATCAGCCCCCGGCTTCGCGTTCGCTGTGGCATTGTCGGTATTGGCCTTTGCGTCTGGACGAGCAGCATCGCTGGCGGCGAAGCTCTGCTCAAAGTCGTGTATGATGTCGTCAATGTGTTCAATGCCCACGGAGATTCGGATCATGTCTTCCGTCACTCCGGAATCCAGTCGTTCTTGTTCGCTGAGTTGTTCGTGCGTGGTGGACCATGGATGGATCGCCAACGTCTTCGCATCGCCCACACTTGAAATGGAATGTTAGCATTGAAGAATTCGTGACCGACACCCACTTACTTTGCCAGATTGGAAATCATCTTGAAGTTATCCACCACCTGAGCACCTGCTTCAGCTCCGCCTTTGATTCCAATGGACATGACTCCCCCCGAACCCCGGGGAAGATATTTCTTCGCGAGGAGATGATGAGGATGACTCTCCAGTCCGGGATACGACACCCACGCCACGTTGTTGTGTCCCTCGAGCCATTTGGCCAGTTTCAAGGCATTGTCCGCATGTCGTTCGCATCGCAAACTCAAGGTCTCGACGCCCAGGATGAATTGCTGCGCATTGAAGGGCGACATGCAGGACCCCAGATCACGCAGAATTTCCACCCGCACGCGAATCGTAAAGGCCAAGGGCCCAAATGTATCCACAAACTTCAGGCCGTGATAACCCGGGGCCGGGTCGTTGAATTGGGGGAATCTCTTTGCATTCGCCTTCCAGTCGAACTTCCCCGAATCGACCACCATGCCCCCGATGGAGGTGCCGTGGCCACCGATCCATTTGGTAGTGCTATGGACCACGATGTCGGCGCCATGCTTGATCGGTTGACAAAAATATCCGCCCGCACCGAAGGTATTGTCGACCACCAACGGCACCCCCTTGGCGTGGCAGACTTTGGCAATGCCTTCAAAGTCTGGAACATTGTATCGTGGATTGCCAATGGTCTCCACATACACGGCCTTGGTCTTGTCATCGATCGCCTTTTCAAAATCTTCGGGAGTCTCCGAGGTCAAGAATTGGGTCTGGATGCCCAGCCGGGGAAACATGACCTTGAATTGATTGTAGGTACCTCCATACAGATTGGACGTCGAGACGATGTTGTCGCCGGCGTGGGCGAGAGCCGTGATGGTCATGAACTGGGCCGACTGACCAGATGAAGCCGCAACAGCGGCAATGCCCCCTTCGAGAGCGGCGATTCTCTTCTCCAGCACATCCACCGTCGGGTTCATGATCCGGCTGTAAATGTTTCCAAATTCTTTGAGCCCAAACAACTTGGCCCCATGCGCCGAATCGTTAAAGGTGAAGGAGGTTGATTGGTAGATAGGCACGGCCCTGGATTTGGTGTGGGGGTCGGGAGCCTGTCCGGCGTGGACCTGGAGGGTCTCGAACTTCGGGGCATAGTCGTCGGATCCCATGATGGAGGAGCAGGAGTTCGAAGCCGCACGACCGGGGTAGGCGAGGGTTCGGGGGGAGGGGAAATGAGCAGTTAGGTCAAGAGGAGCGGTCCGTAACCGACAGAGGTCAAGGAAGGGGCTGGAAAGACGTTTTTGTACCTGGGGTAGAATAGGATGGAGCTAGCTCACACGGTCCACGCCTCCTCGCAAAAAAAAAAAAAAAAAGAAAAAGAAAATTTGAGAGGAAGAAACGAGCAGACCCTAACTTCTCCTTCAGGAGCAGGGAAGCTCCATGTCACTTTGCTCTCCCCGCATTGTCCTGGCTGCCGTCTAAAAATTGCGTGATCCGACCGCCAATCCGCGCAAAGCGGGCACGAGGGAAGCTGTCGTCGGGGACCAGAACACGAAGAGTGACTCAAGCCATCAAGGCCGCGTAGATCGAACACGAGTGTGAACACGAGGAACCGGACGATAGAAACTTAAACCGGGGGGACCGTATGAGCCTAGACATGAAGTAACCCCGATGGGTCAGCCTCTGGCAGCCTCGTATAGATGACGGTGATTTCCCAAGGAGAAAACGTGAGCTGACTGCGTTATTAAAGGATAGAACCAGGACGACCTGTATTGCCGTGGGCAGCAGGGTATGTACTCCCTGTCACATTTGTTCCTCGCTCGCCGGTGAGGCTGAGTGGCCGAGGTCGCCCAGGGCTGATGTTTCTTTATCTTTTTGAGGGGCAGACATGGGGGATGGAGATGGCCGCCCGGATCCGACACTGGGCCCGCCGGAGATGTGATGGAGAAGCCGGAGGAAAAGTCGCTTGTTGAATGATCGATTTGGCTATGACTTCCTCCTAGCACAGCTTTCGCGAACGTTTCTTTTCCATCTCACCGCTCAGGATCATCTTCTGTCCATCAGCAACATTCCCGGTTGCTCCTCCTCTTGAGCCACCATAGCTATGGGTCTGTGGAAGCCCCACGACGTCCTGCTCTGTCACATCATTCCTTTACGAGGCCAAAGGCCTGTCTTTCTCGAGTTCCGCTCCTCCAAAGTCTTCATTCTAGTTGCGGTGTGCTGGTCCGTATTCACGGTAGGTATTCCAGGATCTCTCCGCCACTCGACGTGTGTCTAACCACTCCCCAGGATGTCTTTCTGTACGGGGTCGTCGTCCCGGTCATCCCCTTTGCTCTCCAAGACCGAGTCCACATCCCTCACGAACACACTCAGCATTGGGTTTCCGTCCTCTTGGCCGTCTACGCGGCGGCACTGTTGTTCCTCGCCCCCATTTGCGGTATTGTAGCTGATCGGACAAGTTCTCGAAAGGGTCCTCTGCTGGTCGGTCTCATCGTCCTGGCCGGATCGACGCTGATGTTTTGCTTGGGCCAAACAATTCCGGTCCTTGTCGTTGGCCGGATGCTGCAAGGTGCTTCAGCATCTGTGGTCTGGACCGTCGCCCTCGCCCTGCTTGCCGACACGGTCGGCGAGGACGAATCTGGCCAAGCGATTGGGTACGTGAGTCTTGCGACTTCCCTGGGCATCTTGGTGGCGCCCTTGATTGGTGGCGTGGTATACGAGAAGTCGGGATACTACGCCGTGTTCGGCGTCACCTTTGCCGTCATTGGCCTGGACATCCTCTTGCGCCTGGTGTTGATTGAGAAAAAGACGGCGGTGCGATGGCTCGGACCCGACTCGTCATCAGTTCAGCCCTCCTCAACCGGCGCCACTCAAACCGACATCCCACTCCCAGATCGAGATCGATCGGCCGCCGGGGGCGAGAAGAGCGCACACGCCGCCATCACCGAGCCTTCCCACCGCCATCCCAAGAGGAAACTACCGCCAATGCTCATCCTTCTCCGGTCCCGTCGGATTCTGGCTGCGTTCTGGGGGAATTTAGTCGGCGCCATGACGTTCACGGCCGTGGACACCACTCTGCCCCTGTACGTCAATCAGATCTTCGGCTGGGATTCTCTGGGAGCTGGTTTGGCCTTTATCGCCCTGCTCGCGCCGAGCTTTGCCGGCCCCGTGATAGGGCATTGGACCGACAAGTATGGACCTCGCTGGATTGCGGCGTCGGGCCTCTTCCTCTCGGTGCCATTTTGGGTCCTGCTCCGACTGGTGGACCACGACACCGTCGGTCAGGCTGTCCTCCTCTGTGCCCTTCTCGTGCTTCTTGGCTTGGCCACTGCGTTGGTGCTGACCTCGTTAATGGCCGAGTTCAGCAAAGTCTGTGATGCCAAAGTGCGTCAGGAACCTGACCTTTTTGCGGGAAAGTCGGCCTATGCTCAGAGCTATGGGATTTTCAACGTGGCATGGGCGGCAGGTAGTTTGCTGGGGCCACTCGTTTCGGGATCTATTAGGACGGCTGCCGGCTGGAAAACCATGACGTGGACGATGGCTTTGTGGTGCGCGGTAGGCGTCCTTCCCACCGTATTGTATTCAGGTGGCATGATCAGGAAGAGCCAGAGGCCGAACCGGGGCAGAGGAGTTTTGGCCGATGAGACTGCGTGAAAGTTGCACACTTGAAAAGCGACGTGCATGCGAGGATCTGCTTGACATGAATTGCTCATGTAAATTGCTTTGTGCGACATAGATCGCGTACTGTTCTAGTGAGCATGGTTGGTGTTCCAATCGCATCTTAGGCGCACCCTGATCCTGAAACAACTGCCCCCAAGGTGGTGGGGAGACCGCACGAGGCTGACACGTTCAGCCTCGGCTCCTCAATTTTTCAGATCCTCCCACGGTTTCATCTCGTGTTCTTTCTTTCTTCCCATCACGGTTGTCAAAACATGGCGTCTCATCGTCTCATCGCCCGCCTGTGGCCGGCCAAAGGTCGCCCATGCACGTAATCGTCTCCGAAGGCTTCTCAAACAATCAAATTTGTTGATGCGTGTGTACCCTGTTTCGAGACTGGGTAGTCGTGCAAAACATGATCGATGGCTTGATGAATACCTGTCGCGCCCGCTTTCTCGAGAGGCATCTCTCTCTTTGTTATTGTCGTCAATCAATTCGGCGTGCTCACATTGGCAATATCTCGGCAGGTTTCCTTGAATTGCATCTCTTCATTGCTACAGCCACGGCACGGTGCTCATTCTACTACTTAATCTCCTCGCTTCATCAGTTCTGACCCTGTCTCTTCTTGTCCATTCCTCAGAGATACCTAACCGCCTTTATTCTGCTGGCCGATCATCACTCACGCACCATTTCGGTCACGTCTTTGACCGCCTCAACATCTTGGAGACCAGTCTTTTCCATTCAGCCCCGATGTTCATCAATCCCGTCCTCGTCCTTCGTGTCTTGCAAGGCGTTTTGGCTTTCATTGCCATGGCCCTCGGAGCATCAGGTGAGAGTATTGCCGCCGCGTCATTGCTCATATTTAACATTCCACACCCAGTGGCCAATGTTTTGAATACCCACGATCCTCCAGTTGATGTCCCTGGTGGTGTCATCTTCTTCGTTTTCACGGCCGTCTTCACCATGCTCGTCACCGTCCCGTATACCATCCTGACGCCTCGGTACTTTCCCATCCTCGCGCATCCATACGCAATGCTCGCCGCTGAATCCATAACCTGTATCTTTTGGCTGGCTGGCTTTGCCGCCAATGCCAATCTTGTTGGAAAGTCGAGCATCTGCGACCTCGGGGCGTGCGAAGGCGCAAGGGGCAGCGTGGTTCTCGGTGTCTTTGAATTGTAAGCGCCTCGCCCCCTTTTTTTCGAGAGCCTTGTTTTCAGCATTTTCCGACTCCTAACCGAATGATCAGTTTGCTATTCGGCGTCACCGCCTTTTTCGCTTTTTCTCATGTCTTTCTTGGCGGTCGATTCAGTGGAAACAAGCCACAAAATAAGGAGCCGATGGTACATAGATCGTGGACTGGTGCAGAACGTGTTTAAGGGGGGCTGGCGAGGCCAAACAAGACTGGACATATCATGAATCCTCCCATAGTATCCCAACAATGAATGCATGCAAATGGTGCCTTCCATGTGGCCTTTCACGGTTGCCCGCAATTTTGACCGGGTGCTCGACTGCGCCTCTGACCATCTCAGTGCCCTTCTTGCTCGCCCAACATTGCCAGATATCGTGTAGGGGCACTCCTCAGATCGAACTTAGCGTTACATGCTTGGGGCGCAGAGGGCTCCACCGTCTTGGTGTCCTTCTCCCTCACGTTCTCAGCAGGAGACTCCCGGTACCAATCTCGAAGCGTCGCAACTGAAGTAGCACCTTTCCAATTTCTAAAGAGCCACCTTGGACGCGGTTGTCAGTAGTGGTCACCCGAGGACGAATTCTGGCTGCTCTCCATCAATAATTGCGAAAGGGGTGCCATCTGCGAGGCTCTTCTCCGTTGCCTTCGAGTTCTGAAGGCCGCGGCACGCCAGCAGACTTCCCACTCATCAGAAAGCCTGTCATCCCACATAAATTTCCGCATTGTCTCTTCAGTGTCCTCCCATGATCTTGCTTCGGGCATTCGATCAACCAGTCTGTCGAGAACCACGTGATTCTCCGGAGACGCGTCGATCTGCTTATCCCAAGCACTGGCCAAGACGATGGAACACCACAGAAGACACCGTTGTAGCTATGGACTTCGGGGAATGTCGACGTTTCATTGAACGCCTTCAGGATTGGACATTCGTTGTACAAGTGTAAAGAGAACGCCAAGAAGGCTCTCACCATTCGAGATTCCATCGGGATCAAAGGAAGGGCGGAGAGACATTGCAAATCATAAATCGCTCGCTGGAGGGTCATTTCAGGGCGAGGGAGAAGCAGTCTTTCATCCAGGGACCGGGACATCCAACCGATTAGCTCTGTCAGCTTTACCAGAAAACTGATAAATTCCACCGCAATACTCCCACCCAACGCGACTTCAGCAAACCCTTCGGGAAGCTTCGCGATCACGGTGCAGAGATCCGGAGGGAAAGGGTGGCCCGGATAAAACTATCCTGGTCAGCAAAGCACGTATGTTCCCTCTGGAGGCTTTCTCACGCTAGAACTCGACCTCGCACAAAGATGAAAAGTTCGTCGCCCTCGTCGGCATCGCACGATCGACGCATGGTCTCCAATGCATGAAGGTGTACCTTGAAGGCTTCCAGATCATTGATCATATACTGCAATCGGTCGTCTTCAAGGTTGAAACTCTTGTCAAGCTTCTTACGTTCAATGTCAGGAGAGTAGACATGGTCAACAATATGAGACCAGAACAATGACGGTCCGGAGCACTGAGGCTACTTCTCAGCTCATTCAATGCCACCCCTCGATGTTTAAGTGACATCTTGTTCGCATATGGCTCAGTTCCTCTTCTCATGACCCATGCGGCTCTTGCCATGGCGATGGTTGCTTCAAACAGCATTGAATGTTGAAATGCCAACGGTAGCACGAAAGCGAGAAGCGCATTTTTCCCCCTCCGAAGGCTGAATGCTTGTACTTGCTGAGGCGAAGGGCATCGACTGTTTTCCGAATCATCATCAGTGTTGGGACTTCGACTTGAATGCCTTCGTGGCAACAGGAGTGAATGTCGACTGCCCGGAGTCAGCTTCCTGCGGCCCTGGTTCATGACTTCGAAATTGCTTCAGGAAGACAACAATGCATCTTCCTCTTCATTCACAAACTTCAACATAAGAGAGAAGAGTAATCAAAATCATCGCCCATCGTTAAATGGTATCGAGGCCACGCGCTCGTGGACAACGAAAGCTTTCAATCACGTATGTCCCTTTTTCGTGGGCCAGCCATCTCGAAGGCATCTTACGCTTAATCATGGGCGTTCCCTCGACCACCTCGTAAAGGAAATTTAGGTCTCCAACTCGAAAGTTCAGCTGCAGTGTTCTCGGCACCACATGGCTGCAATTGGCGAATCAGCCAAAGCCAATTAGGGGAGACAACTTCCACACAAAGTGCGAGCAAGTTTAGGAGGCTTCTGCAACCCGACCTTGTTTTGCCGACCCGCATCCTCGACAATATGCTCGTGCGCTTTGGTGAATGACACGGAAGAGTGTTGATATTCGCCCAATTGCTTCCTATGTTGGTAGCTTGACTGGGAAGCCTGCTGCGAAGCTCGATTGGAAACTAAATAGAGAACATTTCTTCATTGGGACAATGTTACCCCTAGACCAATTGGAGGAAAATTGTCATGATTGACCTGTTGGTGATCAAATATCGTGCCTATTCGAGGGCACTGGCTTTGGATTGAATTTTCGTCCAGTTGATGTTTGGAGATGGTTGAACCCCATCCATCGATCGGGTCTCACCTCTTGTAACTCTCTACACTGAATAAATACTCTAGGTTTCTGGGAAGCGGACGTGCCAGCTGGGCACCAGTACTAGAAGTAGTGCGTTCGTAGGTCGTACCCCGAGGCCAATGCTAGATGGGGTGGCTTTCCAAACTGAAAAATACCCTATGAGCTGGGCCTCCAGGCGATCGCCGACGCCCTTTGGATCGAGGTCCGATGAATAGCGCAGGTTGAGAAAAGCGTCGTTCCTTTGTCAGATTGCAAAATATATGATAACAGATGATGTCTAGCTTGTGATGAAAAATCCTGTCTGCTATGACATCTCCCAACCTCGGTTTATTCAGCCCTATGATCCTTCGAGGGAGCGATCCAATAGGACGCCGCAAGATACAAACTACGACCGGAACGGGCTATTGATTAGAACCTTTCCAAGACTTCATTATACATGTGCTTGACTAGAGACCATAGAACTAGTCAGTAGGTGGAGATATAGAACGGGAGATATGATAGTAAACGGCTTTGACGAAAATCATTTCATGTCGGGTAAAAAGAGTACGAGGTTGATCGAGAAGTTTCAATGACAGAGCAGGGACAAAAGAATGCGGCCAGGGTGTAAAAGGAGAGAGAATTTAAGTGCTTTTCTGTTCCCATCTCTCGCTCACTCACTCAATCATTCACTCAATTAAGATATCTGCCGGTGTCTGTTCTGTCTCGCTTTGTTTGAGCAAAGGGAAGAAAGAAAATTGCGCAGTCAAGTAATCAACCAATAGCCGTTTGAATTTTCCATCTGTACAATTCCATCTTAGTTCCTCTCATCGAACTCTCTTTGCTGTGTTGGGCGAATTGGTTTGTAGTAAATTGAATTTCCACAAGGTTGGTCGCTCGCTAATTAGACGGAATTCATCTCCAAGGATAATGCCAATGCACTTGACTGGTCTGGTCAAGATCGGAACGTCAGGTAATCAGCAGCCTGTGAATCAAGTAGTCAGTCAAAATAAAGCCCAAGTAAAATACGAGAGAAACAAAAGGACGCCTGACCTTGTCGATATTGTAATCAAACCTCTCCAACGCAGCTAAGCTCTCCTCACGCGACCAACCCATTGCTGTCAACCGCTTCAGAATTGGATCATCATGTTCGGTGCCAGAGCTCAACGCTCGTCCAGGCTGAGGCCGTTCAGGTTTCGGTGCGGGAGCGGGAGCGGGAGTGGGCACGGCCGCCGATGGTTCCGGGTCTCGTGGCAGTGCCTCTGGACGCCTTGTACTATCTCCCAATCCTCCGGTCTCAGGAGCTGATAGCGCGGGTTGAGAAGAGTCGGCATTCGAACTCAACGGTGCGAAAAGTGCATCCCAGTCGTGAGATACTGGTGAGGCTGCAGATTGAGGTGCGGCATTCGAAGAAGAGGCAGGTCCGTTGGACCTGAAGAAATCATCGCTCGCCAGTTTAGGTGTTCCATTCGTCGCCGGATCGTATGCAGACGGGTGAGGAACATTGGAAGATCTGGATTGAGGCGGTGAATCAAATGTTGGGTCGAAGTCAATGTTATTCTTTGCTGGACTGAACACGTCGCCTTCGTCATCGTCATCATCATCATCCTCTACTGGAGCAGTTCCCATGCCTGAAAATGCAGAGTCGAAATCAAACGGAGCGGCTTCGGTAGGGGGTGGTGCTGTTGCTTTGACATCCGTCGAACTTCGGGAATGAGCTTCGGGACCATAGGCAGGTGGGCTACCACTCGGTGGCATTGCAGGATTCGTAGAGCCGGTCGCTATCGGAGGTGAGGTGGGATCTTCTCTCTCGGGGAGCAGTCCTTTATATTCGCGCGGGAAATGCGACGGGTTGTCGTCCGGCACAGCATCACCATACGTTGGCGGAGATGCCTGCCGTTCGGTGCCTGGGAGCGGACTTGTCGTTGACGCGGATCCTTCCAAGGGAGGACCGGGTGAGAGCACATCATTCGAGACAGGGTGAACCTCAGGTCGCTTTCCAGCCTTGGTATCAGAAGGGTCATCTCGAGGTGGAGATCTGGTGTTGAAATCATCATCAAATTTCATTGGTGTCTCTTCACTATACACGCTGCTGTCATCATCACCACCAAGCTCTTGGATATCGGGAAATTCCTTGGTTGAGGTGTTTTCCGTGCCGTTTGGTGCCGGTGCCTTTGACATGCTGGTAAATGCCGAGTCAAAATCGGCAGCTTGTTGCGATGCCGTTCGTTGATGAGCAGGTCCGCCAAAAAATTCGTCGAAGTTCTGCTCAGGGGCTTTTGATGGTCCAGAAGGTTCGCTGGTCGCAGGTTTGTCTCCACCGTTGGTGGTAGCTGCAGCTCCCACTCCGACGACAGCAGCCGCCGAAGCTCGGGTCTCTCCGGGAGTATGTGACTGTGAAGTTGAGGGGAATGCGCCTGGGATACCTCCAATATCTGAAGATGCTTTGCCACCGGTATCCTCCATTGAATCTGTAGAGACTGATGGCTGAGGCAAAGTTTGCCGAACTGACTCTTGCTCCTCATCTGGTGCAGCCGCCGTGAACGGATCGTCGGTTGAATCCCTCTGTTCTGCTGGGCTTGGAGTTGAAGTCGTCGGAGTCAATGCTCGTGGAGTGTCGGCAGGACTCAATCGGCTGGTTGGTGGCGCCACCTTCACCGAAGAACTGATTGAATCTTCCCTATCCACAGATTTTTGTAGAGGCAGTGCTGCAGAACTGATCTGTCTCGATTGGGGCGGTGCAGGCGGTTCGACGGCATCTCTAGGCGTGGAAGAGGAGCCCGGAGATTCGATGCGAGGGATGCTACTGGACGGGCCGCTTGGTGGTGGTGACTGAGCGGAAAACGACACTGGGGGTGCGGGTGCAGCTGGGGAGCCCGAGGCAAACGAAGGACCGAAAATACTGTCGAAGGCACTCTGATTATCCTTTGACTCTCCACCTGTGATTGGAGGTGAGAATGACGTATCCGTCGTCCGCCTAAAGAATGGGTTTGAGTTGGTTGATGGTGCAGGGCTGGTAACAGCCGGAGGACTCTTGACGGATGGAACGGGGACGTTTCGGACCTCCTCCAACTCCTTCTTGGACGCCTCAACTTCTCGTGCCGACTCTTCTGCTTCTCGCTGGGCATCTTCAATTTGCTTCCGAGCTGCAGCAATTTCTGCTTTCAGTCTATCTCGCTCGGCCTCGTTAGTAGCTAACTGCTTCTTGTTGATGGCCACTAAACCTTTCTGTTGTCTCGCCTCGGATTTCAATTTCTCGAGTTGTGGTTTGAGCTGATCAATTTCCTGGTTCATTTGCCGAATTCGTTCCTTCAATGAGGTGTTTTCCCGTTGATCCGATTCCAATGCAGCGCGTAGCTTTTGATGTTGTGTTGAAAGATCTTGATGGGTACCGTCAATCATGGCCATGTCTTGCTGCAATCTCTTGATATCATTCTTGGAAGCCGTCAGTTGTTCTTGCAACGCTTTGACCTCTTGGACCTCTTTCTCATAAAGAGATCTCAATTGAGCCAGCCGGCCTTCAAAGGCTCGTTTCTGCGCCGTGGTATTGGAAAGATCTTGTTCGGTTTGCTTTCTCGTGCTTTGCAACCCCGTCATTTGTCCAGATAAAGTGCTCACCTGATTGGACAGATTTCCCAGCTCGCTCGTTTCGTTTGTGAGTTTCGAACTGACTTCTGGATCGGCGTCTCCAAGCAGGTCATCCGTGGGCATAGGTGGAGACTTGGTCGGAGGGGCGGGCGATCCTGTTGACTGAGGAATAATGCTTTGGCCAAATGAGCTGGATGGCACAAATGGCTTGAAAGTGCTCGATGTCGTTTGCGGAGATAGGGTCGAAGCAATGCCTGGAGGCTTTGCGGAAGAACCAGCATCAGTTCCCCCAGTCGACTGAGGCGCCTGCAAAGATGCGGGCGCTGGGACTGTTGGAGCAGGCCCAAATGCATCGAGACCGAAGAGGTCGTCGGCAGCTGAACGTGGTTTGGTGATGGATACGTTTTCGAAAGCCGGAGCAGTTGGCTGAGGTGGAGGAACTTGTTGCTTTCGCATACTCGGTGGAACCAGAGATGGCGGGAGAGTGGATGGAAGAATTCCTCGTCCATCTTTCGTACCACGCTGTTGTCGGATCAAGTACATGGCAACAGCAAACTCGTCTCTGTTTAGTTGTCCTTCGGAATTGATATCAGCCAAATCCCAAATCTGGGCGAGGATCTCCTCTGGAAGTCTAGCATTGCCAAAGAACTCAACTGCTTGGTCTCCCGTAATGAAACCTCTTCCCTGACGATCGACGGTAGCAAAAATAGAGTCAAATCGGGCTTTGTCAGCAGGACTGACGGCCCAGTTGTCTCCAGTGGATTGCGAAGACAGAGGAGTGCTGACTTGTTGTCGGGTGATCGGACTCTGCGGACGAGCATTGAACCCGGTGAATTGGGGAGGGACACCCGGCACCGCACTAGAACCAGGCCGTGAGCCACTACCCATTCGACCAGGCAGTCGACGAGTTGCCGCATCGTAGAGGCCTGGAGGCAAGGTGTTCGGAACACCACGCATTTGGCCAGATTTGTAAGAAGCCAGGAGATGCATGGCAATGACAAATTCAGTCACATCCAATGATCCACGTCCTTGCGTATCCGAAAGACCCCATATTCTTCCCAGAACCTCATTTGGCAACTTGGCTCTTTCAAATATCTGTTTGGCAACGAGTCCTGAGAGGAATCCATTTTCCGCGCCTGACTTTTCAAACAATGCCGAATACTCTGCAACTTTATCTGGACTCAAGGCTGGTACACGAATTGGAGGAGGGCCAGGGGGAGTAGGGCTCGCAGGGGGTCCCGTTGTTTGTTGTGGAAGAGGTTGTGGTTGTTCGCTTTGGGCACCTTCAAATCGAGGCAGCGGCGCGGCTGCAGAAATGTCAGCATCGATTGGGAAATGGATGTCCTGGCACCATACTCTGTGTTGCTAGTTGCGCCGATGGTGGTCGACCATTTTGCGCATGACCAATTAGCCGTAGAACAACACCAAAGCCCGCGGGAGTTAGGAAGCCTCGATTTTCTGTATCGGCAATCTGCCAGATCTGGACGCAGTCAATACAAGTCCATCTCTCATCGCTCAGGGATTTTCTGACTTGTCCCAAAACATCTGGTGGCAGCTTTGTGCGCTCGAAGAATTTAACAGCCACATCTCCAGATACCGCTCCGAAGCCGTCGGGATCTGCCTCTTTTAAGAGCTGCCCATATACTCTCTTCTCCTCGGCTGTGAGGTTGAGGTTCGGATGACCTGGAAATGAAGTCGTCAGTGGGAAAAGTCAAACACGTCCATCCTCTGACAAGACTGACGAACCCGAAGCTGACGAGCCTATGATCTCCGCCATTACCGAAATCTCGATGGGTTAATTTACCGGACGCGACAGTTTGAAGGAGATCAGAGATTGCGCATGGATGAGGGTGACATGGGAACGAGCCAAAGGTGGAGGAAATAATGAGCGCGCTCAAAGTGATGAGATATAATGAGTACGGAGAGAAAATTGAGATCGCGAATTCCCCATAGGTGAGAGAAATGGCTGGAAGGTCATACAATATATGAGGGATTGCGATGACGAACGGGGAGGTCATATCCGCCAAGAGGAAGCTCTAAGCCCTAAACCGAGGCGCCACCGAAGACCCGAAACGGAGGCTTGTTAGACGGAATACTGCCATCACTTGGGGTGTGGTGAACTACTTGGAGCTTTCACCAAACCGTTTCGTTCTGGGTTTCGACTAATAACTAGTTTGGTTTGTGCCAAATTACCATGCGGTTATGTTCGTCTCGCAGAGACCGACTTCAATTGAACCACCACCAATTCTTGTTTGGAGGACTCAACAATGATTAGAAACCTTCCTGGCTCCTGCACTCCTTGCCATGATCTTCCAAGAGCTCGAAGAGTTAAAGTACACACCGCGTATGGCGCGAATTTAGTGCTCAACCTCAGATACATCACCCTCCTCGAGGGAGTCACTGGCAACCTCCTCGTAGTCTCTCTCCAAAGCAGCTAGATCCTCGCGGGCTTCAGAGAATTCGCCTTCTTCCATTCCCTCACCGACATACCAATGAACGAAAGCGCGTTTGGAGTACATCAAATCGAATTTGTGAGACAACGCAGACCACGCCTCGGCAATAGCGGTGGTGTTGGAAAGCATGCAACTATAGAGGTTAGCAGTTTTTTTGGGAGGGCGAATGAAAAGGTTGAGCGAACGTACACTGCACGGCTGACCTTGGCGAGATCGCCATTTGGCACCATCTGAGGAGGTTGGTAGCAGATACCAATCTTGAATCCCGTAGGACACCAGTCGACAAATTGAATGGTACGCTTGGTCTTGAGAGTTGCAACGGCTTGATGAACATCATTGGGGACAACATCACCGCGATACAACAAGCAAGTGGCCATGTATTTGCCGTTGCGAGGATCGCATTTCACCATCTGGTTGTTAGGTTCGAAGCAAGACATGGAGATCTCTTGAACGGAGTTGGCTTCGTGTTGTGCCTTAGCTGCGGAGACAACCGGAGCGTAGGCCACCAGAGGGAAGTGAATGCGAGGGTAGGGGACGAGATTGGTTTGGAACTCTGCAAGATCGACATTGAGGGAGCCGTCAAATCGGAGGGAAGCAGTGATAGACGACACGACTATCATCACCACGGTTAGTAAAGTCCCACACGAGTGTTTCGTCTTCTCTACCTTGTGCAATCAACCGATTCAGGTTTTCGTAGTTGGGTCGTTCAATTCCAAGGCTGCGTCGGCAGATGTCATAGATTGCTTCATTGTCAACCATGAAACTGCAATCCGAGTGCTCCAAGGTGGTATGAGTGGTGAGAATCGAGTTATAGGGCTCGACCACGGCGGTAGCGACCTGGGGAGCCGGGTACACGCAAAACTCGAGCTTGCATTTTTTGCCGTAATCAACAGAGAGACGCTCCATCAACAAGGCACCAAAGCCGGAGCCGGTGCCACCTCCAAATGAGTGGAAGACCAGGAATCCTTGAAGACCACTGCAGTTGTCGGCAACACGACGAACCTTGTCGAGGACTTGGTCAATGAGCTCCTTTCCCACCGTGTAGTGTCCCCGGGCATAGTTGTTGGAAGCATCCTCTTTTCCGGTGATCATCTGCTCCGGATGGAACAGGCTTCGGTATGCGCCGGTGCGGACTTCGTCAACGACATTGGGTTCCAAGTCGCAGTAGATGGTACGAGGGACATATTTGCCACTTCCTAGTAAAGCTGTTAGCGACAGCTCCAAAGGATCAAAATTCATACGTCCCAGTCTCGGAAAAGAAGGTGCTGAAGCCTTGGTCGGGCTCGATGGCTTTGCGTTCCTCGGTGAGATAGCCATCGGGCTGGTCGGAGGATTAGCTTGAGGATCAACCACGCAAACGGATAAAGCACTCGCCTGAATCCCGTGCTCGAGGCAGTAAAGCTGTGATGGTCAGTCAATGTGATGGATGGATGAACCATAGGTCATGATGTGTACCTCCCAGCACGAGTTGGCAATTTGACAGCCAGCCTGGCCGACTGTGGGAGCAGAGTTAGCTTACTGTCGTGCGTGGTATTTGCAGATTGACAGGGGCTCCAGGGCTCAGGCGCAGAAACGCGTATTGACATACCGTTCAAACTAATGACTTCCCTCATGGTGACGGATGATGGATCAGTTCAGAAATACGATGAGGATGACAGAGAGGGAGGTGTCGCGAGATAAATCGGCCACCTCAACAAAGATGTGAACAAGCAACCGGTTATTGATTGCAGTTCAAGTTCCAAGTTGGTGATTGTGCGGAGGGGGTTTGGGTACTGCGACTTTCAAACTCGGTGGAGGAGCCAAATTTGTTGACAAAGTGCACGCTACCCCTTCACCGCCTGTCGTCGCCCAATCACAAATTTTCCGGCCGACGGGGCGCGTCAGACACAGTTCACGATGTCATTCACGTGTCTGCCCTCGAGGTGGGAAGTCCATCAAATGTTTTCATATTCTGTGCCCAGCCGCAATGAGGTACCGCACCTTGCTCCTATTCCTCCTTTACTCGTCCTTTGTCCTTGCCAACGTCGAGAAAGTCATCTTCGTTGCTCCTCCCGCTCAGTCTCCTCCACCGGATGCTGGTATTGACAATCTCCTGCTGACTCCCCTCTCCGATGGACACCCTAAGGTCAGAACTCATATCAACGCAAGCTTTCCCACCAAAGAATCTCCCAAGGGAACCGAGAGTTGGTTTCTCCTGGAGGGTTTACGTCCACATAGACGATATGAAGTCCGTGTCTGCTGGCTGGCTACGGTGAGCTCAATGGTGTCAATTCATGGTATTCCCCACTTACTATTGCAGCAACCTACGTCCTTTTGGCTTTATACCCATCCTGTCGACGTCACATTCGGAAATCCTAGCCTTCTTACTGCCTTGAATACATATTCCCACGCCCGGCATGCTCAACTACGTGCAGAGGACAAGCAGACACTTCAGTGCCGAAAGACGACTCCAAGCATGGAATCCACATTTCTCTTCGTCCAAATTTTTGCTGCGGCCGACTACTTTAGCCTGAACCAAACTTTGATGGAAACGGTACCTCCAGTTGCCGTCGATGTCATATTAGATCCTTACATTCTCAATGTCTTCCCGTCATCATTACTTTCCATCACAGTATATTTGGTGCTCATCTCAGTTGGAGCATGGTTTCTCTCCGGCCAGGTACTTCACCTTCTTAACGACACATGTCAAAATCCCGCCCGACAAAGAAACGGAAAAGTTTGACTGGCCTATTTTTAGGTTCTGACCATGGAAAATGGATCCTGGAGTTGGTCAAACTCTGTCATCAACGAAAAGAGTGGGAATTCTTCAGCATATGATGGGAGGCTCGGAATTCCTGACCCATCTGGCGAGAGGTAGTCTGTTTCCGGCACCTGAGCAAAATCGGGACGCGTCAATGGTGACATGTGTTCTCCAGAATCCTCACCGTTGCCGGCCAATGCTCCGGAGGTTGTCAACACTGGGCCACGACTCTCGGCGGGCATATCGAATCGCAATTGCCACGGCGGAGGCGGACCTTCCATTGCCTCTGATCCATCCAAGTTACCCGCTCCGTTGGTTTGGGGACTCTTCGAGACGGGAGTTTGATTGGGCGGTTGACCTCCGGTCGTCGGTCGAGTGGACCTGGCGCTGCCGGCGCTCTTGTTGACGGGGTCACCAAAGATGTTGTGGATGTCTTGCCTGCGCCTCTGCATTTGCATTTGATCACGTCTCCTGATATGCTCAATGGCGGCAAGACGCAGATAACTGGTGATTTCAAAGTGCCGACGCGCCGAGAGGTCATCCTTGGCCATGATCGTCAAGATAGCTTCCGCTTGAGCAATACTGCTGAGAAGTGGAAAGGATTTGTCGAAGTCGCCGAATATGGCAAAGCCAATGACCATGGCCGAAATAAAAGTACTGTTGGTGATCATGAATAGTCGTTTAGGGACTCCCGGCGTATGGACCAGATCCGTGGCGATCTCGATACCCCTCAGCGCCGCATCAATGCACGCCTCACTCAATGTCATGGTCACCGCGTTTCCAGCGCTGTCTTCGTCGTCCGACCGGCCCTTGATCTTGGAGGAGACCTTGAAGATCAAGAACGGTCGGGTCAACAAGATGATGGACCAATAATATGCCCCTTTGAGATGAGCGATGCCGATGGTCTGTCGCAACGTCGGAGCCGTGGAACCTCCGCCTTGATCCAGACTGTCCGCTTGCAGACCGGTTGGGAGTTGCATGGTCCAATCGCGATATTGTCGAGAAATGCTCTCCACCAGTTGGACGGAGACTTCTCGACGACAGTAGACTTCGTTCAAAATACGCTCAAAGATGAAGCATATCCTCAATGTCGCTGAGGTATTTCGTCCATTCATTTGAATGTCTTCGTAGTCCCGGGTGGATCGATTCCACGAGACACTTCCACCGTCGACCTCAGATGTTGCTGGCGGTCGACCGAGTGAGCCGCTCATGTATAAATCGAGGACCCGCAAACTCTTCCATACTCTTTCCCGAGCGACTCGTTCTCGCTGCTCAAACAAATTGGAGATATCGCTTCGGTGCAAGCCCAGCGCGTACGCCGCGCGGACAGCAATACCGAGCAACATAAATGCGCCATTTCGTCGGACGGCGGATAACATGTAGAAGGTGATCAGCGCATACGCTTGAATGGTGAGGACACTGGGATCCTCCAAAAAACTCGAAACCCCGATTTCTCGGCCACGCAGGAAATAAAATTCCGCTTGGTCCAAATCGTTCGAGTTTCGGGTCAAGGCTCCAATCGCCATAACCAGATAGTAAATTGAACTGTTGAAATCCGTTTCGGCCGTGGAATCACGCGTCCATGCACACAGGTGTTCCGTGATGTCGTCCGGATCGAACAAGTCGATGACGCCACTGGATGCCAACAGGTAATGTTTGACCAAATCTTGAGCCTCGGCCAGGTTCGGTTTGGGATACTGAGACTGTAGAGGAGTTGGGACCTTGTGCGGTGGTATCACTTCACACATTGCATGTCGAAGAGGGTCCGATGTCAGTTGACATTCTCCAATCTCCGATTTGACCAGGCGTCGGATGTTCTGGACAAATGCCAAGTTGCTCGAATCGCCGACGAAGATGAACTTGCCGCGTCCGTCGCGTAGCAATCGAGCGAGCTTAGGGACCGGAGCTCTGGAGACCAGATCTTCCTTGTCTTTTTCATATTGGGGAGACTTGGGAGCACTTCTGGAACCAGACAACGTCAGAAGCGATTCGATGGCAATGGAGGCATCATTGGACTCATTCAAGGCGTCCTTCAGGGTGATGGGATGTGACGGCGACGGATGACGTTGCTTATGCGAGACTCTCTTGGAGTAAGCCTCGGTGAAGACACATTCAGGTTCTCGACCTCGTCGCTTGCATAACAAACACGGTTGCTGCCCGTCGCATTTCTCTTTGCGACGCTTGCAAGTATCGCATGCCCTGGCTACTCGCTTGCGGTCTTCGTCCTTGACGCGCGGACGAGGCATGACATCACCTCCCAGCTCGATGGATCAGCCTTGTAGCCTTGCGGAAGCTGCTGGAGACACCCTAGGATCGATTACCGGGTGACGGTGGATACGTGGGCAATTGCAAGTCGGATATAGCACCTTGAGGATGGCCTGGAAAGTTTTGTGAGCAGCTGGAAATCGTCGGAAATGGGCGTTGAGAAATTTGTGGAGAGACGGAGGCGGCCAACGCCCGAACTCCAAGACTCAATTTTACCGAGCAGCTACAATCCCCAACCACCCCCATCCAGTGGGAATTCGACGCGGGGGGAACCAATCAGCACGATCACAATTGCGACATCTGGATGACATAATGAACCGAGGCGAAAAATAACTCTGGTATGCCAAACGGTGCTTGGTGATGCACAAGGACGGAAGGGACCCCGGTGAGCCCCCCCTGATGCTCTTTGCTCATACAAAAGAACGGACGGAATACAGGATACAAAGATTTCACTAATCACAGCCCCCAATGCCACTTATCACCCAGCCATCCTGTAAGGCCCGACTCTCCTTAGGAATGCAAGGGAGCCATCAAAATGTCGTACTTCAGTTCCAACTTAGCCTTATCATCACCCTTTCGCGGCACAAATTCTACCACCAGAGAGTCCTTGACGGCAAACACCGAGTCGTCGTCGAGATATTTGCTCTCTTTGTCGAATATTTGCGTCGTGATGGGCTTGTACCCTTCGACCAGGACCTGGTCCACTGTCAGTGTCTGATACCTCGACCACTGGATACCAAACTCACAATGAGGTGAATGTGCGCTGGTCGGTATGGATGTCTGTCCAACAATTGCAACAGCTTGCCCGCCGGGCCATCAAATGGAATGGGGTATGGGGTGGGCCTTATGCAATAAAAAGCATACTCCCCGTTTGAGTCGGTGATGAATTTTCCTCGAAGGTTACAATCGACCTGGTTCTCGTCTTGTTGTTCATACAGGCCTGCAAAGAGACTAGTCAGCCCCGGGTTGCCTAATTTGGCCGCATGGGACTCAACTGACCGTTGGTGGAGGCCTCCCAAACGTCAATGGCGGCATTTGCCAAGGGCTTTTTGGTTTGGGCACACAGAACCCGACCGTGCATGTACACGACCTCGGCATCGTCCGGTGTGTTGAAAGAAATGGTTGCTCCTTTCTCTCGGACTGGGTGGTCGTGTCTGAAAAATGGACCCAGGATAGCGCTCTGGGTGGCCATATCGGTGGCCTCGGAAGCTTTCTTGTAGGTTATCTCATCCACGAGTCTGCCATTGTCAGCATCGTCACCCCCCCCCCCGAGTCGGGTCATCAACACCTACGACTCCAGGCCGACCACATCGCAAACCAATTGACCCTCATTTCTTTTATCATTGCTCATCTGACCTGCCCAGTTGAGCAATTGTACACCCTCCATCCACTCGTCCACAGTCAGCTCAACTTCACGAGCAAAATCATGCAAATGTCTGGTCAAGCTCGTCATAACTTCTCGCATCCGAGGAGAAGTTTTGGGTCCCATAGCATCGATAACATGTTGGGTGAAGTTGGGGTCGAAGCGGGAGGCTCCTGTCTTTGTTTCGCCGTTCATGATGGGCACAAGGGAGGTGAAGACACCGGTGTTGTTGGTACTGGAGAACGGACTCGGATCCGGGATCGGAGAAGGACGCAGGTGCGACACTTGAAGAAGGGAGAAAAAGTATCGAAGAGACCCAAACTCGATCACCAGCAGGTTCCCGACCTCAAATAGGATTGGCAATCCCTGTCAGCTGTTTCGTGGAGAGCCCAAAGACTTGCGGGATACAAGCAAGCGGGCATCTTTGTCTTCTTGCCTCTGGCTCGGCGTCTCTCCTCCTACCCCGCTCCGAAACCCTGCATCGGATCCTGCGACTTTGCCTCTAGGAGGTTAAGCCTGATCACGTGGAGGACCTGTCGGAAACCTGGGGCGGCATCCACAGATCCCTCGCTAGTGAATTTGCTGCTTTCGGCATCCATCTTCGGGACGAATACTGGCTACGTCTTCTCCTTTTTGGCATATATAATTCCACAAAATTGGCTTCAAACTCGCCCGTGTGTGGCGTGACCATCCCGTTCGCTCTGATGAACACCCCGATTATCCCGAAAAGTGGACTGAGTGAGCTTATGGAATCTGGACGGAATGTATCCCGAAGGATGATCTAGCCGTCGGATCAGGAACCTGTCGAGATGGCCGACCAGACGTGACGGAAAAGGATTTTTCCACTAAATACAGAAAATCAGATTCTCATACCACCAGCAAAGGCTCGAACTGCCTTGTACGAAAGTATTTCTCCACGACGTTTGCCTGATCACCGTGACACGTTGTCTTGCCGACGGATTTCTCATCCCAGTTCTGCATCCGTCCAATAACTGCACCAACTTGTCAGTCGAGATCGACACCAGAACACGCACCCTCCTATGCTGTGTTACCGGCTGATTGTTCTTTGTCTCATCCGGTCAAGACATCTCATCCACAAAATCAACTACCTGCAGATTCTCGTTGCACACCCGCTTTGGTGTTTCTCGTCGTGCCCCTTGAAATGTATCTCAACGACCACCCCCTTCAACCCTTCAGGTTGTCACTTTCGGTGCTTTACAGAAAGTTGAGTTTGATTTCGAGATGAAGCAACTTCAATCCGGGAAATCGATGCCCTTAGCAGCCTCACTTGTCGTCGGAGAGTTGGTCTCGCATCTTCAACGACCTCCTCATTGACTGCGCACTCGGCTTCAACTTCAAAGCCAGGCTCCATCTCCGTCTCATCCACCACGCCAAAACTATCACTATCTCCCCCTTCACCTCAGCAACCACTGCCTTGCAACCCTCCTCCACGACCGCCACGACCCAAAATCTCGCTGCCGAACCTCCGTCCCACAATCATCCTGGCTCCGCTCGCCATCCCGCGCTGTGTCTACCGTCTGCCCTCTCCAAACCATTCAAATTCCTCAGATTCAGATTTGCGCAAGAGATCCTTCGCCAACGACGTTTTCGTATCCCTGCCGGATCACTCTGATACAGAGCCCCCCCGCCGCCATTACCGCTTGGTTCCCGTCCCAGTCCCTGCCCGACAGAGGTAGGCCCAAATTCACCCCGAGATCATCGCCTGCTCACATCTCGCCAATCAAGTTCCCCGCACACCACCACCAGGTCTACCCTAATCACATCGTCCGCCCCCGACGCAGACGCAGACGATCAAAGCGAAGCCACAACATCGACTCAAAGCACAGACAAGGCCTGGATGATATCTTCCCCTCTCGCAGCCAACCTTGAGCCGCAGTGCAAATACAACCATTCACAGGGTGAGGGCAAGCCCGACAAACATTCTTTCCTTCGTCCAATGGAGATATCGATATAATGGACACATCGCTTGAGTTTGACGGGTATACGCCGTGGCATATCCGGATGTTCCGCCACCGACGGCTACTCTGGATGCTTGGGACGATTTTCTTCGTGCTTGCCGCCACAGCGGCCATTTCAGGCGGGATCATTTGGCGATTGTCGCTGTGTAAGTTCTTTTCCCTTCATTCGCTGGCTTTGTGAGAAAGAAGGCTGCTCGAGGTGAACAGGGAGATACTTGGACTGACTGATGTATGTAAACCGTAGTAAATTGAGCAATGATATGGAATCCACAACTTGGAACCGTTACCGAAACGCCCAATGCCGTGCCACCTACGCTGGAGCGAACCATGATAGCTAGCGCATGGACGAAACGACGAGAACAGCAACGAAGTACACTCGAAGTTAGATGGTTGATATGACATGATCTTCACGACCGTCGTTATCGTCATGCTTTTTTAATTTTGGCTGTCCTACCTACGGTTTCAGATTTGTAGACTTCTTACTCTTGTCCCCTTTCTCCAACATCGCAGCCTCGCCATTCGCAACTTCGCCATTCCCTTTCATTTTCTTTGGGGGGGAGGGGTTTCTTTTTCTTTCTTTTTTTGGCTTCTGGCTTTGGCTCTGCTTATCCCCATCTTTTCGATTGGCAGTCCTAGGATCCAAACCCCGGGCCCTCAACCACTTCTTCTCCGCACGCTTGATGATCTTTTGGTCCTCTTCGTCGTTGAAGCCGCCAAAGTCATCGTTATCACGTGGCACTTCCTGATCTTGGTCATGACCCACGTTCTCGACGCCATTTGTCAAACTCTTCTCGCCTGAGATCTGGCGATCGCCTCCATTTGCCTGTAGATTCTCTTGCGTCGGACCCGTTTTCTTCAACTTACAGACGAAGAACCCATCAACGTTTTCACGGTGCGGGAAATACCGTCTCGTCAGATTCATTCTGTCGTCGAATTTCTTGCCCATATAGCTCTTGAAACCCTCGGACCCAAAACCGCCCAGTCCCGTATCGACGATCTTCACATTCGGCCGCTTTCGTAACACGTATTGCACGACGCCTTCATTCTCCTCGACGGTCACGGAGCAGGTAGAGTAGACGACATACCCGCCGGTTTTGCTGTTATGGTCTGTTGAATCGATGGCGGCGAGAAGCAGCTGTTTCTGCATGTGCGGCAGGGCCAGGAAGTCGCGTTCGTTCTTAGATGTTTTCACACTAGGATCTTTCCCGATGACCCCTGTGCCAGAGCAGGGCGCGTCCAGTAATACTCTGTCAAAGCCCCCGAGGATTTTGGGGAATGCTTTTTGCGCATCGTAGTTGCAGACAATTGTATTTTTGCATCCGAGACGGTGGATGTTGCCGATCAGACCCTTTGCTCGTTTGCGGTTGGCGTCGTTGGCGAACACGACGCCTGTATTCCTCATCAGTGCTGATATGTAGGTGGCCTTGCCACCGGGGGCGGCAGCCATATCGAGGACGCGCTCGTTAGGTTGCGGCGCGAGTGCCATGACGGGTAGGAACGAGGAGGCAGCTTGCAAGATATAGTGACCGGCAAGATACTCGGGCGTCGCGCCCAAGGGGACCGGTGATTCAAAGACTTGCAGACCGACTTTGGACCATTTCCCCACCGGCTCGAGCACGACGCCACGATTGATCAGAGCCTGGGCCAGAGAACGCCGGTTTGTGCGGAGGGTGTTGGTCCGGAGCACAACAGGTCGGGGTGTTTCGTTGGCTTCGAAGAAGGCAAAGGCCTCTGCAGGCGTGAAGAGCGAGAATAACTTCTCGGCCAAATAGGGGGTGTAGCCGTAGTAGGTGCAGATATCTGCGAGGAATTGATCGATGTAGTCACTGCGTGACTGGTTCTTGTCCGCCAGTTTGGAAAAGTTCCCCAAAATGCGTGTCGTCTCCGTCATTCGTGACCGTATGACGGCCAGATCTGGGGCGAGCCTTTGCGCGGCAGCAGTCATCGAATCCAAGACGCCATCATCTCTGGCGATATTTGTTTGCAGAGCTGCATCTTCCAGTTCTTGCTCGGCTTCTGCCTCGACTTCCGCCCGTTGCTGATCGAGTCTTCGAGAAAGGCCCTCAATGTTGGCGGCGGTAAGTTTTGCTTCGGCATCGAAGTCGTCCTCGTCGTCCGAGAACATGCGTTTAGCCGGCCGTTCGTCAGGGTCGGAGTCAAATACTGAGTCGTCGGAGGCTTCCTCGTCCCATTCTGCTTGAGCCACTTCGTCTCCTTCAAGGCCAGACAACGAAGCTTCGTCCAGAGGGATTCCCGCAGCATCAGAGGCCGTCTCTTCTTTCTCTTCCTCTTCCTCGACATCTTGATCCGGTATGGCAGGCAGGGGTGGAGGAACGGTAATTTGAGCATCCTTGTTCACCAGCTTCTTGTTTTTTTTGGCTTTCTTATTGTTTCGATTTTCCCCTTCTTTTATGTTTGTAACATTATCTTGTCTGAAAGCTCGGTCAAGATGAACCAATTTCTTCGCACCGGTCTCGTCGGATTTTCTTCGTCTCTTCGAAGACGCTTCCTTTGCGCTATCGGGGTGGGTTTTTCTCTTCAAATTGATACCAAGTTCTTCTAGGGTCGCAGGAGGGCCCTGCTTTTTCATGCGACGTCCAACGCCCATTGTTATGGTATTGGACTGGACTCATGTGTGGAGTGCTGGAAATTTCAAGCTGATCTGCCCGCCAAGATTCTACCCTCGAAAAAGAAAAATAGTTGTGCGGAATTTGTCAGTAGCTGATGATTATCTCCGAGATGGTTCGATTAAATTAGAGCCTGGCTTCTCTCCCCCCTGGGGCTCTGTGCATTCAGCGCGAACATCTCAATATGAGCTTCCAAGAAGTTTGATCATGAATGATAATTGGTTTGACTGAATGCGGACAATAGATACAATGAATGCTGCCTTAAATACGCATTCACGAAATGCTGATGGTTCTGCTGAAAATTTAGAGGCCTTTTTCTTCTGGGGGCTATGACCTCCATCTCTTTTCTCCTGCTGAAACCGGAGTCAAAGAATTGTCTTCCTTTGGGTCAGGCCGAATATCTAATCTTGGTCGATTCTTCGGCTCGTACACCCTGATACACCCTGGCATCTGTCACGAACCGTTAACTCCTCCAACAAGCGGTACTGGGGAGTGGGGACCGGAGCTCTTCTTCATCTTCAGAGTGAGGGGGAACGGATAGTCGTCTGGCTCTTCTTCCTCCCTGGACACCTTGTCAGTACCACTTTACAGTTTACACGCGCCGGTTTACTTACGGAAGTCTCCAGGCAATGTAGTCCTCCGTGCTGAGACCCTCCTTACCCTCTTGCAATGAAGCAAAATCGCCCGGCGTCATCATACCAGATCGATCTCGGGGGGACCCAGGAACGGATAGCGGCCTGGAGATCTTCACCTCCGTACCTCCAATGATATCGTCGAATTCGTCCGCATCCGTAAATGACGCTGGATACGCTCGTCTCAGCGCAAGTTGTCGAGCTTTGACATACTCCATTCCCATTCGCTTCCAGTCCAGAAGATCACTGAGACGTTCTGTGCGATTACGTTGGTTAATGCGTTGTCGCCGACTCTTGTTGGCGAATTCAAACATGTAGTCCGTCAATTGGTTAACCGAATCATCCACACCTTTGGTCCGTCGATCCACAATGTAGATCCCGTAGTCCGAAGAGTTCTCAATGAGTTCTTCCATATAGCAGCCGAACCCGGACAGATTGGTGGTGATGGATGGGACACCCATGACGGTGCATTCGGCTGGAGTGTAGCCCCAGGGTTCGTAATAAGACGCGAAGACCCCGAGGTGAGTGCCTCTAACGAAATCATCATAATCCAAAGACAGGACCGGATTGGCCGAGTTCAAGAATTCCGGGTGGAAGATGACCTTGACCCGATCGGAGGAATGATTGAACAGTTGAACTCGACGCAATTGGTTGAGAACCGGATCCTCGGGGTCATTCACCATGTTGTGCGTGACGATAGGTGGTAGATGATGCCGTTTCATGGCGAAGAGTCGACGTCGGAGCATGACTCGATCGGCAGGTGTGATAAGCTCCTTTTCATCTGGCATCGGGTCGCCTTCTTTCCAGTGAACAGATCTTTCGAATAATCTTCGACCAATGCCTCGTTCGATGTTGGACACGGTATCGGCCAACGCTTTGGTCACGGCATGGCCTTTGAGAGAGTCCACGGAAAGGGAAGTCGTTTGGGCCGGCATGATCATGAACGCGACAATGGTCGTCTTGGTTCCCGATACTTTCAGTCGGTGATTTAACCGGGCCAACGATTCAATGAACATGTCCACACCCTTATTTCGGTATTCGTATCTTCCCGCGGTGAAATAGTACAGCGTGTTGTCCAAATCAAAGTCCAAATGACCGTAGAAATGTCCCCGTACAAATTCATGGATCTTTTCCTTCTGCACGGAATGGAGATTTTGGAATTCGTGAACCGCCGAAAACTTTTTGACGTTCAGACCGTTGGGTAAGACACCGTCGGGCTTCCGTTTCAGGAGATGTTCGCTTTCGAAAGCAGTAATGTGAGACACCGTGGTGAAAACATCGGCAGAATGGGCCGACGCTCTCTCAATACAGTATCGGTGGTAGATTCCTCGTTTTCCGGCTTCTGCATCCACGTCAAAGTATTGTAGGTTGTTGTAGAAGTCGACGGAGCCGGCACATAGGTAGCGACCTAGAAGGGTCGCATGCGTCGTGAAGATCGTGGTCAGGTCGATCTGTCGCTTCTTGGTCAAAGGGAGAGCAACCCCGGAGAGCCATTCGTGGAAATGGGCAATGACCGCTCGATTCGTTTCACGAGAAATGAACTACAGGCTGTTAGTCCCGGACAAGGCTCTGGCATGTGCATGTCATCAAGTTCGTACTTCACCCAAAAACCATGCCACTAGGTATCCAAACACAATCGCTTCATTCGTCTCGTGATCTCCGGCAGGCGACGGAATTCCAGCTGTAGCCCATAGATCACCTTTCCACTCATCAAGCCAGCGGTAACCCGTGCCAGTATTGACCAGGAGGACTCTTGGGGCACCTTCAATCAGCCATCGACCGTACATGAGCTCGATACCACGTTCTTCCATGGATGAGATGGTGTCTCGAAGAGGACCAGCGGGTGGTTCGAGGGCTTCGACTTCGACAGCAGCCTGTAGATGTCAATTAGGATCCCCCATTGGACCACGGAGTCCAATATGCTTACCGAATTCTTGTTAAGAGGCCCGATGAGCGTATACCTTTCGCCATATTCCGCTGTCGTGACTGGAGCTTTGGACTTGAGGACTGAATAGATCCCGCCGACTGAAGGGAATTAGTACATGTGAAATCACCGGGATGGGGATGGAATACTTCGATTAGCGACCTCAGTTGCAACCTCAAACAGAAGATGGTTCTTGATGTCCCTCATCCCCGTGTCACCGTTCATTTTGGCGGCTTTCAATTATTCGAGAACGGAACCGTGGGACAAGGTCGAGTTCGGAGCTGTTTGATTGGGATGAATCTGGAGATGACAGCTTACCCCACGGAGGGTGGGAATGTGCAGGTGGACTTGAGAGCCCGAGGATGGAATGTTCCACGACCAAGTATCGAGCAGACAGGAGGAGAGGGCGAGGTCAAGCTCGGAAAAAGAAAGAGGTATTGCGCAGGAAGGTCGACTTGTGGAAAAGAATTTGGGGCAGGATGGGCCGATGGTTGCAGGCGGCTTTTGGGGGAGGGTGATGCCGGTCCCACCAAGTACAGAGGGAGGAAATGGTTTGTTGTTGATCCCGATCCTAGCAACGCGATGCCTCTTGGAACTCCAAGGAGTCTTCGATAGTCGAGTAAATTGGCCGTCTTGGTACTGCTGTCCACGGGGCTTAGAACACGGTTCATTTTGCAGAGAAGCACTGTTTATTGTGAACAAGTTGGGAGGGTATGAGCCCTAGCGGACTGGAGCTGGAGAATGACGCACTTGACATGCCATGAACCCTAACCCACGGCTTGGAAACACGACCGCGACGTAGCACCGCAAGTTGAATCGCCGAACAATGCATTCTCAACGTCATTGTGACCTCGTGGCTTAGGTATGGAGAATGGAGCAGTGGTCATGGCTAGGTTCCCTTTAAGCGGGCGAGTCACGATTCTCCAGGGCTTATTTCGATGCCTCACACACCCAAGGCTGCTCGCTGTCGGCTGGATTGAGCGAACCATCTGCTTCCACCGACCCCTTCCTACCCAAACGGGCCCCCTCAAACCCCCCCCCCCCCCCAAAAAAAATTGTACCCCGCGTTGTGCCCAGTTTTCACCAACAAACCAGAGCTGCCTCTTCCCTCCCAGCTAACGAGTTGGGAGCTCCAATCAAACCCTCAGCTGCCCATGCCCTCAGAGCCACATGTCTTGTGATTTCAGTCTGATTCTAGACCATGCCTTTGGAAAATGCACGTCGACCTGTCACTTTCTATTTGCTTCTCTTGTATATTTTCGCCAGGAAGACCTCGAAAATGCCCTTCTTTAATCCTGCGCTTTCATCCACGGCCGCGATCATTTGTCGGATCTCACCAACTCGTTTCTCTTCGTACTCATGGTATCTCTTTTCTAATTGCAACTCGTTGTACAATTCCTTCACCTTTGCTTCTTTGGCGTCGTCCTTTTGTCCATAGTTCTCGTCCAGTAATTTTCTCTGCTCTGGTGTGCATATCAACAATGCTTGATTGATCAACCACCCGCACTTGTTATCCTTGATGTCCGTTCCAATCTTTCCAATAAATGCAGGATCTCCGAACGCATCGAGATAGTCGTCTTGGATTTGGAAATACTCGCCGAGGGGTATCAGAATATCATGCGCTTGTTTCAAGTTCTGTGGCGTCGCTAGTTGAAGGTAGTGCAGGGCCAGTGCGACCGGTAAGTAGAAGGAGTAGTATGCTGTCTTGTATATCACAATGAAGGTGTACTTGTTCATGCTGAAGTTGTTCAGGTCGACATGGTCTTCCGGTGCCGTGATCAAATCACACAACTGGCCCAACTCAGTCTGCCAGGTCACTTCATGAAACAGTTCCATCAGTTCGAGGTATGCAGGATGTGATCGGAAATGTTTCTTCAGAATGAGGTATATTCCAGACTCCAGCATGAATGCGTCGTTGATGGCAACCATCCCAACTCCTGGCCGTCGATACCAACATGGCTCTCCCCGACGCGTGATACTGGCATCCATGATATCGTCACTGACAAGGAAGAAAGCTTGCAAAAGTTCGGTGAGCCAACCCAGGGTTCCGAGGTCTTTGAATTCCTCTGGCGTTAAGGGTCGGTCGAGAAGCTGCGAGCCCGTATCTGGCACCGACATTCCTCGGTTCAGTTTACCTGTAGGCGTGTTCGTATTGAGGGACTGGAGAGGGAATTAGTTGAAACCCAGCGTCGAGAGCGCGTGGGACGGTAACCTTCTTGAACCATTCAAGCGCGTTGTCGGGAAGGTGGTACTTTCGGGCCTCTCCCAGCAGGTCTTCTACCAGAGTCGGAAAGACCTTTACAAAGTCGGCTCGCGTAGTCTTGGTCGCCATTGTTTGCAGGGCCGTGGTTCTCTCACAATGGCGCAGAGAGATTTGGTTGACGGACAATCCGTTCCATTGAGGGGCAACATTTTTTCGGGACCTGCACTGCGAAAGCCGGAGCTTTACTCGACCGAGTGGCGCGCCAAGCCCAGGAACGAGCTTGGACGTTTCAGTCGCCAGCGAACCAATTACCAAAGGCTTCTATGACCCAAACTGCGCTCTGATCCTCAACTTTCTTCGAGTCGCGTCGGAGGTTGCGTGACGACTAAGAGATTCTCAACTCCTACCCTGTGCGACGGCTCGTATCCTCCACCGAAAATGTCGTCGCGACCCTCAACTCCGCCTGCTCGGGCGGGGGACACCGATGCAAATTCACCTTTGACTCCAGAACAGGTGCGGAGAATCGAGATCAACCGTCTCCGGGCAAAGGCACTTCGAGAACAACGAGAAGCAGAAGCAGCTACGGCAGCCAGTCTCCAGAGACCAGGGAATTCGGTCGCCGGCCAAAAACGAACCTTTGACACCTTCTCTGGAGGGCCGGCAACAATTCGAGATGCGAGGACGGATGCAAATCCAGGCCGCCCTCTCGAAGCTATCCGGCCGGCGCGAAATTTCGCAAAATATGTCGAATATGATTTTAGTAAGATGACAGATACCAAGGGTGGGTTCTTGACTGCAGACGATGACCCTCATAATAAAGCCATGCATGCCGACGAGCAGGACGGTAAACCCTCACATATGACTCAAAAGGAATGGGAAAGAGAGCAACTTTTGAAATCTTTGCGAAATCAAAAGGCAGGCCCATTTGAACCCGGAATCAGTGCTATCAAAGATCAGACCACCAAATCATGTCGAGAATGTGGCACTCGAGAAATCGACTGGAAATGGCTCGACGTGTTCGACATTTCTGTTTGTAATGCCTGCAAAGACAAATTTCCAGAAAAGTACAGTCTGCTCACCAAGACGGAGGCTAAGGAGGATTATCTGCTTACCGACCCCGAATTAAAGGATGAAAGACTTCTTCCTCATCTCGAAAGACCGAACCCACATAAGTCGACCTGGCACAATATGTTTCTCTATCTGCGATGTCAAGTGGAAGACTATGCCTTTTCGGAAAAGCGATGGGGTTCGGCAGAAGCGTTGGACGCTGAATTTGAAAGGAGAGAGGCAGAGAAAAAGAAACGAAAAGAGAACAAGTTTCAATCGAAACTGGCCGATCTGAAAAAGCGGACGAGAGTGGAAGCATACCAACGAAGCCGAAATGGTGGGGGCGGAAATTTTGGTGATGACCTAGGGGATGGGAAACACGCTCATGAATTTGGTCGACCCATTGATAACCCAGAGACTGGAATGCCAGTGAAGAAGTGTATGATATGTGGACTGGAGGTGGAAGAACTAGATTTGTAGATTACTCGTTGGTTTGGGGAATTCATGATACCCGCGGAATCCAGTGAGAGGCTTTCCAACGCATCTTGAATCTTGACAAAGTCAGGTATAGCGGATGGTAATCTTCTAGCGCAGAAACCTTTTTTTTTTTTTAAATGTAACGAAATGTAAAATGTGGCAGGGATGTTGGAAGCTGTGGAAGTCGGAAGGATGGAGGGTGAAAGCGCCGAACCAGGATAGGCCGCGGCAGCGTTCATTGGTCGCTAAAGGAGATCTGTCGCAGCCGCCGCTCCAACCTACAAGAACGTGCAGCTCGCGCCTTCATCAAGGAGAAGAGAACGACCATCATCCACGCAAACGTTTCCCGTCGAGACCCTTCTAACCGCGCCGAACTTTTTATTTGCCCCTTGTTTTGACCCATTCTCCATCGAGTCGCCGGCCAGTTTTGCAACTCTTCATCCCTTTCAAATTGACCGTGCTCTTTGAAAGACCTCGGATGAAGCCCGCGTGATCTGTTACCACTCCGCAGTCGATCAGCATGGCTAGATGAGAGAATTACAAGCACACGAGCGCCAGAAAGCGCATCATGGCGTGGCAGTCTGGGGCTGGCGGCAGTGGTGTAGGAGGGATGGCCGGTGGAGAACCGAATGGAGTTCAAGCATACACGTTACAAGGTGGGATTACTTTGTTCAACATTGGACTATCTGCTGATAATTTTGTCTAGGCGTCATGCGCTTTCTGCAAACCGAATGGCACAGACATGAACGAGACCGAAATGCCTGGGAAATTGAACGCGAAGAAATGAAAAACCGCATTGCCATCCTTGAAGGAGAGACCAGAACAAGTAAAGGCTTACGAACCTCCCTGGAAAGACATGTGAAATTATTGGAAATCGCCCTCAGGAAAGAGCGTGAAAAGAATAGGAGTCTAAATAAAGGGGAAGTTGTCGACACCCAGAAAGAGGCCAAAGACCTTGCGCGAGAAGAATTGAAGAGTCTTGGAAAAGGTAGGACAACTCCTCACCTCCCCCGGCGGCAGCGCGACTATGGATGGTCCCTAATACACGACAGAATCTCTCCCCAAAAGCGTCAGCCATTTCGATGCCGAAATCGACCCAGAAAACCATCTGGCCCAAAGCATACGACAAGAAAAAGAACGAGACAAGTCGAAGAGTTACTTGTCCAAATGTGCCTCGGAAATCACATACCACGTCCTCTCTATGACTCATATACCTCCGGAAATCAATGATGCTGCGGTCCCCGGCAATTCGAACCATGTGTCCCAAGATCGGCAGCCAACACAGCAAGAGCTTCAAGAGGCATATTTGCAACTGCAACAAATTAAACAACAGCACCGGAATGTCGCGATGATCAGGGAAAATGCTGCACAACCACCTCCATCGTTTGCGGAGCCTCCACCTCTCACTCGAAAAGCGACCCAGCTCAATAATGAAGAACTACAACGAGGCTCTGCGGAGAGGATACCAGAGCAAATTGTCCAATCAGTCCCTGGAGTTGACCCGCGAAAAAATTTCTACAATGAACAAATACCGTTGACTGAGGATCCGGTTGAATCTATTTCTCACAGCTTTGACGCGTATGGCCGAGAGATACCGCTAAAAGACCAGACTGAAATGCGAGCCATGGAGGAATCAAAGCAGGAAGTTTCGGACGGATGGGATTTTGATGATGGACCTTCACCCCATGAAAAGCCCCTTGAAGCACCCGCGCAGCACAGGCCAGACACGGAGGTGTTCCCCAGTGCGAATCTCATTCCATCCAAGTCCCCGCCTCGAGCACCAGGGTCATTCCGACGGAAAAGTTCAGGAGCCAGACGGCGGAGTGAGGGAAGTAATGATGCGCGAGAGTTGCAAGCCAGCAAACCGGATGCATCACAGTTCAAAGTTCGATTTGCTATGCGAGGGCATTTGGATGTGGTCCGTTCGGTCATATTTACCGGTGGTGGAAGTCCATCAGAACCGGAATTTTGTACGGCTAGCGATGACGGAGGGGTTAAGAGGTGGCATATTCCCGCATCCTACGCACACAACGTTGCCCTAGGTGACGACCTGGACCGAATTGCTCATTTTACCCATCGTGGTCATATTGGGGCGGTTTGCTCTTTAGCCACATGTCCCGCTTCACCGAATTTCTCCAGTGGTGGTCGAGCCGCAGGGGATGGTTGGATCTTCTCCGGTGGCGAAGATGCGACTGTTAAGGTCTGGGAACGTGGCCGAGTCGATGCCAAAGCAACCTTGGAAGGACATAAAGATGCTGTCTGGGCATTGTGCTGTCTTCCTGGATCAACGGGAACTATTCTCGGCGATCGATGTTCACAATATGGTGGACCAGATCGTGTTCTCCTAGTCGCCGGTGGTGCTGACGGTACAATTCTTATATGGGCTGTCAGCACACCACCACAGTTGAGCTCACCGCATACCGGAAGCCGATCAACTAGAGGGAGTCGGAGAGCCAATTCAATATCGGCGGGTTCGAATTTTCCCAGCTCACCTCAACCAAGTGTCGCCAGCACGACCCCTTTCAATTACTGTCTAGTCCATCGTATAGAGCGAACAGATAAACCTGCGCCAACCGCTATTTCCCCATTGGGTCCTCATGGAGAGAGCTTTGTTGTTGGTTACTCCGATGCCAGTGTGCTGGTATATGATACCCGGACCGGTGAAGAAATTGTCGGTATGGCCAGTCAAGAAACCTACGATGGAACTCCAAACACGGGGATCAATGCGGTCGTTGCCAGCAGTACAGGATTTGACACCCGCGATTCCCTGGCAACTGGACGACGTGGTTCAATAGGTGAAGATGATGTGGTACATGGAGCGACTGGATCAGAAGGCGGTGTCGAAGGAGTTGTTATCGCCGGCTATGAAGATCGGTATATTCGTTTCTTTGATGCCAATAGCGGTAAGTTTCTTGTCGCTTCAATTTTTTTTTTTTTTTTTTTTTTTTTTTTTTTTTTTTTTTTTTTTTTTTTTTTTTTTTTTTTTTTTTTTTTTTTTTTTTTTTCCAATGCTAATATTCAACAGGACAATGCACATATACCATGCTTGCACATCCATCAGCGATTTCCTCTTTGTCTTTGAGCCCGGATGGTAAAGAATTGGTGTCCGGTGGTCACGATGCCAGTTTACGATTTTGGTCACTGGAAAAAAGGAGTTGTACACAAGAAATATCAAGTCATCGAATCATGAGGGGAGAAGGAGTGTGCAGTGTTGTATGGAGTCCTGATGGAAGATGGGTTATTAGTTGTGGCGGGGATGGAGCCGTCAAAGTCTTTTCGAGGAGTTGAGAGCCCAAGTGAAAAGTGAATGATGATGATCGATTGCTTTGATGGTGGTCTGTATTATTCCGTTTTTCTCTCTTGATAATGCACCAGTCTGAGCATGGTAACTGTGTTAAAGTACTGTGTGAGTGTTGGTTTCTCTGCTCTGTTACTTGACAGTCCATAAGGAGCGAGAAGATGGAACCATAGTACATCGAACTTTATGTATTTGTTCGTTTAAACCAATGCAATAATATTGCAATTCCTCGATTTTTGTAAACGACGCCGCATTCATTCATTCACACAAGCCCAAATGTTCAATGTGCACGTGCGGGTGTCGTCGGGGAGTTTGGGAGAGCGGTGGATTGCTGCCTCGGAGGTGTTGGTCAGTCACGTGACGCGTTGCCTTGGCAACGTCACGTGAGGCTGTTTGGCTTGGCAACTTGCGCCCTTCTTTTCGTCTTGCTCTCTCTTAGATAGAACAACAACAACACATTCCTTCTCTAGACTCCACAGTCTATCAAGAGGTACCGGGGTAGTGATTGGGCGGCGCGATTGTACAAAGCTCTAGGAGGTCTAGGGAGACGGTAGGTGATATACATACACTTTCATGATCCTGGCTGATTCTGACCGAGACTAGTAGCTCAGAGCCTCCAAGGAAATCCCCGCCATCCAGAAGAGAATCCCAGATATCATGACAGTGACGGTTGGGTCGTGGAACCTAGTGCTGATGAATGAGAGCATATCTCAGAGACCATCAAGGACCTTCTTCTAAGTGTCAATTGCGTAGCTCTGAATTGGGGGGGGCTCATGCGTCAAGGCGCCAAATGCACCAACTCAATTCGGCATACCTGCCCGTATATTGTTCATGTTCCATCGTAACTTTATTCTGACCAATAAAAGAGCTCCATTTGTCTTCGTTGCTTGTATATATAGTCTCGCCAAGGCCTTAGCTTTAAGCCCGTCTACATCATTGGTCCCTCGTGGACCACTCCCACAACTCCTCTTCAAGCATATGTCACCCCGACTTGCAAGGCTCTAGGCTCTGATACCTTCGAGACCATGCTGACCATTTGGCATCCAACGAGTATTAAAACGCGACGCGAGTCCCATCACGCACCTGATTCACTCTGACTTTCCATCCTTCAACGTCGTCGCAAGCATCCGCGTCAAATGGACAAGTGCCGCCTTATTGCTCGTGTACGCAAATTGTCCGTTCGAACTGTCCTTTATCAACCCTGATATACTGCTCATGTTCACAAAGCTGGCACCGCAGTTCGGTGTTGTCTTCGAAAAGATCAGCTGTTCCACCGCTTTCAATCCTGAAGATCGAATATTGTGGATGCTGCGATTTAATGTGATTGGCAAGCTCTAATGCTGGACGAGTATCTCCTTCATAGCTAGAGTGATTGCCAGGCAATCTTGGCATTCAACTCAACAGAAAACCCAAGATCATAGCTCGAGTCATTTTGGGCTAATGCATGGGACGAAGTCATTGTTCGATAAAGGGAGATCATTGATGGGAGGGAGTTGTTTGGTATTGACCCATTCCACAAGTCCCAATCCTCTTTGTTCTATATCTTCGAGTCAAAGAGCGCCCCGGCAGCTCAGTCGCTCAGTGCTCCCAGAATCTCTCCCACTCCCAGCAACGAGTCCAGATTTTGCCCGACTCGTACCAGTCAACGATCGGGTGAGGCTAACATTTCACGAAATCGCCCTAATTCTGAATGCGGACCCTAGTTGGAGTCGCCATAGTCGAAAATTCATCATCTGTGTCTCTGACGTGTCTGGAAGTTCACTAGAGAGTGATGGTTCCGAAGGCTGTGCCGATATACAAGAAATTTTCACAGGTTATTCTCGCCGAAACCTTGCCAATTCTCCCTGAACAAATTTTCCCTAGGACTGGATACCCGAATCTGGCCGTCCAAATATACCATCTTGGAGTAGACTAGTTGGCAGCATAACCTTTTTTGGAGACAAAGCTAATGAAAGGATTGTAGGGTTGTTGGAACTCCATGTAGAGGACTCCTTGGTATCAGCTGCAGAAGGTGAGATGGACTTTACCAAACAGGCTATATGGTGTACAATATCCCGGATGTCGAAACATAATACTCGGAAGGATATGGTCTCTCTGCCACGAATAAAACGACAATTCCCGGTGACAACCCAGCAGTTAGGATATTTTATCTTGCTCACTCTACACCAGTGTCAGAACGTTATTGGTGATAAAGATGGGACATGAATCAGCTGTTCAAGAGCGTGGAGGTATTGGAACCTTCCGCACTAAATTTTGAGTGAAGGAGAATGGGAGGAAGCTTTTCTCCATCAGTCGCATTCGCATCATGTCGTCCGCGGCCCACGGCAGAGATATCCAGAACGAGCAAACGACCCAGGCGTAGCCAATCAGTGTGCGGAACCTGCTGGGTGGATGCAACGTGCCACCAGCTTTGACCCACGCCCACTGTACAGCGTCTTCAAATGTGATTGCAGCCGCTTGCCACAAGAAATAGAGCATAGTGCCACGTACACACTCGTCGGGGGTCACATTTGACGGGCGTGGCAGCATCAGGTTGGCTTGAGCGTGAAGGAAGCCCGATAAGCCGAAGGCAATCCATATCTGCAAGTATCTCGAGAATACCGTTCCGCGTGGGATTGCGAAAGAGTCGAGCACCCAGTTGGAGACCGAAGTTACTGACTGGAGATGAGAGATATTAGCTCAGCCCTGTCTATGCCATTCCGTGTCAGACTTTGTTGTACGTACACGGCGGATGAATTGGTGCCAGAACTGTCCCCAGAAGCTGCGAACTGTCGTAACTTGGCTCAATTTTCCGAAAAGGGGACTCCAATCCTGTGAAATATGTGAGCGGCGAACACGTTCACCTCGACGTCGGCAGCACGATTGTGGACATACCTCGGGCTTGCTGATACCAAACAACACCGCCACTATCGAAGCAAAAATGTATTGCATATTTATGAAATAATAGGGTCCGAAGCCGAACACTAGGGTGTTGACAAAGCTCCATCCCCAATGTGCATGGCGAATGGTCAAGTATTTACTGTTCATGCCACCAACCTGCCCGTCTGGGCTCGTCCAGAATAGCCTTATCGCAAGCTGGAGAAGCAAGTCACTAATAGTCAGGTATTTGAAAAAACGCAAACTCTGCCGCATCACAAAATGCCATCGCCGTGTCTCGTCGGTTGGCAAGACATTCTTGACCTGCCAGTTCCACCGGATGCCTCGGAGATTGAATATCAGTGCGGCAGCCCAGCGCAGCTTCGCAAGGCTCCAAGGCGCCATGTACTTTGCCTCCATTGGTCGGCGGTCAATACGCCAAAAGCTGGTCTCTGGGCAGCCACTCTCGCAGAACAGAAGTCGTTCTATTGTAGCTAACCAGAACACCCACATCAGGGACCATGGTTGCGCAACTCCGATATCGTTGGTGAAAGGCGAGTTCAAGTGTGCCAGCACTGCCAGGCTCAATACTATGCCGGCTGATATATGTCGCCGCCCCCAAAAGTGTGGACCTGACAGACAGAGCACTGGTGTAACAAGACATGCGATATGCGGCGTGATTGTACCATTAGGCTCGCGTAATGCGGTGTTGGTCTGTAATTGCTCGTTTGCGTTCATGGTATCTGTCTGCACGCAATGACCAATAACTCTCAGGTCCAATTTGATCTTAATGCGAGACCTCTATGTACTCTTGCACAGCTATCAATGCTAGTTTACCGTGAACGGCCACCGACCGCGACGCGTCAGGGTCGGCTCCTCAAAGTTACCTACCTAGTCTCTCGGCAGCCTGAAGTTGGCCTTTATACCAGCTTCCAGGATCGACGGCTATAGGATGGTGATGGCAATCAAATTCGAAGTCAACATGAGCAGCTCCAGAAAAATTGGAGAGATTGTCTGGGGCGATGTCCCTTACGATGGCCGAGTAATCCTCTACATTCTCAAAGCCGATGAAACAAACTACATAAATTTTATCAAGCCTCTAATACTCGCCGAAGAGCTCCAATTTCCCCACCTCCTGGCCATCATTGATACCAAAGAAGAATGGTTCTACCGTATTCATCCTGAACGCTACGTACCTTCATTGAAAGATCAAGATCCGGCGACTGGAGAAGAGGTCATCGTTTTCGAAGGCACAGCCTGCCTTCAGTACCTCGCTCACCGCTTTGATCAAGATGGCTATTGGTCGGGGCGTACTGCGAGTGAGCGCGCACAAGTTTATTCGTGGACGGCCTACCAGACTGCCGGCATTGGGTGCGTCAAATGTTTTTTGTCGAGCAGAATTAGTGCTATTTGGCGTGCTTGTGTCTAATCGATGTCGGCAGAGCAACGGCCAAGTATTGGCTCTACTTCTTAAGAGGCTATCCGAATCGACAAAACCCGGAAATGCTCCCAAAGACCGTGGCGAAGTAGGTACCCGTTTAACGGTGCAAGGCCGTATGGAAACAGTCTAACAATTTGTAGGCTTCATTCTAACACGGTCAAGCAATGGGACATTCTGGAGCAGAGATTATCGAAACCAGGACAGCTCTTCATTGCCCTATCGGACCGTCCGACGATCGCTGACGTTTCCTATTTTCCATATGCTATGCCCTGGATGTTCAAGTTCTTGGATGTGGACTTGGAAAAGTATCCCAAAATTAAAGCGTGGGGGGAAAGAATGATGGAACGGCCGGCTGTTCGAGCTGTCATGGAGAAAGGCCCAACTTACGGCCATTAATGAGCCCGAAGCATGATCTGGTAGTTTGCGTGTTGAGCAATACCGTCTTCGGCCTCCGATTTCATGACTACTGGTTTTTCGATAAACGTATCTACCCCTTAACATTCAGATGTCTGCCCATAGTGTCCTAGGTGCCGGTAGAGTCCACCTCCCTACTGGTCACATGTTGACCAACTATGGCGAACGTATGGTATTTGGCTTATGGCTCGAACATGAACAAACAAAAATTCATCCATGACCGCGGCATTCTACCTCTCGATATTGTGAGACTGCGTGTGCCAGGGTGGCACTTAAGAATGGACATTCCTGGTCTTCCGTACTCTGAGCCGTCCTTCTCTTCCATCACTCCATCTGATGAAGAGGGGCCCAATGTTATTGGAGTTGCATATCTTATCACGGCTGGGCAGTACAGGAAAGTTCTTGCCTCAGAGGGAGGGGGGACGGCATATAACGACGTCAGTGTACTCTGCGAACCTATCGACGAGAAGGGCCGACAGAAGCTCGGAGAACGTATCTTAGCACGCACCCTTGCGGCTGCAATACATAGGGATCCTCCACCCCATCCTAGTAAGAGGTACATGGTGAGTAATCGGCCACATTATGGGATGGGTTTGAAGGGTTTGCTGAGCGATCATGCCGGTAGGATCTCGTCACGAGCGGTGCAGAGGATTCTTCGCTACCTCCCTCTTACCTTTCGTACCTATACAGCCTACCTACTTACCAAGAACCAACAAGCCACTGGCGACGCTTCGGTGCAATGCTGTTTCTTTCAATATGGGGTCCAATTATGGCACTCTTAGAAAAGCTGACAAATGCTACCACGAGGGACGACGGGACCGCACCACAGCTCGTAGTTTGGGCCGTGCGTATCTTCATGCAGCTGATCTGGGCTTGCCACGATCACATTTGGGCTCCGATCTTTGGCCGTGGCGATGGTCTGGACCAAAAAAACCGACTCTGAAGGTGGACTATTAGCATTTAACGCTTCAGAACCCGCTACGGCTCCTAAAATATGTACAACTTACAAGAATGTGGAACATAAATACTGGTAGCCAAATTCATAATGCCATAGAGCCCTCTTGTCTTTGCAATTCCCCCTCGGCAGCTTTTATCTGGCGTTCCCACATCCCTTTGTACCTCCCTTCGACGGCAAGCAATTCGTGGTGTGTTCCTCTCTGGACAATTTCCCCCAGATGCATGACAAGAATTTGGTCAGCCTCAGTTACAGTTGACAAGCGGTGTCTTCGCACAAGGTTAGCCATTCAATACCTTAGTATAAGCAGACAGACACCTACGCAATAGCGATGGTTGTGCGGCCTCGAGTAACTTGTTCCAAAGCTTTTTGGATCTGAGTCTCAGTATGTGTATCGAGAGATGAGGTGGCTTCGTCGAACAGCATGATGCTGGGGTTCTTGAGAAGTGCCCGGGCTATTGCAATCTGTACACGACACTATTAGCAGCAGATCACAATACTCCACGATGCGCTCACCCGTTGCTTCTCGCCACCGGAAAATCTGAGGCCACGCTCACCGACGGAGGTGTTGTAACCGTCTGGCAGACGGAGTATGTGATCATGCAAGCTAGCAGCTTTACACGCTTCATATACTTCTTGTTCGCTTGCCGACGGTCGGGCGTAAAGCACATTGTACATAATTGATTCATTAAATAAGACGGTGTCTTGCGGCACCACTCCGATACAGGCGCGCCAATCAGCAATTTTCAGCTCAGAGACGTCTGTACCGTCAACCCGAATTGAGCCAGATTCAACATCGTAGAACTGGAGCAATAGTTTCAAACAGGTTGACTTTCCGCTGCCACTCTCTCCGACAATTGCGGTGGTAGTGCCTGGAGGAACGGAGAATGATACATTTTTTAATGCTGTTTTCCCGGTCTTGTATCTGAAGCTCACGGAGTCGAATTCGATAGCTCCAGTACACCGGCGGAACGGCTTTGCTTGTGGACTGTCCACCACTTCTGGCTCCATCTTGAACTAGGGTGTATTAGCCTGCAAGCAACACATGTCGTGGACAAGAACGGTGTGAACGTACCAACTGGAGCATCCGCTCCGCATCGATGAGGTTGCTTTGAACCATGGTATAAAAGCTACCAAAGAATGCCAGTGGAGCTTGAAGTTGCACAAAATAAGCCAGCACGCTGACAAAGAACCCCACGGTCTGCACGCCACTGGATATTTTGTATGCTGACAACAGCACAACAAGCGATGTACCGACGGTGAATAGGAGATTCTGAACGATGTTGAGCAAGCCCAAGGAAGACAGGACCGAGTTTTCAGCCTTTTGATACTTTTCAACTCGGTCGCGGAATCGCTGAGATTCCGCGCCGAGCGCGGAGCTCTGATGAACGGTTTCGTAGTACAGCATAGCCTCTGTCCTGTGAGGGTCTTAGACGTAAGGTCGCTCCAAGGGACGGGAAGATTATACTGACTTTGTTGCTTCCATTTCTCTGTTCCTGTCGGTCATTTCTCTCCGAGCCAGTGCCCTGTACCGAGCCATGTAGACGGTTACGAACAAGTAAGTCCACATGACCACAAGCACAATGATCGCATAGAACGCGTCGGAACGGATAAACAAGTAAATTGCGGCAACGAAAAGGTCGAAGACCATTGGAAAGAGCTGGAATATTAGAGCTTCGAGGAAAGTATTGATGGCAGCACCTTTGTTGAGCGCACTGGCGACCTCGCCGATCCGCTTGCTGAGGTGAAAATCCAGAGACAGGCACATCACATGCTCGAAAGCGGCGCAAGTCAGTCGTCTGTATAGCGACTGTCCGATCGGGATCCAGATCAACGCCCGGATAGAACCTAGGACACCTTGTTGCCCCTGCAATGCTAAAACACCTAGATAGCCGAATATGGCATTATAAGGCACCGTGGACCGTCCTAGGGATTCGACCAAGACTCCAAGCTGGTACGGCACCAGAATGTTGACGATTCGTTGCGCTATCATCAACGAAAAGCAGAGGGACGCCAATAACCGATACTTAAGGCTGTCTGATGGCCTGGGTTTGTGTCAGATCCGTCAAGCAACATGTCGTGGACGATGGTTACCAGATGAAGGGGAAGAGAACTTTGAACTCGATAAAATAATCGACCCAGGATACCTGTGAAGGCTCTGCTGGTGAGTAGGCCTTGTCCTTTAAGCCTGCCTTGGTGGCGCCATAAGAATTCAGGCTATCATCACGGAAAGGAGCCGCCTCGTCCGGAGTTCCTTCTTCGCTCTTGGTCGGCCGAGATGCATACAAGTAGCTGAGAACCATTGAGAAGTATAAGGCGACTCGCATGCCTCGTAGTGCACTTTGGACATAGATGGATGTTTCGAGAGAGCGCTGAATACTGGTTGATAACCCTAGCAGTGTTATCTCAAACGCCATTGCAACGATCCAGGCATAGAGATCGGCCAAACGAAGCTGAAAAGCCTGGTCTGGATTCGGGAGTAATTGTGTCCCAAAGTAGAAGAAGGATGCGATGGTTGAGGCCTAACGTTGCGTGAGAAATCTTTATTACCATAGTCTGGCTTCACTTACAATATTTGCCTGGGCGACCTGGCCTTTGGTGACATCTCGATGAATGCTCTGCAAAAATGCGACTGCTGCCAACATCAATCCTCCTACCTGGAAAGTGCATAAGTACAAGATTCAGCCTCGCGGAGCTAAAAGCATGAACTACCAGATTTAATAACAATGCGGCTTGGAGATTAAACACCACTTTTGCTCCTGTCTTCCGCCGCTTTTGCCTGGAAGGGTTCTCCTGAATTGTTTGTATCTGTGGCCCGTCACGGCTTCGATGCACCACAGATGAAACAAAGCCCGCGAGGAATAGAGCAAGAGGAGACACGTACGCGATGCCGCAGAATATGGCAACGAGTGCCATGTCGGTTATCTGTGGGCAGAAAGTTGGTGTTAGTCCTCGACTACAGATAGTGTGATGTGTGACCCATCGGCGCCCGTGGCCTTGTCTCACGACGGGCTCCGACAACACTTCGCCACCGCCGTCCAGACGCCTAATGAGGCGGTAATCAATTAGAAGTGCCTCTTGCATAGTATCCTATCTTTCTTGCCATGGGTCAGCGACGATGGAGAACGGTACAAACGGTCACGGCTTGTCGAAGCGCGGCTGGTCGAATGTCGACTCAATCATGCCACGAATCCGCGCACAGGTTGCCGAGCGACAGGCTAAACAAACGACGAATATCGACCTTAGCACGGCAGAGAATTGGCTCATTCGTGACGAACTGGTGGAACTGTGTAAAGACGCCATAGTAACGAATTTGGAAGCCAGGCACATGTCCTACCCGCGTGGCTTTTCTGGGGATCCTCAACTGCTGGAGGCGTATGCAGCGTTCTTCAACCAGTACTTCAATCCGCGTATACCAGTGGAGCCCTCTCATATATCCACTGCTGCAGGGGCTCATTGGTGCATCGACTCCTTGCTATACAATATTTGCGATTCTGGTGACGGCGTGATGATTCCAGGGCCCTATTGGAGTAAGTATCAGGCGGAATATACTCGCGACATAGCACACCTAACTGTCACAGATGGGTTCGACTTCGGTTTCAAGGCCCGTGCTGAAGTTATTCCAGTTCTGGTTGAATTGCCGGATCTCGAGTCAAGTTTCATCTGGTCACTGCTCTCCGCGCTGGAAGAAACATACAACAATGCCCAATGCCACATCAGGGCCCTAATGCTGACTAATCCTCACAACCCGTTGGGACAATGCTATCCGAAGGACCTTCTGGAGGGTTGCCTGCGATTTTGCCAGAGACATGCAATTCATTTCATTTCGGATGAGGTCTACGCCCTAACAAATTTTAAGACTACTGATGAGATCGAGACGACTCCTTTTACATCGGTGCTCTCCCTTGATTTGGCCGCTCTAGGGGTTGACATGAGCAGAGTGCATACTGTGTGGAGTTTGAGCAAGGATCTTGGTCAGAGTGGTTTCCGCATGGTGAGCCAAGTCAAGTCATTCTGGTGCAGCTCGTCCTTGGGCTTAAACGACTGATGTGAGCGGCCTGACAGGGTTGTATAATCACGCAAGCGAACCAGGAGATGGTAGTGGGCGCCTCCCTTGCGGCAAATACGCAAATTTCTGCGCTGTCGACCATCTTTGCTACGTCGCTTCTTACCTCATCTAAGCTCCCTGAACTGATAAAATCAAATTCCAAAAAACTTGGCCAGGCATACGGGACTCTGACTACCTTTCTCCGCAGCCATGGCATTCGATACATACCCTGCTACGCCGGTCTCTACGTGTTTGCCCATCTAACAGATTTAATGAAGTCTCCTGTCGACTTAACCGAAACTGAAATGGTACAGCGTTTGAAGGAAGTTGGTGTTATTGTCAGTGCCGGTCGTGCATATCACTGTCCTTCCGGCGTCGCGGGTTGGGCTCGAATAGGTTTTGCTCTTCCCCCACAGGAGCTGCATGAAGCAATAACGCGTATGGACAGTGTATTTAGAAGCATAAGGAAGTCTACGGTCACACAGTCGCAATAAAGGTTTTGTAGCAACGTGAAGGGCCAGGTAGTCTCTATTCGAGTCACTATCTCTCATATACCAAATTTACAGTGACAACCCCAGAACCGCAGTCCATCCTATCCTCCGAGGCGAGGCGTTGGTGGCTGGCAACCCGCGTCATCTGGAGCTTGAGTGAGTCAACAATAGCCTCATACCGAAGAAGGCCAAAGCAAAGCCTAAGATCCCAGCAGCTACAAAGAAAACCGTCTGTTTCGGTAGAAAAGTTTGAATACTGCCCAGCAGAACAGGTGATGCGATGCTCCCCATTGTCTCTGCCATGGCCAGAGCCGCCATGGCTGCTGGTCGGTCCTCAACAGCGAAAAGGGAGGCGACATCGGCCTTAACGAACGACGGCGTTGCAAGACCAAGTGCCACCAGAGCTGCCGTGAGATAGACTTGCCAAACATGTGATGCCAAAGCAATCGTGAGCATGGACGAGATCTGCATGAGTAGTGACAAGACTGCCATGATTGGATCACGTTGACCGCGTTGAATCACCGCACACATTTTCCCTAACCCTTGTAAGCTTAGATAGCGTACCGCCCAAGGCACGACGTAGAGAGTCCCAAGCACATAGATGGTGGCAATCATATGGGACAGGGAAAGCAGGTACCCATTCTCTCTTCCGGTAAAATGAAAGCGAATCGAAGCGGTGACCATCATTGCCGGGAAAGCATATGACTGTACACAGTTGTACAAGCCAAGAGAGATCGCGGTAAACAGCAGCGGACGTCGTCCGGAGAGGAAGTACTGTGGTGACAACATCCTGGGTATTTCAGAACAGCCAGTAAAGATTCTTGATTCCGTATCTTTGCCGTTTCGTTCACTGGAAGGACTGCGGATGAAGACCGCGAGATAACCAATGGTGACCCCGAACAGCATTAGGGCTAGTATGAAGCTGACTGTGAAGTCCTCAAACAAGCCGGCTATGAATGGACTGACAGATATACCTGTCATGTACAGAGCGAACGACGTGCCGATGAGTTTCGACGCGAGTTTCGAGTCTCCACTTTGTACGTAAATAGCATTCAAGTTGAAATGAAGGAGATTGTCCGAGGCCAATCCTTCGAAAATGCGGCCAGAAAGGGCGACGGCGATGCTCTTGATCCAGACTGCAATGACCTTTTAGCTGACAAACATGACGAACTTGGCGGATAATTCTCTACCGCCAAAGGTTAACATGACCACACTCATCGACCGACAGATCATCCACACCAATAGACCCATCTTGCGATTTCGCCTAGATAGCCGTGACAAAAACCCCAGTGTCATGGCTCCACCGAGATTTGCAATGTATGTCGCAATTGCAACATAGCCGGCGTAGCGGTTTGTTTCGGAGTCATTGCAATTCTTGGGGTCCTCACATAGCAGACTGGCATACGCAAATATCGTCGTGGCTGAAGTTGCTGCCATGGCCAAAGCGGAAATGGCAGCTAGAGGAAGTACTCTATATGACAGGTGCTTTGCAGCGATTAACTGTATGGAATCGTCATCATGTGAGTGTCGTCGTTCATCGTTCAATAAAGACGTGGTTTCTCCAATAGCTTCGTGGTCGTCGATGTTGTCGCTAGGGTCCATGTTAACAGAACGGCAGATGGGCCAAATCAAGCCACAACCCACAATGTCTATCCTCTGGATGAGAAAGGCTGATGAGGCTCAGATGTGGTATTGCACACGGAAGCAGTGCGTTTGGGAGGCCGGGTCGGACGCCGGGATGAAGTTGAGAAAGCCGGCCGCCGAACTACGATAACCAAATTGCCTCAAACACATCTCCTCTGAGCCTGGATCAATCGAGGCGTTGCGAAGACGCACTCAACCGCCAGTCCAGTATGGAAGAGTGCTTAACACGTTTGAATGGTGCCCTCGAGCTGGCACTCAAGACGTTGCGCCAGGAAGCAAGCGACGAGCTCTTGAACACAATTCACAATGACAACAAGCTTCCTGACAAGAAGAGACTCAGCCTCGCTACAAAATCTGTTGACATGCTATATGAGTTGGAAAAATTACTCACACCAGGTCCGTTGTTGCTATCAGACTTCTTTTTTGGTGAGTGCCATTTGCAATGACATTTCTCACTTGAATTGACGAGTCTCGAAGGGTACATGAATACCAAATGCCTCTGCGGAACAGTCGAACTGGGAATACCGGATGTGTTGCGTAAAGGTCCTCAAAAAGTGTCAGAACTGGCGAGTATTTGCGGTGCTCGTGAAGATCGACTCCGTCAGGTCCTCCGACAGCTGCATAATGAAGGCATCTATCAGTACGACCGCTCATCTGACAGTTACAGCAACAACCCGGCTTCCAAGCTATTGATATCAGACCACTGGACGCAATGGCGTAATTGGGTTGACTTATACGGAAACGAATTCTACGAAATGTCTGCAGGGATTCCTGCATCTCTCAGAAAGGACGCTACTCGCGTACCAGCCCAGATCGCCTTTGACACCGATAAGGGTATGTTCCAATACTTTTCCGACATGGGTTGGGTACCTCGGTTGCACCGAACTCTTAGCGGTGGTGCTATTGCTCAAGCTCCCGGTATCCTCGAAGACTATCCATGGCAAGAAGTCGCCGACGAATTAGTGCTAGACATCGGCGGTGGTGGCGGAGGACTCATCGCTCTTCTAACGCGGAGGTATCCTACCATGCGCGGCAGCATCCTTGACCTCCCCAGAGTAATTGAAGAGGCCAAATTCAACTTTCATTCCCCCAATGGTGTATACGCCGACGTGGGCGGACAAGTGTCGGCGGATGCACTATTAGCCGGGGATTTCTTCCAGTCGATTCCAACATCTCAGGTATACACCATGAAATGGTGCCTTCATGACTGGGACGACGACAGAGCGCTCAGGGTACTTTCAAATATTCGGACATCAATCCAACCAGGACCAAAGTCTCGCGTGGTAGTTTTTGAGTCTATACTAGGCGATGGGAGGACAAGTCGACTCTCACGGTATGGCAATCTCAACATGATGGTCGCGGTCGGAGGTCAGGAACGAGATGAATCCCATTGGAGAAGCCTAGCCCAGAGCACCGGATGGACGGTCAGTCGTATTTTCAGTTTGAGGAATTCCTGGACATCAGCCATTGAATTAGTCCCCTCATCAAAAGAGCCGACAGGCGTTAATGGAAGCGAAATGGCTGGCGACCATCCCGCACAGTCTACCAACGGTCATGGACATGTACCCGAGCAAGATGGCATCGACGACAAGCCCGGGGTAACGATGGGCCTGGCAAGATTACCAGGTCGGACGGTGGAGGCGCAAATGAGATTCCTTCAGGGACCGTGGGATGCGTCCAAGGGTAATCCCTTTATTCGTGTGAATCCGGCCGACGGCTATGATTACATGAATTTCACTTGGGCTGACCACCGTGTCTTGGTGACGGATGCCCGTCCACAAAAAGATATGTTCAACCTGGAAACCCACGGCTTCGCGTACTACGACAACCCGATTGATTCTGGACTCGTAGAGGCGATTCGATCAGGCAATCAAGATACAGTCCTGGCCAGGTACTACCCCACGGTTCGAGAATTCGTGAAAGACGTCACGGGTGCACAAGAGGTGATTATCTTCGATCACACATTGCGGAAGCGCAGGGTGGAACTCGGTGAACGCGAGAATGAGACCGGAAAAGAGCAGCCGGCAACCATGGTAAAGCGTCTTCCCGCAGCAGCATGCAGCCCTGTTCGCGATGCTGACGTTTGACAGGTGCATTGTGACCAGTCTGAGCTTCCAACTTCCCCAGAGTAGAGGCAGTTATTGACAAAACTTGCAGGTCGACGCAGGGTGCCATTCGACGAATAGAGCAGAATCTGCCAGTGGGTTTGGATTTGGCGGCCATGCTGTCTCGCAGGGTGCGGATGTTGAAGTAAGTGTTGCCCCTTCGGTGCTCATGGTATTATTCTCGTATAAGCTCACATGCATAGCATCTGGCGTCCTCTCAACGGTCCTGTGGAAGACTGGCCCCTCGCTCAAATGGACTTTCGCACTTGTCCACCGGAGACGCTTCTAAACTGTGATCTCCTGCGTGGAGCTCTGGAGAAGCGAGGCCAGACGGTGACATTTACTCATTCTGACCAACAGCAATGGTACTATCTAGACGCCCATCGGACCGACGAAGTAACGGTGATCAAGATCTGGGATAACCAGGAGGGCGTTAAGGCGAGGCGTAAGACAGCCCCTTTTGATTGTCTGCCGACTCGCATTGACTGGAAATGTAGTATGCCCCCACGCCGCATTCAAGCATCCAGATTCACCACCAAACGCCCGGCCTCGTGAGAGCGTGGAAGTAAGATGCATCGTCATTGACAAACTGTGATGTCCTTTAAGAGTCGCGTTTCGTGGCTCTGGATGCTGGCTGTTGCCTATCTAGGAGGCCTTCCACTCCCTTTGGACATGCTTGACTTGACCGCATGAACGGGCTTCTGTGATCATTAGACTTTGAAGGGGGAAAACCAATGCTTGATCTGTCCTGTGGAGGAATTCTCACGTGTTCCGATTATCGAAATTCAATCTAACGGCTTCCAAGTCTCATATCTTCTTGTTGTAGAAGTGGTTTACACTCATTGTGTCAATCATCCGTTCAAAGCAGGTGGAGACATTCCGATCCATGTCTATCCTCAAACGTCCCAGGTAGAAGATTCGGTTGTCCGCGTGTCCACCATCAAGCTTACCATTTTGGTCTAGGACAAGTTCTCGGCCCCCGAAGAGAATTCCCTCGAAGATGACATTAAACAGCGTGAAGAGAAAAGGAGACATTTGCAAAATCTTATCCAACCACTCGAGTACGCAAATACACTATCGAAGGTGTGGCTCGACTGCGACATCCCCCATCTACGGGTTGCTGTTGACCGAGGTCCGACGATGTTTTACTTGCTTCATATACAGTTTCTTTCCTTTTTCTGGGTCTGTGTCTGTCTCTATCCAAGACCAACCGTGCTCGCGACCGGAACGACCGTTTGGGAATTGTCTCCTCTTATCGGCGAGTCGTAGCACATCCTGATGACCGAACTGAACTGACGATGAGTTCCAGACACACACAATGACTTCCCAATCTGGATTCGAGCTTTCTATCACAACCACATTTACGCTAAGAATTTTTCGGACACCCAAAATCTCTATGGACAGGTTGACTTTCCTCGGCTGCGGAAAGGTCGACTCTCTGCTCAATTCTGGAGTGTATACGTAGAGTGGTAGGTTCTTCGTAAGACTCAGTACCGGGTCTGATCTGACATTCATTTTATCCCCCGTGAACCTGCAGCATTAAATGCCGGAACGAAGTATGAAGTGGTTCGAGATACCATGCAGCAGATTGACCTGGTGTATCGGCTGATTGATGAGTATCCCGACCATCTGGCGTATGCAGAGTCTTCCCGAGATGTCCTTGACATCTTCGGCTCTGGCAATCATCGCATTGCGAGCCTCCTCGGTATTGAGGGCCTACATCAAATTGGTGGCAGCGCATCGGTTCTCCGACTATATCACCGCCTGGGTGTGAAATACGCCACTCTAACACATACATGTCACAATGAATTCGCCGACAGTGAGGAGCCTACAGTACCACTACACGGCGGACTCAGTGAGGCAGGGGTTGCCCTCATCAAGGAGATGAATCGCATCGGGATGATGGTTGACTTGTCGCACACCAGCTGGCAAACACAACGCGACGCATTTCGTGTGACGAAGGCGCCGGTCGTGTATAGCCATTCCAATGCATTCGCGCTGTGTGCACACACACGAAATGTACCAGACGATCTGCTGCAAACTTTGAAGGCGAATGGTGGCGTGATCATGGCCACATTTTATCCAGCATTCGTCGATGCCAACGCCAGCAAGATAACTCTGGACAAAGTCGCGGATCACATTGAATACCTAGGGAACACTATCGGGTACGATCATGTGGGGATTGGGTCAGATTTTGACGGTATGATGGCCGGGCCCAAAGGCTTGGAGGATGTGAGCAAGTATCCAGACCTGGTTGAGGAGCTGCTGAACCGTGGTTTTTCGGAAGAAAATGTGAGCTTGGTGATGGGTAAGAATGTTTTGAGGGTGATGGATGAAGTGAAACGGGTGGCAAAGACACTTGGTGACCAGAAACCATTGGAAGATGATGTGAAGAAGTTCTTTGAAGAGCTGGACTTCGGATCGCAGAGACAAAGCGCCAGGCGTCTTCGGATCCAATATGAGGCATGATGGATTGAAAGGATGAAAGGCTCGGTCGTCACGTGTGCAATTGAAGCCTTCGAGCGCTTGCGCTTCTGATGTATCGGCCTCCGCCCCGGCGGCCGTTCGTGCGAGCTGGGAACAACCAGGGCAGGTGGATTTGCAGCTAGAATTCCTCTTGGAAGACTTTTCCCATTTGAATTGATCAGCCCCGTTTCAAGTCATCGAGTCCCATTCATAATCTTAAAATCATCCTCCCAAACAACGACCGTCGCCATGTTTGCTCACACGGTGGCGTACACGATACCGGTCAATGTGGATGGAGAACCAGCGCTTACCGCGCAGGACGTCTGGAAGGGGATTTTAGCGATCACCCGCCGACCTCAAGACTTTGCCGAATACATGGCTGACTCTATTGTTATCTCTGGAGACGACAAAAGGTTCCGTCGCAAGCTAGTATTAGCGAGTGATAGCGTGCACAGCTCAGCGGGTGCAGAGTTGCTTCAGGATGTGGCGCTCTATGAGCCATGTATGGTGAGTACGAAGACATAAGTCTGGCGTTATTTGGGGAATTGACACTGATATTCCTCAGATGGACGGGACGCTCGTTTCTACGGGCGCAAAGACTTCTATGGGTGTCTCGTACGGTGGCCAACCAGGAGAAGGTGAAGCGCACCTTTACCTAACCGCAACGTATGAGCTTCGGATGCCGGATGTGGATCCAGCCAGCGAAAAGGCAGAAAAGAGCAGGCAGGAATATGCAAACCTCGCACGTACCATGGTTAACAGCAGCATTGAGAGCATGCGAAAGCTCAAGAAGGAGAACCGGCTGGATGAGTATGTCTGAGTTGTTGTTGGCGAAGTCTGAATCTCCGGCTGCCGACGGCGCTTAAGCCTTAGTCTTAAATCGATTTGAGTGATGACCATCCTCCACACTCAGGGCGCGCTTGTTGCATAGAAAATTATTTGTTCATTGCACTCTTGCCAGGACCGTACACAAGCACACCATGAGTCCCCTCTTAAGTAGTGGCCCAGACAGCCCGCAACAAGATCAAGTCATGGATGCACTCATCATCGGCGGCGGTTATGCAGGCCTGTCTGCCGCCCTCAGCCTAGCCAGGACTACCCACAAGGTGGCGCTTTTTGATGAACATCAGTATCGCAACGCCAAGGTAGATTGGATGCACACCATTCCAACCTGGGACTCTCGCGACCCTAAAGACTATCGGGCGGCAGTCCGAGATGAAATCTTGTCCAGATACGACACTGTGCAATTCGTTGACAGCAGAATTGAGCGTCTGGAGAAGATCCCGGACGGAGAGCAGAAGGGTTTATTCGCGGCTACCGCGGCGGACGGAAACCAGTGGGTTGGCCACAAGGTCATTCTCGCCTCTGGCTTGCAGGATGAGTTATTGGACATCCTAGGTTACGCGGACTGCTACACACGGGGCATGTAAGTGATAAAACACCCTTGGGTAGCTATATGGCTTTTCTCACCCTAGATGGCGTACAGATTTCATTGCATGGTTCATCGCGGAATTGAGGAGCGTGGCTGCAGTTCAGCGGGCATTCTCGCGGTCGCTGGTGATGCATCGGCTTTTGCTGCAACACACATCGGTGCCCAAGCGCGCAACTACACAGACAAAGTCACTATCTACACACATGGTAACGATGAGCTGGCGGCAGAATGCAGACAGAAGCTGCTTTCAAGCGGCTTTTCAGTAGACAGTCGCAAGATTGAACGATTTGAGAAATCGCCCAAGAGGGCACAAGTCATCATCCATTTTGAGGGCGGTGCCACCGTGACCGAGGGTTTCCTCGTCCACCGACCCCTGACCAAGCTAAGGGGTGATTTTGCAGAGCAACTAGGGCTCGAAAAAGAGGGACAAGCACTACTGAAGACGAAGCCGCCGTTCTACGAAACGAGCGTTCCTGGTGTCTTTGCCGCCGGTGATGTGGCAACACCGTTCAAGATTTCAACCTTATGCCTCGCAACGGGGGCGATTGCGGCGGCAGGAATTCAAGCACAGATCAATGCAATGAGGCATATTATTTCCACATAAGACTATGATGCAGAATGGTGTATTATCCCGTGGTCTTGTAAGGGCAATTCCATCATAGTGTTGGGAGAATTGGACAAATACCTGACCAAGATCAAGAGCATATATTCTACTACCTTTCAACTTCCTGCGGCGAAAAATAACAGCTCAATCAAAGTGATAACCGGGATTCATCTAGAACTTGCGCTACATCGTTTCTACATCGGGATAATGCTCACCTCTCTGCCATACTGGACACCAATGAGACGAGTGCGCAGAGCTCGTTACCGGTCGCCGAAACTACGCGCACCGTATATAACGGATCGGCTCCCTTATCCCCAAGTTTCCGTAACGCTGTCCTCCAATGGCTTACCTTAGCTCAACATAGAAGCCCCTTAATTTTCTTATTACTTTCTCAAGGTTACTACGAGGTTACTGATTTTATATAAATTTTACGACAGTAGCCGGTCAGATAGATCATTACGGCGGCCGCATTGGCTCAACTTTAGACGTCGCGCACCGGATCAGGTACGTAGTCTGTACAACCCTGTGCTGTTGGACAGGCCTGATTTCTAGGGAAAAGCTCCTCGTGACATCTTTTCCTGACATCTGACACTTCTTCCCCCCTTCCAAGGTCTCCAAGATGGCGGCCACAGCAGCTACGCCAACTGACCTGACACAACGGGCTCGCAAGCTTATCGACGAGGTGCATACGTTTCGAGCCGAGCTGGACCAGTACAAAGCTTCCAACAGCAAATCCAATGATGAAACATGTCCACTCCAGCCCGACCTCAGCTATGAAATCGTGGATGCCTCCAAAGCGCTCGTCCATGATCTCACCGAGTTGTACTACTATTGGATGGATGTTGCGTCGGGTTATATGGAAACGCAAGCATTCGAGGTCTTCATGCGCCTTCGACTGCACGAGAAGCTACCTGACTGTGGCGATATTTCTGTACAAGAGCTTTCCACCGCTGTGGGAGTCGACGTACAGCGACTCGGGCGCATTCTTCGTCTGCTCGTTCTGCGTTTTTGCATTACCCAAACTCGACCGGGCTACTTTGCACACGGTGCAGCATCTAGATGGCTAGTTCGCAATGGTAGCGTGGCGGCTTACGTGGAGACTGCCCTGGACATCTTCCAGAAGGCAGCGACAAGCTTAGCAGACACTATCCTTCTCGATCGTCCTGGAGAGATCGGCGATGGAACTTCTTTTACGACCCGATTTGGGGAAGACCTTTATTCGTACTGGAAAAAACACGAGAGCAAGATGCAACGTTTTCAAATGGGGATGCACGATAGACGCCTGGTGCAGGAGGCAGTGAACTCGTATCCCTGGGATGTGCTCCAAGGTAAAGTGGTTGACGTCGGAGGCGGCAATGGACAGATCGCCGTCCAGATCGCTTTGGTACGACGCAGAAGCAAAAGCCCATGTTCTCGAAAACCGCTAACGTCGGGACCACAGCTGAATCCACACCTTGACTTCGTCGTCCAGGACACCTTTGTCAACGACGACCGAGTGAAGTTGGTGAACAGCCTTGGACTTGAAGGCCGTGTGCGCTTTGAAGTACACGACTACTACCAGCCCCAAAGCATTACCGACGCGTCCGTATTCTTCATCAAGCACTGCTTGCATAATAATGATGATCAAAACTGCATCCGCATCCTCAAAGCCCTAGTTCCAGCGTTGGAGAACAGTCCGACCAACCCGGTGTTGCTTGTGTCCGAATATGTACTCCCTGAAGAGAATGACACGACTGTCTCGCGTGAGCTGGCAAGGCAGCTACACAATTGCGACGTGGCGATGATGGTGTTATTTAATGCCATGGAACGCACTGCGTCACAGTATCAGGCATTGCTGACTGCGGCTGATCCCCGACTGAAGGTAGGCGATGCACATTCCAAAAGATATTCATACTAGGATATTGGTGAAGCTGACAAAGCGCAGATACTGAAAGTACACCATGTCGGCAATGATCGCTTGTCGACCATGGAGATTAGACTAGATAAGAGCTTGCCCAAGAACACTGTCGATGGATAGACTATGCTCAATGAAAACATCTTGGAGAAAGTTAAGATCAAAGCCTCATAAAAACACAATCAGTCCCAACTGCACTCCAGGTTTGGTAGATTGCATCCAATCAAGTTGTCTGTAGATCTTTGACTCAGCTTGAGCCGACCGGTGCGCAAAAGCAAAGCGGCGACCGAACCAATAGAGTACCGATCTCTTTTAAGCATATCTAGAACCAAACACCTTCGTCTCCTGAATCTATGAATCAATACGATGGGAGTATCATGAGAGGTGCATAGGGGCACAGCTGAGCTCCACATAAGCGCCGATTCTTTGCAAAGCTCCAACCAGGCTTTTCGTTATGTTCGGCCCGACGATAATCATTCTGTTGGGGGTCGTCTTGATCCTTCTGGTGACACCGAAGAGCGGTAGAATCATTCGCCGATGGCTGGTGGCAGGCCTTTCATATATGATCCATGTAAGCATGCAGATAATCAAGTGCCGAACAAAGCATGACACTGAGCTAATTGACAAAACTTTTAGCAAATTCTACTCAGAGTTTATCCAGTCTACCATGAAGATGGCAAGACTCAAATTCCGACTGTGCCTTATCAGTGGCCCGACGGACAAGGAGATGTTGGAAAGTTTCTAGATGGTATTGAAAACAGTTCGGCGTGGGAAAAAGCAAATGGCCGAGTATATCGGATCTGGTCGGGCATGACGCCAGAAATGTAGGTGTTTTATTTTTTTTTTTTTAAAAAAAAAAAAAGAAACGAAACCGACGTTGAGACAAAAAGTTAACTGTGGTGCAGCGTCCTTGCTTCGCCCGATCATTTGAGAATCGTATTTCAAGACTCGGCGAAGCATGTTAAAGCCGCAAACAACAACTCTGGCTGGTTGATGAATCAAGTGCTAGGGGAATGCGTAGGTTTGGTGAGCAACAAGAAGTGGCGATGTCTTCGCGCTGCAACAGAGGCTCCCTTCACCCACAGCGCGGTGACTGCGTACGTTGATCGTGTGCGGCGGCGCATCGAGGAGTACATGACCTCTCTTGAGACTCACGGTCAGCTTCGGTGCGGCATTCTGGATCCAGCAGGCGATATGAAGATGCTGCCGTTCTTGGTCGTCGCAGAAATCATCTACGGTGGCATTTCCAGCGAGATGGAGGAGGAGTTGAGGGGGCTTGCACCCCTACGTGAAGAACTATTCCGCTACATAATCAAAGGAGGACTTCCGCGGTATAGCTGGTCGCGCTTTCTGCCAACAAGAGCCAATCAAGCTTTGTCGGTGTTCAAGGTGGCATGGGCGTCATTCAACGATCGTGCCGTGCAACGTGCCAGGGACCTGTCGCTGGGAGCGCCGATTGAGCAGATGTACGCAGCAGTAACTGCTGGCACAATCACGGCGGATCAGTTATACCAAACGCTTGACGAAAGCCTTTACGCCAACCTAGACGTCACAACGGGTGCACTCTCATGGAACCTTGTCTTCCTAGCCTCGTCGCCGGGGACTCAGCAGAGGGTGAGACAAGAAGTGGAAACATTCTGTCGCACCGGAACGATGCACAAGTACCTTCTTGATTCCAGCACGTACCTTACAGCCTGCATCTTGGAATCTTCTCGGTTGAAGCCGCTCGCTGCATTCTCTGTTCCGCAGGCCGCGCCTACGGAGCGTGTTATCGACGGCTACATAGTACCAGGGGGTACCAACTTCGTCGTCGATTCATATGCAATTAACATCCGTCATGAATTCTGGGGTCCCGACCGCACGCAATACCGACCAGATCGGTTCTTGCAGCTGGCTGCCAAAGATCTCCGCTACCACTTCTGGCGCTTTGGTTTCGGCAGCCGGCAATGCATGGGCAAGTTCGTCGCCGACCTGATGCTGCGAGCGTTGCTAACACACATGGTAACACATTTTGACACATGTCTGCTTGATGACGAGGCTGAGTGGCGGCGCGATACGGAGTCGTGGATCACGCATCCCAAGATGAAGCTGAGGTGCACAAAAAGGACCCAGAATGAAGGTAGAATCTAATACAACTACACAATGTGCCCTTGAGCTACAAATTTTGTTACGTAATGCTTCTATTTTTCGCCGCCGATGCTAGCAATGAGTAATATCCACACCGTTCGAATCGAAGTTTCGCGTGGAAACGCATAGATGTCTCTAGCCTCTTGTGGTTTGGTCTTTAGCCTTTATCATCCTCTATAGACAACGGCGTCCAGTCGCTAGAAGTAAAGTGAGAAGGCCAATGATTAACAGGTTATAAAGAAGCCAAGGTCTTAATGGAAAAAGTGGTTATTTGTTCCTAGATTGTTAAGATTTTGAATGACTCGGTTCTGTCTTATGTGGGATAGCATTCGCGAGCAACCTTCCTTCCAAGGTTGAGATATACCACTCAGCTAAACGAAGCTCAGCAATACTGTAGAGACATTCCAAACCCAGAAATATGTAGTCTACAATCCAGGTTTGATGCGTGCCAGAAGACAAGCGGAGTGGTCCACTAGGCAGTAAGGACGACCTTAGTGGAAAGGAAAAAAAAAATTTCCCACCTTCATGCCTTCGCCACCTTTCTTCGAATTTGCATGATGGCATTGGGATTGGTGGTGCACCGGATACCGTCGATCCACCGACTATCCTCGTGCTCGTAACCTGGTTTGACACGCACTTCATAGTGCATGAGAATGTGAGAGAGGACCACCTTTTCCATAGCGGCGAAAAAGATGCGTCCAGGACACGCACGGCCGCCGTAAGAGAAGTTGAGCTCGATCTGGCTTGTTGAGACATGTTGATGCTTGAACTCTTCACCAGGCTGCTCACGCATACGCAGAAAGCGGTAGGCATCGAAGCTGAACGGCTCTGGGTAGATATTTGGGTCAGTGTTGACACGGTCGGCGCTGACAGCTACTAATGTACCCTGCGGTATCGGCGGACCGACGGAGAATTGATGTCCTCGAGGCGGCACAATCTTGCGTTGCATTGCCACTAGCCAGGGTGGGTCAGCATACAGGGCGCGAAGTTTGCGAATCCCCATAGGGCAACTATACACTTACTCAATGATGGCGGATTGATGCGCTGTGTTTCTTTCATGAAGCTATCCATCTTCCGCATCTTGAACATGGCGTTCGTTGTCAGCTTCCCATCTTCCCCAATGGCCTCGAGATACTCCTGGCGCAGGTCCTCGCCGTAGATATGGCCGTATTTAGCCATTGTGTACAGAACATGGCTCAACCCACTGGACAGATTCAGCATCGACTCTAAGATGACGGTGATTTCATCTCGTGCCAGCTTTTTCGCCTTGGGCTCGCTGTAGTGCGGGATGATAAAGTCCAGCAACTCGCCGCCATCGGGATGAGTTTTGGCGTCCTTGGGCGCCACCGAAGGGCCTCCGTTAGCTCTCCAGCGCTCAATGTGCTCTTCAATAAGCGGCATCATCATGTCCTCGCACCGATTCCGCGCCTCTACCATGGCTCTGATACGCGGTAGGCGCTCCTCGAACAGAAAGCGGAAAAGCTTGGGCAACCCCCGCAGAGTCCCCACAGCGTTGCTTAGTGTCATCGCGAAAGCAAGCACAGACTCCACCCATTCCTTGTTGTGACTGAGAGAGCTCCCAAGGAAAGGCCTCGAGCTCAAAATGGCCGCCATGCGGAAGGTTGTGGGCCATAGGTGGTCCAGAGTGACCCAATCACTGCAGTCGCCGAAGCATTGCTGAAAAGCAAATTCCACGTCGGCAACGAAGGAGTCGATTGTGATGTCAAGATTTCTTGACATCAGGCGTATCCCTCCCTTTAGCTCGGGATTATCCTCGCCTTGATATGTATACTCACCCAATAAAATCTCGTCGGTATGTGCCTGAAACGAAGCTGCTGGGTTATTGAATAGCTCCGGAATACATTTGTTCGGAAAGAAGACCGTCGGCATTACCGGCAGCGGAATCTGATACGGTTCATCAGGATACTGTGGTTCGTTCGTGTTAGCACGCTGGCGGTTTCAATAGTCGGGCATTTACCTTTGTGTCTCCCTCACGGATAGCGGCTTCAAAGCTGGTGTCTGTTGGTTTCCCCACCACTGGAACACCGGGCACCAAGACCAGTGACGGGGTGAAAAGTGACCTCCACAATTTAACCAGACCGAATATAGTGAGTAATATGGCTATAACGCAGACCGGTGACTTGAGGAACGTGCTCATGACAATTTGACCATCGTTCTCACTATTTGGCCACTGCTGAATAAATTGGGGCTGGCTTGAAAATCGCAGCATATCACCGCGGAGCTTCAGCAAGACGTGTCCCGTGTTATGGATTAATTGTGAGGCCATACTGTTGGACAACTAGATTGTTTTTATTCGGGAGAACAGTATCGACATGAGAAGATTCACAAACAATGTGTTGCACATACGTGATCTTCAGCGCCCGATCCACAATCGTTAGCTGCGAGCTATAACTTTACAGTTGTAAATGCCCGTTTATGAAGCTCGGTACGCTGAACGAATCCCGTTGACAAGTGAGCCGGAGACTTTGAACCGGAGACTTTGAGCCGGAAACTTTGAGATGGAGACTTTGAGCCGGGCACCGATCGTCAAGCCCCTTCAGCGGAAACTTTTTTCAACCTGTGCAAGCAATCATAAGCACGATGGCTCTCATTCGACTTGTACCTCTTCCAACAGTCGCTATTGCGCTCTTAAGTTGCACCTTGGCCATCGTGAGCCATCAAAGTCGACTACGAGAAGCTCATTCACCTGCGATGGCTGGCCCGGCGTACGTATACGACGCCCTTGTGATTGGGGGGGGACCCGCGGGCCTGTCCACCGCCTTAGGTCTAGCCAGACAACTATATACCACGATAGTCTTCGATTCTGGCCAATACCGCAACGATCCGACGGAAAAGATGCACAATGTGCTGACATGGGATCATCGGCACCCGACGGAATACCGTGCAACAGCGCATGCCAACATTCTTGCTAGATATTCCACCGTCCAGTTTCAAAATACTTCCGTTGAATCCATCACAAAGGGAGCAGATGGCACTTTTGAAGCCATCGACAAAAACAAGAACAAATACACCGGCAAGCGGGTCGTTCTGGCCACAGGCGTCAAGGACATTCTTCTTGACATCCCAGGTTACAAAGAACTTTGGGGTCGTTCGATGTAGGTAGGGCCCAAAGCCACTACACAAACGCCCCTATGGACGTAATTAATTCTTGTCCTTCTCCAGATTTCACTGCTTGTTCTGCCATGGATATGAAGAGCGTAGAAGTTCGTCAGCAGGCGTCCTGGCACAGGGCGTCTTGGCCGATCCTCAGCTGAACTTGCATATGGCCCGAATGGTTGCTCGGCTGGCAGCAAGTGTCACAATCTATTCAAATGGCGATATCACCGTCACTGAACAGCTCGAGAAACAGCTGGCCGGCAAGCCCTTGACAATTGAGCCGCGGAGGATTACGTCATTGGAGCGCAAGGGCACCCGAGGCTCAGACATGACTGTGCACTTCGAAGATGGAAACAGTAAAGACGAAGTATTTCTCGTAAGTGGCTATCGGAGTACCAAGGAAAACAATTTCCATTTCTAACATTCTGCTTAGGCTCACATTCCTCGAACAGAGATCAACGGCCCGTTCCTGCGGCAATTGGACGTCGAGGTCGAGAATGGAGTTATCAAGACGGTTCCGCCTTTCTACGAAACCACGGTCTCCGGTGTCTTCGCTGTGGGTGATTGTGCGACGGCGTTGAAGACTGTCACTCAAGCAGTAGCCATGGGAAGCTTCGGTGCTGGAGGTGTGGCGCAGCAATTGGGAGGCTTGGGGAACTTGTAGATGGCTCCTAATGAGCGGGCCATTCTTATTAGCATGTTGGCGAAGGTTTTGCCTCGAGCACAATAGAACTATGCCTAGTGAGTGGTATGGCACTGTTGTGGATTACCATGGACGAGCTTCTGAGTGCCCCGGACAGAAGACTGGTTATATTAAGTTTGAAAAAGAAACCTCTCAATGTGATCTTCCTTCAGTGCCATGTCATGGACGCGGTGAACTAAGTCTTCTGTCGGACACCCCGAGCAGTTCAATGACGGTGAGAGGCAATACTGCTCTTCCGCCAGCCGCAGGATCTCTTCGATCCTTTGTCCAATTCGATGCAATGCCCCTGTTACGTGTTTTCATGTGGGGCACGGCCGCCGAAAAAGTGCAACCGCGGAGCCCGGTTCGCCCAAACCATATGAAGAGATGTGAAGACCACAGTAACAACATCTAACCCCCTTCCACTGACCTGTCACCGCAGCTCGCTTTGCTAAAGTGAGCATATTCGAGGATGGATTGGACACCTGCAGTGGTTCTACTGGTGGCGTTGGTGCTCACGGTATGCACCAGACGAACAGTCGCGAACATGTACTCAATCCACCGGCTGACACATCAGATCAGTTTACGGGCCGAATCTTGTACAACCTATTCTTTCATCCTCTAGCAAAATATCCTGGTCCACTGCTGCATCGGGCCAGCGTGTTGCCCAGCTTGTATTATGTTTGGAGAGGCGACCGACATCTCGTCATCTCGAGTCTGCATGAGAAGTACGGTACGGAGTAGCTCCAGCAATTTCGGGAGGTTGTAGCATGCTTACTGACTTGGCATGGCAGGGGATGTCGTACGGACCGAGCCCAATTTTCTCTCGTTCAATTGCGTGAAGGCAATTCCAGAGATATACGGTCCTCATGCAAAGTTCGGCAAGGTCCGTCGCCAATACATCCCGAGAACAGGAGCCAACACTGATCAATAACAGGGGACATTCTACTCGCGTGGGCCTCCGGAGAAACAAAAAGTGCAGAATGTTGCGAGCACAGTTGACAAAGTCGTCCACGGTCGAAAGCGCCGCATCATTTCTCCCGCGTTGAGCGATTCTGCTCTTCGTTCTTACGAACCGTTGATCATCAGCCAGATCGAGCTCTTTTGTAGCCAAATCGCGGACCCAAACAGTTTCGATGGACCATACAAGAACATGTCGAGATGGTTTACTTATCTGACTTACGACATCATGGGGCACCTCACATTTGGGAAAGGGTACAACATGCTGACCAGTGATGAACATCATTTCATTCATTCGTTGATAGATTATTTCCAGCGCCAGAATGCCCTGGTACGTCACTGATTTGCTGAGATCGGGCGCGTGAGCAATTGTTGACAACCATCCGGCCAGCTCGGCACCGCGCCGCTGATTGAGAAATTAGGTCTTGCACCATTACTATTCCTCAAAGTGATGCGAGGTGAAGCCAAATTTCGTCAGTACGTCGCATCTCAAGCACAGCATCGAATTGATCTTGAAGAAAGTGGCAAATCTGGTCATGACATCTTCAAACTACTGCTACAACACGTTGACAGGAAGACGAATGAGAAGATGACCTTCAAGGAGTTGGCAGACGAGGCCGTTGTGCTCATCATCGCAGGTATGGCTCCTTGAGCTGCATTCTTACAACATGGCCAGATGCTGACATCGGATGCACAATCAAGCCAGCGATACTTCGTCCACTGTCATGTCTGGGCTGGCGCACTATCTTGCCCGATATCCCGACTGTTTCGCGAAGTTAAAATCAGAAATACGAACGACATTTTCCCAAGTCGATGACATCCGCCACGGTCCGCTGTTGGCGTCTTGTTCGTATTTGAAGGCCTGCGTTGAGGAGGCACTGCGTATGTCTCCAGGAGTGCCAGGCTATCTTCCCCGTCAAAACGCCGAGCCAGCTGTGGTGGACGGACGAGTGGTGCCGGCGGGGGTGAGTTATGATTTTACTCGGTCAGGTCCCAACAAATGACCAATTTGTATAGGCACAAGTCGGTATACCGATGTGGTCAATGCATCGACGGGAGGACATCTTTCCGGAGCCTTGCGTTTTCCGACCAGAACGGTGGCTGGGCTTGACTGAGGAGCAATCTGAGAAGCAGCGTGCAGCCTTCATGCCCTTCAGTATCGGGCCCAGAGGCTGCGTGGGAAAGGGCATGGCTTATTTTACCATTTATCTCACCATTGCGCGACTAGTATTCTTATACGACATCGAGAGCCGGGAGCCAGTGGCCGACGAATTTCACGTCAAGGATCACTTTGCAGCTGGCGGAAAACAGGGGCCATTTCTGAAGTTTGCTGACCGGCGAAAAGAATAGACATCAATTTGAAAACTGGGACTTGTCTCGGTGCAGTTCTCCCACCGTTGTTGATCTGATCTATCTACTCAAGACTGTCGATACAATATTTCTTACCAGAATTACCTGCTGCTGATTTGGCGGTACCATGCCTTCAATCGACACATTTGGCGGTCTTTCTGCCAACGAGGACGGCCACTTGAGTTCATAATTCGTGATCAACTTGGCGAACACAAGTTTTGCCTTCAGAATGCCGAAGAATCGGCCCGGGCATGCATGCTTTCCGTAGCCCAGCCTGTTCCCAAATAGTTAGCTGAGGGTGAGCGAATGTCTCATCGCATGGGGTACTCACGCAAGGTAGGACGGTGTAACTGTAGTCGACAATACCTTTGTTTTGAATGAGCCGTCGGCCAGCCGATCCACGAAACGATACCCGTCAAACACACGGGGTGAGTGATAATTGTCTGGATCCATTTGGATAGCCAGGACAGGGAATGCGAAGCGGCTGTTAACTGGGAGCCGCATGCCGTCTCGGAACGTGAGGTCCACCTTCTGAATGGTGCGGGTGCAAGCAACTGAGGAGAGGTTAGTGATTCCACTTGGGCCACACGATCAGATTAGTGACAAAGGGCGCACTCGAGCCGGGAGGATACATGCGCACAGTTTCTCGAACAAAACTGTCAAGCAAAGCCATTTTGTCCATTGCCGCAGCATTCCAACCGCCTTCGGCGGCCAGGGCAGCTCTAATCTCATCACGCAGGGGCTCAAGATAGCCCGGATCCATCAACAGTTGATAGAGCATCTGCGTTGCCAGTGCGCCTGGTGCACTGTTCGCTGCAAATAGCAAGTGCAGGACGTTCTCCGCTATTCGCCGCGGCCAGATTTCTCGCGTATTGCCTGTTGCGAAGGCCGCGTCAATGGTCCACTGAATGGCATCTTCGTCGTTACCTTCACCCTTTTCACGCTTCCGGAGACGCTCTTGAATGACAGGCATTAATATCTTCACGCACTTCTCCAGCTCCCAGCGATGAAAGAAGGTCGTCCACCTCGCGAACATATTGCGCAGGGGTCCGAGATAAATGAAATTCGTCCACACCCCAGCAGGAAGAAGGGTGGATGAGAATCGCTGCGAGGTTTCGATATAGTCTTCACTGCGGCTCAACTCCTGTCCGACAAGAACAAGGTTCGTCACCCTGTGGACAATCATAGAGATCGCTTTTGCGGCGGTTATAGACTTCCAATCTTCATCAATCCTTAGCTTTCGGCTAGTATATATCTGAGCAAATTAACTTACCGTCCGATTGTCCCACCTCTACGCGAATAGCACAGTCAGTCTCCTGAGCTAACCTTGGAATCCACGCGCCTATACATTACGGTCAGCGAAACACAGGACTTCCTTCAGTCACGGACTGCCACTTGCTGAGTGCTGACTGCCCAAGGTGTTTCACCGTGACTTTTTCCATGATGCCTGCCAGATATAAGTCGCCCACTGTCGCCGAAATATTCAAGGCCTGCCAACACTGTTATCAGGATCCCCGTACGGTGAAAAGGTACGGGCTTGCACGAACATCAGAGAAGCTCCTTTCGAAACTCGCCTGCTGAGCATCACCACGTCGTAGCTCTTCGATGTACTTGGGCGGGAGCATAAGGTAATCATGACCGAAGAAGTCCAGCAAGAATGGCTGCTGTTTGGATTTGTTGACCTTTGGAAAAATTGAGTCTCCCCTCACATCTCATAAACAAGTGCCAATATGAATAAGGGCGTACCTTTTCGTAACCACATTGAGCATATTTTTCTAATTCATATCGCATTGGCTTGATTCCCGGAAGCCATGTGTACAACTTCGACTTTCCTATTCTCTTCACGGGCGACGCTTTGCAAATACCCAGGACACATAGACCGAAGAGCAGTACAATCGAAACAAGGAACACGAAGAACGCCATTTCAGTTCCTCTGCAGCTTTATGGTGTCAATACTTTGTAGTACGCGTATGATACCTTTCTTTCAAGTCTAATAGAAAGTCTAGAAGACGAGGAGCGCAAGGGTGGGCGCCATGATCTCTCGCGCCCTCGGCAACCGATCGGCTGCTCTGAAAGTGATGTCCGATCTACTACTCCTGATTCAAAAAACTCCCCGGGACTATTCATGGACCGCTCCCTATTCGTCATATTGCGAGGCATCCATTCCTTAAAAGTAGATTTCAGCGTGTACATGAGGCCAAACATCAAAGCTCCACGTATATCTTACGCCCATCCATGGAGCCACGCATCGAAAAGATGGAGCTATGTTGGCCGAAGCATGAATCCCGCGAGGTAGATCAGAATGAATATGGCCACGCCGGTCTATGGAAGTTCAGTGCCAAACTATTCTGTGATGCCGTATCAGATGCCAAGCCAAGTGTATTATCCCCTGATTCCAGATGGCGTCTATGTGCTGCGAGAACAGATAATAATCCAGGTCGTGCAGTTTACGAGGCAGCGTTCAAAAAAAAGGAGTGGAAGTGGCCTAGAGCTCATCCAATAAGCGTCCAAACAACCTCGGCCGATTATCGCCGCCTGAAGACGCCGTCACTGACTGGATCTCTCTTTTAATGGAGAGGTACTCTTTCTCCGACAGTAGAAGCTCCATTGCGTGCAGGATTCGCTGACATATAAGGTCAATCGAGGCTCCTGTAAAGCAGGCGGCATCATATTCTATACGCATAGCTAGATGCGCATCGGAAATAGCGTGCCATTCGACCATGATTTTGAATTTGGACCCTTCTGACCAGCAATAGTGCGGTTTGACGCCTGCCAGTCGCGGACGCAGTGACCTTTGGCTACTAAAATCATGGAAAGTAACCACAGCATCAAGTAGAGGATGGTTCGGATAACGAGGAGCAATGGACATGAGATCCAACAGCTGATTCCATGATACTGCATGACCGAAAGCAGCCTGTGAGGATCGTTGAACTACACGCAAAAAATCTTCATTGTTGGGCGGCTCCGCTTTCCCACCAGACAAGGTGCTGCCGAGTGAGATTGGCGGGTATTCCACCCGCACAGGGAGCGGCTCGAGGAAGAGGCCGACGGTCTGAAGGTCCTCCTCTGACCGACGATTAATGTGAGGCACACCGAGGATCACATCGGTGTGTCCTTCTTCATCTTCTGGAGCCAGGGCCAACGAAACAGCGGCCAGCGCGAGCTGTTGCATGGTCACTCGTTTGCGCAGAGAAAATGCCACCATGTTTCGCCATATTTGCTCGGGGAGTAGAGTTGCGAATGAGGTACCTCGGTAATCGCCCCTGGCCGGAGGGTCAAGAAAGTATCTTGCTGTCTCCGGTACACCGTTCAGGTATTTTGACCAGAACGAAAGGAAACATTCTGACGCAGGTGTCTTCCATAGCGGGCACTGTGTGTATGATTGCAGGATGGGCTGCAAACCTCTGCGCTCGTAGACATCCGACACCTCTCCGAGAAGGATTTGCATTGTTGTAAGGTCACAAATCATGTGACTAGCCACGATGATAAGCCGGTCGTTTGTCATAAAAACGCGAATTGGAGGGCTCCGGTCCAGCTTGAACGGTCGATTGATCTCCTGCCAGCAGTCAAGCGATCGTAACCGCTGCACTTGCGGAGCATACGCCGCAAATTGGCGTCGAACGCCTGCAGGACTGCACACATCGGCTACATACCTGCTCCGAAGAATGGGATGCCGTGCCATGACCGCATTCCAAGCAAGGCCAAGCCGGCTTATGTCGACGACAGAAGCATCTAGGGTGCAGACTAAACTGACGTTGAAAGCGGACGAGCTTTTGTCAAGCATATACTTGCTCCACCACTCGCGTTCAATGGGTGAGAGATCGCAGGCCTTCATCGGTCCACCATCGGCTGCGATAGTCTTATCAAGCTGTCTTAGAGTATCAATTTTTCCTGCGAGCACTCTCAGCGTCGGGCTCTCGATGATAGCAGGTAGCGGCACTTTCACGCCAAACTCTCGTGACAGCTTAAAGCTCAGCCGCAGCTGTGACAGGGAGTCGCCGCCGAGGTCAGAAAAGTTGTTATCAGCCTTGATGTGCGTGCCGGGATTTAGTTGAAGTGTCAACATCCACAGAGCCGCAACACGGCGCTCTGTGGATCCGCAAAGCTCGCTGCTCGGTCTCTCAGATCTTGCTGTCGCGGCAGCCGCGATGGCCTTGTAATCGAGCTTGCCAACTTTCGTCTTTGGAAACTCAGCCATGGGGATGATATGGCGTGGAAGAGCATGCGGTGGTAGAACTCCAGAAACGTTGCGGCGGAACGCCACCACATCAATAACTTCAGGCTTGACTGCCGCCACGAGATAGTCATCACACGGTGCGATGGCCACTGCCAGAGCGCTGTCATCGGCGCGCAGCATACGGGCTTCGAGATCCCCCAAGTCGAGGCGGAAACCACGGAGTTTGATCTGGCGATCCTTGCGACCATTATAGACCACCTCACCTTTATCATTCCAATATCCGTGATCGCCAGTCTTGTACATGAACTCATCGAGCCCTCGACACACGGTATCAGGGAGGAACCTCTCTTTGGTCGTATCTGTCATTCCAAGATAGCCACGCGCTACCTGAACACCAGCGAGGTATATCTCCCCAATAACGCCTGGTGGTAAGAGCTCCCTCCGGCGGTTGAGAATGTAGATGCGCGTCGATGGATTTGGCGGCCCAATAGTAACAGCATGCTTCGGAAGCAGACGCTTGATTGTTGCGCCGCAGGTCGCTTCGGTAGGTCCGTACATATTGTAAAGAGCTGTTGCGTTGCCCCAGACGTCAGCAACCTGCTGAGCTACTGGCTCGCCAACAAGATAGACCTCATCACTCTGTCAGCATCAGCGCCGATAACTCTTAAAGTCGCACTTACAGTTTTGAGATGGAGAAAATCTGAAGGATCCAGAGTCGAAGCCAGAGTCGGCGTCAATATGGTGGCATCGACGCGGCGTAAGTGGGCAAATGGATCATGAGGATCCTTCAGCACCAATGTTGCGCCATACGAAAGCGCGGAGAATATCTCGTGAATGCTTCCGTCAAATGCTACCGACATTGTCTGGGCAATACGCTGACCGGGTTGTGCGAAGAGCCTAACCTCGAGGTCCCGCTGGAACGCGACTAGGCCTTCGTGCGCACACAGGACTCCCTTGGGTTTTCCCGTGCTTCCAGAGGTGAAGCACAAATATGCCGTCCGCCGTGGCTCTGGATTTGCCCTTGGTGTCCATGCACTGTAGCCAACAGATTTGTTTAGAATGGTACTCACGGTGAGACGGTGACGCGCGGTATCTGGACAGAGATGTTCCTGGTCGGGGGTGTGGACAATGAACACCTTGGCTCCAGACGATTGATACATGTCGTCGCGAAGTTTTGATGGGAGAGTTGCGTCTAGTGCGCAGTACGTCCCACCCGCTTTCAGCACGCCATATATGGCCACGATCCAGTACATCGATCCATCTGCATTGACGCAAACAACCTCGCCATCCGCGATAAGAGGTTGAAGATCGGCAGCAATGCGAGATGCTGCGGCATCCAGCTCTTCATATGTCATTGTTTCCGACATGTGTTCCATGGCGATGCCCCTGGGATTCTTCTGGGCGGCTGACTCGAAAAGCGTGACAAGATCATCGACAACTGATGATCTAGTTGTCAATCCTGAGCAGCAGTTGCCGTACCCTCGAAGTAGCTGTTGGTTCTCAACGGTAGAGGCCGCCTGAATACAGTGTTCTACGGTAACACCAGGGCGACAGATGGATCGCAAAACCGTCTGGTAGCATATAGCAATATTTTGGACGTCTTTGCTGTAGAAGTCGGATTTCCGATAGTTGAATTCAATTCGGCCATAGGAGCTTACAACAACGCCTAACGGGATATCGGTGACTTGTCTTGTCACTGGCCACTTTTCTGAGTGCGAAGAGGAACCATCGTCTAGGTAATCGTATTGTACGGCCAGTGCAGATTTGAACGAGCGAGTGTATCCATTCTTCGGCGTGGTCCATTGGAAAGATGAGAGCGTAACCAGCTCGTCAAAGACGGTCTGAAGAAACTGGATTCCAGTCTGGTCCCGACGGACTTTGACATAGAGAGGCAGCGTATTCATGAGAGGTCCGACTGTCTCTGCAACGTGCGGAAGAGGTAGATCCCTGCCGGCCAGGACGGCACCTAAGCATACAACATCAGCGTCGCCATAGATGGACAGAACAATAGCCCACGCCGAGTAGAACATAGCTGCTGGAGTGGCACCGGATATAGAGGATATTTGTTTAAAGACGTCCGATGGGATGCCGGTGTCCACCGAGATATAGCCGGAAGAGTGGTCGGGGTCATCCGTGGTAGGACGTGGAAGAAGTAGCTCGCCCATAGCCTCTTCGGCCTTGGGCCTTTTGGAGGCCCAGAAGGCGTTACCACTTTCGCGGTGTGCTTCTCGATACTTATTCAGCGCAGCTGCGAGCTGTGAAAATGATTTACCCGGAGTAATCACTTCTCCCGCTGCGGCTCGACGAACCTTGTCAAACACGAGTGTTGCTGCGAAGCCGTCGATTAGTGCATGATGGACCGCCCATTGTACTGTGCTGCTACTACCCCCAGTAGATCGGTTTGGGTACGTCGCGACACGAAATCGCGAGATCAGCTCGACTATCGGGTGTTCGACATTTTGACCAGCAGAATTTGTAGCGCTCCACGCGGGATGACCCGGGAGAGAAGGGTCAAGAGCAGCTCGCGCTTCGTCCTCGCTAGGAAATTTCACTTCCTGCCAATCGAACTCTGGCCCCTGGGCCGATTCCGACGCATGTTGTGCATCGCCGTCCAAATGGAGGCGAAAGATGGGTTCAAGCTCAATGACGGTTTTCCAAGCTTGTTTAATTTTTGGGAGGTCCCTGCTATCGTACGTCTGGAAATGATAGATGACGTTGGTGTTTCCCGATTTGAGGCTACCGTGAATCAGAGTAAGCTGTATCTCCGTCAAGTCCGACGCATGCTGGATGCTTGGAGGAGCTTCGCAGAGCTCTTTTGCCGTCTTGTCGGGTAACCAGCTAGGTGCTGATGGAGGACTTGGACTTGATACATACCCTACGACCTGGTTCTGGGCTGCGTCGGAGTTTATAAGTTCAGCGAGCTGGTTGATTGTGGAGCTTTTCAGTATCGTCGGCACAGATACATCGACTGCGTCGGCCTTACAGCGTGCTGCTAGCCGTAGAGCAGCCATTGAATGTCCGCCATTGTGCACAAAGCCGCTATCTGGGTCAATAGACTCGCGAGGTACGCCCAGGACGTCTGCCACCAGGGCTAAGAATTTCTCCGACATGTCGAACGGGGGCTCGATGTGCTGCATCACGACTGTAGAGTAATCGAGCCGTCCGTCCGGCTGAGTTAACACAAACGCAAATCAAAAAGCTCTGAGAAGCCCGGTGGCCGATCGGGAGTAGGCAATACACAACACATATGATTGCTACCAGAATTGTGCAACGGTATTGGCCTGCGCAATATTACGATGAAAGGATGAGGTGAACATATGGCGAAACAACACACGAAGGCAACGAATTGCTATTTCATGGTGTCCATCTGGATGGTCTTGACAGAAGGATTACGCCTGCAATCTTGACAGCTAGATGTATCCGGCGCCGAAGGTTGATCGGAAACCGCTCCGTGTGACGTTCTGGCAACAAGCGGCCCGAAAGTTGAAAGGGGGCAACCCTATGGCGGTCAGTGACTCAGCAGCCGTGTACCATGCTTTGACTGTCTGCGCAAAGTAGAGAAGCACATTACTCTCTTTAGAAACATCAACCCAGCCCAGTGACGACAAGATGGTTGAAAGCCACGACGATGTCGTGGATACCCTCATCATCGGCGGGGGCCCCGCGGGACTGGCAACTGCATTGTACTTGGCTCAGTATCTGAATTCAGCCATTATCTTTGATTCCCCCCAGCATAGCAAGCACGCCATCCGTACGCACGCGGTGCCGACGTGGGACAAACGCACACTAGCCGACCTGTGTAAGGCCGCGCGGAAGGAGATCGCGAGCCACTATTCTACAGTGCGCTTCGAACAGCGCACCATTCATTGTGTTAATAAGCTCACTTCCTCTTATTTTGAAGCCCGCGACGCCGAAGGCCGGCGATGGTACGGCAAAACTGTTGTTCTTGCAGTTGGTGTGCGCTATCTACTCCCTGACATTCCTGGATACGACACATGTTGGCTGGGGGGCAGTTGTCAGTGTCCCCACTGGGGAGGACGCAGTACCCTCGATCATCTGCCAACCGCTGGGGTGCTAGCAACCGGCGAAAACATGACTGCTGAGCAGGCAGTTGCGGAAGCATGCATGATCAGACGCCTAGTAGAAAACGTGGTCATCTACACCGACGGCAATTTGGAGCTCGCAGTGGCGATCGAGGCATCTTTGGCCACAGCCAATATCGGCAAGGTATCGACAGATTCACGTCCCATCGAGAGACTGAGCAAGGGGATTAAACTAAATTGCCTGACCGTCGAGTTTGGCAACGGTCCACCAAGGCACCAAGGGTTTCTTCTACATAATCCCAAGACAGAGATTGACGGTCCATTTACTCGTCAGTTAGGTCTGGAGCTGACCGAGGATGGTGCTCTGAGGACTGAAAAATATGAGACAAGCATTGAAGGAGTGTTTGCGGTGGGCGACTGTGCATCCACGTCGAGGACGATTCTCAATGCCATGGCAAGCGGTATGGCGGCCGCAACACGAATCACGGCTCAATTGCAACAGAATCGATAGTCACACCATCGATCCTTCAAAGTTGTCTGATTCTTGTCTGCCGGGCAGCGTTTCTAGTGGCACGGAGATATGGCAGCATCCACCGCCTTCTAGTATGCTTATTGAACCTGAGAGAACAACAGTATTGTACATGGAACTGCTCGTAACATTCAATTTATTTTATATTTCGATTTCTTAACTCAATGCAATTCCCTCTTCTCGCCGTCGAATCATCACCCTGGCTGTCGGGTCAATCATATTCTCTGTACTCCAGGTCATCGTCTTGGGCCTATTCTGTCCTTCAGGCAGTCTCCAGTCGTACTTCATCAGCAAATGACATAGAGCAATCTTAATCTCGTTGACGGCTAGAAACCGGCCAGGGCATGCGTGGCGACCATGGCCAAAGCCCAAATGTTCCACACTCGTCACTGCCAACTGTGCTTTCACATCTGAAGGGTTTTGCTCACGTATGCGGAGGAATCGCCATCCATCAAACTGGTCTGGGTTAGGATATATCAGACGATTCTTCATAGTATCCATCATCGGCACAATCATGCTACTACCTTTGGGGATCACTGTACCGTCGGACAGCTTGACGTCGTCCGTCGCATACCGCCGGATAGTCACTATGGACAATTAGTCGGTATATTGAGGCTCATTACACCTTGAACACATACCAAGAGAATTGGGACGTAAACGCTGCGTCTCCTTGACGAAACTGTCCATCTTCTTTAGCTTGTGCAGGGACGCCTTCTTCCATTCACCTGCTCCTATGACCTCCATAATCTCCTCACGCAAGCTAGGCACGTACTCTGGAAAAGCGCAAAGATCCAACAGAACCTCTGTCAGAAGTGATGATGTGGTGTGAATAGCGACGAGGGACAGCAGCAACTGTCCCAGAACAACGTCGAACGGCCGGCCGCGAGCGACTTCGTCCATCCAGTCCAGCGTGTCTTTTCCTGGCGGAATCTTCTCGCCTCTTTGAAGTGCAGCTTTTTGCTCCCGCTTTCTCCGACTAACTTCCGGTTCAATCAACTTTCGAGCTGCCCGAAGACCAGCCTGGAGCGCCCGGCATTCGGGAAGGAAGCGGTTCGCCAAGGGTCGCAGAAATGCCGGCCATTTATAGAGTGCTTGCAAGGCGTGCATGGCCTTCATCGTGTATCCCACCGACATCTTCAGCCATTCTTCGTTGCGGCAGTATTCGTCTCCCATGAAAACACGAGCGGAAAGACGGGCGGTCAAGTCCAGTACCAGGTTGGGGAGTTCAAACTCTTGCCAGTCTGACCCATCGTTAAACTATAGGCAAACAGCCTCTGGGATTGCTTCTTACCCTTACGCTCCCCGAAGAGCTTGTTTATTGCCCAAGAGGTCTCCGCAGATAAAGCCTCCGTGATCTGACCAAGAGACTGTGTGACCTTTAACTTGATAGTATCTTGAAAGATATCGTGCTCCATCACTCCCTTGAACGGGTCGAAGCCTGGATAAAATGCTAGAAATTGCTGATAGCGATTCAATTAGAACAAGTCATTTTGGTGGTTAATGTGACAGACTCACCCGCGCAATCTCGTCGGCAAAACTCAAGCTCTGGTTACTCTTGATTTCTTCTACATACCGAGCTGGAACGACGAGAATAGGACCAGTGCCGATGATGACTTGGAACACTCCATTGCACTATTTCCATGATTAATAGTGGGCCTGCCAGCGTTCCATGAAAGTGCCACAAAACCTGTTCTAGCCCCTGTTGTAGGATTTCCTGAGACTCTTTCGCGAAACGCGCACTTGCCTCAGCATAGTTCAATGATTCTTTATCTGCTCCAACTAGTGGGATTCCTGAATAGAGTTTCTTTTGACGAAGCCGTGAGAGTCTGTATCCAATAAATATGATTCCAACGACCACTACGAACAGGCTCAAACTCCCATCTCCATGCCAAAATGCCATCTTCTGTGGGCTAAACATTGTTTTCGAATTACTTCAGAGCCGGCGGAGATAGATCAAATAGATAGGCATCCTCATAACCCAACCAGCATCCATAGATTGAGGTGATGTTCGGTCACCGCCATAACCAATGTCCACCTTCCGCCACAGTGACCTATCGGCAACCGACCCATATGTAACTTGAGACAGAGAGGAACAAAATGCTAAAAAGAAAAATATTTATCTGTAACATAGACAAAAGTTGGCTTTTCGAGGAATTGTGCCACTGGTGCACAATCACTCCATGATGGAGAAATACCGAGACCTGAGTCGTGCATTGGAGAGCTTTCAAATGCAACCGATGCACGTTCAGGGCAGCATAGGGGCGCTTTTACTACTCACACTTGTGACCGTGATTGTGGTCTCATGGCTAGAGCGGACGAGCAAGGAAAAGGTCGATTTCCCAATCGTGGGCAGCACCGAGGTCAAAGATTTTCGGCCAATACTAGAGGAAGGGACCAAGCGATACCCAAACAGCCCGTTCATTATCCCTACCACTATGCACGACATTATCGTACTTCCGATATCTGCGGTGGAGGAAATCAAGCGTTTGCCAGAATCGCAGATCTCACTACGGTATGTTGCTGACAGATTACTTGGATGAGAACGACTGTAACCAGTTACCACAGAAAACATCACTATGAAGTGTTCCAAGGCCAATATACCAAGTTTGGCACAGACACCGACGAGCTGGATGCCGCCATCCGCATTGACCTAACGCGAAGAGTGGACAAGATACTGTTGGCGTTCCAAGATGAAGTAGAATACGCTTTTTCTGTGGCTGTTGGTACTGCAGAGACGCCGACGGCTGTTACTGTCTACCCCCGCATGTTGAAAGTGATCGCCTTGCTCAGCAGCCGTGTCTTCGTCGGGCTCCCTCTAAGTCGGAACGATGAGTGGCTCAAGACGGTCTGTTCGTACTCTATGGCCGTCGCGAACGGGGCGCACAACCTTGCACCATATCCGGCGTGGATCCGACCAATTATAGCCCCGTTCATGCTTACCGAATTGAAAAGAGCACATGCCTCCGCAGCTGAGATGCTCGGTCCCATTTTAGCCAAGTACAAGGACGCGGACATGAGTAGTCAGAATGTGGAAAACCTGGCCGGGAGTGAGGGCGGCGACTTCATCGGTTACATCCTCTCGCACTACAAGCGCACTGTGACTCCTGAGCAGCTTGGGCTCGACCAACTCATCGCCACCTTCGCTGCACTGCATACAACCACTATTGCTCTCACACAAGTGATTTTCGAGTTGGCTCAAAGACCATGTTACGTTGAACCACTTCGAGAAGAGATCTTCACCGCCCTTGGCAGTCGCGAATCTCGCCTGCCGCAGTTCAACAAAGACACGATCCACAGTTTGAGGAAGATGGACAGCTTCATCAAGGAAACGCAACGAGTCAATCCGCCTTCTTTGAGTAAGTTTAAGCCTAAGTGGGCGACATGAAAGAATCGGGGTCAATTTCTGACGCCTTTTAGTAACGATGCACCGTATTGTCACTGACCCGGAAGGATTACGGCTGAAGTCGGGTCATCGGATCCCTCTTGGTCATCATATTGGCGTCCCAAATCATCTCGGCAACATCTCTCATCCGGATCAGGACCAATTTATCGGTTTCCGTTGGTCTGATATGCGTGACCAGCCAGGTCAAGAGACCGCACATCAGTGGGTTACAACTGGTCTCGGCCACCTCAATTTCGGTCACGGTAGTCACTCTTGTCCAGGCAGGTTTTTTGCAGCCAACGAGATCAAAGTTGCCCTATCCTACGTCTTGCTTAATTATGACATCTGCTATCCCGAAGGTGAGACCAGGCCCGAGAATATTCACACCAACACCATTGTATTACCATCGGAGTCGGCTCAAGTCTTGTTTAAATACAAACGGCGAGACGAATAAGGCCGAATCGGATACACTAGAAGCAGCGGTATTTGTGTCGGGGCAAGTCCCATCAAATAGTGGGATACCCAGTACCCAGAAGGGGGCTTCAACAGAATGCCAAGGTCTAGAGTTGTTGCGACTCTTGTTGCGCGCGCCCGTCAACCATCGAGGGCGTCCATGATACCTTGTGTGCTCCAATCTATTAAGTTGCCGCCAGGAGCGAAACAGTCAGAACACATCTTGTGCACCTAGGGTTCAGCGAGCGTTCTCGGGAGGTATTCTTCATGTGCAGCGCGTACTCTCCGTTTCCGATCCTGACCCCAAATTGTCATACGGCCCGGGCAGCAACTCTTTTGTGTGTTAATTGAACAATCAACGTTGTGACGTGCTGTTTCACCGACATGTTCTACTCATCACTTCTATCTAGAGTCGCATCGAGACCGACTTTAATTGCCGGCCGATTTGAAGGAGAATGCTTCCAGCCTGCAACGAGTGATCACTCTTTGCACCGCGCATGTCCTGAAGGGGTTTCCAAAGCCGCTTTACCGCACGCAGTCCATTGTCAACTTCCTTGCGGAAGATGATGCAGAACAGCTGGCGCTGATCGGCAACATTGAGCTCGAGTGCGCCGCATCCCATTACCGGAAGAATCATCCGATTAGCGGCGTCCGGCGCCTGAATGCTCGAGGCCAGCTGTCCGTAAACCTCGGCCACGTGATGTAATAGCATAATACCAAAGCAGATCAACATGTCCAGGGACAGTTTTCGCCCAGCTGCGCCGTTGGTATATGTATCGATAAGCTGATGTAATTGCATTAATGTCGCCTTACAACATGCCAGAGCCTTGTCAACGGATTGTATTTGTCCTTTACAGAGCTGCATTAGCTCGCACGCGTTGCTCATCCAGCAGAAGTCACAACGTGAGTCCCCTGTCGGCGTCGTTGGAGCTGTGGGCCCAACGGATGTCGGCTGTGCGCCGCACTCTTGCATTTCAAATTCTGTGCCCAAGGTGAAGTCGAATGGTGAGCCCAAACCGCCTGCGGACAGAGAGCCAAAATTGAATGGACTGGACAGACTAGGTGGCTCATTCACGCCCATATCAAAATCAAAAGGTGAGGCCACAGATTGAGAGGCCGCCAACTCCGGCAGCCATTGTTCCGGCGTATAGTCAGACGTTGGCTGGATGGTTTCATTGGCGGCACTGTTGGGCGGCTGATTGGCACGGAAGCTGTCCAGCGACGTCGCCAAATTGCAGCTCGGCGACTGGACCTTGGCACTGTCTATCCGATCTGTGGATGTATTCAGCGGCGAAGGGTAGACCGTAGCCGTGGGGTTAACAGTATTGTCGGGTTGTTCAAGGGGTGTGGCAGCCCTAGTGGCTGAACTGTTGGATGACGAACGGTCCTGTGGCGACACTTCTCTGGTGGGCACTAGCCTCTCTTCGGCATCAGAGCTATCAGGAACCTGCCTACGACGGACCCCTAGCTCGTTGTCAGTCGGGATATCGAGATTCTCATGGCTGGGCAACACGACCTTGCACTCGTCCGACCATCGAAATGCTATACTCGCACGAAGCGTCAATTCTAATGCATCGGGCGCACGGTTGCTGTCCGTTGCACCTGACCTATAAATCACGACATTCAGTGTTCAATACGAACACCCACCCAGACATGGATCCGGAACGTACCTTGGCACTGTGGCAGTTGTTACAAGCTGTCCGCAGCTTCGGCGGCCTTGAGGACGAGAAAGCTCCAGGTTGTCCGTATGAGGCACTCATGCTAGCAGAGACCACGTACAGTGTCTTTCAGCGTCCCTCGCAGGCTGTGCGCTCCGCCCGTGCACCGGTTGCCGTGAAGAAGGCTTGACATCAAGGCTTATATACATTATTTGCAGTTTATGTTCCCGAATTTTTGGTTCTCGTGAGAAAGCAATGGATTTCTTGTTCCAAGACTTATATGAGGACCTTGAGATTTACAACTTTGTTGGCCGCCGAGAAACTTCAATTCACGCTGTTGTGCCCTCGCGTCCAACGAAAGGTGCAGATTAGGGAAAGCCGCGCGAACATCTAACATGAACGGTTCAACGGATATAAGGATAGCTGCAGCTCCCTGTAGCAATCTTCATTGGCCATGGCTTGCTACGCCAACGGCAAAGAGCCCTCGTATTTATGCAGCTTCGCCTACCCTGGTCGAGGGATCGCCCTGGGCCCCGCAATTTACACAGAAGAGGCGGCGCCCTAAGACATGGCTGGGCCTTGGCGTCAAGCCAGCCCTTTTATGGTATTCAAGTTCCCACCGGTACCATAACTAGTCAGTATGATAGACTTTTACATAATGTGATTTTTCAGCCAAGACCGATTGTAATGACCACCGAGCCTGGGCGTAGTCTTTGGAATGACAAACTTTCTTTACTCCTCCCAAAGCCCCAAAAGACGGCCACCGTTACCATACCTTTCAAGCCCCACATCAGTAGTAGTTTATGGAGCCTGCGAGTAATCTCATGAGGGGGTCGCAGTTAGGCGAAATCGGATTACAATAAAAGAATAGATTTACTCGGGTGCGGGGGATTGGGCAAGGAAAATGGTAGTTTTGAAATCGTATTTCTCACATCCGATGGTAAAGCACTATAGTACCTTCTCAAAGCCAACCTCCTATAAAGTCTCAAATATCGTAGTAGTCGCTTTTTGAGGGCTTTAGCTCGTTTCCAAGCATTGTTTCAAGGCGTAGCCTCCCTTGGCATTTGCCTAGTGCTCAAAGACAATACTATGTATAGACTATCAGATAGAGGACAACATGTGATTCTCTTCCCAAGCACGGGGTGGCTACCGGCCTTTTCAGAGCTCCCTCATATTCGACCTCCTACACAAATAATGGATCGCCACGTTTCATCCGCTGCAGGGCTCCTCAAAAAGGGGCTACTTGTAGCTAACCCATCGGCAGCCGATTCAGTAAGCTTAACACCGACACTGAGCCACAGACTTTTTCTTTCGCTGCCTGTGGGTAGAATGATGGGACGTCGAATCCATTGCTCTGATGTGGTGAAACATCTGATCACATCTCCATCTCGATTATTGTGCCCAATGACTTTGCAAACGCTAACCTCATTGCCATATGGCAGCGCCAACATTATGTGGGCGGTCGGCTGCACTCTGCTACTATTACTAGCATATTCTTACATCCATTTCGTTAGACCATCAACTGGAAAAGTGCCTTCCCTGGGCAAGGTAACAGATCGCAACCTTGGAGACGCGATCTTGCGTGGCTATTCCAAGGCAAGTATCTTCTGGCTCGAGCTTGGGTTTGAGAGATTGAGCCTGACAACAGCATCATAGTATCCGAACACCATTTTTTCAATCCCTACTGAGCGCATTCCCACTCTCATCATTCCCCGCAAGTTCTTACCAGAAATTGGAAACTTGCCCGAATCGCAGGTCAGCCTGCACAGAGAAGTATATGAGCGATTCATGGGCAAGTACACCAGAATTCTTAAGAGCCACCATCTAGAAAGCTTTGTCCGACATAACCTGGTGAAAGATATTCGCCACTATTTTTGGGTTGTGGACTTGGAGACCAAAAGCGCTGTGGACAAGGCATTCAGTGGCCAAGGTTCGCGTTCCTCGACTCCACCTCCAACCATACTCGCCTGGTCTGACCGATTGTCTCATAGATTTTTGTGACTGGAGACCCATTGCCACCTTCCAGATGATACTCGGCCTCGTTGCATCCGTCAGCGAGCGAGTCTTTGCTGGGCCAGAACTTTGCAAGAATACCGAATGGGTACGTCCAATTGACACGTAAGATCGGCTTCCCCCAACCTACTCACCTCTTGATGCAGGTGAAACTTACCATAGACTGCGCAGTGGCAACAGCGCAGCTAGCTGCCTCCATGACATCGACCCCATCTTGGTGGCGCCCGGTAAAGGCATTGTATTGCAATGAAATGAAAACCATGGATCGTGCGTACGTTCGGGCGGCCGAGTTGCTGGCGGAGGACGTAGCAAAGCGACATGGTGCCTCTACGCCACCGGACCTGATTGATACCATGCTGAAGGACCCCTCAGTCCAATCGGATGACTTTGATCTGCTGGCTCGGATTCAAATCGAAGCGGCCCAAGCTGTCCACTTTAACCTGGCTTTCTCGGTCAGTTCCGGTCTCTGAGATCCATAGGGCCAGCGGGACTTACTGATAGATTCGTAGCTCATGCACGCATTGAACGACCTGGCGACACATCCTGAGTACTCAGAACCGCTTCGTAAAGAGTGGGATGAGATGTTGAGGAACAATGACGGTCATCTGACTTATCAGGCCACCACTGAGATGAGGAAGCTGGACAGTTTCCTCAAAGAATCCCAGCGGCTGCATCCTCAGTCCCTCGCCAGTGTCAGTCGATGGATTGTCTCGGCGATCACACTATCAGACGGGACAGTGCTACCCAAGAACAGCTCAGTTTCGGCGCCGACATTGGGGGTGAACCTGGATCCGTCGCTGTGGCAGGACCCGGAGATGTTCGATGGCTTCCGGTTCGAGCATCTGCGCGAGAAAGGTGGTAATGCCAATGAAAACAAGTATCAATTTGCGTCGTCCAGGTAAGGCTTTTGCTAGATGACGCTGAATCAATGGCAGCTGAACCGTCACACTAATGGTGCACTACATCACAGTCTCGACGAGCTCAACTTCGGATACGGTCAGCATGCATGCCCTGGACGATGGTTCGTGAGTATGCAATCAAAGCTGACTATTGGCTACATCTTGCAGCACTATGACTTGAAGATGGGGGTGGGCAGTCATGCTGAAAACGTTATAACAGGGATACGAAACACTCCAAATTTGGAGGGCAAGCTCTTCTTCAAAGCCAGAGAGAGGTCGACACATGTGTAAAAAAAAAGAAATATTAATGATAATAAACTTCGTCTCAGTAAAATAGCATAAACCAAGGGAAAATATGATGGAGCCGATGCAACCTTTGTCCTCACGCGGTGATTGATGGGGTACAAGACTTTGGGCAAAATTGTGGGTCAAGTGAACAAATTGGCAAAGTATTGACCACTAAGGCTACCCCTTTACATCTAGGGGTCTGAGGGGTCTACTACGTACAATCCAGTGGAAGCGCGTATCTCCCTCAGCCACTGTAGGGGACTACACAGTGTTCTCCAGCTGTGGCATCCCAGGTTGTTTGTGTAGATTTTCTTGGCCGTCTCAATCACCAACAGGAAAGACCGGATTTATGGCACCCGAGGTCCTCTCTTACCGGTTACCGGCTTTCTCCTCGCCGACATATGAGAGATTATTAGCTAGAGCCTGATTGCTAGATACATACCCTATTAGAAAAGACAGGTGTACATTTCGAAAACGACAGCACTCTTTGAACAAGCTGTCTAATTCCTACTACATCTATGACCAATGCGGACGTCGACAGCCAAGCTTTCGATGCCCAACGAAACCGATGTTCCAGCTATCTCGATAGAAGCTGTCTTCCTAGAGAAACCAACTCAGGATGATAAGCACAAAACTCCTGAACCGAACAGCGACGTCGCTGAAGCGGCCAAGCCGGTTTATGACTTTCGCTTCTGGGTTGTATTCGCCATGCTCATGCTTTCTGGTGCTATCACGGCACTTGATTTTACCATTCCAGCCGTCGCACTACCCAGCATTGCCCGCGAACTTAACGCCGACGCTGACTATGCTTGGATATCTGGTTCCTTTGGCGTATCGTCAGCAGTGGCTCAGCCATTTTACGCCCAACTTGCCGACAGTTTCGGGCGCAAGCCGGTCATGCTTACCTGCATCGCCATCTTCACGCTGGGAAGCGGTCTTTGCGGCGGAGCGAACTCGTCTGAAATGCTTATTGCTGCTCGCACCATTCAAGGTCTAGGTGCGGGGGGAATGATGGTGGTCACGGACGTCATTTTCTGCGATATTGTGCCACTTCGCGATCGCGGTCGATACATGGCGATGCTGATGTCGCTATCATCAGTGTTGATGGCGGCGGGACCAGTCATAGGCGGCGCGATCGTTCAACAGACCACCTGGCGCTGGGTGTTCTACCTGCAGCTGCCTGTGTGCGGCGTGACGCTCGTGGCACTCTCTTCTTTCCTCCGCTTAAACCACAAACGAGACAAGAACTGGTGGAACAACGTGAAACGGCTAGATCACATCGGCAACGCCATCTTTTCTGGCTCGTTGGTGCTTTTCCTCGTCGCACTACACCAAGGGGGACATTCCAATGTCTGGAATAGTCCCCAGGTCATCGCTCCGTTGGTCATTGGCGGGGTGGGCCTCATCTTATTCATCTTCTATGAGCGATCCAACTGCTGCGAGCAGCCCATGATGCCAAAGGTCATTTACAGCACTCGAACCGGTGCCAGCGCTATTCTCATCACACTTCTTGCCTGCATGTTAGCAGTTTGGGTCCCCTATTTTCTTACCGTCTATTTCCAAGCAGTCAAACAGATGTCCCCAGGGCGAACCGGTGTTTCTCTCCTACCGCAGTCCGTGGTCATCCTTCCATTTGCCATGATTGGTGGTTCGCTACTCTCTAAGTTCGGAAAATACAAGCCTATTCACTTTGTTGCACAAGCGGGCATGTCGATCGGACTGGGCCTGTTCACGATGCTGGACGATACGACGCCAGTCGCTGTCTGGGCTGTCTTCCAGATCATCTTCGCCATGGCTTCCGGCCTCGAGCTGGCCGCCCTTTTACCCGCCGTCCAAGCACCTCTTCCAGAACAGTACGTTGCCAGTTCCACTGCCCTCTTTTCGTTCATGCGCAGCGTGGGCAAAGCATGCGGAATTATTCTTGCATCTGTGATTTTCAATTCCCAAGTCGAACGGATGGCTCATACCGTGCCGGACGAGTCTCTGCAGAGGCAATTGCGTAACGGCGGCGCGTTTGGCCTGGCGTCTCCAGAGTTCATCCAATCCGTACCTGCCAATTTACGCCCGGCAGTTCTGACTCTCTACACGAAAGCACTGTCATACACGTGGTATGGAGGGTTGGGCATTGCATTGATCGGCTTCCTCTTTGTATTTTTTGAAAAGTCTATCCCGCTACGGACCACTTTAGAAACAGAGTACGGATTAGCGAGAAATGAGAATCAGAGAGACTAGCAGTGTTCGCGGAGTGGAGATATAGCAGGTGCACAGCGAAATCGTGCCAGATTTAGTCCACCACCATCACGAATGTGTGTATGTAGGCTACATCCAAGCTTGAACAGCTCTGTCTTCCATTTCAACCAGTGTCACCGTTTGTCGAGTGCTCTATAATAGATTGTTTAATTGTAGGCATCTTTTTCACCCTTTGTTTACCAACAACATACTCAGTGCCTTTCACTACATCACTCATGAGTAGTTAGAAGGACAGTGTGAACACTCTCTGCGAACAAGGGATCATGGTACGATGAATATGATATACGGCTTCTTCAGCCGGTTCGTGATAATAGGATTGATAACATTAGCTACACTGAGATTAGCCGTGGGACCACATTACTCCAATGCCACGACGAGTTCATGGTGGCGATCAATATTGACGCTTCACCCTGACTTCGATCATCTAAAGCTTTGCGTCGTTCACCGAAATAGAACGAATCTGTTCGCCGCTTACAGAGTCGGATCGTGGATTGGGAGACTCCGCCTCAAGCTCTTTCAGCCTCTGCGCATCCGCCTCCTCAAGATTTACATTCTTCAGGAAAAACATGATGATAATCATCAATGCCGTAATAGCAGTCCCTGTTATGGAGAGAATCCACTCGGTTTCGCGATAGCTCCGATTGATGGCCTCACGAATCGGCTCACCCTCTGGATACTCCATGGCCGTTTTGAACGATTTGAAGATTGCCGGAATTTGTGATTGAGCGCTCAGTGGAAGATAGGCTTCAAGCTTCCGTGGAAGGTATTTGTTCCATATAACACCAGAGATGCTGTACCACCAGTTAGATTCTGAGGTTCTTTCAAACAGGAGAAGCTGGGCTCACTCACGCGATGCCAATAACTCCGCCAATACTCTGCATGGCGAAGAATACGCCAGTCACTACCGCAACCTGCTTCGGTCCCACAAGTGCCTGGCACGAAATCTGCGCCGCAGTCGAAAACAATCCTTTCCCAATTCCGTACAGAACGCGAGATGTCACAAACGCGGCCTGCTTCGCAGAGCTCGGACTGCTGGTTTTGACCAGATGGATAAAGATGCCTTGACCCAGTAATGAGATTGGCACTCCTGCTAGTACAAAAGGCTGCGATCGTTTGGCGTAGCGCATGAGAAGTCCGACGAAGACAGATCCGACTTGAAACGTGACACGAGTTGTATTACTTGTAGAAACAAGTTAGCGTCTGCACACTCGCAATGAACATTGAAACACTTGCTCTAGACGCCCAGCTTGCGAAGGGCTCATACCACCGGCAACCATGGCCCAGCTAGTCAGGAATGTCTGTAGTATAGAAAGACCAAGCCAGTCAAGAAGCGAGAGCGCGTAGGCTCCGATAATGGTCCTTTCAGTAAAAGTGGCGTAAGGCATGAACGGATGTTTGGCGAACTTTGCATCCCAGACACAGAAGGCAATTAACAGCAGAATACCAATTACGAGCATGGCAATTGTTGATCCATCGTCCCAGCGCTGCGTTTCGGAAGTCCCCGTCAGCGTCAAGGGAATGAGCAACAATGCAAGCCCAGCCACCAGCAGGATCCCACCCGGAAGATCAAAATCGATCAGTATAGACCTGATCACCCTTTTAGCCAGCGGAACGTCATGGGATACCTTGGGCGCAGGTGGCATGGCCCGCATCCCTCGCCTCTGGTGAATGTAAATGATGACGATAAGTGGAATGGCCGCGACGGGTACAATGATGGTCCACATGCCATATCCCCACCGCCATGTGGAATGAAGGATCATTTGCTCTCCGATGGTTGTTCCGATGTAGAGCACGGGGATCACTGTGATGGCCTCGACGAGCGAGCCCCAGAATCCGCGGTTGATCAGCTTGGTCGTGTCCGCGATGAAAATCTGCTGCACAATGGAATAGCCCGAGAGACCCGCCGAGTAGAAGATGGCCGCCGCGGCATACGTGTGGATGTTCTCCGATGCTGCTCGAAGGACATTGCCTAGGACTTGGAACAGGATTGAGATGGCCACACCCTCCGCACGACCAAAAATGTCAGACAGCTTGGCAACGACAGGATAAGCCGCTATGTCGGCTATTTTGGCTATGACATTGGCGGTGGTAAGAAGTGAGTGAGCTTGGAAGTCGCTCGTCGCGAATGGAATATATATTCTGGTGGTGGAGATATCGAGATTGATTACGAATGTCGTGACCACAAGGCTGAAATTGTCGCATTTGGTCAGTTTATGGAAACAATGTCTGTTTGTGGACACAGAGACTCTCTCACATAATGTATGCGATGATGGCACCTTTTGTCGTCCAGAGGTTGCCATGGGCATGCTTGACAGTAACCTCTGGCAGGTTCTTATCAGTATGGCCCGCCATGTCGTTGGTCCTGGCGGCTGGCCTTTGTGACGAATAAATTCCAGTCATATTCGCAAAGACTGACATTTTAAAAGACGCGAAATATAAAACGTCCAACCTCAGAGTCTTAGCCCATTCTCGAGCATATATATTGCGGTTCGTAGACAGATCATCAAATCAAGGAAATCAAGGAAGTTAAGGTCCTCAATAGTTTTTTTTCTTGTTGACTCTATCAAAACTAACAAGGTTTCCTGCTCATGCCAAGCACATAGTAAGTGTGATTAGCTGCAGAGATCTCGAGCGAAGCCCAATACATAAAAGTTGTTCCCATTTCTCGTCTGAGATTACCATGATAGGGCGATGCCAAACCTGTAGGACATGCAAGGAACCGAGTAGGTTGAGCTCACAAAAGGTCTTTTGACGGCCACCGACCGTCGGCCACCGCGATACCTGACTGGGCCCCCTGCCCCAAAAAAAACAACGGTGATTGGGCTGCACCTGGCGGGTCCAATGGGATCGATCGTCTTGCACGTTCGCATGATCGCGCCGAATAGGTGAAGTTTCTTATTGTGCATAACGGCTTTAAGACAAACTCCAGCCGTATCATGCAGCAGTGGGGAAATTATTCTTACCAATAAGCTTCGAGATAGAGGAATTCATTGTTTCCCACGGATATTTGGGGGAAAGGTAGAAACAGCCTCGCCAGATAGAGAGAGACTACGGAATTAAGTACGGTACTTCTCTTGCAATGTTCCACACTGCCGTTCGGTGCGGTTTAGTTTGAAGGCCGTCCGAGAATGGAACTCGTTTTCGTTTGAGCCGGAATGTGTCTACGACGACAGCATCGTAAGGACACATTGTCCGATTTCTCCTGGTTTCTGAGCTGGTGTCGGTGGAGTTGCGAGCAAATTGATTTTTGCTTCGCTTTCGAATATGCAAAATCCGAGCTCCTTGCTCACACAGATATCTCCGCTCGCAGAACTCAGATCTGACAGGCACATTGTGTCTGTAAAATCAAAGGGTGGGCGGGGGTGAAATTGAAAGTGTGACCGCCGTTTCCTCTCCCGAATGGTGTGTAGTCGTCCAATCTCCTGAGTCGTATCTGTTTCCTGTCGCTCGAAGTCAACGGTTGAAGAATTGTTGACCCACCAATCTACAAACGACTGGTCTAGACCTGCGGGTTGGACGTCCACGTGAGATTGTTCGAGAATTGAAGTGAACTTACCCAACCAACCAAGCAGACTTTGTTTGCGCTAGAGCATGCCAGGCGTTGATATAGCTTCCACTGGGTTTGTGTCTGAACCTTGGTAATGACCAACATACCTCATCTTCCAGCTCCAAAATCCCTGATTAAGAGGGCTTCCAACTTCCTGCCTGTCTGCGAGTTCTGTAAGGTTGAGCAAGGGGTTTCTGTCACCAGAAGTTTCGGGTTTGTCAGAGTCTTCATCAGGCTTTATTGCTGATGCATCGGTCGGAAATCCGAAACCTGTGCGGGCTTCTTTGATCAAGGTGGGAGATTGCTGGAATGAGGAGGACCCAGACTCACGGAGGTAAATACAACACGACAAGGTAGCACTCATAAGCCCTAGGCAGAGCTGGATGATCGCCCGCTCAGCAACCAAATCAAGAATTGAATTCCATCTTCGGCAGAGATCCAGGCAGATCACAAAAGTGCAAAGCCCAAATACCATGACTAAAAATCCCTTGCTGGTGAGCTATTCCTCCTGTTCTGTTGCAAATGTTCCTGGGCCACTAATACCGGATGGATGGGGATGGATTTCCCTCTTGCGCACGAATCCAAGTCCACATTTCTCTAACCATAATCCTGTCTCGATTCTGTGTATAAGAATATCGGATTAGGACAAGCAAATTCGGAAGTGGCCCAGAACCCCGGAAAGCAGTTACCCTAATGATAAGGAAGAACTCTGCGGTGGACATGACACCAGAGAACGCATTCATGGATCCACATGTTGGTAAATAAGCCTCGACCTCAAAGCAAACATGTACATTCGGATACAGGGTCAGAACTCTGGGCGTCACCGTCGAGGGCGAAAAGACCCGTAATCATGTGCCCTTATTTGGAGAAAGACCGAGGGCCGATTAAAGTCGAAACGTCCAACAAGGGAGTTATCATACACAGGCTCCACACCGAAACACTGGTAGAAAGTTTCCATAGACAACAGCATTCCCGATGGTTGCTCTGCACAACGAGACTTCCGCAACGTCAATAAAGAGAACGTCAGGAACGCAACAAGTAGATAGAAAAGCTGAGTGTTCAACATATCTCAAGTTGCGCCCCGTTTGACACAAAACCTGTCAACAAGAAAAATCCTCCCCTAATCGGAAAACGAGCTCGGCCATGGAATCATTCATCATATCACACCACAACCACACTCAAAACCCCACCGTTATTGCCAGATTGCCCACAGCGTATCAAATCCATGTTATTTTTTGGAACTGGATCAAAAGAGTTTTGATGGGCTCTGGAAGTATTAAATCCAGCCGGCTGGTAATCCGCTAAATTGTCCTTCGATCTTACTGCGAGTGGAATGCCCCGACTAGTACTAATATATGTACCTAAATTGGGGATTCTGCAAACACGTGGAGTCAGCATCGAAGTTTTGTGACATGTACTGGAAAAAATTCACACCTTTTTATCAGTCACATCATCTTCATAGGCATGCTCAAAGGCCTCCATGACACCCCGTTTGTCACGACGCTTATTGTCCCAGACACAGACGAATCGATATACCAAGGATAGGAACGCAGACGCGGCCGCAGTAATAACAACAGCCATGAAACCAGGTCCATAGCGAGGTGCGTCGTGTGACTTGAAGAGTAATGGTCCCGTGAATTGGCCTAATCATCAATCAAACCAAATCGTAAGAATAATCATGACCAATATTGAAAGCATAAAGATGAGCCAATAAACTTACCCAGGCAGTATCCGACATAAATTCCAGACGAGCTGACTACTCGCTTAGTATAACCCGCGGCATTAGCAATTGACAGCCCCATGAGAACACCCCATCCACCACTGAACCCACACAGAATATAGCAACCAAAGAGGAGTCCACCTAAAGCGCTGCGGGGCAGCAGCCATAACAACAGCGATGCGAAGACCGTGATCAACTCGCAAACAAAAATGACATAGCTTCTCATTCTCGGGAATTTGTAGGCTGCGTATGTTGCACCAAGAATGACGGAACCAGCAACGATTCCTGCTGGCACAAGCAGGAGGAGAGTGTTGAAGGTGTTGAATCCGAACCCAGCTATTATGATAGGAACAAAGGCATTGACTGGTCCAGCAGCAATCATGCTGAGGTATCCCATGGCGAGCACAAGCCAAAACTTCTCATCCAAGAATAACTCAACGACATGTTGCTTTTTAAAGTGTGTGTTTCGGACGCCGGCGTTATTAATTCGAAGTCGAGCGACTGCGATATATCGCTCTCTCTCGTCAAAGCCTTTAGCCCGGATTGGGTCCGGAGGCATAAAGAACAGGATGACAAAAGCCCATAATATCGTCATGACTCCGCCAACAATATACATGTACCGCCATGGCGAAAGCGAGCCAGCTATGTGGCCCAAACCATAGTTGATGAGGACTCCAAAGCTCGAGACGTATCCTGAGGCAGAGTACCACACCCTAATGAAATCAGTATAGTAATGAATGTGATGAGGGACTGTTAGTGGCCTCGAAACCACGAAGATAAAAGCACAGCAGCAGCGAAAGAAAATGGTAGACTAACCCCATCATGAACGCTTGCTCATCCTTCTTGTAAAATTGGCCAACGATGAGCATAAAGATTGGACTGACACCTGCCTCGAGAAATCCCAAGCAAAAACGTTGAGCATAGAGCCCTTGCCAATTCTGGCAGGCGGCTGTGGATATAAAGCAAATACCCCAGACCAAGACGAGCCCTCCAGCGACTCGCTCAACGGGATATCTCTGAGCCAGTTGAGAGGCCGGGTAGGCTCCACCAATAAAACCAAGGAAAAAAATGGCCGAGGACATCGAGTAGCGATTTCCCGTCAGCTCCAGGTCTTCACGGAGCCCAAAAATTGCCTGCCGATATCAAATTGAGCCAAAATCTGGCACATGAGATCTAGGAACTCACCGCCAACGATATCATTCCTATTGACGTATTATTCTGACGGAACAGGACATCAGATAGCACCAGAAGAAACACTAGGCACAACTCGGGCATATCATACCTTTATCATAATACTGCAGTGCATAGGTCACACATAGAATGGGTAACAATCGCCGGTCAATCTTTTTTCTCAGCTTCTTCTCTTCTGCTTCATCCCAAATCTCCTGCCCATCATAATTTGCTAGCACTTTCATTGCCTCGTCATTGTGGATGGTGTCTACCTCAAAGCTCTTCTTAAGCTCTGGTCCCTGTGGAATGGGAGTCGGCGGGCGTTCCTCGTGAATTTCTTGCGCTTTTTCGACGTTCGCCATGATGTGAATATGGTTTCGCGTCTTGTCTGCACTTTTAGCAAGTTACGCCGAGCTGATTTTATTACCCTCAGCTCGAGCCACCTTTTGAGGACCGCATGGCTATACAACCGGCTATACAAAAATAGTGTCTGAGCATGTACCTCGGGACTTCGGACCTGTAGATGTCTCCATACCCCATACCCCATACCCCATACCCCCACATTTGATTTTTTTTTTTTTTTTTTTCCTTGCTACCTCGATAGACGCCAGCGTCCTTGGAAAGGGCAACATTGTCAGAAAAGCAAGCCATAACCGAAGAGATAATGCGAGAGCGGCAACTGCACTGTCAAGCTGGATTATGAGAACAGGAGCCAGGGAGCTGAAGAGCATGTAGGGAAACAGTCGCCTCTTCTTGAGCTTGTACCTCTCTGCTTTACCTGGGTCATCTCGATTGAACGAAGTGTACTGAAAAGTTCGAGTTACAGTCTTTTTGCACATAGACGTCTTAGACCCCGGCATCTTCAAAGTTGCATTCATCTCTCCCGCACGGCTCTTCGGGTTCATACTCTACGAACCCCAGCTCTTGTACAATACCTCCTCTGAGCATACCAAAATCTGCTACAATACATCCGCGGCATCACTCAACGTGTTCTCGCACCAGATCTCGCGAACGCCCCCGTCCCACTTCCCCATTCTCACTATCGCGCTCGTTGTCCCTTGTGCTATGACTGTCCAAGTCTTTGTTTGAAGCCTTGATCTTTGGTTTATGCCTGAGCATGCCTCTGTCCCTGGCCTTGTTTGATGGTACCTTTAACCTGCACAACGACATGCATCTGCTCCTCGGCGGCAGTGACAGTGTTGGACCACCTCCATGCCGGGATCTTGCGCTCGTACAGCTCATCGATTTCGGCAGCGGAACGGCTACGCATGTCAGGCCTCGTGTCTCTCCTTTAAAGATGTGCTGTGAAGGGTGAAACGCTGACTTACCTTTTGCTCTCGGGGAGGTAGAGCCACATGAGTATACAAATGGGCACGGAGAAGGCGCCGAAGACGAAACCAGCCTTGAGACTGAGTGCGAGGAGCATGGGCGGAGTGGCATAGCTGCGGAAAAGTCAGGTGAGAGTTCTACCCCAGGAAAGGAGTCGCACGGACGCACCCGGTGGCAATACCCATGATCGAGTTGGTGAAGAAAGTAACAGGACCGGTTTTAACTGTGTGTCATGTCAGTGTCGAGAACGAGAAGGAAATCACAAGGGAGAAAGGAGTCATAAAAGCGCGGATAATGGACTTGCCTCGAAGGAGGGCAGAGGGCAGTTCGGCCGAGAAGAGGTAGTATGACATGGCGATAACCTGAAACGAGAAGGTCCAGATGCAGCAAATGATCAGCTGAGAAAAACACATCAGCAAAAACATGTTCACTGAAGACAGAGTGGGCGAAGGCCCGCCCGGGGGCCAGGGGCACCGGGGGACGCACAAGAGCAGTGCCGGCGGTAGCGTTGCCGGTCGTTGCCCCTGTCCAGAACAGACCGCCGACAACAAATAGGATGACGCAAATGAGCGTCTGGCACGTGTTGATGGTGGTGCGCGTCGACCAAGCTTGTCGGTGGATAGGGACCAGAGTATGACAGCGAGGAGGTTGCAGCAGCTAAAAAGATTGATCAGCCATGTACGTATACAGTGAGGAACGTGCCGTTGGCACCCGGCATGTGGCTCACTTGAGGATGACGGTGCCGAGGAAAGGGTCGTCCAAACCAGCGAGGGAGAAGAAGTCTGCGTTATCAGCAGCAACCCTTTGAATAGAGGTAGGTGGTACAAACATGTTTCGCACAGGTGGAGTAGGTACTGATGATGGCGAGACCAGCGATCTGCTGGGAAATGGCGAGCAGCATTACGGTGAGGGTGCGCTTCTAGAGCTTATTCAGATCTTTTGCCCCTGACTTTGAACATCCTGGGAGCACTTACGAGGTTGGGACCCTTGAAGATGTCGACATATCTTGGTTGGCCCTGCAGCACCTCCCTCTCGTGTTCGATGGTCCTCTCGATGATCCCATACTCCTCTTCAAGGTCACACCGCCATATAATTGCTTCATAACCTTCAAAGCCTTCTTTCTGTCCCCACGGCCGGCGTGGAACCAGGGCGACTCGGGGACGAAGACCCAGCAGATTATCATCAGTCCGATTGGTGCCCAGAGGATCCGCATAGCCACTAAATAATTGTCCGGGTACTTCTGATTGAGCTGCTGCATCATGACAGAGACAATGATACCGCCAATGTAACTCCTACCTCCAAGAATCAGCAAAGATGAAACAGGGTCGGTCGAAAGCCATGACCGGGGAGGAGTCGATGTACCAGACTGCTTGGAAAATGACCATGCCGCCTCGGATCCTGTTTGGACAGATCTCCATGATGTAAACCTGGCATGTGACCCTGCGAGGTCAGCGACGAGGACCGAAGATATGTTCGGGTGCGTGCAATCCATACTGGAGGACGCCGATACCTGCGCCATTGGAAAGCTTCGCGAGAGCCTATTGTGAAGAGCTCAGCACGAGCACCGTACTACTGTATGGTAGACCGGTGACCCCTGACTCACCCATACAGACGGACTCTTGGCCGTGTTGAGGAAAATGCAGCCCTAAAGCCATGTCAGATTATTTCGTGATTCGCCCTTTACACCCTCCTAAGCCCGAAGCATCACTTACAACGACAAGCCAAGCCCATGCAACGTAGAACGATGCCTTGCGACCAAATCTGTCGGCGAACCTGCGTGGGTCAGAGGCCGCGCGCATCTTATTATAAAGGAGTATAACGAGGGCTTCTTTGAGGATACTGCACAATGCCTACCAAGAGATGTAAGTGAACGTGACGATTTGACCGACATTCTGATTAGATTAGTACCAGCCACCTATCTAAGGTGAAGAGTGGCATACGAGAAGAGCACTCCAGGTAGACACTTCTACTCATCAGTTCTTAAGGGTCAATTACCGGACACACGGCTTACCCCAAGTAGCGTCAAGAGCACTGACGCCTGTGCCACCCTTTTCCCCAAACTGCTTGATGAACCCAGTGTTGGCAATGACACTGCCCCCAGCATTGAGCTGTACCGCATCAGCCCATGACAGTCACCGCGTACAAACCGCGTCACCCTTCTATATCCGCGGGTTGGAGGCCGTTGCTGCTCACCTCGAAACCTTCGCAGACGTAACCAGTGTAAACGGCGAGCGAGACGAGGAGGACCCGCTTGAAAATCCACAATGTTCGGGGGATGGACAGCTCATCAAACGTCGACTTCACGAGGCCGTAGCTACCATATCCGTCGACTTTAGTTTTCACGTCATCGACATTCGCTGGGATCCCTTCGAGGTGCGCCACGCCCTGCTTTTCAGGGGGGCTCGCAATGGGTTCGGCCATGATGTCGTGAGGTATCACATGTAACAGTAATTTTACACAGGTCGATCCGTCAATATGTCAAGTAAACAGCAGTTGGAGAGTTCTCCGGGGCTGAGAAATGCCCCATATATAGAGGTCCACAAACGACACATACTTGCATAATGCATAATAATCCTGGCAGAGATGAAGGTCAGACCCAACGCCATCTGGAACTCTAAACAGGCTTCCCCAGAATGCCATGGCGTTCGGAGCCAGATCATACGAGGGTGTATAGAAGGGGAGGTCATCCAGCTCTAACGTAAGTACACTCCCGGTTCGCCGGTTCCGGAGCGGGGTATCGCGGAGTTATGCCAGGTTTCTGGCTGGCTGGCCGGCTTACACTGGAGGCCTTGTGTGTTCAACCTCGCACTCGCTGCGGCCATTGCGAGAACGCGGGGAACTCGCATACCATAGTTCTAGATAGTTATCAGTCGTTGTCACTCATGAGATTTAGATTTTCTACAAGGAAACCGTCCACTTCCAACCCCCGTAATAAAAACTTTCTCCGACGTACGGTACAGCTCCACCACTACGTTCCTGACAATGACATCAATCCAAATCTCATCGGTCACATTCGAACACCATCCCACCGGGTTCGGCATTGGCCATGCCAGGCCTCGAGTTTCATGGCGCTTCTCCAGTTGTGACGACGTGGAGAACTGGGTACAAGAGTCTTATGAGATCCAAGTCGGTCGGCATCATGACACTGGCGCAAAACCCCACCACATTGTGAGCTCCGAGTCAGTCCTGGTGCCCTGGCCCGACCATCCACTCCGATCGCGAGAATCTGTTTGGGTAAAGATCCGGTCTCATGGCAAAGCCACAGATATAGCAGGTCACGTCACGACTGATAGCACTGAGTGGTCTAGCCCTGCCATCGTCGAGGCTGCGCTACTTGACGTGGAAGACTGGACAGCAAAGCTGACAACTTCGACAGTCACGCCCAACAAGAACGAGCCGAGACGACCCTTGTTGTTCCGAAAGGTCTTTCCTTTACCTCAGGACTCGGGAGCCATCTCCAAAGGCCGCCTTCACATCACAGCTCACGGTGTCTACAGGCATTCATAAATGGCCAGCGCATCGGCACAGAGGAAATGGCACCTGGCTGGTCCAGGTACAACCACAGGCTCCTCTATCAGACTTTTGATGTGACGGCGTCACTGGCTCCGGGCGGCAACCCCAACATATTTGGAGTAGAAGTTGCCGAGGGCTGGTTTGCTGGTCGCCTCGGACCGGATGGGAGACGCTGTTTTTGGGGGGATCGAGTGGCATTCCTAGCCCAACTCGAAATCCTCGTACACACTGGTCTCGGACAGCACTTGGAAATCTCACAAAAGTGCCACGACTCGCAGTGAAATTTATGATGGAGAGGATTACGACTCCCGTGAAAATCTTCAAGTCGGAGTCTGGCAAGACTCTTGTCGACTTTGGCCAGAATCTAGTCGGAAAGCTTCTTGTGCACCTCCCGGCAGTGTCGAACGTGACGACAAACGTCGACAGACAGACGTTGTCATTCAGCCACGCCGAGGTACTCGAGCGTAACGAGCTTGGGACGCGTCCTCTCAGAGGGGCTAAATCAGTCGACAACGTCGTCTTGTCTCACAATCAGCCGTCTGCTTGGTCCCCAAAGTTCACTTTCCACGGCTTCCGTTACGTTCAAATAGACGGTTGGCCGACCGATGATGGAATGCCCAGTAGTGACGAGATCTCGGCGCTCGTTTTGTACAGCGACATGAGACGCACGGGATGGTTCTCATGCTCTGACCCTCTCATCAATCAACTTCACGACAATGTTCTTTGGAGTATGAAGGGCAACTTCTTTTCTCTGCCAACCGATTGTCCTCAGCGTGATGAGCGGCTTGGTTGGACGGGCGATATCCAGGTATTCACCCCCTCGGCCAGTTTCATCTTCGACACCAAAGGATTCCTCGGGAGCTGGTTTGAAGATGTCTTGGATGAGCAGCTTGAAGAGGGCAGGAATGGAGTTCCAGGCCTAGTGGTCCCTGACATCCTTCCAAATCCCCCCAATCCGCCTGGGCCGCAGTGTGCATGGCATGATGCTACCGTACTGACACCGTGGGACTTGTACAACAGCTCAGGTGATGTAGAGATCCTCCGCAGGCAATTTCCGAGTATGAAGGCCCGGGTGGATAAGGGTATACCGCGAGGTCCGAATGGATTGTGGGATCAGAATGTCTGGCAGTTCGGTGACTGGCTGGACCCTGCCGCTCCGCCGTCTGAACCAGGGAACGGCCGCACCGATAGCACTCTCGTCGCTGATGCCTACCTGGTCCGAGTGCTGGAGACCATCGCCAAAGTCAGCTCACTTCTCGGAGAGACGGAAGATGTGGATCGCTATCACAAAGACGCTTCAAGTACCAGAAAGGCCTTTGGGCGAGAATATATCACACCATCGGGCCTTCTTGTCGGAGACACACAAACATCATATGCTCTCGCCATTTCCTTTGGGCTCTTCGACGATAAAAACCACGTTGCAAAATCTTCGGGTCGCCTCAGCCACTTGGTCCACGCAGCCAAATATCGAATAGCTACTGGCTTCATTGGAACGCCCTTGATCACTCATGCACTCTCAGACACGGGCCATTACCAGCTGGCCTATCGCATGCTTCTAGAGAAGAGCTGCCCATCTTGGCTCTATCCGATCACAATGGGTGCAACCACCATTTGGGAAAGATGGGATAGCATGCTTCCAGATGGATCCATCAACCCAGGAAAAATGACCAGCTTTAATCATTACGCTTTGGGCTCTGTTGCCAACTGGCTGCACAAAAATGTCGGTGGTATCAGCCCCCAAACACCTGGATGGCAAACGATCAGGGTGAGACCACTTCCAGGTGGAACAATTACGAGTGCAAACGTAGCATATGAGGGTCCTTATGGGCGGATCGAATGCTCGTGGAAGATCAGTAAGATCAATGACACGTTTAGCATGACTGTCGTCGTCCCTCCCAATTCAAAAGCTGTGGTTATACTGCCATCTGATTGGAAAGAGACACAGCAAGATGGAGAGGAGAAAAGTTCCCTGATCGGATCTGGCAGACACCAGTTTTCATGCCCCTACAAGCCAGCTAAATGGCCTCCAGAGGCAGAGTTTGCTCGCTCCACGTTTCACCTAGAGGTATAAGCACGATTTGTCTGGCATACGACCTAGACTAGAAAGGGCATGCAGAGAACAGAGCCGTCGTGTCTTTACTGAGGGGAAATGACCTCTAGTTGCCAAAGGCAATCACCAGGGAATACTTCCTACGGTTATGGGGAATATTTCATTTGTATTATCTATATCTAGGGCCACTGTCGTCGACAACGTACTTATCTGAGGGGAGACAATCAGTGGAACCAAGCCGTTTTAATCTTTGAACTTGGTATTGGGGCCGGTATTCCTCCAAAGGTCGTACCGTCGTAGTAAGATTTCAGCTACGCCGAGTGAGGGCGCCTGCATTCTTATGCTCTTCCCTTCCCGTGATCGATTTTCTCTTTCATTTGACCAACTCATGAATTGTACTTTCCGATGTAACCTTATCAGAATGGTCCGTTCCCAATACAAGGTCTTTTGGTTCTGGCCGGTTGAACTGCCCCCAACGATCTCGCTAAATGTCGCGAAACATCATGTCGAACAAGCGGGGTCTTCATTGCTGGTCTCTTGTATCGGTACATCGCAGAGCGGTGAGCATTATTCGTAAAGCTATCCACACGTCAGAGACTGACTTGACCGCCACAGCGTCAGACGAACCGGAAAAGCCGTACCTCCCTACCGTTGTGTTACTGGACGCGTAGAATGATTCAATGACCACTATGGTTCACCATCCCCAGGATCGTTTCCAGGTTCATGTCGAGACGCCACTAAGACAAGCATGGTTAGAGAGGTATATCTAATAAAAGACACGTACGTAGTCATCAGGACCAACATATCTGCATCATCTTTGGAAGTCCAAGTCCGTTGGTATTGATATAGCCCCAAGTTCCTGGTGTTGACCTACGAGATAGTTGCTTGCTAGGCTGCGGCACAGGGAACAACACTGAAGGATACTGTTCAGGTAGGTATATAGATGGGCTCTATCCTGCAACTTATTGGAAGATCCAAAGTATTCATTCATTTCAAGTTGTACAAGAAGTTCGACGCATGCTTTGTTGTCACGATTTCAGATTCACCTGATTGTTGTCCACTTGTAGAATGATTCTGTGCGATTGCATTAGCGGAAACAAAGAGGAATGGATACCGAGAATTTCATTCCGCAGTGTCCTCGTGTGAGGAGCTAAAACACAGGTCTGAATCTGAATAGTCCACGAGACGGACCGGATTATCCTTCAACTCGGGAGAAACATTAACCACAGAAGGGAAAGAATGCTTACTAGAGGACTGGACCTCTGTCAGAGAAGAATTTGTCGCCGAAAGATGCGTTGTTGTTAACCTCGGGGGTGAATGGACGAATGTCTGTTGATTGTGCCACGGCATCAAAATGAGTTCCGCGGATAGGAAGAGTACTGAAAAGTACTTAATCATGGGGCTGGGACTTTCCTTGGAGGGGAGGCTGTTTGAGCGTGATCTCAGGTGCTGGATAGCCCGATTGAGTGATTGACTATTGTTGCACCCGTGCATGCCTCTCGGCATATTGGGAACTAGCACTGCCATGCGAGTGTCCATCCCATGATCTCCATGGCCAGTTCCTGGTTCTCCATCCCCTTCCTGACCTTGTGTTGAACAGTAACCAGGAACCCGTTATTGGAAAAGGGATCATTCCTATTCAGGATACAGGGATAGGAATAGAAGTAGAAAAGATGCCAACCAAGCGTGTATATAAACTGGCAATCTGGCAGGACCAGTTGTACAGGAAGTTCGACACCTTGACAATTGTTTCCCTAGCTTCAAGCTGCGGCTGTAGGTGGTGCGGACCTTCAAAGGTACACATCATCGAGAGAGGAGCTACTAATTAGTACACCCCTCTGACTACTCGGTACACTCGCGCTAGGCTCTTTTCGGCTATATACCACTATTCTATACATCTCGCCGTCTCCAGAGCCTCGTCAATCCTTATTCCGTAAACTCAACAACGTCATTGACGAGGTTGATACGGTGGAGACGTTCCAGCAAGGTAGGTTCAACGAGATCAGGATGCATCCTTTGTTCAACGTACATTCCTGCTGCTATCCGGTATAGGGAGGGACGCAAGAGGAGGATAGCATCTTGTATGACGGTTCTGCTGAGCAACCGATATTATGACGGTCAACGCTCGGGAAAACGATCTCGATGAGGACTGCCACTGGTTCTAAGTGTGTGGGAATATTGAGAGATAGAAATGCCCTGAGAATAGCCTCGGCCGCTCCGGCAATGAAAAGCACGCTCGGGTTCGAAAGGGGAGACCTCCATAGAAATCTGTAAGATGCCGACCGCCGAGGGAGTCGGTCCATCGAAGTTAGGCCGACATAGAGTAGATCTATCAAAGTCGACGTCGACCACTGCACTTCGAACTAACTTTCTATAAGTACTAGTCAATCATTCAACGTCTCTATGTGTTCCTCAAGTCCATTGTTGTCGCAGTTGGAAAAACTTTCCTCAACTAAGACACCGGCCCACTCCTCATCTCTCTTCAATCATAGATTAACACGGCATTCACACATCCGCCCCCATGCCTCGCCAGCCTGCTCCCGCTTACGTCCTCGGCGTGGGGATGACGAAGTTCATCAAGCCCCGGGGTAAAGTCGACTACACCGAAGTTGGTTTCGAAGCTGGTATCAAGGCGATGCTTGACGCTCAAATTACCTACGACGATGTTGATCAAGGTGTCGCCTGCTATTGCTATGGCGACTCTACATGTGGTCAGCGAGTCTTCTACCAATTCGGCATGACCCAAATCCCCATTTATAATGTGAACAATAACTGCTCTACGGGAAGCACGGGCTTGAACATGGCCCGACAAGCTATTTCCTACGGGGCTGCCGACTGTGTGCTCGTCGTTGGCTTCGAAAAGATGTCTCCTGGCAGCCTGAAGGCCAACTTCAATGACCGCGAGACCCCCATTGGCACAACCTACAAGATGTTGCAGGAGACAAGAGGACTTACAAACGCCCCCTTCGCTGCTCAACTCTTCGGTAATGCCGCTCGAGAATATATAGAGAAATACGGCGCGAAGGACGAAGACTTCGCCGAAATCGGTCGTATCAACCATGAACACGGCCAGAGAAATCCCTACGCACAATTCACCGAAGAGTATACTCTGGAACAGATCTTGAAGTCACCCATGATCCATGCCCCCTTGACGAAACTTCAATGTTGCCCGACTTCCGACGGCGCTGCGGCCGTCATTGTCGTCTCACAGGAATTCCTGGATCAGAGACCACACCTCAAGCCTCAAGCAATTCTCATTGCGGGCCAAAAACTCGCCACAGATTCCCCAGATCTATTCAGCCGCTCCGCGATCGACCTTATAGGCTATAAAATGACAGAGTATGCCGGGAAGGAGGCTTTGAAAGAAGCTGGCATTACTCCCCATGATGTCAGCGTGGTTGAAGTCCATGACTGCTTTAGTGCCAACGAGATGTGCGTGATCGATGCCCTCGGTCTGTCACCCAAGGGAAAGGCACATGAACTGGTTCGCGCTGGTGATATCACCTATGGTGGAAAATATGTCATCAACCCATCAGGAGGTTTGATCTCCAAGGGCCACCCTCTCGGTAAGCCGAATCTACCATCAACCCATCCAACTACATGCTAACCAATTGTATAGGAGCTACCGGCCTTGCCCAATGCGCAGAACTAACCTGGCACCTTCGAGGCTGGGCCAACAACCGCCTCGTCAAGGACACCCAATACTGCCTCCAACAAAACCTCGGGCTCGGTGGTGCTGCCATCGTCACAGTCTACAAACGCGCCGACGGTGAGAAAGCCACACCTATCTCAGATGAGCAAGTCGGCAAACTCAATGGACTCGGATATAATCCCGCCACCCAAGCAAAAGGTTTCACCACTGAACAAGCCCGGCGCGCAGTCTCCCAAAAGAACTTTTCCGATTGGGCCCTGCAAGATACTCAGACGAAGGTTCAGTCAAGGTTTTAGGTCTCATGAAAATGTACTCTATCTGTTGTAGAGAGCATAGGGTATGGCGCCTATCGGCCAATTCTAAATCACTCCCGAGTTTTACGGGCTCTTGTGCAAAGCCTATGGTCTTAAAGCGCCCCGCATCTTCTATCCAGTCATTTCTTAGGTATATAGCACAGATTTATTGATTCCTAGGCCCTCCCCACCACCCGGTGTTGTTGCAACGAAGCAGGACTACGTCGCAGTGTTTCTGTCCTGACGGTAAGCCACCCTACCTTGCCAACATAAACTTGCATTTCGACCCAAGAGACTTCTTGCTTTGCGCTCTATCATCTTCTGCAAAGACCCAAGAATCAGAGGGCTCGAACTTATCATATGCGATGGACACCAGGTTCAGAGTAAGACAGTCTGAGATGACAAGGCCCATATTGTGGCGGCCAAGTAGCCTGGAAAGGTGTTGCAATAACATAGACGTTGCTTTGTGCACGCGGAAGGCATGAGCCAATCGATGTCCTTTGTCGATGGATTGTAAATACATCATGTGGGAGATGAAATCAAGGATGAATTCTGAGTGGCAAAGAGTATAAACACATTGTTCACAAGGGCCTTTTGCTGCGTCGGCCAGTCACGGCAAAACATGCAACCCTGGTAAAGTGGTGAAAGACTTGCACATCTAGAGTCATGAATCGCTGCAGCTTGTTCGGGACATGTCGGAATAGCCCGGCATCGTCCCAATCTATATTTCATCTTGTCCCAGTGCCAGACATGTTCCATAATCTTGTAGCCTTGGTAATTTCTGATGTTGAGATATGATAAGTCTGTGTAGGCCTGAGGGCTGTTTCTTTCTAGGGTGATCGTAGATATGGCAGCTCTTAGCATAGCTGTAGGAGGTGTAGATGGGACGTACTTCGTCGAATTTGACCCTTCTTGTTCTGCGAGCCTGACAGCCACTCCGTGACTTCTTACCGTTACTCTACGTGTCCAGGGGACCGCCAGACTATATAGGTTCGAAACGTGTACGATCTTTACAAGCCTTGGCGTCGCCACATATCACAGAGTTGAAACTGTGGGCCCTCGCTATACTCAAATGGTTCGGCAACCAAAGAACACCGAGGCCCTGGGCCGGCTTTTTATGAAATCTCGTCTCGGAGACAAGAAAGCCCTGGCACACAATTGCCTGGGGCTGCGGGGAAGGAACCACAATATTTGCCCTTCAAACAGTTTAGCGGCGAAGTTGGGGTCCCACCTAATGATATTGGCGCACCTGCCCAGATATCGGTATTCCCTCATTCTCGTAATTCCATCCTCTTCAATTTCGTCCAGTCCAACGACACGATGAGGGAAGATTTCTTCGTGCCAATAATGGTGAAATAATGAGACTAGCGGACTAAACCAACAATGACCAACCGTTTTACCCAGGACCTCTTGGCCAAAAGAGCGGGGAGAGCATGCTTATCCTGCCGGTCGCGAAAGATCCGCTGCAACGTCGAAGAACAGGGTCAACCGTGTAGCAACTGTCTCAATGACGAGGCCAATTGTCAGATTGCGAAGAGTAAGCGCGGCAAGAAGCCCCGTCGGCGTTTGAAAATGAACCCAAAATGTCCCAAAGCAAAACACGATACGACTCAAAGTGTTGGACGTATCAATTCAAATGTTGATGGCTCGAGAGGCATTGTACCGTTGTGTCGAGTCCCCCCTACGCATACCACGGGATGGCTCGATGATTGTGTGGAATTGGAGACGTTTTCCCAATGTCAGGACGAAGGTACGTATATATATGTATCCTGCTCGCTTGAATATTGCTTGTGAGGGTTGACAAATTCCCTGAAATCAGGCACAGCTCCAAAACGTTCTGCTGCAGAACTCGACCAACGATTCCTCCATCGGGAACTGACTTATGTGTCTCTAATCGAACAGGAGGCAGTCCACCATGTGACGACTGCCGACCCGACTCCACCAAGTCTGATTTCCCCTTCTCAGACTTCTCCTTCAGCAGATTCCTTCAGGACGAATCACGAAAGCCTTCCAGATTTTATCAAACCACTTTCCCAGAGCCTCACCCCGGAAGATGTCGACTATCTCCGCCTGAAAGGCGCCCTGGACATACCCTCGGCGAGTTTTTTGAATGCTCTGCTCGATTCCTACATTCAATATGTTTACCCATATATGCCCACTACAGACCTGTCCAGCATCTGCGGGATTGTGACCGGCAAGAGTGTAAGTATCAGCATCTTACTATTACAGGCCATCACGTTTGCGGCTGTCGCCTTTGTCGATGCGGACGAAATTCATAGAGCGGGTTTCAATTCACGACGGTCCTGTCGAAAGGCATTCTACGATAAGACTCGAGTAAGTGCTGTTCCCAGGGTTATCAAGCAAATAGTTCTGATAACCATCACAGCTGCTCTACGACCTCGACGTAGAATTTGACAAACTCGCCATCATCCAAGCCACGCTTTTGATGGCATATTGGAATGAGACTCCTGGTGATAACAAGGGAGCATGGCACTGGATGGGTGTGGCCACGTCCCTTGCACAAACGCTAGGTATGCATAGGAAGACCGAGTACAAAGTTCAGTCCCACGAATCCAAACTTCATAAACGAATATGGTGGTCTTGCTACATCCGAGATCGAATGTTGGCGATTGCAATGTGTCGACCACTGCGGATCAAAGACGCAGAGTTCGATACGCCGCCACTTACACTTGAAGATTTCGATATCATCGATTTGTCCAATGGACCGGGATGCCTGGACACGGATAGTCAAACTGCGCTGGCAGAGATGTGCATTAAAGCAACGGAATTATGTAAGCTGGTCGCGGGAGTGGTCGAGTTGCATTTTTCTGTTCTTCCAAGCGAAGACTCAACTTCGACCGCCAAGGAGGATAATGGAACGAGGACGACAATGCTTTGCCTGAAAAGCTTCTCACCAAACGAACAGCTGGTGCAGCGGTACGATGAGCAACTACAAACCTGGTACCGGACTCTGCCGTCTTCATGCGTCTATGGAACAAAGGATGGCCAGGGGGGTCTAAGCCCATGTGTTATTGTAAATGCAGCGTCTTTACAGATTGCCTTCTGGGCCGTGGTCTCAGCACTTCACCGCCCCCAACTTCGGGGCAGGAACAAAGCGGTTTCCATTAGAAGAGTCGAGGAAGCAGCTATCCAAGTGTCAAGGGTCGACCGAGAAATGCACAAAATACATCTGGATCAGTATCTTCCTGCGACGGGAATCCCCTTTCAATTTCCCGCGTTCATCACTCACACGAAACGCCTCGAGAACCAGAAGACTTATGGTGTAACTGAGATATTGGATTCTCTCTTTTTCTGTACCAAAGTGGTTGAAACGCTTCGAGAGTTGTTCGTAGGAGGCGATGATGGTATCAAATTTATCACATATGTTGCCAAACGGGCGGATATTACCCTATTATTCGACCAAGACTCGAAACTTTGGGGACTCGAATATCGAGGCCTTCACTACAGCCCGGGGAGCCGTCAACTTAATCTCGACTCAAAAACTTTTGGTACTGGATTTGGAGACGTTTCGCCTCATCGAAGTTCCTACGAATCTGTTCTCGAATCCGGTCAAGAGCGTCCCAAGACCGGAAAGATTGTGAATCAGAATGATTCGGAGTTGCTCTCGTTTGATAACATGGATGCGAACTATTGGAGCAGTCTCTCGGATATTCTATCGGCCTGCGATATGGATTTCGAACACTGTTTCGGAATGCCGATCAACTCGGATTCCTTACAGGATGTTGAAATGGGGTGAAGGACACGACATTTGAAGTTTGACTGCGTGTCTGAGATGAGAGATAATAATGTGGTCAAAGGGAAAAACCCCCCCCCCCCCCCCCAAAAAAAAAGACTAGAATATTTCAACTCGGATTTCGGCCATATATCATTCTCCGCTACTGACTATCCCTACTGGGACATCCTCACAATCACACAACGGGCAGCTAAGACTTCCCTCTTTCTAACCAGGGATCTACTTTCTTACACCCAGAAGTATTGGAGCACTGACAAGCCTCAAATCAAAAAAATGTAATTCATTCTCACTACAAGACATTACCAGTCACTCGCTATGTCAGAAAAACCTCCCGATCCACTGAGGGGTTGGCCTGAAAAGACTGAGCATCTCGCTATTCCATAGCAATTATTCTGGACCTTTAAATATGTATGTTTGTCAGGGTCGTGACAGGCTTCCCCTGTTCAGCTGCACTCTCCTGTGGCTTATTTAACAAGCTCAAGCTGCATATTCGTCAACAATTGTCTCCACGTCTCCTGTTTCCTCTTCAGCCTTCTTGATTTCGCTCACAACTTCACCTTCCCGCCCTCCACTTCATTCCATTCTTTGCTCCCAAAGGGTTCGAATCTATCGCTTCCAGGTCTCAAATAGAATATTCTATCACCACCACCAACTTTTCCCGGCTCCACTCCCTCCGCTCTCAAGACGTGTTTCTGCTGTTTATTGTTCCCGGTCGCCATGACTTTCGTCACGACCCTCAAGAACACAGGTACCGCGTACTTCGGTAGACTGTTGCGAGAGAAGGTGGCTATGCTCTCCAGCACACTCTCCGGTACTGGTGTATCTGGATTCGTTACACCCTTTAGGAAGACCGCGGTACACCCAGCACGACCATCGTGGTTGGGTATCTGGACCCCGTAGACGTTGGCTTCGACGATAGCGGGGTGTTGACCTAATACTTGTGCAACTTCGGCAGTGGAGACATTCTCGCTACGCCAACGGAACGTATCGCCAATTCGGTCGGAGAACCAGATCCTACCTTCCTTGTCAAACCTGACGATATCGCCCGACCTGAACCACGCGTCTCCCTTTTTATGCACATCCCTCCAAATCTTTGAGTCGGACGCCTTCTTATTGCCGAAATATCCCTGATATTTCCTCCCAATATCCTTTGGATCAATGGCATAGAGCAACTCACCTGGCTCCCCCCTCGGGACTTTGACACAAAAGCCTGTTTTCGGATCTCTGCGTGGCGTTTCCGTTTCCCAGTCGACCTCGACGATAGATTGTGCTTTGGAATAATAGAGTTCGCCGAGCAGTCCGACTTGGCCGATCGCGCCTGAGGAGAATGTGTTTCGACTCAGATTCCAGCTCGCAGCAACAGATTCGGTCGCGCCGTAGTACTCTGCAATCGTTTCGATGCCGAAGCGATCTCGGAAGCGGTCCCAGATATCAGGACGTAGTCCGTTGCCGAAAGCCAGCCGGACGTGGTGTTTCGCGCGGTCGTCGGGTTGGGGTGGAGCAGCGAGCAGGTAGCGGAGTGTTTCGCCGACGTATTGGATGACCGTCGCATCGGCGGCTACAACTTCGTCCCAAAAGCTGGAGACAGAGAATTTGCGGCCTAGGACGAGTGTAGCAGGGCGGGAGAGACAGCAATGGAAGCCGAGCTGGAGAGCAGCCGAGTGGTATAAAGGCATGGCGGTGTAGTAGCGGTCGGGTTTCTTGGAGGTCACGGGTCGAAGACCTATCCATCGCCCCATCATCCCGGATCCCACGACTGTACGGTCCCAGGGTACGATGGCGGCTTTGGGGAGACCGGTGGTTCCCGAGGTGAAGATAAGGGCACATGGCGAGTGAGCAATCGCGCCTGATCGCGCAGTGTCAGTGGCGCGGAATGGTGGGTAATATTCGAGTGAGGATTGTAGACCTGGTGACAGGACGGCGATTTCTAGTGGGAAGGCATCGTTGCGAAAGTTGGGTGCTTGGAGGGTCGATCTTGTCTCTTCAGTCAGGGCTTTTGGCTCGACTTCAGGGTCAATGATCAATAACCGTGCAGTCGAGACTCGAACACTGTGGGCGAAGGCTGTGGATGTTAGGTTGTAGTTTATGAAAGCTGGTAAAGCACCAAGAGACCAGACTGCTAGGACCAAGAACAGGAACTGGGGACTATTCATGAAATCTAGGGCGATAATCTCGCCGGGCTGAATAGAGTGTTGTGAATGGAGGTACCCCGCATATCGCAGTACCATATCGTAGGTCTGTTTGAAAGTCCATGATCGTCCCCGGTATATGATGAAAGTCATATCCTTAATCTTTGGGTCATGGGCATGTTCCTCAATCAAGTAGAAGGAATTGGTGCGATCGGCCCGCTCGCGTCTGGCGAAGGCGGTCCGAGTCTTGATTAGGGAACCAAGTAGGTCGAGATCGACCGGAAGTCTCCATCGAGCATTGAGATAGGCCAACCCTGCCAACGTTGCTGGTGCGGCGAGAGCCGTGGTGGCTGTTATGAAATTGGTTAGCCAAATGCTCTCTGTCGATTGATTGGCGACTTACCGGCCATTTTGCTGTTTGGCAATTTGACAAGTTTAGAGGACAGCAAATCTCAGTCAAGAAGGGGCAAATGGATTAAAGAAAGGAGAGAGGGTCGAGCATGTTCATCATCCTTGCAGCCGAGGTAGGGATACCAAAGGTATCCAAGAATGTACCTACTTATACTGCTTTCGTTCGGTTGCTTGCGCCGGCTTCAGAAATGAAGAAGGACCGAGGCATAAGAAGGGCCCTTCCGCTGGTGTTTCGGTTAGTGGCCGGCCTGGTCAACCTGGCGGAGTCAAACACGAGATACATGAGTGTGAGATCTCAGCCTTGCTCACGGCTGGACTTTGTGCCAGATCTATTCGAGATAAGAGATGATGGATCTGATGCCTGCTTCGATGTGTATCAACCTCAAACTACATCACGGCAAGGCCTTCACCAAGCTGTCCACCACATAACACTTTTGCTGCACAGTGCCTTCATGATTCAAAGGACTAAAGGTGTATTACTGTTGAGGAAGATAGCTATGGTTTTGAGATTTTGCTTACACCATACCGCTCCAATGTCCCGAAGTAGGCTTTCCATTGCATTTTATCGCAGAGCAGACATAGTGAGCATAATCAATAGCCCTCCACTCAAAAATGTCTGCGAACATTAACAAAACTGCGCATTCAGTAGTATAGATAGATATCGAGCCAAATCAGTATATTAACTTCCGCTTCCTTGCCAAATCCCTGGATTTTGTATTGATTCTACAATTTTGACTTGGGTCCACCACGCAACTCCGCGCCGGCATTAGCAATACACAGCTTTCCAGTCTCCTTGACCTTGGTCTGGAAAATCACTTTGTTTCCCTTCTTCCACATCTCTGTGACAAGCGTCTGTCCAGGAATGACCGTGCCAGCGAATCGGACCTTAATGTTTTTGAATTGACCAAAAGTTTGGACAATGTGCTTACCACTGAAGCCGAAGAAGCAGAGACCATGTAGGATAGGGTCTTTGAAGCCGCCGATCCTACTGAATTCGGGGTCAATATGTAACGGGAGGCGATCACCATTGAGGCGGTATAAAGCGGCCTGGTCATCAGTTGTCTTCTCCTCGACAACAGCGTCAGGAGCCCGCTTGGGGGGGGTGTATACAGCACTGGCAGCGCCGCGATTGACATCATTCTTAGTACCACCAAATCCACCAGAACCACGAATGAAAAGCGTAGATTGATTGTAGAACAAATCCTCTCCAGTGGTTGCATTCTTGGTCTCAACACCTTGCACGACTAGGCCAGCATTGCCTTTGTCGACCACCTCCAGCAGGCGAGGATAAGACACCGTCTTTGCTGCCGTAGGTATAGGAAATTTTCGGATCTCAAGGTATTGCTCGCCGTGTAGAAGCATCGTGGGGCTGAAGTTGGGTACAATGTCATCTAGGGTATAAGGGGATTTCGCGGTGAAGAATGGGATAACACCATAAGTGGGCAAGACTTGGAAGTCATCGTGGTTCTCGTAGACTAAGGGAAGTTGTGTTCTCTTCGCATTGAGGGAGAGGTTGTATAAGATGACATCTCTGTCATCGTAGCTGAATTCGGTGCCCATAGGTTTGGCATTCTTCGCCTTTTCAATGTTTGCCAGATAATCCTTGTTGTGATTAGGCTTAGACTCGGACTTCTTGCTCTTGTTTTGCATGTTGGCCATGACTCCTTTCACACCGTCTTGGGTACTTTCGGGATAATCAGCACGTCCATCATCGAAATCGAGAATTTTGGACCATTTCTCAACAACAGCCTCAGGACTGAGCTTGATGTCGACTGAGAATCCATGACCGCCAGATCTCTGCCATCTGGTTCGGGCTTGCCAGCCGCTGCCAACTTCAAACAACAGACCTGTTGGTGGATCCGGCACCTGGTCAGAGCAGAGAAGAAGAACGAGAGGAGCAACATATTCAGGTTTAAACGCTTGAACGAGTTCTTCGGGAAGGACTGTTCGAGTGAGTGCAGTACCAGCATTTGGCGCAATAGTGTTGACGAAGATATTGTTCTTTCGGCCTTCCAGAGCCAAAGCTCGAGAAAATCCGAGAATGCCGGCTTTCTGATTGAGGTTAGATAAAACAAAGAAGTTCAAATCGAAGGGGGGGGTGGGGGAGATGGGGAGGAAGGCGCGGTACTTACGGCTGCTGCGTAGTTAGCCTGTCCAAAGTTGCCATAAATACCGGTTGTACTGGTGGTATTTATGATTCGACCATATTTTTGCTTGAGCATATAGAGATAAGCTGCCTTTGACACTTTGTATGTGCCCCGCAGATGTACATTCATAATAACGTGCCACTGCTCATCAGTCATGTTGGCGAACGCCTTGTCTCTGAGAATTCCGGCGTTATTGACGAGGATGTCGACTCTTCCGTAGGCATCGATTGCAGTCTTTACGACGGCATCGCCATCTTCAACTGAAGCCTTATTGCTCATGGCCTGGCCTCCCAAGGCTTTGATCTCATTTACGACGTTGTCGGGATTGATAAGGTCGTTCACGACAACCTTGGCACCAAGTTTAGCAAATGCCAAAGCATATGCTCGACCGAGACTAGGTTTTAAGTGTCGTCAGTAGATGAACAGCAGCTGGCCGTGCATAATTGATCTCACCCAGCACCGCCACCAGTAATCAAAGCAACCTTGTCGTCAAATCGGATTTCTGGATCTTGTTCGTTGCTTTTGATCCTGAGAGAGTCCTCCAGCTTTGTCACCATATCAGCAGGCCCACTAGGATGTTCTGGCTCCGAGAAGTTGTTGACCTGGGACCATCGTTTTAGGATAGCGGAAGGAGTATATGTCTGATCGGGCTTGAGTAGAAGACCATTAGCACGCTCCCATCTCAGCTTTGCGATGTGTCCACCACCGACTTCAAAAATGGAGCCATTCTCGGTAGTGTTGGAAGAGTGCACCAGAACTGCGACCAAAGGGACCACCCATTCAGGCCGTAATTGTGCGAGAACTTCAGGAGGCAGGACAGTGGCGGTCATTCGACTGGCCGCGACTGGAGCGATAACATTAGTAAGAATGTTGTATTTCGCCCCCTCCTTTGCCAAAGTCTCCGTGAAGCCTACTTGGGCCAATTTGGCAGCTGAGTAGTTACACTGGCCAAAGTTGCCGAATAAGCCTGCAGCAGACGTAGTGTTAATCACTCGACCATATTTTTGTTTTCTAAAATGTGGCCAAGCAGCCCTTGTACATTTGAAAGGACCAGTGATATGCACATCAGTGATTAGATCCCAGTCGGAATCTCGCATGTTCTTGAAGCTGATGTCGCGGAGGATACCGGCGTTGTTAATGAGAACATCGATGCGACCGAAGGCATCAATAGCGGTCTGTATGATCTTCTCGCCATTGAGGACGTTGTCATAATTGGCAACAGCTTTTCCACCGGCGGCTTTGATCTCGTCCACCACCACATCTGCAGCCTGTGATCGTACATCAGTGATTCTCCTCTCGGACTGTGTGAAAATAGACGGACTTCTGTGCCAGCACCCTCGCCCTTGAAAGAACCGCCCAAGTCGTTGACCACGACATTCGCACCTCTAGATGCGAAGAATAGAGCGTACTGTTTCCCAAGGCCAGCTCCAGCTCCAGTGACAACAACCGTCTGGCCGTCGAACCTTAAAGTTTGCACCATGTTTATTGATGACTCATGCGGTAACAGAGGGAGATTGGAAGCAATTACCAGTGCAGGTCAAATGTGGGAAAGGACGTTCAGAGTGATGGGGAGGATGGAAAGATGAGAGACGAAGTCAAAAATAGAGGAAAGAAGACGACCGAGGTACCGATGATAGTAGCCGGGGAGGAGTGAATGTGTAGACAAACTGATGGCACTTGGGGTTTAGAAAAGGGTTCAAGCCGAGGCACACGTCACATTACCGAATCCTGCATTCTGAGATTATCGGTCCAAATGGTCACCGCGGTAACTGATGAATGGATTATGCGCAAGTCATTGAGGCTTATCTTGACATAGGTAAGAATCGGCTAGAGGATACCGGGGCAATGATCAGAAAGTGTCGCTTTTTGTGAACCCATATTAGGACGATAAACGTGCAAAGCTCTAACAAATTGATGCCCCCTATTTATTTCTTGGTGAGCTTTTCGACCCGCCTCCATACAGAAGGATCGATTCGCGGATTCCTCCTTCCCCTTTCTCCAAAAGAAAAACGGTAAACCATCTCAAGCCAGGAAAGCGATTCTAGCGAACGTTTGATAGTAAGTTACGGATCCGCCACACGCGAGAGTGCTATGGCTTTATATCAGGCTTCTTCTATCGATGATCTGCTGAAGTTCTCTGACACGTATCTTCGCGGGACAGACAACAGGTGGAAGAAGACATCTAAAGCGCTACATTCCCTACTGGGATCCAATTATCCCCCCAGTCGTAAACCGAGCCGAAATTGCCTCCCCCCGACAAAGCGTGGAGCATATTACATTGTCCCGAGACTGTGGAAATGCTACTCTTCAACGAGGGGACTCGTTGGCATGGAGATCGGTCTCTTGGGACGACGATGGGGCTTACTTCGTTTACAGATTTGAAACCTATACTGAGTTGATCGGCTACTCAAGAGTCAGGCCGTACATATCTTGCCCAGACGGCGATGACGTGGACGTCTGTGTCATTCTGCGCGAGCTCGATGCAAAGCGGTCAGCCTCTATTCTATATCAACATTCCTCTGGAAAGCCTGCCTGAAGGAAACAGCGAAAGCAACATGCCGCACTTTAGTATATTCGAATAGGTTGGTCCCAGTGGCCCCGCGCGTCTCACACTACAAGACCCAACTCTGACCTGGAATTTTCAACGGCGCAGAACTCGATGCTCTTCCAGCAGACGTTTGGAATCCTCATGATGGGGAAGAAAATATACCACCAGGTGAAATCGTTTGTCTGGAGATTCCCCGATGGCCTACCAGTATCTGTGTTTCAAGCAAGAGAGCCAATAAGGCTAGACTGTTCAATACACACAAGGCCCACTATTCTTTGCCTTGGTGTCGAGAGGTCGAAGGACACCGTGGCATCGTAGTCCACGGCCATTTGAACATGCTCATGGAAATGGTGTCATATCTGCCGATTTCTTCTCCCTTTATCTCTTTCGCCGGTCGCTACATCGGCGATGCCTTTGAAGCTGCTACAGGATACAATTTCTTCTTCCTCGAAGCATTTCCTGTTCCATTCGAAGTCGTGGCTTGCAATATTATACTCGAGTTCTGGACGACGAAGATTCCAGTGACTGTTGTTCTGATTCTCTATACGTGAGTGGGAATCGTGCTCCAGGGAACAAGGATACCATTGGCTAATATACATCTAGTCGGTATCGAATAGTTTGGAACAGCAGAATTCTGTAGCCTTGGACAAAATCATCCTCTTCCTAGGACTAACCTTCTACACCGTGGCTAGTTTGGTGATAACCCAGCTCGTTACACTGACGGCTTCGAGTAAGTGATGCATCGCCCATCGTTCAAGTATCTGAAAGGAGCTTACTTGGATATGGAAATTGGACGATACCAACGCCGTTCGTCGAGTACTATGTCACAACTTGTTGAACCTTGGATATAAAACCCTTGGCGTGCCCACCAATCACAGCTTCCTTTTCTGTATGCCACGTGTCTTCGGCGGACCTGCCAGTCCTGGCCAAAGCCTGGTCCTGACAATCTTATGGCTAGGTTTTGGACTTCAATCTCCGCTAAGTACGTGCTGGGAATGTGTTAGGGATGTGCTGAACGAACGAAACCCGTACGTACCTTCACATAACGATTGGATTTTGCGGAATGCCCTCTACAGCTATGACATCGTCTGCCCATCCCCATGTGGGCCATTGACTGGATCCGATCAGGCTAGGGAGGCTGCCGAGCGAGACCGCCCCGGTCCCACCCGGCCACATGGTCCATGGATCGGATCCAGTGGCGGTGGTATTCCATGGGATCCGATCCAAGGACCACCTAGATATCGAGGCCGGCGCCGTAAGAGGAGGACTCTGGTGACAACGACAAGGGGAGATTGACTGTGGTTGTAAAACTAACTAGAACTATCTGCCGGGGGTGGGCCGCTTTATATATGTTCTGTAAACGAATGTAGTTTAGTGTAAGCCAGAATCCTTGGCGGAAATCCACATGCGACATTCCCACGTGACATTGCCAAGCCATTACCACGCGTGATTGGCCAACACAATGGTCTTGGCGTCCCACATAAAATACGTGATTCAACCTGAAATTCGAGTATATATTTTTTATTCCGCCAGATTTTCCCCCAAATTGACACCAAATCGTGGTTGACCTATCAAGGACGAAACCGAGTGGCAACACTTTGGTTTTGGTCGAACCGATAGAATTGAGGGACCTCACTAGTGTTCAATCATAGGTGAGGCAAGAGGGTTGTCCGGCCTAGCTCCATTGAGTCTGGGTGCCCTAGATGGGTAAACGTAATGCTCCAGCCAGTGATTGTTGATGATGTCGTCTTGTTTATACCGTTGGGAGGGTCACTGATTTCAACTCTTCTGCAGTTAAACTTGTGTGGCAGAAGCTTTCACTGGCTGCGGCGCCCCATCTATGAGTTCGTCAGAGATGGACTATAGGAGGGGGATTTTTGGGGGGGCTTTTTTTTTTTTCTTCAATACATTTTGTGTGTGTGTGTGTGTGTGTGTGTATGTGTGGGGGTGGCTTTCTAATTACGTGACTATTTTTGCTTAGCACTGTTACGTAACGTTGTTGACTTGACTTTCCATCCGTAGGCCATTATCTACTCGAGTCGATTTAGCGGCCGATTTCGCCGTTTCGAACAGTACCCCTTTCGAAGATAAGACGATTGTCATCGAGCCAGCGCGTGGCAAGCCGATCGAAGCAGTGTTCCTAATAGGCAGGCGGTTTAGTCCATTTGGACCATCTATTTAGAGCTCTGGCGACGGGGGTTCTAAATGCTTATCACGCCCTTTAATTCATGTCGAAGAGTGTTGGTGTCCTCAGAACATTCATGATATTCGAAGCTGTAGGCTCATCGCTGCGTATGAATATATGTCAAGGAATGCGTCGGCCGACCTTCGTTCTAGCAACCGCTACCCCACGTTGCGATTGTCTTTGACAATTGTTAAACGGTTGAACAGTAGCCAGTGCCCCTTTATTGGGAAAAGGGGTCATCACTCATATGTAGGATATAGGGAGAAGAAAAGGCGTCAACCAAAGGCGTAAATAGACCAGCAACCTGGCAGGACCGGTTGCTAGATATACAGAGCATTCAATTCATATTCTCCTGGCATACCCAGTTTAATAGCCTGAGTCCAATATCAGTGACATCAGAGGCCTTCTTGACCGTGATCGCGCACAGGTATCTGCTTCCACAGTATACATGAGCTCTCAAACGCCGACTGGCACCCCCTACCGGCTGTTCGGCTACGTATAGCGCAAATTCAACTTTGGAGGAGACCCAATCGCAAGAGAGACTGTGAATATCTCACTTGTGTTGTGTACATTTGCGATATATGTTTCTTGGGCCGTGTTGACCAAAGCTACATCTGGAGACACAATTACGTTATCCCGTCTCGTTATTGGTCGCCCTAAGCTTTTGCACTCCGAGTTCTTACCCAAAAGAACCTGAATCGAACCCCAAGGGGCCTCGATAGTTTGACTCTTTGTCGACGGCACAAACAACTGGCTTTTTCGAGTATTTTCATCCGTCTTCATCGATCATCGACGAGGAACATATAAGGTATCGGCCTATAGCTTTTAGTCACACAGTGGCAGAGTTTGATTTCTATCCCACCAGTTTGCGTGTTTTAGAACATGCCATGCCTTTTCCCTTTGCGAACATGAACTTTCAACAAAGGGGAGACGTGGATTACGACCTGTCCTTCCTCAAATCTCACCGTGGAAGCTTCTCAATCAACCCACACGAATCACTCCACCGGGAGCATTGTCCAAAATTCGGCAAGTAACAATCATTCCCACCAGCCGAGGCCACCTTTTGGCCTAACCGGTGTCTCCCCTCGAGGACCAAAGATTTTGGAGACCTGAATCATCAGCCGGAGTTGTGGAAAGCTCATCTTCGCCCATCACTCCAATTCTCAGCAACCCACCAGATTGATTCGCCGGCAGACCTCGAGACAAGCGGACCACAGACTCTGCGGACTAGATCGATGGGAGCCTACAATCTCGACATTTTGCGGCTATATCAATGATAAATCGTCCATACATCTATGCTCTGGTGGGTCAAAGGGGGTTTCAAGCCTCGTCTGAGGATGAAGAAACGGCCAGGAGCGCCCTCGGAGCGCATCTTCAAGATTGGATTGTTGAAAGCGGCTGGTTTCTCTCTATCACCCAATAAACCTGTGCAGAAGGCACGATACCCTTTTGTCTTGTAATAGTGATGACACTAATCAAGTTGGATAGGTTTTTGGAAGCTGGAATACCTACAGACTTCATCGGCCAGAATCTCCGGCTATCAAAGTCTATATTATAAATGTAATGAACGGTTTAGCACTTGAGTGCCTCTCGTGCAGCATAGTACGAAGGATATAAGGCTCGCAGAGTAGATTCTAGAGCCACAACTAAAAGGGTATGACTAAGTCTTTCTAGCAGAAACCCGAAGAAACAGCGCACCCTCAAGACGCTTCCAGCCAGCCTAATCCAGGGATCGGCTAGTGCTTTAACCTTTCCGAGGAATAGAGTTTGACGATCAAACGGATATACATGTGGGTAACGCCATGACTGTGGGTAACGCCATGGCAAGCAATGGGCCCATTTATGTGGAAGCGTTTGGGGGCGCGAAGGCAACAGATCACTGTACAATGTCTGTGTTGCAAACTTTCATCCGTTCATCGTGTGAAAATGGTCTCTCCAGTGTGACCACGGTAGTTGTTGACGGTAAGGTGTGTGTCCCACCATTTCGGACACCAGATGCGAATGCTGCGATCGAGTGGGTGAAGGAAACCACAAAACTAGTCGTGAAAGCTGTTTTCATTACGCACCACTATTCGGATCATTCTCCGCCAGTCCTATCCTCGATGCTTGGCCCGAAGCTACCCTTTATACTACGAGAGTATGGCGAGAAGATCAAATAGTGACCTCTCGTTTTTGGAAAGGAGAATGTCCCGACCCAACCGCGCAAACCGACTCCCTTTCACTCAAGCCTCTCAGAGTTAGATGGCAACCCAAATCGTCTATCGTCCTACTTGGTCCTTTGCAAGGCGACTGTTGAACAGGTGGTGACCTATGGTTCACAGCAGACGGTGTTATTTTGCAACACTCACCCACTAAGTTATATCGCCATTGACAGCTCATTGCCACTCTCTGACCGAATCCAGTCAAGCGCTCTTTCAATTCAAGAAGTTTGACAGCGACTCAGTAGACCATACTTTGTTCCGGCTTCCCGCAGAAAAGGTGATCATCTGTGGCGACGCTGTCTACGCGCGAGGTACTTCATTTTTGGTGGGTATTGCTCACGAATAGCGATATGACAGAAGGTGTTGACGCTCTGTATTAGGGTCGAAACATTACAGATCCTCGAAGCTTGGCCAAAGACTCTGGACATCATCGAAGCCCTCAACCAGCCATGGTCATCCCCGGCCATCTTGAAGCTGGTTGGGAACTAACCGCGAAAGAGGCCACATGCGCAAATATTTAGGGTTGTTCTCTGAGAAAATTACCTAAGCTAGAACGAAGCCTCAAGCAAAAGATCTGTTCATCACATTCAAGGAGGCATTTCCGCAAGCCGATAAAGAACTTTGACTTCTTCTTGGGACACCTGTGGAGGTTTGGGAGGAGAATCGACTTCACAACGTAGGTTCGAGGACGAAGAAGCGATTGGAAGGATTCGTGCTATCATGATCGACTCAATCTTTGTGAGGGTTCGGATCGCGCTCAGCTAGTTAGCGCAAGCCTGGCGTGCCTTAGCCGAGGAGGGATGGTGGTTAGACTTGATTGGTGCGTTGGAAAATCAGTGTATGGATCGCTGTCATAGGCTGTTAGTTCCCCCAACAGCTGGCCACAATCGCTTCGAGAGCAGACTCACAAGACTCGAGTGCGAAAAGATTCATCGGTCCAAGATATGCAAGTGCTCGTAATGTCTCACGCGTAAGGTTGCCCTTGCAAAGGATCTCGATAGCTGAGTAAAACGGCCTCTGAGAGACGGCAGTCTTCCCAATCATCCACCGTTGGATTTCGGCAGCACAATCATCGGCCGTTGCGGCTTGAAGACACGCTCCCGGACATGCGAAATAGTAGATGCATTCCTGGTAGATTATTGAACATGACGAACGCGACATCGAATAAAGCAATCCAAAGAAAGATACTAAAAGCTTCGGTTAGTGTGTTGAGATCCACAGGGGTTGAGACAGTCGGCAAACGGACATACCGTATAAGTTCTTCCCTGGCCACAAAATCTGCCCAGTTAAAGCTATGTCCCAGCGGACTGTAATCTGGATGTCTTGATGCCTATGGAATGAATCAGTTGAAC